AGGCGTTATCGGTCGTCAGTGCCGCAATCGAACCTTGGACCTTCCAATGCTCGCTTGTCTCTCCTATTTCGCCCGAAGTTAAAAAGAATGGTTAGAATTGCTTTTCTTCCAATGTAAATATTAAAAAAAATAAATAAATGCATAAATGGTAATAAAGACACACATCCTCAATTCCTCACTTACTAATCAACTTGGCAATCGACTCTCCATTGTGAGGGTATGGGTGGGGGACAAGATCCAATGTACATTCGTATCCTTTGAACTCGCTGTCAAGCCAATGCAGGGTTATCCCCATAAAAGGGCGATTGCTATCGGAGGTCCAGTCATCGACGGTCATCGATCCCACTTTGAATGTGTTGGAAAGGAGCTGCTCGATTCTCTCCTGAAGTCCAAGACGATGGTTGTGCAATCAGTCGCGAATCGTAGCTGCACAGGGCATACTGATGATTGGATTGATCAAGTGGACAAGGGCGCGAAACGAGTCGGAGTCGAAAGTCGAGAAGGGTATATAGGCTGTGACAACCCAAGTTAAAGCGGCCTTGATGATCGCCTCCTTCTTTTGAACAGTTGTTGAGGTTCCAGTGAGAGTTGTTTGTACAAGACCGCCTCCAACACTTTGCTGTCCTGAAACTCCATTGTCAGCTGTTCCTTTGCCTTTGTCGGGCCGGTGCGTGTTCAAATGATACTCGAGTGAATGAGATGCGTTATTGGGGGACAGTGGCTTGTTGCATTTTCTGCATATGAATTTGTTTTCATAAGTGCCTTCTTCGGTTTTCACTCTGCTGGATTTATAGTACTTCCGGTAGGCTTCTACGAAGTATAGACAGTGAAGTATTAGCATGTATAATCGAGAAGAACATTTACGTTAAGCTGCAGTAGAAGGCTTGCACAGAAGATAGTGCTTACTTGGGACCGTTTTGAGTGCACCAGACTGTTGACTGATCGAAGTGGAAGGAGTAAGTGATGTATTCAAGAACAGGTCGCCATCATCAGCATGTGAAGGGTTATCTGCATCGTCGTCATTCCATAGATCGTCATCTTCACTTTGCTCCTCTAGGGGACGATCCGAGAGTGAGGGATCAAATTCGATGGTTGTTGAGATTGTTGAGGGTGTGCTGTTGTTATTGTGAGTTGGTGTGTCGCATGAAGGTTCAATAGATGGATTGGATGCTGCAATCGCAAACGACGAAGAGGACGAGGACGCTGATGTTTTTAGAGGCAAGAGGGAAGCGCCACTTGAGCAAGAAGACGATGAGGAGGAAGGGAAGGTAGTTGTTGGTCTGGTGGAGAAGGGTGTCTCTTGCTGCTGGCGCTTTGATGAGGAGGACCCTCCATCGAATGATGGTCGTTTGTTTGTATGGCTTGGCTGTTCCATACTTGTGAATGTTGTTGTGTGTGAAGGGTAGGAGATATGTGTGAAGGGCGAGGGATATATGTGGATAAGAGGGGAAATAAAAGGGTAAAGAAAGAAGAAGCACCAGCGCGCTGTTGGCTTAATACGCGCTTAGACCTTTCGGTTCGGGACGATGATGACGCGTACTTTTGATCGGTCAATGGGTTAATCGATCAATGGGTTAATCGGTCAATGGGTTAATCGGTCAATGGGTTAATCGGTTAAAAGACGGTCAAAAAACGGTCAATTAGAAAATTTTCGCAGATTCAATTTTCCTTCGTTGAAAAAGCTCCACGAAGGAAAACTGAATGAAGGAAAAATGAGTTGTTTCGCAGGAATTTTTCAGTCGCACATGCTGCGGTCAGAAGAAAATAGGCTTTCTGACCCCTCCCATGGCTGTAAAGTTGAAGACGGTGGTCTTATGACCTTTCTGCCTTTTTGGGACGAAAGAAATCCTTCCCGTTTGTCCTTCCCGGAAGGAAATTTGGGAAGGATTTCTTTCGTCCCAAAAAGGCAGAAAGGTCATAAGACCACCGTCTTCAACTTTACAGCCATGGGAGGGGTCAGAAAGCCTATTTTCTTCTGACCGCAGCATGTGCGACTGAAAAATTCCTGCGAAACAACTCATTTTTCCTTCATTCAGTTTTCCTTCGTGGAGCTTTTTCAACGAAGGAAAATTGAATCTGCGAAAATTTTCTATTGACCGGCAATATTTTTGGTTAACCATTTAGTCGGTTAACCGGTTAATTCGGTCAAAAAAAAATTGGTTAGAAACACTGAGTCTGTAATGCATACTTTTGCATCTTGTTTGTTTGTTAGCTGGAATGCAGCCAGGCATGGCATCACCGCAGAAAATGCGAAAAGAAGGTAAAATTTGGAGACTACCTACGACATTTTTATTATGGTGACTGGTATATTAATCATTTTTGCTACCTCCCAACAAAACTAGTTCTTAAATACAAGGTAATAAGATAACGCATTTTCATAATACCATGCAGCATTCACACAAGTCCATATCCACCCAGGCATAACTTCGCCCTTTTTTCAAACCACATAATGATTAGCTACGAAAGCTAAAAGATTCTATTATGTTCTCGCAATCAAAAATGGTCAGGGTAAAAGAAGGCTTAAACATGTTCATTATTGTCTTTCTTGGTTAATAGTACTTTTCCCCATTTTCCTTCTCCTATCATTGCTTATGGCCATAGGTCCAAGTAGATATCACTTTCTTTGCTGTCGTTCTCGTCCTCGTCGTTTTGCACAAGGTGGTAACTTTCTATTGTTTGCAAGTCTGTTTGTTGCTTTGCTTTTTTCCCATCACCACCAAGGCCATTAATCCAAGTCGGTGTCTCATTGGTCCAGATTTAGATCGGGTCCCATTGTCGTCATCGTTGTCGCGTGTTGCCTCTTTCCTTTCTCACCATACAACCCCTCTTTCTTCTCTCATCGTCTCTCCTTCATAGGTCTCGCGCTCATCCCCTCCTCGGCCCTCGGCCATAGTCGCCCAAGGTACTTTTTCTGCTTTTCGAGTTTGTTTGTTGTCTTGCCTTCTTCCCTTCTTCCAAAAACCCTTCTTCCAAAAACCCTTCTTCCTTTCTTAAAAAACCCTAGGCTCGGTTTTATTCTAAGTCTAAGACAGCATTTATTTTAGCAAGGTCGCAGAAAGCCCTTTAGTTGTAGTGACGTTTGTAAAATGAATTTACTTTCTAAGGGACCATCTTGTGTTCACTTTAGAAGGGGTGACTGCATTTGAGGCATGTGAGTGGAAAAAAAGGTCCATCTGGATCAAAAGCAGTGGATGGTATTGTGCGACACACGAAAATGCTGGAATTGGACGGAAATCGTGCATATCACACACAATAAGGAAAACCCAATAAGAAGAAATAAATGCCTGCGTATGTGTGCCGCTTCACCCTTTTACACTCAGTTTATGCCTTCTCCTTTTTACAACTCCTAAATAGTTCAAAGTTAAAGTCGAGGAGTTTTTTCTTCTAACAAAAGTTCTTTTAGTCAAACAATGGTGGTATATTGATGCTCAATCTTTCTATGAATATTTACTCTTCCTCATCATCCTGTTCCTCTTCATCTTGTTCCTGTTCATCTTCATCCTGTTTCTGTTCCTGCTCATCGTCCTGTTTCTTCCCTTTGTCTTTGGTCACCTTCTCCCTCCCTTGCCCTTCGCGTGCATGTTTTTGACGTATACAATATTCCACACATGGGAAAAATCTGTACCTGTTCTTGCGGCTATGAACAAGCAGAGCCACAGCATCAATCTCCACAAATGCGGCACTTAGGGTTTCTTCCTCCGTCGTTGACGTGTTCATTATATTCCTCTCCGTCAAAAACAAGACCTGCTCCTGTATCCTCCTCTTGTTGTTCAGGTTCTTGGTTGTGGCGCCAGAGAGTGTTGTTGGTAGTCCCTGGGCTTTCCTTTCTGCAAGCAATTTGTCGTACCGCTCAAGCTCCTCAAATACAGCCTTTGTGTTGGTGGGGTAATTGTTCCTGACAAACCAGTCCCCGACTGGCACTGCTGCCTGGATACTCGTTAATGCTGCTTGATCTCCTGAATCATTTGGCCCTGTACTGCTGCGTTCTCTCTCTGTCGTTCTGAAGGACGCGGGCAAAACCCCTAACGGCCTGGACCTGAATCTCCGGGTCTTATGTATTGGTGTTGGTGGCGCTTGAACAGTTGACAAAGCTGGTCGAATAGCTTGAAGTTGGTGATTGCCGGGTTTGGAGGATGGTGGTCGCCGTAAACCAGGATGTGCGGTCGTCTGTGTATGTTGCTGATGCTGGAAAGGTGGAGAGGGGATTGGCGCCTGCATTCCGTGACCGTGACCGAAGAAAGGTTGAATTCCAGCGCACAAGAAAGCACTTTTTTATTTTCGTTATTTTACTTAGAGGACGCGGTCAACAAGGTGGAAGAGGTAAAAAGAGGTTTATTCACAATTAGGTTTGGTTGGTGCCTAGTCCCATCCATGATCAAGTTCAAGGGAGCGGTAGAGGTCTTCTGTTGCCTGGCGCAGAACCATGCTCTCGGCTACTTCCTTTCGTTGACTCAACATCTAATAGGCGTAACATTTTAGGGGGAGAAAAGACGGGTATCAGTCGTCGGTTCAGCAACTATAAACGGATTAAAAAATGACACGACCAAAAACATTCAAGTTACCTCAATGCGGTTAAGAGTGCCTTTGATTTGGTTTTCACGCTGACCGAGTTGCTGCTGTAGCTGGTAGCACTGAGAGTTGGCGGTATCCAGTTCCCGAAGAGTCGAACGCGTCTTTTCCCGTTCCTTCTCCACAATCTTGGACCGCTGATCGAGCTCACTCCTCAGTTGGTCATTCATCCGTGAGAGACCTAGTTCGGTCGCTGTCCGGATGTGGCTCGAGTTTTGCATCATCACCGACCCATATGGAGTGCCTAGTCCGCCCTGAGAGTCTTGGCTTCCCTTGTGGATGTCCACCAGCTCTTGCAGTTGACCATTTTTGCGCTGCAAGTTTTCGATACTCTTTTGCGCCGTCCTGTCGTTGTTTCAGAGATCAAACCCTTGATTAGAACCATATCCACCCACAAAAGAGTATCAGGTAGAGCAGGCGTGAAACTGAACTTACTTGTTCTCATCCAGGAGACCAGCAACCTTCTCTTTGGCCCCTTGACGTTCTCGCTTGACACGCTCCTCGGCATCTTTGGTACGCTTTTCAAGCTCGCGCAGTCTCGCGTTCCATCGTTCTTCAGCATCAACTAACCGCGTCTTTTCTAGCTGGAGTTTCCGTTCCGCATGCTTGCAACGCGCTTCATAGTCCTGGGCACGGTCGCTAGTTCCAGATCGAGCTCTCAAGTCTACAATCGTTCGTTCCAGCAGCACTTGCTTAGCCTACAAGTAAGCAGAAGCGGACAACGCGTCAGTAAAAGGACTCATTGAGCAACGATCCGAGGACAAAATGATGGAAGAGAGGGAGGGGATGTAGGTCAAATGGCTCGAGTGCTACTCAAAAAATATGAGCATCAACTCTTTTCAAATGATCAGAGGGGGCAATAAACTGGTTACTGCACCCATTTTTTTTTCTTCGAAGGTTATCCTGTGATCCATCCACGTCTATCGGAGAAGGTCACTGCACCAGGGCGAGCTTACAAGTAAACCCACACCTGGCATCTTCGTTGTGGTGTCGGAGAGTGTGAGGGAAGAACGAGTATATATACAAATGCTTGCTGGGCTCACCTGAAGGTCCTCGTTGATGGCCTTGTTTTTGACGAGCTGTTCACGCCACTTTCTCTGACGATCCGCTGCATCACGAACAATAGTCTCGAATCGATCCAACTGCTTCAACTTCATATCCAACTGTCGCTTCAGTTGCCTACAATAAGAAATAAAAATGAGTGAAGTTGTATATTAGCAACTGCAGATGTATACAATCAGATGGGACAGGCGCCAAATGATACTTACACCAATTGGCCGGTGGCCTTGTCTTCGAGTTCCTTGCCCTTTCTCTCAAACAAAATAAACAGCTTGCTCAGCGATTTCAGTCGCGAGATCAGGTGGCTGGAAAAGTAAACAAAGTTGGCCGAGGGCTTGGGCAACATGTTTCCGTCCAGACGGCTGTCGCCACCGAGAATGCTTTCAAGGTGCTGAAGAACAGTCAGGAGGAGGGAGTTGCGCTCCATAAGGTCGCTCTTCGAAGTCTCACCCGAGTCGTCGTCGTCCCTCTGCTTCTTCGACACTTGCATGTCCAGTTCCAGTTTCGTCACACGCGACTTCAACATCGCAATAGTAGTCGCACTGTCGCGTAGCTTAGTCTCCATCTGTTCCTTTTCGTCCTCCATCGCCGCCACAGCGACATTCAGTTTTCTGGTCTTGATATTCTACGTTGAAGTGATCTGGCGTGTTAATAATGTGCCCCAGAATTGTGATCCAGAAAGGAAAAAAAAAGGATATGGGACTTACAAGGCGATCCACTTCGTGGGTTCTGGAGTGCAGGAGGTCGCTCTTTTCAACGCGGTTTGCCCTGATGTGCTCAAATTCCTTGCGAAGCTCAACCAATTCTGCTGTCGTTGCCTCCAAATCCTAATTGGCACGATACAAAACGGTAATCATTAGAATCATGGTTACAACCGGCCAGTACCATGCTTTCATAGAGTCCAAGCAGTAGATGTACCGAGCTGAGTCTGAGTTCCATTTCTTCATAGCGTTCTTCGACATTCTTGGCATCCCTAGCCGCCTGGGCCAGTTTTTCTTCATAAAAATGCTGGTCGCCATCTCGGTCATTCAGATCGTTGGAGAGTTCTGCAATTTGATCCGATGCTGCCGCAAGTTTCTGAGACAAAGAAAAGAAAAAAGCCAGCAGGTCTGTCAATTTTCTGGCGGCGGAATATAGGACCGCATCAGCCGATCAAACACCAAATCAATACTTACTTCTTGAAGTTCCTCAATTCGTTCGGTATATTCGAGTTCGAGTTGCTGTCTCTCGTTCTTCCATTGATTGAACGCATCTGAATCTCTGTCCCGGCTCAAGTTCTCGAGGGTAACCTTCTGGTCAATCGCGGCGCGAAGTTGAGTCTGGAGTGCCCTGTTCTCTTGCTCGATCAAAGCCAACTCGTCTGACACCAGCTGGAAGTCCTGATGAGACACAGTTCCTTTTTGCAGGTTCACCGTAGAACCAGACATCATTTTCTACAACACGGTGGAGTGAAATTGATTCAACAACGGCGTTCATCGTTAGAACATGTACTGCTTTTCTGCATGACCCATAAGAATCGACGTCGCCTACTTACTGATTTGATGCTGGTGACAACTTCGTCATGAACGGCATCAGCTTCTCGTCTCGCCATCTCAAGCTGGTCGATTCTATCCAAGAGTTCTGAAATCCTGGCATCCCTCGCCTGTAACAGATCCTCAAAGTTTCGGAGTTCCTCCTGCGCACGTGCCAACTCCATCTCCTTATCCTCGAACTCTCCTACAAGGTCTCCCAGCTCCTGATCGTGCCGGATAACCTCGTCATTCCGCATGACCATCAGATCCTGAACATGGGCTTCAAGCTGCTCGTTCGCCTTTCGGAGTTCATCAATGTCCAAGGTCATGTCTGATATCTGCTCTCGCATTTGTTGACGATCCAAAGTCCAGCGTTCTGAGAGTGTGTTCATATCGTTCGCGTGCATCTCCTGAATTTGGTCCAACTGATCCCGTTCATTCTCAAGCTGGTTCGAGAGTTCTGCAGCATCAATCTTGGCCTTGGACAGTTCATCCCTGTGTTGTTCCAGTTGCAAGTTCATCTCTTCTTCGAGCGCCGCCTTGTCGGCCTGGGTCAACGACAGCTCCTATAAATAATTAGAGAAAAAAACGCGTCAACATTACTGCTACAAAATCTAGAATTCTTAAAACAAGCAAATATCAGGCCAACCAACCATACCTTTTCCAGCTGGGAACGATGTCCCAGAGAAGCGTTGAGTTCCTTCTCCAGCTCACGGCATCGCGCCTCCCACCCTTCTTCCACCCTTGATTTTTCCATCAGTCGAGACTCGTTCTGCTGGATCTCAATGAGTTGGTCGTGGAGTTCTTCAAGTTCTCCTTCGTATCGTGCGTTCAGTTCTCTCAGCTCTTCGATGGTGTTCGCCTGCGAATCCAGTTCTCCGAGGCGTGATTGAAGCAGCTCCAGCTCGGCATCCTTGGATTTTAACAACTGCTCTAACGATGCTATCCGTTGGGAGAGCTGCTTGAGGGAAGCCTTGAGGTTCAAAGCCTCTGCAATAGCATTCCTGTATTCCTCCTCCTGCTCCTCTGTCATTCTGTTTTGGAGATCAGAGTTCCTCTGTGCCTGGAGCGCCTCGATGGCAGCGTGGGCTTCCATGAGCAGTCGCTTGTATTGTTTCAATTCCGAGTACATGGTCTGAAGCTTGACCTTCATATCAATGTTCTATGTTGCATAGGCAATTAAGCATGAAACATTATCAGTTCCGATTGATAACTGAATTACATAGGCCTTCATCAATTGATGTAATGTAAGTTTACCTCCTGCAGAGCCTGGTCAACGTGCTCTGGAGAGATCTTGGCCAGACGCTCCTCCAGAAAGAAAATCTTGAGCTTGAGCTCAAAGCCCTCCTTCTTGAGTTCATCAATGATCTATTGAACAGCATATCCAAGTCAATTGAGGCGCCAGTAAGCTAGTGTTTAGAAACATACATACTTCTGCAGATGGAAATGATATTCCAAAAGGAACAATGCACATAGATGTGAAGTTGTATTTACCCTTTCTTGTTCTTTAAGAGTCATGGCTGCTGGTTTTCCGGTGCCTGCGCTCCAGCGGTCAATGGTCTTGCGGGGCTTGGGTCCCTCGCTGGTGTCAGTCATTCCAGCCGAGCTCACATGTCCGCTGAGAGCACTCATACGAGGGTTGCTCCTGACAGAATCGTCCAGGTCAATATCGGCGTCAATGGCATCAAAGTTAAAGTCGAGTCTGGATTCCTCTCCTTCCTCGTCGTCGTCGGCAAGTCCATGGATGCTTTGGCGAAGTAGGAGGGACTGTTCAGGCGATGCACTCCACTTGCCGTGCTCCATGAGGGGCAAGTTCAGAGTTCCTTTGGACAATGCTGCAGGATGTGCTGTGGTTGTATCGTTGCCCCACAGGGAAACAGGAAAGTGAGAGAGTAAGAAAAAAGAGGGAGAGGGTAAGGAGAGTAGGCGGAAGGGAGGTGAGGTGATAGGAGGGAGAATAAGAAGTGGGCAATGAAGTAGGCACTTCCCCACTTTGCTTTCTCTCTGCAGCGTTCAGTTTCAGGGCAAATAAAAATTTGGAGCATCGCACAAGCCACCCTCAGAGTATATTAGTCGTCGCAGACTAGCTGCATTTTTCTCTCCTTGTCCTTATTCCAACCTCGCTCACACGCACCAAGCAAACAGCAGCGGCAACAATGACCATCCAGATCGTACCCCTCGGCGCAGGACAGGACGTCGGCAGGAGTTGTATCCTCGTCACCATCGGAGGGAAAAACATCATGCTCGATTGTGGCATGCACATGGGCTTCAACGGTAAGTTGCTCAACTGACAGCAGGCGCTCGCTTTTTCTTCGAGTTAATGGAGAATCAACCTTACTGCTATCCTCTACCATTCATGAGAACTAATCAACTCTATACCTTCTTCATGTTGTAGACGAACGCAGGTTCCCTGACTTTTCGTACATTTCAAAGACGGGCGACTTTACGGAGATGCTGGACTGCGTGATCATCAGTCACTTTCACTTGGACCACTGCGGAGCCCTTCCCTTCTTTACAGAGATGTGCGGATACGACGGCAACATCTACATGACCCATCCAACCAAGGCTATCTGCCCCATTCTACTCGAGGATTACCGCAAGATCACTGTCGATAAAAAAGGCGAGCGCAACTTCTTCACCAGCCAAGACATCAAGAATTGTATGAAGAAGGTCATCCCCGTCAACCTCCACCAAACCATCATGGTTGACGATGATCTCGAGATCTGCGCATACTATGCTGGACACGTCCTCGGTGCTGCCATGTTCTACATCCGAGTCGGCGAGGAGTCTCTGGTCTACACGGGCGACTACAACATGACACCAGATCGACATCTCGGAAGTGCCTGGATCGACAAGGTCAAGCCTGATGTCCTCATCACAGAATCGACCTACGCCACCACTATTCGAGACTCCAAGAGATCGAGAGAGCGAGACTTTTTGAAGAAGGTCCACGATTGTGTTGCCGGAGGAGGAAACGTCATCATCCCTGTCTTTGCCCTCGGTCGTGCTCAGGAACTCTGTATTCTGATCGAAACATACTGGGATCGCATGGACCTCAGGGTACCCATCTATTTCTCGGCAGGACTCACGGAGAAGGCCAACCACTTTTATCGCTTATTCATCAACTGGACCAACGAAAAGATCAAGAGTACCTTTGTTCACCGCAACATGTTCGACTTCAAGCACATTCGTGCCTGGGATCGTGCCTACATTGACAACCCTGGACCTATGGTCGTGTTTGCGACTCCAGGAATGCTTCACAGCGGAACTTCGTTAGAGCTTTTCAAGAAGTGGGCTCCGGATCCCAAGAACATGGTCATCATGCCTGGTTTCTGTGTGGCGGGTACAATCGGATCCAGGGTCTTGGCAGGAGAGAAGCACATCAAAACGGACTCGTTCACTACGATTGACGTCAATCTTCAGGTCAAGAATCTGTCGTTCAGTGCCCACGCCGACGCCAAGGGAATCATGCAGCTCATTCGACAGTGCGATGCAAAAAATGTGGTCTTGGTCCACGGCGAGAAGAGCTCGATGGGTTTCCTCAAGTCCAGGATCATGACCGAGTTTGGCATTCCTTGCTTTGACCCTGCGAATGGAACGACTGTCAGCATCGAGACCTCCCATGTGATCCCCATCGAGATGTCAGCTAGTCTACTCAAGCAACATTTGATCCGCCAGACTGAAACTCAGGACCCAGGAATGACCACCTCCAGTAGCCCGGAGCACAGCAGCTCTGATGACAACTCGGAGCAGTCGGATATCAAGACGCCAGCGGAAATCCGACCCAGCGACAAGGTCTTGATTCAAGGAATGCTTGTTATGGATGATGGCAAGCCCATTCGTCTCGAAGATGCTGACGAGGTTCTGGAGAAGGTTGGCATGGCCAACCACAAGGTCCGTTTCGAGGTCCGGAAAGCATACAACGCAACGGCTCTTCGTAGGGCAGTCGAGGATGCAGAGTCGAATGAGTTACATCAAGGCAGCACAGCCATGGATACGGACAAGGACGAGAGCCAAGCTGGTGACTTGTATCGGGAGTGGGATTCGGATAGGTTCGCATTGAAACTTGTCCACATTGCGCTGGAGAGATCAATTGGAAAGCAAATCAAGGTCGTACGGGAGTTGGAGGATGACTCGATTGAGATCCGCTCTGTCAAGATCCGTGCCCCCACAGACAAGGACGAGTTTGAACGTGGCGGTTTGCTTGTCGGATGGGACTACCGCGACGAGGACCTTGCTACACGCGTCCTGTCCATCGTCACCCTCGCTCTTTCAGCCAACCGCTAAATAAGTCGTTCATTGTTGCTACCACTCCACCTTTGTACATATGAAATATATTAAAAACATACGAACATATTCTCCTATCCTCCTTTCCATGTCAATGTTCTCCTTCCTCATCGTTCCTCTCTGCCTCTCTCTGTATCTCAGGAGGTGGACTGGGCTGTGTCCCTGTTCGTTCGCTCTTGTCTTTATGGCCTTCAACAGAACTGTCCTTCCCAGCTTTGAGTTGCCTTCAATGTTGGACATGATTTTTCAAACTAAGGGTATTCTTTTCTTCTGCTAAACATTTCGCCAGTAAGGATTCTACCACGCATTAACCACTCTATGAGCCCCCGTATACCCTTTGTGCACCGCCTTAAAAAAACAAACAACTTTTGCAAGAACAAATGTGATGTGATGCCCAAATCTGAGAGTTTTTTATTCTTGACTAACTGAAGACCTTGATGACTCCATCACGATCGCCAGATATGAGCAGCATGCAAGGGAGCTCTGTTAATGCAATGTCCATAATCGCGTCAAGGTGGTTTCGAAGTAGTTGTTGTTGCTGGGCAGTAATGGCGTTGTTGCGTCCAGTAGGTCTAGGCTTTGCCGGCGGGACAGGGGTCACTTCATAGTGCACTGGAAGTCCTTCAATCCTTTGCTTGCTGTTGTGTCAATGGAAAGAAGAGGGGGGGGGGGGTGTAGCTAATCATTAGTATCCAAGATAAGAAGAGTACTGCATAGATCGAACTGAACGAGGATAAATGAAAACAGACATTAAAACAAAACTTACGCGTATTTGGGTAGTTGGTCTTGAGGATCATGTCCACTAATGACAAACGACAGCTCGATACGACTCTTCTCCCAGTACCGAATCTTTCGATCTGCGCCCGCAGTGATCATATACTCGCAGTCAGTAGGGAAGATCACCGCATGAACACTTTGGTCCGACGAAACATTCGAGTCATTTGGCGTGAACGAGTTCCGCAACAGCTCGCTCCCCGAGAGAGGTTCGATCGCCTTGAAACTATCAAACGAGAGCGCCTTCTTGTCATCTGCGTTCCGGACCCCAAAAATCTCAAGACATTCGTTCTGTTCGATATCCCACACAGAGACTTCGTTCTTGCCAGAGGCGACAATGATCCTGTCCTTGTAGTCTACCGGTTTCTCGCCGTTCACTTGTGGTGGTGGTTGGATGACGAGACGGCTGATCCTGGATTTGGTTGGGTGGACCCATGAGCGGATGGAAATCATGAACCGGAGATCCCACAAGGTCAAAACGCCTCTGTTGGTGCCTACAAGTAACCATGACTTGCGGCGATCAATCACCATCGCCGTGATGATTCCTATGTATATGGATGGTATTTTGGATGAGTTGACAGCTAACAAAAAAGTGGTTTTCAGACACGGCGTGAAGAGTACGATGTCTTACCGTGCGAGATGTTGTTGCTCAACTGCCAGGCTGGCCGCATGGTGCCCAACTCGAGCGCATAGATGTTGCCACGGTTCGTCGCGTACACCAAGAGCGATTGCGATTCTATGCACCATGAAAGAGTTATGGCGTAGGTGAATACTTTGTAGCATGAACAAGCAAAGTGTATATTAAGAGGGGCACTCTGTTGTTACCTGTATGATAGTGCTCCATGGTCACGGCATACTCGTTGTTTAGAGTTATCTTGCGCACGGTTTCGCATTTGCCGTACTTTCCACTCGAGATGTAATGTACCCGGAACACGTGGATCGAGCCATTGTCTGAGGCTGCTGCGACGCTGTGCGTGTTTTCGATGAAGGACATGCACGTCACCTTGCCACCTAGATAACGGTCCAGAAGAGGGGTCAAAAGCAGGCGTTAGTCGGCTCCTTCGTACAGCCAGCGCCACCCGGATGTTGTATCGTTATCACAATACTCTTATTCTTACCGATGGAGTTGTAGGACATTCTCGCCCTGTTGGTGACATTCTTTTCCAGACGAGCAGTATCCCAGATCTTGACCGAGCCATCATCCGAGCAAGACACAAAAAAGTTGTGGTCGGGCGACACGCAGATCTGGTTTACAGCAGCCTTGTGTTCAGCTAGATGCGCCACCAAAACACCCTTGGGTCGCCATTGACTTCGGACCGTCTGCGAATTGTTCCGGTTGATACGGCGTTGCTCCGAAAGAGGGAGTACAGTTGGACCAAACTCATGCGTTGGCGATTGGAAGACCTTGAGGGTCTGGTGGACCAAGAGTTCAGCAAGGTTTCTCTTGCCGCCATCAACAGAATGATTAAATGCAGCCATCCCAAACGTGTCCGCTCCTCGTCCATCCACGCCGTGTAGTCCCGAATAAGAGTCGTCGAATTGAGCTTGCCAAGGAGGTGAGTTGGGTTTGGGCATGTCAACTCCCGATCCCGCAATCACGTCTTGAACAGTCCTCTCATTGGCTGGCAGCTCGATCGTACCCTGCGCGTTGGTCTCGCTCATGCTCGTCGCAGCAGCGGCCTTTCCAGTCTCTGACGTGACAGTGCTACCAGGAGTCAGCAAGATCCGTGTCCGTTTCGCATTCTTGTCAAGGACAATGTTGGACGTCATTGACCGCGCCCTGGGGTTATCAGGGCTGTTGGGAAACGAATGTGCAATGTTCTGGCCAAAGCTGGACGCCTGGAAGGAGCTAGGCGCCATTGAGGATGCAAAGGAGGCTGTGGATTGTCGGTCTTGGGCTGATTGCAGGTACAAGTTGGCCGCTGTGCTTCCTGATGCTGAAGGGTCGAAGGGGGTGCCATCGTAGATGGATGTGATAGAGCTGTCTTTGGTCCTGGTGGCGCTGAAGATGGTGCTCTCGCTGGATATCCGCGGCATGTTTCCCATAGTGCTGGACTTTACAACCTTTCTGTGGGGGTGGAGCAATGAATTGTCATACGCTTTCGTCTTGCTTATCTACTCGACACAAAGCGAAATGATGTTAGTACATTGAGCCTAGTTTCAACCGTAAGAACAACGTAGTAACGTTAAAACATACCCTTGGGTAAGCACGCGTTGAGCCAAAGTCCTTCTCGATGAGATCGGGCGAGAGGAAGACAGTAACTGGAGTGATGCCAATCTGCTGAAGGTCGACACTGCCGTCCTATGAAGTACAAAATGTCAAGGACAAAATTCCAAGCCTGTGAGCAACAGAAACGGACGCCAAAAAGCGATAGATACGAACAGGCAGCCTGATATGTACTTTGGTGACACCTGGAGGCTCATCGTCGCGTCCTTTGGGTCTAGCGTTTTGACGGGAACGAGAAATCTTCCAAATGTACTCCCTCATCGCAGTGAGCTTGTATTCGTCGTCTTGTGTCATTCCAATCGAACGAAGTTTGTCGAGGTACTTTTCATCTCTAGTGATAACAAATGCGTAGACGTCAATTCTTGCGTTCAAAATTTCAGTTTCAGGACATAAACTTGCAGTTAAACCAACGTACTCTGATGACTTGACAACCACGAACAGCGGCGTTGGCTCGTTGGCACGCCCCGATTGCAGATCCAGCGGAACAGTCAGAGAATGGCTCGAGGAAACAGAGACGGACCGCGTGGCAGCAGGCCGATCGCGAACTGGCCAGAATGACGTCCTGTTAGCCACAGCCGCCCACTGAATCGAGCTCTCAAAGACATTACGACTGAGAGGTGGCTTGACGTTCTCTCGCAAGTGAAGCTCATTGACCTCTCCAACATCTGACCGCATGAAGGGCCTGATGATAGGGTAAATCATGCACCAGATATCCGCGACTGGGAGGCGTTGAGATGTTGAAGCAATAAACCCAATGGCACCATAGCGGATCCAGAGGTTTGGGTGGCAAAGCAGAGGCGCGACAACTCCAACGAGATCCCAGATAGCCATTTTCTGGAACAGGCCCAAATCGCACAGACTGGCCAGTGACTTGAGCACCTTCTCCACCACAAATTCCTCCGAATCTGATTGAAATGAAACGACGATAAGTTATTACAGTACTCAGGTAGATGCACATATTCAAGGATAAGAGGAGTTGCACACGAGTCAAACGTTGGAATCTTACCAGTCAAGGCTTGGACCATGAGCGGCAAGATGTACTCTTCAAGACTACGGCCGCCTACAAATGTCCCGACGCCAACAATGCTTTCGAAGAACGCGCTATTTGAAACATAGAAAAAGAAACTTATGAGTATTGAGTGAAAGAAGTCCTAGCAATTTGTCCAATATCTGCAAGTTATATACCTGCGAAGCATCCAGTCACGTCCGTTGAGATATGTGATCATATGCGACAGAAGCACGTCGTCCACTCGTTGCTTGCCCAGGAAGATGCAGAGCGAAGTCATGTCTGAAAGCAAGGCTCGCTTAACACTGCTGTCTGGGTCAACCAACAGTATCCGAATTTGGTCCTCGATGGTCGCCTGGAGGTCGGATAGCGCTGAATCATAAGTTGCCTAGAATAAATGCAGATCTTGATGTTAGTACATGTCTTCTTGTTCCGGTGAGTATCCCCCAGTGAATTAAACTATTGCATAGAAGGCTACCTACTTCATATGGAGATCCTTCCACATCTCCATCTCCTTCGTTTCTAGTAAACGCTCCGTCGTTTTTAAGCAGCTGTAAGAACGAAAGTAGTAATGAGTTAGGTCGAGGCAAACACACAATAGCCCATGGACATTCACCAGCAAAAATCGGTCTGTTCGTCGGCACTAGCTTACTTGCGCGAGCTCGAGGTAGCGCATGGCAGTCTGGGCAAACTGGGCGATGCATCCAGCATAAGCCGATCTGACAAGCACCTCCTTGTCCAGAGGAAACGACTGCAATGCTGGCAGAATGTACTCCGGAAAAATCGTGACATTAATTACATCCAGCGTCTCGACCTCATCCAGCTACGCGGTTAAATGTGCAGGGCATAGAGTGTGGTTAGATATGTGAATGTCGCGATTTTGATAATGTAAACGAGACTGTCATAGGAACACGAAGTGCCTACCATTTTGGCTAGGGTCTTCACGGCATGGGCCTTCACTCGGGCCACATCGTCGCTCAAGCAAGAGACGATGTATGGCACGAGTCGATCCAGCTTGATGTCGTCTGCCACGTGTCTGCCGATAGACAACAGCATATCCAGAGCATTCATCCTGGAGGAGGGGTAGGCGGTATTTCTCATTGAAGAGCACAGTAAGGAGAGGAAGATGAGGGCTCCCTCGTCTAAGCAGAACGACGATATAAGATGTCATTGGTTAACTCCTTTCTTCATATCTTCAATGTGGACGCATGATCCAATGTTTCGCCATGCTCTAGAGGCACATACTTGGGGTATGTTGTGAGTCTTCTTTGCTGATAGCCTGTTTGTCCGCCACGGTCAATGTTGTCTATGAGAGAAAAGGAGCAATAACGATAGGTTAGCATCAGGATTCTTGTCTATGTATGCACCTTAGCAGAGACTTGACAAAAGTTGTTCTTACCAGACCCTTGGAGAGCGCGTCAACAGAACCTTCTAACAACATCAGGTAGATTCATATATCAGAGAATGCGTTAATATGATATCGAACATATTCTGTCTTCGCCTGATAGAGGAGGTACCCTTACCGGCATCGGAGCTGCTCGTCTCTGGAGACCTCTGCGGGTTCAGCCCCAGGAAGAACATGATCTTGTCAAAGTCGTGATGGATGCGCTCAATCTTTTCGTCCGCATCGGTTTTGATCCGCCGTGTTTGAAGTTCCTGAATGTTGGGAAAGATCGCGCTCTCGATAGCTCCAGCGTTGGACGACTCGCCTGCAGATTCAGTCACCGAGTGGATGTACTGGTGAAGAAATGTATAAAAGTACTTTGGAAATGCACGGTCCCTCCTATTGAGTCGATGCGATGACAAAGTGTGTGAGTGCTGCAATTCATTTCAAAATGTACTGCTTCCTGCTTGTAAGCGAGTCGGCTTACCACTCCGCCAAGTACTGGTCTGCACTGTATCTCTTTGAGGGATCCAACTGAATCATATGTCGGATCAAAGCCTAGAAGGACAATATAAAAATGTTAGTGCCATGGCAAACAAAAAGTCCACATGTGCAACTCAAAACATGGCGCTCTCATAGTACCTTGATATGGTCATCCTCGATCTTGTTGATGTAGGGCGTAGGATCGTACTCTCCACTGCGATATTTGAACATTTGCGAGAGTGAGAAGATCGGCGTGCCTTCCGAGAAGAGCTCCGCGATGACACATCTACCATTCAAAGGGAGAAAAACCGTTAGCTCTGCTTCTTCGTCACATCGATGTCCTTGTAATACGGATGTTTATTCTGTCCGTGAGCATACCCAATAGAAAAGATGTCCATGGCCGTTGTCAGTCCTGTAAAGATGTTGCCTGGATCCTCTGCTAGTTTTTGCTTTTCAGTGTCGACTCCTGGCTTGTAAAATCTCTCTGGAGCGAGGTAGCATGTTCTCCGCGATGAAGTGTCAAAGAAGAACGAAAAGTCTGCCGGGTTGTCCTATAGATATACGAGTTAACATGTCAGTGGCGTGATAAATGGGGCGTCCGGCATCATTCTATTACATTGCGGGCTGAGTGAGTTCTTACCTCGGGCAAGAAGGTTGGCTTGTATCCAGCAAAGTCACTCAGGTAAACCCAGTTCCATGAAGTCATTAGACAGTTCTCCGTCTTGATGTCGCCATGGTAAACCTACAATACACAATTGCATCCTGAGGTTAGCTGAGAATTGAGGCAGTCGTAACTCGTCTTGTGATACCAGCATCCATGACGCAGTCATCATCTTACGTTTCTGGCATGTGAATCCGCGAGGCCCTTTAGAAGCTGGTAGGTCACCCACTTTTTCTCAATAAGGTTCATGAAAGGTCGAGTACTATTGTAAGGCGAAGGCGCAAGGACAAGCACGATCAGAATAATGTAGGTGAGAATTATATAGTAGCAGAATGTTAGTGTAGAGAGGGCCAGCTCCGTACCTGATGCGGTCGTAAAGACTGCTGAAGAAGTATTGGCGGATCAAGTATCCAGCTCGGTCAGTCTCCAGAACCTTTTGGAACGCAATGGCATTGGGGACATCGGAGAGGATGTCGCGTTCCTCTATTGCATGAGGAGTGAGCAATTGACTGTTAAATATATGTACGCGATCGAAAGTACGCCGTCGTTGTTGGTTCAATTGGCGGGTTTGTGCAAGTGAGGTCTACCGTTGAGTTTCCTGGCTATCCGTTTGAGTGAATATCCTGATTCAGGCTTGACGAATATTTTGACAACAACAGTTCCGTCTCTCTGGCGGCCTCTGATAGTCTTCATGAACCTGGCGCTCCCTAGACTATGGTAGGTAGACGGACAAAAGTCAGGCATGTTAGAACGAAAGTTTGACTGTATTACATGGTATGGCCAAAGTAACAGTGGAGAAGGCCTGCTTGCCTTTTGTCATAGTGGATATCTCCTAGTTCGCTCACGTAGGAGTCTATGCCAGCAGTCGCGGCAGATGGTGTGACGGTTGAGACTGAGTTTCCCATGGTGTTAACGAAGCGTAGTTAAGAGAGTCTTGTTGTCATGCAAGGTTCTTTTTGTTGACTGTATTGTGTAATGTGAAGGAAGGTGTGTTGGTTCAAGAAGAGCAAAAGTAAAAGGCAGAGGTGTAAGGAATGTGTGTGGAGTGGAGAGAGAGGGGGAGACAGAGAGAGAGGGAGAGGGAGAGAGGTGTGCTGAGCAACAGCAGGCAGTCTGGCAGGCAGACCCTTTTTTCGAGTCACGTGCGGCTTTGGACTGGAACTTGCACATAGCTAAAAACGTGGGTTCATCATCTTTTCCATCCTTCAGTTCTCTCCTCTTCCATCACTTTTTCTTTTTTTCATTTTTATCACGGCTGGACACACTCACACACCTACACAAGCAAGCAGGTTCAAACAAACAAACATACCCCTGAACCCGCCCGTCTTGTAAACCATCTTCACTTTCCAGTCGATTTTTTTACTTTTTTTTTTTTTTTTTTTTTTTGTTTTTATTGGGAGCAGCACACAACAGCAACTTCCTCCCATCCAACCTTAGCCATCAGAGCAACCCCCCCAGGAACAACTGCTGCTGCAGTCGTAGGATGTTGCAAATGGACGAGGACCTTGGTCTTCAGAGTACCGATGTCGGTGTCAGCGCCGACGTCGCGGTCGACATTGACGTTATGAAGATTTACCTCGAAAAGCTGCTGGTGGTTCTCCTCGGAGCAGACCAGTCAGACCTCAACGCCTCCCTCTTCTCTTTCCCCGACTCGACCGAACGCCTCCGGCGGTTTGCGATCGATGTCCAAACACCAGCGCTCTATATCCTCAAGGAGACTGACTCGAACGATGGCTGTAAGTCTTGTTTTATTGATTTCAAGCACACATGTCAATGGCTGTTTGATATGAGATTGACCGAGGATAAAAAGGCGCTCGAAGAAGAAGAAGGACGAAGGACGAAGGACGGAGTAAAATGTTGTTGTTAGTCGAGTTGATTTATTCAGGGACAAAAAATGGGACGGCAAGACAAATGGCTGTCTCATGACCCTTCCTTCTTGAATATTGCTCCCCTCCTTGGCATGATACATGCTCCCCCCAACACCCCAACACACGAACAACAACATGCCAATGCAAACAAAACACTTTCAAACAAGCAAAAAGAAACAACGCTAGTTCAAACCAGCTGCTGACATGTGCCTTTCTTTTTATTATTCTTTCCTCGCACGCACGCATGCACGCACACACGATTTCACACAAAAACACATTTGATGCTCAATAGCAAACGCCTCGCAAGTCTTCTCCTACTCCGTCAGCCATGAATTGACATACCACGCCAATCATGTCGGCTCTATCGCCTTGATCAAGCGTGGGCCTACCATCGACACCTCTCGCCCTCTCCAGACTCAGGTTCAGTTCATCAACCTGCCTGGTCCTGCTGCCAACGAGTCTGGTCTTGGTCTGGCCAGTCCCTATGAGGCCCTTCATTCCTACATCCACTACGCCGTCAGTCCCTACTTCAATGCCTATGTGAGCACAAAGTCTGGCTCCGAAGGTGGAATCTCAAACAAGCGGCCTGATGATAAGGATGGCAAGATGGGTAAGTCAACCACCCTAGTTGTAGCTTTTAAGCAGTGGTCTGATTGCAAAGTGTGCTGAGTATTGATTGGACTCTCATCGTCTGTCATTGATTCACATAGGTATCCCCATGGCCAAGAAGAAGATTGCCGAGCTCGAGCTCTCTCTTTTGCATCTGCAACAGAACGTGGAAATCCCAGAGATCTCTTTGAACATCCACCCTGTCGTGCAACGTGCAATTGATGAGGTATGAGCATTCTTATTTCGTTTCTTGTTTCATGCTCAACTTTTGTTCTGGCGTATTTGTGCATGCACTTATAAACAACGCACAACGTTCTTCTACGATAGTGTCGCGAGGAGGGTCGTCGAGTGACGGTCGATGCACTGGACTCGTCGTACTTTTTGGATTCGACCTTCTTGAACAAGTTGCAGGGAGATGTCAACGGATGGATCAAGGAGATTCAAAAGGTCACCAAACTCTCGAGAGACCCCGCTTCGGGAACTGCCATCCAGGAGATCAACTTTTGGTTGAGCATGGAGCGTGCCCTGGAAAAGATCGATGAGCAGCTAAAGAGCGACCAAATTGGTGAGGGAGAGCACCATCTCATTTTTTTATTAGGAGAGGCGTACGAGTGCACGAGGACTTGAAGGCACAGTCGACTCAAACTAACCATTTCGTATCTTCTTCTATCATACAGTTCTTACCCTCGACATCCTCAAACATGCTAAGCGTTTCCACGCAACAGTCAGCTTCATCGCCGACACCGGCCTCAAGGAGGGCACAGAGAAGGGTAAGTGTTCCTATTCTCACATTTCAGATGACCATTATCTTTTTTGAAAGAGATCACCATTCCTCATCCACTAACATGCTATATGTAAAAAATATTCGCTTTGCAGTGCACAAGTACAACCAGCTCATGAAGGACTTCCCCCTGAACGAGCTGTTGTCGGCAACCGACGCCATCAAGGTCCGCGATTCGCTGCTTCTCATCTTTGGACATCTCAACAAGAAGCTTAAGCTCTCGTAAGTCCTATCACAGTACCCTAAAGGTTCTTTAGGCGTTCACTACGTTGTACTCGTTTCATCTTTTAACAGACGTCCTTTGACCCCTCATTAGGCCTTACCCTATCCGCCGAGCATTGCCTTTGGTGGAAGCTATTTCGAGGGACTTGAACGAGCAGTTGTTGAGGGTTCTGGGAAGCAGACGTCTGATGTACATGGACTATGACGACTTTGAGAAGGCAACCGCAGGAGCAGTAGAGGTCTTCAAGACCTGGGACGACCTCATCAAGGAGTTCACATACGTCGCTCGTGATGTCATCCACAAGCGCTCGGAAAAGTTCCTCCCTATCAAGATCAACCCCGCTCATGCCAAGCTTCAGGAACGCGTCGGCTTTGTTCGCAACTTCAGGAAGCAGCACGAACAACTTCACCAAACCATCCTCAAGGTCATGACCAAGCCCAGCGGCCTTTCGGCATCTAGAGCTGCCTTGGAGATTGAGGAGTCGGAGAGCGTCAGTCTCAGCGATGTCAACGCTGTCGAGGAGGTCAACCTTGCCTACGACAGTGTCAAGAACGTCGAAGTCTTGGACGTCTCTCACGAAGGAACAGAGATTTGGCTGACTGCAGAGGTCTCCTACAACGAGCGTGTCTCCAGAGTCGAAAACCAGATCATTGCTCGCCTTCGCGACAGACTCGGAATCGCCAAAAACGCCAATGAGATGTTCCGTGTGTTCTCCAAGTTCAACGCACTCTTCGTCCGTCCCAAGATTCGTGGCGCTATTCAGGAGTACCAGACTCAGCTGATCGACAAGGTCAAGGACGACATCAAAAAGCTGCATGACAAGTTCAAGATGCAGTATCGTCACTCCGATGCCTTCTACATGTCGCAGCTTCGCGATCTCCCTCCTATCTCTGGACACATCATTTGGGCCCGTCAGATTGAGCGCCAGCTCTCAACATACATGAAGCGAGTGGAGGATGTCCTCGGCAAGGGTTGGGAGTTGTATGCAGAGGGTCAAAAGTTGCAGAGCGAGAGCAGCAGTTTCAAGAAGAAGCTGGATACAAGGCCTATTTACGAGGCATGGTTCGCCGAGATCACTCGTCGCGAACTCACTGTCTCGGGACCTCTGTTCGAGATTACCCGCAACCGTGCCCAGGGTAACGTCCTGCAACTCGGTGTCAACTTTGACGCGCAGATCATCACACTTTTTAAGGAGGTCCGCAACCTGCTGTGGCTCAAGTACCAAGTTCCCCACCAGGTCAGCATCATCGCCAAGGACGCCAAGCGAGTTTACCCCATCGCCGTCAGCCTCATGGAGACCATCCGCACCTACAGTCAAATGGTCAACAAGGTCCAGCGTCACGGAGAGATTGCAACTCTCGTTGCTGGATACAGGAATGACGCACAGAAGATGGTCTCCAAGGGTGTGAGCCTTCGTTGGGAACATTTCGCCAACACTTACGGCAGCGTCACTTCCTACATTAACCCTGGAAGTGCTGCCGACGCTCGCGAGAACCGCCATATCGTCTTTGTGCGCGAGTTCGCCTCAGTGGTGTCGATCTTCCAGGACAAAGTGGATTCCCTCATCTCCATCTACGACGACATCATCAAGTTGATCGATGAGCTTCCTGTCTGCTCCTTTGTGCACACGACCTTCTCTAGCATCATTTTGCGCATTCAGAAGCTGGTAAGTTTTTCTATTTTGTTTGTTTTTCCCACTGCGTTTTGTTGACAGCGATTTTTTTTGCTTACTTTTTTTTTTTTACGATTGCTTCTGGATAACCATAGATCGACCGACTTAACTTGGAATCGTACTCAAACTTGGATCAATGGGTCTCGCAACTGGACGCCAAGGTGGAGGCTTTGCTTGTCGGTCGCCTGCAGCAGGCCATCAAGGCCTGGATGCTCGAGTACCAGCGGGATGACCACGAGGAAGGCTTGGTCGATATTCGCGATTCTGCTGCTCATGGAAAGAACAGGAAGCGTCGTACCAACCGTGAGGCTGAGAGGGCTTCTGCATTGACCAAGGCAAACGAGATCAAGCCTACCCTCAAGGTCCTTATCCACGAGATCCGCATCAAGAATCAGGTCATGTACCTCGATCCTCCAGTTGAGCAGGCCCGTGTTAGCTGGTACAGCCAGCTCCATGAGTGGCTCTCTGTCGTTTGCACCTTGACCAGGATCCAGAGTTCTAGATACGAGATTGATTTGGCTGTCCAGGACAATGCCGGAGATCTGACCTACTCTGACTTGGTAAGCGGCCCATGCCTCTCTGAATCGTTCGGCTAATTTCTTTAAATGACCTCAACTTCTAACCTGCTCATACTTTTACCCTCAATGTATTGTCATTTAATAGCTCACAAAGATCCCTGACGACTCTCTCCCCAAGGCTTATGAAGTGATCGAGGCCAAGGTATCCCAGGTCAAGGACTATGTTGACATCTGGTTGCAGTACCAGTCTCTTTGGGATCTCGAATCTCAGTACATCTTCACTCTCCTGGGTGATGATTTGGCGAAGTGGCAGCAGCTTTTGTTGGAGATCAAGAAGGCCCGTACCACTTTTGACAATTCGGAGACTGAACAGTCGTTCGGCCCTGTCGTGATTGACTACGAGCAGGTCCAGTCCAAGGTCAACGCCAAGTATGATTCATGGCAACGCGAGGTCTTGAACCGATTCGGTAACATGCTCGGCACATCCATGAAGGAGTTCCACAGCTCTGTTTCCAAGGCTCGTTATGATTTAGAGTTGCACTCGGTCGACAGCCATTCGACTGGAGAGGCTGTTACCTTCATCACCTTTGTCCAGGATCTCAAGCGCAAGGTCGCCAAGTGGGAGAATGACGTGGATTTGTTCCGTCAGGGTCAAAAGACTTTGGAGCGCCAGCGTTACCAGTTCCCCAACGACTGGCTCTACTGTGATCAGATTGACGGAGAATGGAGCGCCTTCAACGAGATTTTGAGCCGCAAGAACAACGCCATCCAGGACCAGATTGGTAAGGAGCTTGCACCATCCGTTTTACTTGGTATCACTGGAGTTGTTTGTACAAGGCAGGGCAAGTTTTACTAACATGTCTTCCTTCATTTGATTCTGATAGCTGGACTGCAGATGAAGATTGTGACTGAGGACAAGGCGGTCGAGCAGAAGATCTCAGAGATTTTACTGGACTGGGAGAAGAACAAGCCTGTTCAGGGCAACATCAAGCCTGACATTGCCACCAACACCCTCAGTATCTTCGAAGGCCGAGTCACCAGGGTCAAGGACGAGTTCGATATGGTCTGTCGCGCCAAGGAGGCTCTTGATCTTGACCTGTCCGCAGATAACCGCCTGGAGCCTGTTCTGGAAGAGTTGCGCGACTTGAAGTCTGTCTGGAGCTCGCTGGCAAAGATCTGGCAGTCCATCTTCGAGATCAAGGATACCCTCTGGTCTACCGTTGTTCCTCGCAAGATCAGGACCCAGCTTGATACTCTTATGAACTCGACCAAGGACATGCCCAACCGTATGCGTCAGTATGCTGCTTTCGAGTACGTCCAGGAGTCCCTTCGCTTGTACCTCAAGGTGAACCCCCTGTTGACTGATCTCAAGTCGGAGGCTCTTCGTGAGCGTCACTGGCGTCAGTTGTTCAAGGCCCTTCGTGTTGAAGGCAGACTGACGCTGTCCGAGATGACCGTCGGTAACATCTGGGACCTAGATCTCAAGCGTAATGAGAGTCTTGTCCGCGACATCATCGTTGTTGCCCAGGGAGAGATGGCCCTGGAGGAGTTCTTGAAGCAGGTGCGCGAAACCTGGACCAACTATGTCCTAGATTTGGTCAACTACCAGAACAAGTGCCGTCTGATCCGCGGGTGGGACGATCTCTTCACCAAATGCAGCGAGAACATCAACTTCTTGTCCGCCATGAAGCTGTCGCCCTATTACAAGGTCTTTGAGGAGGAGGCTGCTGGCTGGGAGGAGAAGTTGAACCGCATCCACGTTCTCTTTGACGTCTGGATAGATGTGCAGCGCCAGTGGGTATACCTCGAGGGAATCTTCACGGGAAGCCACGACATCAAGCATCTGCTGCCCGTCGAGACGTCGCGTTTCCAGAACATCAACTCGGAGTTCTTGACGGTCATGAAGAAGGTCTACAAGTCGCCCTTTGTCCTTGATGTCCTCAACATTGCCAATATCCAAAAGTCACTCGAGAGATTGGCAGATCTGTTGGGCAAGATCCAGAAGGCTTTGGGAGAGTACCTGGAGAGGGAGCGTTCGTCCTTCCCTCGCTTCTACTTCGTCGGAGACGAGGACTTGCTGGAGATTATCGGTAACAGCAAGGACGTCGTCCGCATCCAGAAGCACTTCAAGAAGATGTTTGCCGGTATCAACAGCATTATTCTGAACGAAGACATGACGTCTGTTCTCGGTATGTCCTCGAAGGAGGGCGAGAATGTCATGTTCAAGACTCCAGTCTCGATCAAGGACAACCCAAGAATCAACGACTGGCTGACCCTCATCGAGAAGGAGATGCGCATGTCCCTTGCCCAGATCCTCGCCGAGTCGCTGCAGGAGATGAACTTCTTCTACCTTGCAGAGACCCTAGAGCCTACTGCCTTCCTCGAGTGGATCGACAAAATTCCCGACCAGCTGGTTGTTCTGACCTCTCAGATCGTGTGGACCACATCCGTTGAGCGCGCCCTGTCAACCATGTCCGACACTGGCGATTCGTCCGAGCAGCCAATGCAGCGTGCCCTGGACTATGTTCAGCGTGCCCTCAACGTCCTGGCTGACACTGTTCTGCAGGATCTTGTACCTATTCAGCGCAAGAAGTGTGAGCATTTGATTACCGACCTGGTCCACCAGCGCGATGTCATCCGCGCCCTCATCCGCAGTCGTGTCTCATCCACCAAGGACTTTGCCTGGTTGTCCCAGATGAGGTTCTACTTCAACGCGAGCCACGAGGATCCCTTGCAGTGCTTGACTATCAGCATGGCCAATGCATCGTTCTTCTACGGTTACGAGTACTTTGGAGTCACTGAGCGCCTCGTCCAAACCCCGCTTACGGATCGCTGTTACCTCACCCTCACGCAGGCTTTGGAGTCTCGTCTGGGTGGTTCACCGTTCGGTCCTGCCGGTACTGGAAAGACAGAGTCTGTCAAGGCTTTGGGTATCCAGCTTGGCCGATTCGTCCTTGTCTTTTGCTGTGACGAGAACTTTGATTTCCAGGCCATGGGTCGTATCTTCATTGGTCTCTCCCAGGTCGGTGCATGGGGATGCTTCGACGAGTTCAACCGTCTGGAGGAGAGAATCTTGTCTGCCGTCTCCCAGCAGGTTCAGACCATTCAGCTGGGTCTCAAGGAAGCCAAGACGGATCCTAACCACGAGATTGAGCTGGTTGGCAAGAGCGTGCGTGTCAACACCAGCACTGGTATCTTCATCACCATGAACCCTGGATATGCTGGACGATCCAACTTGCCCGATAACCTCAAGAAGCTGTTCCGCAGCATCGCCATGACCAAGCCCGACAGGGAACTGATTGCTCAGGTCATGTTATCGTCCCAAGGATTCCGAACTGCGGAGACACTGGCTTCCAAGGTCATCCCTCTTTTCAACCTCTGCGACGAGAAGTTGTCTCCTCAGTCGCATTACGACTTTGGTCTGCGTGCTCTCAAGAGTGTCTTGGTCAGTGCCGGTAACATGAAGCGTGATCGTCTCCAAGAGCTTCGCACCAACAACCCCGAGAACATCATGGCGGAGTTTGAGCGCATCTCAGAAAGTGTTCCTGAGCAGGAAATTCTCATCCAGAGTATCCGCGAGACTGTTGTGCCCAAACTGGTCGCCGATGATATTAACATCTTAATGGGGTAAGTCGCACCTTTTGCGTACGCTTGTGTTGTACAGATTAAGTATTTTAGTGATGTTTGTTCGTCGTATTAACTGTAGGTATTTTTTTTGTCATGCTGTATAGTCTTCTCAAGGATGTGTTCCCAGGAGTTGATTATGTTCCCGTCAGCTTGCAGCCTTTGCGTGCCGCCATCAAGGACATCTGCACCAAGCGTCGCTTGGTGGTTGGCGACCTCTGGCTCGAGAAGATCCTCCAGCTGTACCAGATTCAGCGTATCCATCACGGTTTGATGATGGTTGGTCCTTCTGGAAGCGGCAAGTCCAATGCGTGGCAGGTCTTACTCAGCGCCTTGGAGGCTGTCGAGGGTGTTGAGGGTCAATCGTATGTGATTGATCCTAAGGCCATGTCCAAGGAAGCGTTGTACGGTGTTCTCGATCCTACCACTCGTGAGTGGACCGACGGTCTCTTTACCAACATTCTTCGTAAGATCGTCGACGACGTTCGTGGCGAGAGCGCCAAGCGTCACTGGATCATTTTTGACGGTGATGTCGATCCCGAGTGGGTTGAGAACTTGAACAGGTACGTCGCCCCTCATCGTCAATATCGCTCATTGCATGGTATTATTGCTCTTCAAGTGTACTAACTGACCAATGATGCTGTTTTCTCTCTGTCTTGTAGTGTTCTCGATGATAACAAGTTGTTGACTTTGCCTAATGGTGAGCGTCTGAGCTTGCCACCCAATGTCCGCATCATGTTCGAAGTCGACACCTTGAAGTATGCCACCCTTGCTACCGTCAGTCGCTGCGGTATGGTCTGGTACAGTAGCGAGGTCATTGATCGCACGATGATCTTCGCGAACTACTTCGAGACCCTCCGCAATGTGCCCTTGGATGAGGCCGACGAGGAGGTCACTGTCCGTCGCGTCGAGACCGAGGAGAACAGAGCTGCATCGCCAATTCTTCTCACCCAGCAGGCCTGTGCTGACGCCCTTGTGCCCCACTTCGCCGAGGACGGACTCATCCCAAGAGCCTTGGAGTATGCCGCCACCCTCGACCATATCATGGACTTCACCACCATGCGTGTTCTGTCGACGCTCTTCTCGCTCCTCAACAAGAGTGTCCGCAACGTCATCCAGTACAATAGCCAGCACTCTGACTTCCCTATGGGCCCTGAGCAAATCGAGGGCTACATTTCCAAGCGCCTCGTCTTCTCGACCATCTGGAGTTTTGCCGGAGACTGCAAGTTGGAGATTCGCACCCGTCTCAGCGATTTCGTCAGAGGCATTACCACCATCGATTTGCCCGAGATTGCCCACATGTCGATTATCGACTTTGATGTCAACATCAACTCGGGCGGATGGGTCCCATGGCAGGCCAAGGTCCCCGTTATCGAGATCGAGACCCATACTGTCGCCGAGGCCGATGTGGTCATTCCTACCGTCGACACTGTTCGCCACGAGGAGGTCCTTTACTCGTGGCTCTCGGAGCACAAGCCCTTGATTCTTTGCGGTCCTCCCGGCTCGGGAAAGACCATGACCTTGTTCAGTGCCCTGCGCAAGCTCCCCGAGATGGAGGTCGTCGGCCTCAATTTCTCGAGTGCCACTACTCCCGAGTTGATCCTCAAAACTCTCGAGCAGTACTGCGAGTACCGCAAGACTCCCAACGGTGTGTTGCTGTCTCCCATCTTGTTGGGTCGCTGGTTGGTCGTCTTCTGCGATGAGATCAATCTGCCTTCCATTGACAAGTACGGTACCCAGCGTGTCATTTCGTTCATGCGTCAGCTGGTCGAGTGCGGTGGATTCTGGAGAACCACCGACAAGTCCTGGGTCAAGCTGGAGCGCATCCAGTTTGTTGGTGCCTGTAACCCTCCCACCGATCCTGGCCGTATCCCTCTTACCCATCGTTTCCTTCGTCACGTTCCCCTCGTCATGGTCGACTATCCCGGAGAGATCTCCCTCAAGCAGATTTACAGCACTTTCTGCCGTGCTATGCTCAAGGTTGTTCCTTCCCTGCGCGCTTACTCTGAACCACTTACTGCTGCTATGGTCGAACTGTACCTCAGCTCCCAGTCGCACTTTGTTCCCGAGATGCAAGCCCATTACATTTACTCTCCCCGTGAGTTGACCCGCTGGATGCGCGGTATCTTTGAGGCGATCAAGCCTATGGAAACTCTCAGTGTCGAAGGACTGGTCCGCATCTGGGCTCACGAGGCACTCCGTCTCTTCCAGGATCGTCTTGTTGCCGAGGACGAGCGCAAGTGGACTGACGACGAGATTGACCGTATCGCGTTGAAGCACTTCCCCGGACTCGACCGCGAGGCGGCTTTGGGCAGACCCATCTTGTACTCGAACTGGTTGTCCAAGTACTACGTCCCTGTCGACCGCGAGGAGCTCCGTGAATATGCCAAGGCTCGTCTCCGAGTCTTCTACGAGGAGGAGCTCGATGTTCAATTGGCGCTTTTCAACGACGTCTTGGATCATGTCTTGCGTATTGATCGTGTTTTCCGACAGATGCAAGGTCATATGCTGTTGATCGGAGTCAGTGGAAGTGGAAAGACAACCTTGTCTCGTTTCGTTGCCTGGATGAATGGTCTGAGCGTCTTCCAGATCAAGGTCCACAACAAGTACACTGCTGCCGATTTCGAAGAGGATCTCCGAACTGTTCTTCGTCGCTCTGGTTGTAAGGGCGAGAAGGTGTGCTTCATTCTGGATGAGTCCAACGTCCTCGATTCTGGATTCCTGGAGAGAATGAACACCTTGCTTGCTAACGCCGAGGTCCCCGGTTTGTTCGAAGGTGACGAGTATGCTTCCTTGATGACTCAGTGCAAGGAGGGTGCCCAGCGCGACGGTTTGATGTTGGACTCGAGCGAGGAGCTTTACAAGTGGTTCACTCAGCAGGTCATGAAGAACCTCCACGTCGTCTTCACGATGAACCCGCCTGAGGGAGGACTTGCCTCTCGTGCCGCAACTTCGCCTGCCTTGTTCAACCGTTGTGTGCTCGACTGGTTCGGAGACTGGTCCGATCAAGCTTTCTTCCAGGTTGGACAAGAGTTCACCACCAGCTTGGATCTCGATCGCCCCAACTACAACCCACCTCATAAGTTCCCTGTGGTTTACCGCAACCTTCCCGCCGTCCCCTCCCATCGCCATGCTATTGTCAACGCCTTCGTCTACGTCCACCAGTCACTCTACGAGATCAACGCCAAGCTCAGCAAGCGTACCGGAAAGCGTGGTTATGTCACTCCACGTCACTACCTCGACTTTATTCGCCACTATGTCCGCTTGTATAACGAGAAGCGCGAGGATCTGGAGGAGCAGCAGCGCCATTTGAACGTTGGTTTGGACAAGCTCAAGGATACCGTCGTCAAGGTCGAGGAGCTCCGAAAGAGTCTGGCGATCAAGAAGAGCGAGCTCGAAGTGAAGAACCGTCAAGCAAACGAGAAGCTACAGAAGATGGTTGCCGATCAACAGGAGGCCGAGAAAAAGAAGGCCACGTCTATCGAGATCCAGGCTGCTTTGGAGATTCAGAACGGCGAGATTGCCAGCCGTACAGCCGTCGTCATGGCCGATCTTGCAAACGCGGAGCCCGCTGTAATGGAAGCCCAGAAGGCTGTCACGGATATCAAGAAGGCCCAGCTGACAGAAGTCCGTGTCATGAGTAATCCTCCCGAAGCCGTCAAGATGGCCATGGAATCTGTCTGCACCCTTCTCGGCCACCGCATGGAGGGCTGGAAGTCTGTCCAGGCTATCATTCGTCGCGAGGATTTCATCTCTAGCATTGTCCACTATGACACCGACCGCAACATGACCCCCTATATGCGCGAGAAGATGAAGGCCGAGTTCCTCAACATGCCCAACTACAACTTTGAGTCGGTTAACCGTGCAAGTAAGGCCTGCGGACCCTTGGTCAAGTGGGTTATTGCCCAGGTCAACTACTCTGAGATTCTGGACAGGATCGGACCCCTTCGTCAGGAGGTTCAGGAGCTCGAGTCAAGTGCCCAAATGACCGTCTTGAAGGCGTCGAGTATCGAGAAGATGATTGTGGAGTTGGAGAACAGTATCGGTACCTACAAGGAGGAGTATGCCGTTCTTATTTCAGAGGTTGGATCTATCAAGAGTGAGATGGAACGTGTCAAGTCAAAGGTCGACCGCAGTGTCACTCTTCTCGAGTCACTCTCGTCCGAGAGAGTTCGTTGGGAGGCCGGAAGCCATTCGTTCGATACTCAGATGGCTACCACCGTCGGAGATGTCCTCTTGTCTTCGGCTTTCCTTGCCTATGGTGGTTACTTTGACCAGCAGTATCGTGAGATCCTGTTCCACAAGTGGGCCGACCATCTCGCCAAGGCTGGCATCCAGTACAAGGCCGATATTTCGCTTGCCGAGTACCTTTCGACAGCCGACGATCGTCTGTCTTGGACCGAGCACTCCCTCCCTGCGGATGATCTCTGTGTGGAGAACGCTATTATCTTGGAACGCTTCAACAGATATCCTCTCATCATTGATCCTTCAGGACAGGCGACTACGTTCTTGATGAATGAGTACAAGGATCGCAAGATTACCGTCACCAGTTTCTTGGATGACTCTTTCCTCAAGAACCTGGAGAGTGCCCTCCGTTTTGGTAACCCTCTGTTGATTCAGGATGTCGAGCACCTGGACCCCATCATGAACCCCGTCCTGAACAAAGAGCTCCGTCGCACCGGTGGTCGTGTCCTGATCCGTCTCGGCAACCAGGACATTGATTTCTCGCCCGCATTCACGTTGTTCCTGTCGACCAGAGATCCTTCCGTCAACTTCCCTCCAGATGTGTGCTCTCGCGTCTCGTTCGTCAACTTCACGGTCACCAGGAGCAGTCTCCAGAGTCAGTGCTTGAGCAAGGTGCTCAAGGCCGAGCGTCCCGATGTTGATCGCCGCCGTGCTGATCTTATCAAGCTGCAGGGAGAGTTCAAGGTCAAGCTGCGTCACCTTGAGAAGTCGTTGCTTCAGGCGCTGAACGAGTCCAAGGGCAACATTTTGGACGACGACAAGGTCATTGGAACTTTGGAAACATTGAAGCGTGAGGCCGCAGATGTCACACGCAAGGTTGAGGAAACGGATGGCGTTATGCAGGACGTCGAACAGACGACTGCCATCTACACTCCCTTGGCTCACTCTTGCAGTTCGATCTTCTTTGTCATGGAGCAGTTGAACCGCCTGCACCATTTCTACCAGTTCTCACTCGACTTTTTCTCTGACATCTTCAACTTTGTGCTGCACGACAACCCTGCGCTCAACGGCATCAAGGATCATGGACAGCGTCTTGACATTCTCACCCGTGACCTCTTCAGTGTGTCATACAGGAGAGCCAGCCGCGCCTTGTTGCATGACGACCACATCTCCTTTGCGATGTTGTTGACTCAGATCAAGGTCCGTGGAACCCCTTCGCAGGCTGACGAGTCCGAGTACGACTTCCTGTTGAGCCCTGACTCCAACCCCACTGGCGAGATCACTGCCGCTTTGACTGAAGAACAGAGAGTTTCCAGGATGCACGACTTTTCCAAGTTGGTTGCTTTCAAGGGCATGCCTGACCATATTAGCAACAACCCTGAAGTGTGGTCCAAATTCTGGAGCGACTCTCGTGCCGAAGCCCACGTTCCAATCTTCTGGAAGACTTCTGAGGCCGATGGTAAGGGTTTTTGCTTGAAGGCTATTTTCAATCTTTTCAGACACTGTTCTACTGCAGCAGTAATTCCGGAGACAAAATGTACTAATGATGTACTCTTTATATCCTTACAAAATAGCTATCAACGAGTTCAAGAAGTTGTTGGTGATCAAGTGCTTCCGTCCTGACCGTATCTTGGCAGCGACGTCCAAGTATGTCGACCATGTCTTCATGCCCAATTTTGCCAGCTCGGCCGAGTTGGATCTCACAAAGTTGGTTCAGGAGGAAGTCAAGGCATCGACCCCCATCTCGCTCTGCGCCGTCCCCGGACACGACGCCGCCTACCGTGTCGACAACTTGGCTCAGGAGCAAGGAGTTCGTCTGGCATCAATTGCCATGGGATCTCAGGAAGGTATCAGTTTGGCTGACCAGGCGATTGCGTCGGCCACCAAGACTGGAAACTGGGTCCTGCTGAAGAACGTCCACCTCGCCATCTCATGGCTCGGTCAGCTCGACAAGCGTCTCCATAGCTTGAAGGCGCACCCTAACTTCAGGCTGTTCCTGACCATGGAGACCAACCCCAAGGTTCCCGTCAACTTGCTCCGTCTCTCGCGTGTCCTCATGTTTGAGCCCCAGCCCGGTATTAAGGCCAACTTGCAGGAATCTCTCCGAGGCATCCCCTTGGCCCGTCTCAACAAGGGCCCCTCCGAGCGCGCCCGTCTCTTCTTTATGGTCGCTTGGTTGCATGCGGTTGTCTTGGAGCGTCTTCGCTATGTGCCTCTTGGATGGACCAAGGCTTATGAGTTCAACGACTCGGATCAGGATTGCGCGTTGAGCACGATCGATATCTGGCTGGACACTGTCGGCCTGGGTCGTGCCAACGTCTCGCCCGACCGCATTCCTTGGGACGCCATCCGCACATTGTTGAGCCAGTCGGTGTATGGTGGTCGTGTCGACAGCGATGTCGATCAGCAACTGCTCGAGAGCTTTGTCAACTCGTTCTTCAGATCCGAGTGCTATGACTTGAACTTTAAGCTGGTCGAGTCGAGTGCTGATGATGAGGCCGGATTGGTCGCTCCCGAGGGTACCAAGATGTCCCAGTTCCTCGATTGGGTCAGCGAGTTGCCCGAGCGTGAGCCTCCTACCTGGTTGCGCCTCCCTGCCACTGCTGAGCGCGTCCTTTCTACTCATAAGGGTAAGTCTTTGAATCCAAATATTGATGGTGTTACAATCGTGTTTCATGTGTTTCAAACAGGGGTTCCGTTCTCTCTTGAACAATATGAGCTGACCTTTTTTCCTTTGTTCATTTTGTTCATTTTCTTTTTCCTAGCTATTACTATGTTGTCGAAGGTCAAGAAGATCAAGAGTCTCGTTGACGACGACGATGACGATGTTTGAAGATGATACAGAAGAAGAGGAGTTTATGATGACTTTTAAGCGAACGTATATTAATGAAAACCTGCAAGTAGTAGTAAAAAAAAAAAAAAAAGAAAGAAATAGCAATATCAAGTAAAGAGAAAGAAGTTTTTTATCCTGACATGGTCATTGTAGCAAATTCCAGGTTGTGTTCTTTTTTGTGTATTTTTGTGAACATCAAAAGTAAGTAAAGCTGTGAAGCAGCCGTTGAGAGGCAGAGAGAAACTCCACATCACCCATTGATTCGTACTCTACTTCTTCTTGACAGCTGTCGTCTTCTTGGTGGTGAATCCAGTTGAAACAGCCTAAACACAATTATTCATCCACCAAAACCATGTTAATATCGATCATCTAAACATCCACCGCTCCACTTGTACACATAAAGCCTGCCCTTATCAATGAACTATACATACCCTGCGCATCAAGCCAAGATCATCCAGTGCATCGGCATCGACGGCAAGCCATTTGGCGGCAGGCGGCTGACTAGCCTTCTTCTTGGAGTTCTTGGCTCCAACATCATTGTCTGCTCCGCGCTTCCTGAGCTTGCGGGTCTGGTGAGCTCGTGATGTCGGCTCCAGAGCAAAGTCTACAAAATATTTAGCAAAAATGTTACATGCATGTGAGTTGGAGAGTTCCTATCAAGCGTCGATATGGAAGCAATAGACAATTGCAGGCAAGCCCAAAAAAAGTTCAGAGATTCATGAATCTCTTACCATTTGTGATGTCGAGGTTCTCCTTGTCGTCTCTCAAAGCTCGTCGCTTGCTGTCAATGACCGCTAACATCTTCTCCCTCAGACCCTCGCGTTCGTTCTACAAGTATCATAGTTGAAGAAGTAGTAGCAGTGGTTAAAATACAGTTTGTGTCATAGAAACGCCTTCAATCACACATCGTTTACACAAACGATAAGAAAAAGGTCGCGCTAATTGACGACTCACCATATATTCCTCCTCTGCCATTTCCGTCTCCAGTTCGTATGCCCCCTGTGCGCATTCAAATTGGTAGTCCCGATACAATCGTGCGTTTGCAATCGCCACATTCCGTGCGTCCGCCAAATCCTCCAGCTGATCATGAAAGTCAGGATGTGCGCCTATATTTGACGGAGTGAAAAGCGAAAAGATCAGTTCCTGACATCCAATTATTCCCAATTTGATCCGCGGGCTTAAACAATGGTGGTTTGTCTCCAGTCTTACCGTTGAGGATGGCATCCATCTCCTCCTTGTATCTAGCCATCTGGTAGTTATAGATGCTATTTCGAAGATAAAGCAGGTGCAGATATCGTTAGCAAGCTCGATTTTCTCAATGGCCAGGCGGTTTTTTTGCTTCAAGAAAGGGGAGGCGTGCGGGAGCATTACGTTTGCTTGTTTTCTTCAAACTCCAGTTCCAGTTTGATGAGCCGTTCTTGGAATTCGCGTCTACGTTTTTCTACAGTACTCTCACGCACTTCGGGCGCTATATCGGAGAAAAAAAAGACCAGCAAAACAAAAAGGACATGTTCGTTAGGTTTGTAAATTGATACAAGGTCCAACAAGGTCGCTTCATATGTCGGTAACACAACGACGCAAAATGCTGGATGCGTCTAATGAAATGTCGCAAAAATCAAAAGGAAAAAAAAAAAAAAAGAGCTTAACAAGTCCCTGAGCAAAAAGGCGAGCGTACCATCGGACGAGGCGTCAAAGTCATCTCCAAGCAGGCTCCGACCATCCTCCTCATCGTACTCCATCGCTCCGTCAAAAGCTGAGTCATGCTCATCCATTTCAGAGAGAAAACCACCTCCTGCAATGTAAGAATCCTCGCTCTCCGAGTGGGCGTCTCCTCCTGCAGCTGCTCCTGAGCTCGTCAAGGCACCACCGGCTACGGTGACTGTTGAGGCGACAACAGAGGCAAAGGTGGCAGAGGAGGAAGAGGGTTGCTTGCTCTGACTCCGAGCAGCTTTGGAGTTTCCATGGGTCGAAGGTCGCTGGGATCGGGCGGCAGAGCTCTTCTTCATCGTTGAGCCTGAAGAGTTGCCGTGATGTCTTGATTCTGAGGCGGACGAGGCCGACTTTTGTGTGGGCGGCATGGTCTTTTGTTGTTTGTTTGTTGTTGGTATGAATGAGCGAGCGCGTTGACGCTCTAGTCGGGTAGAGTGGGGCTGGTCTGCGAGTGAATGAGAGAGAGTGCGGGTTTCCTGCTAGCTGGGCTTAGCTTGAGTTGTTGTTGGAAGAAATAGGGTGGGAGGTTGATGTTTGTGAAGGAGAAGGAGAGAAGTGAAGTGCGGGCGCAACGAGCGCTGCAATAAAAGGTCTGAGGGAGCGGCTTTGTCTTCATCCATTTCACAGTCACGAAGAAAGGGGAAGAAGCGATTTTTTTTATTCTCAGCGAGGCACACACCTGGTTGGACAACCAGACGCACACACAGGCGAAACTTTTCTACTCTTCGCCATCGGCCAACTCCTGAATCTTGGGGGCAGTACCCGACCAGCTCGACGTCTGGTACTCCTCTTCCTGAATAATCTTGGGTGGCTTCTTGTTCGAGTTTGCGCTGTTGATCTTCGAGGCAAGTGTGGGTTTTGATTTGGGGGTTGTCTTGACCGCTGGTGTCGAGGGTGAGGTCGAAGAAGTGGTCGTCGTGGTGGCAGAAGCGGATGTGACATTCTCTACTGAGTCCTCGTGGTCGGGGTCAGTGTTGGAGATGATCCTGCCCCGCGACAAGAATCCGCCCATGGTCTTACGCTGCTTGTCATCAGCATCCTTGCTCTTCTTCTTCAACTTTTCAAGCTCAGCCTTCACTCCAGGTACTATTAGGAAAACCAAAGTAAATAATAATCACGGTGAATACACTGATATATGATCATCGCCATGTTCGCCATGTTCGCCAGGAAGCATAAACAATAACAGATTGCCAGGATGACAAAAGGGGTGTAGTGTTACCTTTCTCGCCCAAGGCGTTCAGATCAGCTTCGGCACCAGCAAGGTTACCCTCGGCAAGCTTGGCCTGAGCACGACGGAACTTGGCCTTGACGTTGGTGGGGTCGTGCTTGAGGGCAGTGTCGCAGACCTCGATCGCACGCTTGTAGTTGCCGTTCTTGAGATGACACGCGCCCATATTGGAGTAGACGACCGCCAAGTTGGTCTTGATCACGTTCTTCTGGTCGTCTGTCGCCATACCCGTCTGGGGCTGCATCGCCGACATCATGGGCATTCCCGACATTTGGTTATCCAGTCCACTCAGTCCTAGCACGGCCTATATTGTCGATTATTGTTGTTGAAAAAGGAAACTGTGGTTATGAACACAAAATGGTAATAGCATGACGCGTCTTCCAAAATAAAATGATTCCTTGTTGCGATTGTGGTGGTATCATACCAAGTGGTATTGTGTCAAAGCTGTTGTTCCGCAGAAAGAAAGCGACAACGCAAACAAAGACAAGAGGATGTTAGTTGACGTTACAGAAGTAAACGTTTTGTGAGTCTGAAACGAATGCGATTCGGTTCTCACTGCGGCAGAGTGTCGAAGTACAGCGGTGCCATGAACTATTATTGTGGTTGTTGATTGTTCGCTTCCTTCGTACCTTTCTTGATGTCGCCGTTCTTGAAGGCTTCGTTGCCCTGATCCTTGCTGGCCAAGGCGGTGGTCATCTTTTCCTGGATTGACGACATTGTTTGTATGTTGTTGTTGATGTGTTGGTGGTTGTTGTTGGTGTTAGGGATGATGAAGACCTGAGGGAAAATGAAAAAGGGAAGGCGTTGGCGAAGAGTAGAACAGTAGTAGAAGTATTTCGAACAAGGGGGGTGAAGTGACTGCGAATGAAGTGGAGGCGCATATCACGCCGGAGCAAGATTTGACACCGCAAAATCGCAGAAGGTTTGCTCACGCCACCAAAAAGCGGCGACTTTTGAACGGTGGGTGAGAAGTGAAAGTGAAAGTGAAAGACCGGGTGAGGATACTTCTGGCAATTGCAAAGACACATAGAAGAAAAGATGCTCTCACTTTTATATCTTCTGGTTGTCTTAACTCAAGCCTCAAGATCAAGGTCTGGCCAACAACACAGGGATGCTTATACAACCAAAGAAAACGAGGTCGGCGGGAATGACCGCTTTGGAGTGGGAAGGGGAATTGAGTTCAAGGAGGTGGGCGATGCTGCTCCCCTCTGTTCCCAGACACCACCTTTCCCGCACGCTCTCTCAACCCCTTCGATGACACAATCATTTCCTCGCTTCCTTCAGATGTCATCTGCATGAATGCAAAAGGAGTCTTCTCTCACAAGGATAGCAAAAGGAGCATCTCTCGCTCCGGACAAAGAATGTTCAAACCAACGGTCGTCCTTCTATAAAGACAAAGCCTGCTGTTCAACTTATTAGCTTTTACGCTGGTGCTTATTCACCACAAAAGAACAATGGCCCAACAGAACAAAAAATTGTGTGCCCTCTACAAATACTCTCTTTTAAGATTGCTTTTTTGTTATTGTGAAAGTTGTTTTGCGGGTGAAAACCTGCTAATTTTTATTACGAGTGAGAGAGAGAAAATTGTACAGGGTGTGGAGGGGATGTTTGTGTTAACAAGCGATTCTTCAATTCCCGGGATGATCTTTCCTGAGGCGGTGGGTCTCCCGGGGGTCATTAATATCTATAGAGAGGAAAGGTCTGTTGTTAGCATGGTGTTTGGGCAGCGCATAAGCGTGGCAAAGTGCACAGTTCAGGATAAAAAGGGCTGCAGACTTACTTCAGAATGATGTAGAAGGCATGGATGATACCTAGAAAGAGCCGGGAAGAGAAAGATAAAGATAGGCGAGTTAGTGGTGTTTGAGTCTTGGCGTTGAGTCGCTTGTCTTTGTCATCGAAACGTCCTCAAGTCTTTAAGGCGCGTCAAAGAGTAAATCATACCGGGAATGAAACCCAAGATGGTCAACAAGATGTTGATGAGGAGGTCAGTGCCGCATCCGCGCTGTAAAAAGGAAAAGAGAAAGGGAGAGAAGGAAAAAAGTCAGGAAAGTTAGTCATGGGATGAACAGCGGGTATCTGGACGTGGGGAAAAGATGAAAGAGGTGCCAAGAGCCAAGTCAAGCGAAGGCGAGGCGAGAGTAGGAGAGGTAGCGAGTGCAAAATGTCTTGAGTGTTGAGTGAGTGCGAGTGCGAGTGGTTACCTCGAGGAAGACTCCCAGAGGGGGGAAGATGACGGCGAAGATGAACTTGAAGATATCGGAGCAGGTAAGAGCCATTGTGAAAGTGTTTTGGAGTTGTGTGTTGTTTGGAGTTGATTGAAGAAAGAAGAAAAGAGAAGAAAAGAAAAGGGCAGAAAGACTTATTCCATTTTATACCATTTGCTCAAAATGCTGACCTCATTTCGTGTCATATCTGAACCCAAACACTTCAAGCAAAAACATGAGGGAGAAAAAAAAATGCGATCGATTCCAAGGCGGTCGGTCACGGTTTCATCATCATTTCCATTTCCGCGCGGATTTATCGTTGGGCTTAGTGGGTGCAAATATAAAAATGACGGGGGTTCTGCCTAGGACAGACGTCAGGCAGTAAGGAACGGGACCAGAGTAGGATCCTTTCATCCCTTCTGCGGGCCTCCCGTAAAACAACAACATCGTATGATTCTATAGCAGTTGCTTCCCTTCAGAGAGCAAACGACGCTTGTCGTTACCTTCGTCTCTTTGTTTTCTTGGCGCGCTTTGCTGTGATTATGACACAAAGAAAGGAAAAATAAGCAATTGGCATCGGAAACGACGATAGGATGGATGCTCTTCCGTTTTGTCCGCCGCCTGGTCAAAGAAGGCTGTCGTGGAGGCAACGCCCGTTTGAATTCTTATTTGCGCCACGCCCTTCCACAACAGCCTTAAAAGAAGCACACCGCCGCCGAGACATTCCAGGGCAATCGATCGAGGTAACCAAGGTCTTGGTCGAGAGGTATGCACATGGTGAATTGATACTCCCTTTTGACCATTCAGCCTGGACGCAACGGCGCTGCTCAATTCTCGGACATTTGCGCCTTGAAGGGAAAGCACACAGCCTGCTCGTTAGAAACACACAAACAAAAAGATGTGACTTGTTCCTCCTACGAGGCTAAAAGTGAAAAATAAAAAATAAGGCCAAAGCTTTCTGACTACGACAGACTGACTAAAAATATGGGTTCACCTTGATAACACTGGAGTGATAACACTGGAATCTACTCCTAAAATATATTCACGACCATGAACGAAGAAGAAGACATCATTATAAACGACAATGGCGAAGAAACCGTCCACCACAAACACATGAAGGTCGCACTAGAGTTGGTAATGACCTCTTTGACATCAAAACAACATTGCCTGCGTACTGATGGCATAAGCGAATGATTCGACTTGTTTTGTTTGTCGTCTGATGTTATTGCTTGCTCGCCAGTTTGCGGTCGAGCCGCTGACCTCACACTTACTGTATCACTCCAAAACACCATCCTAGGCTCTGGAAGCACATTCTGTAGGGGAAGTTCCAGTCGGCTGTGTGTTTGTATATGAACCCACTGGTGCAATCATTGGCAGGGGCAGGAACAAGACTAACGAGAGCTTGAACGTAAGAGGACGGTAGTGAAGGGCAGTTGTAAAGGTTGCTGCCCGTTATCGCGCCCATGTTCATCTAGTTTTCTCGCTCGCGCTGTCGTATATAACTATCTACCTATCTATTTATATGTCGTCTAGGGCACCCGCCATGCTGAGTTTGAGGGCATAGACATGATCCTGGCTCAGGAAGAGTACTTTGCAAAGAATAAGCAGGACTCACGCTCGTTCTGGAAGGATGTGGTTCTTTATGTCACTATCGAACCCTGTGTAATGTGTGCGAGCGCACTGCGCCAATTAGGTGTGTATATCACTGGAGCACTCTGTTGTAGTGTACAGTGCACCAATGAGCTCGATGCTCAATGGGAGGAGTATAATCCTCACATACTCCAAAGGAAAATAGCCATGGGGTTTTCATTTATTTATGCAGGTTTCTTGGCTGACTGATTTTGATGCGATGTGATGGGTATATTTTTAGGCATCGGTCATGTTTACTTTGGGGCGGGGAATGATCGATTTGGTGGCAACGGGTCCGTCTTCAACATCCACACTGAGTAAGTCCTTGGCCTCCAGCTCTTTTCTTCATCTCTCCTTTACTTTGTCCTCGATGAAGTAGCAAATGGTTCTCATTTCTGATACTACCTGCTACTACACCATCTACCATCTGTCTTTTAGCACTGAGCTTCCTCATTCACCTTATCCTTCTGAGGGAGGATACTACCGGGGCGAGGCCATTATTATCCTGCGCAAGTTCTATGTTGGCGAAAATACGCATGGTAAGAGGAGCAACAACAGCAAATTACAAGATTGTCATTTGATGTATCGTATGAGTTATTATTTTTGGTCATATCCAGTGGTCCACAACTCACCATCATATCTATGTTTGCAACTGCTGTTGTTGTGGTAATAATAATACCAATACCAATATAATTGTGAAATAGCTCCTGAGCCCAAGAAGAAGAAGCATCGTGTGCTGAAAGAGGAACTCCCATAGTCCTATTGGTCCGATGCCTTTAAGAGAACATCGTATATGTCTCCACTTCCTATGTACATCCTCTCGAAGGTGCTGCTCCATGCTGCTCCAATAATAATACACCATCGGGAAAACCCAAATAACAAAAATACATTTATCTTTTCATACATCTCTCATCCATTTTCATACAAATCCACATGCTGTGCTCTCACTCGCTCATTCACTTTCGCACTTCGCCCAAGGACACAACTACAAAAATGAGTGACGCTTTTGCTGTTCTTTCCTTGGCGGGCTGTCACTTGTCAGAGTCAGAGTCAGCCCCACACTCTCGGGTGATGGAGTCTCCGAGGTACAAAAGGAACCCTTTCTCCCTCCATTTTCTAAAGCATCAAACTTTCATCTCTTCATTTTTCATTTGTACTCTACCTTTTCATTTCATTTTCGCACTTGCATTCATTCATTCACTCCTCATTCATACACTCACTCATTCATCGCTGCATTCAAAACCCTCATTCACAACACTTCATACTCACACACACAAGACAGTAACACAACAACACTACAACACTACAGCACTACAACACTACAACACTACAACACAACACCACAACATCACAACACTACAACACATCACCATCTAATATCACTCATCATGACCTGGCAAGCATACGTCGACGATAACCTTATTGGCACCGGCAAGGTCGCCAAGGCAGCCATCTTTGGAACAGACGGAAGTCTCTGGGCCACATCTGCTGGATACAATGTAAATGCCCTGCCCTTCTTCTCCCTTTCCGATGCATTCCTCTAAATGCACACAACTGCACCTACTTCTCCAATCACCAGTTGCATATACTTGAGATGAATGACAATCTACACGATCCAGGGCAAACAACATATACTCATGCTTATTTTATTCATCCTCAATTCCCCCCGACATTATAGGTTGACCCTGTCGAAGTCCTCAAGCTGATTGCTGCATTCGAAAACACCGATGAAATCGCCGCCAACGGCCTCTTCCTTGAGGGCAAAAGGTTCAACTACCTTCGCAGCGGAGACGCAAGCATCTATGCCCTTGTGAGTTATTTTTCTCTTTCATTCTTTTTCCTTTGTTGTTCTTTGTGGTACCATGACTTTCACGCTCCAAAGGTCGGCGGGGTGACTGTACACCAAAGTTCCGTCGAAATGGTCCTGGTGAGAGTGTGGAGCCCGCGTGTTGTCTTGTGAAAAAACCAAAAATAGCTCTGGTGGCAACAAATCAACAACAGCAGCAAACCAACAATAGCACGCTACTCCATACAACAGCCATGCCAAGCTACTGGATGCTGGCTCTCATAAGACCTATTTTTATTTCTTCGTTCATTCTTTCTCTCTGGGGCCCTACTCTGCTTTCATCTCCTGAAGAGTTGTAGGGTGTACTTGAGGAAGTAAAATGAAGAGAGAGTGTGTGGGACCGTAGTACTATCCCTGAGGCCCAGAGTTCAATTCATTTCCGAGCCATTATTGAGAATAGAGTTTCTAACGCTTTTCATTTCATTTCATTTCGTTTCATTTCATTTCCAATAGGGTGAGGGTGGAGTAACGTGCGTGAGAACAAACAAAGCTGTCCTCCTTGGACACTATGCCGAGAACATGCCCGCAGGCGACAGCACAGTCGTCGTCGAGTCCCTTGGCGACTACCTCCGTGGCACTGGTTTTGTAAGTCTCTTTGGATGGTCAATTGAGTGTCTAATAGTGCTCAATTGCACGCTGTTTGCATGGATGTGCCATTTACTTACTGTCCTTCTTCTCCCTCTCCTCTCTTTTGATCATAGTAAGTAACCGAAGCAATCGATACCCGCAATATACCTATACCCCTGCTGCCCAGGAAGTGCCTGATGCTGGTTGTCAGGCTGTCCTTGATGGCATACACTCATACACTACACTAAATAGAATTCAAATAGACACCTAATAGACACTTTTAGACAAAGCAAGTTTTCTCCTGTGGCTTATGCATCTCCGCTTGCTTCTTTTTTTATTTTTTTATTTGAGCATTCAAGCACGAAAAGGGTTACATCGTTTTTTGTTGACAACCGACGAGACCCATTGCATCAAGGACGAACAAGAGCAGAAGTAGTGCCCAACCAGGAAGTAATACGTGGCAAAGGAAACAGGACCTTGAGAAAACAAAAAAAAACAAGTTACTCAATAACAAGCAATGCCACCCAAACTGCCCAAGCTGGTGCCATGGCATTCCCCCGCCGAGTTCATTCAGGTGCACCAATGGTTCTACCCTCTTCCCACTGAGGATGGGTCACCAGATATCAGAGCTCAGGAGTGTGCCGTTCGACGCGTAAGGAAAACAAACCATTCATCAATTGGGATATCAACTGATTGATCAGTAGAGTCTACCGATTATCCCATAGGATAAGCTCACGAGGAAAGGAGACTAACATCAGTCCAATTTATTCTCTTCTGTTGAACATAGGTGAAGGCATGGGGGGCAAGAGGGAAACTGCCTCACGCAATCGACTCGACAGCGGCGTTCATGCAGGTCGTCATCCGGGACTGGACACAGACATGCTCGGACCAAGATCTGCGACACATGTACTCGATGGTCTTTATCCGGTTCGTCAATGGCTATGTCGATGGCTTCCAGTCGTCCAAATCTGCCAAATCGATCGCTTACCTGGCAGTCGAGAAGGTCGGCATGCCGATCTGGTTTGTGGAGCTCAGACATACAGCCACCCATGACTACTTGCCGAGTCTGACTATCCTCCGCAGTGCGACAAACCAGGTATGAAGCAAAAGATTTGTCGGTCGGCGGAAAGGTTTGCAAGTTATTTTCGGCCGTGCCGTTCTAACAATCTTATTTGCATTCATCGAATATGTAGGCGCTGACATGGATCAACAACAACTATTGGATGCCACAATTGGTCTCTGTCAAGCTGGATGAAACCCTGTCGCCAGAAATGATGACTGTCATGTCTGACTATGTCCGTACTGTCATTACGAGCCACAGATCCGAGAAGGAGAGGCAGCTTGAAGGTGAGATACACAAACACATTTTATCTGTTCGGCCATCAAAGGATATGAGGACGCGCTTGTTAACCCGTAACATCGGCTGGTTTATGTAGAAAACACATTATCGCAACCAAAGCACGAAGCACACATCATCGGCCGTCTGGTACGCGACCTCATCAAACGCTGCCGATCAGGAGACGAACTACTGAATGTTTTGATCCCGATCTTGCTGGAACCAGGAATGCTCGTACCCAACGCCAAAAAGATGAGAGCTTCAGGAAGAGACTTGAGTCTGGACAGTCTTGGTCGGATGGTTGACTTGTGCTGGATGCCATTGATGAACAAGCTGCAGACGGATCTGAGGGGGACGAACAACAAGGATGGGGAACCTATTTCGTTCTGGGTCGGACTTGTGGACGCCATGCTTCAAAAACTGGTGGATGCCAATAATGCGGTGCATGCTGCGGCGTTGCCGACGGCTACTGCGGCTGAAAAGTCTGCAGCCAAGACGGGCAGCTACTTGATCACGATATGTAAGTTATAGGTTAGGATCGTTTGTGTAATGGCTGCCTGAGGCCAAAGAAAAGGCTTATGTGTACGAGACTCTAACCACCTCATGTTACGACCATATATTTTTAGTGGCGTGGCTCAAGTACCTTATCAAACTGAATTATGACCAGCAGCGCCAAAAACATAGCAATACACGAACAAAGGCAGGATCATCATCATCTCTCTCCTCAGGAACAGCCTCGCCCTCATTCACCTCCCTCTCAGTCACATCCCCCGACACTTCAACACCAACATCTTCACGGCCCTCTGTCGCAGCCATGGCTGCTCAACTCGTGGCAGAACAAGCGTCCACCAACCAACCAGCAGTCATGTTCGACAACGACGACATTATCAACATTGTCGAGGACTGTCTCCAGAGCAGCTTGATCCATGTCAGTCCCCTCATCCGCTCGGTCCTCAACACTGTGATTGAGTGTGATGCCGACATCAAGGAAAAAATTGGACCACTTCTGAGACAGATTGATCAAAGGATTGTTGCTGGCGGCGCTCAGGTCGCAGCACCTGTCCAGGCACCAGTATCAGCACCAACGACGCCTGCTCCCTCTACCCCGACTATGAACACTGTATCTGTGAGAGGCAGTGTATGGCACGAGGGGTCTAGCAAGGACGATGATACCAAGGCTGCAGAGCCTCAGAACGAAGACACCGTGATGACTGATTCTACCACAACAACACAGGAATCTGAACTCGACCAGCCATCTGTTGATAACCTGGAAGATGTTGTTGTTGATGCTGCACTACCAACACCAAAAGCGTGGACACTTTATGAAGCTGACTCATGGCGGCCATGTCCTTTGGGTTGTCTCCCTGGAGGAGTCGTTCCCGACCTGTCATTACCTTGGGAACTGGATAACCCACCAATAGCCCGTGTCATGATTTAGAGACACACGAGATAAAAAAATTTACATCGACATGGAGACGTGAAAATACTGTTTGAAAATGTTGTTTTAATGTGTTGTACAAAAAGTGAATAGGATGCAAGTGTTGGGTATTAATGGTGGTACAGGCCTATTGTAGGCGAATGCTTGAAGGGGGAGTGGGGCCATAGAGGAAGCCGTTTTACATAAGGCTAAAGTTGGCGGGCATAGTCTGCACCGACTTGCGGAGGGCCATCTCAAGCGCCCGATCGCGGGTCATCTTGACTTGGACAGAACGCTGGCCATCGACTGAGGAGCGAGGCGTCTGCGCTGGGGAGGTGGCAGCGGAGGCTGACTGGTTCTTGTTGGACTTGAAGAGGGACATGGTTATGTTTTACTTGTGAGGAGTGGAGGTTGCTTGGGTAGCTTGGTTCTAGCCTGGTTGTTGAGTTGTTTGTGATGAAAATGAAGAAAGAAAGGAGGAGAGCAGAGGGGGTTTTATATTTCTTTGTTTTGTTGCCAATTGCTTTCTAATCGAAACCGTGTTGTCGGTCGAGCATGGACCATTCTGGCCGCTTCTTCTTTTTGTGTCATTGCCATCATCTTTTGAAGCGGAGTCAAGGATCAAAATCAGAGTCATGGCCGTTATTCTGCAAGAGTCGACGGATGTTCAGCAATTATGACGCTTTTACTTGGCCCTGAGGCATTTTGACTATGAACAGAGAGAAATAAAGATTTTTCCAGTGCGGCGGATGGGAAGAAAGAGCGGAGTGTAACTATCAACAACCCCCATGCTTGCCAAGAGTGGAAATGAACCGTGCAACAGACATGCAGACAATATTCTTCTTTGCGCTCTTGGCTATGACGATGATGTCCCAATTGCTTCTTGACCCTGCCTTCTCACTTATATAAATACTTCCTCGATCCCACCCATTTCAATCCTTATTCTTAACAACGACAACTCAAGCTATCCAAAGCAACACCAAGCAACCCTTCCTCCCTCCTTCAAGACCTCCCTCAAGTTCTCCCTCTCAAGCCAACCAACAATAACCATGTCTCTCTTCAAGTCCAACAAGAACAAGTCAGCCTCCGCTGCCACCTCCCCAGCCCAGACGCCTCGCTCCTCAGTCGATGCACAACGCCCTGTCGTCGAAGGAAACACGATGACTCGCGAGCAAGCCATCCGTCTGGCCATGCACAACGCCCATCAGAAGTTGCCTCACCACTTTAGCCTTCTGTAAACTTAGAGACCACCCACCTCACCTCACATCACCTTTGCATATCTTTCATCCTTCACTGTATAATACCACACACTTGCATCCTTAATAAACCCATTGCATAAACTCTACACCTTTATGTTTGTTGTGAATGCTGCATATCATGTCATGGAATGCCGTTGAATGTGGAGGGGGAGTGATAAACGACTGTTGCTTGATCATTTCGTTCTTGCTCCCTACAGCACGCGTCAGATTTTTCACAAGAGAAAAGTCAGGAACAGAACTGAGACCGATTGACATGTTGATGTGTCTGACTGATCAGTGCCTGGTTGATGGATCGGACTGATCAGTCGTCCGTTCATCTCTTGTCATTATACAACTTTCTTCAGTTGCCAATCTCAGAACATCGTACAAAGCGGACACGAAAGGGAAAACAAGTAGATATAGTAGAAGAGGATGCAAGTGTTTATTGTATATTACAGGATTGAGAATGCAGGATGGGATGTGATGAATATAATGCAAAGTGTAAGGGTATGAGAGGCCTTGTGGAAGACTGTTCTTGCGGACCAGGTGTTGGTGCTGCTTTACATAAGGTTGAAGTTGGCAGGCATGGTCTGCACCGACTTGCGGAGGGCCATCTCGAGGGCCTGGTCACGGGTCATCTTGGCTTGGGCGGGACGCTGGGCATCTACTGAAGGACGAGGAGTCTGAGCTGGGGTCGAGGCAGCAGAGGCAGTCTTGTTCTTGTTGGACTTGAAGAGAGACATGGCTGGTTGTGTGTGTTGTTGGCTTGAGTGAGAGAGGACTTGAGGGTATGTTGGTTGGTGGTTGGTCGCTTGGGTAGCTTGAGTTGTTGTTGTTGTGTTTGGTTGTTGTGATGAGGAATAGAAAAGAGGGAGGGGAATGCTGTGCTTTTATACCTTCTGAACTCCCTCGATATTTGTCTTCAAGCGTTTCCTCACTTGGCAACGACGTTTGAAAGAGACGTCAACTCAGAAAATCGACTGCCGACTGCCGAGCATTGCCGAGAAGGGTGAGCATGGACCATTCCAGTCGCTTCCATAGCAACAGGCGGAGTGTCACTCAAATTAGACATGTTGCTTTTCTCGCAGTTCTTCCATTTGTTGTTTTTGTCTCCGCCAAGAAGAAAAGAAATTCGACGCTCACATTTTCACATCCAACCCTCAACCTTTGATGACGATTGTTGACACGAACGCAGCGGAGAGGTGGGACAGGTACAAATATGGACTCCATTGGCCCTGGAGCAAAAAGGGCAGCGGGCGGAGTGTAACCTTGGCACAGTATGTTACTTTTTTTGTCTCCAACGTTGCCAAGAGAAGAAATTAACAACCGTGCCCAAAGTGGCGCGGCGACTTGTTTTCTTGCAATTAGAGTAAGTTGCGAGAGAGGGACGTTGTCATTCTTGGCTCCGGCTACGGTACTGGTTCCGCCTTGTTCAGTGGTGGGAGAGACTTGAGTAAGCGAAGTTGGTATTCCTCTGGGCCATCCTCTTCATAAGCGCTCTCCTTGAGTTTGAGTCGACCAGTGGCAAGTACCCCGGGGTGGCGTCTCCGGTGCTCCTGAGTAAACAAAATCATAGCCTCGAGTTGTTGCAACCTCTCTATCTGTAGCATCTTCCATGCCTCTTGCTGTTCTAGAGTCGCACTTTGTTGCCAGTCTCCAGCTGGTCGGGTGTTCCTGTCCAATAAAAACGTCACGTCCGCAAGGACCTCGAAGCGACTGACCAATGGCAAGTAGCGAGCGATATCTGAGAGAGGGACGGACAAGGTCTTGACACGCTCTGTATCCATACTGAGCGCCCATGTCAAGTCCCTGCAGAGTTCTTGGCCAGCAGGATACTGAACTCTCCAATCGTATGATTTGTACGCGAGGTCGTCCTTGACAGAACACTCGAGCAAGTATCGTCTCGTATGTCCGTAACGCTTCAGATAGTCGCGAAAGCCAGCATCGACACCCAAAAGGATGGTGAAAGGAAGTCTGTAACTGGGCTTGACCCCCACGCTGGTGACGAACGAGTAATATGGGATGATTTTCGTTGTAGCCTCTACTGTCTGCTGATGTCCTGGTTCCGACGATTCTGAGAGATACGCGACTCGCAACAGGGTCGAGACGTGGCCATCGGGCATGCTGTGAAGGAGGATTCTGATCAGCTTCGATAGTTTGAGAGCGCTTTTCGATATGACAAGCCGAAAAGGTTCCTTGTACAATAAGGGTAAGGTCGCGGAACAGACGTATTTGTTGGTCAAGAGGAGGGAGTAGAGAGAGTTGCTGTCACACTCCTGTACAAGAGAGAGAATGATCAACTGGAGACATTCTAATGGCAGAGGGAATGAGGCTGACATGGGTAATGTGTCGGAATGGAACAGTGATGGAGTAGTCGGGTTGAAAAAAAGGAGTGAAAAGTGAGGAAAAGGAAAAGTGGAGATAGGGGTACCTTAGGACGAAGTAGACACCAATGGTCAATGGAAACTGGAGAGTAGACAGTTCACGCGACGCCATCAACGCGTCCCATTCGACATTATTTTTTTTGCTTCTAAAAATAGGAAGGATCAGTAGGTTATCAGTCTCATATATTTGGCGTTGATTCACCAGGCTCCAGAATGGCGTCCTCGCTCTTCGCACCTAGCGGAGGAAGAGTTATTCCTCTCGTTAAGTAAAGGTTCGCATCATACAAGGGTAAAGTAGAGAATAATATTATGGTTGTTTATTATGATGTACAGGGAAGTGAAAGATGCAAAGTAGTGTAATAACGCGCGAGCAGGGCTATGGATGCTTGAAGTAGGAATCCAATGGGTATGTAGGCAGACCGGCGGACGGTTACATGACGGTAGAGATGGAAGGCATGGTCTGGACAGTTTTGTGCAGGACAGAGTCAAGAGCTTGCTCGATGGTCATCTTCTTGGTAGTCTGTGCGGCAGGACGCTGGGCGTCGACTGAGGGGCGAGGAGTCTGAGCAGGAGAGGCAGCAGCAGAGGCAGACTGGTTCTTGGTGGACTTGAAGAGAGACATGGCTGGTTGTAGTATTGTTGGTTGGCTTAAGAAAACTTGAGGGAGAACTTGAGGGAGGGAGGGAGAGTTGCTTGGTGTTGCTTTGGGTTGCTTGCGTTGTTGTTATTAAGAATGAGGAATGAAAAAGGTGGGGTGCAAGGATGTATTTATACAAATGAGAAGGCAGGGTCAAGATGCAATTGGGACATCATCGTCATAGCCAAGACTGCAAAGAAGAATATTGTCTGCATGTCTGTTGCACGGTTCATTTCCACTCTTGGCAAGCATGGGGGTTGTTGATAGTTACACTCCGCTCTTTCTTCCCATCCGCCGCACTGGAAAAATCTTTATTTCTCTCTGTTCATAGTCAAAATGCCTCAGGGCCAAGTAAAAGCGTCATAATTGCTGAACATCCGTCGACTCTTGCAGAATAACGGCCATGACTCTAATTTTGATCCCTGGCTCCGCTTCAAAAGATGATGACAATGACATAAAAAAGAAGAAGTGGCCAGAATGGTCCATGCTTGGACAATGGCACGGCACTCGATTAGAAAGCAATTGGCAACAATCCAAAGAAGTATATAAACCGCCTGTTTCCTTCATTTCCTTTTTCTCTTTACCAACAAATACAAGAACCAAGCTCCTCAATCAACCAAAGACTCCATCTCTCCTTTCAAGTCCAACCTCCACTCCTCATCAAACACAACCATGTCGCTCTTCAAGTCCAACAAGAACAAGTCAGCCTCCGCTGCCACCTCCCCAACCCAGACGCCTCGCTCCTCAGTCGATGCACAACGCCCTGTCGTCGAAGGAAACAAGATGACTCGCGAGCAAGCCATCCGTCTGGCCATGCACAACGCCCATCAGAAGTTGCCTCACCACTTTAGCCTTCTGTAAACTTAGAGACCACCCACCTCACCTCACATCACCTTTGCATATCTTTCATCCTTCACTGTATAATACCACACACTTGCATCCTTAATAAACCCATTGCATAATACTCTACACCTTTATGTTTGTTGTGAATGCTGCATATCATGTCATGGAATGCCGTTGAATGTGGAGGGGGAGTGATAAACGACTGTTGCTTGTTCATTTCGTTCTTGCTCCCTACAGCACGCGTCAGATCTTTCACAAGAGAAAAGTCAGGAATAGAACTGAGACGATTGACATGTAGGTGTGTTTGACTGATCAGTGCCTGTTTAATGGATCAGACTGATCAGTCGTCCGTTCTTCTGTGTCATCATACTACTTTCTTCAGTTGCCAATCTCAGAACATCGTACAAAGCGGACACGAAAGGGAAAACAAGTAGATATAGTAGAAGAGGATGCAAGTGTTTATTGTATATTACAGGATTGAGAATGCAGGATGGGATGTGATGAATATAATGCAAAGTGTAAGGGTATGAGAGGCCTTGTGGAAGACCGTCCTTGCGGACCAGGTGTTGGTGCTGCTTTACATAAGGTTGAAGTTGGCAGGCATGGTCTGCACCGACTTGCGGAGGGCCATCTCGAGGGCCTGGTCACGGGTCATCTTGGCTTGGGCGGGACGCTGGGCATCGACAGAAGGACGAGGAGTCTGAGCTGGGGTCGAGGCAGCAGAGGCAGTCTTGTTCTTGTTGGACTTGAAGAGAGACATGGCTGGTTGTGTGTGTTGTTGGCTTGAGTGAGAGAGGACTTGAGGGTAGGTTGGTTGGTGGTTGGTCGCTTGGGTAGCTTGAGTTGTTGTTGTTGTGTTTGGTTGTTGTGATGAGGAATAGAAAAGAGGGAGGGGAATGCTGTGCTTTTATACCTTCTGAACTCCCTCGATATTTGTCTTCAAGCGTTTCCTCTCTTGGCAACGACGTTTGAAAGAGGCGTCAACTCAGAAAATCGACTGCCGACTGCCGAGCATTGCCGAGAAGGGTGAGCATGGACCATTCCAGTCGCTTCCATAGCAACAGGCGGAGTATCGCTCGATTTAGACATGTTGCTTTTCTCGCAGTTCTTCCTTTTGTATTTTACTTTTGTCTCCGCACAGAAGAAAAGAAATTCGACGCTCACATTTTCACATCCAACCCTCAACCTTTGATGACGATTGTTGACACGAATGCAGTGCAGAGATGGGACAGGTACAAATATGGACTCTATTGGATGCGACAGAGTGGACAGGGGTAGTGGAGCAAAAAGGCAGCGGGCGGAGTGTAACCTTGGCACAGTATGTTGCTTTGTTGTCTCCAACGCTGCCAAGAGAGGAAATGAACAACCGTGCCAAATGTGGCGCGGCGATTTTTTCTTGCAATTAGAGTAAGTTGCGAAAGAGGGACTTTGTCATTCTTGGCTACGGCTACGGTACTGGTTCAGCCTTGGCAGCTGGAGTCATGGAGGGACTCCTGCAAAGTAGAAAGAAAAGGGACAGGAAACACATATAAAAGGCTGACCGCTACCTTCCTTTTCATTCAACACTCATAACAATCGCACCATCAACAACAAGACCAGCTCTAAGCACCTCTATTCAAAACCCATCTCACCAGCCAACACACAATCACCAACCATGTCTCTCTTCAAGTCCAACAAGAACAAGACCTCATCTGCTGCCTCGACCCCAGCTCAGACTCCCCGTCCATCTATCGATACCCACCGTCCTACCCAAGTCAAGATGACCCGCGACCAGGCCCTCGAGATGGCTCTCCGCAAGTCGGTCCAGAACATGCCCGCCAACTTTAGCCTCTTGTAGTCAGTTTACTCTGACCAGGACATTTTGTTTCCTCTCTCTCTCTCTCTCTCTTTCCATTGCCTCACCAGGGGTTGTACACCATCTTAATTTTCACTCATACACTGTATTATACTCGCAATAAAAGCACACCCTTTCAAGCATCTTTCATTTCTTTTATTTGCTATTTGTCGACACTTTCAACTATGGGATATGCCGACATTATAATAAACGCGACTTTGTCGATGCACCCTACAGATTCGATACTCAGGAACAAAGTCCTAGCTGAATCAAGCCAGCCGAGACTTGGGTCGAGTGCAAGACTTTGGTAAGGAGCGGGTCACCCCACTACCCTCTCCTCCCTTGGGCACGTTCTCATGAACAACTGGAGCAACTTCAATGTCAGACCCACCGTACCATTGATCCATCGGGAGTTATCTTTTTTTAGACCACTTTTTCTCAGGACCAACCCCACTCATGCTTAATGCCTTTTAGCCCTGACCGTGCGCGATTTTCTTTTTCCTCCTCACCACGCGTGTCTTTCTCTGCCCAACTCCGCCTGCTCCGATTCAAATTGAAAGATTCTTTTTCGAACAATGCAATACCCATGCACTCAACGTTTTTCCCATGAACATCATCCAACAGAAACGTCTAGACTTCCTTTAGCCAAAAGATATACTGCAAACCTTTGAGGGATAATCAAGGTAAAGATCAATCCATGATTACCATGGCAGCTTTACTTTTCCTTGTTTTTTTTTGGTTTTGTTTTAATGGCTAATAGATTTTTAATCAAAACAACCATTATCAACGAAATAGAAGGAATCAGAAAAGGTCACCAAAGGCTTACTGCTATACGACTAACGAGTATATACGCTGCGGAATTCTCAGATAAGTGTCCCTCGGGTCGGTAAAGTTCAAGTCAGCACCATGAAAGATCCGTTGAGGAATGGGGTGTGGAGCTGAGAATCGATATTGATCTGAGGAATGCGACCAGGTGTCCTTCGTTCGTTTCGTGCCCTGAATTGGAGGGGGGCCAAACGGAGACAGTCTATGGGAGATGGAATGAGTTTGACATGGGCGTGCTGTTGTGGATGAAGGGGAGTGGTGTTGGCAACGGAGGAGACGGACGAAGGTATAGAGAAAAGTGCCAAGGAGGACGGGGATGGTGACATTGGAAGAAGAAAGTTGAGTGGAAGAAGAAAAATGGACGGTGAAAAGAAGGATGGAAGGGTAAAGAAGACACGGCTCAACCTCGGTGCGCAATTGAAAATGACAAACAGATTCAGGTACATAAATTAGGATGTATACTATTGATGCGGTGTTTTATTATGATGTACAAGGTAAGGATGCAAGTGTAAGGTGGTAGTGTCACAGGCCATGGCAGGCTGTTAATGCTTGAGGGAAAAGGCCAAAGGTATGAGGACGACGGACGGTTACATGACGATAGAGATGGAAGGCATGGTCTGGACAGCTTTGTGCAGGACAGAGTCAAGAGCTTGCTCGGTGGTCATCTTCTTGGTAGTCTGTGCGGCAGGACGCTGGGCATCGACTGAGGGGCGAGGAGTCTGAGCAGGAGAGGCAGCAGCAGAAGCAGACTGGTTCTTGGTGGACTTGAAGAGAGACATGATGGAGAATGTGTTTTGGTTTGGGAAGGAGGACTTGGAGGGGAGGAAGGATTGCTTTGGTTGTGTTGTTGTTGTTGGTTATTGTGATGAAGAATAAAAAAAAGAGGGGAGGCTCTCGTTGCCTTTATACCCTCTTTCTCCACTTCTGGATGTCTAATTCTGGTGATGATGACCTAAATGTCGAATGCCGAGTTGCCGAGCCTCGAGCATGGACCATTTCTTTGTTTCCATAGCAAGCGGAGTCAAGAAGAACAACAATGTCCGCTCAATTGCCCTTGTGGAAGACCTGAGGGAATTTTTGTTCCCATCCATTTCGCTCATATTTTTATCCCCTCAGTCAGTCAGCAATGACGATGGTTTGTTTACTCCCAAGGGGAGAACAGCCGTTGACAAATAAGGATTCCATGCGATATGACAAAGAGGAGAGAGGGGAAAAACGAGACGGCTGTTCCTGGAATATCATGAAATGAATGCTGTGGTTGAAACCCGGCCCTGTTGTCGAGTTTGTTGTGCTTTGTGACAAATGCCTCCTGGCCCATGCTCAACTGTGTATATAAGCAGCATGATCCTCTCCTCATTTGCATTCTTCATCACAATAACCAACAACAACAACACAACCAAAGCAATCCTTCCTCCCCTCCAAGTCCTCCTTCCCAAACCAAAACACATTCTCCATCATGTCTCTCTTCAAGTCCACCAAGAACCAGTCTGCTTCTGCTGCTGCCTCTCCTGCTCAGACTCCTCGCCCCTCAGTCGATGCCCAGCGTCCTGCCGCACAGACTACCAAGAAGATGACCACCGAGCAAGCTCTTGACTCTGTCCTGCACAAAGCTGTCCAGACCATGCCTTCCATCTCTATCGTCATGTAACCGTCCGTCGTCCTCATACCTTTGGCCTTTTCCCTCAAGCATTAACAGCCTGCCATGGCCTGTGACACTACCACCTTACACTTGCATCCTTACCTTGTACATCATAATAAAACACCGCATCAATAGTATACATCCTAATTTATGTACCTGAATCTGTTTGTCATTTTCAATTGCGCACCGAGGTTGAGCCGTGTCTTCTTTACCCTTCCATCCTTCTTTTCACCGTCCATTTTTCTTCTTCCACTCAACTTTCTTCTTCCAATGTCACCATCCCCGTCCTCCTTGGCACTTTTCTCTATACCTTCGTCCGTCTCCTCCGTTGCCAACACCACTCCCCTTCATCCACAACAGCACGCCCATGTCAAACTCATTCCATCTCCCATAGACTGTCTCCGTTTGGCCCCCCTCCAATTCAGGGCACGAAACGAACGAAGGACACCTGGTCGCATTCCTCAGATCAATATCGATTCTCAGCTCCACACCCCATTCCTCAACGGATCTTTCATGGTGCTGACTTGAACTTTACCGACCCGAGGGACACTTATCTGAGAATTCCGCAGCGTATATACTCGTTAGTCGTATAGCAGTAAGCCTTTGGTGACCTTTTCTGATTCCTTCTATTTCGTTGATAATGGTTGTTTTGATTAAAAATCTATTAGCCATTAAAACAAAACCAAAAAAAAACAAGGAAAAGTAAAGCTGCCATGGTAATCATGGATTGATCTTTACCTTGATTATCCCTCAAAGGTTTGCAGTATATCTTTTGGCTAAAGGAAGTCTAGACGTTTCTGTTGGATGATGTTCATGGGAAAAACGTTGAGTGCATGGGTATTGCATTGTTCGAAAAAGAATCTTTCAATTTGAATCGGAGCAGGCGGAGTTGGGCAGAGAAAGACACGCGTGGTGAGGAGGAAAAAGAAAATCGCGCACGGTCAGGGCTAAAAGGCATTAAGCATGAGTGGGGTTGGTCCTGAGAAAAAGTGGTCTAAAAAAAGATAACTCCCGATGGATCAATGGTACGGTGGGTCTGACATTGAAGTTGCTCCAGTTGTTCATGAGAACGTGCCCAAGGGAGGAGAGGGTAGTGGGGTGACCCGCTCCTTACCAAAGTCTTGCACTCGACCCAAGTCTCGGCTGGCTTGATTCAGCTAGGACTTTGTTCCTGAGTATCGAATCTGTAGGGTGCATCGACAAAGTCGCGTTTATTATAATGTCGGCATATCCCATAGTTGAAAGTGTCGACAAATAGCAAATAAAAGAAATGAAAGATGCTTGAAAGGGTGTGCTTTTATTGCGAGTATAATACAGTGTATGAGTGAAAATTAAGATGGTGTACAACCCCTGGTGAGGCAATGGAAAGAGAGAGAGAGAGAGAGAGGAAACAAAATGTCCTGGTCAGAGTAAACTGACTACAAGAGGCTAAAGTTGGCGGGCATGTTCTGGACCGACTTGCGGAGAGCCATCTCGAGGGCCTGGTCGCGGGTCATCTTGACTTGGGTAGGACGGTGGGTATCGATAGATGGACGGGGAGTCTGAGCTGGGGTCGAGGCAGCAGATGAGGTCTTGTTCTTGTTGGACTTGAAGAGAGACATGGTTGGTGATTGTGTGTTGGCTGGTGAGATGGGTTTTGAATAGAGGTGCTTAGAGCTGGTCTTGTTGTTGATGGTGCGATTGTTATGAGTGTTGAATGAAAAGGAAGGTAGCGGTCAGCCTTTTATATGTGTTTCCTGTCCCTTTTCTTTCTACTTTGCAGGAGTCCCTCCATGACTCCAGCTGCCAAGGCTGAACCAGTACCGTAGCCGTAGCCAAGAATGACAAAGTCCCTCTTTCGCAACTTACTCTAATTGCAAGAAAAAATCGCCGCGCCACATTTGGCACGGTTGTTCATTTCCTCTCTTGGCAGCGTTGGAGACAACAAAGCAACATACTGTGCCAAGGTTACACTCCGCCCGCTGCCTTTTTGCTCCACTACCCCTGTCCACTCTGTCGCATCCAATAGAGTCCATATTTGTACCTGTCCCATCTCTGCACTGCATTCGTGTCAACAATCGTCATCAAAGGTTGAGGGTTGGATGTGAAAATGTGAGCGTCGAATTTCTTTTCTTCTGTGCGGAGACAAAAGTAAAATACAAAAGGAAGAACTGCGAGAAAAGCAACATGTCTAAATCGAGCGATACTCCGCCTGTTGCTATGGAAGCGACTGGAATGGTCCATGCTCACCCTTCTCGGCAATGCTCGGCAGTCGGCAGTCGATTTTCTGAGTTGACGCCTCTTTCAAACGTCGTTGCCAAGAGAGGAAACGCTTGAAGACAAATATCGAGGGAGTTCAGAAGGTATAAAAGCACAGCATTCCCCTCCCTCTTTTCTATTCCTCATCACAACAACCAAACACAACAACAACAACTCAAGCTACCCAAGCGACCAACCACCAACCAACCTACCCTCAAGTCCTCTCTCACTCAAGCCAACAACACACACAACCAGCCATGTCTCTCTTCAAGTCCAACAAGAACAAGACTGCCTCTGCTGCCTCGACCCCAGCTCAGACTCCTCGTCCTTCTGTCGATGCCCAGCGTCCCGCCCAAGCCAAGATGACCCGTGACCAGGCCCTCGAGATGGCCCTCCGCAAGTCGGTGCAGACCATGCCTGCCAACTTCAACCTTATGTAAAGCAGCACCAACACCTGGTCCGCAAGGACGGTCTTCCACAAGGCCTCTCATACCCTTACACTTTGCATTATATTCATCACATCCCATCCTGCATTCTCAATCCTGTAATATACAATAAACACTTGCATCCTCTTCTACTATATCTACTTGTTTTCCCTTTCGTGTCCGCTTTGTACGATGTTCTGAGATTGGCAACTGAAGAAAGTAGTATGATGACACAGAAGAACGGACGACTGATCAGTCTGATCCATTAAACAGGCACTGATCAGTCAAACACACCTACATGTCAATCGTCTCAGTTCTATTCCTGACTTTTCTCTTGTGAAAGATCTGACGCGTGCTGTAGGGAGCAAGAACGAAATGAACAAGCAACAGTCGTTTATCACTCCCCCTCCACATTCAACGGCATTCCATGACATGATATGCAGCATTCACAACAAACATAAAGGTGTAGAGTATTATGCAATGGGTTTATTAAGGATGCAAGTGTGTGGTATTATACAGTGAAGGATGAAAGATATGCAAAGGTGATGTGAGGTGAGGTGGGTGGTCTCTAAGTTTACAGAAGGCTAAAGTGGTGAGGCAACTTCTGATGGGCGTTGTGCATGGCCAGACGGATGGCTTGCTCGCGAGTCATCTTGTTTCCTTCGACGACAGGGCGTTGTGCATCGACTGAGGAGCGAGGCGTCTGGGTTGGGGAGGTGGCAGCGGAGGCTGACTTGTTCTTGTTGGACTTGAAGAGAGACATGGTTATTGTTGGTTGGCTTGAGAGGGAGAACTTGAGGGAGGTCTTGAAGGAGGGAGGAAGGGTTGCTTGGTGTTGCTTTGGATAGCTTGAGTTGTCGTTGTTAAGAATAAGGATTGAAATGGGTGGGATCGAGGAAGTATTTATATAAGTGAGAAGGCAGGGTCAAGAAGCAATTGGGACATCATCGTCATAGCCAAGAGCGCAAAGAAGAATATTGTCTGCATGTCTGTTGCACGGTTCATTTCCACTCTTGGCAAGCATGGGGGTTGTTGATAGTTACACTCCGCTCTTTCTTCCCATCCGCCGCACTGGAAAAATCTTTCAAAATGCCTCAGGGCCAAGTAAAAGCGTCATAATTGCTGAACATCCGTCGACTCTTGCAGAATAACGGCCATGACTCTGATTTTGATCCTTGACTCCGCTTCAAACGATGATGACAATGACACAAAAAGAAGAAGCGACCAGAATGGTCCATGCTCACCCTTCTCGGCAATGCTCGGCAGTCGGCAGTCGATTTTCTGAGTTGACGCCTCTTTCAAACGTCGTTGCCAAGAGAGGAAACGCTTGAAGACAAATATCGAGGGAGTTCAGAAGGTATAAAAGCACAGCATTCCCCTCCCTCTTTTCTATTCCTCATCACAACAACCAAACACAACAACAACAACTCAAGCTACCCAAGCGACCAACCACCAACCAACCTACCCTCAAGTCCTCTCTCACTCAAGCCAACAACACACACAACCAGCCATGTCTCTCTTCAAGTCCAACAAGAGCAAGACCGCCTCTGCTGCCTCGACTCCAGCTCAGACTCCTCGTCCTTCAGTAGATGCCCAGCGTCCCGCCCAAGCCAAGATGACCCGCGACCAGGCCCTCGAGATGGCCCTCCGCAAGTTGGTGCAGACCATGCCTGCCAACTTCAACCTTATGTAAAGCTGATTCCTCTATGGCTTCACTCCCTCTTCAAGCATTCGCCTACACGCGGCCTGTAACAGTATCGTATAATCCAGCGCCTTCATCACTCATCTCCTGTAACATATAATAAATATTCAAACATCCATCTCTGCACCTCTGCTCCCTCAAATGGGACAATAACGTGAATGAGAAAACAAACGAGCACTAGAATATAGCCAATCCATCTGTCAGATATACGACGGGGTGTGCATGTATATGTACAGGCATAAAAGTCGAACATAACATTGCATTGGGAATGCTATGTCGTCCTAGTAAAGAATCCCAATGTTGGCAGACAAAAGTTAAATCAATTCCTGTCTGAGGCAAACTACTTTCCCTCCACAATCTCTCGCCATGATGAGAAGTAATACGCTAGTCGCTATTCTTTCTCGCAAACAAATCCCTCTCTCCTTTCATCGTTCGCCATTGACATTGACCCATCCGCAATTTGCCCAAGATACTCTTGCTTCTCTTGTTTCTCTTGTCTCTTCCCCTTTCAGCGCACCTACACCGACGCCAAATTAGGATTTCGTGAACGTGCACAACCAAACAGGAATCAGGATGGGTAAAGGAAACAGGGATTTGCACACGTTCTCTAAACTCAAAAAGGAGCAAACAAAAATAGTGAGGGGTCAAACAAGGACCAGATGGAATCAGGACATTTGGGAGATCCTCAATCCCTTCTCAAAAAAACGTGCATACCCTTCTCAAACGTGCATACCCTTCCCTCCCTGCTTCTTCACTCACTCTCTCTACGTACCGTATGTGCACACTCGCTCACTTAAAGAACACAGAGCTACAGGGACACGGTGGGATAAAGGCTATCAGAATCATCCCAGACCACGAACAGCCTAAACGAAGAGGGCTTCATGTGCCGTTCGCGCGGTGTGATGGGGATCGCACATTTTGAGATGCGTTCAATATTCGAAAAGGCTGTTCGCGTTTGCTTGCATCGTTGCACTTTATTATTAAAGGCATTTTTCCACTCTCTTGGCCATGTCGCTCTTTTTTTTTTTTCCTTCTTTTCTTCCTCTTCTTTCTCTACCTTCCCCTGTCTTGTTCTCCATTGTCGCCATTCTCCACGCTCGATTTCGCATAAAAAAAAAAAAAAAATGCGCGCCAACACGCTACTCTTTACTATCACCATATCCATCCTCCTCTCATACGCGAATGCAGCACCAGCTCCTATCCCAGATATCCCAGATATCCCAGACAGTCTTGAGATTGTCAAAGCTGACACCGCACAGCCCACACCACCTTCAGATCTAGTACACACGGTCGAGGCAGCTCTAGGTTCAATCGCAGACATCTTCCAATCCTTAAGCAATGGTGACTCGTCCCACGAATCCGATCAGACAGACTGGTCCTGCCAATTGACGGATGAGCATCCAAACCCTGTCATCATGCTTCATGGACTCATTGCTCCTTCATTCACAAGGTAAGCAGACGCGGGTTAAAACCATTTCATGAGTAAAGGGTGAAGCCGAGTTTGATATACCTGAAGGAAAAAATGACCGACAATTATTTTTTTTGGCTCTTTTGTGTTCAACAACCTCGCGATGGACATACAAGCTGGAGAGCCATGGCCGAACGCTTGTCAAAAGCAGGATATTGTGTCTACCAGGTAACTACCTCCATCAACATGATCCAAGAACAGTGCTGGTTACCTACTTTGTTCATTGGCAGCCCCCCCCTCTCCTGACACGTAAACATCCCCTCTCCCTTCCTCTCTTTCTTCTTGTAGCTCAAGTACGGGATGATCCCAGGTTTCAAAACTATAGGCGGCCTCACAGATATCCGCGAGTCCTCAAAAGAACTCGACGCCTTTATCACAAAAGTCCTTGCAGCCACGTCTTCCCCATCCACCCAAAAAGTCGACCTCATCGGCCACTCCGAGGGCACAGTTGTCGCCCGCTACTACCTCAAATTCCTCGACCGCCAAAGTCAGCCACAACAAAAGAGTGAGGAGGACACTACAGATGAGACGATCCACCAAGAACGGCCAGGACGTGTCCGCTCGTTGGTGAGCATCGCACCCGTCGGAAAGGGCACATCTGTCCAGGGCCTATTGTCGATGACGCAAGTCCTGGGGGTCTTTGACTTTCTCGCTGACGCCGTCCAGCAGTACTGTGCCGCCTGTGTCCAGCTCCTTGAAGGCTCCGAATTAATGAAGGCACTGTACGGAGACGATAGTCTGCAAGGTGAGGTTCCGGGCGTCCGGTACTTAAACATCGTCACAAGTCGCGACGATATGGTGACCCCCTTCACCAACGGCGTCATGACCGTACCCGAAGTAACCAAATCCACTGATGTGGCGAGGGTGAAAATCGAGGCGGATGCGCCGTGGTTACAAAACTTGGTGATTGAGAACCACTGCGACGTCAATCCCAATTACTCGAACCACTTTGGCATCTTCCAGAGTCCGTTTGCCTTCCATGCCACAAACGCCTTTCTGTCATCCGATTCCGGCACGCTTGACGCCACCATCCCTTGCGCACTGGATCCCGACACCTCCTCGTCCTGATTACCCATACTCACATCTCAATCCTGCATCCTCCTGTCAACTCTCAATACCCAATAATTAACACGTCTTGTTACAATCAATATTGGTCCAAGAATGCTGTTGTTTTTGACGTCTGTTTTTTTTTATCGAATGCTCATTTTTGGGAGGAAAAACAAAAAAGGATGAGGCGGGTGGTGTTCTTGTTTGAAATGTAGAAAGTAGTGGTTGGAACTGAGGGCACAGGTAAATGGGAGTTTGAGGAAAGCACCCTTCCCAGCTTTCGTCCAAATGCTCGTCTGAAAACGTACTCCTTCCCTTTTTCGCACTCCTGAACTGCAAGGTTATAAGTCCTGAATCTGCTTCAACAAGAACGCCTTTTCATCGTTGAACTGCTCGTCCTCTATTGCATATTGAAAGAAAAAAAAAGTCAGGCACGTTAATAAGAGTAAGTGCGAACATTGTTTGTCAACCCACACATGCAAATGGATGCCAAAGTAAACGGCAATTTACCATTGCGGTCATTATGGAATGTGCTCAAGAAAGAGATGAGCTTGTCCTGGTTCTTTGCCAAGATATCCAACACAGGCTTGTTCTTATTGGGGTTTGCAACAAAGACCTATGACAGTGATAGCCAAAAAGTTAAGTTAGTGCCATGCCATGAGAGCTTACAGTAATAAGAGGGGCCAAATTAAATGACATTTGCAGTACCTTGAAGACGTGGAAGGCCTCAAACTGGATGTTGCGACTCCTGTCCTTCAACAGGTTCATCATCAACTTCAAGTTGTCGGCGTTAGCAATGTATCGCGTCATGATCGTAAAGTTAGTCCGGTCCAAGAGAATCTCACCCAACAACTATTACGCACACAGTCAATAAAGGCAGTTAGTACAACATGTCTTCGCCGGAGAAAATGAAAAGGTTCAGATTTCGCCTTTCCTTCCTGTCAGCTGAACGCATTCGACAGTCGATGGGACGTGTGCGTACCTTTAATGATTGACGCTTGGTGACATAGTTGTTCGACTGAAGAAGCTGGTTGTACTTATCGAAAAAGACGTCGTAGTTGCGCTCCAAAAAGTCAGCCACAAGAGTCTTGTGCCTGCTCAAGATTTCCTAAAAGAGCGGAGAGAAAACAAGGTCATAAAACGTCAATCGAGGAGGTTCGTAATACGTCCAAGGGGAATACGAAACGCGCCATCCCATCCTTGCCGGCCCAATTGTTGGTTAATAAATATCCGAGAAGGGATGCCCTCGTACCTTGAATGTGGCAAAGGCGTCGCTGGCGATATCGAATGTGTTCATCTCCACATAGTCAAAGAACTTGTATACTTGGTTCGAGTTGAAGACAATCTTGGTCAACACCTCATGTCGCAAACACTCCCGCAAGATCATGCCACAGTTCAGCGCAATTTCCTGGTTTTCGTACCTAAGCCAGTAGGAGTCAAAATAGCGTTAGGGAGAGTGTATTTTGTATCCCATGTTGTTGTTGCAAAATAGTCGAAAAAAGTCAAGCTTTGCATCGCCCAGAATAGGGGTTAGGTAAAAGAGCAGGAGGACTCTGCCATGACGAAAGTTTACATAAAGCCAAGTATCCCCATTGTTCCACCAGCCCCTTTGTTCCCTCACGACTAAAAAAAAAAATGTAGGAACGCGTCTCCTGGTGTCACGATCTCCTCTCTCTCCACCCCCTTTTTTCGATCTCACGCTGTTCTGCGCATGGTGAGGCAAATAAATCCGCTGCATTCATGCACTCATCCCTGGCAAGGCCGAGGAGTATTACAAGCCAAGGAGGTAAAGATGTGCTTTGGTTTTTGTATTGCAGGGCAGGGTAAAATCAGGGCAATTGACATTGACCAAGGAAAGAGAATACATGAAATGAAAGCGAGGAGGGCGAATCCAGGCAACAAGAAACAAGACCTCATTATTGTCCGCTTTCCTTTCGTCCCCCTTTTTGATGCTATGAATGGTCAATAAGGAGATGCAGTAGGGCAGATGGGAATACGCAACAAGAACGAGTACACCCGTAGAATATCGTTCCTGTCGTGGCTGTGGTTGATTCACAATACGAAGATGTCCCATGAGTTCGCCCACCCTTCCTCCTTTTTCTCTTTTTCAGCCAATTCGACTCGACTCAACCCAAACAAAAACCTTCTCCTGAAAAAAAGTCGACTAGGGTTTGTTGGCTGTCGACTCCCTTCCAGTAACAACTATGATGAATCCAATTGTACAAGGGGTCTCGAGACCCTCTTTTTCTCCTGTGACGCAAGATCGTAGTCAACTTATTTTTGGTGAAGGCGTTTTCCGTGGAAAAAGAACCAAACATGATGACCCCACAAGTGAGAGGTCATGCCAAACTTTGTCCATCCGATCGTCTGTTTGTGTTGTGTCTGTGGGTCCTCGTGTCATCCCGCCTTTTTTTCCTTGCACTGCTCTGCACTGCTCTTGTTGTTGTCCGTGGAGATGATAATGGCGAATGAGATAATGCAACGAAAGCAGAAACACATACCCTTGGATCAAGGTGAAGAGAATCTGGTCGCGCGTGCAGAGATATTCGACCGTGGGAGAGCGGGATCCAATGTGACGTCGGAGCAAATTGTTGAAGATCTGGGCAACGTCCTTCTTGGCCTCAAACTCGAACCGGCCAATGTTGTCGACCAGCAGCTGCAGCAAGTTATTGGTATACACCTCCTGTGCCAATTGAGCAACAGTCTCTGGGACAGGGTCGTTTTCTATGAGGATTGGATAAAGAAGGAAAAACAACAAAGGAATCCGTCATCGATCCACGTGGGTGAGATCATAACGCGTGCACCTTTTCTATGTTAGCGAAAGTACATTGTCATCTGGTAAAAAAAAAAAGGTTCTCGTTTGTACGAGAAAGTAGAGAGAAAAAAGAGACTTCTAACTTGCCACTATCACCATAGAGCATGGTCTTGATGGCCACCAGGATCTTGGAGATGTCTTCTGTGGCCTAAAGTGCGAAATAAAGAAGAGAAGAGCACGATCGTCAGTACTGTGAAGATGTGGCAGTTCATTCGTGTACGCACAATAACGACGATATATTTCGGCCTTTTGTTTATTCTTGCAGAGAAATCGGAGGGAAGGTCGATGGACGCGTTCTAGGTCGAGTCAATTGGATTCCTCTCTCACGCCTGTGTTTATTTTGCAAATGAATAAAGAGCTCACTTTCCCTTATCGCCCTCATCCTTCGTACATTCACACACTCTTTCAACTCTTATTCTCTTGTCCTGAGTCTCTTTTTCATTTTTGCTCTGATTGCAACGAATCGTTCTCCTTGGGTCGACAACAGTATAAAGGGCGAGAAGTGGACAACATTGTTGGGGTTGTTGAGATTTTGCTGAGCGAGACGCAAAAGTAGGAAGGAACACAACAACAAACGACGCAATGAAAAAAAAAGTGAACGAGAAAAAAGCTCATAAAATAATAGAGCAAATAACGTGTCTTCCCCACAGCTATTATACAAAGACGTTTCTTTTTTAGATGGTGTTTGTTCAGGTACAAGGTAAGGTATAGCAACCCTCCGGGTGAACACCACTTGTCAATATTGATAACCAACAGGACTGAGGTATGTGTGTGTAAGTATGTGTGTTTTGTGGTTGGAAAGAGATGTTGAGGACCGCTTGACAGCAAAAAGCGGATTATCGATAACAAAGGGGTGTCTTTGTTTGAAAGACAGAATGACCATAGTGTCTTGTCCTGTTATTTCACACATGGAGTATTTTTGATGTTGATCCGAATTAAAAGGTCAATGGGCTTGAATGAGGAAGTACCTTTTTCCTGTCTGGCCCGTCAAGCTTCTGGATGGACTCCTTGAGGTTGCGGGCGAGTTCGTAAGGAGTCTTTGGTTTTGATTTGAAGAAGTTCATGGTGTGCTGTGAGAGATTCAGGGTGGCTACTTGTGTGGGCGGTGAACAAGGGGAGGAGAAGGAGTGAAGAGGGATGAGTAGGGGCGAGAAGGCGAGGAAGGTGGGAGTGCTGGGTATGTGTCCGAGGAGTGAAGTGAGTGAGAGGGCGAAGGATGAGGTGGTGGTGGTGAAGAGTGAAGGAGAGTGAAGGATGAGTTGAGGAGAGGAAGAAGGAAGAAGAGAGGAGGAGGAGAAGAAAGGAAGAAAAGAATGAGAGAGAGAGCGAGAGAGAGAGAGAGCCAAAAGACAAAGGAAGTGAGAGTGAGAGGGATTTTGCCTGAGAGGGTTGAGACCAGGCACAGATCCATCTGAATCAGGTTCACTAGAGAAAAAAATGATGATCCACGCTGTGTCAAACAGACATATAAAAATGCATCATCGGATGAAGGGGAAAAAGGGGGAAAGAGAAGAAGGACATCTTGATCGTTCTCTTGCACTCCTATCTCTCAGACACACTCATAAAACGCGCGATTGATTGTCCTCTGTAGTCAACTTGTGCCTGCAGGTCGTCATCATTCATCCTCCTTCCTTCTTCTTCTTCTTCTTCGTTCCTTCCTCCTTCCTTCCTCCCTTGCTCGTCGTACATTTTTGAACACTGTTGGGTTTTAGCATCGCGGGAAGATGTAAAAATCAAGAAACCCGATGGTAAACATCTCACCCACCATCGCATTAGTCGCTTTAACCACGACGGGACGAAGGAATTCATGCCAGTGCCATTGCCACGCCATGATTTAACCCGAATGGTCGCATGGTCAATTGAACTTTTTTTTTTTTTTTTTTTTGTGGAGTATGGAGCAAACACCATCCTAAACCCATGCAAGCCAACCCCATCTATCAATCGAAAAGCTGGCGACCTGTGGGAACAAAACAAAAAAAAAAAAAAAAACGGCAAAGAACCTGGTTGATACTACAGGGATTTCTCCTTTTCGCCTATCTCTCTTTGTTCTCTCCATCTCATCTAGCCTTGTCCTTGAGTTTTTTTTTTTCTCACACTGACACCCCTACGTTCTTCCTCATTCTATATCACACCATGTTAGCCATTACACAAACCATACCGTCTCGCGCCACGCCACCTTATTCACGCCACAAAAAGCAACTTTCCAGTTCCCGCTTGCAACTTGGCGTGTAACAAACAAAAAAGTAATTGCTCACCATTCTTTTTTTTTTTTTTTTTTTTTTTTTCGGTCGACAAACAGACAAGAGAGGGCTGTAGCTTCTTTGACCGAAATTCCAAAACTTCTTTTCTACTTTTTTTTTTTTTTTTTTTCTCTCCCTCGCCGTCGTTCATCTTTCTACTTTGAACGTATCCATCGGGCCCAAGGCGAGGCGTGGGGCTAATGCGTGGCACAATAAACTTCTCGAATCGTGGCGCTGTGTGGGAAGGAAGGAAGGAAAGGAAGAGAAGAGAGCTTTCACTTCACACACACACACAACTGGTATTCAACAACAACTGCAAAACAGCAACAAGCTCAAAGTATCATACATATTGTACTGCGTCAATGACGATGAATTAGTGTCTTTTTTTATTGTTTTTGTTTTTGGGTTTTATCTTCCCGACTGACATCGAACAGCCACTCCGAAACGTTGGTTCTGCTACTGTAGTCATAGATACAAGTTCCACAAAAGACCGGCTGTTGTGATTGTCTTGCGATCCTGTGTCACTCACTGACTCTCCCGAAGCCGTATTTTTTTTTTTCATTTCCATCCCAGCCCACCATACTTGCTGGCCGTAAGGGTCCTCCTTTTATCATCTACGATTGATGGCTAGAACAACCAGGAGGGAAAAAAAACGCGTCTTTGATGGTAATTACTTTTTATGTTTTAATCGAGAAGGGAAGGGTATGCAACAGGTTTCGCGTAAAAAAAATAGGTGGACAAATTAAGTGAGGAAGAAAAGAACAATATTCCTTTGAAAAAAAGAACTGCGACCCTATGCTTAGACAGGAAGTCTCTGTCCGCTGATGCGATCCACAATCTATTGATCATCCGACGATGTACAGAAAATAGATGAGGCGCGATTAATAATCTTTTTGAATGCCATTGTCCCTCATATCCGTAGGTAGAGTCCTTGTTTGTTGGTAGTGCCGACCGTGCCCTTCTTTCAAGGATCCCGAGGCTCAGGAAGGAACTGTTTTTCCACAGCACCATTTCCGATCCGCGCAAGTTCATGAGAAGTGAGAATAAGAGACGTGTCGGAAGGAGAGAGAGACATGAGATGAAAAGACGTGATGAGCATCCAGACTACCATCAACACGTCCACTATTCAACCCTGTTATCCTTCAGGTAATACAAAAGGGTTCATACATGTCGCCGTCAGTCTCCAATGCTGTTTGTTCCCAAACGTTACCTTGGAGATTCCAGGCGCGCTCAAGATGTTTCCAATTACGGGCAATCTCCTCAAGAATCCGATAATCACAGGGAAGAAATCACTAATTGAGCGGAAAGAAACGATCGTTAGCATGCATCACTTGCAAGCTAGGGCAAAGGACATGAAGACCAAAGACGATAATGCGCCATCCTGGTTCTCTTACCCAAAGAGGTTGATGAATCCAAAGAGCTCGACGAGGATGCCGATGATGGGCCACTTGATAAAGATGAGAAGGATGCCCAAAAAGAAACAGACTGTCCCCCGGATCTTTTGAGGCCGCGCGAAAAAGAACATTGTCTTTTGAGGTCCGATAACCATCGTCAATCCTGCCAAGAACAAGATCTATTTTTTTGGAGGGTGTAATAAGGTCCAGGAGTTAAAAAGAAGGGTTAATGGAATGGTGTTGCGTTACGTATATCCTTGACCAGAAAAAGTGTAGAACTGTTCCTTGTCCATTGTTCGGACTCGTCCTTGTTCACTTGTCCTGCCCAGCCAAACGATGGAATCTTTCCTGCTGTTGGAAAGCAAACCATGTCCAACCGATACTTTCGATCCATGCGATGCCATGTCCATCAAAGGATCGATATCTCCCGCTTCCAATATCTTCTCCTCTTGCTCTCTCTCTCTCTCTTTCTTCCTTGAGTAAAGAACCCTTCCGTCGAAACCCCGGCCGGTAGAACCAAATCCTGTGGTATCCGAATCCTGGCTTTCTAATCATCTCCACAGAGGTCTCCAGAAGTCATCGTCCAGCCGCATGTTCCCCTTCGAGTCTCCTTCCATCTGTCAATCGGATGACACCCCTCCAAAGTTGGAGTAAGAGTTTCAGCTTACGTTTCCGATGGCCAAGAGTCCGCCGTCAAAAAACATCATCACGCCCATCAGCATAAAGAACAATCCGAACGCCGTCAGTCCCACTCCAATCTCTATTTTCCATTCAAAAGAAGAAGCAACGAAAAAAAGAAGTCAGTTTTATACAGTAGATGTGGCCAAAGTAGGTATGGGTCGGCCGCTTTGTTTGCCCAAAGTTGTTGCGTTTACTCTGTGTGTCTGAAAGCCACATGGTCATCGTTGTATAGTTCTTTTTTTTTCGTTGGAAGGTGGAAAAGGAGAGTGGGAGAGGTGTTGGTGTTTGTCGTGAGGAGTGAAAAAGAGGTGATGAGAAGCGGAGATGACAAAAGAGTGAGAGAGAGCGTGAAAGTTGCAAGAAAGCAAGGACGTGTCAAACCATATGGTTAAGGCTGATCAGTCTTATTCTGTGACGTGGTTCCACCACAGGACGGTTGGGACAACATGAAAAGGAAAAAAAGAAAGTTCGTATCTGTTGTCGTGGCATGTCACTCCGAAGCATTGCACACGGGGCGTGTACCGTATTTTGGTTTATTATTAGCAATGAATTAGTGTAGATGCAATAGAAGTGGGTGTAGTAGGTGCGAGAATGGAGGGATATCGAGAGAATGGACGGCTTGGCACAGAAAACTACCAACCCTCAGGTGGCAACTGCTGCGACCCGTCCTCCGACGAATGCTGCTCATTCGACATATGCTGTTGATGTTGCTGAAGGTCATACCGTTGATTACCATGCTGTTGTTGCTGTTGTTGCTGCTGTTGCTGCTGTTGTGCCATTTGCGCCCTCATGTACTGCAATTGAAGCTGCTGCTGATACGGATCCATTCCTTCGCCGACACCGCCAGGAGCCTATTATTCACGGTTGTCATTCATTATGCCACAGAAACACAAACGTTGGTCAGAGCGGGTTCAAGCAATAAAGAGCCCAATCCATTCCACAACCTCCACATATCCATCCTTTCATACCACGTTCCCATTCAAACACACAACAAATAACGAACGTCAAGACCAAGCACGACGAAAAACTTACCATGGCGAACTGCCCACTCTCAAGGATACCATAAGGATACCCATACCCCTCCAACCCAATCGGTCCTCCACTGCCACCTGCAGCAGTAGGCCCACCAGGTCCAGCACCGCTCATGTTAGGAAACGATTCCTGACTACGTCGATGTTCAATCCCCCCACCAGACGCCGACTTGCTATGACCACTCGCGGCCTCCTTGGCCTCCTTTGCAGCCTTGAACTCTTCACGGGGGACAATGTCGATCAAGAAATCAAACATGTCGGTTTTGGAGATAGCTGCCGCAATGTCGCTCCTCTGCAGTGTCCGCCGCTTGTTTTCTTCCGCATGGATCCTAATGGTGTTTGTATTGCAGGTATGTACAAAAGACAACGTACGAAAGAAAAAAGTGAGAGAGGAAGAGAGAAAAGAGACAGAGGAGATGAGCACAGGTGACCATGTCAAAAGAGGAGATGACCGTTGTGTTTTTTTTTTTTTGCATGATTAGTATCCGTCATCTGGTTGGATAAGCGAACGCACTTGCTCCTATATTTTTAATATGGCGGCTGTTGCTGGGGGAGGCGGGAAGAAGAGAGAGAAAGATGTATGTGTCTTACCATGCGCGGATGGTCAGCTCCGTAATGAAGATCTCGCACCCCTTATCGAATATCATCGGTGCCTCCGCCGAGATCATCTTCGCCTGATATGCAGAAGTATTTTATTCGTCGTACAAGACGCAATAGATGTTAGATACCTTGGTTCCCAATCATCTTTCCCCTCGCATCCATGCCAACACTCGAGTGTAACTTGCTCAGCAAAACAAACGAGGACAAAAAAAAAAGCAAAAGCAAAAGCAAAGACAACAGAAACATCAAAACGACAAAAAGACCGCTGCCACTCCTTCATTTACCTTGACATCCTCATCAGTCTTCATAACCTTCTTGATCCTCGCCAACGGCAAATGATGGATCTTGAAGTCCTGCGGCACATTCTCGATATCATGCATCTGGTTCACCCAGAACGAATGTAATAACTGCATATGGGCATGTTGCATCGGTGGTTGAGGTGGGGCGCCGCTGATGGGGTCATGCTGTTGTGGCTGTTGGCCCATCATCGGATATTGCTGCTGTTGTTGCTGGTGTTGGAGTTGCATTTGGTGTTGGTAGTGTGAGGCCGCAGTGGGGTCGTATGCAGACCCTGCCGAGCCCTGTCTTTGGTGGGCCATGGTTGTGCTTTCAGTTTTGCCTGTATGTCTGTGCTTGTGTAGTTATTGTGGTTCCTTCCTAGACGAGAGTTTTTTGTGTTACGATCCTGGTTGTGGTTGTTGTTTTGTTGTTGTCGGAATAAGAATAAAAGAATAAAAGAATAAAAGAATGAAAGAAGAGAGGAAGAGTACAGAAAGGGAGAGAAATGAAAAAGGGAGGGAAAAGTACGGAAAAAAGAAGAGAAGACGAATAGAAAGAGAGAAATGAACTCGAGAAACACAAGGTGAGTTGAGGGTATGTGAAGCAAGTTGTGAACGACCGAAGAAAAGAAAGGACTTCTTTACTAGACCAGAGGGAGGGAGAAGAAAAGAGGAGAGACAAAGAGGACGACACCTCTACCGACCAATCGTGAGAGACCAGAGACAGCCACTTTTTTCTGTGTCACAAATGAGGCTTGATCACTGGTGAGACAACCGCAAAGAAAAGAAACAAAAAAAAGGGAAAAAATGGAAAAGGCGGGAAACCCAGAACCACCATTGCGCAACAACAACAACAGCAACAACACCATCAGCGACAAGAGAACTATACCGTATGGTAGTCAATGCAGAAGCGTAAAAAAGAAAATATCCATGAAATGAAGGATGTATTTAGATTTCGAGTAAAATGTGTTTGGTATGCTTTGCTTTGAGAAGCCTTGGTCTCCCATCCATGGTTCAGATGTGTCTGTCAAACGAACTCGTGACACAATCAACCGGTAGACATCACCATGGAATTTTAGTCAAAGGGAAGTCTCCGTGCTCCATTGCTGGCACCACCAGAGGCCGCCGCCGCCGCAATCGCACTAGGGATCTTCATGCCGCAGCAGGTAGGGAACTCTTGGCCAAACGCATGGATATGCTGATGTCCCTCCACTCCCGCGTCTTCCTCATCCTCATCTAGAATCCGGTTATCGCTCTGGCCCTTGAACGGGAGCAATGATCCAAATAGGAAATGCTGCATAATCGGCAACTTGCCAAACACCTCGGCCTTGTACATCTTGATCATTCCCGTGTTGACCTTGTCCCATGTCTTGACCGCACTAATATCGTCCAACATGGGCGAATGCCATCTCAACGACGCCGACTTGACCTGTTGTCATCAATGCATCGGAGGAGGTTTCCATTGTCAGTAACAACAATTAAAGCTTCTAATACAACACTGATATTCGCAAAGCGGTGCACAATGATGGCTTACAGAGTTGATGAACTTCACGCAGGAGAGATACATGTAGTCCTTGGAAAACTCGGACACAATGTCGTTGTCGTGGATGGACTTGGGTCGGATATACTTGTGTCCTCTCAATTGTGCTGCTCCAAACAAGAATGGCAAGAAGTGGTAGTCATCCAAGCCCCACACTCCATGCGATCCAGCGGGTTCAAGCCAGTACGCAAACTGAAGATTTCTCATCACCTCAATATACCTATTGCAAAGTAAATGTGCGGACATATTGTTGGCAATTGCGCTGTACAAATGGCCACGTCAGACTGCACTGAATAAAATAGGGCTTACTTGAAGAAGACATGGATGACGACGGCCTTGTAGTCCTCCTTCTTGATGAGTCCCAGTTTGGCAAAGCAATAGAGCCAGGCCAAGAAGCTGGCCTCGTGCCCTGTACCATAGTCGATTCTCTTGCGGTTGCCCCAGCTCTCCACAAAGTACTTTGTCACCTCAGGGACAGCTTCCTTAGGGAGCGAAAGTTTCTCCATCCAACTTGGTGCAGACTAGTGAAGACACAAAAATAATATAGGAACAAAGCAAGAAAAAAACGTGCTGTTAAAGGACTTTTCTTCGATGGTCAATGCGCCTTTTTTTCTTCTTTCCCTGGCACAGTTATTTTTTCTGCCCGTTGCAGGGCTCTCTCTGTCCTCGCTCCAACCCCCCTATTCTCTGTCGTTCTTTCCCTTACCAAGCCGATCTGGTCGTAAAACTTGCGGAATGCGGGGTTGCCGAATCGACTCTCATGGCCCGTCTCAGGAGGGTACTCTTCTGTCACCTGGTTGACCAAGTCCAAGGTCTCCAGCATGCCCTTGACAACCTGGTATAAAAAAAGTGCAAGTCGTCGCCACACGGTTAGCGCATCTGAGATTGGTCACGAGTCAATACATTCCCAAAAAAAAAAAAAAAAATGGATACTGTACCTCGCTTTGGTGACAGTCAGCGGTGCTCACGACACCAACAACACTCTCGTTCAACTCATCCAAAAAGGCAAAGAGCGCGACATAGGTGGGCGATGCGTGGAACAGGTCAAGATCCTCCTTTGTCAAGATCTCTCTCCTTGGCACCATGAACCCGCCTGTTGGGATATCTTCAACAGGAGCATCAACAGGGTCGGTGGTTGTTGCGCTCTGAGACATTGACGTGTCGGTCGAGCTTGACTGTTGTTGAAAGTGTTGGCTGATGGGGCTAGGATCGTCCTGCTCCATGGCTTCCCGGTCCTGCTCGAAGTCGTCCCCTGCGTTTGAGGATGTGCTTCCCATCTTTAATGAAGCGTAAGAAAGAGTTGGCGAAGGAGGTTCAGCAATGATGGACGAAGGAGGCGAGGGGACAGCAGAGGATGGCACATCCAATCCCTTGGCATAATGGCTGCTAACGCTATAAGGCTTTGAAGACAGGTAAGATGGGTTGGTGGATGACGAAGACGACGACGAGGAGGAGAGGTTCAGGGAGATATCCCCGAGAGCAGGGATATCAGGCGCAGACGAGACCTCGATAAGAGTTGGAGTTAATTTGTGGAGTTCCTCAAGGTCGGCTTCGAGTCCACCGGTAGGGATGGACGACGCGGTAGGAGTTCTGGGCTCCTGGTCGGTGCCTTGGGACTGGTCGAGGTCTGAGGTGGAGATGGGAGGGATCTGGACGGGTGCCTTGGCGAGGGTTGAGGTCCATTCCATGACCTGGGGCACCTTGTCGCTGAAGTCAATCGAGTGGCGAGCGGCATGGGTGATTGAAGGGTTAGTTGCAGGTGTGAGGAAGCTGGTTGAGGTCATCTCTGAGTCTGCAGTCGCGGTTCCCTCTGTGAAGGACGAGTACTGTTGTTCAGCCATTTTGTGAGAAGGTAATGAGGCGGGAGGGAAGCAGTAAATGAAAAGGGGAAAGGAGCGTGAGCTTGTTAACAGAAAAAGGGCGTGGAGCGAAGCAACAACGAGAGTGAGGTACAAAGCTCTAGTTAAGGGGTGCTGCACCCTTGCTTTTTTTTTATTCCCAGAAAGGACGGCATACAGCGTGGGTCTTTCTCCCTTGACACCCTCCACCTCCAACCACAGCCATACAGCAACAGACAAGGACCGACAACAACAAGTCAGCCAACCAACCGCCCCATTCTCACACTACTAGTCAAAGAACCCTCATGTACCCGAATCAAAGCGGGCGTGTCCTCGACAAGGAGAACGACATCGTCACAGAGAACAATGCCGGCCGCACTGGAACCACAGGACCAGGAGGGCTCCATGCCAATCTCGTCAAACAGAACTCTCTCATGGGAAATCGGACCCCTTCAAAGCAACAGCCTCAAGGACTCAAGATGAATCCTGCTGGCTCAAAGACCCCTATCCAAGGCAAGGTCTCTAACTTGGGCCACAACTCCCCTTCAGGTAAACGAATTATGCAGCTTCTCACGCAGTTATTACGAAGACAGCTAACGGTGTTGCTTGCGAGATAACACATAGTGGCTGACTCTTTACGCTTTATTACTGATAGCTCAAAGCGTTCTCAGACCAAAGACCAACTACCAGCTGCCACCGACAGCACCCGTGGCCGATGACAGCAACACTGCTAACCTAAACCAGAAGAAGAAGAGCGGATTGGCACGGACATTCAGCACTGTTCTCGATTCCAATAATAACAACAACAACAGCGATTCCACCAAAGTGCCTTCCACGCCTATCAAGTCCGATTCTTCCAGACGCCTCTCTTTGACCAAGCGCGGATCTGCAAAAGCCAGACTTGTGGTCCACAAGGACGAACCGGCACCAGAAGATATCGCACAGGCACCCATCAAAACTAACCTTGGCACCGGCCAAAACATCAAGACAACCGGTGGTGGCAGCGGAGGAGAAGGAGGCGCAACAACATCTCGCCGACCAGTGACTCGTCTTACCGAAGCAGTACCATTGGAATCAACTACTACGATTCTGTCAATTGGACGATCATTGGAGAGCGAGGACAAGGTCGTTGTTGGTCAAGCTAAGGCTGAGACCAAGCGACGCGCCCTCACCAACGAGGATGACAAACTCGATATCGAGTACTGCCCTCCACCCATTGAAGGTAGCCTTGCATAACACATGTTGGCGGAAATGAAAAGGTGTGATATTCAGATGTGAGGCGCATTACAACTAACACGGTTCCACTCGTATTATCTCAATGTTTAGAACGACCGTACGAGCCCGATTTCGAGGTGATCAACTACGACGTTCTTAAGACTGACCCTCCATCATTGGCATACCAATACCAATACTTTGACTACTCTGAACCTCCACTGCCCGACTTTGAGCTTCTCCCGACCCAACGACCATCCCGTGCATTCTCATCTTCATCGGAACTGTCAGACACCGAATTGTATATCCCTGTCGCCAAGACAACTCTCACTGCGGATGGTCATTTGGACGTTACCTGGAGCGAGGACGACGATAACGAGGAGAACGACGGTTCCCCTCACCCTTTAGGCGGTATCTCCCACGGCCACACTGGCCCCATCAGCAGTGGTCGTCGATTTGGAATCAAGGATCTGCCGAATGAGGACAAGCTCCGAGCGCCGTTTGATGGATTCATGTTTGATCTGTCGGAGGATTCTTTGAGCGAGGACGAGGATGATATCTTTGGTAGCATTAGAGTTGGAGCAACCAGCAGCAGCAGCAGCAACCGCACTGGTAGCAAGAGTAACAAGGAACAGGTCAAGGGAGTTGCAGCGGAGGAGGCTGACGAATTCAACAAGGCCATTGGTCTCGACGATCTTGAGGACGAGAGCAAGGTCAAGGCGCCCTTCTCTGACTTTTCCTTTGACCTCTGAAGAATCAGGATGCTTATATCGTCCATTCTTTCATTCTGAGGCTCGTTGTCAGCCCATTTGTACATATTGTTTCTTTCGCAGGATAATTCGCTTAGCTCCACCATTTGCTTTCCATACCCTTCACATCTTTCTTTCTCCCTTTGTCGCGAGAAAGGCTGACTCTTTTTTGAATCGCTTGCTATAGTTTCCACCCCCACCCCCATCGTTGTATATTTGCTCTTCTATTTTCTAGTCCATGTAACATCAATCCCAATAACAAAATAGGGTTTTTTTTGCTCCCTCGCACCCAATGCATTCAGCTGTTCTTTTTGTCTCGTTTTGAAGTGTATTGAGAGAACTGAAGAGGTCTATGAACAGTGGGTTGGTGTTAAGATACAATTTGTGTTTACTGTTGGGTGCGATCGGCGATCTTGAGGATATCAGAGTAGATACCGAAAGCAGTGACGGCAGCACCGGCGCCGGAACCCTGGATGATCAAGGGGCTGGGGAAACGCTCGGTGGTGAATGCGATGATGTTGTCACTGCCCTTCAACGAGGCGAAGGGGTGGCTGGCAGGGTATCTATTTCGATGTGTCAAAATAGTATGAGGAGGAAAAAAGTTTAATACACACGGTCTTTCGCGGGCAAAACGAGGAGAATGGAGCCAAAAAAAAAAAAAAAAAAAAAGGGCACACAAGAGCATTCACCCATCAAGAAACCTCTATTGTATCATTTCGTTCATTTTCTCTTCTGACATACCTGGCAAGAGTGACGCTGGACTTTCCATGAACAGGGTCAACAAGACCGACATAACGCAAGACCTGGCCGTTCTGGATTGCCTCCTTGTTGAGCTGCTCAAAGTGGTTGTCAAACTCGGGCAACTTCTTCATGAACTCCTCAGAGGAGAGGGAACGGAGCACTTCGGGAACAATGTTCTCGACGTTGACAGTCTCCTGGGTCAAGTCCAGTCCTGCGACACGGCCAAGAATAATGACCTTGCGGGCCACATCCATTCCGTTCAAATCGTCGCGGGGATCGGGCTCCTGTTATTTTTTGTAGTCGTAGAGGTAAAGGAAGAAGATAATATGAGTAACAGTCAAAATGGGAGAGTCATTGGAGAAAACGGCGGTCGGACATTTTTTTTTTTTTTTCGTCGCCTCTCGTCAAGTCATCGAATTGACACTCCATTAGCACAGAACAAGATAACACGTCAACTGCAACAAAAAAAAAAAAAAAAAAAAAAAGAGGATCCCAGAAGAGAAGAAAAAAAGGAACCTACGGTGTAGCCAAGATCTTTGGCGACGGAGACGACCTTGGAGAACTTGACAGGTTCAGCCGAGGCATCGAGGGTCGAAAAGTTGTTAAAGATGTACGACAAAGTTCCCGAGAAGATACCCTCGATCTTTGTAATCTTGTCTCCAGTGTTGATCAGATCGTTCAAGGTGTTGATAACAGGCAATCCAGCGCCAACAGTCGACTCATGGTAGACCAGGGGGGCACCAGGGGCACCGTTAGCAATCTCCTTGATCTTCTTGTAGAGGCTCAAATCACCCGAGAAGGCCTTCTTGTTGGGGGTGACGACATGGAAGCCAGACTCGAGCCAGGTGGGGTAGTAGGCAGCAACGGTCTCGTTAGAGGTGCAGTCGAGCACGACGGTGGGGTTGGTGGCCTTGGAGGCAGCGAGGGAGGCGGTGAAGGAGTCGAGGGTGAATGCCTTGGAGGCAGAGGAGGAGTCGAGGTCGGTCTTCCAGGATGCGGTGAGAGGGGTGGGGGAGGTAAGGAACTGGCGCGAGTTTGCGACGGCGACGACAGCGATCTTTTTGGACTGAGTGGCGATGACCTGGGCAATGAATTCGGATCCGACGAGACCGACACCGACGATGGCAACGTTGACAACCATTATGTTTGAATGAGATGAGGGGAGGGGAAGAGGAGGGGGAAAAGTTTGTTTTGGGTGGGTGGGAAAAGAGGAGGAAGGAAAAGAAACGGCCAAAGAAGCAATTGGCTTTTATCGGCACTAAATGATGAATCATACTGTGACTTGGATCGCGCGATTCGTTGAGGCTGTTGGCATAACCTATGGCTCTGAATATGAAAAAAAGAGAGTTGAAAACATTTGCCACCAAAAAGAAATGTGCTTGCTCAGTTTTCTGAGCTTAATAGCGTTGTTGTGACACGGTCAGTTCTAAATGTGATGGTCGCGGTGCGGTTTTGTTTTGGTGCTTTGTGGTGTTTTCGATCGTGGTAGTGGTCCTGTTCAGGATGGAAGCCTTTGGCCTCATCGGATCAGAGACTGTCTGCATACTTGCCCATTCCACCCACCAGTCGTCTCTCGCCTTCAGTAGTTTCTTAAGCGTGTTCCATTCTTGCGACGAAACTCTCACCGGGATCATCCTTCAGGACTTTCTCTCTCTCAATACAACACGATCTTCTTCGCCTCTGTCACCGAGCTTTTCCAGCGAGCAAAACGAACCTCCAGGATCCAGATGGACGGTCTCAACGACTCATCCGTCATTCGCTTCACTGATAACAACTCCATTGACACCAGAATGATCGAGTACTCAGTAGTCGCACCTTTAGCCGAGCCGGGATCAGGTTGGTCGCTAAGCAGAACTACTTGAGAGAACAGCTCATCCAGTTCGATATCCTTGAATGTTTTAGCCCGCGAATTTGACGAAATACGCCATGGGTTCGACCGCTGGTGCTGGTGATGTTGCTGGCGATCTAACAACATAATTGTTGTTGTCGTTTCTGTGAGTTCCTGGTCGCGTATCTGATCCATTTATAACTGTAAATCATCTTCGTTTGCTCGTTGATGAGAAGGGTTACTAACACCGTGAGAATTTTTGTCAACACGCGCCTTCAGATCCTGAAGTCTCAAAGCTATTGGTTATCGTTTATATTGATTCGTTTTTGGTGTCGTGGAGATGAGCGAGAGTAGGTGAAGAAAGAGAGAAGAATACTGGGAGGATGAGGCAACTCGTTTCGTATGTTTGTAAATGATGTAGCATGTTCTCGCCTGGCCATTGGTTTAATCCGATCGACTATGGTGATCTAAGCATAAGACAGCAACGCGATCGAATGTTGCGGTGGCGGACCGCTTACTGGGATGCCCCACTTCCATCTCAGCTCGTTCACGGGCGTTGTTTTGTCGATCTCATTTTGTTATTACTATCTTTTTCTACGATTCCCATTGATCTCGCGGTACACAGCGCGCGTCTTTACCAGCGCAGAACACTTGTTTATCCCATGTGAAAGTTCTGCCTTCTTCAAAAGGTGTGGAATAAACAAAAATGTCACCACTTTAGATCGGCGGGAAAATGTGGATCTCATCTCGACCCGCATAATGCAAACCATGGTCCACCCATGGCATGATATGGCACAGCCCTTTCTCTATCTTACAATGCTCCTTGGCCATAGTCTACGCCTTCGCCATGCATACAAATAAGCCATTACCATTTGCAACTCCCCAAAGGTCTATTGCACACAATCTATCCTGTTCGTCATGGGCCTTATAGCATATACGCCATGTGTTTTGTCTTTGTTTGTTTGACTCATTCTTTTCTATCTTTCCCCTCTTTACCGCTTGTACCGCACCCATTCATCTGTCTATTGAGTCTAAGCCCTTTTCTCTTCTTTTCGCGGCTCTGTCTTTTGTTTTTAACTCGACTTTTCTTCAGTACCTTATAAATTGCCCCTCGCTTTCTCCATCCCAGTATCCATCACCTGTTACTCACCTTCCTCTCTATCTCTTTCATTCTCTTTCAATTCACATACGCACTCTCTCGCCCCACCTTCTCTCCCCATTCTTCAATATTGGGCATCAACAAGATGAGCAGCACTGAGACGACCCCACTCCTCTCTAACACCAGTCTCTCCGAGAGCACCAAGCCAGCACCCACTGATCATCATTGTAGCCCAGATCTCCTCGCGGAAAGGCCTGAACAAGGCTCTAGCTTTGCGGCCTACGCCATTGTTGTGTGCACTGTTGCAGGTAAAAATGATGTTGTTAACTGACTAGTGTCCGCTGACGGTTTTCAGATGACTAATAAGTACATTATCAATATGGATGAATGTGTTCAGGCAGTGGAACCTTAGGCTTGCCGTATGCCCTCAAGCTGGGTGGATGGATTGGCATTGGTGTGCTGATCTTATCCTTGTTCATGTCCGTATATACCTCCGTCCTTCTTGTGAGGTGCCTGTACTATGACGGCGTCCACCGTCTTTCGTCCTATCAGGAAGTGGGCCGACATGCGTTTGGAAAAGTGGGGTTGTGGACTGTCTGGTTCTTCTATACAATACTCGTCATCGGCGCTCCTGTCATGTTCTTGATCCTGGCAGGCACGGGACTTAAGTCTGTGATTGCCCTGGACATCAGCGCCAAGGCTTGGATTTGGATTTGCGCCGCCATTGTTGCGGTCCCGTTTGTCCTCTTCAAGACAATGAAGGAGGCCGCAATTACCTCCGTCCTGGGTGCCCTTGCGACTGCAGTCTTGGCTGTAGTTGCTGTCCGTGGCTCAATCCTGGACTTGGACAACCCAGTCTATGCTGATGTCAACCATAACCTTGTCATCTTCTCACACCTCCCCACCGCCGTCGCTTCCATCTCGATGTGTTTCGGTGGCAATGCCATCTACCCCCATGTCGAGGAGTCCATGCGATACCCCAAATCCTGGAATCGCGTCGTGACCGCCGCCCATTGTACATGCACGATTCTTTACCTTGCTGTAGCCATCCCTGGTTACATGGCTTATGGCGACCTTGCCGAGTCCCCGATCCTCAACAACCTACCCAAGGATATCTATACTACGCTCGGAACCATCGTCATCATTATCCACGTCCTCTTTACCGCGCCTCTTTTGTTGACGTCGTTTGCCTTGGAGATCGAACGTCTGGCCGATATTACAGTCAGTTCGCGTGGTCTGGTCATGGAGCGCGTTTACCGGACAGTTTTCCGGGTCGTCGTTGCTGGCGTCTGTGCGTGTATTGCTTGCACTGTCCCTTACTTTGGACATTTCATGTCGCTATTGGGCGCGCTTTCGATCTGTACGCTGATCTTTGTTCTGCCGGTTGTTTTCTACGCCAGGCTTGTTGGATGGAAACAGATGAGGTGGTTTGAGTTGGTCTGGTGTGCTATGATTGTTGTCATTGGCGTTGTCAGCGCGGTCATTGGATCGATCGATGCCATCCATGCCCTCAAGGATGATTTTGAGAACGATCCCACCGCCATTTGAGCTCGAGAGGAAGGTTGGGGGGGGGGGAGTTCTCTGACCTATTTTTTAATTCCATCTTTTTTTTAATGTTATATGGTCACCATTGATCCATGGTGCACATCACAACTCGCGACGCTCTCTCACTCGCCTGTGGAATCTCCGCCTAGTCTCAAAATAAAACGTGAAGATGTTGCCACCAAAATGGATCAAGGCCTGGTCTCCAACAGAAGGTAAGAGAACTAGGTTCAAAATAAAAATAAAAGTGGGCTGCAACCCGTTCTCTTTGTCCCTCGATTTTATTTTTCACCCTTGCTTTTCTTTCTTTTCTCTCATCATCTTACAAACACATCATCCCCGAGCCGAAGACAGGACACCCCAACACATCCAACAGGAACCACCCATCAACCTCAACCTACAAAGAAAACTCATCACACAGGAGACAAAACAGATGCAACAAGAACACGAGCACCATCGGTTGCTCGACCTCAGCTCACACCACAACCAAACCCACGACGACTCCTCCTCCTCCTTCGTCGGACAGGCAGACAACTCCTCCCATCATCACCATCATCATCAACCCATCACAACCACCCCCAAGTACACAAGGCGCCAACAGGACCGGACGACACAACCCTCACTATGGAACACCAAGGAGTTTTACGTCTACTACCTCGTCTTCATGTTCTGTATCCCCTACATGTTCAGAACTGCACACGACGCCAGTTCAGGTACGAGTGTCATGCAAATTGCTCTCGCTTTCCCTGATCGGAGATATTTACTCCGTTGCCGGGATTGTGCAACATCGAAATTTGGGAGTTTCTTTTTTTTGTCAACTGACTAGCAACTTGCATATTTTTTTTTGTCGACTGCTTTTTTTTCCCGCCCTTCCTTGCATAGTCGATAACCCCAACTACGAAAAGTACCAGCATCTGCTCTCGGACGGGTTCTTTGGATATAAGCTGGTACGGCCCAACAGGAAGCAACCGAACCAACTGAACCAATTGAACCCTCAAACCAGTATCATTTAATACCGATCCCAAACTTACACCACCCCTCCGATCTGCCTATATGCCAAATAGGATAACAGCGATGGTCAATGGAGAGGATTCAGGAACAACCTCCCAACACTCTTAATTGTCGTCTCGATCTACATCCCCCTCAGCCACCTCTTCACCGCCTTCTTTGTACCCTCCAAAACCACCAACAGCCTCAAATCCCCGCAACAACCCCTCGTCCGGACCTACTTCTTCCTCGCCTTCTCAGCCATCTACCTCTACTTTATGTACGGCAACAGTATCCTCAAGATCATGCTTATTGTCTCGACTAATTATGCGATTGCGAAACTGGGACGGAATGCGCGCTGGATGCCGGTGGCGACTTGGGCGTTTAATATTGCAATTTTGTTCTTGAATGAGGGGTATAAGGGGTACAACTTTTCTGATGTCCATGAGGCCCTGACCTGGCTGGTAAGTGTCTTCAAAGCTATTAGCTGTTGCTGCTTTGAACCTGGATCCAACTCTCAATGGCTTGAACATAACAATATACTATGTTTCTCCTTTCCAAATGATAGGACGACAATACGGGAATGGATCGGCGGTGGGATGTGCACTTCAACTTCACGATGCTCCGCCTCGTCTCCTACAACCTTGACTACTACTGGTCCTTCAACTCTGACCACGAGCTCGCCCTGGAGGATCGCGACAGGACGCCCAGCAATGACAAGGAACGTGTGTCCCAACCAGCCTTCGCAGGAGACTATTGCTTCACCTACTACGTCGCCTTTGCCCTCTACGCCCCTCTTTATGTTGCTGGACCTATCATGACATTCAACGACTTTATTTCCCAGGTACTCATTTTGCTCTCTCACCCAACGAAAAAGTGCGCGAAAACCGTTCGCGGAGCAAATCATTAACACCTTCGCTTCACTTACAATTTGTAACAAAAAAATAATAGCTGCGGTACCCAAAGACAATCCCAACAAAGACCCTTCTGATGTGGGTCGCCCGCTTGATCTTCTCCCTCCTAACCATGGAATTTGTCAACCACTACATGTACATGGTCGCCATCTCCAAAACTCAAGCCTGGGACGACGACACCATCCTCCAAATCGCCATGATCGCCCTCTTCAATCTCGTTCTCATCTGGCTCAAACTCCTCATCATCTGGCGCTTCTTCCGGCTCTGGGCGCTTCTCGACGGTATCGAAGCTCCCGAGAATATGATCCGTTGCGTTACCAATAATTATTCGGCGCTCGGGTTCTGGAGGAGTTGGCATAAGAGTTTCAATCTGTGGATCATTCGGTACATCTATGTCCCATTGGGGGGTACGCGGTATGCAATGTATAATATCTGGGTAGTTTTTACTTTTGTGGCGATTTGGCATGATATCAATTTGAAGTTGTTGGCCTGGGGGTGGTTGATTTCTTTGTTCATCTTGCCTGAGATTGTTGCTGGACGCGTCTTTTCCAAGCAAAAGGTAAGATTGTTGAGTGGCCTTGTGGGTCCCCCTGTTTTTGTTGTTGGCCTCCTTGGTCACACATTAATTAAATTTGCAATTTCACTAATCTTATTTACATCTGCGTGACCCCCCCCCCCCCCTTTTCTACCCTCAACTTGAATCTCGCCCTCGCAAACAACAATAGTGGGGAAGCTGGCCATACTACAGACACCTCTGCGCGGTGGGGGCCGTCGGAAACATCCTCCTAATGATCACTGCAAACCTGGTCGGATTCTGCACAGGCCTCGAGGGTACCAAGATGCTGATCGCCGAGATGTTCTCTTCTACCCAAGGATACATTACTCTCTTGGGCTGCTTGGGCGCGATATTTGTCTGTGCTCAAATCCAGTTTGAGGTTCGAGAATCCGAGAAGCGTCGTGGTCTCTTCTTGAACTGTTAGTGTTCACGTCGTTTCCTTCCTTCCCTTTTTTTTTGAAACAGATATAATAATAATTCTTGGCATCGCCCCTCCACTTCCACTTTCTGCTGTTCATTTTTTTTTGTTTGTTTGTTTATTCTGGGGTTTGGTGAAGGGTTTGTCGATGTTGGCGGATGAGCGAATGGGTGAGTGGGTGTATCAAAGTGTGGTAGCGAACTATTCGTTTGTCTGTCTGTCTGACTGCCTTCCTGAAATCCCGGGACATAATGGACAAATGAAGCGGCAAAAAAAAAACATAAACTAAAGTCGCACAAGAGTAGGTAAACAGAGGCGAAAAATGACTCTCTCTCTCTTAATCGAGCGAGTGATTTACTTGCCCTTGCCCTTCTTGGTCAACCACTGAAGTGTGATGTCAATATTGACCTGGTTCTTGGCCGAGATCGAGTAGCACGACACCTCGCGACTTGCAATCTGTTTCAAGTTCCTATATATCGTCAATCGGCGTTTTCATTTCAGAAAAAAAAGTGTTAGAATCGCCTCAATTAATTTAAGGACAAATGAACAGATACTATCCACCCAAAAATAATAAAAGGAAAACTTACATGACTTCGATGATCTGCTCAACGGTAAGGGCGCCAGGCAAGTCGTTCTTGTTTCCGAGGACCAGGACAGGGATGCTGGCCAACTGAGGCTTGTCCAGCAAGTTACGGAGCTCTGTCCTGGCTGCATCCAGCTTATCATGATCTGCCGCATCCAGAACAAACCTAATCAAGTTGATAATGTTCGTCAGTCATAACGGTTAAATACACAATCCCTGAAAAGTTCCCCTGTCTGTCAACTTCAGAACATGGTAATCCAGGTCCACTAGCAGGTAGACTTACACAATGGCATTAACGCCTCGGCAGTATCTCTCCCACATGCTTCGGAATCTAATAGGTTCAAAAAAAAGCAAACAAACAGCATAGGCGTGTCAGAAAACCTCGGGTATTCGACAGAGTCGTAGGTTCAAAAAGAACGCATTCTGAAGACCAGATCCACAACAGCTATTTACCTGGGCTGTCCGCCAATATCCCACAGCTTCATGGTCACATTTCCTTTGGTGACCTTGCGCATGTTGAATCCAACGGTAGGGATCATGTCTTCTGAGAACTGTCCAGACTATTTACAGGAGAAAAAAAGAAGGGTCCACGGTTAGGGGGTGGCGTCTGATTAGGTCATCATTGGTCCTGTTTTTTGCGCTGTGTGAATGCTGGTCGACTATCTCTTGCTTTTTTGTTCTCCGTGTGTGTCAGGATCGCTTTCTTGGCCTTGTCATATCAAAAGACAGTTGTGAGTATCAATCACCAGCTGACAACTCTTCCTCGCTATTTCACCTTATACCCCCTACTTTTTCTTCGCCTTCATGATCCTGTGGTCCTCGACTACCCGTGATTGCAACACAGGAATGATAAAAATATCCAGAATGAGGAGGGCGAAGTTGAAATATGTCCTCTTGTTTGTTATTGTTGTTGTCCCTGACTAGCACGCTTGTCCGCCAAAGTCCATGACCTGTTCCTCCCTTTTATTTTGCTGTCGTTATTGCTGCTGCTGTTGAAGTTGACTCGTGGTGTGACACAATCCTTGTTATTTTTGTGCAATACACTCCTCCTGTTGCAAATAAGTCATTTTTTTCTCGTCCCCTCCGAACACTAACAAAAAAATGACCCCTGCACTGGTCGTCATTTTCTGGAGTGATACGATTCCCGCATCGCCGTCTGTCTGCCAATGGGTCGACGGAATGTCCGTTGTGCGTGCGTGCGTGCGTCGTGCGTGCGTGTCCTTGTGTGTGTGCAACGACAAAAGAAGAAACAACGAGGTCCAAAAGTGTGGGGAAGCGAGAGAGAAAAGAAAAGGTGTCTGCGTTCCTGTTTATGTTTCCAAACAAACAACAAGGTCCCTCGCTCGTTCGCACGAGACAACCAAAAAAAAAAAAAAAAAAAAAAGAGTACAAGTTCCACAGTAATAGCTGTAGTCCATCGTTTTTCCAAGACGACGCTGCCGCAATGCTCTATCCATGTTTCCTCTGCCGTGTAAAACTAATGACCATGCTTTCTCTTCTTTCCCAGCCTTGCACCATAATATCTATTCCTGCTTTGTGGAAAAGGAAGTGGCTGGCAGACAAGCAAGCTGGCAGGGTCTGGCTATGCTTCTTTTTTTTGCCAAATGGGAAGAAAGGTGTTCCTCCTGCAGTTTTGTTTTGTTGACTGAAAAGTACCAGAAGTGTAGGAAGTTGCGACACTTACAGCAATAACGTTGACGAGGGTGGTCTTTCCACTGTTTTGCAAGCCGACCAAAGTCAACTCCATCTCGGTCTATTGAAGTAGAAGGAAAGTACAGGTGAGAAGGTCAGTAAGAGGAAAAAACATTATGTCAGCTTGGTTGTTCTTGAAGTACATATCCTTGTGGAAAAAAAAAAAGAACGAGAGTGAGGAGCGAGAGCACTGCAAAAGCAGTAATAGTAGCTCGAGACGAGAACAGGGGTGTGATGACAACAAAGAGCAATGAACAATGTTCTTGAGATGAGAAAGAAAGAGTGTGTGAAAAGGAACGTCGTTGGGCATGTGTATACCTTGAAGAAGAGACTACGCAGCCAGTCCAGGATGGACTGAATGAAGGATGCCATGTCGAATGAAAGGGGTAAAAGTTGCTATTGTTGTCTGTGGTGGTGGTGGTGGTGGTGATGGTGTATGTGTGTGTGCGTCAATCCTGGGGGGAGAGTTGTTTGTTGTAGTTGCGGACGATGATGAATGTTCCCAGGAGTGAGGTCGTAAAAAGGGATGGGATGGGGATGGATGGAAAAGAAGAAGAATGAAAGGATAAAAAGGAAAGGCGAGGAGAGAAGGGAAGGGAAAATATTGTGTTAGCGGACAGACCCGTGCCATACACACACACATGCAAACGCACAACAAATTTCAGTCCCGCTTGGATCTCATCCTTACTTCTCTCCTCTTTGTCGTCTCTGCTACCGTCGCTTTCGTTCATGGTGCAAGGACCCAGAACTTCCCTTCTTCAATTGACTGACTCGCTCTCATCAACATCATCATCGTCGCTACAAAACCTCTTTTTACACCTCCTACAGGCTCAGCTTTCTCTTTCTCTTTCAATTGGCCACCTGGCCCCTTTTCCTTGTGTGTGTGTTCATGAAAGTACCATCGCTTCTCAACAAAGATTTTATTCTTGGTCACCGAAACCTTACTGTCGCTTCTACGTCCAGTATCCTCTCTCCTCTTTCCTCTTCTCGAATACTCAGCATGAACCTGGTCCCTTATTTTTTGTTTGTTTGCTGCATAGCCATTTCCGATTTCCCCAATGACGTTACAACAACGCCCAATGACGATCCGCATATGCCTTGCTGCTCTCACGAACATAGACAAGGACTCAACACAAGTCGGGAGGATTAGAAAAAGAGGAGAATATTATTGTTATTGTTTGTTGTAATATTGATGTGTAGGTGTGTATGCATAAGGGATAGATAGGCCCCAGCTTGGTAGTGAGTGAGTGAATCAAAGAGGAACATTAAGAAAAAAAAACAATAGAGAAGTGTATGTAAGAGAGACAAAATAAATACATCCGTCAACCATTTTTTTTTCTACTTGGGGTTCTTGAAGAGCTTGCTAGAGGACTTGTTTAACGTACCGCTACGCGACAAAGTCACAAGCTCCTCAACCTCACGGTGCTCAGCGTCGAGCTGCACACGCATCTGCTCCAGCTCCGCCATCAGCTCGGCCTTCTTGGCGTTCAAATGGTCCTCACGCTCGCGCAGCGCAATCTCCTTCTCCTTGACCTTTTGCACAAACATCTGACGGATCTCCTCCTCGCGACGCTCCATTTCCTGCTTGTTCTGCGACTTGGTGCCTTCGATCTGGCTGTCGTAGCTGTCGTCGCATTCCAAGATCGAAACGGGGCGACCCAGCTTGCGGAGGGCATCACCACGGTGTTTATGGTAGTGGACATTGTGTGTCGTCTCCACCAGATCATGCAAGCAGGTCGACATCAGCAGCTCTCTCAAGAACACAAAGTCCGAGTGTTCAGCGTTCTCAACTATTTTTTTTTGTTACAAGTGCATGCATTATGCAAAAATAAGACGTATCACGCGGTTAGATCTCCTTTCAACAGTGGAATGTTGTACACATCAATATGTCTACTGTTCATCTTTCACGCGAAATCATCCTTGTCAAGACACGGTACCTTCAACAACTCCCCAGCGGTAAGTTCTGCAGCGGACATCTCTGTTTCCAATGCGGGTAATGGTGTCGCTTCCAATGACGGAGAAAGGAATATGTTGCTAAACACCATAATAAAAAAAAGAACATAAATCAGTTTTCTCTTCACACAAAGAATTCTCCGCCGTTTGTCCATGCTGCAAGTTTTCATTCTCGCATAATCTGCTCCTGGCTCTGAAGAGGAAAGCCAAAATGCGCTTACCAAAAGCTCTTCTGCGCCATCGACCTCATCAGGGTAATCCGAAGGGAAGGTTTTAATTCCATGCTCCTGCAAATCACGCAACAAGATGTGCTTGAACGACACCTTCTCCTCGGCGGTCATGGTGTCGGCTTTGGCGATAATGGGAATGACATTGACCTTCTTAGCCAAAGTCTGAAGAGCTTTGGCATCAAGTTCCTTCAAACTAGCAACAAAGAAAAAAAAAACAAGCATATGTGTGAGCCCAACAAGGAACATTAGCTCTCTCCTGGTTTGAAAAAAAACAAATGCCCTTGAACAAATACAAATACGCAACAACAGTGAGCCATGCTAATCCTTCTTTTCTTTTGTCTCCTTTGTCCTGATCTTTGAATCTTACCCATGACCGTTGGGTGCGATAAAGTAAAGCACGGCATGAATGCGGGTATCGGGAATGGCCTTTCGGAATCCTGGGTGTCGTTCAGCGGTCATGTACTCCTCGAACTGTTTGTCGATATACTCCATGATAGGGGCGACACTAGTTTAAGCAGAGATAAAAAGACACCAGAAAAAGAAGAGAATGAGTCCAACATAATTCAGAGACAACAAAGAGTCCAGATTGCTATAAAAAATGAGTGCTCTCATCCCAACATCAAAAACATCGGTCGGTCTGTATGAGTTTCTTTCTGAGCAAAAAAACAACATGTAAATATAGGTGGAAGAGGAAGTGAGCTTGTAGATGGGCCACAGGAGGCAAGAAGTGGACAATGGTGAATGCCAAAAGAAAAAAAGAGGACATGCCATCTAAAAAGGCGGGAGCTGACGACGGACTTACTTGTGCTCACGGTTCAGCTCATCTCCAAATCCTGGCGTATCGACAATGCAGAGGTTCAAGATGACTCCATCCTCGACCAGTTCTAATTTGAAAGTACAAAACAAAGTGACAGTGTTAGCTCTCGTTTGTTTAGCGAAGAAGATGATGCTGGCGAGTATCCTGGCCGGGTTGATCTCTTGCAAAGTGTCCAAAGATGGCACAACTGGCAAATTTAGATATGTGTCGGTACGGTACCATAGTACGAAGGCTGGATCTGAACTGTCTGAGTTGACTGTGGGTTGCGGGGGAGGATCTCCTCCTTGAGGTCGGTGTTGAAGAGGGTGTTCATGAAGGTGGTCTTTCCGAGGCCACTCTCGCCTAGACGAAGCAGAACCAGTCAATTGACGTGCACATGTTAGTTTACAATGGACAAAAAGAACGGAGGCTTTTGATTGTCTGTCGTACAAGACACCCAAAGTATTCTCTGTGCCATTGGCGAGGTCGAGTCGGACAGTGACAGAGTTAATTGACCTACCAACAACCATCAAGTTCAAGTCGAAGGTGTTGCGCTTGACTTTGGTGAAGTGCTGGCTGGGGAGAGCATCGAGACCGAGGGGCGATGTCAATTCCATTGGCCTCGGCTGGGGGTGCTTCCAGGGGCCAGGGTCGGGAAACTGACCACTGTTGTTTAATTAAATAGGAGGTCGAAAAAGAAACATGTCAAACGTGGGTTAGCCCGCGGCGACTTTAGTTAACGAAGCAACCTCAATATCGTATGATAATTAACGCCTTTATGTTGGCTGTTTTTGTTGGCTTGTTTACCTATGCTGATGGGCGAATTCCTGGTGATGATAACCAAGTCGTTCAAGAGGATCCGACAAGAAGATAGAGGTTATATTCAATTGAACAATTGAACGGAGACAAAGGAGAGAGAAAAAAAAAGTTCGTTGTTGTGAGTGTGTGTGCACCCTTGTTTGTGCCATATGAGAATGTCGCTATTGTCTGCAAGCATTGGCCCCTCGTTTTATGTTCGTTGAGGTCGTTGAGAACAAAAGATAATCAATTGGTGGATTGTGTTGTTATCCACGAGGAAAAAGGTGGCGCTGGAGAGTGTGAGTGTTGAGTGATGAGTGTGAAGTTTGCTTACGAGAGGCATGGTCGAGTTGAGGTTGAGAGTGAGAGTTGGCGGTTGAGGGTGAAGAGGTAGGGAGGTGTATTAACGAGAGAGTGTGGGGCAGGGGTAAGGGGAGAGAAGAGGGTGGGACGAGGTGAAGAAGAAGGGGGATGGGATTGAAGAAGGGAAGAGGTGCGAATGAAGGAAGAGAGAAGAGTGGGATGCAACGACGGGTGTCTTTCTTTGTCTGTCTGTGTCTCTCTTGGTCCAAGGCGAGAGAGAAGGGAAAGAAGCAAATTCATTAAGGGGAATGCAGGACCCTTTTCGCTCTCTTGATCACAGTTGGACGACCCTTAACCGAATCAACCATCCGTTGTCTCCTTGAATCACAGCCACACGATGGTTGGACGTGTCTCTAACACTTTCTGGGGCACAAGTATAAAAGGCTAACTCTCTCTCTCTTCGCTTCTTTCTCCTTTGGCAACTATCTTCTTCCTTCAACCACCCTATCTGTTTTTCTCACTACACCGCTCACTCACTCACTCACTCACTCACCCACCCCACTCACTTAGTCACATTATCTCTACTCTCTCGTCACTCTCGCATAATTTCTCAAACAACCTCACCTTCGCTTCCATCTCAACAAATGTCAGACTCGGCTGTTCTCACACAAATCTTGACCACCCTTGCAGACTTGCAAGCAAGTCAATACCTTCTCTCCCAAAAGGTATTCTTTCCTTTCTTGCTGCGGACATGCCGCAACTCTATGGTGCCACCCTCCCTCCCTTTGCTGACCATTACCCTTTGTACGCGTTCTTTCACCGTTTGTTCCTAAACAGGTCGACAAGATCCAGACAGAGTCCGTGCACCTCCCACATGGAGTCAAGCCCCACATCTACGACAAGCACTACTTGGGTATGTGACGCCCCTTTGTGTTCTGGCATTTCAAATGTACTGCTACGTTTGACAGAACACAGGCTGACGAGGACATGCTATCGATTTGGAATTGTGGGGAATAGGCCACTTTGACTCGGACCATGACACCGTTGTGTCACCCACGTTTGCACCCAAGATGGACCACGCAAGTCTTTTTACCGAAAAGCCCACCTTGTTGAGTACGATCACCTTTTGATAATCACTACAACGAGCTTATCTTTCCTCTATGTCGATTCTTTGATCACTAATACAAGTCTATCATTCCCATCAACTACACCGTCGGCCTTAGCTCACCCAGACGAGCCAGGAGTAAAGCCATACACCATGAACTGGGGCGACGCAGACCCTCAAGTCCGAGGACCCATCATCGTCACCCGTCACCGCTCGTCTATGAACATTCGGTAAGGCGTCTGTGCGTTTGTATGTATGGGACTATTTTGTGTCGAGCTGCATGGCTCTTGCAAATCGGACGTTGTTCTCATCTATTTGTCATTTTTCCTTGACTGTAGAAATGCACTGGGAGCGTATGGCGGCCCTTACTCCATCTACCGTGCAATGGCTGTTGCCATGGAGGAACTCGCCGAAGACGTATGTTGGCCTGTTTGTCCTTATTTGCGTCATAGATATCTTCGCCTTCATTATTAAAACCAATGAAAACTCATCACTTTGCACTTTGATTCGATCACATTACAGCATCGACCCAACTTTGATCACACGGAGCCGGTCATCAACATTCCGCAGCAACCCCAGTGGTCGGACCCCACCAAGATCGTCTCTTTTGATCCTTTTGGACACATGACAACCCAATTCTACAAGAAGGAGATTGAGCAGGGTCTGGATATCCGTCCCACTATCGCCATCACGCGCGCCCATATGCTCGTCCCCGAGATCCAAGCAGAGGTCAAGAGCGGCGCTTTGGCTGTTGATGGCAAGGTTGTCATCACGGACGCAGGAGAGCTCAACGTCCACAAGGCTGCCATTGATCCCGTTTGGTTTCTCCCTGGCGTCGCTGCTCGCCTCAACGTCGAGGAAGATTTCCTCCGTCGCTGTCTCTTGTAAGTTGTCCATGAGCTTTTCTTGTTCTTTTCACCTGCAATGACAATTCTTAGTTCAGGTAGACTCACCATCATGTTTTTTTTCTCATTCTAATCAACTTAGTGAGAGCACAGGAGGAATGTACCCTGAATTGATCAGTCGACCGGACATCAAGGTGTTTTTGCCACCCATCGGAGGATTGACTGTATACATTTTTGGCAACCATGAGCTCATTTCCGATCCAAAGACACGACTGACAGTCAGGGTGCATGATGAATGCAATGGCTCGGATGTGTTTTGCTCCGACATCTGCACATGTCGACCTTACCTCGTCTTTGGCATGGTTGAGGCCATCAAGGAAGCCCAGAATGGCGGCGTTGGGCTGATCATCTACTGTAAGTTTGAATGGTCTGAGATACGTCTGTGCGCCACCAAATTTTTGCTCTCTCTCCTTCTGTTGTCCAGTTGACCCATGGATTCTTCGTAACTCAAATTCTATTTTTCTGTTTGCTGGGAAAAAAAATTAGTCCGCAAGGAAGGTCGTGCCTTGGGGGAGGTCACCAAGTACCTTGTCTACAACGCCCGTAAAAGGGAGGGCGACTCTGCCGCCAAGTATTTTGAACGGACAGAGAATGTCGCAGGGGTCAAGGACGTGAGATTCCAGGATCTGATGCCTGACGTGCTCCACTGGCTCGGGATCACCAAAATCGACCGATTCATGTCCATGTCTAACATGAAGCATGACGCCATCATCGACGCCGGCATACAGGTGCATACTTACTTTACCTTTCATCCCGTCACTTGGCTTGCGCATGTTATCACACCCACACGCCATACTCAACTTACTCTTTTTACGTTGTGTTTCCTGACTTTCTATTGCACGCTTAGATTTTAGAACGTGTTCCCATCCCGGACGAGCTGATCCCAGCGGATTCCAAGGTGGAGATTGACGCCAAGATCGCTGCAGGATATTTCACCAATGGACACATCCCTGACGCGGAGGACCTGTCGCGCACAGTTGGTCGAGGCTGGGATGATTCTCATCCGTGAAGGATGCTCAATCCATGTACTTGTAGTACGAGACTACTAGACCTTCCATCTGCGATCTAGAAAAAGACCCGACTCGTAGTTCCATCTTCATCTTGTACAAAGTAGTGTTTTTTTCAATGTATCATATCTTTTTCTTCCGAAGATAGGCAAATGCGAAATAGGAAAAAGGAGGGATTGACTAGTATGCAACAATTGTTTCTATGCCGCGTGGATTGAAAAAAGGAAATAGCGTTTAACCAGTGCCGGTTCGTATGTGCCTCACGTGGGGGCGAGCTTGGCTGTTGAGTAAAGTTGGCGAAGGATCACCTCTTTTAGCTCCTCCTGCTTCTCCACAGAGCGCGTCGAATAAAAAAACGTTTCTGCAAGTGGTGACAAAGGGCGCATGCAACGCATTGCCTATCTGGTCTGTCCAAAGGGACACAAACAAAGACAACAGCATCGAAAAGCCAAAGCGCCCCCAGCAACATGAATGAACAAAACCACCCCCGTCCCTACTTTTTCTCGTTGCGCTTTTTCTTCATGGATTCAATTGCCATGAGCTTGGCGTGTCTGCCTTGTGCTGCCATGGACAGTCACTGAGGAAGGTACGCCAGTGATCACTTTTTCTCTTTCTTGTTTCTCCGTTTCTCTTTTCTCTCTTTTTTATTTTTTTATTCTGGTTCCTTCATTCCAGCAACAACAACAACAACACTCACTTTCAGTTTATTCCTTTTCTGCAGTCTCATTCTCATTCAGGAACAAACACAGGACGCCCATCGTCTCTTCTCACACTCATCAGCTCCTCTCGCAGTTCACACGCGATCACACCTCCACAAGGCTCACCAACTTTTTTTTTGCTGTGACAACAACCAAAAGCCAACAACCCGTCTTTCCTTCACTGCCACTTCCCACAACGGAGACCTCACAACGGACCACTCCAAAGCCCTGATAGATAAGCACATACGGATGAACACACAGCAATTGGATCACCTCATGCCATGGAGGCCAAAGCGTGCAAGGGCACCTCTCAGTACGACACGCCGCTCGACCTCCACAAGGCTCCTACTCCTCTGCATGGTGGCGACCTCTCTGTGGCACCTACCTTCCCCAACAGGAGCTCAACCTGATCAACCATACCCCTACGACCCCGACGAATCTCGTCTCGCAGGTCAGTTCCTCCACATCACCGACATTCACCCGGACGAGTTCTATATCAACGGAGGATCCATCTCGACCTCCTGCCACAGAAACACGACCAACGAAGACGATGACATGATGCGGATGATGAGGCCCGGACGGACAGATGGCGGTTATGGTGGAATTTATGGATCGCCTTATTCGATCTGTGATAGCCCGTTCTCGCTCACCAATGCGACCTTTGACTGGATCGATCGCAACCTGATTCAATCTCTTGATTTTGTTGTATGGACTGGTGACAATGCACGGTATGTTTTTTTATGCTTCAATTGCATTTTTCTTTGTTTACTTTTTTTTTGTTTGTTCGTTCGCGAGTGGGTTGCCCTGGAACAGAGTCCGGCGATACAAAGGGATTGCATTACGGGTCGAAGGAGACGGAACTGGAACAACATGACTTGGACATTAGCTGGCTGCTGACGTCTACCCTCAGTTTGAGGAACACATTATTCTCCTTCCTTGTGCTTGTTGTGTGGTTTTGGGTGTTTCAGTCAAAAGTAAAGAAAAGAATGGTCCCTCTTGGAGGCTCCTGAAATCTGGTTACCATCAGGAAAAAGAGAGATTCTTATCTCCCTGCCTGAACTGACTGTACTGACTGACTGGTGCCTTGTCTTTCCTTTCTCTTCCATGTCGGAAAAATATTCCTATCTAAAATAGACACGATTCCGATAACGAACGTCCCCGTACACAAAAAGAGATCGAGGACCTCAACAAGGCCATCGCCAACAAGTTCCTGGAGACCTTCACGCCCGACAAAGACGATCCCTTTGAGCAGCGCATCCCCATCGTCCCCTCGATCGGCAACAACGATGTCTACCCCCACAACATTATGGAAGCCGGTCCCAACAGGATCCTACAGCATTTCTCTGATATCTGGTCACCCTTTATCCCCGAGAGCCAGTACCATACCTTCCAGCATGGAGGGTATTACGCCTCTGAGGTCGTCCCCGGCAAGATCACGGTCGTGGCGCTCAACACACTTTATTTCTATAACTCGAACGCAGCTGTGGATGGGTGTGATTCCGAGGATGAGCCCGGCACAGATCAGATGGATTGGTTGGAGGTTGAGTTGGAGTCGTTGCGGAAGAGGAAGATGACGGCTTATCTGACGGGGCATGTCCCGCCCGCCCGCAAGTCCTATTCGCCGACTTGTTTTGTCCGATATACTGATATTGCACTCCGGTACCAGGATGTCATTGTCGGGCATTTGTATGGACACGCCAACATTGATCATTTCTTTATCCTCTCCCAGGCGACCCTCAACAGTGATTCTGTCGATGCGGAGGCAGAGGAGGACTTGGAAGAGCAGGAGCAGGAGCAGTCGTCGAACAGTAGATTGGATCAAGGAAGCAACAAGCAGACGGTGTTAGACGCATGGATCAACAACAACAACAGTAGCAGGAGCATATCCCCCTCCTCAATATCGACAGCATCCGGCCGGACTCGTCAGCGTCTCGAACAGGAAGCCAAGTCATTCGATGTGGCGGATGAGGACGAACACTATGCGTTCCACACCCTGGGCTTGAGCTCTTACCTGCTCGAGCTCTGGGAGCAGTACGAGGATATCCCCAAGAAGGCCAAGATGTCTGATTTCGCGATCGCCCTTGTGGCACCCTCTGTCGTCCCGACCTACAACCCTGCTCTTCGCGTCTACACCTACCAACTCGCCATTGAGAAGCCCGAAGCACCTGACCAACCATACCAGGCTTTGCAACAGGATCAAGATTACATCGAGGAGGATGAGTATGAGTCCTCGGGAGAGTCAGATAGTAACGGCAAGAAGAAGAAGAAGCCCAGGAAGCCCAGAAAGCCCACCCGACCTCCCAACCCCCCCGCAGTCCCACCCTTCACCTTCGGCTTCCCCCTCAACTATACACAGTACTTTGTCAATCTGACCATGGCCAATTCGGTGGCTGCCCTGGACCCCACAAAGCCTGTCGAGTACCAGGTCGAGTACCGGAGTCGAGAGGATTACGGATTGAAGGATCTGAGTGTCTCCGAGTGGTTGGCGCTGGCGAAACGGATTGTCAAGAGTGAGATGAAGAAGAAGCAGTATATGGCGTGGATGGTCGTTCTCACCGGAACTGAGAATGATCACTTTTGAGAAGGCCGGCGGAGAGAGTGAGGTGGGATGGTAGAGCGGCCTTGTGGAGGCTTGGACAACAGTATTAAAAAATTTGTATGTATCTTGCTGACATCATTGATCAGTCTTGCGAGTCGCGACGCGTTCGTGTTAATATTGCTGCCATGTTTGAACCACGCCGCCTTTTAGTTTACGAGAAAATGAACAAGAGAAAGTCAACCATAGAGAAGGATGAGAAAGGATAGCAATGAAAGAAGCGTCCCCCCCCCCTCTTTCCCTCCCTACCCCCCCTACCCCCCTACTCTGTTCCGCCCCTCTAGTCGTTCCCACCCCTTCAAGTTTTTTTTTTTCTTCTTTTGTTGGTTTGTACGTTTTGCATTTTTTTTCCATCCCTAGTTGACCCTTTTTTGTGTCTTTTCACCCCGATGTCGTTGCACGCTTTGACGCTTCTTTCGCCTCCTAGTTTTTTTACTTCCATTCATCCCCTGCATCTCACCTCCCCCCCCGTTTTGTGTTTTTTGTGTTTTGCAGTCTGTTCATCACCATCCCATCCCGTCATGCGTCATCAATCATCATCATAGAAAGGACCCCCAACTTTCCTTACCCTCCACAAAAAAAAAAAAGAGCCATCAATTTCATCCATAGGTGCTGGGTACATATTTTTTCTGGTGCCTCGGCCATGGTATTCATACAAAATGAATGAAAAACTACAAAAAATTGTGTTGCGCTCTCCCATAATGGGAAAGAAGGATAGAGGCGGAGGAGGAGGGGGAAGAAAGAGGGATAAATTATGGTAACATAAAATACCCATCCGCTGTCCCCAGGGGGACAACACCCTCAGTGTTGGCGGGGGACTGCTCGAATGCCCGACAAATGGCCAGGACTGCGGGCGTGGCTAGGTTGAGGAGGGCAATGTTCTGGAGGATGGCTGCGTAGTTCTGAGGAGTGAAGTGGGTCAGCCACCGGTCACCTTTGTCTGTGTAGATCTAGTATGGTTAGGTGCGGAAAATTAGAGAACGGGTTGAGGAAAGTTGGTTCTCAGTTCCTTTTGTTTTGCCATCATCATTCTTCTTGATAATTCGCGATTGAAATGAGGTGCGGAATGGGGAATGGGGGGAGGAGAGAGGTGAAAAGAGGCGCGCCTTCGAAGCGCGTTCGCGCGGAATTGAATTATTTGAAACCATCTCTTCCCATGATATCGTGATCCATTGTAAAATCCTTACTTACCCAATACAAAAGCTCATCAAACCGACTGCCGACAGGGTCGGCAAAGTCCAGGGTCAGCTCCGGCAATTCTTCCTCCTCCATTTCCACTGCCGTCTTTTGCTGTTGTTCTGTTTCATCTCTATCTTCCTCCTCCTCATCATCATCGTCATCCTCCTCCTCTTCCTCCTCCTCTTCCTCGTCGTCGTCGTCCTCATAACAGTCATACTGGTCCTCATCCATGGACGAATAAGCATCCATTGTTGTGGACGTTAATGAAGTGGTTGGAGTTGTTGACAAGGGTGTTGCTGATGTCCCTGCTCTTGTTGCTATTGCTGTTGCTGTAGTGAACGTGGACAAGGAGGTTGGTGTTGATGCATGCGCGCTCCAGTTTCCTCCTCGTCCTCCTTCGCCTCCTACCTCTCCCGACAGCAAGTCGTGATCATCATAGCCAAAGCCATCATCTAGATCGTCGTGTTGCTCATCGTGGATGCTGATGTCGCTGTTGGTGTTGTAGTCATCATTTGTAGTGTCGCCATTGGGTCCCCACGCTTCATTATCGATCATGTCGGTGAATATCCTTCGGAACGCGGGAGAGCGCGACTATAATTAAGGTTCAGGTTAGCGCTCGTTTGAATGAATTATACTTTGGTACCTGTCGGTCACCCGATCTATCCATCGTTGACATTGGCCCATGCCCCCATCATCGCTAGCTCCATTTTGGTATTCTTTTTGTATGGGTTGGTGAAGGTTTGATGAAATTGCAACAATAGGGCACGACAAAACATGGTAAACAAATGATGAACAGTTCAAACCAACAATCAAAAGGGGAAATAAACGGGGGTACTGAAAGATGGGGCTGAGTGAAAGAATGGAAAGAAGGGAATGGAGTAAGGGGTGAAAGAAGTAGGGAGAGGGGGCGAAGGAGGAAGCGGAGGGAAAGGGTCAAGAAAGGTACCAGGTAACCAAAAGTAAAGGCCAGGGCGAAGGAGGCAAGAACACAGATGGTCAGAGGGATCCAGGATGAAAGAAGAAAGACATTGGACGGCGGTTTGAGTGGAAAAGAGGGACTTGTTGCTGATGTGTTTTATAATTCTGTTCCGGCCTTATTCACAAAACAAGTTGAAAAGGAAAAGAACACTTACAGCGAGCATTGGGACATGAACATAATACTTGGCATCCCCTACACAGAGTATGCAATTGGCATCCGACCTTCTTCCAAACATACTAGGGCCGTCTGGGAGGAGGTGCTTGGCGACCGCGTGCGCGATGTAGGTGTCCGGCGGAAAGGAACTACCACGGTAACCACCTCTGGCTTTCTTGTTATTGACAGGAATGGGCGGAGTGGGGCTTGAACTTTGATCGGTAGATAATGCAGAGATTTGTGCCTGGTCGTGGTGGTGAGTGGGGTGTTGGTCTGGATTATGATCATGATGGCTATGGTGTTGGTGGAAGTGATAGTGCTGATGCTGTCCCTCGTGCCCAGAAGAGTTAGAAGGAGAGGAGGGAGAGGATGAAGGGGAGGTTGCCGGTGAGGTGGTATTGTTATTATTATTATTGTCGGCGGTGATGTAGAGGGTAGATGTGAGGGATGACTGAGTGAAGAAGTCGTGTTGGAAGTGGCGGTCAGCCATGACGGGTCCCATTACTTGTTGGTTGTGAGGACGAGGATAAGGGTTTATTGGCTTGTGTCACCGCGGATAGTGGACGTAAGTACAGGGTATATGAATATGTGGTGTGAACAAAAGAACAGAACCAGGATTGAAAGTGGAGAAAGAAAGTAGGAAATCGGGAAAGTGGTATTTATGCTGTCGAGGAAAGCAAAAAAGGAGTAAGGAAAAAGAGCAACAGGGTTTGTTAGGTTTGCAAATGAGAGTCGGAAAGGAGAATATGTGTGGAATGACTGACCGACTGAATGAACGAACGAATGAATGAATGAGGACACACAGAGTGATGGCTGGCAAGAAGAAAATAGTCAGTAAGGGTGGTAGTAGAATTGAAAGAGTAAGGTATCGCTGAAGAGGTAAAGTAGGACATGGCAACGGTTGTATTCCACACACACACCCTTGACCCTCTTCTACTTCATCTGAGTTTGGATTTCGAGACAATTGGGACAAATGCCACTCGGTGAGAGGGCGCAACACTTTTCATCACGTATAGACTGCGCCAACATGTGTACATCAGAGCTTTAAGTGGCGGCGCGACATGTATGTTCTTCTTGCCTTCTTGTTTATCCCACCCACTCTCACTCACTCACTCGCTTTCTATTCACCCACTCGCAGAAACGAGCGGTGATCAGGCGAGGAGGGGGACAAACAAATACAACAGCATAAACGTGAAAGTGCCCACCTATCTTTGTCATACACCCCCATTTGCTTCCCACATCGTTATGTTTTGTTCATGTCACTATTCCCTTCTCTCTTTTCCTTTTGTTTGGACAATACCTTGAAACTATGGGCATTCGCACATCCTTTTGCCTTCCGCCCATCCACGAGAATAACCACAACCTTAACAATCGTTCTTGTCGTACTTGTTTCTTCGATACCGCAGTTTTTGTGAGGACATACAGAGTAAACGAAAACAAACCCATCTGGTTCTCGCCCCTCCCTCATCTCTTTTTTTTTCTCTCTATGTGTTGCTTCCCTTCGGTCTATCACATCCCCACATAAGCCAATATTCCCTCGTGGTAATTGATCCTCAGTCACCTTCTCCCTTCCCTCCCCTTCACTAGTCCATCACTCACGCGTTTCCAGTTTTTCTTTCTTTCTTTTCTTTGTTAGCCATACTGAGAAGCAGCTGCTCTTCTGTTTACATGCTGCTGTTTTGTATCCTTTTGGGTCCATGCCCGGATTTGTCGTTCAAAGGACAAAAACCAGCACTGTCACGCCAACCCACACTCATTCCCAAATTCTCGGGTGGAACCACTGAATTCAACGACTCTATTCAGATACGAGAAAGACATCACTGTACAGAGGTACCTGCACGATCGCTTTCAGTCCCAATAAAATCACCTTTCCGTACGCCTCTCTCCCAAAGATAGGAAACTTCAAGACGTACTATTTTCCTCTCCTTTCAGCGGTTTCTTTTCTTCATTATCACCGCCTCTTCTTTCTTTCTCATTTTGAGGTGATGAACTCAGAAAACGCCAAAAAAAAAATACCTCACGGGTTCAACAAAACCAACCAAACGACAAACTTCCACAAGTTGAACCAGCGAAGAATAACAACAACAAACATTAACATAATTCCACAGCAGGAACTCATGAACAACAGCCTTAGAACAACAACAACAACAACTGGATAGGGGGGAAAGGAAGAAACGTAAGAAAACAAACAACAAAGCAAAAGTGCTTCGAAGGAGGTACACGTCTGAACACTTGTTCTTGCGTCCGCTCAAAAACCTTTCTAACAAAAAAAAACAAAAAAAATAAATATATATCGACAGATGGACAGTGAACCCTAGAGGCCTGCCAGAACACGTATCAGATACATAAGAAAAAAAACATTACGAGCATACCAAAACAGGAGACAAAATTGATATGCACCCCTTTCTCGTCAGCAAAGAGAGCAAACAAAAAGTATCCCCTTTTTTTTTTTGCTTTCCTCCCGAACAGAGAGGCGAAACATTGCTGGTATGTCTGTTGACATGCATGGTCGACAGAGAGAGCGATTTTCATTGCTCTGTGTCCATTTCGGGGGATACCAATCAAAAACGGACTAGGCGCTTTTTACCACGATCTTTCACTGTCGTTTCGTGTGGGAATCATGATAACAAAGAAAAGGTGTCAATCTAAACTCAATCTTCATGTCAATGCTTACTGCGATGGTGCTTCAATTGTAATGTTTTCTTTACATGGCTACCACATTGAAGGATGGAAGAAAGGAAGGAGCGAAGGAAAAAGGGGGGGGAAATGAGTTGCGGTAGTATGCATCACGTTCGGTTTTTTTCCAGTCTAGGGGGCAAAAACTAAGATTACGCGAAAAAACGTAACACTCAAACGAAAAGCACTCAAAAGACCTATCTCAAAGGAGTCTGAAAAAAGAAGCGTAGTACAAAATACAACTGGGTTACAAGATCTTTTTTTTGAGGGAAAGGGTGAAAGTAAAAAGAAGCTCTTATTTTGTTGTTGTTGCAAAACTTTCGTAACCTCATTGTACATCCATTAGATGCCCACGCTCGCCACCCCTAGCCTCTTTTCTCTCCCTCTCTTTCGTTCCTTCATTCCTCCATCCGGCCTTTCCATTTGACGCTTGCATGTGACCTTTTCTACCAGCCTGTCCATTCCCGTTTGTTCCCCCCAAAGTTGGTCCTGCTTGATATTCATCACAATTGAGACTTCAGGCACAAGGAAGACAAAGAAAACCACGTGTTTTCTGAACGACCTTGCCCAGACCAAACGTACCAAAGAAACAAAAAAGATGCCCATGGCGTGTCGATCCGACCTATGCTTGACTTCTTCAATGACTCCCTTTCTTACCAGGTGCATCCTAAAACAGAAACCCTTTTCCGCTTGCCTCTTATGCATGTTAGTTCTTTTTTTTTTCTTTTTTTTTTTTTTTTCCTCTTCCCAGTCCCTATCCCCCCTATCTCCTGCGTCATGAAGACACATGCTGCCGAAATTTCTTCGAAATACAGCAGATGTTTTCCTATCCGCCATGAATGAAAAAGAAACCACTTCTTAGCCTAGCGAGAAAGAGGCGACTCCTATTAATGAAAAAAAAGTCGCATAACGGCATGAAGAAGCGACGAAGAAAGCTGCTGTATGGGCGTATGTTGCTAATATATATAATTTTTTGTAGCTGTTGCGCCTTTTTTTATTTTTTTATTTTTTTATTATTGGCTTATTGTTTCGTAAATTGGAGAATAGATGGAAAGATATGTGTGGGTATGTTGTGCGTGTGTACAGGTGTGTGTTTTATGATACAAAGCAAAAAGAGAATTGCGTATGTTTATCTATTGATTAAGTAGTAGTTTTTTCTTGCCCTGCCCTTACTTCATGTTTTTTTTTTCTCACTCCATAGGGGTGGGTCCAAGGTTCTTGCGCAACTTGTTGTGCTGGATAAACAAACTGCACAAGAAGGCAATGCCCATGAAGGGGATGCAGACGGTGAAGGCCTTGTTGAGGGCGATCATGAAGACGTGGAGAATCTCGGCCTTGGTGGCGTCATCAAAATCGTTCACCGCATACGAGTTTGAAAGGACAATAGCAATATCGGGGTTCAAGAGGAGCAAGGGCTTGATGTTGGTTTTGACAGCATTGTTGAAGACGGTTCCGGAGATGGCGACTCCAAAGACGGAGCCGACGGTACGGAAGAAGGTCGCGTTGGCGGTGGCGACGGCAATGTCGGCAGTCGCGACCGAGGACTGGATGGCGAGCATGATGGTCTGCATCGAGAAACCGAGACCGCAGCCGTTGATGAACAAGAAGCCGATGATCATACCGCGGGGAGAGTCCTCCTTCAAGAGGACCAAGAGACCGGTACCGATAGTCGAGAGGGCAAGGCCGATCCAGATGAAGGGGCGGTACTGACCCCACTTGGAGACCATGAAACCAGACGAGATCGAGGCGATCAAAAGACCGACAATCAGGGGCAGCATCTCAAGGCCAGAGGAGGTAGCGGACTCTTGACGAACAATCTGGAAGTACAAGGGCATGAAGAACATGATACCAAAGAAACCCATGCCGACAAAGAGCGAGGTCGCAAAGACGGCAGAGTTGGTCTGGTTCTTGAACATGCGGAAGGGGAGAATGGGCTCGACGGCTACCTTGGCCTCGATGAAGCAGAAGATAAGGATGACGGCGATACCACCGCAGAGGAGACCAATAATCAGAGGGTCATTCCATTCCTTGGTGTTGCCTCCCCAGTTCAGGGGCAACAAGAGGAGGACAAGACCGATAACTAGGGCGATGACTCCATAGAAGTCAATACGGGCAATCTTCTCGCGGAGAGAGCCATGGGCGCGAGGCAAATGGAGCAACTTGACAACAGCGACGAGGGTGATGGCGCCGATAGGCAAGTTGATGAAGAAGGCCCAACGCCAGGAGGCGTGATCGGTGAAGACACCTCCAAGAAGGGGTCCGAGAACCGAGGAGAAACCAAAGACGGCACCAATGATACCCTGGTACTTGCCGCGATCTCTGAGCGAGACTAAGTCAGTGATAATGATCATGACCATCGCCATGATTCCTCCTGCACCAATTCCCGCAATAGCTCTAAAAGTTTGTATCCAAAGTGAATGTACGTTAGAACCATGTTCAATGAATGAAATGGACCTCTAATTATTGCTCGTTACAAATGACAAGAAGTCGTTACCTGGAGATGATCATCATGATCATGCTCTGGGAAGCACCACAGAGAGCCGAACCGATCAAGAAGACACTGATGGCGAACAAGAAGGTCAACTTGCGACCGAAGATATCGCTTCCCTTTCCGTACCTATTGTTGATGTGAAACAGGACGCGTTTGATTAGTTCATCGGTTGAGAAAACTAATTAGTTTCAGAAGCAAACATCACACCATCAGTAAAAACCTTACAGGGGCTGGAAGGTGGTCGAGGTCAAGAGGTAACTTGTTCCGATCCAAGGAATCTCGTCCAAGGCTTTGAAATCGCTCGCAATCCTGGCAGAGCAGACCGAGACGATTGTCTGATCCAACGAGGCAAGGAAAATTCCAAGCATCAATCCCGTAAAGACGAGCATCAACTGCTTGAAGGGCATGGGCACAAAGTCCTCATGGGCCGGGTTGTGTGGGCCAGGGTCAAGGTTTCCGTGGGAGATCGATCCCTTGGAAGAAGAGGCGCTTGAGGGTGCAACCACTGCGGCAGATGCATCCTCCTCGATCTTTTGTTTGATAGCAGTTCCAGCGGCTTCCTGGTCGTCGATAATTTCCTCCTTTTCGCCGCGGGTTGGCTCGAGGTATTCCTGTTTTTCACCGTTAGTGATGTGAGTGGGGTTGGATGATGAGGGTTCGACATTGGAATGTGACTTTTCGGACTCGATGACTACGGTCGCATTGTCGGAATGGACCGAAGGTGTTGGTGCCTGAGAACCCATTTTGTATGAATGAGTTTTCGAAAAAGGCAGAAATTAATTGAAAAAAGGTGTCGGGAAGTGAACGTGTGGTACTCCGTGGTGCAGACAGGTATAATGGAGAGGAAAGGGTAGAGAGAGAGGAAGGAGAAGTGAGGATGTATTAGTCGTAAAGCGAAATAAGAGCGGTGAAGATGGAGGAGGTGAAGGAACCAGGTAAAAGGAAGGGGAGAACAAAAGGTCTTGAACAACTAGGGGTTCCTCAGGTTGTATTTATTTGTGTCCAGTTGTCCTCCCTCCACCTCCAGCCTCCCTCTCCTACTGTGAATGGAATTTCGGCAATACCTTTAGGCAAGAACAATAGAGATGTCTACAGTGTTTAATCGCAATAAAGGCGTACAGAACGGATCAATACATAAACGAACGAGGTGGTCGATTTGCATGCATCTGTCGCTCGGAATTTGGGGTGTGTGCAGTACGAAGACAGTTTTGTCGGGGTCGACAGACAACGGCGATTGGAGGAATAAAAACGAGAACGTCTAATTTGGAAGGCTTTTCGATTGGCCTCGAACACTCTTAATGTTCTTTAGGTTAGGATGCGCCCCAAACCAGTTTGTCCTGACTCTAAAGCCTCAGCCAACTTTAATTTTTTTCCTTCGGCTCTTTTTTTTTTAGGTAGGTGAGTGGGGTGGTGGAGCTAATTTGTAAAAGTATACCACCATTGCTTATTTCTTTGGGTGCTCCATTGGTCCATCCAGGGTAAGAGAAAGGGTGAAGATGAGCGAGGATAGAGGAAGGAAAAGTCTCTGATTGCCAAAGAAAGGGGAGAGAAAGAAGTTAGAAGAGGAGAAATCATAGTCTCCCTCTCTTCATATCAACTTTTTCAACAAAAAAAAATAGAGTCAATCGTCTATGCCATAAGAGTTTAATAATGCTTGTTTTTTCTTCAACCCGAGAGTATGATGAATAAGGAGAGGCGTGGGGAAGGTAGCCTGTGTTAAAAGGTTTAGCCGACTGTATGGCTTGGCTTTGCTTACTCTAAAATCGCACATACGACACCCTTTTGCAATCAGCTCAACCTTTTCTGCCTGCATCGATCGACCCATCGATCTCGGACACGCTTCCGTTTCTTTCCTTTGTTTCTTGGAGAATAGAATGATCGCCATTTGCTCGCGCACTTCAGAACGCCCCCCATGTCATGTTGATCTTGTTCGCCATTCCAGCATGAGTAGAACACAATAATACTTTCTACAGCCCCTTCTTGTTGTTGTCCAATTCAGAGGATCGCTAGTCTGATGGTTGGCCCATTACGCAACAGACGCCACATACAACATTCAAGCACGCACGCACAATCCAATTCTTCGGATGTTTCGGCAGACAAATCAACTACAAAGACTCGTAACACCCAACATGGCCGACATGACCACCCACCTTTTGTGTCAGGAGCGTGTAACCCGCAATAAAACGGAAACCCAAATACTCCAAGCGTCAAACAGGTAAAGCGTTGGTACCACCAACATGGAATGGTGTTGTGAGATATCGTGAGAGACACGGCACGACAAACAAAGGCAATATGGTTCAATGGTTTTCCCTTTTTTTTTGTTGCTGTTTGTGTGCTGTTGTCGTTTGTGTTGCTGCTATGTATGGTGGAGATGATGATGATGATGATGTTGTTCAGGTCAGTTTTAGTCTTGACCTTTTATTTTTTCCTTCGTTGCTGTACACTTACACTTTGTTGACACCAAACCTGAAGTTCCTTGCAGGGATCAACTAAATAATGAAACGAGAGAATTGTCAAAAAGGTTCACTTTATTCGTTGCCTTATGTTGCTGGTATGCTTATCAAGCAATGGTCCTGGACTAACATGTCGTCTTGGTGCGTGTGTGTTTACGTGTGATCATTCATTTTTTGATGGCTAAACCTTTCTTCACTCGTTTACGCCTTTTGTATTCGTTCGTCTTAATTTTTATCACCTTCCTTAGTCTTCCCTAACTTTTTTTGTGAGAATATAAAAAATAACGACGAAAACACGACAATAGAAACGCGTTCTTTTTTCTCGGTAACATGGGTGGAGGAGGAAAGAAGAGGCGTGATGGGCAAAAAGATAATCACCTTGAAAGTTTGCGGAGAGTGGAATACTCCTTCCTCCAAGCTAGGTTTATTCGGTACATCAGTTTGCTTCGGAAGAGATTGCCAATTTTTATTTCGATTGGCTAATGAGAGCTTCAGGTTCGCTTTTTAGGCTTGTTTTAATACCCTCCTGTTTGCCCCTCTTGCATGCACCTTTTTCTGTTCCGGTCTTGCTGGTAATAACTACGGAGATCGCGTTGGGGTAAGAAACGCGAGATCTCCATTCGGTGTTTTCTATGAGGATAGTCATGTAGGTGCGGAAACGAGAAAAAAAAACATGTTGAAAGACAATGGAGAGTAGACAAAGTATTTGCCGCTGTGCTTTGTGTTATGTCTCGGAAGGTTACTTTCCGAGTAACGTTTTGTTTACATGCAAACAGGAATCAACAAAGTGCAACATCCAATGCAGCATTTCTCTTGGCCTTTTGCTTAAAGACATGCTTGATGACGCTCGTCTCTCCTCCTTCCCCTGACCTTACAGCCCCTGTTGTGTTGCTGTTCTCTTTCAATTGAATGTTTAGAACCCTTGTATTAAACGCCACCAAGCAAGACGCACAGCCCCAGCATGGATGACCACTCACAACAAGACAAGACGTGTCAAACGCGATTGGTCAAACCGCGTCTGTGTCTGCGCATTTGACGTAATATCACCACAAAACAACTCATACCAATCGCGTTTCATGTTGTTTGTTAGACTCGAACCCTTTTTTTCTTTTGTTCATTCTCATCCTTATTTTCACTCCTTCTTTAACTCTCCCGCCAACAGAAAGAAATGATGACTGATCAGACCTGGACATACAAGCTACTATTATGTCCTTTGTTGGCACCTCCTTTCTTTGTGCGAAAATAGAAAAGCGTCTTGTCCTTGGATTACCTCGTTTCTTATTTCTTTCTTGCTTTTGGTTAAAAATATGTGCGTTAACGCCGCCGCTTGTGGTTCATCTCCATGAAGCTAATTTGGATCGAGACGGAGGTGAGTAAGCGACTCGAAAAAGAAGGCAGGTTCTGGAGGTTAACGAGCAAATGATGAGCCGCTCAACAGAGAAATCCTCATGCTGTGTCCTCACATCATGTCTTCTTCTCCTTGCTTACTATGTCTCCTTTTCACTCTTTGGCTCCTCTTCTCCTGCGATGAATAAGAGAAAGATCTAGCTCCCCTGAGAAGACTCAAAAACAAAGAAAGGAAGAAAGGAAGAAATGGCCCGCAATAGAAAAAATCTTTTCGTTGCTCCCTCGTGTGTGTCTTTCCCAAGATTGAGGTGCGGCATGTGAGATACGCTGGTCGTTAAGAACGAGCTACTGCTGTTTTGTTGGCGGCGTTTGCTTGAAGTATGAGTACAATACATCACCATCCTTCTTCACACATGTTTGTCCCTTTGATTTCGCTTCGTTTTCCTTTTTGTCATTTTTCCTATCGTTTATTCTATTCTCACACCGTCTCCTTTAATTCTTTTCTTGCCTCTTTTTCAGGAGAACGAATGATTGAAAACGAAATAAAGGGAGACATCTTCCCTTATCAATCAAAAAAAAAGGGAAATCGGAACTGTGCCTCTGCCCGGTGTGGTCCCTTTTTCCATTTACCTCCAACAGAGAGGAGAGATGAACACTTGTGTATATGTACAGCTGTAAGTGTAATCCAGCCCAGCATATCCCTTATTTTTCCACTCCTTTTTTTCCTCTCCCAGATTGAGGACACAAAATAGCCCTTTTTTACATGTCGTCCATCCATGGCTCTGGCTTTATCATACTTTGCGTCTCCTCTGCTCTTACTCCTCTCGTCTCATCTTCCTTCCATCGACGCGATATTTTGAGGGTCTGTAAATGACTTTAAGCATAGGCGAGATGGAGTTCATTGACTTGGTTGTCGCTTCATCCCTCTCACTTGCTCCTCTCAATTCGCTCACTCCTCATCCTTCCTGATTTCTCCTTCCTCTCTCTCTTTCTTTTCTCTCCTACATCTCTACTTCTAGCACTCCCCTTCCCTCCTTTGCTCAACTTTGTTTTTATCCGTTTTTTCAGTTTGCTTTGTAGTGCTGTTCACTCTCATTTATTTGCTGCACCACATAATGACTAACCTTGATAGTTCTAGAATTATGGAAGCGACTTCCTCCTCCTCCTGCTGCTACTCCTCCCCTTCCACCTCTTCCTCTCTAGTATTATCATCATCTTCCTCATCCCACTACTCTCCTCCAACGCATGACGCCAAGGACCCAATTGATCGTCCTCGTCTTCTTCTTCCTTCAAACCCATGCTCACATCGTCCATGCTCTCACTCACGTACAAGCACAACAAACACCAATAATTCACGCTCTCCACGCGCAAGCACAGGCAGCAGCACAACAGCAACAACACGCTCACAACACGCCAGCTCTCATTCGTATTACAGGAACGCGCCTGCGTCTGGCCTTGTTGTTATTTCGTCTCCACACAACAATAGCGGTCAGCAACAGCACTACCGAAACTCTGGCGTCCATCATCACCCGTGTTCGTTCTCGTCGTTCTCCTCTTCCTCCTCCCCCTTCAAACAGAGTCCATCGTCCATCACTCGCACCGTTTCTTCCTCATCCAATCTCAATCTCCAAGCAGGCAATTTACACCCAACAGAGCAGCGCCAACAGCAGCAAAAACAACAGGAAGACGAAGAGCGGCAATCCGATCCTCAGCACCAAGTTGAACGCCAACACCAACGCCAGCAACATCAGCCACATCGACGACAAGAGCAACCAGCGCCTTCCACCTCAGCTATGATCTCGTCGTCTTCCACAATGTCTCTTCTTCCTTCTCCCTCTTTCTCTTCCTCCTCCTCCTCCTCCTCCACTTTGCATCCTCCTCGTCCTCTTCCTCCATCCTCACTATCACCATCGTCATCGTCATCACCTTCACCTTCTTCGCCCTCGCCTTCTTCACTTCCACCTTCATCGTCGACGACTTCCCCACCACCGACTGAAGCACCACCCCTCGCCCTAAACACAAATCGACACCACCAACACCACCAACACCAACACCACCGACTCCTCCACCTCCCACAGCCACAGCAGCCGCCTCCACAAGAACAACTACACCATCAAAACAACTCTACTTACAAGTCCCCACCCAGAGCCAGAGTCCCACCCTCACAACAGAGTGGTAGTGGCAAAAATAGTAGTAATCCTCAACCTGCTGCTGCCTCCACTGACAAGGGTCGACACGTTCAAGAGACGATCGCAACTTTTTCTCGGTTAATGATGAAGAACAGCACCAACAACACCTTCCAACACTCGAACAACTACCACTACAACAACAACAACAGCAACAATAGCAAGAGTCCAGCCATCATGGCCCTCCTCACTATCAGCAAACCCCCCGTTGCTGTCTCGAGCATTGTCGCAACTTCCACTTCTACTCCCTCCTCTGCCTCAATGTCCCCTGCCTCTTCTTCGTCTTTTCCCCAGCTTCCTTCGCTTTCACCCTCGTCCTCGTCACCGACATCATCTGACATCTCCTCTTCGTCCCTCCAGCTTGCGTCGTCGTCGCATTCCTCTTATTCTCCCGCCTCTCTTCCCGCATCGCCTTCCTGCATAAAGACGACTGCGACAGGAACAGCCCAAACAGTGAGAAGAGTGTCTGTCGCTCCTGTTAGCCCTGAACAGATTGGAAGAAGAAGGGGGTCAGGTACAGGTGCAAGTGTATCAGCAGGAAAACATCAACCTTCGATATCTTTCTCTCCTTCCACCACAACCACCTCAATCAATTTTCCCTCTGCATTCATTGGAATGAAGAAACCTCTTCCTCCAGCCGTCTCGACCAGCCATGTCATCGGCGGCAGTATCAGAGGAGGAAGAAGAGGATCAGGAGGAGGGCCTGCTTCAGCGACAACTCCTTCATCTGCAGCGGGGTCTCCTTCAGATCTCTACCCGCTGGTCGGGCGCGATATTCTTTTTGGCTATGGTAGTCTGAGTGCCGCCGCTCTCACCACGGCAAGCAACAAGGAAGGAGCAACCATTGTCGCTGACGCTGTCGCTGGTGTTGTTGAACCATCAATGTTCCGGCCCATGTCTTCGATGGAGAACGTAGAATGTAAGAAAAAAATACATGTCAGTGAACTTTTGGGGATAAGAATTAGAAAAGTCCTATCCTGTCCACTTTGTTCGACCATTTTCTTCCCACCCATACCCAAGCCCACGCCCATGCCCGTGCCCATGCCCATGCCTCCTCGAAGAGGCCATTCCTTTTCCCACCCTTCTCCTTCTCTCCCTTCGTTCCCTTCTCTTTCCTTTGCCCCTTCCTTTTTCCCCAGAGACCCTTTTTTCATTGATTTTTTTATGTTGGATATGAACACAACAACAACACACAAGCCTACACCAGAACTTTTTGTTTGTTTTTTTTTGCAAACAAGGTGGTTGTGTGTGGAAATGGGCAAATGGGAAATGAGGAAATGAGGAAATGGGAATGGGGATAAGGACAGGGAAAAGGGGGCTTCTTCTTCTTCCCAGTTGCAATCGCTAGCGTTTTTCTGTTTGATACCAACGTCCTCGACCCTAACATATCATTTCCCCTTTTTTTCTCGCTTTTTTTTTCTCTCATCGCCACATTTTCGCGTTTTCCGTTGCTTTCGCTTTTTGGGAACCCGATAGTCGCTTGGTCGCCGACGACGACGACCACACCTGGCAGTCCGACAACAGCAACAACAACAGCGACGACAGAAGCAGACGGAAGAACAGTAGCGTCCTCGCGGTCAAGATACGATGCCTTCTCCCCTTCCTTCACCACAACTACCGCAACTGCAGCTGTCACGAGCTTGGACCGCCACAACAACAGCTCTTCTTCTTGTCCTGCAGGATCTTCTGGATCTTATCCCGACTCTCTCGCCAAACTCTCCGGTAATAGGAACAGACAGAACTCGGATCAAGGAACAGTAGGGTCGGCGGGAGCGGGGAGGGTATCATTCGACCAGCAGTCTATCCACCCCTTACAGCTGGATCCTGATCTGGCTACTACTACCGAGGAAGTCGAAGATGAGCAAGATGTTGAGATGGAGGAAAGGGAGGGGGAGGGAGTTACTATGTTGACAAACGGTGATGATCAGCAGCAGCAGCAGCAGTGGGCGACGATGACGACTACGACGACTACGCCGATGACTATTGCCAACACTCCTGTTTCAATGGCATTGGCGACAACGTCATCTTCTGTGGATGCATTGACAACAGAAGAGGCAGGACGAGGCGCATCATTGGGAGGAAATCAGGATCTTCCTCCTATTCCTTCTGCACCCCAGCCCCGACTTCAGCCTCAGCAACAGCATGTGGTTCAGAAAAAGTCCTCCTTTGCCGCAAAACTGCGCAAGGTTTTCAACAACTCCAAGGCCTTGCCTCCTACTCCTCAGGATGCTAGTACTCCCACAACTAATTCTACTGTCATTCAACACCAGCAGGAGATGCAGACGCAGGAGGATATTATCTCCTTAGTATCAAGCGACGATCTCTTTAGTGGCAGCAGCAGAGCAGCGACGGGAGCAAGTGGGGCGACAACACAAGCCAAGGCGGTGACTCTTATGGAACAACAACACCGTGGTTCAGTGTCGTCTGCCAGTTCTGTTGACACTACGGTGGATTTGCAGCATCAACTTGGGAACAGCGCCTTCCAGCGACGGGGTTCGAATCAGACAGAGACGCCGTCAACGTCTCCGGAGTCTACTCCTTGTGGGTCCCCCACTGATATGTCGACCCTGAACACCATCATGTCCACTGCCACTGATGCCACAAATCAACAACCAGGAGGATCGGGAGTTGTCGTCGTTGTTGGACCGATCCCCTCTTGCGATATGGATCCCGATAGCACTCAGCACCGTCACCCTATCTCAGGATCCGAATCCTCATCTTCATCTTCTTCACCCTCAGCGGCGGACGACGTTGAAAGTACCGTGTCTGCACCTGTGGTCGGAACGATGCCACAAGTCGCCACCCCCTTGCCCACCAACCAGACAGCAGCCGACATTACCTCTGCCCTCCAACCACCACCCTTACCAGCCAAGGCTGGGAACCCGACCAGGACTGTCAAGAAGCGGCTCTCATTCGCGTCCATCTCGTCGTTTTTCAGTCCCCGCAACGGTGGCTCTTCCAACAACAACAGCGCCACAGCTCAACAGGAGGCGCGTGCGAAGCAGCAAAGGGCGTCATCTGTCCCCCACATTGAGAACCCGCTGGTGACTGTCGGGCGTCAGATTGCGGGATTCCAGCGCCGCCATTCTTTGAACGACTTGGATGATAATAAGGCATCTTCCAAGATCTCGAGGGTGGGTGTCAACTCCTGGGAGAAGGATCCTAATGCTCTTCCTACCGCCGCTGCCGGTGCTGGGCATGAAAGTGCCTCCACTGGCGCTGCAGCCAGCACCTCTACTGCCAACAACCGTACACCCCAGTCTCAGCAGGGAGTCCCCAAGCCCGCCAAGAAGCTGTCGTTGAACAACGTCTTCAACAAGGGCCTTCGCAGGAAGAAGAAGAACGCCGCCGCGAATGCTCTCAAACCTGAGTCGTCCATCCCCGCGAAACCACTCCGGTCAGCTCTTGCCAGTCGATCAAAGATCGCTCAACCAGGTTCAGAAGCGGCAGCTCACCAGCACCAGCAGGCACCCAAAGTCCATTTGGTCCATCGATCGTCGGTGGTGGTTGCAGGACGGAGACGGTCGGCATCTATTCGGTCCCAGACCAGTTCTTATCGTCGGCATCGTCGGAATTCTCTCCACCAGCACCAACACCATCATCATGGTCACAACAGCCACCAGCATACAGATCCCTTCGCACGACTTGCAGAGGCCAACCATGCATTGGCGGCCTTGAGCGGACACGGATCTGATGCCCAGACTGCTGCTGCAGTCCTAAGGCTCCAACAACACCTACAGAACCAAGAGGGAGAGTTCTCCTCATCTCAGGAAGATCTTGACTACTGCGCGTCACCCTCAACGTATGACTCTACCTCTGGTGAATTACCTCCTTCGCTCGATACACAGGGCTTGCATTACCACCACAACAACCAGTCTCAAGAAGGACTTCCCATCAGCCCAACGCGACCTACTACCAGACTCGATGGATCCACCATAGATTCTACCGCCCTCTCGACGCCCTCGACCTCACACACCCAACAACGAAACGGACACCCGACATTGTCGCCTTCGTCCTCCTCCTGCTCCTACTCCTCTTCATCATCATCGTCCGATAGAGTCAAGGGATCTTCGTCCCGGTCGACATCGGACGGTGTCGAGTCTTGTTCGTCTTCTTCTTATTCCTCGAAACAGGAGCCTGTTGCCCCCGAGTCGTCCCACTCTGCTGCTGCTTCTGCCGGTACTACCAGCGTGATTGATCCTTCCGAGTCGTCTGTTGACGGTTCTTTGTCGAGTCGGAGGAGCTCTGCAGACCGTGGTGCAGTTTTCAACCCACTCCTCCCAGCTTCTGCAGCGCGCGTGTCCGTCAACCGGATCGCCATGGAATCCCAGCAACAATCCTACGAAACCCTCAACAACAACAACAACAACAACAACTTGTTGGCAGGAGTAGAATCAGCCTCGACAACGTCCTCTTCCTTTTCCACCGAAGTCTCGTCCACCACCTCAGCTTCGACTTCTTCCGCGACCTCTAATGACTCGAGCTTGCCGGCAAAGAAGAGTAGTGTTACGATTATGAACACGGTCGCGGAGGATGCTGTGAGTGAAGAGGAGGCGATGATGCAAGCCCAGTTGACGTATATTCAACAGAAACAGCAGCAGTACCTTGTCGAACAGCAGCAACCTTATCAGTATGAGTTGCACCATGAACAGATGCAAGAAGAGCACCACCACCATCATCATCATGTCCACTACCTCCCACAAGACTACCACTCCCACCATCCACTCCATCATCACCACCACCACCATCACCATGACCAAGCAGCAGGCTACGACCCAATCCCCTCAGAACCCCACCACCGCCAACCCTACTACTACCCCCACCCATCCCTCTTCCCTCCCCGTCCGCCGCGTCAACTCCAATTCTCGACAAAGGAACCCCTAGTGTACCCGACATGGACGCCCGAGCAATACGATCGGACGAGCGACGCGTATATTACGGCTTCAAGGTTGACGCCCGCGATAGCGAACAAGATCAAACTGGAGTTGAACCAGTTCAAGTCCCAGGAGATGCTCGTCCATGAGGAGAGTCGAGTCTATACCCATTTCTTTATCTAATTTCCTCCGCTTCGTTTTTCCTTTTAAATTACCCAAATAATTCGTTTTGTAATAAGAACCCCCCCTTCAAACCAAATTCTCACACACAAAACGCATTGAGTTACTGTCACAACGTGAGAAGGATATATTTAATTGCTTTTCGACGCCCCCCATCAATTACAACTTCTCTCAAGATTGAGAACCACCCCCGCTACCGGGCACAGAAGAAGGAGGAGGCCTAGCAGGCCGCTTCCAGACCTTGATATGGCCACGCCGATCACTCGTCAGGATCGCATCCTCCCGGAACGTAATACTGGCCAATGGCTCATGGTGGATCGCCGTCGCCATCAATGGCTGCAACATCGCAACCCGCGATCTCCTTTCTGGCGGCCGTGTCATCGCCACCAGGTATTCTCCTTCCCGTTCAGTATCCACAGATCCTCGCAGTCCCGTACCTGCTGTTGTCGCGGTAGGAGTGACACCGCCAGCGTCGTCAGACTTTTGAGAATTGGACGCGTTGGGGTGATGGAACATGGTCGCAAGATTGTCCTGTTGTTGCTGTTGTTGTGTTGCCGTGTTGCTGTTGTTGTTGTTGTTGTTGTTGTTGTTGTTGTTGTTGTTGTTGTTGTTGTTGTTGTTGTTGTTGTTGTTGTTGTTGTTGTTGTTGTTGTTGTTGTTGTTGTTGTTGTTGTTGCTTGGTCGATTGAAATGCAAGTGCGGGAGAGTCCTCGCGGCATGCTGCAGCGCTTTCCTTGGCAGCTTGCCAGTACTACTACTACTACTACTACTCGTCGCAACACTCGCAGTCTCTGTCCCTTCCAGTGTCGTCATAGTCGTTCCAGAAATACTACCAGTCAGAGAATTCAACGACGCCGTCTCGCCCGAAACAGACAACCCTCCACCACCACCACCACCACCATCAGTCGACATCGACAAGACGGACAACTCTGCAGTTGAAGCACCAAGCGTCGACTCCCTCCCAGATTCAAGAGCTGATGAAATCGACGCACTGTCAATCGATATCGTCTCCGACGACAATCCTGCTCCAGCTGATGGCAGTGTTGTTGTGGTTGATGACGGTGGTACGGCCGCATGCTGCGAAAGAGTGGACCTATTATTGTTGAACAGACTGTGTCCTCCCAGACCGAGAAGACTGGTGATACTGCTCTTACTAGCATGTCCAGGGTTGAATGCCCCCGTCCCATGAACTGTCGTATTACTCCCGCGTCTCTGCGTTACTGACTAAATCCATCAGTCAGAAAATGGATCAAGCAGAAGGAAAAATAATTTAGCAAAACCTCTCTTTTCCAAAGGAAACCCAATGCATGAACCGCGGAAGAAAAATGAAAAAAAAAAAAAAAAAAAAAAAAAAAAACAACAACAACAACAACTTACGGCTTTAGGTTTATGCAGAGATCCAACGCTGAAGTCCCATAGGAGGAGCTTGGCATCCTCGCCAACACTACCAAACCGATAATTGCGCTCGTCGCATCTCCAAGAGTCAAACGCCACACCTGTCACATAGTTCTGGTGACCCTGGCATCGCGCCACAATCCGCAGATCCTTGAACGACCATATCGTCACCAAATCATCCTGTCCTCCCGTCTAAGCATAAAATAAACATATTACTTTTGTTAGCGAAAACAGCGAGAACTAAAAAAAAAAAAAGAAAGTTGCAGTATGAGCAGCATGTGCAACGGTTTCAGTTCTTACTAAGATGTATTTGCCATCGGGACTCCAGCAGACACAACTAAGGGCGCCAAAGTAAGACTTGAAAGTCTCGATCAACCGCTCGTTCCGGAAATCAATGATCCTGAGCTCGCCATCTGCCGCCACAACTGCGACGTGTTGCAAGTCTGGCGAGAATGCAAACGCGTTGATCGGCTTCCTGGAGATATGCCAATGTGAGATCGGATTGTGTCTTCCATGCTTCGGTTTCGTCGCGTGAAAGCTAAAATGAAAAAAAAAGCAATAGAATCGATAAGTATTTAATCAGTGGTTTAGGGTATGTAGACAAGGGATGAGACGACAAAAAAGAAACCCTCTGTACTTGTATTCGTCAGGCGGTGTTGGGGTGGTAAAGGCGTTATCGTCCTTATCCTTGTCCATCATGACAATGCTCCCGTCCTGGAACGCGACCATGAACTGGCTCTCAGATCCTGGCAACCACTTGATCATCGTCACTGCGCTGTCCTTGATAATAGACTACATGCATATACGATTAACAGCGTTAGTTCAAAACGTAGATAGCTACTTCATCATGTAATTGCGAACAAGGTGAATGAAGCGGTACCTGCTTGTTGAGACGTGAGTACTTGTTGCTGAGGGGGTTGAACCAGATGATGTCGCCCGTCGAGAATCCAATGATGACATCCAGATGGTCGCAACTCCTTGTCAGGATATTGACATCATGGGCAGTAGGGAATGCCTTTGAGAACGAAATATGCGACAATGGTTCCTATTGTCAAAATGAATGTTAAGCAGAAGGAAATCGTCAGCGTGCATATAGAAAAAAGGGCACCCACTGTGAACAACGTTGTCCGTTTCAACCGATATACAATGCAGCCTCTACTCCTTTCTCCTCATTCCTCCCGCCTCTCTCCTTTTTTCTCGTTCCTCCCGTACCTCTCCTTCTTTCTCGCTCCTCCTCCTCCTCCCTTTTTTATCAGCGTCAAGTCCATCCTCCTTCAACTTACGTTGGGTTTTTGAGTGAGGTCGCTCCAAGTAAATGTCCTGCCCGTATTCCAGAACAAATAAACATCCTCGTTAACCCTGTTCGCCAGAATCTTGGCCAGGTTTTCATGTGTCGTAATCTTGGCTATAAACGTCGAGTTGGTCTTGCTAATATTGCTCTTGGGCTTCTTCCTCTTGCCCGCAAAGAATGACGAGAATCCTGATGCAGACGATGTTGATGAAGATGGTCCTATCGTAGACGAATACGACAGCCCTCCTCCTCCTCCTTGATAGCTCATCGCTCCTGCTGACCCTTCTTCATACAACTGGTGAGAGAAACTCGACGCCCTGCCAAGAGTCCGACTGCTGCTGATGCCAGAAACAAGGTGGCTGTGACTGGTGGTGGTCGAAGAGGACGAAAAGTCCGAAAGACGCCCAAAGGATGTAGAGTCCTTCAGAGGTGGCGGGCGAGGGGGTGTCAAGGCCGACGCCAGAGTTGAGCTATCACCATCCCCAGAACTCTTTCCTCCTCCTCCTCCCGCTCCTGCTCCTGCTCCTGTTCCTGTTCCTGTTCCTGAACTAGTCTCATCATTGTAGAGCGGCAAGTCCACCAAGTTTCCATGAAAGTTGCCACTCAATTGCGGCCCTCCACCGCCGCCGCCTCCTCCATTGCCCTGAGCTCCTGCTGCTTGCGCTGTCACAGTCGTAGCCTCCTCCGCATCATCAGCAGCCCTATCATCAGAGAATTTGAGATCACGAAGCTGCTCATCCAACTGGTCAAACACAGACCCAAAGACGCCCGTCTTCTTCCCACCCGACGAAGAGCTGTTGAAGTAATCCTTGTACTTGACCGAGACCGAGGAGACGTAGGTGGGGATGACTGGGTGTGGCAGAACGTGGTCCAAGTGGAAATCCTGGAGTAACTCGTATCGTCCCTCTGCAGCCACGAACTCTGTATAATCCTGGGTCTGTTGTTGTAAGGCTGCTGTCGTCGCTGTTGTTGCCATTGCGATTCGTGTACTGGCGCTGCTATGCTCTTCCTTGTGCGGTGTTGGGCGGGTTTTGTGAATTAGAGATGAGTAGCGTTCGAAAGAGACAGGAAGGAAAGAGATGCAGAGAGGGAGGAGGGGTTGCGACTTGAGAGAGGATGGAGTGGTGATGGTAAAGAGCAAGAGAGGAAAAAGGGGTGCTTTTGGTGAGTGAGAAAATAAAAAAGACAGAGGAATGAACGTGGCATGGGTAATGGTCCTCCCATAAGAAAAAGAACAAACTCTAAAAAAAGGCGACAACCATATGACGCCACTAGAAAAGACCATGCACCATTCTCCTAATACGTGAGCGATTGATTGATGGACTGACACCAAGTAGAAGTGACGCTTGAACAAGAACAACAACAAGCGTTGAGAACAAGGATGTGAAAGCCTGATAACAAAAAGGAGGGGTTGACGCTCAACGGCTCGTGATCAAAAGGCACAAAAAGCGAAAAAAAAGGGGCGTTGACGTCCAAACTCCCAGAGAGACAAAAAGACAAAACATACATGGAGAAAAGAGGACCATGCGTTGGCATGAGTCAAGGATGTGGTATTTCGATGATATTTTTATTAGTTATTTACATGGTGATTGGAAACAAACACGTCGCTTTTACAGCTTGGCCTGGACAGGCTTCTGGACAAGGACACGGAGATCTTTGCGGAGAATTTTGCCGGCTGCAGACTTGGGGACAACCTCAATGAAGCGGACACCGCCACGGAGCTTCTTGTGGGCAGCAACCTTGGAGGCAACATAGTCAGCGACATCCTTCTCCGACAAGTTCTCCTGACCGGGGGCCTTGACAACAAAGGCCAGAGGAACCTCAGTCGCCTGCTCCTTGTTGTCGATTCCAATGACAGCAGCATCCAGAATAGCGGGATGGGCAATCAACAGTGCCTCCAACTCGGCGGGGGCGACCTGGAATCCCTTGTACTTGATCAACTCCTTTAGACGGTCGACAATGAAAAAGTTCTCCTCCTTGTCAACAATGGCGATATCTCCGGTGTGCAACCATCCCTCGGGGTCAATGGTATCCTTGGTCGCCTTGACGTTGTTACGATATCCCTTCATGACGTTGGGTCCACGGACCCAGATCTCACCAGGCTCGCCACGGGCGACATCCTTGCCAGACTCGGGGTCGACCAAACGGACCTCCTGGTTGGGCATCACGCGGCCGATCGAACCATGGATGGGGATGTGGTAGAGACCGACATGGGAAGCGGGGGACATCTCGGACATGCCGTATCCCTGACGGAACTGGACTAGGGGGAACTTCTGCATGAGCGCACGGCTGAGGTCGGCCGAGCAAGGGGCGGCGCCGGACATGACGAAGCGAACTGAGCTGAGGTCGTACTGGTCGACAATGGGGGCCTTGACCAACATCAAGATCTGAGGAGGAACCAAGTTCAGCGAGATAACTATCCGATAAATAAATGCAAGTAATGATCGTTAGTCGCTTGTTTTCCTTGCAATCAGGGTATTGGTGAATAATGGCAGATTCTTGTTCCGTGAATGTAGCTATAAAATAGTTGCTTGCGTACTCTTGAACTCCTGAATGGCCTTGAGGAAGCCAACGGGGTCGAACTTTTGGATGACGATAGTGCGAACACCCTATTGGAAATGAACAGTAAGAAGAGGAGAACGGAGATGTTTGTGAGTCGCCGATATTTCTGATCCAGAGTCCGACCGATTGGGATCCGTCGCCATTGTTCCGGGAGGAGGCAGATGTCCAAACATTCCTATTCTCGGCCATGCGCTGTTTTCTTTCTTTCTTTCAGACTTACGTTGTAGACACCATACATGAGGTGAAGCTGGATGCCGTAACTACATTCAATTGAAAAGAAGAGGAAGTGACAAAAGTAAGTATGTGATTCTTGCCCCTGAAGACATTCTTTGGTCCTTTTCATTTCCAATTTCTCTTTTCAGCTCGTGCTCTAATGTCAATCAGTGCATGAACAAAAAATCAAAACTTACATGTGGTACATAGGAAGGACAGCCATGGCAATGTTCTCTCCATGATCAACGTTACCCTCCAGAGGCGAGACCTGGCAAGTGTTGGAGTTGAAGTTGACATGGGTCAACTCAACGCCCTTGCTCTTTCCAGTAGTTCCCGAGGAATAACAGATCAAAGCCGTGGTCTCTGCAGCTGCCTGGCCGTTCAAGTTCACAGGCTGAGCCAAAAGATGATCGGGGGTCGATTCAGGAGGGAAGGTCGCGCTGTAGGGCTGGAATCCATCAACGGCCTTATCGCCATACAAAAAAATCCTGTTAGCAGGAAGGCCGACCTTCTTAGCCCCAGCAATGGCAACAGGAAGCAACTCAGGGTGGGTGACGATGACAGAGGCGCCGGAATCCTCGAGCTGGTAGGCGAGCTCGTCGACGGTGTAGGCCGAGTTGACAGTGGTGGTGACACCTCCGAGCAAGATGGGACCGAACATGGTGATGGAGTAATCGACCTGGTTGAAGGAGAAGAGGGCGACGACATCGCCGCGCTTGAAGCCGATGGATTGGAGACCGGTAGCCCAGCGACGGGTGGTGCGCTTCCAGTCGCCGTAGGTGATGACACGCTTTGTGATGGCGTCGGTGAGGATGGGGTGAGAATCTGGGGTGTTGTTTGGGTTTGAGATGGCGAAGGAGAAGGAGTTGATCTGGGGGATAACCTGGTCGGCAACGGGGGACTTGTAAACGGTCATTTTGTTAGAAGGTATTAATGGGGTTAGGAGGGGATACAAGGGTTTTTTTAGATGGGTATCAAAAAGAAGAAGGGAGGGGTGGAGTGGGGAGTTGGGTGGAGAAAAAAGGAAAAGAGTTGTTGAAGAAAGGAAAAAGGTGAGAGCAGCGTCCGATATTTATCTGAAAAAGAATAGGTTCCCGCAAAAAAATCAAAGGAAGAGGATCTGTCACACGAAGCCTGAAGACGAGGAATGGTACATTGACTGGAGGGAAAGGGCAAGAACCAATTTGCCTGTTCTCTCTTCACGCTTACCCTTTTTTTCTTTTCTTTTCTGTCATCGTCATCAATGAATTAACAAAGCAAGGAACCCCCTCTTTACCCCACCAAAGAGTTCGGCCCGCGGGCTCCGTTGTCCGATGTCCGATGTCCTTTATCCGTTGTCCGTGGCCACTGTGAAGTAACATTCAAGGCAAGACACCACACACCCTGCGCCGTGCTGGCGAGACATTGCCCTGGCCGACGAAATAGACTGCTGTCATCGACCAATCACATTTTATATCGACCAACTCCGTTCATGTGGAGAACTGGGCTCCCGTCGTCTCACGCAACCCTACATGGACTGTACACTGTACTGTACCTTCTTTTCCTTCTTTCGAAATACAGTGCCCTCAGAGATGCGCCTTCCACATTTTCTGTGGGGGAACGGAGGAACGAGCGAGCAAGGAGCGAGAAGGCGATGCTCCAAGCTCACCAGTCGATTTGACTTTTTGACTTTATTCCTTCTGCTCCAAGACCATTCCACCGGCTCCTTCGTGGCCATGGAAGTCGATCACCTCGGAGAGGGATAATTATCGATTGTTTCCTGCACTTTGTAAGGTACCTTTTGTTCCTGAATCTTTCTCAAACACATACAAGGACGCAGAAGCAGACAGGGGCGCACAAGATAGAAAAAGGCAACCAAAAAAATCTCATCTCATGCATAAAAATCACTCCACATGGGACATTCCATCTTTTCTTGTCAGGGTTTGGCAAGACGGAAGAAGAAAGATAAGCATAAATGAGGACTGGTCAATGGCATACATGACCGGTTGCCTCAATCACATTAGACATCTTTTGTGCTGACACTTGGCCCTCTCTCTCTTTCATGTCGTTTACGAAAGATGGTTGGGGTTGGACCTGGCAAGCGCATGGCAATGGGAGGTGGGAACAATCGAGGGCGTAAAAGGAAGGAGATGCATCCTCAAGCCAACCTACCGAGAAAACAACAATCCAATCACTCAGCGGACCAAGTAACGACCTACAACAAACAGAGTGGGATAAATGATTGTGAAGACAAGGTTGATGCGAGCACGTTTTTTTGTTTAAATTGGTTTTGCTAAAGAAGATGAATACGATAGCACACCCAGGCCTAGATCCCCATGGCGACAGCTCCTCCTTTGTCCTCCGCCAATATCTGTCAAGTGTGTGGCATCGAACAAAAGGCGGTCGAAAACAAGAAAAACGACGCAGGTTTAAGGCAGAAGGGTAGACCTAGCAGCTAGCAGTCATGTGATGTGTCAGGTGAGGTCACGGTTTTTTATCCGCCTTCGTTTTACTTGGAAGGTTCATTGCGATCATCTTTTTCTTCCTTACAAAAGCACAAAACCACACGGCGTGTCTTTGATTCGAACACCACAAGCTAACACAGAGAGGTAAGGCATACCAGCACTATCACCGCCAGAGCAGGATCAGCAAACACAATCACATCCTCAACAGACATGGATCCAGGGAGGAAGAACACTTCTTGATTCCACTGCTGAACAAAAAAGAGTGACTTTGTTCGTCTGCCAAATGAGACCTTGCTACCCCTTGGATGCCATAAGAAAAGTAGGCGCGTCAGTGGGAGCTGCATGGGGCACAACAACAATAGACTGATCCTTTTTTTTGCGCCCCCTGCGTCTCTATTTTTCCTTATTTTACTTTATTAGATATTACTTTTCTTCCGTGCCTCTCTGCAACCACAACCAACAAGAGGACGAACACCGAAAGCTGATAACACACACACTTCTTAAGCAGGACCAGAGCAACAAACAAACTCAACCCAATCACAATAGCCAGTGAAAGAATTCCTCACTTTCCATCCCGTTTGCTTTCTTTTGGAACAATCTCTCCATCTCGCTCATCAGGACACCAACAAAGCAGGAGATCAATCCTACAACACAACAACAAGCACACAACCTCTTCGTTCAAACACATCAGAAAACACAATGGCCCCATCACTGCCTGGCAGCTCAGGAGGCCGTCGAGGAGGAGCTCGAGGCTCGATGCGCGCTTCGTCACAGACAGTTGAGAAACAGGACTCGGACTCGGAGGATGTGGGCAGGAATAGCCCATCGCGTTCCAAGAGACCTTCCCGTCAGGCTGCTCCTAGACCAAGAGGTCGTCCCCCAAAAGTACAGCAGCTACAGCAGGAAGAAGGGGAGGAAGAAGAAGAAGAAGAGGAGGACGTGGATGGAATGGAGGTCGATGACAAGGAAAACTCTCAAGGACCTATTGGCGACGAGGAGGAAATCGAAGGCGAGATGGACGAGGTTGGCGAAACCAAGGTCACAAAGGACGGTGAACTCTTGGGAGGTAACGTACCATCCTCTTGTTTATGCGTGGCATTGTATTTTCTATCGCGTTCGTAGATACAGAACGTCCTCGATCTAATTGGACGTGTGAATTGAACGATTGGGACAAATAGGACGCCAGTACAGGTGCAGGAGCTTCAAATTGCCAGAGAGAGGCGACAGGATTTATATGCTTTCAATGGATCCTGCACGCGTTCTTGGATTCAGGGACAGTTACTTGTTCTTCCTCAAGAACCCTCAGCTGGTCCGAGTCAACACAACGGTCGAGGAAAGACAGTGGATGATCGAGCAGGGCATGCTGATGGCTAATTTCAAGTCCAAGCTGATTGCCGTTGTCACCGCTCGGTCGATCTTCAAGTCATTTGGGGCCAAGATCATCAAGGGCGGAAAAAGTCGCGTGGATGACTACTTTGAATCCAGCGCTTCAGAGGATGCGGTGGACGACTCGGAGGGTGATACCACTTCTCGGACTGGAGACGATAATACACAATCCGGAAGCACAGGAGGAAACTACCAAGCCGAGGACCATTCTTCGCCTGCACCATCAAAGCGCAAACACACGCTAATGCACGAGGACTCTGCACGCCAAATCACCGATCTCAACTGGCAGTACGAGAGCGCCATGGCCGTCCGTGCGCTGAATTCTCGACTGAAGGAGCTCCGCAAGGAAAATCCTAAATTCCTGGATCCCCACACCAACATTGAGCAGATCCCGGCCATCACACAACCCACCCGTTGCGATGTACATGTTGTACGCGAGACTGCTCTTTCCTCAAAACCTCAAGTGGGCGAGGCAGAAAACGAGGAGGGGACTATTCTCTCTATCCCCCGATCAATTGGACCCCATGTGGCTACTGATGTCAAGGTCGAGATCAAGCCTGGAGCACCTTTGCCTCCTCTGATTCATGACCCTAACGTATGGGCGGCCATTCCTGAAGATATCCGTCGCGTTTTGGAGGAAGCCGAAATCGCACAGGCCAGGGATTACGATGAGAATGACGAGGTGATGACAAGGTTTCCCATCTCGCTCTTGACCGGGCAGTACCAAGCGGCATACCCATTGTAAGTACCTTACCGATGTTTATTTTTGTCTTTTACGTCGCCATTGCTACCATGCAGGCTTCGTTGTAATCTGCGCCCAATGCTTCAACACTCTAATGTAACTTTATCGTCATAAAAATAGGCACCAAACTCGGTTCCAGCGACCTTACAACATTGTACTCCCTCAGGGAATGACTGCCCACGCCCATTATATCCGCCATCTGTGGTCTACTCAGCCCCACCCAGAACCCGTCTTGATGGAGCAGACCACACGGCCAGGAACTCTTCGTCCCTCCCAGAAAAAGTCTATCGATCAGCAGCCACCTCATGCACCTCATGCACCTCATGCACCTCATCCGACTATGCCTCACCACTCACAACAGCAACCACCACCTATGCAGCAACACCAACAGCAACACCAGCAACAACAGTCACAGGGCGCTCCATATCAGTACCAGCCCTACCCCTCACATCCACAGCAGCATCAGCATCAGCATGCTGTTGCACCCATGCCCATTCAGCCCAGCAACAGTCGCCGGCGTTGATCGTCCACCTTTAGTAACCATTTGTTTCCAAGCCCACTCCCATCTCTAATCCCTCTTTTGATAATAGGCCCCAGTTAGTTTCTTTATTTCACAATTAGAACCATTCTTTCCTCACTCTCTTGTCACTTTCTCACTCAAACTCCATTCCTCCCTTGTAATTTTAGTTTTCTTCTCCCCTCCCAGCCTTCAAATACATTTTTTTTCTTTCCCGTTCTTGTTCTGATTCCTCCCGTTTCTTGCCAAACAAAAAAAATCATGTCAGCAGCCTACTTTTCATACCATCCCAGCCAAAGTACCAGTCGAGAAAACGTGGTAAAAACAAACAACAACAACAACAACAACAACAACAACAACAACAACAAAAAAAAACCTCCAATGTACTCTTGCAGCAAACCATGTGGTGCTAGATACTTTATTTATTTAGTTTTTGCGCGGTTCTCTTTTTTTTTTTTTCTCCGTCAAGAGGGATAGATGGCAAGCTGAGTCAAGGCGGTCTGTAGTCTCTTCTAACGTACAACGGTCGGACTATATTTATTTTTTCTTTCTTGGAAAGAAAGGGGAACCCGGGCCATCTGTTGTGATATGAACAGTTAATGAAAGGAACGACCAAGCGGATGAAGATAGGGGTTATTGGAGTGCTTGAAACGCACGAGTGACGAATTGTATGTGGAAATACGACAAGATGTAACAACAAAAGGAGCCATGGGATGGAGTGGAGGCAAGCGAAATAGGATAACCACTTTGATCATCCTATTATGCCGAGTCGAGTTACATTGTCTTTGCCCCTGGGCAAGCCACCCCCTCTCGAGTTCCAAGGGAATGTGGGACATTAGTGAAATAGGAGGAAACTAGGGCACAGACAAACCAAAGTAAAATGTCCCAAGCAATTGGGCAATTGGGTGATGGTTGGGTTTTGCTGCTTTGCCCTCTTTTTTTGGGTGTTTGATATTGTCTTGTCTACATGTTAGTGGTTGAGTGGGTATGGTGCATGACTATGCATGGTGTACCCGACTCGTTTTTTTTGTTTTTGTTTGGTAGGTATGGGTCAATTGCTTGGGGGACGGGAGAGAGGGAGAGGAGGGTGGGAGGCGAATTTTAGGAGAGAAGGGAGGGGACACATACCATGCCGTATATGGTTCAACGGGACGGACGATGGATGCATGCACATTCAAAGGAGAGACAAGAAGATAGGGAGGGGTACATCAGAAACTGGTGACGGACAGTGCAAGAGGGTGGGAAGGGGTGGGAGGGAAACAATAAGATTGGGGCGACGCAAAGTTACCATGGCTCAGATGGTTCGGATGGCTCAAATGGTTGTGGGTAGTTGCTTTGTTTTTACTGGCAACCACCAAGGTGGTTGTGTTCGTTTCCTTTTTTTGATTGGATTCAGTGTTCCCAGCCCAGGACAGACAGGGCGTTTTGCTGGAAGGTGGGACAAGAGAATTTATTTTCGTGCGACGATGATAACTTCCTTTGTGTCCAGAAATAACAGCGAACAAAGGTGGAGCAATAGAGCATGTCATCGTGCCACAGGACGCCAGGGTTGCCATCATCACCGCCGCTCCAGTGAGAGTTATATGAAAAGTGGATGGATGAAGGGTTGTTGTGAGCATGGACCAAGAAAAGGACAGAAAAGAGAGAGCAAGAGTTGGTTGACGACGACAGCCCTGGGGACGAGAGAGCAGTTCGCCACACACCAATCGAATATTAAAAGATTATATTTATTTTCGTCGCAGTGACAGACGATATGAATGCTCTCGTTGTCGAAACATGGATGGGGGATTGTATCGATTGCTCCTTTTACTACTGAGGGTTCATTCGATTGATACCCTGCCTCTTTTGCTTACTTTGCATGAAAGTGATGAAGAAGAATGGAAAAAGAGACGACGGACGCCAATGTAATTTAGTGCTATTGTCATTTAATGTTAGCATGGATGGAAGGGAAGGAGTCATGGATTGAATGAAATGGATGGTGTACAGTTGAGAGGTTCAATGTCCCGTCTGAGCTCGCCACTGAATGAATGCTCACCTCTTTCTTTGCCACTTCCTTGTTCGCTTTTACTTTGCCCTTGGAAGCAGTGACGATGAACAGCAAGAAGCGGATAGATAAAAGGGCGCGCACATGGTTCACTCGACATTCCTCTCTTTCCTTTCCTTTTAACTTTTACTTTTCTCCCGTCTCCTTATCCCTTTTGTTATTCACATTTCGCCCCACTGTCCCCTCTCCTTACACTTTCCCATACTTCATCACTGCCCCTCGTACTCTCACTCGGACATAACGATTCCGTTCACCACCTACTTTTCACTACTTCCTCTCTTCCTGCCATTCTCAACTTTCACCTTCTAGACGAACAGCTCTTCTTCTCCTTCTTAATTCATCCACCCTCTTTCTTATCCTCATCCCTATCCATATCATACAATGACAACTCTCGCAGATTCCCAGATTGCCTCGCCCTCACACACCTTCATGGACTCGAAGCCCCCATTGGTCCCCCGCCAGTCTACAAACGATGTCCTCTCCTTTACCAATATCATTGCCGACCGCCTCGCACCCGGTCAAAACGTCTGGGATTACTTTTCTCCAGCACCACCAGCACCCGTCGCAGTAGCAAAAGTAGCACAGTCTGCTGCTGTTGTAGATAGCCAAAGCTCAACAACGAGTGGACCGGCGTCACCAGCCCTGCCGCTTTCGCCCACTTCGCCCACCACGTCGTCTTTCAGCTTTTTCGGAAACAAGCGTCAAAGCGTCATTATCGATACCTCCAAGCGCCCACCCTTGCCGCCATCGCCTCCTCAATGTGCTTCTCCTACGTCGGCTTCCTTTGCTGACCCTACTGCCGCTGCAGCTGTGGATGCTTTGTGCAGTGGTGTTACACCAACCCCCAAGCTCCAGAAGCGCAAATCCTTTGCCCAATCCCTCCGCAACATGCTCAGCCTATCCCAACTGCTCACTTCAAAGACCGCTCCCAGCCAACAACAACAACCAACCGGCCCACCACATTACAACATTCTGGTACTGGGATCTGACAGTGCACCATTGGCGAGCACGCTGTACAAGATGTCGAGTCTGCTGCCGAGCACAAACAAGATTTCGCATTACCAGGAGATTTCAGGGTTCTTTGTTGCATACTTTCGGTCGAATGGATCGTTTACTTGTTCGCCAAAGTCGTCTACAGAGTTGAGTGATCGGGAGAGGAGGAGGAGGTCGACTTTGAGCTTTGGAGGACTGGATAATAGGAGGGAGGTTGATGTCAAGCGGCGGTCGGTCATCTATGGGTTGGAAGAGATTGATACCGACGATAGGTTCATTCCAGGAGCAGCACGAGCAGTGAGGTCAAGTGAGGAGAGTGAGGCGACACTGTTGAACGCTCGGATACGCCATCCTATGGACCGGTCGGACTCTTCTTCTTCCTCCTCCTCCTCCTCGTCTTCAGTGGATACATACGACGCCAACAACGAGGACGAATCCACCCTCTGCCAGGAACCGCTGGAAGAAGAGCCATCACCATCAACAGCAGCAAAGGCATCCGCAAAAGCAAGTCTCTCATTCCACGCCTTTTCCCTCGACACCACCTGGCCCGTTCCCCGAAAGCTCGCCCAAACCTTCTGGTTCCCCCATGCGCACGGGATCATCTATATTGTTGACGCAACCCGCAAGAACGACCCTCGAGGAATGGACCACCTCCTCAACGCACGTCAGTTCCTGTCATCCCTGATTGCAGACCCACATTTCAAACGGAAGGATATCCCTGTGGTGGTGTTTGCGAATAAGGCTGGATTGGATGACGAGACTTGCTTCCGGGTGGATGAGATTGCAGACATCTTGGGCTGTGAGGAGTGGGATCATGAAGGGAGGGTGTCGATTGAGTCGCTTGGTAACGGAGCGATGCCACCACAAACGCCTGTGGGGTCGTCGGCGGCTCGACCTTGGTGTGTGAAGAGCACACGGTCGGATGGTGAAGGTGAAGGGCTGAGGGAGTCTGTCGAATGGCTCAAGAGCCGTATGGGCGAGATCTGGAAAGCCTAGAGGACCTAGAGACCCATGGAACGATGGTCAAGAACAAAAGAAGTGTGTCGCCATGTGGCGTTATCTTTCTTCCTTACCCACGTTTTTCCTTTTTTTTTCTTTTCTTTTCTTTTTTCTGTTGGTTTGTTCACACTCAGTTGAACCCAATTGTCATTTTTTTTTCTTTTCGTTTTGTTTTCTTTTCATTCTGCATCCATTTGGATTATGCAACTCATACCCTTTCCGTACAATAGTCCACCTATTCACCCCCATTACCAATACCAGTTGCCATTTTTCATAATACAACAATAATTTACCCATGGACCTAGGACCTGACCTTGTTGTTTTTTTGTTGAGAGAGTGTGTCATGTTGAATAGAAAAGGAATTGACTGCTGCAATGCGCCTTGATTCAAGTTGGTTGCCAGCCTTGGTATGACTCTGCTTTTTGTTAGCTTAATTGTATTTGCTGCACAAGTAAATAGGGCAACAGATATTTTTTTCTCAACCATTGCCGTTAAGGAGCGTCAGACAGGATGGAGGGGTGTAGATCGCGCAGACTGACTGTTGGTATTTGAGTAAGAGCAGATAAATAAACAAAGGCGCGCGCCGCAGAGGGTTTTGAGGGTTTCCAATCAAAGAATGAGTGGATGGCCTCAAGAAGTATCCAAAAGAGATGGAATAGGTGTAACTTTTTCTCCTTCTCTCAACGTTTTTTATTTTCAAGAGGATTGTTGGGTGTTTTCTTTTCTTCCATGCAGAGAGACAGAAAGGCACACATGGCATGCACGTTGCGGCAATGTCATTATTGTTATGATTTTTTTTTCTTCAGGTTATGATTACTCTGTTGGACTTACCCGATGGGTGCGACACAGAAACACACAAACACAAAAACACAAACAAAACCCACAAGGGGTCGGGACTTTGAGGGAGATTGAAAAATGAAAAAGAAGGAAAGAAAGTGGACGGTTCCATCCCGTCGGCAGATAAAGGGGTGAGGGAACAGACAGACAGACAGACCAACCCCGTGCAACCCAACTCATCCCTCTCGTCTGATCACTGTAACTTTAGGTTATCAGATCCTCATATTTTGTGGTGATTTGACTCGTTACGCCCAATGTCACCGGTAGAAACATTTGATTTTGTTTTCAGGAAAGGATCAGATAAGTGGTTGGCACTGTAAACATCATTAGAATGAACATGCATGTCCATGCGGGTCGTTTACCACCCTCCCTGTCCTCTATTCTTCCTTCCCTCTCTTTCATTAGCCTACTGGTTTCTCCTCGCCTCCTCTCTTTTTTTCTGTGTTTGCTCACTTGTCACTTTGAGTCCCTACTTCTATCCCCTTTACCACCCTCTCACCCTTCACCCTTGACTTTACCCTTCACCCTCGACTTCACCCCCCGCTCGCTCCAAAGACTGTGCGAATACTCAACCAAGAAGTATTAGCGTGTTTGTGTCTGTGTCTGTGTCTGCGCGTGTGGGAAAGGGTGAAGAAGAGCGAAGGATCGATCCTATTATGGAAAAGAACACACTTTTGGACCACCTTTCCTCTCCATCCTTCCTTCTTTTTTTTATTCTTTTGTTCTTTTCTTCTCGTGGCCCCCATCGTTACAAGAGAACTGCACATGCACAAGTGCCATCCCTCCCTCCCAATCGGGTAGTGTTATGGGCTAATTGAATGAACGAAAGGAGTGGCAGATGCGAAGGAGAGGAGAAAGAAAGAGAGAGGGGTGAGCGTGGACGAGTTTCGAGTATCGAGACTTGCAAGTTGAGTCTGATTTGAGTTGTTGTTGCATATGTTTTCGTTATCAGATCCTAATTTTTCTTAGTAACCCTTGCCTCTGTGTGTGTGCGGCGGAGGGTGGGTGTCTTACCTGTTATTCTCTTCTCTGCCTTAATAAACAAATAAATAGCGGGCCATGACTCTCCTCTTTCCCTCTCACTTTTTCATTCTCCTATCAGCCTTTTTTTTTTTACTTCCTTCTTCTCTTTCTTCTTTTTCTCCACTCCTCTCTCCCCCCAAAATCAAAACACATCACCCCTCCCCTGGTCATATTCGACGCCGCCCACTCTCTCCTCTCTCTTCTCTTCGTTGCTGCCCCTTCCTCTTTCCTGTTGATACCACCTTTCCCTTCCTCCTCACTCTTCCACCTTTTCAATCCACCAATCAATACAACCTCCAGCGCAGTCTGAACGACACCCTTTTTATATATATACCCGTCATTACCACCCGATACACCCACAATTTGCCCCGATTAACCAGTTCACCCACGGGGGAGAAAATACATACTCTTGTACAGATACAGCGAAATAACATCAAATTCGCCCACTCACCTCACTCTCCAACACACAACAAAAATGGGCTATAAGTTCCAGGCACTAGCCCTGGCAACCCTTTCCATTTGGGTGATATTCCTCTTTCTCGACTTCAGGATCACTTGGCTGGTCCGCGGCCGCCTCGCAGACTTGTACTACTTCAATCGACGGGACCTGGTCTTCATCAGCCTATTTGCCACCCCTGCCATCCTCTCCCACCTCATCACCATCTGGGGCCACTACTACCGTGCCGACGATCTCTTCCAAGAGTCTATCCGGCTTGTCTCGACTTCATCTGTGAAGGAGAGGAAGAGGATCTCGGTATGGGAGAGACATGATCCGTGGTTGGGGTACACGGTCAAGTATTGGGTGCTGGTCGGCGTTTCGGTGGCGTTGAATTTGGTTTGGTTTGTGCAGCCGGTGGTTGTTTACATGCCGAACGGGATAAAGTTCTTGGGCAAGTATGCCGCTTTCATGGGTACGTTTTGTTTTTGCCTTGTCGTTTTTTTTTTGTTATTGGGATCCCCCCTTTCTGCCAATCGGGTGCTTCTCTTTTGTTCGGTTTTGACAGACTTTTGACAACCTGCACGATAGACACCTCCTGAAAAAAAAAATATGACAACCTCCTATTTGCCTCTTCATGTCTCTATCAACCAACCAACCAATTAACAAAAACCTTCCTCTCCTCTTTCTCACTTTCATTCCAAAAAAAAAATATAGCATACGTTGCATTCGGCAGTGGATACGCAGCCATGGGATCCTGCGGTCTGCTCCTCCTCCTGGTCCTACGGAGATCGATGTTGCAGGCTCTTGGGTTCACCTACGCCGACATCTTACCGTTGCATCGATGGATGGGTGTTGCGTTTATTGTCTGGAGCACGATCCATACGATTTGCTATATCCTGTACTACGTCCATTTCAATGCCTTTTGGCGCAACTTCAATTTCGATGGCACCACGCGTGGACCCCAGAACTTGATTGCTCTCGTTGCCTATGTAAGTCGCACCTTTTGGATTGAGGAAATTATTATTTGGTGTTCGTGCGGCGTTGTGTGTTTTGGTAAAGGAGTGCAATGGCACGCAGCAAGAAGCCCAAAAATAAGGGGGTGAGGAGAATACATCACGCCCTTTTCTGTTCTCACAGCTGACCCATCTCACTCCTTCTTCAATTCAACCTTGATATTCATGATAGGCGGCGTTGTTGGGTCTGGGAATAACGGCAATCCCCCAAGTCCGAAGAAGCTGCTACCTCCTCTTCATCACTCTGCACCGAGTCTTCACCGTCATCACCTTCGTGGGCACTCTCATGCATTTCCCCTACTACATGATCTGGTATTACGTCCTCCCCTCCGTCTGCCTCTACCTCGCCGACCGGTTCGTCCCCAAATTTATCCAATCTTGTGCCATCTCCCCCGAGGCGATCTGCTCGTTCGACAAAGAAGCTGATATCCTCACCATCGTCCTCGTTTCCAAGGACCGACTCGAGCCGCTCAAGCCTTACTACCCAGGCGATTATGTCAACATTGAGTTCCCAGAGATCAGTATGATTTATCACCCGTTTACGATTGCGTCGTATTGGGCTGAGGATCCGTATTCAATGACGATTTATGTGAGAACTTTCCAGGAGACAAAGACAAGTTGGACGGGTGCTTTGGCGACATTGTGTGAGGATGCGACGACTGAAGAGCCGATGGTGTTGAAGGCTAGGGTGGATGGAGTCTTTGGAGATCGCACTCATGATTATCTGTCCAATGGTGTCATGGTCATTTTCTCTGGTACGTTTACATCCATTTTCTCGCGTTTTCATAACGTCTGTTGGCCCACGTGTAGATCCTAATGCTCTTTGGGGCCAATTATTTACCAACTTATTTATTTCTCCTTCTCTTTGACATTCACCATTTGTCCTAACTTAGCGGGAGCGGCGATCACAACATTTATGAGCCTTCTAAAAGCAATGGCGGCCCAGATCGAGGCCTCCCAGGCAACAATGAACAACGCGGCAACGATCGAAGTCCATCTGATCTGCACCTTCCGTTACGAGAGCGAGCTTTATGCCTATGGCGATTTCATGCACAGGATCACGCATGACCCCCGGTTCACGTCTTGGCTCCATACCCAGATCTATGTCTCGCGACCTGACAAGATGGCCCCGCCGCCGTTGTGTGAGAGTGGGTTGTGTACGAGTGAGTTTGTTTGTGGGCGTGTTGATGAGCCTGAGCAGGAGGAGGAGGAAGGCGAGAGGAAGAGTCGTGGATCGGAGGCGGCGCCGTTGTTGGGAGGAAGCAAGGAGAACAAGTCAAAGTATGGGTCAGTTGCTTCGAAACTCAGTAATGCTCGTCGTGTTAATATCGAGGAACAGGGCGAGGAGGATTGCTGTATGGGTTGTGGAGCAGAGTGCTCCGGTGGTGGCAGCGGAAGTGGTTCGACCAGTTCTAGTGCCAGTTCCTTGGCAGCCACAATCTCTGTCTCTCCACCCTCCAACTCAAGGTCCGATAGCGCATCGACCTTGACCACGAACGATGTCCACACCAAGACTCTCCTCACCGGCGCCTCTGCCTCTGCAGCTGCAGCTTTTGCTTCAGGGTGCTACCGCTACAAGACCCTGCCCACCTTCCCCGCCGCAAACTCGGCTGCCATTGCCACCGTCCATGCCAAGAAAGACCTCTTCCTCACCACCATGATCCTGGTCCTCCCTATGCTGGCCTACCTTTGGGGTCGCGCGATTCCCTGGGAGGGGACGTATAAGGGCGAATACCGGTGGTGTCGCACGACCAAGGATGAGGATCAGCATATGACCAACCGGTGTATGTGGAGTTATGCGATCCTTCCTGGAGTTGTGCATGTCCTGGCTGCTAGTTGTATTGGGTATTTGGCACTTTTTGTGGCCAGGCGGACCAACCTCTTCAGGGCTGCTTCGAGCCATGGATCCAGAATGGCGACGGCATCGGTGGCGGAGACGAATAATGCGGCGTTCAGGTCGTACGCGAACTTGATCCGTGGTCTTGCCGGTGATGGTGCCTCTGTTGCAGCCATGTCAGGAAGTGCGACGTTGCATCGTCATGGAGTGATGAAGGCCGCTGTTAAGAAGCAGCAAGGGATCGAGTTCAAGCGTGGGCGGATTCAAGTCAACCACCATATCCAAGAACTCATCTCTATCGGTGTTGGCCATCGTCGTCCCGGTGGTGGTGGTGGTGAAGGAAGTGACGATACCGAGGCGTTGATTGGTGGAGTAGAGGAACAGGAGGTGAAGGTGAAGGAAGGAGGAGTGATTGTGTTTGGAGGTGGACCGGACGCGTTTGTGGATATGATTGAGGAGAGTTGTAAGAAGGCCCGTTGGGTGGTTGATTTCCATCGCGAGACCTGGGCTCCTTAGATATTCAAATCTCGTATCGTTTTTCGTTGCACACTTTTCCCCTTCATTTCTTTCTTGCATTACCAAATGACTTGTATACTTCACCATATTACCATAGATACATTTACATACCATAGCATATTGTCATTCATAAAACAAAACATCTCCCCACACCCACACCCACACTCACACACACACAAGAATAGCCATAATTCATTTTCAAAATACTATTGCTCTTGAACAACCTCAACAGTGCCAGACATGGCAAGTCCGCCTTGAGGGTTCTCGACCCAGACCTCATAACTCCCCTCGACATCTGCGTCCATGTTAGGGATGAGCGTCATTTTCTTTGCACAGATCTTGATGGGCTGATCGACGTAGAGGGGGGAAAGGGCACGGTAACGGAAGTTCTTGATGACTTGGTTTGGTTGGAGGAGGGATTGGCGGAGGGGTTCGAGGAGGAGTGTTGCTGAGAGGGGGCCGTGTACCAGACAGGCTGTTTTGTTTTATTCGCCAAGAGGGGAAAAGTGGGGACGAACGGAAGAGGGATTAGTTTTGGTGGTGTTCAGTTTAAAGTGTACGTCGTGTGTGTGGGTGCGAATTGGGTGGCACCTTACGAGAAAATCTCATGTTGTTACAGCGATCAGGAATAATGGCTGACTTACCAGGATGGTCCTCGACGTTGTTGGCGTACTCGTGGTCATAGTGGATGCGGTGGCTGTTGAAAGTCAAGGCCGAGTATCGGAAGAGCTGGATCGCCGTCGGGTGTACTTCCATCGACACGTCCGCCTGTCTCCTCGCTATTTTTTTTCCCCGTTCAATTTCGCAAAGCACAGAAAAAGTAGATGGTCAGTCCCTTATTTCAGTTCAACAGCAACGCGACAAAGTAGTACAGACAAGTGAGAAGGGAAAAAAAAACTCACGTTTGACAAGCTTCGGCTTAACAGACCCCGCCTCCTTATCCTTCTCCATATAAACCAACGTCCGCGTATCCGTCAACGCAACCCCAAACTGATTCTCGACCACTTTCTCTAAACTCACAAACACCATCACCTTCCCCTCCCGTCCTTCTTTGATATCGACACCCGTACACCTCGTCTTCATCACCATCTCCTGCCCGACCCTCAACAGATTGGCAGGGTTCTGTTTAACCCCACCACCGGCCCACATCCGTGCGAGGAAGGGTGCGGGGGGTGCGTGAGTCATTTCGTAACCGTCTTGGCCAAGGTCGGATTCGCCGATCATCGGAGGGAAGAAGACGTGGTGCCAGTTTACGGGGAGTGGAGAGCCATTCGGGAAGGAGTTTTTAGAAGAGGAAGGGGAGGAAGTAGAGGAAGAGGAAGGGGTGGATTTGGAGAGGGTCATGGAGAGCATTTGGAGGGTTTGTGGGCGGATTGTGTCGCGTTCGACGAGGGTTGGCTTTTGAAGGATGGCGGTCTTCCAGGCTGAGATAATATCCGCTGAAGAAGCCGAGGAGCCCGAGGTTGAGGTGGAGTAGTTTGCGTGAGCGCGTGGGCGAGAAGAGAAGGCGACGGCGAGAGTGGGGAGGAGGTGGCGGGTGAGTGGGGCGAGTGAGGCCTTGGAGGCGGTTGTTGCTCTGAGTGCAAGCCTTGAATGGGGCAGCATGAGGGAAGTCATTGTCTGCTGTTGGGGTTGTTGCCCTGCTGTGTGGAGAAGGAAGTGAGCGAATGAATGAGTGTGAGAAGAAAAATAAAGAGTTCGTTTCAGGAACAAAGGGGAAAAGAAGCCGAGGGGTGGGAAGGGGAGGAGCAAGCCACCGATTGGTTCGATCTGTCATGTGAACACGGACCGGGGAAAATTGATGCGATGTGAGAAGCCGTGTCGAAGGGTGGAGTTGAATTGGGTTGGAGGAAAGGTAGAAGTGGGGACAAAGGGGGGCAAGCCCCGCCCGCACTTTGAACGGCCAAGCATACATACTTCGTTGACACATACACACACGAGTGAGCCGACACTTTCTTTTTTCTTTACTTTCCCTGTTCCTTCTTTTGGTTTCTTCACGCTTCCTTGTCACTTCCTACTTCTCATTCTTCTTTCCTCTTTCTTCTTTTCTGTCACTTTCTTCCTTTCTTCCTCATTCCCTCTCGCCTCTCTTCACTCAGCACTTTACGCTAGACATCACGCTACTTCTTACTTTTTTTTTTTGTCTACATTCCTCCTCTTTCTCCCTACCTAATCTCCCATTCACACATTCCAAGGACCCGCGTAACATAAAAAGACAATGCCAGTCTCCAACAGTAACAGCGCTCATGCCCGCGTCCAGTCCAAACTTTTAGTCCGCCCAGAAGAGTCCCTCCAACGAGACTCCGAGGCCACCCTCCGTCGCCTTCACCAGACAGTTCAGGTCACCAAGCCCGTCTGGAGCCTCCTCACCGGCAGCCGATCCAATGTCGATGTCCATGGTAGGGGATTTATCTGCATCGATTCACGGGTCGGGCAAGGAGAGCGATCGGATCAGACAGAAGATAATGCAATCGAGGAAAGCGTAACAGGACAGATTCAGGATAGCAATGAAGAAGCAGGAACAGACGACATGCCAATTGGACAGGATACTACTGCGGGGGTCAATTGATCGGGAAGAAAGGCTGAAAGCGACAAGAGACATACTCTCCAGGAAGAAACCCGCCCGGCAGAAAAAGGAGATCCGCCTTTTTTTTCCATAGTTCCCCGTCGGTTGTGTTCAAGGAAGCATTTCTCTCGCTTGCTCAACCAAAATGTGTCACCGTGTGGGTTGTGTTGCTATCCAGCCAATTTGAACCTTGATTTTCTCTTTCTCTTCTTTTTCCACGAGCTAACGGACTGTAACTTTTCATTCACGCAACATTCTACTATAACAAATCAGGCTCGGTTCCGGTTGCGATCATCACCTCCCAGGACTCGTTCCCGATGCACAATGCTGCCGAGCATACCCCCCGGCCATTGTTGAATGCTATTGTTACTCGGGCCGTCCTCTTGACCTCTTCCATCGATGGCCATGTCGCCGAAGTGAGTGTTTCCCCGTTTCTATGTCGTCTTGTAAGGAAGACTCATGGAGCTCTGTACCATATTACGTCCAACTGATCGCTAACGGACATCTGGTCATCTTTTTGAAACGAAATTAGACGACGGAGAACGAGTGCTTTATTACAGGAGAGTTTGCAAGGAAATACTTCCCATCGAGCAGCTTTGACAACCAAGTTCATATCACAATCCAAAAGACTGATTTGGTCGTCCTCGACGAAATCATCCTTGCTGCCACCACTTCCGAGGCATACGAGATCATCTCAGAAGGTATGCTTTGCACGCGAATGAAAAACCTCAAAAAAGAGAGAAGGATCGAGAAAGACGATCCTAACCATAAGGTGTCATTTTTTCGATCAAATCAACGTTAGAACCAAGCTTGATCTCAAGTCACTTTTTACCAGAGGGCGGCGAACCAGTCATCATTCAATATGACCAGACATACACGATCCAGGGTCCCAACGGAGAGCAATTGCCGGTCAAGGCTCTCATGTGCAATCCCGTCCTACAGGGCATCATGGAGGAGGATACAAGTGTCATTTTCACTGACATGGCTGATGAGGCACTGGATCAACAACCTTCTACAACCAACGCCGACTTCTTTGGATCCGCCATCCCCAACAATCACCTTAACATCTTCGAAAACGAAGCCGATCCTTTTGAATTTGACGCTGATTTTATTGCCTCCAGGTTCTTGGTCAAGGACCATCATCACACGTCCACTGGATCCAAGAGCGCCTTCAAGGACTTGCACTTTTCAGTTGCAGAACTGGAGGATGACGATGATGAGGATGACGAGGAAGAGGAAGAGGACAACAATACGTTTTCGGATGTCTTGGAAGATTCCGGAGATGAGATTGATGGCCGGAAGATCCATAAGGAAGTCAACGGGCAGAGCCGGCGCATGCGATCCTTCTCGCACCAGGCGGATGATGCTGTCAAGAGCTCTGCTGTAGAGGAGAGGGAGCGGCCGGTGAAGAAGACTTCTGTCGATTTTGCGCCTTGGGTCCAAAAGGGTCATTACCCATCCCAGAAGCTGTCCCCTCAGCCCTCGCCCGAGGATGATCCCGAGGCAAGAATCTTTGTCGATGTCGCACAGCTCGGAAAGCTGCGTGTCTTTAGCGGTGACTGGGTAAGAATCCTCTTTCTTCTTTTGACTATTGATGGTGGTATGAAAGTATGAATCAAATACCTGAGCACTGACCGCGCTCTTTCCATTCGCCCTTTTGTTAGGTTGTGGTGTCGGCAAAGGAGTCAAAGGTGACGACTCGATTCTGCAGGATCTACGGATTAACTTTCCCAGTAACAGACGCATCCAAGGGCTTGGGCCTGCCTCGTGTGTACTTGCCCGCAGGACTTTACTTCAACCTCGGATCCCCCGCCACCCTCGTCATTGATGCTGCTCATCTGAAGCAAGAGGAGCCCACCATCGCCAAGGCGGTCACCGTTGCCAGAGTCGCCTCCCCCGCTACAGTTGACAAGGCCTTGCAGACTGCTTGTTTGGAGGCTCTGAAGGAGTGGTTCGAGGAGTATGAGCGTGTGGTCTGTGAGGGCGATGTTATTGGTGTCGAGATTGATGAAGAGGCTGCCAAGTTGGCCCCCAAGCAGCTCGGCCCTGAAGATGCTAGCGATCTTGACATTAGGCTGCCTTTGTCGGCTTCGACGTTGAAGACTACTATCTACTTCAAGTTGACACATCTGGAGGACGCCAGCAGTCCCAACAAACATACCCAGTTGGTTGATCCTTCTGTTACAAAGATGATTCAATCTGGACTTGAGCATTCCCGTGTCCCTCCCAAGTTGAAACGCAATGGTATTGTCACTTTTTTTTTTGACTTGAAAATATTATTTTGCCACCAAAGCTTTGCTCGTTACTAACATCAGAACACCTATAACTAGCTCGCAGCCCAGCAATCCCAGCGTTGGACGACGCTTCAGGGCCAAAGGCATTCGCTCAGTTGTACCAATTAGTGTCGTCTGGACTGCACCCCTTCTCGTCCAAGCTAGGCTTGAACTGCACTGTCTTGTTGCATGGCGCTCGGGGTATCGGCAAGAAGACTGTGATTGACTGGGTCGCAGATATGGCAGGCATCCACGTGATGGAGGTCAACTGCTTTGACATTGCAAGCGACACTGACGCTAAGACCGAGGTTGCTGTTCGGGCCAAGTTTGATAAGGCTGTCGCCTGTGGGCCTTGCATCTTGGTGCTTCGCCACATTGACGCCCTTGCGAGAAAGAGTGTCGCTTTGGAGACCGGTCAAGGTAATCAATAACAAACCAGTTATAGTTGTTATGTTGTAATTCCAGAGTACATTCTACTAACACTACCGTCTTCCTAACTATCAACTATATAGAGCCAATTTTGTCGACGGTCCTCAAGGATTGCTTCACGCAGTTGGGTGATGCGTTCAAGACGATGGGCCACCCAGTGACGGTGATTGCAACGACTGGCGATATCGACAAGGTGCCCACGTCGGTTCTGGGATGCTTCTTGCACGAGATTGGATTTGATGCGCCGGATGAGGCTCAGCGTTTGGCCATCTTGAAGAACTTGACGACGACGACTCCCCTGGGACCCGATGTCTCGTTGAAATCGTTGGCTACCCAGACTGCTGCCTTGGTTGCTAAGGATCTTGTCGATCTTACTGGACGTGCTGGTCTGGTCGCCATTGACCGTGTCGAAAAGTCGATGTAAGGCCTCTCTTTGTACGTTCTGTGCGTTTTGGTTTTTTTTGCTAATGTCAAGTACAGAGTGCTAACGATTAGTTTTATATATTTGACGATTATCGATCATAGTGAGGAGTGGAACAAGGGTGCGGTGGCTGCTCAGAGTTTGGTCAATGCTGGAGTCACTGTCACGGCTGCAGATTACGACACAGCGTTGAACAAAGCCCGCGCCTCGTACTCGGACTCGATCGGAGCGCCCAAGATCCCCAACGTCACCTGGGACGATGTCGGAGGTTTGGCGTCTGTCAAGAACGATATCCTCGACACTATTCAGTTGCCTCTGGAGCATCCTGAGCTCTTTGCCAGTGGACTCAAGAAGCGATCTGGTATTTTGCTGTATGGTCCTCCCGGTACTGGAAAGACTCTTCTTGCCAAGGCTGTGGCCACGTCGTGCTCGCTCAACTTTTTCTCAGTCAAGGGTCCTGAGCTGTTGAACATGTATATTGGAGAGTCTGAGGCTAATGTTCGTCGAGTCTTCCAGCGTGCCCGTGATGCCAAGCCCTGTGTCATCTTCTTTGATGAGTTGGATTCTGTCGCGCCCAAGCGTGGAGAGAAGGGAGATTCTGGAGGAGTGATGGATCGTATTGTCTCACAGTTGCTGGCTGAGCTCGATGGTATGAATGGCGGCGAGGGGTCTGGGGATGTGTTTGTGATTGGAGCGACTAACCGACCAGATCTGTTGGATCCTGCCTTGTTGCGCCCTGGGCGGTTTGACAAGCTGTTGTACCTGAGTGTCAGTACCAAGCATGAAGAGCAGCTGAGGATCATCCAGGCGTTGACGCGCAAGTTCCGGTTGCACCCTTCGTTGGATCTGGCCAATGTTGCAGAGAAGTGTCCCTTTAACTATACTGGAGCTGATTTCTATGCTCTTTGTTCGGATGCTATGCTCAAGGCAATGACTCGTACTGCTGACGGAATCGAGAGCCGTGTTGGTAAGTCACTTTTTTTTTTTGTTCTCCCTCGTCTTGTGCACGTCGTTGACGATCTTTTGAAGCTGCTGACTGACTTTTCTTTGTCCTACGGATCCTACAAACAACAGTGACGATCAACAAGGACGAGACATCAACACTCCCTCGCCCAATCACATCCCAATACTACCTCGACCACCTCGCCCAGCCAGAAGACATCGTCGTCCAAGTAACCGAAGAGGACTTTGACCAAGCCCTGGCCGAATTGATCCCCTCTGTTTCTGCCCAGGAACTGGAGCACTACAAGCAGGTTCAAAAGATGTTCAATAGCGACGATTTCGCAAAGGAGGCTGAGACTGCTGCTGCTGCTGAGGCTGAAAAGAAGAGGTTGGTTTATCAGGAGCAGGAGGAGAGAGAGCTTTCGGAGGCGTTGAGGAAGGTTGAAGAGGCTCAGAATTTGATCTCTGCCGAGATCCGTCATCATCACGAGGAGGGGGAGGAGGATGAGGGATATGTTGATGTTGGAAAGGGGAAGGGGAAGGAGGTGAAGGGTAAAGGAAAGGGGCGGTCAGTGGAGTATAGCCATGTGGCTGACCATGTCACACAGCAATTGGAGGAGAATGTGTCACTTCAGACGGTGGAGGAGCAGGCTGTCGAGAAGACGTCTGTTGTTGACGGAGATGTCCATGCTCACCTCGCCGCTGCTGATGCGACTGGTGGGTTGGAGCAGCCATTGATGGTGAGCGAACAGGATCAGGAAGCTATTGAGGAGGTCCTCGGTGGGTCTGGCAATGGCAATAGCAATAGCAAGAAGAGCGGGAAGGGTAAAGCTAACAAAGGCAAGGGCCGTAAATAAGCTTCCTTTCGTAGCAATGCATGTAGACACCTGTTTGTTCGACATTTTTTTTTTTACTTGGTAAAAGATACAACTTGTACATTACACCGCGCCCTTGACATAAGAGCGAGATCGGCTCTTATGTTGAGTTTTCTATTCTATTCAATTCAATGAGAGTTTTTTTTTGTTACTTCTTTTTTCTTGATTTTTTAAAAGAAATTCCCAGACATCTACGCCGTGTAAGATAGAAAATTCAAAATGGCCATCTAGGCCGTGCAACGTAGAAATAAATTGGGGAACATCACGCTCAACATGTTTAATCATTAATTGCATGCAACTTGAGATAGTCAGTCATTACTTCTATATCAGCCATGACTCTTTTCTCTAAGCTGGCCAGGTATTTCATCTCCCTGACTTGAAGATCGCTATGGTGCTTTCTATGGGTGGTACTATAGTGTCTGAGTTCCGTTAACATGTCATCCGCTGGGATCCTAGGCAAAGACTCCTTCTTCTTCTTGCCCGACGAGGATTGTGAGGTGTCCACTGGTGGGAAAACCGGGGTTTGCTGTGGCGGCGCCTCTTGTGATGAAGCAGGTTCTTGTGACGAAGGTGTATCAGAGGGGGGTTCCGAGATATATTGGCCTGACCGACGGTCCATGACACGCTGCTCGGGGGGTATCGGCTCTTGAGGAGCAGTGATAGGTGGAAGATACTCGTCATCTGAGAGGCCGTCATCGGAGACATCACCCAGTTCTTCCATGGGAGGTAGGGGAGTGAAAAAGGACTTGTACCTCTCGTCAATGGCAATCTCGTCGATGTATTTTTCAAGGTGAACGGTTGGGCCTCTCCGTGACATGCTCTTAAGGAAAAGGAGGATGCCATAGTCAGTCTGGCGGTTAATGGTTGGACAGCGGTCAGGATACAGCTCTGCCAGCTCACGTTTCAAGTTGACCAACTCATCATCCGGGGTTATTTCCATGGCAGCAATCTTGAGGTAATCTTGCATGGCCGTAGGAAGAACTGGAACTCTAGCAAAACAGTTGCGGATGCAAGACAAAGAGACGCGGTTCCATGCCTGAGGTAAGCAGGCCCACAACGGGCCCCTGGGAATCTTGGCTCTGGAGGTATCGTCGAGATGACGATAGTGAGAAATGACGGGAATCATAAGTCGACTGTACTTGACCTTGAAAGACATGATAATACCAGCATCCAAGGGCTGTGATACAGAGGTTGTGTTCTTGGGGAGACGAACGAGGGTAATGTTGTCCAAAAGTAGCCCCGTTTCCTCCTTCTTTCCATGTCCAGGCGCGTTGTCAATAAGCAAGGCAATATTCCTCCCCTGCCTGCCCATATCCGCATCAAGATCCCCCAGCCAACCCAGGAAAATCTCTGTGGTCATGTATCCGGTCCCGTGGTACGATGTGTCCAGTTGCGCTTCTACTTCCAGATCCAGATCCAGAGGACGATAGGCAGCTAGGTAAGTTTTAAATGTGAATAGTCAGAAGAATATTTTGACGCATGGATAAATCACGTCAATACAACAATAACTTACATAAGACCAGTGGTTTGCGTTTATCTGTTCCAGTTGCGTTACAGCAAAGCAAAATGGATACTCTTGCGTCTCTGTTTGGTTTCCTCCCACTCACACGATCTATCGATAGAGTCCGATTTGGCATAACCTTGAGGTACAATCCCGTCTCATCGCAGTTATACACATCGGATGGATCATAGGCTGTGAGTTGTTCTGCGATTGCTTCAAAGGCCGGTCTATGAAACTCCATGTCCACGTCTCCCAATTGCCCGCGACCGGTTTTCATAGTAAGCTGGTAGATATTCTTGAAGTTCCCAAGCCATCCTTTAGAAAATCCGAAGCCCTGTGGTAGCGTGTTGTCGTTTTGCCGCTCAAGAAGACGCACATAGAAGTAATAAGCCAGCTCCTTGGTCCGGCTATCGTTAACGGGCACACCTTTATCATAGCGTTAACTCAAGTGGTAATTATTGCAATAGGATAGAGAATACTGTGAAAATGCAGTTTGTACATACCCAACGCGCGATCATCCATGATAGCGTTATATACGGCTCTCTCGACAGTCTCCAGCTTGCGCGGGAACATTCTGAACAGGGTCATCCGTCCGGGAGTATTGTCTTTGTAAGAGACAATGTTCTCTCTCTCTCTCATGATCCTGGTGGCAATGGACTTTGGATATTTAAAGTCAACATGACTGGCGAAAGTGCTGACTGTGAGGGTCGGGATAAGCTTCTTGAGTTCCTCATATGTCGAGATAAACAGAAATTTTTTGTCTATGGTGTGCGAGTTTCGAGATTGAGTCATCTTAGAAGCATTGCTGGTTGAGGTTGGAGGTTCCAAGCGTTTGCTGCCACCGATGGGAAGGGCAGCAGGGACACATAACTCATCCATGATCCGACGTCTAGAAGGGAGCGTCGCGAAAGAGTGATGTAGAAGAGGGTGCGGATGGTGTGAAGGCGGAAGATGAGGGTGAATGCTTCGGAGGATGATGTCTGAGCATATAGATTCAAGACTCGGTCTGTTTTTTCTATGCTGCACGGCCTAGGTGGCCATTTTGAATTTTCTATCTTACACGGCGTAGATGTCTGGGAATTTCTTTTAAAAAATCAAGAAAAAAGAAGTAACAAAAAAAAACTCTCATTGAATTGAATAGAATAGAAAACTCAACATAAGAGCCGATCTCGCTCTTATGTCAAGGGCGCGGTGTACAATGGTGCCATGCATGGGATGTTTTGATTGCATTTGTTTTGGTCGATCGGAGATATGGGCAAGTGGGCCCTTTTGTCCAACCAGGTCGGCAACCCGATAATCATTTGTTTGTTTACATGTGGGTAAACAAATCATGTCTTCTATCTTTGTGTTCTCGCGTGGCACAGATTCCTGAGTTGTTGTATGATCTCCCCCTCCTACTCCCACGGTTGCAATAAGATTCCTGATCCCAGCTTGTCCCTTTTCTCCTTATCTGTTGGTACACCACAAAGACTTTCACTGTCGATATCAGAGTGAGGGAAACGCAACAAAACAGGGCAAAAGAGGGATGATGATCGGGTTTATTATGGGGACAACAAGCTCTTTTTTATTTTTTGCTATCTCCATTCCTCTGTTCTCCTCCTTTATCTTCTGGATTCATTTGATTCGGTAGTGGGGGGGTTTTGGTGTTCCATGCTGCCCCTGGTGCCTGTTTTTCGTGAGGCTACAACGAATGCATGATATCTCTTTTGTGCTGTTCTGCTCTTTTAGGTCAGCAAAAGCATAGGATTCTAGTCCATTCCTGCTCGTTGGAGAGAAAGAGTATTGTGTCATGTCGTGTCGTGTCATGTCCGCCCCCCCCCCCCCCCCCCCCGCTTCATCCAGTTTTAGATCCTGAAAAGGGAACAATAACAATGTCTAGACGCGATTAAATGATACCCATGGTCGCGGTTTTTTTTTTGGTTTCTTGTATATGCTATTCTAGCAAAGTGCCCCAGGTCGGTTACCAAACCGTGGATCAGAACTAATAAAGTAAAAAAAAAACAAAAAAAAACGGAAAAGGAGTATGGAGCGGGTGGAGCCGATCCATTTGAGCAAAATGCTATGAATGTACAGGTACAAAAAAGACAAGGTTAATGTGTTGTCTGCTTGTGAATGGTTCATTTCTCTTTTAGATGCAACAATGGTGTGGGATAGAAATAGACGGCGACTCTTTTTTTTTTTTTATATGTCTAAAACAAGGTTCTTGTAGGTTGAAAAAAAAGAAAACACAAAAAAAAAAAGATAGAGAGCTTGCAAACCCATGCATTTGGCATGGTCGTACGATAGGGAAGCGGAAAATTACCCGTCTTTTTTAACGTTCCTTTTCTGTTTGCGCGAAACGATGAAGAGGTGAGCAAAGCGACAGAGTAGAGAGAGAGTAGAGAGAGAGTAGAGTTAAGAGAAATGAAGGCGAGACAACAGAGAGCACTAACGGTCAAAACAAAAAAAAAAAAAAAAGTGAGGAATGTTTACCTTTGCCTTTTTGCTGATCATGGTCCCTCTACAACAATAGCATTCCAAAACAAAACGCTATTACACCAATGGGATCAGTCACTCGCTATGGTTTTCTAAGGTGACTTTTTTATTTATTTTACATTCTCTCATTCATAGACAGAGCAAAAAAAAACAAGAGCGAGAGAGAGAGAGATCAAGGCTCACTTTGAAAAGTATAGCATGCAGCCTGGTCAATTATATGAAAATGGAGTTTTCGATAATAATAGACACACGTATGTTAATTGGACACTGTATGGTTGACCCCATCTAACCATGCCATGCAATCCAATTTATTGAATGAATGGGAAAAAAGACGAAAAAACTCAAGGGAACGAGATATTTCGATAAGGCAAGTTAAGAGAAAATAAGGATAAGAGAAGGGAAGGGACACAGAACACGAACGGAGAGAGAGAGAAGAAAAGAGAGAAAGAAGAAAAGAAGGGAACGAAAGAACGCGAGGATAAATTGAAAGGTGTTTATGCAGGCCGATTGAAGCAAAAAAAAAAGGAGTCCAAAGGCATAGTAATAACAAAAAGGAAGAGAGAGAACGCGAAGGAGAAGAGAAGGAGATATAGTATAACGTGAAGAAAAGAAAAAAAAGGGACATGGAAAGCGACACAAAGCTGGGTTCATGCAGATAACAACGAGACAAGAACAAGAGGGCAAGTGACCCATTGACGACGGTTGGAAAAGGAAAGGACGGACAAAAAAAGGAGGGAGAGGGAGTCGGCTGGTTGGTTGGGTGCGATGGACTGGCTGGACTGGACAGGACTGGACTGGACTGAGCTGAGCTGGTGTGTGTGTGTGCGATATGTATGATAGGATGAGTGGGTCTGGAGGCTGGGTGACCTTGGGAAAAGGTGTCTTGATTTGGGCCAGAGACCGACAGACACAGACGACATGACATGACATGATTTACAGTTTCACAGGGCTGTGGATCATAATGGATCGGATTTACACGTCTTTGGCACGGAAATGTTGTGTCGTTTTGTGGTCACCCTTTCATCTGATTTCCAGACTCATACAAATAACCACCGGTGCCCCCGCCCTTTTTCCTTTTTCTTTTCTTCTTCTCATCTTCATCTCATCCCCACTCAACTCCTCAACACCCCACCCACCCACCCACTCACCACCCCAACACACACATATACAAAGTAGGTTGCCTTGCCTTGTTGTTATCGCTATTCATTTTTCCTTTTTTTTTTTTCTTTTTGGCGTCTTGTGTGCCTTGGTTCCCATATGCACTTGACCGTCTCCATTTTACGTGTCAAGCCTGCTCCCACGCCCTGCGAAGCAAGGACTACTCTCTGCGCGCGCGTTTTTTTATTCCTTGACGACACAACTTGCCCTGTGACCGACAGTCGACCCGCCGACCCACCCACCACCACCACCACCACCACCACCGCAATCTCATCTCGCTTTTTCGCCATGGAGGACGAAGAAACGGACTGGAACGACCTAAAAGAGGAGAGACACAGTCAGTCTCCGGGCTGAAGTCGAAAATAGAACGAGTGTGTGCCAAGCCGGAGGCGTTCATCTCTCGTTATCTCTTCGTCCTCCAGCCTTTTCTTTTATGGGTGCCGTGGGTTGTACCTTTTTTTCCCATCCCTCCTTTTTTTTACCCGTATCTTTTTTAAGAGGACATGCCTCTTGGTTGTTCGCGCGCGGATCGAAGTGTTTTGATCACTTGACGACATTTCAGGGGTAAAGTTCAATGGGATGCATATCCAGGCAGTATTCATAGCTAACCATTCCTTCTCTCTCTTCTCTCTTCTCTGAACGCGCGTTCCTCTCTCTTCCTGCCGACTCTCAGATGGTAAGAAACCCAACCCAGCCTGCCCCTTGTTCCTGATCGATCATTCCGTATCTCGATCCAGTCCACTAACCCATTCTCCCTCTTGTAACTTGCAACGACTAATAGGAAGACGAAGTTGCTGCCCTTGTTATCGATAACGGTTCCGGCATGTGCAAGGCCGGTTTCGCCGGAGATGATGCTCCCCGCGCTGTTTTCCCCTCTGTAAGTCGACAAGCCTTTGACAAAAAGTGTGTGACGCGGCAAACGAGGGTCTGGATGTATGGACATTGAGTGGACTCAAAAATAATAGGGCTCTGCTCTTAATATGAAAGAGTGCTCACAGCCCAGAAATGTCGCTGTTCATACACCAGACACCCCACTTTTCCATTCCTCCCCTCCTACCCAGTCAGGCACACACATGTGTCGCCGCTGCTGTTCCCTATCTCTCAGATCCAATTGGAATACCAGTAAAGGACAAGATGACTAACCAACTCCCACTTTCCTCGTTCCTACAAACAACAGATCGTCGGTCGCCCCCGTCACCAGGGTGTCATGGTCGGCATGGGTCAGAAGGACTCCTATGTCGGTGATGAGGCTCAGTCCAAGCGTGGTATCCTCACCTTGAAGTACCCCATCGAGCACGGTATTGTCACCAACTGGGACGACATGGAGAAGATCTGGCATCACACCTTCTACAACGAGCTCCGCGTTGCCCCCGAGGAGCACCCCGTCCTCTTGACCGAGGCTCCCCTCAACCCCAAGTCTAACCGCGAAAAGATGACCCAGATCATGTTCGAGACCTTCAACGCCCCCGCCTTCTACGTCTCCATCCAGGCCGTTCTTTCCCTCTACGCTTCCGGTCGTACCACCGGTATCGTCCTCGACTCTGGTGATGGTGTCACCCACACCGTCCCCATCTACGAGGGTTACGCTCTCCCCCACGCCATTCTCCGTCTCGATCTCGCTGGTCGTGACTTGACCGACTACCTCATGAAGATCCTCATGGAGCGTGGTTACTCCTTCTCCACCTCTGCCGAGCGCGAAATCGTTCGTGACATCAAGGAGAAGCTCTGCTACGTCGCCCTCGACTTCGAGCAGGAGATGCAGACCGCTGCCTCGTCCTCTGCCCTCGAGAAGTCGTACGAGCTTCCCGACGGTCAGGTCATCACCATCGGTAACGAGCGTTTCCGTGCCCCCGAGGCCCTCTTCCAGCCCTCTCTCTTGGGTCTCGAAGGTGTCGGTATCCACGAGACTACCTACAACTCGATCATGAAGGGAGATGTCGATATCCGTCGCGACTTGTACGGAAACATCGTCATGTCTGGCGGTACCACCATGTACCCCGGTATTGCCGACCGTATGCAGAAGGAGATCACCACCTTGGCCCCCAGCTCGATGAAGGTCAAGATCGTTGCTCCCCCAGAGCGCAAGTACTCTGTCTGGATCGGAGGATCCATCTTGGCTTCCCTCTCTACCTTCCAGCAGATGTGGATCTCCAAGATGGAGTACGACGAGTCTGGTCCTTCCATTGTCCACCGCAAGTGCTTCTAAGCGCTCACTGTACTGGACGAATGAGGACGAGGAGGAGGAGGAGTTGCTGTGTGTACCAAAGACGAGGTCAACGACGACTACGTTGTTGCCTCAAGATATCAAGACCGTTTTTTGCTCTAATACAAACATACCATTGAAAAACATCATATCCATTTTTCTCTCCCATGTGCGTTACTTTGCTCTTTTGATGTGTTAAACACCTGTTTATTGGTTTACTGTCACTGTTGCTGCCTGGCTTTTGAGGTTGCTGTGAGGAAAGACGAAGGCAAAATGAACACGATAAGCTCATGAGTCGTATTTGGTGGCGTCTGCAATTAATGGCGCACCTATTTCATTGTGCTGCATCTCTTTTCTTTTCTTGCGCATCCCTTCTCCCACCCCATTCCTCAACTCATCCCAACACCCCCCCGACTGCTGGAACCCGGAAACTACTCGCGAGAGCCAGTGACGGTTAACACGACCATAGTGCCAATACTGGGAAAGCAGCTACCGGCCCAGTTCACACACCCCGACAACCACATACAACCACGACGAAAGCAACTATGACACACCTCTCACAACCGGTACTGTTGAGGAGAGAGATAAGGTGTGAGGATGTGCAGAGAAGAGAACGTGAGAGGGTGTCGTTGTGTTGTGTCAGGGTGGGTGCAAGTACTATTGAGATGCGGAGGCGAGTGGGAAAGAAAGAAAGAAAAAAGAAAAGAAAAAGAAACAAAAGAAGGAGATTGAGGTGATGGTTGAGGAGAAAAAAAGATGAAAGGGAAAAGAAAGATGGTAAGGCAGTTATTCATCACACAAGATACATTAGCCGATGTAATCACAATAACAATGGTTTTTATTCTACCATAGATAATACTCTATCGCGACAAGACGCCAGACTCATTAACAAGACTCGAAAAGATCGAATGCGGATCCTGAAGCAGTGCCTGCGGGGTATCATACTCTGCGACCTCCCCATCATGCATGACAAGGATCCTATCATAGTCAATAATGGTGTTGATCCGGTGCGCAATCGTCATCACAGTCGCGTCTGCAAATTCGCTCCTGATAGCTCTTTGGATTAGCACATCCGTCGCCATGTCTACACTTGCCGTTGCTAATTTGCATGTCAACAGCAACAACAAAAAAAGGAGCACAGCGGGGTTAATTTCTCTGATGTGTCACATTCACAATTGGTGGCGCATGAAAACAAATCGCGGAGCACGAACCTTCATCAAGAATGACAATCTTGCATTTAGCAAGCAACGCCCGAGAAAGACAGACAAGTTGGCGCTGTCCAACGCTCAAGTTCTCACCCTTCGCCGACACAACCGCATCCAGTCCTCCTTCCTGCGCCTGAACATATGACTTCAAGTCACTCGTCTCCAAAACCTGCCACAACTCTTGCTCCTTGTGTCGTCCCAATGGATCCAAGTTATACCGGAATGTGCCCTCGAACAGGACAGGGTCCTGTGGGATGATCGCAATATGTGGTCGCAGATCCGCAGTTCCAATGGTCTGAGTGTCAACCCCATCAAGCACGATCTGACTACCTGCATCCAACTCTGAAAGAAGGAAGAGGGCTTGGATGAGAGAGGACTTTCCGGCACCTGTGCGACCGACAACGCCGACTTTGTGGCCTGCTTGGATCGAGAAGGAAATGTCACGCAGGACGGGTGGCAAGTCTGGTCGGTAGCGGAGAGTGACATTCTTGAATTCGAGGGAGCCCTCAGAGGGCCAGAATGGAGAGAGTGGTGGCTGACGGTGAGGAGAAGTTGCTGTCGACGGTTCCTGAGGGAGGTTCTTGATGTAGTGGATCAACCGCTCAGCCGAGTTCATGTTGTTCTCCTATCGTCAAGAAAAATAATAAAATATATATAAGTTCGATCTATCTTTCCACTGACCAGCTCAACCATCAAAAGAGACAAAAGAGGAAAACTTACAAAAGTGGCAAAGCATTGGACGACCCAATTCATATCCCCACCAGTCCTGGCAAGATAACTGAACACTAACCCAGCAGTGGCTGCATTAACTGTATTCCGGGCCCCAACAACAAACACGGCCGTCATAAACATCAAACTGGCACCCAACAACTGCAACCGGGATGCAATCCATCGCGATCCAGCAAGAGACAAGTAATAGGGCCGGTTACTTGAATCCATCTTTTCCTGGTTGATCCTGATCGCACGGTCGACACGTTTGTAGGCTTTCAGGGTCGCCATGCCTGTAAGACTTTCGGTGAAGTAGGCGTACAGGTTGGAACGGAGGGTCGAGTCGAGTCGTTTGAGCTCGCGGGAGGTGGAGCGGTAGTATCCAGAGAAGAAGTAGTAGAGTCCAGCCAGAGGGAGGATCAAGAGGGAGAGGGAAGGGAAGAAAATGAGGATCATCGAAATAGAGCCCATGACGATGAGGAGGGTGTATAGAATATCGTTCAAGGTCATCCAGAGATTGTTGTCCAGCGCGTCGACATCCTTGCTAAACCTGTTGAGGATACGACCAAGAGGGTTGGTATCGAAGAAGGAAAGAGGTGCATGGATGATCTTTTCAAAGGCCTCACTGTGTATTTTGCGAGCCGTACGGATAATGCCGACTGAAAGCAATTGGGTAGCGATTGCCATCACCACAAACTGCACCGACGCCAGTCCGACGTAAATAAAGATCTAGTTGTACGGTATGAGTGAATGTGAGCGCGTTAGAATATACCGGACAGATCCACAGCAGGTCGGCTCTAATGTCAAATGGCCAAGTTTACTCACGTAGGTCATGACGGGGAGATCAAACCTCTTGTCAGTCCACAGGCTCAGCCAATAATTCATCCTACCATTGTTAACAAAAAACCATGTCCATGTCAACAACGATGCTACTCCATTGGTCGAACCATAATTCGAGGGACAGCGAAAAGTGGATCCAGATACTTACAAGAGACCGCAAGCCTGCTGGATGACATAGCATGCCACAACGGCACCCCACATTCTCAGACCTTCTATTTGGAAGTAGTGAGAGTAAACCATCCAGCCGACAGCGCCCGATTCGCGCTCCTCCTCTATCATCAGTGTTGCGCCCTTGGGACTCTTGATCTTCTTCCCTTGAGCATCTTGTTCCTGTTCATCCAGATCGGTTACGACACCAGAGCTTCCATTGCTCGGGGTTTCCTCATCCTGCTGCCCCTGGTCCTTCGTAGCTGACTCGGACACACCGCCATACTGAGTCATCGTCCCCTTGAGCTCGCCTTCATCCTTGCGCATCAACTCCTGGAAGGTTCCCTTCTCGACAATAACACCATCCTTCATGCAGACCACATAGTCGACATCCGGCAAGATGTGCAATTGGTGAGTTGCAATCACTCGAGTCTGACTTCTCAACTCCTTCAGCACACAGTCCTTCCAGAGTCGTTTCCCGACATGAGCATCTACAGCCGACAAGGGGTCGTCCATCACAATCATTCCTCCCGAACCAGACGACGCAGTGAAATAAACACTGCGTGCCAAAGACAATCTCGCCTTTTGACCTCCAGACAGGTTCACGCCACGCTCCCCAATCTCTGTCAAATCTCGCGCCGGGAAGGAATCAAGATCCTGAAGGAGACAGCATGCCCTGACGACTCTCCAGTACAGCTTGTCGTCAAACGGTCGATCAAATAGGATGTTATCCCGGATGGAGGCGTTTTGGATCCAGGGTGTTTGAGATGCATAACTTATTGCGCTTCCTCGAACGATCCGACCAGAGGACTGGGTCATGGTTCCTATCATGGCTTGGAGGAGAGAGGACTTGCCAGATCCGACGGGTCCCACAATCGCAACGAGAGATCCTCGTGGTATCTTGAGGTTGACCTTGTTCAGATAGGGGACATTCTTCTGTGCATTCTGTATTTCATCATCCTTGGTTTCCGAGAGCGTCTCCCAGATAAAGTCCGCATCTTCCATGACCAAAGCATGCTCCGCAGTCTCATCAATGGCCGACAGGGTGTCGGCGGGTCCATCTTCAGAGAGGAGGAACTCCTCCAGACGTTTGATGGCGACGTATGCATCGGTTGCAGAGGTGTAGCAGTTGGGGACGATTGAGAGTGGGACGCGGATGACCGCGTAGTAGGCGAGTGCTGGGAAGACGATCTCTGGTTTCAGTTCATGGCCCAGCGCGGCGTACAGGACGAATGTCAACGCAGAGGCGAAAATAGGCACCGCCTACAAGACGTATAAAAAATATGCCAGCGTCAGGGGCTGTTGTAAACTGCTCATAAAACGTAATGACTCTGACTTGATGTTATGCATGAATATAATAAAGAAAACTTTACAGATGAGGTGGTGGTCAAAAGACCGCAGTTACGGAGGATGCGGCGGACAAGAGCGAGCTCCTCGACACGGACGCCGGTTAGCTTGGAGAGGAAACTATCATAATAAGAATGTGTGGTGAGTGACAAGTAGCCTAGTCGTAGAGCAATTAATAACGAAAACATAGCAGGAGACGGTCTTACTTGTTCTCCCAAGTGAAGAACTTGATGACCTTGACACCTTGCAAGATCTCAGACGATAGCTTAATCCTCGAGTCTGTAAATTGCGATGCCTTCTTGCGAACAGGTCCCAACCTCGCGATTCCCCAGGCCTGAATCGGGTTCAACAACATCAGCAGCACTGCGCCTAACAACGCAGCAGGACCCATCATATGCACCAATATCCCCATAATAGTCAAAATGAAAATAGGCGCCGAAAAGAGGATCGAGAAGGGCATCATGGCACTGTCAATGCGACTGATATCGGTCGACATCAAGTTAATGATGGATCCATCCGGGTAGCGGATATGGGATTTAGCCGACAGTGTAGTTGCCTTGCGGAAGACGAGATCGATGAGGGCGGTTCGTATGTAGATACCGGTGTTGACGGTGGTGATTCCCCAGCGTTGGGCACATATGATTAGGTTGAAGGAGAGGAAGAGGAGAGTGAGGGCGAGTCCGTATCCATGGATGGCTGGTGGGGGAGGGTTCTGTGTCTGGGAGTCTTGTAGGAACATGAGCAGCTAGTCGGAATGATGGTGTTGATGTGGGATGTGTGAGTGTTAACAAAAACTTGCCTGTGTTTGAGAACACACGACTATTGCTTGTGCCTTTGTCTTTACCAGCCTGATGATTGAAGGGCTGACAATCTGGGAGAAATCTATGTGTCCGAGATAAATAGAGCGGGGTCAATCAAAATGTAGTCTTCCTCTTCATAACCACAAACCATCGACCGCCAAAAAACAAAACATTGTTACCTGCCAACCCGAGCCAGATGTAGGCAGGAAGGTACCGCCTCCAAAACGACCAAAACAAGGCCATCAAGAGCGAAGGTCTTCTACCCTTCAACTGAGCACTCCTCCTCTCAGCCTCCCAATTATCAAACAAGGCCTGTCCGAGAACCTCAGACCGACGACGATCCAGTATTTGGTAGAGATCTTCCTCTTGGATCTGACGACAGTACCCGATCCGGAAGAGGCCATTGAGCCACCAAAAAGTTAATCGACTGGGGAGGCTTGCGCTGTTCTCGGGCGAGACTGGACCTTCTTTGGGGTTAGTTTGTTGGTGTTGGTTGGGTGTGTTGTGAGCATGCTTGTGGAGAAGAGGGGTTGTCTCAGTCTCGGACTGGCGGGAAATCTGCTCTTGCTGGTTCATGGCTCAACAACAGACGAGGTGGGAGAAGGAGAAGGTAGTCTGCGTGATGTTGTTGCTTGCTCAGAGTGCATTCACTATCGGCATGAGAATTGAATCGGCAGAGTGAATGAATCCGAAACGGAGCAAGAAGAGAGGAATGAGTAAGGAGGGTAGAGAAGAAGACGTAAAGCGGGAGCAAGGCTTTTATTTATCAGAATTTCGGGAATGGGCTGACGAGAGGACCCTTGTCTTGGTGGATTGGTACCCCTGAACCAATCCATGATGAGCAAGGTTCACAAGCACAAGGGCGCTGTGAAGGAGTAAATAAGGTATTCTTTGGACAGAGGGACAGAAGGAAAAAATAGACACGCCGCTTGTCTATGTTGAGAGCGATTTTTTGTCTGTAGGGCTTTTCCTGGCGTTTCCCTTTCGTACCCATTCCTATATTTGAAGAAAGAATATCAATTACACAAACGAAAATGAAAAGGTAGCGAAAGTAGTGCCTTGGGTCGCCCACTTACAAAACAAGAAAAAACTCTAACACTATCATGTTTACCTTGAAAACAAAGTAGGAGGAATTGGCAAGGGCACAAGACGAAAGTGAAAATATACCTGAGGGAATGAAGATGATAAGTAATCTACAAATTTACTATGCTTGCTTGCTCTTTTTTTACTTGCTCTGTGGAGAAGAGTATGTTGCGCACAGCAGCGCAGAACGGTCTTTTTCTGTCTTCGACATAAAAAAATAGGGATAAGCCGTTGAACATAACAAGAGCAACTGCTTCGTGTAACTTTGGTTTGCAGGCAAGTCTAGTTTTAAGACATGAAGCAATGATAGAGAAGAGAAATAAAGAAAAGAAGGATACACAACACCAACGTGTAGTTTTCCTTGAATGACCGCGATGCGTTCAGTCAGAGTAAGAAGAGGACGATTCTCTCCGTGTTCATGAGGATTAAAGCTTTCTCCCTTTTTCCTCTCACGTCGCATCAATTTCAAGAAATGAGAGAAGGAAAGAGTGAGGAGGATGGGGAGAGAGAGAGAAAGACTGAGGACCAAGGGGAAAGGAAGAGTGAGAATGGTGTTATCGAAGTTAAGTGTCTTAGCACCCAATTGACATGTCTGTTCACCCAAAGGATGATTGATGATCAACAGAGCGTCGATACCTATCCAGGCACCATCACTGATCACGTTTTCTGTTTCGCCGATCCGCAATAATTTTTGATAGAAATAACAAACGGTCGTCGTAGAAACATGTAATAATATTGGGCAACAACCACCTACACCGTTGAAGGAGACAATTACATCCAATCAAAAGGGACGAAGGAATAAACAGGGATGCGTTCAATAGCATGTTCCAATGTGCAAATAGGGGTAGGAATGGAAAGGAATACAAGGGAGGGAGAGAGAGAGGTAATTGACATGGCCCTTTTACCTGCTTATCAGAGTGCCACGAGCGCGTTCTTGACGCGTCTTTGACATTGACTTGCTGGGGTGGTCATCATAAGCCACAATTGAAAAGCGTTCGCTATTTTTTTACGCTCTTTAACCCTTTTTTTCAACTTGCAACTCAGCAAACAAACAATCAACAAACAATCACGCTCACACATCGCTCGCCACAACCATGAACTTACTTAAGCAATGGGTCGCAAACTCATCCGAGGCAGTCAACATCCGTCTCGGTAAGATAGCCAGCACGCACACAAACACGCACGCTTGTCATTCAGCTTCAAAGCTTTGATTTCATCAATGGTGCACCTCAAACTCATCCGTCATTACTCTCTCCGTTCTATACAACCATAGTGAAAGCGGTGCCCGGCAGTGGTGACGACGACGACGAGGATGACATTATCGAATTTAACCCAGAGTTCACGTATCCCATCTTCGGTGAACAGGAGCAGATCTTTGGATACAAGGACTTGATGATCAACGTACGGGAAGAAGCGAACCTTTGCACTTTTTTTTGCGTCGCGGACTGTGATGCTATAACAGGATCCTACTCAGAACTATATACTAAGCGGAAAGCGTTTGCCCATATAGCTCGAGTTTGCGTCAGGATCTTTGGCGTCGTGCTTCAGCATGGGATACAAAGAGAAGAAACCTACAGCAGACAAGATCTATTCCACAATGAAGGACTTCCTTCCTGACGGTGAGTCTCGACACTCTTTTTGCATCGCGTGAGAGACAAGGACTATGCTGTTGATGTTCAGTATACGTATGCTTGGTCCGCAAATGAGGGTAAACTAACACTTTCGTCTCCCTTCGTGCTTGCCGTTTAGACATCATCGACAATCACGACCTTTTCACACAGATTGCTCAGAGGGACTACATCAGCTTCAAACCTATGGGCACCAAAGTGTCAGAGTATCGGTCCAATGCAGAGGGAGCAGAAAACAGCGTGTTCGAGTTCTATCATGTAACTATCACAGGAATTGCAATCTGATACACTGTACGATCTCCTCAAGCATTGACAGCAGGACGTTGACTGATGCTTATCCATTCCAACTTCGTGACATACTTCCTTAGTGCAATTTCGACACGCCGAGATTCTTGGAGTTTCACAAGAGGATGCAGTGCTTTGCCATCTTCTTCATCGAAGGCGCGTCAATTATCGAGGACACGGATGAGAAATGGGAGGCTCGACTCTTGTTCGAGCGCGTGTCAGAGAACGGACAGGAGACCTACAACTTTGTTGGATACAGCAATATGTACCCCTACTTCTACTACCCGGACCAAATCCGCATGCGCATCAGGTAAAGCGCCTTACTGTGATCCAGGGTCTACTTGGTTTATATGCTTGTCGTTTGGCAGCTAACATCTTGTGTTTCTTCGAATTGGTATCTTATCTAGTCAGTTCCTGATCATGCCACCGTACCAAAAGCAAGGACATGGAAGCAGGCTGTACCAGTCGCTCTACAACGATTTTTGCGGCCGAAAGGAGATTCGGGAAATGACAGGTAACAGCAACAGCGACAACTCATTCTCAATTGACAGGTTCATGGATCATCCAAGGAGAGCCAGAGAGACTAATGCCAACTTTCCGGACTCTCTACTTCCAATAGTCGAGGACCCAAATGAAGAGTTCAGTGATTTGAGGGACAAGAACGACATGAAGCATTTGGATGCCAAAGGCGTGTTCAACGATCTGAAGGCACCCATCAAAAAGGACAGGATAGAGCAAGTCGCAGCGACATACAAGTTGACAAAGGTTCGTTATTTTATGCGGACTACAGGATATCAATTAAACGTGAGATCGTTACTGGAAACTAACACGAACTCGTCGTTATTTTTGTTACTAATTCTACAGCGGCAAGTGGCGCGTTGCTTTGAATTGGCGCTGCTCAGGAAACTGGACAAGAGGAACCAGGCCCAGTACAGGGCGTTCAGACTGCAGGTGAAGGAACGGCTGTACAAGCACAATGCTGAAGCATTAGCAACACTGGAAAAGGAGGATCGGATCGAGAAGTTGCACGAAACGTTCCTGAGTGTGGAGGAGGACTATCATCGTCTCCTAACTCTACTTTATTGATTATTTCAAGCAAAATTAGCAAAAAAACAAATACAAAATTTTAGTTAATATGAGAGTAGAAGGCAACAAGAAAAGGCTCGGTTCATAAACAACATAACAACGGTTGATTACCATAAGCCTTGCTAAACAAAGACTCCGTTGGCATCAAGGTCCTGCGGACCTTTCATTGATGCAATTAGAGATGTATGGGTTCCCAGCAACATCGGGCTGGTGTTGGGAGTGGGTGGCGCCCTGTGGACGCATGGATCTCACAGGGTTTCTCGTTCGCTGCTAGTCAGCTGAGAGTAGCCCACTAAGCGATGTTGATCCAGGCATTGCTGTCTCGGCCGCGTCGGCATTACCCATAACCAGGACTACCCAAAACATCAGCTCGACTCCTTGTCAGTTTTCACCAGACTTTGAGATAAGAGGTTTATTGTTTTTTGGTCACTTGGCTGATTTCTGGGACTAATAAAACTACGGCTAATTTTTATGCGAAATGCACAATAATTCTCAGCGCTGAGCATTTTTTCAACTCCATTCCATTCCTTTCTCTTTCAGACCCCATTCACTTTTTTTTGTCTAGTCGTTTTATTGATCTCATGGCGCTCATGTCTTTTGGCTATAGAGTGTCAAGCGGAGCAGGCTCGTTTGTCCAAGGCTTGGGACCTGTTCCTGGGGACTTCTCCAGGGTTCTTTTCGCAGGATGGGCTAGCTATGTCACCGGTACGCTAACATTGTCTCCTGTGAAAAAAGCCAAGTAACATGCAAAGGATGAACTTTAAGGCAATTATTTGTTTTCTCGATTTAGAGAGCAGACAGGGTCAAGCGACGATGTATGGAGAGTCCAGTGGCGCCGAAACAGAGCTTCTCCGTCTTTGCAGCTTAGCGACCAGCAACAGCAAGGATGGCAATGCTGAAGTAGACCTTCAGTCTACCTCCGAGGGATCTGTGTGGTCCAATATGGCGCGCAAGCGACGACGATCAGTCAACTGTTATGGCTGGGATGCCCTGCAGGGTTTCCTCTCACCAGACGGATATGTTGTCGCCTTGTGTTTGAACGATAACACCACTGGGACTGCTGAACTATACACTCCACGACAAGTGTATGCAACCGCTATGGATGTAGCGTCCTGTGGATCGTCGACCGATTACTGCACCGTGGTGGTCGATCGCCAGACTGGAGGACTATATCACTGGACGCTCTCCGATCCAGTTCCCAAGGACTTTGGGAGCGAAACGACCAAGTTTTCACGGGTTTGGGCAGGAGAGGCACATTTTCTCGCGCTAGATGAAGGCGGGACATTGTATAGCTGGGGGTCAAGTCGACATGGTCAATTGGGGAATGGCGATCTGATGTCGAAGACGAGTCCTGAGCCAGTTGAGCCGTTGGAGGGGATCCGTATTGTTGATGCTGCCTGTGGCGCGTCCTTTAGTGTTGCACTGTCTGGTATGTTATTCATTTATGTGCTTGTGCGCCTCAGGATGCGAGAGAGAATAACTTACTAAGATTTTGTGGATTTGTTTATTATCCGTGAGTTACATAGATACTGGCGATGTATACACCTTTGGACTGAACGACCATGGCCAACTGGGCATCGGAAAAGCTGAAGGGAGACAGAGTCAAGGACATGAGCGATGTAATACAGCACTCCCTCAGCTAGTGGATTTTTTTGAGGATAGCAAGGGCAACTACGACCAGGGCCAGGGGGTTTCCCCAATCGAGGTGTCTGTGGTAAATGTCGCGTGTGGGCATTCCCACACGGTCGTATTGGATGGTATAGAGCTCCTCATTGTTATTGTTGCTGTTTTGTCCATGGCGCTTCATTTTATGCAGGAGGGCATATGCTGACATGTATTACCTGTTTTCATGTCCTCTCCTCTATCTCTATCTTTATCTCTCCTTTATTATGTTTTTGTAGCTGAGGGTCGGGTATGGAGCTGTGGGTGGGGAAAGTATGGTCAGCTTGGACAGGGCGAGCCATTATCAACATCGCCATTATCACCAGATCTTGGTGAAATGGATAGACAGAAAGAGAAGAAGATGGTCCTTCTTCGATCGAAGGGATCTATCGCGGTGGAGGAAGATCGATACTTTTTCCGGCCATTGGTGAAGGCGAGTGGTGGCGAGCACGTGTGGTCTGAGGTATGCTGTGGACGATGGAGTACCTTTGTATGGAGCAAAGGGTCTGAGCTGGAGTGACCTTCTTTAGCCTTGAAAAGGAACATGAGGCGATAACGGATCGAATAGCATTGGAAAGAAGGATATACATCCCTTAGGGACACCATGGCTCATAAAAGACAGAGTGCGTATGTATGTGCCTGCCTGTCCTTCCTTTTCGCGGCCAATCAGCGTGTTCGCCACCTGTACTTCCCTTCCACTTCTTACCTCTCTTCACTTCACTTCTCTTTTCTTTCACTCTTCACACTTACCTCTTCCCTCTTCCCTCTTCCCTCTTCCCTCTTCCCTCCCCACTCCTCTCCGTCACTCCTCCCTTCTTCTTTGTCGTCCATCACACTCGACACTCACTCACACACCTACACAGCCCCTTTCTCTCTCACCCACTACAACACTTCAACAGAAAACCATGGACGAGTCAGAGTCAACCGCACCCCAGCAGGCCATCGTCCTCACCATCCGCCCATCCTCGGGCTCAACCTTCACCACCGCCATCTCCACCGACAGCACCGTTCTCCAACTCAAGGAGAAGCTCGCCACCGCTGACTTGCCTGCTGCCTCAATTCGTCTCGTCTACTCCGGACGAGTCCTCAAGGATGACGACCAACTCTCTGTCTACTGTAAGCGCTCTTTACATACCCACCAAATATTTTTTTGTGTGCGCGTGTGCGGTGTTCTTTGTGTAATGATGACTCTTGTTAAGGAAGGTTACCCATTACGCAAGTGTGAACAGGGGATGGCAATGCAACGTGACAAAAGCAATTTTTTGTTTCTCTCATTGCCGCTCTGTGTCCGAATGCCATGCACAGCTTTTCGAACGCTACCACTTCTAAACAGCAGAGGCTGCCTCAGCATGCGCAACGACAACGACAACAACAACCTTTCTCGGCTTTGTCTTACCTTTTTTTTCTTTCTCTTTGTTCTGAACTCGTAGCTATCATGGAGGGCCACACCTTGCACATGGTCAAGAGTGCCACCAACCGAGCCAACGAGCAGGCGGTTCAGACTGTCCGACCCAATGCCAACAGCAACGCAGGAGGACCAGACGGATTCGATGAACAAGTATGTCAACCAACCAACCCGCCATGGAATGACCATCAGGGGGGTTCCATCTGTGCACCCATCATCTTCCTATCTTGGACCTTTTTTTCTTTTTCTTTTTCAGGAAATACAAGCTGGATTTTGGAGGAAGAGGGAACCCAGAGTTGGGGTCAGACAGACGGCAGATACATGACAAGTATTTTTTTTCTATCTCATGACGCCTTTTGGGCAACACATAACACAGACAGGCAGGCAGGACGCAGGACGCAGGACACAGGGCAGCCGAACAACCTCAGCTGGGAGTGCTAGGAACCTAAACAAAAATATATGTCGACTCTCCGTCTCTCCTCCCCCTCTCCTTCTCTCTGCCCCCCCAGTTACGCACGCATTCTTCTACACACGGCCCTCGTGGAATCTCCATTCGTCAACAAAAAAAAAGGAGATCAATACCTCGCCCTTCTTATATTCAAACCATGCGTACGGGAGAACAAAGAGAAATGAAATTACTGGGCCTGTCAGGAGTGGTGTGGGAATGGTTGTTTATATCACCAACTTTTCTCTTCACGCACTCACGCACTCAATTGCTTGTCAAATCTAGGCCATGATGAGGAGTTTCCTCGAGAACCCAGCGATCAGAGTAAGAAGCCAGCTTGCTTTCAAATGAGATCTACAATCGATGAATTGAACAAAACAATGCATTCCTCTTCATAAGCTGACTTTCTTTTGTTTTGTTCTTGTCAAAAATAGGACATGATGTCCAACCCAGAAATGCTCCGCAGGGTGATGATGTCCAATCCCCAGACGAGAGAGGTCATGGAGAATAATCCCGAAGTTGCTCAGATGCTCAACGACCCTGCCTTCCTTCGTCAGGTAAGACACTCGCTTTTTTAATAACACTTTTTGGTTTCCCCACTCCATGATGCAGTGGTGACGAATGCCCTTTTTCCTAGCTGCGTACTTACCCCAAAACCAAATGGTTCATATTGGGCTCTTAATACACCATAGTCACTAGATATGGCCAGGAACCCAAAGCTCATGAAGCAGGCCCTCAGGAACAATGATAGAGCACTGTCCAACATGGAGATGATCCCTGGAGGATTCAACCATCTGCGCAGGATGTATCACAATGTCCAGGAACCCATGGAGGCTTCGCGAAGCGCTCCGCAGCCCTCGACTGATGACTTGAACGAACGATTCGCCGCTCGCCTCAATGCCGACACCCGACCTAACGCCGGAACCCTTAATAATACAGCCCTCCCTAATCCCTGGGCACCCCCACCAAGAAGTAACAACGCAACAGGCTGTACGTGAAATCCGATGGTCATCATTTTTGGGGTTTGAATAGCGTTATACTTCCTTGGCATGACATGCAATTAACTCTGCATCTATCTTTCGTCAATTTGATAGCGATGGGTGGATTTCCTGGCATGCCTGGCATGGGCGGGAATGGTGGCGGGATGGGATTCAACCCCTTTGCCGGCAACCCCTTTGCAGCGCTTGGTGGCCCTGGTGCAGGCGCCGGAGCAGGAGCAGCAGGAGCAGGATCAAACGCAGCAAGTGGCGCCCAGGCTTTCCAGAACCCATTTGCTGCATTGATGGGTGGCCAAGGCGTGGGTGGCCAGGGTGTGGGTGGCCAGGGTATGGGTGGCCAGAGCATGGGTGGCGGAAATCAGGCGGGCAGTCCCTTTGGATTCCCACCCATGGGCAACAACCCTGAGATGTTTCAACAAATGATGCAGTTCAACCAAATGATGCGGCAAATGGAGCAGCAGCAACAGCCACACACATCACAGCCATCGTCACAACTTCCTCCCAGCATGCCTTCCTTCGCCAACATGTAAGTCTCGGGGAGAAGTCTTGTTGCTTTGCTCAGGAAGTCATATGGCTGCTACTATCTTGGCCGAATCGTTGTCTTTCTAACCGTGCGCGGCATATCTTCCTTTGATCTGATTAGGTTTGGTGGATTTCCTCCTGTGGCACATCCTTCGAGCGCCACAACACCAACTGCTTCTTCGGCATCAGCGGCAGCGACTACGGCAGCGACGCCTGCGGTACCGACACAGCCGCCAGAAGAGCGATTCGAGATGCAATTAGCATCGTTGCGGGATATGGGCTTCTCTGACAATAGCCGGAATCTGCGGGCACTGCTTGCGTCTGGAGGCGACGTTGAGTCCGCGATAGAGTTTCTGTTGCGGATGTAAGGATTGAGACGAGCATTTAATGAAGCAACAAGACACGATAACTTGAACAACTCCAACACAACAAAAACGACACCCGCCTTCCCAACACCAACCACCACTACCGCCATCCCGTTATCCCACGCCAACGACAACAAAGCAAAGTAATTAGGACCTCGTCAGAATAAAAAAAAATGATAATGGAAACACAAAGACAAAAGAGACACGTTGGGATGGAGTACTTTAATGCAGCGATTATCCAATTAGAAAAGAGTCAGACTCGTCGGTAGCGAGTTCATAGAGGATCTGAAGGAACTCCTGGATACGCTCTTCGCCGCCTTGGGTCAGCATCGTCGCGAAACGAGGCGTCACAGCAATGGACCCCAAGCGGAGCATGATCCTGCGGAGGATGTCCCATACAAGGCTGTGAAACGGGTGTGTGCTTGAATAGATGCTCCTCAGGTGTGGGTGTGAGCATGCCTCGTAGACCATCAGGAGACAGTCCTGAATCGTGAGGGCTTCTTCTTCGCCGTCTGCCGTGGTTGTACTGGTGGGCGATTTGGGACTTTGCCTCCCTTCAGAGCATCCACTGTCATCGTCGTTATCGTCGTTGGCATCGACGTCAGCAGCGGTAGCGTTGGATGGTTGTTGTTTCTGCGTATCCACGTCCTTGTGGTTGATGACCTCTGCGATGTGTTGGTTGATCCCGTCGACGAGATCAATGTCCACACTAGGATCCAATCGCGGTCGCTTCTCGCCTCCTCCCAACCCTATACCAGATCCTCCCATCAAACCATCATCATTCCTCACTCGCTTGGTACCATCCACCAACGTAGTCTGCAACCCCGCAGTCCCATCCTTCCCACCAACATCACTCCGCCTAGTCGGCTGCAGATCATAACACTTCACCTCCAATCTCCCTAAGGCGTCCAAGATCCAAACTTCCGCCAGCCGCCTCACAAATCCAACCAAAAACCGATCCGCACAGATCATCAACCGGATCACCATCTCAAACGGCATATCCTCCGGCAAGAGATGATGTACTGTCATCCGTGACTCTCTCAGGACCTCCAACAGTAGCTCAATATCATCTGGCTCAACATCCTGTAGGGCAATTTGTTCCTGGTTTGATTCGCGGAAATCACCCAGGAGGAGGGTGTAGAAGAAGGGTGAGGCACGGGAGAGACACTTTCGGTCGGGGAAGATGATGGTGCGGTCCTGGACCAGGAACGAAATCGGGACCGCAGGATCTTTTTCCTTTGCGCTGGCAGCATCAGTCGAAGAACCGGCGAGGTTGATGACATGAGCTTCCCACTCTTTGGTCATGACCTCTGAATAAGTCTCGACAAGCTCCAGATGCTGCTTCCTCCATCGTTCAGTATGCCTCCACCCCAGGGACTGGAACGCCAACCCAGAACTAAGTCTTCTCAACAACGCTTCTTCCTTCTGTACACTCTTCGTATCCACCACCACACCTTCCATCCCTCCACCTTCCTCGCCAACACCGTCATCATCATCATACTCAATCTCAAGCGTCAGCATACGACAAATAACGCCCAGAACCGACTCGCTCTCCAACAAGCCCGTCTTCTCAACCCTAGATCCCCACAAAACCCAAGGCGGCGGGTCCAAGGTATACATAAACACGATCGCACAATACTCCCTTAACCAAAACACACTATCCGCAGTCTCGTCCGCATCGACAAGCCCTCCCTGTCGACGACCGCCAACGTACTGATAGATCCGTTCGAATTGGCCTCGGAGGGGGAGCATAACGGTTTGGAAGTGTCGGAGGAGTTGTTGGTGGAGTTGCTGGTGCCGCTGGGTTGGGAGGATGAGATCAAGTGAGCGGAGTGGGTTCGGTGGTGATTCTTGATCGTCATGTGGTTCTTCTGCGGCTGCTGCAGAGGTGGGTTCTTCCTCCATGAGTTCTTCTCCCTCGTTCTCCTCAGCAGGTCCCTGAGCAGTGTTCTCTGGTTCTGTGACTGAAAAGTCGCGCGTAAAAAAAATGTATTAGTAAATATTTGATCCAACTCCCACAATCAAAATCAAAATCACGAATGCAATGAACAAACGACCAAGTGAACAAAACAGCCGCAACTTACGCTCAAAGATGGTTTTGTCGCGGTAGAACCGAAGCGGTTGATCAATCTCCAAGATCGCGGCAAAGAGCTCAGTAATAGAGTTGTTCGAGACCACGGCCTTGGCAGACTCCTCGGACGTCATGACCTTGGACAATGTCTCAAACAGCGACTTTTCAATCAGTTCCCGTGGCACATTGGCATCGCCGCCAGTAGTAGCTTCAGGATCAATATTATTCCCGCGACGACGACGATGACGAATCGAAGCAGGCATGGAGCCAACAAGAGACCGCTCAACCATCATCCGGCCGAGCATCCAGATGACTCCAGGTTTCGACACTAGACGTTGCTGGCAGGTCGGGAGGTGCGCGATCTGGGCCAGAAGAAGACTTGCCTCCACCAGGATCGACTCTTCCCTCTCGAAGAGTGGATGCCACCACTTTGACCGCTGTCCAATACCACCCAGCAAGAGATCGCTAGACCATTCGGTCTTTGGAGGGGCCAGGATCGACAAAAGCAGCGGGACAATCGATGCTACCGCGACTGAGCCACCAGGGCCCGCAGTTGCCGAGAAGGACTTGATCGTCGACGGCATACACTTCCACCACATCATTTCCTCCTCCCCCCCAGGTGCTCCCAGATCAAGATCCACCAACTGCGTCAGCCCCTGTCGATCCAGCCAAAAGTTCCTTAGCGCATAGAAACATCTCTGAGCAATCCTCCGGCAATGTGTCTCCCGAATACTGTATCCACGCAAGTTCAATCGTCTGACATTCGCGCCAAGAAGAGCTACCAGAAACGGCAACGCGCTCCATCGCTCCCGCATGTTGAATCGGATATTCGACTCGGCCCCCAAGTACACCGCCGCATCGACCAATAACAACGCTCGTTCCTGGATCCACTTGGAGCCGCCTGCCGCCATCACATCTCCCGTGCCAACAGTGATGAACCTATCGTCCCTCAAATCGGTAAGGACGTAGAGCATCCGGAAATGAAAGAAGCGCGGGCCAAATATATCCGAAAGCAGCCAACGGCCCTTTGGATAGTACTTCCAGAACAACGCAAACACCTTCAATGCCTTTAACCCCATCTCTGCGTCCAGGGTCAAGTCTGGCGTGAAAGGATAGTCGTTGGCGACGTCCTTATTCATGCGCGGCTCCAGGATCCAGGTCCGAGCCGACTCTGCTTCCTGATCCAACGGACGCATGATCCTGTCCACCAATGCGGTGTACCCGACCGTCCACTCATTCCAATTGACATTCTCAATCCAGGCGTTCGCGCCGTCATACTTCAAGAACCCAGGGAGGAGGTTCAACGCCAGATGCAGGTACCGCCTGCTTGTCGCCTCTGGCAGTTCCTTCGACGGCGTCCCAAAGAGTTCCCGCGTTGCTGGTTCAGAAAGCAACATCACCAAGACGTTCGGAACTCGGCTGTAAACGATGAGGTCCTCAGAGGCCTTGTTGGCGCCAAAACATCCCAAGACAACTCCCAGCATGGCTTCCAGGATTCCAGGTTTTAGTCGGATCAACGATACAGCAGTCGAATTGTCCGCAGAGTTGTTGCTGTCGCCGTTGTTGCTAGTTAATGGCGGTGATGATGATACGCTGGCAGCGGCGGTTCCTGTTGCAGCTGACTGGGTCGAGGTGGTTGGTATGTCGTTGAAAAACTCGATCGTCCTCCGCATAATAGTCAGTCCGACAGGCCGAGGGTATCCAGAGTACAGCGCGGCATGGCGTTTCTTATTCGAGACCAGATTCACAATCAGCTTGGTTAGATACTCTAGAACAGAAGCCTGGTGTTTCAGCACAGCCTCTTTCCTGGTGACAGCATCGTCCTGCGTCAAAGGCCCAGCTGGGAGGCCCTTGTCGTCCTTGTCGCCATACTCTTGGCCCTGATAATCGTCGTCATGGGAGGTGATATAGTAACCGTACCACGCCAACAACGTGTCCATCCCTTCCTCCAACAGCACCGCCATGGTTGAGTCCTTCTCTTGAAATATCCAGCAGGTCCAATAAATTGCTCCGCAGAGGACCAAGACCAACCTGTCGCATGAGGGTAGGGCCACCTTGTCGAAAAAGAAGATTTGTTGTAGTTCTATCCAGAGCTCGACCAGCAAGCTCATCGGGGCAGCCTCTTGGAGTAGTTTCAGCTTGTCCAACCCATGAGAATGTTGTAATACGATGGTTGATGTCGAATGATGCCCTGCTTCCTGTAAGAATGACTGTAGTAACAAAAGACCCCTTGACCGAACTCCGACGAGTGACGACTCGTCCGGCTTGCCAGAGCCACCACCATCTCCTTGACCGTTACTCGCTCCTGCTCCAACTCCAGGGTTCTCCAAAGCATCTCCAATATCCTGATCAGCTTGGAAACCCGACATGGTACCCGACAGAATCGTAGAGAGATCCTTCCTGAGATCCTCTAGGACAGATCGCAGGGCAGGCAGGATCTCCCACGCGAGTTTCTCCTGCACGATGAGCTTGTGTGATGTCAATATCCGCAGCCCATATTCTTGTAGCTTGATCGAGGACGATCGGAGTAACGACGACAGAGCCAGCACAACATTCGCGCCACCGCTCCTCCTTTGTTTCGAACTGGACGGCGGCTGGCTGCCGAGTCCGGTGCTACCATTGCTGGGTGAGACGGACATCATCCGCTTGCAAAAATCCTGCGGAGGGAAGGGCGGGTTGGTGGTTAGGGGGTTGGTGCAAAAGCTCAAGATCTTGGCACACATGAGTTGGACATCTGTCGAGTCCACGCGTGGTCCTAGAGGTACGGTGCCGATAAGGATGGGTGCAAGAAAGTTATCGAGAATCTTTCCTTTCCCCCGGTCGTCGAGAGGAACTGCAGTCTTTTTCCTGTCATCGGCCGGTGAAGTAGACGCTGCTCCGTTGCTGCTGATGGTCGTTGTGGTGCCGGTGGACCTGCCGTTGACGTTCGTAGTCGTCGTGACACTCTGCAGTACTGTAACAATAGCCTTGAGAGTATGACGGATCTGGCTGTGAACAGACCCCTGTTGCAGAGTCTCGAGGTCGTTGGGTCCTGTCTGACGGTCCTGGTATTTGTGTAACTCGACTAGGAGCCAGTTTGAGAGTTCTCCTAGGAGGTGGAGCTGTCGAGTATGGTCGAGCATGGCGAGATGCTCTCGAACATTAGGCTTGTTACGGTCATGACTCCGCAAGAGAGCAATAAGTTCTGCAGTTCTCATTCAATGGGAGTAAGGGAAAGAGGGCTTATTTCTCCCGAGTTTCGGTGGCGAAATGGAATAGTGGAGGAGAGATGTGAGTAGGGGGTAATCGTGGCAAAAGACTTTTGTTAAAAGTGGCGTTTAGTGCCGCGCCTTTGCAAAGTCGTCGATGTGACTGCGAACATTTAAATACATTGAACATTTATTTTTGCAGGAAGAACGGATGTGATACAGCTGTGCTTCGCCCATCAGTTACCTTTTCGATGCATTTATCATTGCCAACTACTGATCACTGCTCGCTTTGAGCATCTTGGTCTTGGACCTTTAGATCAGACATGACATCTGACTACACAACCTGCCTGCTTGGTTTTTTGATGAAAAAAAACGAATATCTTCTCACTCGCCAATGCCACGTTTCTCAATGAACCTTTTATGATTCCAAAGGATCTTCTAGCCCTTTCACACTACAGTGCCTGTGTCTACTGTAGAAAGTACAGGACTATACGTGAAAAATCGCTGTAAGAGTCGAATCGTCCGTTATCTTGCTCGCTTTTCAACCCTGGGAAAATGGTCAATACCTGTGCTGTACACGTGACGATTTATTTTGAGCCAAGCGACACGATTGGCCACATTCTCAGCATTGGCAAGTGTGCCAAGCAGACGACAAAAGACGCTTGTGCACTTGTTTTTCATTCTCACTCCATTCCCCACATCCCTTTTGTTTCCTCTTCTCTCGACTTCCATCACACCCCACTCACCACCCCTCACACTCATAACCGACCAAGCAACAACACAACAATAAGAAATACACAAAACTACCAGACACACCACAATGCCAGAATCAACTTCACCCATCCTACCAACTAACACCCTCATCATCACCAACCTCGAGGTGCCCCATTTCGAGAAGGAGACCATGCTCAAGCTCAAGGTCAAGGCAGAGGCCTTTGGCGATATCTTTTACTTTGCTCCCATCAGGTCGTTCTACAGAGTCTTTGTCGTCTACAAGGCCACCTTTGATGCCCAACGCGCCAAGGCTGCCCTTCACAACACCACTTTTGAAGGATCCACTATCCTCGTCTACTTTGGCCAGGTATACTTCCTTTCACTTGATTCAATGGGCGATACGTCAGCCTTTCGTTGATGCAAAACTAACGAGTCTTGTTTTGACATATGGTTGAAAACAACAATATTAGCACACAGAGACGGTCATCGATCCTGCATCTCGCTACCTGCACCCCCCAGAGCTCGAAAAGAACTGGCTCATCTCTCCACCAGGCTCACCCCCAATCGGATGGTCCCAGGTCCGCGAAGACCCTCCCAACTCCCTGCACTTAGCCGACGATCTCGTAAAGGCTTTGCTCGAGATGGGCCAGCCCGTTTACCAACTCCCAAGACCTGATGGCTCCTTTGCTGACAGATCTCATCTCTTTGAAACCGAAATCGAGGACTTCTCATTGGACGATCCACACCTTCAAGAGAGTGCTGCAGAAAACACCGGCTCGGGATCAGGAACAAAGGAAACGGATGATTCTATCAGCGTCAAGAGCAGTGGCAGCGCAAGTCAACTGCATCAACAGATCTTGGACCTCAAAATCGATACCCAGTCGTCATCCGCTCGATCGGGTTCACCCAACTCGACGCACACTCCAGCGTCATCCCTGTTCCCTCCAGCAACACCTACTGTCTTGGCATTCTCGCCCGCGAAGGAGTCAGAGGGAGACCAACCGTTTATTACAGTTCAGGATTGGGGTGTTCAAGGTGATAGCGTTGCAGCACCCACACCTCTGAAGCGCCGCGGATCCATCCCCAAGACTGTCTTCCCTATTGGACCTGCGCACTAGAAGAAATCAACGATGCGTTCTTCTTTTTGCGTTGCTATCATTGTACCATAACACCTTCAACGAAACACATAATAAACCGTGCATTGCCATGAACATCACTCATTAATGTCTTGTGTTCGTTCTCGCTAACCTATTACTACTACAAACGCACAAACACTGGAATCATTCCCCGTGCGTCCAATTGACGTCCAGATACGGATAAGAGTTTTTTGTCCTCTGTCCATGACCACATCACAGATGTACAAGGTCTACATTCTTCTCTCCCTTTCAAAAGAAATAGCAGTATAAACGTAAAGACATTGAGAGATGATGGTCCTCTAAGATTGACGCTAGAAGCAATAGTCGCCCATCCTTTGTCCGAACACACTGTTGTTTATTTCGTTCATCTCCTCAACTTCCAAGCTAGAGAACTATGACGTGAGTTGCTATGCTTAGTGCATTCCATATTTTTAACGTTCCCTGCCCTCCTCATTTTCTGCCATACGTCCATGAGCTGTATTGCTGGGTATGAAGAGCGAGTGGGCCAGCAACTCGTTCCATAGCAACCGAATCCGGACCCTACTACTCGAATTGATCAGGCTGGGGTACTCACTTGATCTGTCTCCGTCATGCTCAATACTACTGCCGCCGTCCCGATCCTGAACAGCCCATTTGAGCGACTGCGAGTAAAAAAAAGTCGGAAGGAAAAGTAAACGGCGGGAAAAAATAATATTGAAAGTCGTTGCAGGAAAATGAAATGCAAGTTGCATGAATAGTCTTCAATTGCATCACAAGGTTGTCGGGCGGGTCCGTGGATCAACAGCATGAAGAGGAAGAGAAAAGAGCGCTATCGGCGGTAAACTTTGATGACTGCCCCCTTGCATCCACGCTTTCCGCAGGCTGGACCAAACCTCAGACCCTGGGCTAGAAGCCATTCCCTTCCCTTCTCTTCCATCCTGTGCCCTGCCTGGTCTGCTGTGTCTCTCATACCATCTCAAGCGCCTCGTACTGAACTTCTCTTCGGGAGTAACGACGCTCTCGAAGACGATCCACAACTGTCGCCAACAACAATCCGATGACGGTCCCAATCACATTCGCGAAGATGTCATGGCTGTCATACGCCCTTGTCTATTGTTCAACAAAGAAAACAAGGGTTTTTCTCATTGTTAGATTCATCATTTGTAGTCAGTCCTGTGAAATGACGGAACTAGGCAAACTCGTTGGGGGAAAGAGATTCGTGTGCTATAGTAAACAAGTCAACAAATAAACAATAGGTGCGCATTGTCACAAACATCTCCCATCGAATGAATATATCCACCTCCATCCTCTTCAAACAAAAACACCCCTATTAAAAACACATACCGGCGAAATAATAGGCTGCAGGATCTCAGACGCAAAGGCAAGCACGCCAACGGGCACAGCAGTCAACAGAACATTATGTACTCGAGAAGGTCGGTTCCAGATGAAGAAGGTCAAGAAGGTGAGGATGAGGAATCCAGAGGAATGCAGAATCTTGTCCTGGGGTAGGTTTTCATGGTAGGGGATCTTGTCTGTGGGGAGGAACCCAAGTGCAGCTAGGAAGAGACCTTGTAGTATGACCAGGAATATAAAGAAGAACCGCATGCCGTAAGTCGGTAGTGAAGATGGAATGAAACTTTTTGCTGGGTGCATGCAAAGAGATGTGAAAGTGGGAAGTCAAAGACGCCAGCCAGGTACATGTCGAGCAGTCACAATGCTACTGAGACGCGTAAAGGAGAAACACGCTCCTCCCCAGCCTGGACACCGCAGGAACACAGTGGAATTTGTAAAAACTCAAAATGACAATAAGGACAAGTCGTACGCAATACCCAGCACCATGTGGCTAGACGGTCTTCTGCCCCTGACGGCTCACTCACCTTCTCGCCTCATCCTCCGCTGCCCTTTTGTTGAGTTTGTGCCTTGCCGTACTCTTCTTCTTGTACCTGTCCCCGGTTCCGCGTAACCGAAAGGAGCAAAGAAAATAAAGGGGGTAGCGGAAGAGGAGGTAAGCGAGCACAGGATGTCGTCAACAACAACATCAGCAACCCAACAAGAATAACAACAACAGGCGGTACAACAAAGCGAAAAGGAGAGAGCGAATAGAGAAGGGGATAACAAAAAGGGAGGTAACACTTGTCCGATATAAAAAATTCAATGACCATGTCATATGCTGTTTGTTGACGGCATCCGAATGACCATTTGGATGGAGAGAGAATGGGAGCAAAACTCACAAACTGGGCTGAAAAGAGTGTTGATCCCTCTTTTCCCTCCTTTTTCCTCGCTCTCACTCTCTCGCCTCGTACTTCCACATGGCCCTTTTTTCGTTTGCGTTGCTCGTGTTGGCCATCCATGTGCCGTTCTCCGGCCTGCATGTCCAATTGAGTGCGAAAGGGTAGAAGGTGAGCGGGATGCTTTCAGGGGTAAAATAGTTATCGTTAGCCTCGCATTTTTTATGCGCACCAGTCAGGAATGACTTTGTATGCTATGGGAAGACCAATGGAAACAACAATTCCAAAGAGCAGTTTCAATAACAACAACATCGACATCAACATCATCATCAACAACTGTCGCTTTTCCTCTTCCCGATGGTCGCGATGTTCATTCTTGTTTTTTTCCCTCGCTTTTTTTATTTTTTTTATTTTTTTTATTTTTTATTTTTTTTGACTTGATTCCATGATCTCAATGGGCACAATCTCGACCTGACAGACAGAATAAAGAAAAACTATTAAAGTGCGAACAGACCCTTCCTTCATCCAACCTTTTCTTTTCCCTCTTCTTTTTTTTTTGCCTCCCTTTTGCCTCCCTGGTCAACCTATCCCGACCTCATTCCCCCGCTCCCGATCGTCGCATTACCAGTGCATTGTCTCAAACCCTGCCTGCCTTTCTACTCTCTTCCCTCTCTTTTTTTCTTCCTTCGTCGCCCAAACCTGCACCCTTTTCATAGCTTTGCCAATACTGTAGTGTGTCTGTGAGTGAGCAAAGATGAACTTTTCTGCATAATTTTTTTTCTTCCTGTATCGTTGTTGTTTTCGTTGTTCGTCCCAGGCGCGCACAACTTCAACATCTCGCGGCATATGTCCGCAGGACCAGGAGTAAGGACAACAACCATCCTAGCTAAGCAAGAACGGCATCATCTTCATCCCTCCTTCCCTTCCCTCCCTTCTCCTTTTTGCTGGGCAGGCATTGTTGTTGTTGTTTTGATGTCTTTTGTCTGTTGCTGTTTGTTTGTCGTCGTTGTCGTCTCTTGACCCGCCTTTTTTTTTTTTTTTTTTTTACTTTCTCCTCATCGAGATCTTTACTTATCCCTCGTTTTTTTTTCTCTCTCTTCCTTTTCCTCCACTCTCCTCCTCCTAGCCCTCGTCATCAACCTCCTCGTTTTTCCTCCCCTGCCACTTTTTACCACCTGCTACGTTACGACCGGCCAACTCTACCGTCTTTTTTTTTTTACGTCTACACACTCACTCCCTCGAGGAACGCCTTTTCTTTCTCACCCATTCCTATTGTTTTCTATTCAAATTCGTCCTCCACCATCTTCTCCCACGACTCTTAAAAAACAAGCCAAGGAATTTCTTTTAGCGCGCATTGGTCACCGCCTTTTCTATCTCGCAACTTTTGGATGGACCAAGCGACGCCATCCAACTTTTATTTGACAATCTGTCTGTATGTCTCTTTCTACTTTCTGTTCTTCACCTCCACGAGCCACCAACTCATTGTGCCCCCGACCGACCAGGAACTGAACGAAACCCGCCGCGCCCAGTCAGCATCCGAACAATTGGATCCCTTTCTTGCTGCAACCCGACAGGCAAAGGCAACACGACAAGTCAAAAGCATCGCCAAAGCAAGAGCCAAACGCACCGTCGATACCGTTCGAGGATATCATTCCCGACAGCACTCTAAACAGCAATATCAACACCACTCCAGGGGTAACACGTCAACTTCTTCTGCAGGAGATAAGCAACACCAACAGCACCACCAACAGTCGTACTCTTTTCAGAACCCTCACTTGCGGCAACATTCTCGACAGAAGAGTCAGGCGAAGAGACACTACCCAACAGTCACCACCCTCTTTGAGATCCCCGGTCGTTACCACTTTGAAGATCCTCCATTTCTTCCTCTTCCTCCTTCTTCTTCTTCCTTCCCTCTTTCTTCTTCTTCTCTTCTCGCCAACAGCACTACTTCCTCTCCCTCCTTCAGCAACAACCTTAACTACAACAATATTAATAGTAATATCTTCCTTGGCCCATCACCCTTCAACGGCAACGACGGCAGTTTCACTCCCAACACTTTCTATCAAGAGTACAACGACAACCCTACCAACAACAACTACTTTCGCCGTAATACCAATACCAATCCCAACAACAACCACAACCATTACAACACACTGACCAGTCCGAGTGCAGGACTCAATTTTCAGCTCCTGCAGTATCACTCGGCCCGTGAACGCACACGCCTCTACCACCAACACCAATTACAGAACTACTACTACACTCCCCCTTTCCTTCCAACAGACAACCCGTCTTCATCCAAGAAGCAATCAAAACGGCAGCAACGGCAGCCAAAACAACAACAGTACCCAACAACAACAGCAGCAACAGGAGGCTCATCCCACCCAAGAGTACAAGAACGAGAGCAGCAACAGCAACAGCAAGTGAGGAAAGCGTCGACGAGCATTGAGATTCAGTTACGACCCCAGCGGTACAAACCACCCCAAAAACATCTTCGAATCTTTCCTCGACAAAATCAGAACCGCTACTACCACTTTTACCCAGATCCAATCTTTCGCAAAAAGATGACAACCTCCACTACCACTACCACACCAGAACCGACCACAGCGGCTCTTCCCACTACGACAGCAGTATCAACGACGACGGTGACGAGTTCTTCGCCCCCTATTTCAAACAAATCTGTCACACTCGCACCCTCACCCACATCGGCCGCTTCATCCGTGCCAGTGGAATCGTCTTATTCAATATCCTCAACATCTTCGACAACAGCAACACCGATAGTAGCAGGAGCACTAACAGCAATGGTAGGAGCAACAACACCGGCGGTTGGGAATGGGATTCAGGTCCAACAACAACAGCAACATCAGCCAAGAACAACTATTGGCTGGGCCGAAGGGAATCATCCTGCCAATGGACAAACAGCATCAACAATACCAAGGTCGTCCTCGTCTTCTCAGGCCGGATCAGGACAGGCGCAACTGGTAGGCCAGGGGCAGGCGCATATTCATCATCAAGGGACGACCACAACCACAACGACGGGTGGTTCCAATGCTTCCGTTTCTACTGTCCCTCTGGCCAATGGAAGCAACAACACCAACTACAATGTAACAGGACAAGGGACGACTAGGACAAGCTGGTCCAAGTGTCATCTCGAAGGTATGCTACTTCGTAGATGTTGTTATTTATTCCACATACCAACATCTATCGGCTCCCTTTCACACTTTTGCGCACTGTGCAGTCAAGTACACGTCTTTCCTTCCCTCCCCCTCACCCCTTTCTTCTGTGGCATATGGTGTTCTCTCCTCTTTCTTCTCTGTCAACGTTCATTTTCTTTTTCCATCTTTTTTTCTGATCCGGCGAGATCGAGAACAAACAGACAACAAAAGAAGACAGAAAAAACCACACTTTGACCTTGAAGGAGTTGGCAAGTGATCTCATTACTGGCCGACGGGTGGAGTGCAATCCACATCCACTCTGTCCTACTACTCCATTCCACCTCATCTGCACCTGTCCGGCAACTCTCACTGTGTATGTATGCTTGTGAGTATGTGCGCGCATGGACACATCGTCTATCTTTTTTTGTTCAATCTCACACTCCTATTTTTTTTGTATTCGTTATCGAGTGACCCTTCCTATTCCTCCACTCCCTTAATGCTCTCCTTTTCTGCACTCTTTTCCTTTTCCCCTGTTTTCTTTATTTTTACTAGCCATGGATTGCTTAAAGATACCACTCCCTTCGTCCCCTCTTCCCCTGACAGACAGCATATCTAAACGTAACACCTTTTCTTCTATGTTCTTTTCTCGACACGTTCCCAATGGTGTCCTTGATTGGCCGTGATTAGAATCCGTTGCACCACCGACGCTGCTGGCTCACCTGCGTCTCCTGCGTCTGGTCCAGAGTCTGGTGATCGTCGAGGACGAGGACCTGGATTTTTTATTCCTGATCCGCTCCGAGGAGAGGTACCTGATGTACCTGGACCTCCTGCAACAGCTCCAGCCCCCACCTCATGCCGTCCCTCTCCCCCCTTTAGGTAAGGATTCTTTTTTTTCTCCCCTTTTCTTGCATTCATGCTTGCCTTACTTTTCTTGCTCTGTCGGTTTTGTATTGTCTCTGCCTTGCTATTGTGCCGTCTTCGTCCTCGGGAGCCACGCGAGGACTTCATGGACTAATGGATCATTGAGTAGATTGTATCCGAACTCTCTCTCTCCTTTTTACCAGCTGGGCAAAGGAGCCGCCTCTTATTACTACTCCAAAGAAGTCTCTCTATCTTTGGCTCCCATCGGTTAAAACAACCGCAACTTGATCTAATCTCTCTCCTCCCCTTTTCCACCTCCCTCTTCCTCCTCTTTCTCCTCCGTCTTTCCTTTCCTCTCGACGAATAATAGATGTTGCATTGATGTGGACGGTGCATATGCTGGCCCCCTTTCGATACCACGAGGATTTGCTCAGGAGTTATAGTCCTCACCTTCTCAACTATGCCTTTCCATTGGAGCGATATGTATGTCCCTTTTGCTTTTGCTCTTTCTCTGATCCGGGTCCTTTTCATTTTCATTGCTTGTGCATTTTGGATATTATTTTTCAAGGTTGTACCTGAAACTTAATTTTTCCGTCCTCCCTTCCAAAAAAAAAATATATACAATAGGTGGCGGCAGTAGACATCGAGGACCCAACGACCGTTCATGAGGCCTTCCAACCCTCCAAAGAGATGTGGCACCAACTATACCCCGAAGAAGATTTTGATCTCGACAAGGAAGACACGACTCGAATGTTTGATATCCAATGTCTTTGGTGTGGTGGGACAAACGTCATGGACAGTTCGACATATATTAAATTCCGGATTGACGGCATGTCGATTGATTGCGCAGGGTGTGGGTCTCAGTGTTCATTAGAGACCTTGTCGTCGAAGCGGCTTTGGGATGGGATTGAGGCCTATAGAGCGAATTCTTCTATTCTACTCGGGTAAGGTTTTTTTTCTTTTTTTTTTTACTCACGTTCGTGCAGGATCTATTATTTCCCTTTGGGAAATGAAGGGGAAGGGAAAAGGACGAGGTATAAGCGGGGGCTAACACACTAGTGCCATCTTGCTTCTTTTTTTTTTAACATAATAGTGGATCGCTACTTTCACCATGGACGGGAACCCCAGACGTGGCCGCGGCCCAACGCGAACACCACCACCTCTTCTTCCACCCCCGAATCCAATTCGGGCTCGACCAATCCGCCGCATCCCTAAACTGCACATGGCCAAAAGTGATTCAAACCTTCCAGGATCTAGGCCCCGACCAGTACTACGGCGTTCGCCCTACAACCCTGGCCAGGATCATGTCCTCCTACATGGGGCTTGTCGAAGACCGGCTCTCGATGGACCTTGTAGCGGGAGCATTGCGACAACGGGATTTCCAAAAGGCGATGATGGTTACTGGAGGACAGGCATGGTGTCAACCACAGGTCTTGCAGCGGACGTTGGATCGGTACAAGAAGTTTATGCTCCTCGCCCGGGCCGAGAGTAAACAAACCGACGGCTCTCATTCCGTCTCGGGTCCCGGGCTAGGAGCAGGACAACCAGGAAGACACGCCTTGGTCCCAACACTCGACATCGATCTCGCCTGGCATACCCATATGCTCTCCCCGGCCCATTACCGCCACTTCCAACTCGTCCATTACGGTCGAGTCCTCAACCACGACGACACGGTCCAAGCAACATCAACAATGACCAAACAGGATTTCGTCCGAACAGCTGATCTGTGGCAGGATCTGTACCAGGAGCGGTATAGCAGTCAACAGACTTGGAGGGGTCGGTTTGTGATAACGCCTCAGAAGATGTGTGCCGGAGTCTGTTTCCCACCCTATGGGGTGTATCTGATCTGGAAGGGTTGGAAGTCGAAACGTAAGGCCAAGAAACTGAACCGGGACAGCGGCGGAGCTAACGGCGGTAGTCTGAAGGAGAAGACAAAGAAAGAGAAGAAAGAAAAGAAAGAGGGTGGTAAGAAGGATAAAAAGTCGTTATGGACAAGGGCGTCAGAGGAGACTACAGTTGTCGAGGCTGACGGGACGTCTTCGAAACACCTTCAAAACGGTACCATGGAGAAGGATCCTGAGTTGCAGATGGAAGAGTTGGCGATTGGCCAGGAGGAGGAGGAGGATCTGGAGGTGCCGGCACTGGGGTATGATACCAAGGGCAAGGGCAAGGTCGAGGACGAGTACCATCATACTAATGGAGAGTACCAGCATGCCAATGGCGCCGGAATGGGGCAGGAGCCTTCTCAACAGCAGCAGCAGCCACAACAGGGAGGTGGCGTGGGTGTAAATGATGCGACGAACAAGAACTTGACGCCTGCACTTGGGCTGGACGGTCGGTTGAGTAACTGGAATGGCGACGCCACTGGACCTGATGGGTACGTAATTTTCTGCAATTCTCGATTCTTGTTGCGGTTAGAGAGACGTAAAAAAGTCGTTCATGAACTAAGCAACTGTTTGCCATTCTGTTTGTTTACTAATAGGCAAGCGTCGTGTACTTCTGGCGCATGCATCATGTCGCCCTGGAACGAGCTGCACGGTAAGATATAAGCCTACGCGTTTCATTTCTTCGACATTGGCCCTCGATCAAGAGCCTGTATCATCACGAGCAACACACTCATCACCACGTTCTCTCGTTCCTCTTTTCTCGTTCATTTAGATATGATGCCCTATGTAGATCTCCCTCCTCCTCAGCAGCAACGCGAACTCCGGAGAGAACGGACCTAAAAGCCTCTTTTCTTATCCCCCCCCCCCCCTCGACCTTTTCTCTTCTGTATCTACCAACTCTTGCACTCTTTTATCCCTCAGCGTCATTTTAAAAAAAAAAAACTCGTTATTTGTTTTGTTATTTACACGTGTATTATTGTACAATGGTTTGCTGAATGAGTTTTTGATGGGCTTGTCCTGAGAACTGCTTGCTATGAGGAAAAGAAGGCTGTGGCTGATGTGATGGTCAATTGGTTCAGATCCTCCTGTTGACGATCTGCTTCTGCTTCCCGCTCCTGCTGTAACTGCATTTCTCTCTCCTCTTCCTCCTCATGCTATTTTCAATCAAAAGACACATGCGTTAATAAGTCATCAAAGAACAAGGGAGAGGGGGGAAAAAAGAAAGAAAAAAAAACGCCTTGCAAACGCAACATCGCGCAAAAATGCTAGATACAAGTAATTGATACATACCCACATGGCCTCCTGCTCGATCCACCAAGTAGGCAAACTGGCCGGGAGAGTGATCCAGTCAATATCAAAGAGTTCAATGAACTGTTCATTGACATACCGGGCCTTGTTTCCCGCGTAGGCGCGGTATTCGACAATGATCGAACTAAAATTCCAATGCTGTAACCGGCGCAGACATCCCATAAACGTCCCAATCTCATGTATTCCCGATCTATTTCAGAGAAAATGACCGCGACAACAACAACGTAAAAAACGGCGGTGGTAGTGTGAGTAGGTCGGAATGACCACGTTGGGATCATTGAAAAAGATTTGCGATTCAAACCTTGTGGGGGGGTCCTTGTAAGGGCACTTGACGATGTTGGAGCGCAAAAGATATAGAACTTACGTGTCCATGACCATGATGGGGTAGTTGTTGACATCCAGGATCATCTCCAGGCCCTCCTTGATCAGCTCCTCGCTCAGGGGCTTCCACCAACTGGTCTGGAAAGGCGCCGCCGGGATTGAAGGTGTCGTCAACGTAACTGTGTTCACTCCTCCTCCACCACCTCCACTCGTTGAAGAATCGCCACCCGCTCCTCCCTGTCCTGTCCCTGACCCATCCGGATTATTCCCGCCGCTGCTGCTGCTGTTGTTGCTGTTGGTATTATTCTTCCAAGAGCCAAGCGCGAGATCAACCAACCGGATTTGGTTCTCTTCAAAGAAATTGGACATTGCTCTTGAGGGCAACTCGGGGGTGAGGAGGATAGCGGTTTTGAGGTTGAGGGAACGGATGAATGGAAAGTGGGATGGGTGGAGGGTGTCGGACCTGTAGAGCCCTGGTTCTACGATTCCAAACTGTTCTGGAGGTATTAACATCGTTTCCTTGTGTGTGTGTGTTTGTAAGTTGGTAGGTCGGTGGGTGATGGGTTTTTTTGGTTGGTCCTGCGAATGGAGGGGTGGTGTTGTCCTGGTCCTTTTGTCCTGTGAATGGTTAATGGGTGGAAAGTTGCAGCCCTTGGGGGTCGCGAAATAAAAGGTGCGAGAGAAGAGAAGCGGGTGGCTTTGCTGTAAGGCAATTTTTGGTTGTAAGAAAGGCCCAGCTCTCCCACTCTTGTTCACATCAGCAACCCAAAGACACAATCCCCACTTACAACTAACTCACACAGGACATTATGGTGAGCAAGCAACTGTTGTCGCTGCATCAAGGAAAGCTAGTCTTGAACAGGAAGCCCAGCTTGGAGGCGCAAAAGGACAGAGAATTATTGCAGGCATGGCTGGATGAGGACACGGCCAAGAGCTAATCGTTGTGCTGAATCAGGGCCATGTAATGGCTCTCTCGTTAACATCAGGAGCAAACCTTGACGCCATCGTTTCGACGCGCCCTTCGGCGACAGGAATACCGTGAACCCTTACAGCGCTGAAGTGAATACAAAGAAGGGAACGACAAGAAGCACTGACACAAGAGGAGCGCACGCGTGACAGGATAATATACACAAGGGTACAGCAAAACTACAGCCACCAAATATCAACAAGCAGAGAACCTAACAACCTCTTTACCACTACCCTACCTCTACGACAACAATAGCTTTTCTACTCATTTTTCAAGACATTGGTCGGTCAACCCGTGACGGTCGAGCTCAAGAACGACCTGGCCATTACAGGAGTCCTCGTCTCTGTCGATCAGTTCCTCAACATCAAACTCGATAACATCAAAGTCGTCGACGAAGAGCGCTACCCACACATGGTAAGCGTCACGAATATTCACACGGGCAAGGAAAAAAAAGGCAACGACAAGTGGGAAGAATTGGAACAAAGGAGCACTTGGGAGTGACATCAAGGAACGGATTGCTTCAGCGCGGCTGAATGCGAAACTGCGGTGTGTTTTGAGTAGTTTTGCATTGTATATCACGAAGACAGGAAAACAGTTGATATATGGATGACGAACTTGGTTGAAACAGACAGCACAAATACAGAGCACTTGCGCGGAATAATGAGACACATCACATACACTTTGACGAGGAGTGTGCAGCGACTGCACGTCGACGACGATCTGTTATTGAACGATCCAATTGGCACTGCCTAAAAACAGGGCGACAATCGGGAATAAGCGTTAGATCAAGGACATATCTCGTCAGGAGAACCACCAATCCTATTGGGGCGTACATTCCAGCATCGAAAAGCACGACAGACCAAGCAATTGACACCGATCCCCACCTCTCTACACCTGAAATATCAAATAGCTCGCGGTGAAGAACTGCTTTATTCGTGGATCGGTCGTTCGTTATGTCCAGTTGCCCGCTCCATCAGTCGACACAGCACTTTTGCAGGACGCCGCTCGACGCGAAAGGCAACAGCCCGCTACAGGCGCCCGGAAGTGAACATTGGGATGATTGATGATCGAAGAATACAACGACAGGAAACAAAACACTGCCGTAGATAGGCAGTGCAGTAACATACAAAAAATACAAACAAATCGAGAAAAAAAAAATTGTCAACCACACGCCACAGTTGTTGAAGTTCTGTATCCATTTGGGACGAGAAGAGTGCGAGAGAGAGAGAAAGAAGCGAAGGATCATACATCGTGGTGTGTTATCGGCTCAATGTGAAACTTATCGTGAAGGGAGGATATATAAAGAATGAATGCTTTTATTTTATGAGAGTATTCACAGATGTAATGAGAGGGGATAGAGAGTGGGTAAACTGAAAACAAGACTTGACAAAGAAAATATATATATGTACAACTCCATCTTCAGCAATAACGCTTCCTTTAGTAAAAAATAATTTACTGGGAGGCGGTGGTGCTGCCGTCAAGCTCGGAGGCGACAGCCGAGACCTTGGCCTTCAAGTTGTGGTAGGACGAATCGATCTCGGCCTTGTGCTGGACCAAGAAGGGACGGAGGACGCGGTTGTAGATGGTGGCAGCGCCCTATTTGATGGTCAAGTCAAAACAATTGAGAATGAAAGAACGGGGAGGTTAGTTTTAGGATACAGTGGACACACGACACGTTTGTTTTTGGACAAAAGAGTGTTTCATCCCAAGACGATTGCCAAGACGAGTAAACAACAACACCCCTTGCACGCCATTGAACAACAAAGAGAAGGAGGACATACGTTGAAGGAGGGGATCATGAGCCAGAGGAGGAAGACGGTCTTGAGGAAGAAGTAGAAGGGGAACCAGTACAAGAGGACATCGGTGAAGGACTCGACGATAGAAACGAATCCGTACACGGTCCTATTGAATGATAGAGCGGGTGGGAGGAAAGGAGTAACTTTGATTAGCACATGCTTTCTGCTCTGTACACTTTGTCCGCTTGTCTGTTCTCTGCACAGTGTGTCTTTGTGTGTGCGTGTCCATTCGGTCCTTTCTTCCCGGAAATCATAATCGCTATTCATTCCCAGCCACATCCTAATCTCCCAAGGTTCGTCCTCGAGTCTCAAACGAAAAGAAAAAGGGCTGCACACAATACAATACAACACGACATGACACGATAACAGCGACAATTGAGCAATGAAAAGAGAACGTACCAGTAGGTCAACCACTGCTTGTCATCCTCCTTCTCGGGGCTCTCGAGGGCCTTGAAGGAACGGTAGGCAGGGTAGACGAAGCCGAGGAGGTTGGAGAAGAGCTGGCCGGCAAAGTTGAAGAAGATCATCAAGAAGAAGAAGGATCCGGCACCGAGGGCCAAGTAGGTCTTGGGGACACCAGTGGCAGCCTCGAACTGGACCAACTGGGGAACCTTGTTCAACTCCTTTTCGAGCTGAGCGACGTAGTAGCGGACTAATTAGTTGTTGTTCAATTGAGAAAGCGAAATGAAATAATGGAGTTAATACGTGGTTCCTCGTGAAGAATTGTATGTGCAAAGTCCATCGTGTGAGTCGTTTTCGTTGTTGTTGTTGTCGATGGTGCTGTTGGTAGTGGAAAGGTGTCCAAAATGGAACAAAGACACGCTTTCGTAAGAGTGCTAATCAGTTCGTTGGGTCGTGTGGGTGTGTCTGTCTCACTCCTGCAGATGGAGGTGTGAAAGTGTGTGTCTGTGTCCCCTCATGAAGAGAGATGAGCCAGCGCGACAGTTGTGACGCCATCGGATCAACTTTAGCGCGACCACCATCTGGTTGGAGACTAGCTTGGCAGGGCTGGACGGAGTCTCCTTGGCGTGTGAGTTAACTTGGTCTTCTTTATCTCTTAGTCGTCTTGACCGTGGGGTGTGGACGGCCCTCCTTGCCGTGTGTCGTGTCCTGAGCCAGCAGCGAGTGAGGGTAATACGGCGCAGTTGTAGCTACGTGTTCTTGAGTAAGCGTTGTGTGAGTTGTTGGTGTTTACCTTTGACCTGAACGGCATCCATGGTTGAAATGGTATAAGAGGGGGGTAAAGTTGAATTTGAGGGGTGAAGAAGAAAAGAAAAGGAAAAGGGAAGAAAGGAAAAAAGAAGAACGCTTTTTAAAGGATCACTTTTTCTTTCAAGTCTGATCGAAAGAAGAAGGTACACGGCCCATGAGGGGAAACAGCCCCCGTCTCAGCCCACTTCCCTCTACCTTCATCTTCTTTCCTTCGTTATCAAGGAAAAGTGAGAATGGGAACACGGAGGCAAAACGGTAAAAAAAAAAAAAAAAAAAAAAAAAAAAAAAAAGGGACAAGGCGGGATGGAAAACTGGTAACTCGCAACGGCACAACTGCTTGAACTATTGGAACATAACAAAAAAAGTGATCTAACGAGCAATCGAGGTCATCGTTCACCATTCACCCTTCACCCTTCAAACTCGCCTGACATGTGGAACACAACCGCGGGTAACAATCTTTCGTTTTATCTTGTCGACTCCAATTGAACTCTACTTTTCTTCACCCTCATAACGCGTCTTTTCCTTTTTTTTCTTCTCAGGACACCATTGACGACCATTAGCAACCATTCCCACTCGCAACTTTCCAATTCAAAGCAAGAACAGGCCACCCTCTCATTTGAGACCATGTCCATCATCACACCACCCGCTCGGTCTCGTCCACCACATGTTTATGCTGACGCATTGCTTTGACCTGGCGCTTGTTTCTTCTGTAATCTGGAGTAAAAGGAGCGGAGTTTTTTCTCTGATCCGCCGTCATATTACTCCCAGGTGAGGTGAGGTGAGGTGCCCTGGGTCAACCCAATGTCACTTCCCGCTCGGGGTTTCTATTTTTTTCTTTCTTCTTGTGTGTACGACCATACCTCCTCCTCGCTGCAAGGACCAACAAGGTCACCAGGAAACCATGGCAACTCCACAGACACATGTCCAAACTTCACACCCTCCGCTCTCACAGGAATGCACACACAGACGACGTGTTGGACGACCGAACTGGACCATCCTTTTTTTTCCCCCTCTCCTGCGCACCATGTCCGAGCGTCGTTTGCTCTTGGTCGAATACGAAGGCAAGCTTGATTCTCCTCTGACGTGGTTTGCTTATCTCATTTTCATTTCTGATCATTCATGTATTTTTGGCTGGGAAAAAAAAAAAAAAATTGACTGCGTAAAAACTCTATCCGTCCCTTTCCCTTGAATCCAGTGAACGATCTTGGCCACTATTGTGCCTCTCCACTCTTTTGCTCAATAATTCTCATGTGAACGAACAGCACAACAACAACAACGATAGAGAGGGAAAGGTCAGTCCCAGGGACGCCAACCCCCCCGGATTCAATGCAAGGGTATGCATCAAAGCTGTGGAAACATCCATCAGCATGCCATGCATATTATGCACATGTGGCCCAGCACTCAACTAGCTTCAGCTTACCTTAATATCAGTGGCTTGGGCCCTGAGCGGCTTCAACTCCTCCGGTCGACTACTTAGCCATGTCTTCTCACTCTTGGATGGGCTACGTCCTTATTCAAACATCCTGCATCCCACGTCGCTTTAGGGTTCTACAACAGCGATGGTAAGTCGGCGGCTGCTTCAAGCTGGATAACATGCTTTTGGAGACTGTCAAGGTCATTGTCGATTGAATGCAGGGATTCCATGAGTACCGGTTCAAGCCTGACACCGTCTTGTTCAAGTTCCACATTGATTTAATCTAGGTAACGCGAAAAAAAAAATAGAAGGCGCAGTTGTGTGAATATGAGTTACGAACACGACACGTCCCAATTACTAACAACTAACAAGAACAAGGACATGAACTTATAAACCATATCATGTTGTAGAACATGTCCAGCACCTGGATTTGTTGATTGTAAACCAGTATCCTCCTCTTCCTTGGTCGCGCCGTTCTTGTCCACGGATTAATTAAGAAATTAAACTAGAGTTGGGATAAGTCGGAGCCTTGGGTCGATTTTGCGCGACGTCATTTTTGAGTACTCTTTCAAACTTTACGAGGATGTGGCAACGACTGTTGAGGTGAGAGGCTGGATGGTGGTGATGAGATCCCATTCTTTTGTTTTCAACAACTGAAACGCAAACGCCGATTTATTTTCAAGTCCAACTGTGAGCTGGAATGCCCATTTTTTTTTTCAAAGTTGATTGGTGGATTCCACAGACATAACCTGTCTCTCGGCGATACGGATCAATGGTCGCTCAGTGATTTTTTTCCTCCCCTGGCTGACAACCATGATGGCGCGTTGTTGTTCAAGGGGTCGCCCATAACCCTGACTGATCTTATCGCTCACCAACTACCCCATCCATCCGGTTATCTTCCACCCCCATGCTTGGTCAAAGACCCATGGCTATCACTCGGTACATTTCTCTTGATCAAGATGATAGAATTTTTGGTGGCAAAACACACCTTTCTTTCTTCGATCTGTGGGGATCAAAGCGCGTCCTACGATCACGTCTTTGTAACGGGTCTCAAAGGCGACGCATTGGGCAACACATTCATCCCTTTTGTTTTGTTGTCAACTCTACATCACCACTAATGAGTATATCATCCTCAATAAACCATTTGTTTTCCACACGACCCTCGTCACCTTCAATGTCTCAGAAACAACCCCTTTTCTACTTGTTTTTACGCTCGTGCGATAATAATCAACTTTTTTTTTTCTTTTTTCTTTGATTGCAGTAATTGTATGTACATGACCACTAGTACTCCTAACGTAAGCCAACAAACCGAATCGCTCGCTTATAGTCTCCGTCGTTGTTGTGCCATCGTTGTTGATGTTATGGTCGCCTTTGCTGCTGTTGTTGTTGATTTTTACTTGTTGGCATGAGCGGCCTGGATGGCGGCATGGATGGCCTCACCAAAGCCTGGGGCAGAGGCAGGGTTCTGACCGGTGACGATACGTCCATCCGTGACGACCTTTGCGCCCCAAGGCTGGTCTGCCTTGTGGTAGTGCGCTCCGAGCTGTCTCAACTTTGTCTCCAGCAACACGGGCACCACTAATTGATTGAGGGAGGAGATGAAATAAAAGGTATTAAGAGAGAAGGTTAATGTGGGATGATGGAGTCAGAACCACACGCCATGACGACAAAATCAAGGGCTAAGAGAGAAAATCAACAGTATCACCCATCGAAACAAACAAAGACAACACAACTTACGATGCTCCTTCTTGACAGCGCGCTCCTCATCATCACTGAACCCAGTAACATTCTTGCCCTTGACCAAATGCGTTCCATCCTTCAAAACAACATCCGTCAATGCAATGGGACCATGACAAACCGCCGCCACAACCTTTCCAGCCTCATACGCCGCAGCCGTGACCTTCAACGCGGCCTCATCGTGTTCAAGATCGAACATGGGACCGTGTCCACCGGGGTAGACGATAGCTTCGAATTCAGACTCGCGACCGATGAATTCTGAGACCTTGTGGGTGTTGTCGACCTTGTGCTGGTAGTCTTTGTTGGCCAGGAATTCTACCGTGTTTGGGTGGTCCTATTGGGTTTTTGTTGTTTCGTGGGGGGCGGGGGCATTGGACAAAATGAAGGAAGAGGCGCGTGGGAAGAGAAATGATGACAATGAATTCGTGTGTAGGTGAGTTCTTTGCGAGAAGGGAGGGGATAGGAAACATAACGATGAACCATCAAGAAGCATGTTATTTTGGGGCGACTATCCTCCAATAAGAAAACGACAAGAAGGATAAATTACCTTGGCAGCCTCAATAGACCCCTTGTCAAGAGGCGCCTTGCCGCCCTTGGGCGAGGCAAAGACGAGCTCATATCCATGGCGGGCCAAGATCGTCGCGGGCTCGGCAACCTCCTCGGCGTACCAACCCGTCTGCTCTCCAGAGTTTCCCAGCTGGTCGTGGGAGGTGAGAACGAAAAGGATCTTCTTGGTCATCTTTGAAAGAGAAAGAGGGAGAGTGTGAGTGGTGTGTGGAGTGGGGTAGAAAGTGTTTTTGTGGGTGAGAGTTGTGTGAGAAAGTTGAGGAAGAATAAAAAAGTGAAGCTGGGGAGAAGGGCAGAAGGACATGCTATTTATGCAAAACCCCCTCGCGCGCGCGAACCGACCACTTCGCGACAATATTTTCGCTCTTTTTCTCCTCATACCCTCCCTGTCTTGAACGTCGCATTAATCCTTTATACGTGAATGAGCACATCATCCCCCAATTACTTTCCCCCCCTTTGACACCTTCACTTCCCGCCTTTGCATTACCAATCCTTTTGTACGTTGTTAGGCTTTCAATTCGATCATATCCGGTGTTAGTCCGTCCATCACCGGCGATTGAAAGCAACAAATGAACCCGACAGCCATCGATCATCTTCTTCATCCACACTCCTTCCTCACAAAGCATCCAAAGTAGCCTGAGAAGAAAAGAAATAAAAAGGGCCGATTTGTCATCTGTAGGATTGGAACATGGTTGGTTGGTTAGAAGAGCAACAGAGGTAGAAACAGGCTCCAGTCAGTCGCTCCTTTCTCTCTCATCGAAATTGTTCTCTTGCCTTCCACACTCTCAAACTACTTTGGCCAAACACAGCGTTTGCGATCTCAGGAGACCACGCTTACGACGAAGTGCTGCGCGCCACCAACCCCTACACATACTCCTTACACCACAAATACCTACACCTACACAAGTACAACTGCGGCCTTTTTAACAAAGCATACACACATGGTACCACTGACATGCAGATGTTTCTTCTATGGTTGGGTTTTAATTCATTCGATTGACTAAACTAGGAAGCAGCAAACCACTCGGCCAGTCCGGTTCCCAGGGTTGGCGAATCCCATCCGTCCGAGAAAGTGTTTTTGATTGTTTTGTTGTTGGTTTGATTGTTGACGATGGGGGGTGAGCTTTTAATCCATGCGGGTGAAGCTGCGACCGCCCCGTGGCTTGTCGTTCAACTTTGGGTTGGCCTTTGTCAACATATCCTTGCCCATCTTTGCAAAGTCGAATTCGCAGTCGTGTTTGTCGATCGACTTGTGTGTATCGCAGAAGACATATTCACAGCGGCACTTGTTGATTGCTTGTTTTGCGAGGGGGATCTAAATGAGAGAAAGAGAGCCGTATGGTTAACACACAAGTTCATGTATATTACTTGAATACACATACATACGTGGCAATGCGAACCACTTAAACAGATTGCAATTATGATATAAGAAGATTGCAACGTGATAAATATGATGAATGCGGGCTCCCGTTCTTTACCTTGGCACGGCACATGAAACACCTTCCCTTGTTTGCCTGGACGGCCTTCTCGCCGGGTGCGCCGTCGCCCGCTGGGGCGGCAGTACTTGTTGGTGCGATCGGTGAGGAGGATGAGGATGTAGCGGGCTGTGATGGTCGTGCTGGTGCGGGTGCCGCCGTGGGCTGTGCTGTTGGTGGCGTGAAGGCGACGGCAGGGTTTGTTGGAGGCGAGGCTGCGGCAGGAGCCAATTGTGTGAGGGGGATAGTGGGCTGGGTGATCTTTTGAGAGGGTGATCCGGCAGTCTCGACGCCGGTATTAGAGACAGCGTTGTTGTTCTTTTGGCCGACCTCCTTGAAGCACTTGGAGCACATGTTGTTGTTGATGGGGTTACTATTGGAGCAGAATGAGAAGAGAACGTCATGTGGAGCAGTGAGTTAGTCAATTGTCATTTAGCGAGTGAGCAAGTCAGTTGAGTTGAGTTGGTTCAGGCAGAACATAACATATGTCTGTTGCTTCCGACATTGTCGTCAGCCGATATCGGCGATATGGGATCACGCGGACAGAAAAAAAATCATAAAATGGCTGGGGATAAGGTATGTCCATGTATGCGGTGTGTATGTGTGTTATGTCCGCATAGCGAACAAAGGGAAACAAAAGGCCGCGCATACAAGGGATACGGGCAAGCGTGTCTGCGAGTGATGTCTTCCTTTTTTTGTTCCTTCCCTTCGTCTTCCGTCTTCTTCCTCCTTGTTGCTGATGATATGCAGGAGGCAGAGACACAGGAGCAGCAACAACAAAGAAAATTATGATTCACCACATAAAGAAAAGAATAGCTGCAAGCAGTAATAAAGGGAACGGAAGTGTGTTGGAGCAGATGGTAACATAAAAGCCAGGAATAGAGAAATAATAAGGCCCCCAAAAATATATGCTTGCGTACTTCTCTGTCCGCTTGTGGAATATAAAAAAAATGTGCTGGAGTAGACAGGGAAGGAAGGGAGGCAGAGCAGTGACAACAGTGAAGAGCAATAAGAAAAGGGTTCGAAAGAGAAAAGTAGCTTACCCGTAGAAGCCGCAGCCATTGGCGCAGGTGATGGGCAAGTTCTGAGCGTTGTTGTCCTCCATTGTTGTTATAGAGTGTGGAGTGTGTAGGTGGTTGTTGGTGATGAGGTGTATGTTATTGAAGTTGCAAGCTGCGGAGGATAGAAGAAAGTGTTGTTGTAAGTGTAGAGTGTTGAGTGTTGAGTGAGTGGGGGAGAAGAATTAAGAGGGGGAGTAAGTAAGTAAGTAAAATAAGAGCGAAGGAGGGATGGAGGTGATGTTGGTTGTTGAATAAGAAAAAGAAAAAAAAAAAAAAGAAGAGAAGAGAAGAGAAGGAAGGGAGGAACGTCTTTTTATTTGAAAAAGAAAAGTGCCTTTGCCAACCAACCAGGCTTCCTCTTGTTCCTTCCTTGTTCTTTTTTTTTTTCTTTGCTGTAGTCTGAGTAGAGCTGCGTGATCCATTAGGCATCAGCATCAGTGACCAATCACAGCAACAATCAGGAAAAATTTCATTTCTAAAGGCAGACGGGCTGGCGGCAGAATGACGCACTTTAGCCACACATCCACAGGTAAAGATGCATCTCACACACAGGCGGACGGACATCCGGGGACAAAAATAAATTTTATTTCAAGCCCTTCTTGTCTCCGGTGGAAGTGGGTGACGGATGAGGGGTGAGGGGTCGACAGAGAATTTGGCTTGCTCTCTCTCTCTCTGCTCTGTCCATCATATGGTCCAAAGGGGAGGGAGATGGCCTTTTGGCCCTGGATATTGGTGTCATATACAAACACAAGAAAGACCAAGAAACCAAGAACGTATGAAACCAGAGGGAAAACTCATTGACAAATCGACCACCTGCAAGTGACTAATCAACCAAGATCGCACATGAAGACAGCTAGTTTATCGTGATTCTCCAACCTTCTTGGGTGGCCCCGTCACCTCGTCAAGTCCCTGGTACCCTCACCGAATATGGTTATTATTTTAGACAAACGTCGTCACAAAGCTTTCGGCGTGTTTTTTTCGCTTGACAAACGACGCCGCCATTTTTTCGACTTCTTGTTATTGTTTGCCTCTGGCAATCAAACACACATCCCCACAAAGGACACTTTCTCGCCATGACCTAGCACACATCTCTCCTCCTTATTTCGCCACCACTACCTAGCAAGAACATTCAAATGAACAACAACAATACCTCACAGCGGAAACATAACCTCGTAGAAACACACTTGCACCCCACACACACCGCCAACAATAGCAATAACAGCAATGACGACACTGATCAGCATCTTGTCAAGAGAACAAGACGCACCTTCTCTCTCAAACGACCCTCCTCGCTCTCACCTTCCCCTACAACCACAACTATCATTTCTGCCGATACCACACAGCAGCAGCATGCTACAAAACCGACACCAACAACAGCAACAATTGAGCAGAGCCTCGCTGACACAGTCAACCCCTCTTCGAGCAACCTCCGCTCTTCGTCTCGCCACCTCCACCTCCTCATTCCTCAACAGGACTCTGCAGCATCATGGAGTCAGTCGGATTCAGAAAGAGAGAGCACCAATAACTGCATACTCTCCATTCCAGATTGCGACAGTGAAAAAGAGCGTGCTCTTCAGGAGACTAGCGCCACCACCACCACAACCTCAAAAGCGACAACAACAACAACAACAACAACAACAACAACAACAACAACAGCAACTGCTACGGCAACGCAACCCATTGTTCAACTTCAATGTGTCGCTTCAGAGGAGGAGGATGACTTTGAGACCCCTTTCGTTCTCCCGACGACGACTACCAGCCCAAACGCAAAGGCTATCCACCATATCAATACGCCACCAACAGCAAATGAACTCGCTGTCCAAGGTGCTAGAGGTTCTTCAGCTGTAGTAGTCGGTGAGCCAAGCATTGACGCCACCAACATCAATAACGACAACAATCTCCCAGAGGACCCTATGCATGACCCTGACTGTGACGAAGATCCGATCGATAACGACGATTTCGAGCTTGACGAGATCCAAGATTGGGATACTTTTGAGGACATCAATCCAACAGCAGCAGCAATACCAACTGATCCTGTACCAGAGAATGCATGTCCTGTCTGTGGATTAAACTTGTCCGGTCTAGACACTATGGTATACCCCTTTAATGCCACAATGTCATGTCTATCCCATACGTCTGGCTATGCCCGACTGTGTGGTTTTTTACTTAGGGTGGTTCTTACAAACCCTTCCTCACAATGCTTGTGTTTTTTATTTTCTGCTGTCACTAGACACCAGGTGCACATGTGAATCGATGCCTCGATGGGTCCTTGACGGAGCCGGAACAGCACGCACCAACTACTTCCACGACATCTACGACCGTGGTTGTTACAAGTAAACCACAAGCGTCAAGAAACCCACTGGCCAACATCATTGGTACGATCCGCACCGCCATCACTAATTTTCCATCCTACCCCCCACAACAACCACAACCACAACAACAACCCAGCGGCAACGGCGGCAGCATCAGCATCAAGCATGTAGGTCCGTCTAAACAGCCCAACGGCAAAAAGGCAGGCGGAAATTTCAAGCCTAAGGCTCCTCGGCCATGCCCCTTTTACAAGAAAATGCCTGGTACGTATTGAGTCAATCCACAAACCTCACCAATAAGCCCTATCGATTTCTGGACACTAATCAGCGGAGATCTTATCTTTGTAATCAATAGACACTGGTTTCACGGTGGATGCGTTCTGTTATGGGAAGGTGGAGGGTTGCGACGCCTATTTTCTCTCTCACTTTCACTCGGATCATTACGGCGGTCTGACATCAACCTGGAACCACGGACCTATTTACTGCTCCAGCATCACTGCCAACCTCGTCATTACTCGACTCAAGGTCGACGAACAGTACGTCAAGCGTCTCCCTATGTATGAGCCCACAGTCGTCGACGGAGTGACCGTCCGGCTCATGGATGCGAACCACTGCCCAGGATCGGTCCTCTTTGTCTTTGATCTTCACAACCCGAAACGGCGCTATCTCCATACAGGGGATTTTCGAGCATCACCCGACATGATCATCGACCCCATCCTTCGCCAACCGCAAAACGTGCCTATCGACATTGTCTATCTCGACACGACCTACAGCAACCCACGGTACACATTTCCACCACAAGACGTCGTCATTCGGGAGACCGCTCGCCTCATCTGCAACGAAGTTGGAATCCAAACCAACAACCAACCTGCGGATGCTATGGCAGCGGCGCCTATTGTCAAGGTCATCAAGCGGGTGAACTTGATGGAGAGTTGGCTGAAGAAGGAGACTGGGAACAGTGAGAAGCTGTTGTCAATGTCGGTCAAGTCTTCGCAGATCGTGAAATCCAAGCAAGCATGGAAGGAGCCAGCGGAGAAGAACAGGATCGTGATCTGTGTGGGAACGTACTTGATTGGCAAGGAGCGGGTCTTCAAAGCCATCGCCAAGGCCATCAACAGCAAGGTCTATGTCCAGCCGCACAAGTTGCAGATCCTGCAGTGTTTGGAGGATCCCGAGTTGATGGCCATGCTCACGAGTGATAGGCATGAGGCTCAAGTCCACTTGCTGCATATGGGGTCGCACATGTCGCCGGAGGCACTACAAGACTACCTGGATTCGCTGGCGCCGACGTTTGTGCGGTTGATTGCTGTCAGACCGACAGGGTGGACGTTTACGGGCAACAAAAAATTTACGCCCGCCAACGATAATGGCCCATCATCAACAGAGATGCCTGCACGGCCTCCTACGACTCTCGAACTTCGACCTAGCTACACGTCGGCAACGGTCAAGATATACCCTGTTCCGTACTCGGAACATTCGAGCTTCAGTGAACTTGCAGGGTTCTGTCGGTCCCTCAATATCCACAAGGTTATTCCTACAGTCGGTGTTGGCAGTGAGCAGGGGCGGCATACCATGAACGAGTGGTTCAAGCGCTGGGAGCAAGAACGGCGGCAGGGTATCGGATGGGACTAGTCTTTCAGTTATTTCCTATTTTGCAAGGAAATAAAGATATTGACGTTACTTTTTTATTTGATAACTCATCATCACTCACCATCCTTACTCTCTTTTCTCTCTCTCTCTCTCTCTTTCACACACACGCATATCATACACGACGCGTCATCACCCCTGTCTTCGATTCAGGCAAGTACCTGCATAGATTTTAATTGACAAATGGGCTTTTTCCAATATGCATCACCAATTGACAGACAAAAAAACTCACTAAGATGTATCCATTCGGGCCGCGAGTGCGAAGTTTACGTCTTTTTGCAGTATTCTCCATGGGCCCAGGGTGTGGACCTGGGTTTAGTGGGCCGCTGGTTTACATGGGGTTTGTCGAGCTTCTTCAGTTGCCTTATCAATTATTAAGGCAAAAGAAGCAATGTCAATTGGGACATAGGCAGAGAGGCTGCATTGTGTCGCCCCGTGATCCTGATGCCGATCAGTAGTATCATGGGTTCTGCTACTTGCCCATTTGTTTTCATTCCTATCATTTGTACTGTGCTATGCTTGCGTGAAGTGGAATGGATATCGAACTAAATACCAATTGACAGACAAAAAAACTCACTAAGATGTATCCATTCGGGCCGCGAGTGCGAAGTTTACGTCTTTTTGCAGTATTCTCCATGGGCCCAGGGTGTGGACCTGGGTTTAGTGGGCCGCTGGTTTACATGGGGTTTGTCGAGCTTCTTCAGTTGCCTTATCAATTATTAAGGCAAAAGAAGCAATGTCAATTGGGACATAGGCAGAGAGGCTGCATTGTGTCGCCCCGAGATCCTGATGACGATCAGTAGTATCAAGGGTTCTGCTGCTGTCCATCCATACTTCCAGCAACTTTTTTATGACACTTGATGCATTACATATTATCAGTATCAGTATCAGTATCAGTACCTAATTATACATCTCTAAGCGCTCCGTGAATGTTTAGGATTCCAGCGACCCTATAATGCCCAAAGATAGGCTGGACACTATGCTGGGCAGTGTAGGAGAGCCCTATGAGGACTCTGTTGAGAAGTTTATGGAGACTCACGAGTTGAGGGAGTACAGCGCGTTGTTCGATACTCTGTCGAAGAATTGCCAAGAGCTGTTGGGTTCAACTGCTACCATCCTTCCTAGGGGCACGCAGAATTGGCTGGAGGGTTTCGCGGAGAGACTCAAGGTACGTATATCACTCTTATTATGAATAGTTTTTGTAGCCTTCAAAATGAAATATTCACTGTTTTACTAGTCTGTTGAGTTTAGACAATGGATGAAGGAATTGGTAGTAGAGCGGAATACAGACTTAAAGGGCATCCGGCGAATCGTAGCAAGGGATGGGCGTAGACAGGCTCGGGAAACTTTGAAGCAGACAAGCAAAACGTTTGATCTGGCCACGGAGATCCTTGGCAATTCTACAAGGAGCCATTTGGCTGGTGCCTTCAAACCTGCACCTGCGCCTGCACCTGCGCCTGACGAGAGTGTTCTTGGTAAGTTGATGCCATTATTTTTTCCACCTGTTTTTGTCACACTTTTCCCCTGATACTCGCGATTTGGCGTTGGTATCTTAATCCAAGCACTAAATGTTTTTATTAGGCTCATCAACTGCATTGCCTTCAAGATCTCCGTTGCACCAAGGAGCCCAGTACATCCAGGGTAGCACAGCCGGCCTGACTGTCCCATCAGCCGTACCGTTGACTGTTGATGACCTTGAAGTCGAGGGCGAATCCACTGTCCAACACACACCTGCAGCAGAACCCTCAGTGCGACCCGATCCATCGGAACCGGACAGCCCTTTGATTGAGGAGAACGATGAAATAGCCGAGTTGCGTACCAACCTGGACCGCAGTTCTCATGCCATATGTGAAGTAAGTACCTTTGAACTTCATTGAACTCTGTCTGGTACTTAATGATACGTATCTATATTTAAATATATCCTTGGTTACGTGTAGTGGAAAGTCAACAACGACTGTGTGGCGTGTCGATTTCAGGACTACCAACGAGAATGCATCAATGCACTCAACCAAAAATTGCTCAAGAGGGGCGATGTCGCTGATGTGATGTAAGTAAATAATTGTCTCGTCTCAAATAAATAGGCCCAGTGTCAATCTTACATGGTAAACGCTTACTTAGTAGCTTGGTGCTTTTTCTTTGATTTCCAGGGCGCTCATTGGCGTGTTTGCACCTTTCATTCCAACTCCTCGTATGACGAGTGTATTTGGAAGGATGCTGGACCATCTTCTAACGTCAGTCAAGTTCCCAGCGCCGCACATTGACGATCTTGCCATCATGAAAGCTGTTAGAGTACGTAAGGTTCTGTAGGGTCTGTTTTTTACCTGTATAATTTATGTACTAATGATTCTCTCTCTTTTTTTTCTGAAAAAAGCAACGGCTTAATGGTGAGCGAGACGAGGCTTGCGAAACAATTCGATCGCTAGACCGCAAGAAGAGAATCATGTTCGAAACGCTGTAAGTGGCTGCATTGTAAACTGGGATAAGTTGTTCAGCTGCAAGGCGTGCTTTCATGGAACTAAATATATTTTCTTTATACTTTCAGGATGGAGAAACTCCCAATGAAGAGTGACAAGACCATCTCAGAAGGAACATTTGTCACCAACTACGTGTCGCCGCTGCTATATGGGACATTAGCCTTGGACGACGAACGCGTTCAAATATATTTGTACGTCTAGCCTACATTGCAAGTTTGTCTTTTATTGTTTTTAATTCCTCCCTGATCGTTTACTCTTACTCACTCTTCCTTCACTTATTTCCCTTTCAGCCCAAACACAGAGTGCCAGACACAAAAGCAACAAGGTATCAAGGCCGATCGACCAGATATCCTAATTAAGATTCGCGGCCAAGAAGCTGTTTTTGGCGAGGTGACTGGGCCTGCGCAGGCAGGTCACACTGCCAAGAATGCTTGGGATCTTTTTCGCTTGGCACGTTTTGGCAAGGCATTTTTGGACCATGGAAACAGTGTTGCGCCACTCCTCCAGATCGTCTATAACAACGGAACCTTCATGTGCCTCACGATCAAGACTCGCGGGATGTTCATTCTTGAAGAGATTGGCTCGTTCGAAGTACCAACTAAGGTTGCTGCCATTCCAGCCCTTGCTGCAACCATCCCAACACTGCTGGCAGCTCGGGTAAGAGTGTATTCAACTATGATTTATCTGGAATCCTGGATACCTGTGATCAAGTTCATTGTGGCTCAACTTTTTCTATTTCTACTCTAGGATGACATACAACAGATCTTGGATGGGAACATGAATACTTTGAAGCGTTCTTGGGGTTATGGCGACGTCCCTGATGCAAAGAAGCGACTCTCGTAAGCCCTCCGTCCAAGCGATCTAGCATGTGTCAAAATCAGAAGTGGCTCGTCTCGGTAAAAGTTGTTCGTGCCTCAACTTCCTTGAAAAAAAAATCCATAATAAATGAATGCACCATGAAATACTCGTTTCTTTTCCTCTCGCGACCTTCACGAGCAACTATGCTACGACTATCCTAATGGAAATCCTTTATTAACAGGATATGACTCTTTTGGGCAAGGCTGAATCAAGAACGCGAATGTGGTCGCTTAGAAGTTAGACGAAATAAACCACGTGACTAATATTTGACAGGTACAAATAATGCGGCGGTGTTTCGGTTTGCTACTCTTCCTCCTGCATCAACAACTCATTAACACAGTATCACCATGAGTTCAGGAGACGAGCAGGAGATGTCAGGAACAGAGAGCAGCTGGGACGAGTCCATGGAGATGGCTCTCTTCTACGCCGCCATCAAATTCAAACCCGTCGGTACGGCCTCTTTTCCATCCATTGGGAACTCTGTTTTCTGGAAGTTGTAAACAAAGGCGACACGACTTATTGGCAAAGCCTTCTGACCAATACGCCACCATTATCTGCATTTCATGGGGGGAATACGCAACATTATCATTACTAGGCATGCATAAGCACTTCCGGATGGTGAATCTTCACAAGCACTTCAACAAACATTCACCGACACCTTGTACGATCGCAGAGCTGTGGGAGAAACTTGGGACTATGTATGATCTCCAGACCCTGGACGAACGGGTAAGTCTCCTTGCTTTTTTTTGCCATTCAAGGACCCCTGATGTTACTCTCACGTCGTAGCATGCATGGGTCGTAAAGGAACAACAACAAAGTTACCCATATGACAAGGAGTCGATAAGTATAAGCCTAAGAGTCTGCTGCATCAATTAACGTACTAAATAACTCTCCTCCTCTTCCTTAAACACCTATTACATCCAACTTTACAGGAGGACTCAGGAATGTTCGCGGACGAGGACGAGGACGAAGAAGAAGACAGTGACGAGGAAGAAGAAAAGGATTTCAGTTTCAAGAACAGCGAGGAGTTTGTATTGCCACTGCACGATTATGACCATCTGGTCACCGAGGTCGTGGTCAGGGACCCGTCCCCCTCTCCCATGAGGACCACCCGAGCCCATCGTGAGGGGTCGCAGACTCCGTCTGTGGCCGATTCTAGTCGTGCCTCTTCACCCGAGGAAGATGACAGTAAGTCGTCGTTTGCATCTTTTATCTTGATTCTTTTTCAACACTGTGGTTTGGATGTTGTGGCCAGATCGGATAATTAAACGCCAATGCTTTTGATGATTTGGTTAATACGATAATAGTGCCGAGGAAAAAACGGTCGAGGGCGGCAAAGAAGTCAGATGTAAATGAGACGTCGAGTCCACGGACATCAAGTACGACGACTGCTTCCTCAACAAGGCGTGCAACCCGCGCCAAAGCCGAATCTGCGCCCGTCACCACTCGCGGTGCGCGCAAAACCGCCAAGAAGGTAACTCAGCGTGAACATGTTCAAAGGAGATAAACTGGAAAAGTGTGAGATACCAATAGTCTACAACAGGATGTGGAGTATAGACTGACATAACGTGCTCTTCTTCATTGTCGTTTAAACTTGTTAGTGAAGGAGTCATAGGAGGACCGAACAGGACATTGGACAGAATGTGCTCTGGACAAAAAGAATAAAAACCATGTATCATAGCAAACACACTCAACTCGGCGGGACGGATGCTGCCACCCTTAATTTGCACCACCCTTTTTTTGACTATCTGTCAACCCCTTTGCCAACTCCTAGTTTTTTTTGCGTCTAGGTCCTTGAAGGAAAAGGGAATGAAATAAGAGAATGTTTTCTCATAGGGTTAGGGGCGAACAATTGACAAAGGAACGCTTAACAGCAAAACTTTCTCCACCCCCCAAAATTCAGGGATGAAAAATGTTCAACCAATTCTCCTCAACTCAGGACTACATGAAAGGTGGACAGTGCTATTATTCCTTCGCGAATTCCTCACCTTTTTTTTCCCCTTCCACCTTCATTTCCCTCTCTTCAGCACCACCACCACCACCACCTACCCTTTGACATAGCAAGAAGAACGAGAAAGATGCTGAGAAAGTCAATCGTCCTGAGCGCTGTCGCCGTCCTCCTGTCCCTCGCCGCGTCTGTCGTCCTTGCTGACGGATATGTCCATGCCCTCACTTCCGAAACCTTCGACTCCGTAAGGATGATGGCTTTATAAAAACCCTGTTCGCCTTTTTTCTATCGTACTGTTTTTTTTTTCGATCATGACAAACTAAAACGAGACATTTTTTGCTATGGGTTAATGGATAAATAGACTTTGGGGAGCAAGCCGGCGTTGGTAGAGTTTTATGCACCTTGGTGCGGATACTGCAAGGTAATCCAAGAAGGAAATCAGCAAAAAAAAACCATGGAACTGGAGTGACAACAACAAGGATACTTCATTCTACAATGGATGGGGACCATGCTGACCTTTTCGTTTGCTTTCTCTTTTTCTCAATGTGAATAGAACCTCGAGCCCGTAAGCCTACCAGCATTGACATGCCTTGGTCATTTTTGTTTGCATCCCTTGTACTGCCTTTCGACCCTCCGACCCCACCCCTCCCCCCGCTCCTTCTCACTATATACTCAACCCCCCTCACTACCCTTGAATTAGATCTACGCACAACTCGGAGAAGCATTCAGCACCAAGAAGGACAAGTTCCTAATCGCAAAAGCTGACGCCGACTCTGAACGCACTCTCGCCTCCCGCTTTGGGATCCGAGGCTACCCCACCATCAAATGGTTCCCCCAAGGCATCGACGCCGTCGCCGAAGAATACACTGGTGGTCGGGACCTTGAGAGTTTGACAGAGTTTGTGACGAAAAAGACGGGGGTGAAGGGAGTGGTGAAGAAGGTTGTGAGTGCTGTGGTGGTTGTGACAGATCGGGATTTTGAAGAAAAAGTTTTGAAGAGTGGGAAGAATGTGTTGGTGGAGTTTTATGCGCCTTGGTGTGGGTATTGCAAGAACCTTGGTAAGGTAGCTTTGTTTTGGTTTTTTTTTGTTTTGTGTATGCTTTTTGCCTTTTTTTTTTTTTTTTTTTTTTCTTTGCGTTAGTTGCATGGAATGGTTTGTTTGTTCGCATATTTAACTTTTTTTCGACCTCTCGTCGTTCGGTGTAACATAGCTCCCACTTATGAGAAGCTGGCGGCCGACTTTGCAAATGAGAAAGACGTAAGGTTTTTGTTGTCTTCCCTCTTCCCATATCTCCTCCCTTCCTTTCCCACGGGGTCACTCACCAATCCCCCCCTCCACCTCTTCCCTCCTCCTTCTGCCCTTCCCACACCAATAGGTCGTGGTGGCAAAAGTAGACGCAACAGTCGAACAATCCGTTGCCTCAAAATACGGCGTAACAAGCTACCCAACCCTCAAATACTTTCCTTCCAACAGTCCCTCCAGCCCCATCGAATACTATGGCGGCCGGTCCGAAAAAGAACTAGTCTCCTTCCTCAACAAGCACGCCGGCACCGCCCGCGCCTCTGGCGGAAAACTCCTCCGCACTGCCGGACGAATCCCAGCCCTTGACACCATCGCCTCCCAATTCGCACTGTCGTCCTCCCCCGAGGAGAAGAAGACCTTGATGGAAATGGGTAAGAAAGCCGCGAATGAGAGTGGGGACAAGAATGCGAAGCATTATTTGAGGGTGTTTGAGAAGAAGGCTGGGGAGGCGGACGAGTTTATTGTGGCTGAGAGGAAGTGGTTGGAGAAGATTATGGACGAGGGGAAGGTTTCGCCGATCAAGTTGGATGAGTTTGCGGTTCGTTATAATATCATCTCTGCCTTTGCTGCTCCCGCTCCTCCCGTCCAAGCTGCCGCTGAGCAAGTTGACGACCTCGAACGCGACGAGTTGTAAACCAATCCGAAAAAAAAAAGTCAGACGCCTCTGCTATAAAAAAACGCGACCGCCCCAAAGTCAGACCTCGTTCTCCAAGTTCATAGTGATACTCCTTCCACCTTCAAGATCATAGTATTACTCCTTCATCCTCCAAGATTATAGCGTCTATTCCTTCCACCTTCCAGAAACGCTACAACGCTGCCGTTCCAATGATACCTACCCATGGTACTGCACAAAACATTATATTTTTCCGCCTGGGTTTGATGATAAAAACAAAAACTGCATTCAAAGGTTTTCTTTTCTTTCTTTCTTATGCATGTGTTCCGCCTGTGACAATCTCTCCGACTGTGTTCCGCCTGTGTTCCTCTCTACTAGACGTTCCTTCCATGTCAGACAAATACCATCATGCCTTCCGTGTCAAATACCATCATCAATCCTCTGTGTGTCTCTCTCTCTCGACTCAAATATCTCTGACTCCCTGTGTGTTTCCGTGTGTTCGTTCGCTCGTTCGTTCGTTCGCTCGTACATATGTGTCCTCAAATTGTGCCTGTGATGTCCGTTCCGTTACGGGAGTAAACTCGAAAAAAGGTATGCTCTTGATCCTGAACCAAAATAAAATTCCCTGCTCCATATCAAGCCTTCGGATGGGAATGATGTTCCGTAATGTCCGGTAGTTCCGCTCCAGTTTCAAGATACAAATCCTCCTTGTAAATCACCATGCACCATTTAGTAAGGACGATCACGGCGTTCGTAACGGCGATCGTCACGATCGGCTCCGCCGCCGCCGCCATAAGATCCACGGCTGCTGCCTCGGCCTCCACGTCCACTGCTGCCGCCACGGTCATAGCCTCGGTCGTTGTTGTATCCGCCGCTTCCGCCGCCACTGCTGCTGTTGCGGTCATTGCTTCCATAGCTGCCGCCGCCACTGCGGTCGTTGTTTCCATAACCACTGCTACCACGGTCGTTATTGCTGCTGCCACCGTAGCCACCACGGTCGCTTCTGGTGTCGCTGTAGCTCGTGCGTGTGCTGCTTCCGCGGTCTCCGCCGCCTCTGTTGCTGCTGCTGCTGCTGGCACCGCCCGATCCTGCGGGTCGGGGTGCTTTGCAACGGAAGCACTCGTTTTCTCTTGCAAAGTTGTTCTTTTGACAGCTATTTCATTTCCACCATCAAGAGAGATAAAGTGTGAAATAACACCATGTTAGTTTCAGAGCGAAAAAGCATGTATGACACGCGTCAAATATGCCGTTCATGCAAAGGTAAAGCCAACGTCGTACCTTTCACAGACCCAGTCGCCTTCACGAGGGGCAGATCCGCCGCTGAAGCCACCACGACCGCCACGGCTGCTGAAGCCTCCACGGTCGTTGAAGTTGCTGAAGCCTCCACGACCACGTCCACGGCCACGGGTGTTGAAGCCACCAGGGTAAATCTTTTGCTCTGACATTTCAACCTTTAGAACCTGTTGACGACAAATAAAAAGGTACGTCGATGGTTAGCTCACTGAAGTATGTATACAGACAGGTCAATGGCTTTTGTGGGTGCTCAAACCATAGAGGCAGAACAGTACAAGGTAAGATACATACATGACCATGGAAATCCTTATCGTGAAACCATTCAATGGCGGCACCTGCAGAGCTAGGGTCCTCGTATGTAATGGTGGCTACATAAGAAACAAGAACATTGCATTAATAAAGAACGCTTTGACATTCACGACCAACTTTTTTCGAGCTGCAAAAGAATGCCGGCAGCTATTGGAAAGCCAGCTTACCATCTCCCTTTGGTGCCCCCGTTGTGAAATCCGTATAGATACGAACTATTCCGTTCATAACACGAAACAAACAAATGGGCGGGTTAGTCTCGACATCTTTTGGACACTTGATACCTCGGTACAAAGCTGACATGATAACCTCAAAGAAAGTGACTTACTCCTAGGCAAGTTGGTCTTCTTATCAATTCTGATACGTCCAATAGAGGCGAAACGCTCGCTCAGCTTGTCGGTCAACTCGCGCTCAGACTTGTCAGATCCAAGTCCACTAATGTAAATAGTGTCAGAGCTCTTCTGAACCTGGGGTTCATCGGAATCTATATTGTAGAACAGATGAATGAATAAAGAAAAATTAGCACATCGTCAACCCAACTCGCATCCCTTCAACGAGTTGTTCTTCCGCTACTTTCACCCGCTACAGGACGATGAACAATGGCAATAGAACTTACTGCTCTGGTTGTTGTATCCTCCGCTCTGGTAAGGCGGGTTGGACGATGATCCATAGCGATCTCCACCGCCTCCGTACGAGGACCTATCGTTACCGCCACGGTCATCACCATATCCACCCCCACGTCCCGAATCACGTCCAGAGTCACGTCCAGAGTCGCGTCCGCCATCGCGATCACCACTGGGCGGGTAATAATTATCACGCGAGTACCCTCCTCCTCCAGTGCTGCTGCTGTTGTTGTTGTTAGATCCTGAAGTGTAAGGCGCAGATGAATAAGCAGAAGTATTTCCGTATCCCCCTGACCGAGACGAAGAATCATAATCGTATCTGTTAGATCCTCCTGTGGTGCTTACAGACGCCTTGCTAGGGTCATACTCGCCGCCGTTATATCCTGGTGCGGCAGCGCCGTATCCTGAGGACACAGCGGTACCAGCAGCGGCTCCACCAGCAGTTGCATCTGGAGCACCACTTGGGGCACCACCTGGAGCACCACCTGGAGCACCACCTGGAGCTCCTGGAGCTCCTCCTACGGCGAGGGCATAGGCTCCTGCTCCGTGGTAAGCGTCATAGGCAGCAACGTCCTTCATATCTAGTGCAGAACAAAAACGTTGTGCAGGGGAAGGGGTGGGATTTTTTTTTTTAGTTTTCATGCGTTCGTATGTGCTCTTATATGTGAGGACACAGATGGAGCCGTTGCTGTTTGCTTCTTGGAAGGTACACAGGGGTGCACTTGACATCGAAAAAACACGATGTTGGATGAAAGGCGATAGCCATCGAGGAGAGTCCACAGACGATCAACTCTGCCACATCAAGATCCTCCATCTCTCACATCTCGAATTGCCTTTTTCACAGGACGGTCAGGTGGGTGACAACAGCCTGAGTGTAGACGAGGCGAGTAAAATAAAGAGAGCGAGAAAGCCGTTTGCAAGGGTCGAGTGAAGCATAGGAAGAGAGAGAGGTATTTACATTGGGCGTACTGCTGCTCGTAGGCGAGGGCAGCGGCGGCTGCGTTGGGGTCTTCTGTTGAGGCGGCTGAGGGTCTGTCTGCCATTGGGAAGAAGTGGATGGGGTTATTGAAGAGAGAGAGGCTAGGGGTAAAGAAGTGAGAGAAAAGAGTGTGAGTGAGTGAGGGGATAAAGTAGAGCACACATAAAATTGGAATGCAAAAAAAGGCGTGCAAATCGCGTGCAAATCAATAACACGGTTGTGGCGCGCGGGTTTGGGGGGTGGGTGACGTCGACATTTTGAATTTCGATTTGAATTTCAAGTAGTAGCTTCAATCTGACTGCCTGGCTGTGGGTGTGTGTGTGAGTTCCGAAGACGGAGGATTGAGATCGGCTTTTTTTTGTTCACTGACACCCCCATCATCAACCTCACATCTCTCTCTCTCCCTACTCACACCAACCATGATCGCGGGACTCAACATCGCAAAACGTAAGACTAGCGGCGAGCACACCATACCACCCATACTTCACTTCTTCCTATAACCACCCTCTTCTACTACAACAACTTCCTTGAACCCGGATGGATTTCACCCCTCCTGCACCCAACAAAGCCTGATCTCTGATGATCTCCCGAGGGGACACAGACAGCACCAAATATACCCCTGGATCGCTAGTACCAAGGCATAGCGCCTCCTTTGCTGTAATTCTCGGACTTTGCAACGCTCAACAAAATGCAGGAGGAGTTATAGACTAAGGATTCCTCTGATCGCTCTGCAAGGAGATGATGCATTCACCAGAAAGCCGAATATTCCGAGAATCCGAATATTCCGAACCAAAATAACACACCAGCGAACGCGACAACAGAAGCTCACCCCCAACGCTCAAGGCAATTAATCAGGACACCTTCAGATAAACCCATGATTGACCCTTTCTCTGAATTGGTACACGCTTACGATATTTAGAGTCCAAGCAGACCATCGTTGGTCTTGCCCAGAAGGTACACCATTGCTTCTATCAGACCCAACATTCAACGATCCACAACTACACTTTCAGCTATCTAACCGACCTTACAATTGCATTTCTAACTAAATAGCGCTTCGCCAGCGACTTGATCGTTTCCCAGAAGACCGGACGCACCCTCATCAAGACCGGTAGTGGTGGACGGTATGTGTCGCAACAAACGCGTTCATGTATATCGAACCGCGTCGCTTTCAATCAGGAGATCAGGACAGAAGACAAGAAATAACCAGCGTCGGAAAACAAACACCAACAACAATCTACGATCCATGAACATACAGGCGCCGGTGCTGATATCTCTATCTTTACATTCTTCAACCGGTCGCTTTCTGACATATAGCTCTTCTTCCAACGGACATGTTATCACGGTCTTTGGATGTACTGGATTCCTCGGACGTTACCTCATCAACCGCTTGGGTAAGGATTTCTCATCAAAGTAGACTGCCAATTGAGGACAAAAGATAACAAGCAGCAAGCAGAATGGGGATTGCGGAAATTGGCTAATGTGTTGGTTTGCCTATACGATATATAGCTCGCGAGGGTGCCCATGTTATTGTCCCTTACCGTGACGAGGATGATATGCGCCACTTGAAGATTATGGGCGATCTCGGAAAGATTGTCCCCATGGAGATCCATCTCCGCAACAAAGACTCTTTGGAGGCTGCCATTCGCCACTCCGATACCGTCTACAACTTGCTTGGACGTGACTACGAGACCAAGTATGTCAATTGGCGCCTTTCTTGAACATTCAGTTACTGTTATGGGAACCAGCTTGGATTCTTCAGGGAGATCGCCTTACTAATAATGTGGAGTGACGTTTTGTCGCTTTTGTACTATATAGGAACTTCTCGTTTGCAGATGTTCACGTTGAGGCTGCCGGTGTTCTCGCCGAGCTTGCCCAGAAGCACGATGTCGAGCGCTTCATCCAGATGTCGGCCATGAACGCTGACATTGACTCTCCCTCCCGTTTCTTGAGCACCAAGGTACATAACTATCACTCACACATCATGTTGTCACCCGCGTGCACACTCAATTAAATCACCTAGATCGTGTAGAATAGAAGTTGAAGCATGAAACCTAACCACGAAAAGTGCCATCTTCAACGAATAATAGGCTGAGGGTGAAAACCTTGTCCGCAGCATTATCCCCTCCGCCACCATTGTCCGCCCCTCGTTCATGTATGGTCAGGAGGATCGCTTCCTTGCCCGTCTCGCCAGTAAGTCTCTCCTTCTGTGTCTGTGCTCCACCCATCGGATTGATGCAACTCATCAAATCGAACTCTGCTCTGACCACTGCCATTGTTATATTTCCAGTGTCGCGCGGTCTTTCCATTCGCATTAACGGCGGTACCACCAAGGTCCGCCCCGTCAACGTCTCTGATGTTGCCACTGCCATGCACAAGATGCTCGACGGCGACAACACCGTCGGCGAGACCTTCGAGCTTGTCGGGTAAGCCTCACTTTTATGGACTGACTTTGCATTATCCCTCATGATTGTTGTGTTGCAACTCTCGTTCTAACGCGTTTTTTTATGTATCTCTAATGGATGAAAATAGTAACTCTGAGTACACCTACAAGGACTTGTTGGACTTTATCAAGGAGACCACCAACCTGGATATTGGCGATGTCAACGTGCCCAAGCCCATTGCTAGCTTGGTTGCCAAGGCCATGAACCTCCTCCCATGGCAGACCCTCGGCGCCGATGAGGTTGAGCGCATGATGATTGACGACAAGTTGACTGGAGCCAAGACCTTCGAGGACCTCAACATTGAGCCCAGCTCACTCGAGGTTACCGGTATTCAGTACTTGCGTCGTTTCCGTACCAACTTGTACAACGACGAGCCTCTCAAGAAGGGAGTTGTTGGCAAGAAGAAGACCTTCCACACCTCCTACCTGTAAACGCGCCATATCCCTCTTTTCATTCACCCTTCTCCCTCCCATCCTTCTTACAAATACACTTTTCGTTTTTTTTGCCTTCTCCCCTCTTTTTTATTACAATCCTTTACACGCAGTTCGTGCATAAAAAACAACATTATTACTCATACCTTGCCGCAGAGATGTAGCAAACACACACACAACACACGAGCGAAAACCTCAGACTACTAAAGACTCTAGACCATGAAAATATACGTCCTTTTGTTGAACTCGATACGCAGTTGATGAATGGCATTTCTCTTGGAAGTTCCCTTGAGAACAAGTTGAGGTGTGTCGAAACAGGGTCTTTTTTCCTTCTGCCAATGAATGACCAGATCAAGACGAGTACATGTCACACGCTACGTGTCTCTTTTCTCTCTCTTTTAGAGTCTTCCGAAAAGAAAAAAAAAATGAGATCATTCAGCAGCAACGAAGGTCTTTTTTATCGTGTCCTCTTCTTCTTGGCTCCTTCGCTTCCTCTTCTCTCTTCTTTTATCCCTTCCACCGTCTCTTTTTCTTTTTCATTTCTTTTTTTCCCTTCAAACCCACCCACCCCACCCCTCAAACAAGAACAAAGCACAACCCCTGTACAAAGAACGAACTTCAATCATCCTTCGCCGATTTCTGTAAAACCGTCAAACCACTCTGTACAATATTTTGAGCAGCCCTGTACCATTCTGCCAAGCTATCGCTCGAGGGACCCTAACCGACCAGATTCTCTTTCTCTCTCTCTCTCTCTCTCTCTCTTCTCCTTCCTTCTCTCCCCTTCTGCTGCCTTCCTAATAGACACACGAAACCCAACAAACAGTACACAAAGATGTCAAGCCTTTCAAACATCAACTCGTCTCCCGCCGGCACCCCCGCCAACCCCAATAACCCCACCCCTACCACAAACGCCAACGCAGCTGTAGTCGGAGGAGAACAGCTCTTCGACGCGCGTAACGTCCACGCAAACCGGTTCCGCATCGGCGGCTTCGAAGGCGGCCTCCCCGCCGGTAACTTTCTCTCTGACACTGGCTCCTCCGAAAACCCTGCCGCCGCCTCAGTCGCAGAAGGAGATGTGGATGGTCCTACACGCACGACCAAGCAACCAGGACAACAAGGACAGGAAGAGGAGGATGAAGGAGAGTTGTCGGATGACGAGAAGGTGCGGAGAGACCGTCAGCGGCAGTGGGCGGCTATGGTGGCGAGTGGCGAGATTGAACCTTCGAAATTGAATGTTCGTCCTGGACAGCGGTATACTCTTCCTGTTGAGAAGCCCAAGTTCTACTGAGCAAGAAGCGAGCGACTTGAATAATAAACCAGGCAGAAGGTTTTCCGGTACCTTATGATGCCGACCAAAAAAAAAAAAAAAAAAAAAAAAAGTGATGCTGTTTTGTTTAGTGAATGAGTAGGGTTGGTTGGCTTTTTATTTCTCGGCTTCACTTCAGAACTCATATCATTAGTGTGCTAAGAGGGTGCAGCTTTGTGTAAGCGAACCACATATTGGTGCATGGGGGGGGGATTCGTTGCCTCCCAGAATGGTCGACTTTCTTTTCAGTTGCCTTTTTGCCTGAATGTCCGCTGAGGTGAGGAGTAGAAAGATACCCTTGATGGTACATGTGCCCTGGATGGGATGGCGTCTTGCTCACACACACACATTCATACACGACTCTGGACCACGCAAAGAGAATGGTCAAATGTCGCAAGGCAGATAGAGGAAGAGAAGAGGAAAATAACCCCCCACCCCGATTTTGAATCAATTGGCGAAGATTCGACAAGAAGAGAAGGAAAAAGGGAAAGAAAGGCTGCGATGGCGAGATGGGGATACATAAGGCAGGAAAGAAGACAAAGAAGGAGGGGCGTGCATTGGCATTAGGTGTTGAGGGATGCAGTGGGTGTTCGATTGGTGCCTTGCCTTGTTGTCCTTTCATTTTCACTCAGTGACCCGCCCCCCCTCCTCCTCCCCCAACCTCACGACAATCAACACACGCTCTGTGCGGATGTATCCATCGCTCTTCGTTCGTCGGTCGTCGTCGCCTGCCTTCCCTCTCCTCTCTGACAACCAACCACAATCCAATCAAGCTTGCCCCTTTGCTCGTCTTCTCTTCCTCCTCTCTCCTCTTCCTCTTTTTCCTTCTTTTTTTTTTTCTCTTCTTCTTCCCCACCCACTCTCCGCTCTTCCTCTTTTTTTTCTTTTGTTCCTGTCAGTTGTCCCGCACACCTTTGCTCAACTGAATAACTGAACGACGACACGAAAAAAAAAACTTTTCACCTCTTTTGTTATTTTCTTGTCACTCAACTACCGAGCACCAGCAGGAATAATAAAAAAAACAACAAGTGATCAGGACAACCCCACTTCACACCTCCGACACCTCTGCAAACTCAACATCACCGAACCTCCAACCAGTGAACCCTTTTCGCCACACCCCCCCACACAACAAAACGCGCTAAACTAAAACTCCCCACCCCCCTCTCCAACAAAAAAAAATGGATCCCGAATTGAGGCACCAGTTGCGCGTCGAGGACCCGATGGAAGAACCAGAACTGAATCTCGACGGCCTGCCCATCCCCTCGATCCAAGTCCTTCTCGAACCCCCCACCGAGGCCCCCCTCAACGATAACGACGAAGAAGAAGAAGAGGACGGATTCTATTCGCCCTTGGACCATTTCCGGAACCTGGTCAGGTTGAGCATGAGTAGCTCGCAGTGTGCGAGTTTGGATGGGTTTCCCCCTTTGCCTTTGTTGCGATCTGTAAGTTAAACTTTTTTCTTTTCTTTTTTTTTTTTTTTTTTTTTAAATGAGGAAGAGAAGACGAAACAGAGGGAAACGACTGCACGGAACGGAAATATTGAGTGCTGAAAAAAAAGGGGGGAAAGTGAGTAGGGGAGAAAGATGCAATTTTTTTTTTTTTTTTTTTTGATTGCTGAAAAACACGAGTGAGACTTCAACAGGAAAGGGATACATACACAAGCAACAACCGCAGCATAAACAAAGCAAACACACCAGATATCGACAAAAGCAAGCAGCGGCAAAGGAAAAAAGAAGGGGAGAAGAGGACAATGGGGAGGAAGGCGATCGAGTGTTATGATTATGAATTGAAGGAAACAAAACAACACACAAGGACACGTTCGTAAGATGTGTATTCAAAACGATACAAAATGGACAAAAAGTAAAAAAAGAAGAGGAGGCAATTGGAAATTAGCGTTGTTATTGTTGATTGTTTGCTTTGTCCGATGGTTGGATAGGTGGTTGTGGAAACAGAGAAGTGAGGGGAAAACGCGTCGTTTTTTTCCTCCCTGTGTGCACTGTTGAATTGCTCGCTCGGCAAGATTCGCTCATCGATACGCATAATTGTTACACCCATAACTCACTCTTACTCTTCTTTTTATCCCGAAAAAAAATGTAGCTGCACTTGGCGGATAACAACATCAGCTCGGGATTCGAGGCATTGGCCGAGGCCGATTTGCAGAGTTTAGTACTCTTGGATCTGACTGCCAACAACATTGCTGAAGCCACAGCTCTGGCACCACTGGTAAGCAAGGATGGGCTGAATCATAATTGACAGAGCGACGAATGGGAAGAGAAGGGTGTGAGAAAGTGCAAGGGTGAGCAAAAGGAAAAAGTGAGCGAGGCAGAGGCGTGGGCTTCACACCCTCGCGCCTCTCCGTCTCCTGTCCATCCCACCCGACCAACAACAACAAAGCAAACAGCTGGTAGACAGGCAGGATTGAAAACCCAGACCAGAGCATAGGACCTAACCTTTTGATCTATCTCTCTCCTATTTTCATCTTTTCCCTTTCTTTCCCTTTGCATCCGTACTTTATCCGTCCCTTGCTCTGCCCGCCCTGGGATTGTCTGTCATGACCACCTCGCTTAGGATGCTCTCGAGAACTTGCAACACTTGATGCTGGAGGGCAACCCAGTCGCAGAGACTCAGGGATACCGTGAGGCCATCTTTGAAGTCCTTCCCCAATTGATCTCCCTCGACAGTCTTGACAGGTAAAGGACAATGAGTCCATGGCTTCAACGAGCGGCGATGACGATGCGATCCTTTTTGCTTTCAAATTTGCTCACTGTACTCTTCCTTTTTTCCCCTTCTTGTCGCTCATAGGGACGGAACAAAGCTTGATGTGGATGAGGATGCATTGCCGAGTGGCGACGAAGCTGCTCACTATCCAGGGGTAAATTCACAAAACAACACTACCTGAGCATCAAAGCGTCATCCAACATCTCAAAACGAGCTCAACAATACCAAATACTGACCTCCCCCTTGTTCCTGGGCTCTCCTTTCATCGATTAGGGCAACGTGGACGATGAGGAGGACTATGAGAACGATGAAGTCGATGCTGAACTTGAGGATGAGGATGATGAGGTTGATGAGGATGGTCGCCGGCGCTCTTCCTCGGGCCATTATCAGGGTCACCCTGCAGGTGGTGCTGGCGATGAGAGCGAAGATATTGGAAGTCAGGATGAAGAGGATGATGAGGAGGAGTATGAAGCTGAAGGCCGACGTGGTCATGAATCTGATGAGGACGAGGTAAGCGAGCGAGTCTCCTTTGGCCGATTGGCCGATATGCATTTTTGTTTCTTCCTAGGATGGCTTTACTATCGATAATGATCTGACTTTCTTAACCATTGCATTGATATTTGAAACTGACAAATAGGAGTCGGATGTGGAGTCCGGATCGGAGAGGCCTGTGACGAGTGGCAAGACGGCAGGAGGATACGGTCATGGCGACGAGGATGAGGATCTTGAAGAGGACGAAGAGGATGAGGAAGAGGATGAGGATGATGAGGATGTCGCACAGTACCAACAACAGCACCACACAACCGCAACCACAGCAGCAACACCACAACAACTCTTGCAGCAACTTCAACAGCAACAACAACAACATCATGTGCAGCATATCGCGTCTGGATCTGAGGACGAGGATGATGATGATGATGAAGAGGAGGAGGATGAGGAGGAGAACGATGAGGAGGATGAGGAAGATGAGGAAGATGAGGAGGAGGAAGCTCCCGGGCTGGCGTACCTCCTTGCGGATGATATCCCTGACGAAAACGATGATGAGTTTGAGCCGGAACCCGAACAGGAGGAGGAGAGTGATATCGAGAGTTCTGACGAGGATGAATATGGATCTTCCAAACTAGCAGCCCCATCATCATCATCAGCAGCAGCAGCAGCAGCAGCAACGGCTATCAGCGAGAGCAGTAGTAGTTATACGAATGGACATTCGACAACAAAACGTCCTCGGTCGCCGGGTGCGGAGGATGATTCGACAGGATTTGATCATGGACAGGTGGGAGGGTTCGACGTGGACGGAGAGGATGCTAATGGGTTTGGGATGGCGTCTTTTGATGGCCCCGCCACGTTTGATGATGACTCTTCTTCGTCCGTTCATGAGTCCAAGCGTCCACGCACATAGAGGACAACACGCTTTTTTTTAAACTAGGAAAAATACTATTATCGCAAACAAAAAAAAAAAAAATGATATGCTCAAGGTTGCTTCTCTTGGCCTTCACTCCCCTGGGGATTGCTTTAAAGAATGTGTGGGGGTGGGGTCCAGCTTTTTGTGTATGAATGGTTTATTCTTTTTAGGTGGAAGTGTGGTTTGTTTGTTTTTTTTGGGACGTAAATGTGGAAAAAAGATGGTAGCTGTCATGAAAGAAAACGTAAACGAAAGAAATGGATAAAAAAAAAAAACATAAAAAAGCAAATATCTAAGTGAAGGAAAAAGGTTACACTTTTTACGTGAGGCACCAATGCCAAATGAATCCCTGACCACCACGGACACCAGCCTCCAAAAGCGTCGACATGTCACACATATACGTCGAGATCTGCTTCAAGCTACCAGCATCCATTAATTCCTGAATCTTGGGCTGCAAGAACTTGATCGCCTCCAGGTACTTCTCATCTCCGTAAATGTTCCAGGCAATCTGGAGACACTTCAAGTAATCGCCCATGGGGAACTTGTCGATGTTAGCCACAGGCCAGTCCTTTCCACCCGTAAGTGAGTATGGCAACAAGAAGTCAATCGCCTTCTTGATCGACTGACCCTTGGGTCCCTCATGGTCCCACATGTTGACTCCCAGATCATCCCCCCAGCGGGCCAAGGTCATCATAGCTTGGAGGTTGAAAACCGAGTAGTACCAAGAGGTCTTCCGGGCAAGCTCATCGGGTTGACGGCCCTCGGCAGTGATCTGACGATCGATTCTGTTGGTGAGTGCGGATTCGGCGACGGCGCGGGCATCGTCGGTGCGGTCGAGGAAGAGGTAGATGCCGATGAGTTGGACGTCGTAGTAGGTGCCGTGGTTGTTGTTGCCCTTGCGTTCGAGTATTGCGAGAGAAGAGGTCTCGAGCCAATCAACGTATTCGGTGAACCATTTTTGGAGGTTGGGGATCATGTCCTGAGGCCATTCAGCGTCCTGCTTCAAGTAGTGCAATGCATCGAACACACTGTTTGTAGAAGGTATAAAAAACGGTGGGTATGTGGTTAGTGTCACGTTTTGTTTAGACGCAATGCAATGGTAATCCACAAAAACAATTGAGCAAAGCAAATAGATGTTACCGGAAGATGGTGAACATGTCAAGGACACCGGTACGGACACCCAACTTCTGGCCCTTCTGGAGAGATCCATAGTTGATGTTGGGCTTCATATAAGTCTCCTCATCAAAGAACCACTCGTTCAAACGAGCAACACACTTTCTCATATAAGCCTTGTCACCGGTGAAATGATAGGCCATGCCCATCATGTGGACCTCACGGATCATGGTCCTCAACAGCTTGTAATCCTCGACGGAATCAATCTCCTCGTGGTTGATATGGCCATCCTTGCGGATGTAAGGCAGATGGTTGGGGGTGTTAGGGTTGGGCCAGTAGTACTTTGAGAGGGAGAGGTAGTCGTGGATATCGCCCGAGGGTGCGACCTGGTTCTTGTTAACGACAGAGTAGACCTTTTCGCTCTTGAGGGCCTGGTCGGCCTCCTTGACGATCAGGGCGATAGCATAGTCGCGCTCACGACGGTTGGCCGAGAGGAGGTCAACATAGGAGGCGGGTGAGTTTTGGCGGTTCTTGATAGCGAGCGTGAGGAGAGTCTCCTCTTCCTCGGTCAGCTCATCATCTTCTTCATCTCCTTCCTCCTCGGACTCGCCGCTGTTGTTGTTGGTGGCTGGCGGGGGAGTGACCTGCTGTTCCTCTTCCTCTTCCGCTGATGGGGGTCCCTTCAATCCTGTATCGTCATCCGATTCAGATCCCGATCCCACTGGTGCTGGCTTCTTCTCCTCCGAGGGAGAACCCCATGGATTCCTGTCATCCTTGTTATCGCCGTACTCGGCCGGAGGCTTGGAATCCTGATTGTCGTAACGGTGAGGGGTAACGTTGTCGATAGGGACATGGACATAAGGATCGGTCTCGGGCCTCAAGGCCGACGGTGCCGTGTTAGAATCATGCGCGGGTCCGGGTCCAAAGAATGTGGTGAGCAAGATGTAGACAAAGAGGATTCCTCCGGCGCCGAGGATGACCTTGCGGAGGTTTAGGCCGACGGGGAGACTGCCTGTGGCGGAGAGGGGGGCGGTTGAGGAAGAGATGGGCTTGTCCTTGAACTGGTGTAATGGCAACGCCGAGACGGAGTTGGGTCTGGTCTTTTTCATCATCTTGCGAGGATGAGTGTTGTGTCTATGTGTGGTGGGAGAGAGGAGAGAGAGAGGAGAGAGAAGGAAGGAGAGAGGGAGGGGGGAGGGAGGAATGGAGATGAGGGAGGAGGGAAGAGAGAAGGAAGATGATGATTGAGAGAGAGAGAGAAGAGAGTAAAAAGGAAAGAAAAGGTCCAACGGGACACAAAATAAAAAAAAGAAACAACAGTGATAACGTTGGACGAGCTCAGACATACGAATTATTCGCTTATGTATTTTTAGAACACATCGTGGATGCCTGGGATGGCAGGGTACGTACAGACTCCTCTGTTTTAGTTTTGTCAACGGCTCTTTCTTGCGGGAGAGTGTTCGATGATGCTCTCTGATCTCTTGAACGCATGTTTGCGTATGCCCGTTTGAGGATATCAAAATAGGAGAAAGAAGTGGTTCAGTTGGTGTGTATATGTGATATGTGTGTGCTCTCGTCCCAGGGCTCTTTGTTGTGAGGTACCTACTGAACCACCCTATGGATGATGCAGGGGCCGGGGCGGAGAGGCGAGAGAGGGGGACAGGGGCATCCACGCCGTTTCAACGTGCAACAATCAACGACCAATTGGTGATGATCCCTATGATTGATCAATTAAAGTGTTGATTAAGGGCCTGTTCCAATCACAAATTAATCACATGACATCACCCACCCTGCGGCCAAGGAGCCTGTCCAGAAAAAAGAAAAAAAGTTGCGACTGATTTCGCCGCTGATCACCCTCATTCACTCACTGCACTGCACTGCACTGCACTGCACCCAGCAGGATCCCAGTCCCTCCCTCCCTCATCCTCGTCCTCGTCATCATCATCATCTGGCTCCCACCCATAGAACCCTTCGCAAACACTTTTTTCACTCACTACCTATATTACCCTGGACTAACAAGAAAGAAGAAAAAGACAAGAATGAAGGACGAAGGCGCGCCCACATCCCACCACCCATCTCACAAGAGACACCACTCAAGGACCATGTCACACTCCCACCCACTTTCGCGTCAGCAGTCCCCTGCCCTCGACTTAATCCCCGCTCCAACCTCATCCGGGATCATCACCCTCACAACCACGACCACCGTCCTCGCCGACCTCTCCAAACGACCTCGCGAATATATCAGCGTCGGTAAGCGCCACCGCTGCCTGCTCTTATTCGTCCTGTTGCTGTCTATGTGTTGGAAGGTTCATGGTTCGGCGCTCATACTGATACGCCACTCTCTCTAATTATCTCGGCCGTGCTGGTTCTTATTTCTTTATTAGGCCAACGGAAGGAGATGCGAAAACATGGTGCTATTCGCGATACCTCATGTAAGTTTGGCTTCCTTTTCTCCCCGGTCTTTTTAACACCCTTCCCTTTATCAATTGCTGTTACCTCGTTGCTGCTGTTTTGAGATATCTTCTTCTAACAACTAAAACCGTCTCGACTTCAATCGCCCATAGACTGGAACACGCTGCTCATAGCTGCTCGCAAGAGTAGAGGTCCCTATCTCTGTCCATCCACTCGGGCATACCACGTAGATCGTGCTTCAAAACTCTACTGGAGTGGTTACAGCGATAAAGTCGAGCCAGAAACGTAAGCATATTCCCCCGACAAGTCTTTGAACAGGGGAAAGCACTCGTCAATGTTGATACCAAGAACTAAGCGCTGACAATGCACCTTTTTATTCAAATGACAAATAGTCCAGATGCGTCTATACCGACAGTGACAGTGGGACAGGAAGGTGTTAACGGCACTGTAGAAAATGGAGCTCCAGGAGTAACAGCAGAGACGACCCCTGGAGAGCTGGGAGCGAATGGGGAGATTGGTGCAGTGGCGTCGTCATTGAGGACAGGAACCCCCACCCCATCATCAGCAACTGCTTCAGCACCAGCGTCGGCTGGAGGAATACCCTCTACACCAACTGGTCCTGAAGTCAAGGAAGAGTCGTCGGCATCAAACCCGAACGGGTCACTTACGGCAAGCAACGGAAATCTGAACAACGCTTTGAACAGCACACCCAACCAAAACAGCAACTTGACCTCGCCAACTCTCAATCCTGCCCTGATGAACCGGCCATTACCCAACAGAGGAAACCCATTGATGTCGCCTACCCAACAAGGCGCCGTATTCGCACACCAACTCTCGAACCCCGCCATGGGACAAGGCATGCAACAGCCCCAGTCCTCGCAACCTCAACAGCAGCAACAGCAGCAGCCACTACAACAAGGACAGCAACAACAACCATCACATCCGCAGCTCCAGCAACTTCAACAGCAGCAGCAGTTGCAGCACCAACAACAACTTCAACAACAACAACAGCAACAGCTCCAGCAGCAACAGCAGCTCCAACAATCCGGGCAAGGAATCAATCCTATGATGGTCTCTCAGTCGATGGGAGGTATGCCAGGAGGGATGATGACAGGTGGATTTGTGTCTCCGGACAGTTTGATGCAGCAGATGCCAGGAGGATCGATGCCCGGGCAGATGAGTATGGGGATGCCTCCGGGATATGTCAACATGGGACAGATGCACCCACAGATGATACAGCACCTCCAGGCACAACAGCAGCAAAACCCTCAACAGCAACAGATGTATGCTCAGCAGCAGCAACATATCATGCAGCAACAATTCTTGCAGCAGCAGCAACAGCAGCAGGCGCAACAGCAGCAGCAAGCACAGCAACAGGTACAGCAACAACAGATGATGCAGGGTCAACAAGATTTCCAGGGACCTCCTCGACCAAAGGGACGACCTCGGTAAGCGTGCCCTTTTCCACTTACCTTTCGGAAATAAAAATATCGTGCAGCTTCGGCTCAGTGTTTTCTCTCTCGTCTCTCGGCCCCATTTTTTTTGAATCCGCACCCGTCCCCACCCTCATCCTAACTGCGTCTGTCACTCGTTGTCTATTGATAGGCGCAGCAAGGACTCGCAGACCATGCTGGGCTCTCCGACCTCGAACCATGCACGCACGCCTTCCGTCTCCTGGGCAGATCAGCAGCAACCCCATCAGCAATAGCGCTTTTTTCTTCGGTCGATTTATTCTTTTCAATTGCATTCCATACCATCATACGAATAAAAGGGATAACGAAGCTGGTTTCGGTTGTCTTGGCGGTCAGTGGTATGTTTTTTTGGAAGGGGTTATCTTATCTTGCCGATCCCCTTTTTCTACCAATGCAAGCAATGCCCCGCATTCACTTTGAGAAGTAAGGTTTGTGTGCGATATGTCAATGACATAGGAGAGTGAAGGAGAATCGTCCGTGTCCAAACAGTCACTCCGCTTCTTTTGGTTCTTCCGATCGGAACAGAAAGCACCAGCGAGGTAGACATCTCTTTCTTTCTTTTCTTCTTCTTTACATTCATCACCCACGCACTACACTAATCTCATCATGGCAGGACCAGGAAGGGCGTGCAGCCATGTCATCAAGACTGCTACCTTTGCCGCTCATCAACAAACCAGGGCAGCATCCACTAAGACCCTCTCGACCGCAGCTACATCACACCATCGCCTTCAGGTACAGTCTACGAAAGTGACAACAGCACCCCGGAATCAGCTTCTCGCCAACACTACTCAAAGAGGATATCACCTGCTGTCGACCCCTCGGTCCATCGGAACCCAAGCCTCGGCTATCTCCAGCAGAGCTATCATCTCGATCACAGACGCCCGGCGGTTCATGTCTGTAGTCTCGACGGAATCGGAGGAATCGGAGGATTCGGAGGATTCGGAGGATTCGAGCAATGGTATGTCACGCTGCTGTTCTTGTGTAGGCAATTGGTCATCAATTGGCCCATGGTAGCGTATTTACTAACTTCTAGAATGATTTTTTATGTGTGTGTTTAGGACCCATGCCAGTGTATAATGATCTAATTGCACAGGGATCGCTGAAGGAGGACGACTTCCAGAGGACGATTATCGAGACGTTACAGGAAATGCATGATCGCCTCAAGGACTACAAGCCCGCACCTCTCTCGCACGAAAAGAAGCCCGAGCCCGAGCGTGGACTGTTTGCTAAGGTATGACCCACAAAGGATTTTGTCAATTGGCATACTATCATCACGCGAATAGATGCTCTTTAATCTGATAGACCCACTAATGTCCACCTTCCCTCCTTGGTGTAATGAATTGAAAATACTAGATGTCGAGCATGTTCAACAAGAAGGAGGAAGAGCGTCTGGCCAAGGAGGCAGAAGAGGCCAGGATTGCAGCGATCCCCAAGGGATTATACCTGTACGGAAGCGTCGGAACCGGAAAGACTATGTTGATGGATCTCTTTTATAACACCCTGGGACGTTCCGACAAGAAGCGTATCCACTTTCACAACTTTATGCTCCAGCTCCATGGACGACTCCACCAACTCAAAACGACGACACATCAACACCAGGATCCGATGCCTTTCCTCGCAGACTCCTTGGCAGCGGAAAGCAGAGTCCTTTGTCTGGACGAGTTTCAGGTCACGGATATCGCAGACGCCATGTTGCTGAGACGACTTTTGGAGGAGCTGGTTATCAACCGTGGTGTTGTTCTGGTCACGACGTCGAACCGTCATCCTACAGAGTTGTACAAGAACGGTATTCAGCGCGAAAGTTTCTTGCCTGGAATTGCGGTCCTCGAGAACCATTGTGTGGTCAAGTGTCTGGATGGCGGAATTGATTACCGTAGGGAGAAGAAGACCTTCTTCCAGTCTGCCAAGCCAACAGACAGGAGTAAACACGTTGCATCGGCGACTGGATCTACACTTCCCAAGGTCGTCTCCGCATCAGCAAAGACACCAACAGGAGCGACAACATTGGTGGAAGAGAAGCGATTCTTCTGGCCATTGTCAAATGACACGGGCAAGGAAGTGGATGAGTACTTTGCGACGATTCGTAACGGACACGCGGTTCAGGAGAGACACCTGAGTTTCTTGGGACGTGAGTTGGTCCTCCCCCAGACTGCCGGAAATATTGCCAAGTGCTCCTTTGACGATCTCTGCGCCAAGGTATGTCCTATCACTTCAATTTCAATCATCTCGTGCGTCTGTTTGGATGAAGGTACCGTGTCATCTAACGTTTTTTTTTCATTGCTATACGATGCTATAGTCGTTGAGCGCTGCGGATTATCTTCACTTGGCAGAGAACATCAACACATTGATCTTGACCGACATTCCAAAACTCAAGCCAACAACCCTGCACAGGAATGAAACCCGTCGCCTGATCACCTTAATCGATGCCCTGTACGAATGTCAAGTCAAACTCGTCTGCTCAGCAGACGGACCCATCTCTGAAATCTTTGGCGGCGGCTCTGGAGCCCACTCGACAGACGAGGACCCCTCGACTATGGGAGAATTGACTCCGGCACAGAGACAGATGATGGATGATTTGGGATTGAACGATGTCTCGCAGGTCAAGAAGAGTCCCATCTTTTCGGGCGAGGAAGAGAAGTTTGCAGTGCAACGTGCTGAGAGTCGTCTTATTGAAATGCAGGGTCCTGGATGGGGTCTCTAGACAATGTCCCTGACTCGTTACATTTATATCATACCATATCATTTGCTTATTCTACTCCTTCTCCCCTCCTTCTCTCCCCTCCGTCACCCCAAGCGCGACCATCGGTGTCATAGAGCGCCTGGGTTACAATTGCATATTTTTTTTCTTTGGTTGTTATTTTGAGAAACATTAGAAAGGTTACAGTGCATTTTCACATAGAACATCTCGTATTGGCAGTTAACTGATCGACGACGTGATCGTCGATCAGTAAGTGAGACTAATAAACGATAGTGTCTGAAAGATCATCCATCATGGTTTTTGGTTGTGTTGTTTTTTGTTGTTGTTATGTTTAATCTTCCCTGCTACCATCCTGCCTTCTCGATGAGCCACAACCTTTTTTTCCATTTCGCTGCCAGCAACAAAAGATACCAAGCTCTGACAGTATAACACGACAAACATTCAGACAAGATCATTGCTAGGTCGAGAGGCGCGTAGTCATTTTTATGGGGGGGAAGATAGAACCTTCGCACGTCAGTAAAAACACAACCAGTGCCACTCGCCTCATACTTCCGCTCCGGCACCCTTACGCCCACTCGCCATCACGTCAAGTTGGCTGTAACGCCATCTCACCCCCATGCTATCACTCGATCAATTTTATGGAGCGAGACATGGAGTATGGGTCCCATGGAATGGCCGAGCCCGTGTGTATCACTGGAGGATAAAATAATTTCCAGCTTTGCGCCCTGGCTGCCGTAGTCGACCCCCCTTGCATCATTACCTTAAAAAAAGCCTTAGTCGCTCCCTGTAATTAAATGCAATGGCTCTTGCCCTCACTGCGCCTCGAAAGGGTTTTGGTTGACGACAAACTTAAAAAGGACGAGCGCATTCACTTCTCATTCCTTTCGTTTTCATTCACCAACAAACACTCTTCTTTTCCCACTCTCATTCACCTTCCACATTACACACAAAGAAACAGCACGACATGGCGGACTCTTCAGACGACACAACTACCACAATACGTCAACTACCAACACTCACATCCCCCTATTCAGCCATGAGTCGCGCCCTCGACATGTCAGAAATATCCTACCTCATCCGTCAAGACTTGAAGGGAGTCCACCTCAAATCTGCCGTCCTCGTCTGCAAGCTCTGGTGGCGCCTCTTTGCCCCTTACCTCTGGGAGCGTGTGTTCATCGATGCCGATCCGGACGAGAAGGATCGCGAAGTACTGGTTAGGAATGGACTTGCGGCAAGGTCGTTGACATTGTCGATTTATGACCCGGAAGATCGGGAAGGGGTTGTGGGGTATGTTGTGGACCGGTGTCGTAATGTTGAGGCTTTGCATTTGAAGTTGTTTTCGCCGGAATTGGTGGCTGTTGATACGGAGGCCATGGAGAGGCGGTTGTGGAAGACGTGGGAGAACTATGGCGCAGGAGTCAAGAATACGGATCAGGAGCGACAGTTCGGGATCAGGAGTGAGTGCAAGACCGATCTCCTGGACTCGCTACTCTCCAAGCTGCCCTATCTCTCTGAGCTCACCCTTTCGATTGCGCACGAGGATCTGAGACCGGAAGTACTCTGGTGTGTCCCCACGTTGACAAGACTGAGAAAGCTGACCATCGCCGGTGGACTTGGCGTGAACGGCTACATCGTTCATAAGAACCGACTCTGTGATTGGGATCTTATCCTACGAACCAGCCGGGAGTGCAAGTATCTGAACTCGCTGTCTGTCTCGTGGGAGTCGCACAAGGCACAAGACGCCAACTTGGACGGACATATCAGCAAGGTCTCCGAAATGTTCGAGTCACTCGATGCTCGGGAGTCGTCGGCGACAGACCAAGAAGCGCCACTACCACCTGTCCCCAAGAACGAGCAGTTCCCAAGTCTGCGAACACTCGCTGTTTCCTTCTGTGAGATGCATCTCTCTCAAATGGACTTTTTCTACCGATCCTGTCCAAACCTGCGTGCGGTTGAGTTTAAGTCCGTGCAGGCCAGCACCTACATCATGGAAAAGAACTTGAAGTCCCTAGCCCTGTCGTGTCCAAACCTGCTCTCCTTCAAGCTCCTGGACGCCTGCAAGACCGGCAACCGGATTGACTACTCGACGTCCCTCCTGGCTTCTCCCAGGACCAGTCTCCACTCACTGACACTGTCTGCCACTGCCAACGCCACCGCCACCGTGTTCGGTAATAACCCCGCCGCTGACAACGACTACACCCACATCTATTACAAAGACGACACCAAATGGACTCCTCCCCCCTCAGTCACATTCCTCAACGTCCGGGATATCAAACACCCCACCGTCCTCCTCGACACCATCGCCTCGACCCCCGCAGGACTCACACACCTCATCATCGATGGATACATCCCCAACGATACCTACCAACTCCACTACCTATACAACTTCCACCCCATCCAGCAATCCTCCTACTCGCTCGTCGAACGGCTCTACAACCTCGAGAAGGATCCTCTCCTGCGATTACCGACGTTTGCGTGTGGGGGCACGCTAGAGTATTTGGATGTTTCGACGTTGGATGTGTCGGAGTGTAGGAAGCTCTTCAAGATTTTGTTTTGGAGGGTACAGGAGTTGAAGGGGTTGAGGTTCTTAAAGATAGGGAGGGAACATGTTTTGGCGGCGAATTTGGAGTTGACTTGGTCGGATGATACCCTTGTCGGTGGAAAGGGAGACGACGATGGTGATGATGATGATGGTCAAACTGGGGAGACAGCCAAGACCGCGATGACTACCGCAAATGAGAGCGAGGACGAGAACAACTACGACAACAACAACAACAACAACGACAGCATTGAAGGAGAACAGGAAGAGAGTGGGGAACTACCAGATGATCAAGACCGCGAAAAGGTCTTTAACTGGTTCCCGACCGTCGAACACCTCTACCTCGTCGACACCGAATCCCGTCGATTCCATTCCCAGAACCCATTCCTGACGCTACATCAAGCCAGCGCGCTTGTGAGGATGATGCCGCGATTGAAGGTCATGTCGTTCAATCGTGAGGATGCTAAGGCTGGCTTGGAGGGGATCATTGAAGCGTGTCCGAAAGTTTCTTTCAACTTTATGATGCGACAGAAATAAAAAAACTTGTGTTCGGAGTCTTTTTTTGTGAATAATTCAAGAAGAATGATGATTGGCATTTTTTTTCCCTTTTCGGTCGGAAGGAAAGAGGGAGGAAACAATTGGCGGGCACGAACAATGAGCGGGGAGACCGACTCAAGCCGACTAAATCAGATATTGTAGACCATCGATCTTCTTTGGGTGAACGTTAAGCGAGAAAAACGTCCCAAACATCATGCCTTCAATTTTGATATTCAGTAGCTCATCTCCCCCCCCCCTCCTCTTCCTTTCCCTTTTTCCTTCCTCTTCTCTCTCATTCCCGCACTTTCTTCTCTTCGCCCTTCCTTCTTCAGCGGTCAACACCATTTCTATTCTTCACAGTCCCTCTCATTTCTCTTCTCCTTGACATCTCCCTCTTCCGTGGCAGTACCGATTCCTCCCATCACCATACATGTCCATGTGCATCCGACAACAATAAAAAAACACTCCTCGGTCCTCACCAACAGTAGCCGGCAAACGGCCCTCCTTCATAAAGATAGTACCTGGCTCTTTTGCACTGTACATTCTCTCGTTGAATGGAACACTCTTGAAGGGGTACATCCATACCCAACTTGGAGGGCATTTTTTTTTCTTTTTTTTTTTTTTTTTTTTTTTCGTACACAATTTTATTTCTCTAACAAACAGCATAGAGAAGTTATTTGGAAGTAAAAGGGGACTACATAACAAACTCTTCAGTGCACCATCCACCAGTCGCAGTCCGGTCCAGAACCTGGCTCTGCGCAACAATTGTCGCTGCTCTTCACAGCTTAAACGGAAGAAAATAAAACTAGATACGAATGAAGGGGATTCTTCCCATCCTCTCCATCATTGACAATCTCCTCCTTCCTAACAAACTCTCCAACAACCGCTCGTCAGCAGCACGTGGGTCCTTGGTCGCTCCAGGGCACCTTCCTTCACAATGTGTGGCTAGCGAAGCGCCACACGGACAGAAACCATCGTGCGTGATGTAACCGTATCCTTGACTCCAGTCACCTCGGGGGCCTGTGTATTTGGATGTCTTGTCCTTGGCAGAGATACCCTGGGTCTGCTCCCACGCGATCGTCGCGGAGCACCGAGGTTTCCAGATCAGCTCCGAGGCCTGCGCCTCCAGGTAGCCAACAAACTTTTGAAGGACTGTCTTGGCGATGGACATTGGGGTCCGGAAGACCGCGGACCATTCAGTCAACATGCTCAAGGGGGTGATGCCGCGGAGGAGATCCGACACGTTCCACATCGGTTTCTCGTCTCGATCGGGAGCTGGACTACCGCTGTGCACGGCTCGGGCTCCACCGATGGAGGAAAATCCTCGTACATGATCCGCATCCGAAGGGGGCCACCAGTGTATGGGTACTGGCCTTGGTACCTGACGACCGCTGTCCACCGCGCGTTTGTATTCCCGCTTCCTGGCTGCGTTGTAGCTGTTTGTCGCCTGCACACCCCACTCGTTAATCTTGCCCATGGCTGCATTTTTTTTTTCTTTTTCTTTCAGTTTTTTTTTCTCCATTTTTTTCAATTTTGCCACCAATCTTGAAGTTGAATAATTAGTGGCGTTAGATGGATTCATAGAAGATATTATTTCAGGGTTCATAACAAGCAAGTTCCTAGTTGGTCCAGTGGTCAGGATTTGTCGCTCTCACCGACAAGGCCCGGGTTCGATCCCCGGACTGGGAATTACCTTTTGCCCCTGGCTCTTCATTCACGGTTCACCCCGCGCGAAGAAGAGGGCTCGCTCGCTTTTATTTCTTTCGCCGATCTGCATGGATGGGGATGTAGACGAACGGGCGCGGGTTACCCTTTTCGGTTTTCTACTATCCTTTTTTTTCCGGGCGTTTTCTTGTCTAAACTCAGGCCGCTCTTTTGATTGTGGTAGCCTTAGGGTGTGCAATTTGATTTCATTAACGTGCACCTATGTCCAACAACGCACCATTATTCAAGCATTCTTTTGGCGCCGCTCTACCTTGGCCTTGCGATCTGGTCCTCTAAGTCACGACTTCCGACAGATGTTTCTTCTGGCACGCTTGCTCGGTCATACAACCACGTTCCACAGTCAAAGAAGGCACAGATCAGGGCTGCATCGACCTGCTGTTGTATTAGAATGCAGACGCTGATCATTTTTCTTTTCAATCGGTGTATCAGAGCGTGGTTGATACTAGGAAAAACAAGACATTGAGTTGTTTAAAGGTGCTCGCTAAGGATGAGGACACCAAAGCTTGAGTGTACTTTTATCGCCGGGATCGACTTTGAACTGCGCACACGATGAACAAAAAAAATGCCGAGGGAAGATCTGCATTGGAGACGGAAAAAAAAAAAAAAAAGGTCGTAGCAGACTTTGTATTCAAGGGCTATTTTCTTCAACCCACATTTTCTTCCAAACTTGATCCTTTTGGATCTTTCTCTTTCCTTTCAACCTTCGCGATGTTGATAATGCAAGGAGTAGTTTAATGAAAAGATAAACGCTAAAAGGGGAATGAAAAACGTGGTACGGGTACTAACGGGACTCTATTTGGTACAGCGGTTGGTTTGTTGAGTTTACTCGTCCATGCCCTCCCATGCCTTCTCCAGCTTCTTTCTCTTCTCTTTGGCGTTCTCAAAGTGCTTCTTGCGGTTCACATCGAACTAATATAGGAACATGGATCATAAAACGACAGTTAGGAACAGAGCGGACTAACTATCAGTGAGTGAAGTATTCGAAAGCTAGAGGAGGAGAGCAAGGAAGCTTTACCTCAGCCTGAAGGCAGTCGTTCATGGCGTTCTTGAGCTTGTTGCAACCGCCCAGGTACCGGTGGAGGATACCCTGGTTATGGCACTGGTCGAGTTGAAGAATGATGTCCTCGCAGGAGACGTGCTTGTGGAGGTCGAGCTTTGAATGCATTGTGTTGTTGTGTGTTGAATTGAAGGAGAGGGAGGGAAGTAAGGTTTTCGAATGGGTCGAGTGGAGGGTAAGTGTGGGAGATGGAGTGCTGAGCAATGGTGCGAGAGAGGGCGCTTGTTTCTCTTTGGCTTGTTTGTTCCTTCCTTCCGGGACCGGGAAAGTTGCGATAGGTGGATTGGTGGGCGAAAGTGATCGATTAAGGGGAGTGAGAATGTCAAGGAGGGAAAGAATAAAGGCGGCAGGACAATAATCTTTACAAAAACCTTTTCAATTTAAAAGAAGTATGTGACACCCTATAAGGCAGAGGGTGTAGGATACAACCATCATTGACGGATACCCATCCATCCATCGATACATCGACACACAAGCACAATAGTGCTCAGGATCAACCATCGGTATTCTCAGCAACCATTCGGCAACATCGGGAAAAAAAAATTGTCATCGACATATCTGGGACCCATCATCAACTTGCAAAAGTGATGCCATCAGAGAGATCTGATGGTGTTCTCTCGACAGACCGACAGCCAGACATCGGGCTTTACTCAGTTTTGGGTTATTTTGGCTGCTGGTTGTTAAGCTCACAGGCTAGGCGTGTCCTGGGGCACCGTATCGAGTTTCAATTGCACAGGAAACCAGTGTCTCAAGGCTTTTGCTGGTCGCCGTACTGATCGGGATCAGGATCAACAGTGAATCGCCCACTTTACCGTTTCAGGCTGTCAACAACAGTGCAGCTTGTCAGCGCTACGCTCAGAGCAACACCGGGAGCTCAACTCTTTAGCCGCACCAGCTGGCAGTAGCTTTACACCGTTCAAACATCAACAGCAACCGTATCAGGATCCTAGAACGCATACAAACCTGCAGACACAGATCGAGACACACCAACGATCAACAATCTACACCCTTTCAACAACCCTGCTGGCTTCCCCACAGGACACTACCGCACAGACCAATCAACCTCGAAGTAGCAAGTGAACTAACCCGGGACTCTCCAATTTCCAACCTTTTTTTCAGACAAAAATGGGAGCCTACAAGTATCTCGAGGAGTTGGCCAAGAAGAAGCAGTCTGATGTCATGCGCTTCTTGTTGCGTGTTCGCTGCTGGGAGTACCGTCAGTTGAACGTTATCCACCGCGCTTCCCGCCCTTCGCGCCCCGATAAGGCCCGTCGTTTGGGATACAAGGCCAAGCAGGGATACGTCATCTACCGTATCCGCGTCCGTCGTGGTGGTCGCAAAAAGCCCGTTGCCAAGGGTGCCACCTTCGGTAAGCCCGGTGGACACGGAGTCAACCAGCTCAAGTACCAGCGTTCCCTCCAGGCCACCGCTGAGGAGCGTGTCGGCCGCAAGTGCGGAAACTTGCGCGTCCTCAACTCGTACTGGGTCAACCAGGATTCGACCTACAAGTACTTCGAGGTCATCCTCGTCGACCCCTCGCACAAGGCTATCCGCCGCGATGCCCGCATCAACTGGATCGTCAACCCCGTCCACAAGCGCCGTGAGGCCCGTGGTCTTACCTCTGCCACCAAGAAGAACCGTGGTCACGGCAAGGGTCACGGCTTCAATAAGACCATCGGATCTGGTCGTCGTGCCAACTGGAAGAGACGCAACACTCTCTCGTAAGTGTCATTGCTGGCCTTTTGGAGCCATTCTGGATCCTCTGGATGCTTGCCCAGGATGTTGTATATGCATTTGAATTTCATGACATTAACACGTTTTTTTCTCTTTATTTCTTTATTAGCCTCCGCCGTTACCGTTAAAGCGCTTGTGCGCTACTGCGGATGGTTGGGAGTGTCTGCTGGAGGTGGTTCAGTGTGTGGTGCGCTCAGGTCTTGGTTCCATCTCTGAGCTTAGGACGTTTGTCTGTCATATTCTGAAATAAATCCTAATGCAAGATCGCTTTCCTCTGTTTCTAAACATAACAAGAGCTTCCTATCGACTATTTTGAAGTGTTTGTGGTAGGGGAAGTGGCTGAGTGCAGGAGACGACGAAAACGATAGGTGGTGCCTGAATAGCTCGACAAACATGGAAAGAGGTGTGTTTTTTGCACGCAATGTGAGCGAACGATGGATGGGCGAAGCAGAGAAGAGGGCAGGAGTGATATGTTTGTTTATTTATAGTCTTGTGTGGGTTTGATGTGCGTTGTCGATGCTCACTATTGTCCCACGCGCTCCTTCAAAAGCGCCAACTCCTTCCTCAAGTCAGCAGCCGCCTGCCTCTGCTCCTCATGGGCAAGCCTCAACTCCTCATAAACCTTTTGCTGCTCCTCCCTCGCCAGCCTCTGGTCCTCCTGGAACTGCTTCAACAACGCCAATACCGCCGCATCCCCCGCACTCGTCCCAGAACTCTCCCCTTCCTGCTGCTGAGACTGTTGCTGCTGTTGCTGAGACTGCGGCCAATCCTGGATCCCGCCACCGCTACCAGTACCACCAATATTTCCGCTAATAGGTTGTTGGACCTTGAAATCTGCAGAGTTGGTGAGGTCGGCAGAGGTGACTTTGTCGTCCATGATGCGCTGTGTCTTTTTCCTGTATTCGCGCACTTGGAGGGGTGTTGCGGTGTAATAGATTGTTTCTGGGAAGCAGTCGTGCGCCGCCCTGAAGCCTACGTCAATCAATCGCAGGAATACAAACACGTTAAGAAGGCGAACAATAGATCGTTTGCAATTATCATTTTCGCTTCAAAACCAGAATTAGAAAGAAAAGAAGCGAGAAAGGGAAAGAGGAAAGGGTTACCTGGAATGTCGTAGGTCAAGTTCTCGGCACTTTCGATATACCGCATCCGGTTGTTCAACCAGTCCAGTTCCCAGGTCCTGTCTCCGTCGTCGATTGCATGGTTGATCAAAGCTAGACAAAAAAGAAAGTAAACGCGCAAACAAGAGTTAGCAGAGTTGAGTGTACCAAAAAAAAATGATAAAGATGGAAGACAAAGGAAGAGGCTGTCAGGCTTACCGATGAGGACGTTCAACATGAGGATGACGGTGAAAAAGAAGAACACTATCATCATGATATGGAACCCGACATCGTTGTGGCTGAACCCATTGCTGACCGGATCATACATCCCGCCCTATGAATTGGTCATTAAAAAAGTAGAGCATAGTATGGTATATCAGTAATCTGTAACGGAAAAAGATCAACACGCCAGCAACCTCCATAAAGAGACACCCACTTACAATCATGAAGTAGGTCATGGAAATGACGCGGAAGAACCCAGGCGAGAAGCCTTCAGTGTACGACGAGCAGTCGTCAGAATTGGTGCACGTATGAAGGAGATGCATGATCGCCACAGAAAAGGCAAGGATTCCTCCTGCAAATACAAAGAAAAACACGCGGATCGAGGCGATGGCATGGATGATGATAGACACGAACTTGCAGACACTTCGTGTCACTCGCAGCTCAAACAGCTAATAGGGTATGGCGAGTATTGTGTGATGGTTAGTTGGTGGCTGGTAGGCGGTGGGGGTCGGCAAAGCAAAAAAAAAGATAAGGCGACGGATACATACAAAGTGCAGGAAGATAAAGAGGACGGAGAAGCTGAAAAGTGAGTTTTGCGTATTGGGATCGGATCGAACGAGCTGCAGAATACTTCCTGCCATTGGAAATACGAACGCGAATAGGTCAACCATATTGTAAATGGATCTAGTATGAGAATACGGCATTCGAAAAACGTTACTTTGGATGAGACTTCGATTCAAAAGGTGGCGAAAACCTGCGGCGAAAAAAGCCCATCCACTGGCACGCTTACCGGAAGTATTTCTTTTTTTCTTCGATGAGTTGGAAGAACTCGAGCCACAAAAAGATGGTCGACATGGTAATGATGGAGATGAAGATGCCGTTCAAGGTTGCTTTGTTGTCGTATTGGTTAATTTGAAAGGCGACGCCGACGAGGACAAGCACATAGTAGACACATTGCGCCAGGAAACGGAGCAGCCAGTACTGTAGCCCAATCGTGTTCCTATTAAATGTGAAACATAATAGCTTTAGGATGGGCTCGGCCGCAAAATGCACTTGATGTCAGACCAGCGGTGAAAAAATAAACAAACTTACCATTTGTACTCCACAAGGGCGGCGATGGCTGGGTTGTCGAGGGTCTCGGTCTCAAAAGGATGGCACTCGACGGTTGGGTTGGGGGTCCACCAAGATCGGCGCCGGGCCAACGCCGCCTTGAGAGCAAATGGCCATGAATACAAGCCCTTACCCTCACTGCTCTTCTCTGGATCCTCTGAATGCGATGGATCGGAGCCAGACTTGAGCCAGAGCATATCGAAAGTGGCTAGGTAGATGTCTCGTGAGAAGATATACTTGGGAGGGTCAACTGTAGGCGTCGAAGTGACCTGCAAGACCTGGTCCTGATACTGGTGGAGTCCCCTCGGATTGTACCTCCAAAACCGCCAATGGAAAGTGTATGGGTGTGCGATCCTGTGGTGGTCGACGATATAGTCGCGGTTGCGCACGGGTATATAAGCGAGTTCTCGGAAAAGCTCCAGCGTGACCTCTGAGTAGGGCTTCTTGGGATCCGTGAGTTCTTTCATACATTGTCGGATCGGGAGCAGGAAATGCGGGTCTTTTTCCAGTTTGGCCTGGCGGATGCAGTAGTCGATAAAGACCTCGGCGAGCTCGAATGCTTTGGGGTGTTCAAAAGTCTGGGAGAGGAGGCACCAAATGGGGTTGTTGCTCCTGACCATGTCGTGCCTTGGGATCCAGCGGCCGGTTGGGTGAGCGAGCAGTGCCTTCCAGAGTCGGACGGTCGAACCGTGAGTTCCAATCACCCAGTGGTGGCAAATATATTGCACAATGTTGCTGTCGCATTCGGTTCCTGGAATGTAGAGGTTGATGTATTTCCCAAGGTACTGTATGATGTCCTCCTGAACGTCTTTGTTCGCGCTCTGGAAAATCTCGGACAAGAAGCCGGCGCCGCCTAAGAAATCGGCCTCAGCACCACGGATAGGGTCATGGAGGTTCTTAGCGAAATCGACAGTCTCGTGGTAGGGCACGAGTCCATAGAGCTGTCCATGGAGGCAGACCTCCCAATCCGTCTTGAGGCTGTAGGTGTGGACCAGGCGAAGAGTAAACTTGCCTTCAGGGGTTGTCGGGGTGCTCCAGATCATCACCAGGCCATCGAGCGACAGGGCCAAGTGCGAGCAGTTGCCAATGAAGTTGACACGGTGAATGGTGAAGTCCAGGTCCTTAGGTAGCGGGATCGGCATTTTTATGAAAGGTATCATGTTCTGGTCGGAGACGGTCACGGTAACATACGGCTGGTCCGCTCGGCGGCCATTAAGGAGTACAGGGACCATCGATTTCTCCGCCTTGAAGGTGAGACCGGTGGGCGCAAGTGTTTCTGCGTAGCCATAGATGTAGGAATCATAAGCAAAGCAAGACTCTTGACAATGTCTCTTCCGGATGGACGGCGATTGGAAGATGCGGTCCTCGATGTTAAAGAGAGACACTTGGGAGATACCTACACATATGGTTTGCGGGCTGACCAAATCATCGAACGACGTCTCGAAGGTGTCGTGTCCATCGACAACGTATTGCTCTAACAGCGACATGCTGTCGACACTGAAAATACATCCGTGATTCCTTTGACAGAACGGCGCGCAGGACTTGAAGTCGATCATGATCTGGGTATCGTTGCGGATGAATCGGACGGAGCCAATCGAAGGGTCATGCTCCATATCGTGGACGGTGTAACTGGCGGCTCGGGTCCAGGTTGCGGTCCAAAAGATATCGACATGGTACTTTCCAGGGATTGCGATCAACCTCCCGTCCTTGGACATGGCCGTAGAGAAGCGCACCGCCTCGAACTGTTCGTACGTAAGATCCATGTAGGACGAGAGGCGGATGCCTTGCTCAATGTCCCATGTCGAGACTTCATACGTGTCCGGGTCTCCAATGACAACATAGGCGCCGTGGAGCTGCTTGAGCTGAGCGCCAAAGACGGTGACGGCAAACCTTGGCTCGTTCCAAGCTCGGTCCATGGGAATCGATCGAAGGTGAGCCCAGTCCCAAAAGGCGCTATATATCTCGATATTCACGCCGTCGCATGTCACAAACAGCTCGTCCTTGACATCCTGCTCCTGGGTGGCGACAATGTGAAAGGCAGCTTTGGCAAAGAAGCCATCGAGTCCAGGACACCGCTCCGTAACGTCGAACTTCCTGAAACCCGAGCCAGCAATCGTTCCTGGAGGGGCTTGGGTGTAGTTGGAGACGACCTTGTAGAAGGCCGTGTCGTTCTTGCCTGAGGGTTCTGCGGGTTTGGTATCGTTCTTGCGGCAAGAATTTTTGCTGACGGATTCCTCCTCCGTATCTGAGCCTGCGTCGACACGATCCAAGTCGATATAGACAAGCTGCGTGCCATCCCAGGAAAGACAAAGCGCGTACGTACTTTCTTCGGCCATCGGTAGCTGCATCCAAGCCACAAGCTGCGGTTGAGAATTATGGGTTGGCGACGATCCAGCTGAGTGAATAGATCGCTGTGAGGAACTGGATGCCTGCTTGGAGTGCAGTATCTCTGTTGGTGGTGGTGGGCCCCTGAAGTTCCAGAGCTGTAGTAGTCGGTGTTCTCCTGCAAGGACCGTGATCAAGATGTGTGATCCGTCTCCCGACATCGTGTAGCCAGCAATCGTCTTGGGTTCTTGTAGTTCCATATCAAGTCGAGGATGTCCTGTCCTGTTGACATCGACTGAACTGAAGAACGGCCTGTGCTCTCTGTACATTGGGTCTATGCGAATACAACCGGTAAATAATTAGTTGAGAAGCGCGTGGGAGGTCGTGGAAATATGTGATACAAATGTCAGCAGACTGCTTACCATCCTTGTAGTAGGCGCGGGAATCGATGAGGATGTCTGTGTAATGGAGTTCAATTGACCCATAGTCATCTGGTTCACCCTGCCATGTCTTGATATCCATCACAAGAAGAGTCGGTTCAGCCTCCTCGCCAAGCAGCACCAGCTTCTCGTGTAGCTTCCATCGAAAACACACCTCGTCGTCTTTTCCCGCGGAGGAACAGAGCCTCTTGATTTCCTGATACGTTATGACCTATGGTGGCGAAAAACAAAGCAATTGGAAAAAAAAAAATCAATCGGTTTGAGTAAACAAAGCGAGCGGAATAGGCGATGCAATGCATTACAAACGCTACCGGGGTTTAGATATGATATTTTTCGTGTTGCTGCTTACTTCAGACTTGACAGCCAACGAGTCTGGAAGGTTATGGTGGATTGTAATGACTATGGCCTCGACCGCGTCCATGTCCATGTTCTTGGTCGATATCCCCAACACGATGTCATAATGGGTGTTTTTCACACGCGGTGGCGCGGGGATGGTCCACTGTTTGGTTTAAAAAATCAGCGGGTGTATGCGAATAAGCTGTCTGGGAATCAGCGAGCAAATGCAAAACAGTACAATGAGAAAAATTAGACAGAGCCTTTTTTGTACCTTCAGGTATTCGGTTGTTGCTTTGAAGGCGATGGGCGGTTGTGTCCTGCATGAATGAATCAAGAAGAGATGATTCAGAGTGATGATGGAAGGAAAGAAAAGGAGAATGGAGGAAGACGCCGTTGGTGAGACTTTTAGACGCCGTCCAGTCATATCACAGTACAAGAAACGCTAGTTGATCATCAATCAAAACATTAAAAGAAAGGTATGATCAACCCAGGAAACGAAACGTACTCCTCCACAGGTCGTAGTATCAACTCATGTGCCAACATGTCTTCCTCTTGGACCTCAAAGTATGACCGATACCCTAAACAGCATTTGTGTAATTGAGATTGTACATTGGTTAGTTTGGTGGCAAGGTGGTAATGGATACACAAAAGGTACATCACAGGCGAATTGGAGTGAAGGTAACACATACGAGGCTCAGGGTCTTCTGTTCCTTCTTCCTCAATTGCTTCCTTATTTGTATCCTGGTCTTTCTGGTTGATAATAGGCAACGGGACTCCCAGAACCAATACATCGTTGTCAATCCTGCCCCCTTGTCCATGTTCCATTGCTGGTCTTTCTTCTGGTATGTCGATGACAACAAGGTCGTCCATTTTTTTCCTCATTTTTTTTCACACTTTTTTGCTGGTTGAAGATATGATGTGAGAGGGTAAAAGTTGATGGGTCGTTTGTTAGCTGCGGATGATGCGAGGAAAGAAGAAAATGAGATGGAGAAATGTCGAAAATACGAGTAAAAATAAAACCAGGAAACAAAAAAAAAAAGTCCATCCGAATCCTTTTGACAGGGGTTTATCCTTTTTTTTTTTTTTTTTTTTTTTGGTGATTCTCCTCGAGTCAATCTGGGAGGCAAGACCACCCACCCCGCCCCACGACACCACCACAAACAAAAAGAATAAACATCGTTCCCACTTCGCGGTTCTCTTGTGCAGACCTAGTGTAGCCATTGCTACAACTCTGCCTTCACAAAATGGTCGCCCTTCTTCAAAAAAGCGCAAGCTTCTTCCCAACTCTGCATTCCCAAACTGATGCAAAAATAGTTGTGACCCCCCTCGTTTTTTCCCCCTCTTCCCCTTTGCATCTTTTTACTCACCAATCACACGCACGTTACTTCACAGATCAAACACAAAACAAACAAATCGAAATTTTATTTCTGGCGCATCATGAAGTTGAAAGAAACCTTCGGGCACGCCTCAATGATGCCGTCCAACCCAGCCTTGGCATCCTCGCGATTGAACGACATGGCCTTCAATTGCGGCATCATCCTCACCAGCGCACTCGCCTGATGCTGCGTCAAGAACGGGTTCAGGTCATGGTACCTTCGGTACTCGGTGTCGACCAAGTAGAGGTGTTCGACAGTTGGGAACCAGATGAAGGCCTTTTCGTAGTCTTGATCGTCGGATGGCTCCCAGTCTTGCACAGCTTGTTCTTCTTCTTCTTCCACCTCAAGAGTTGGTTCCGGGGCTATCGTCGATGTTGTCGCTCCCAAATGATCGTCTTCTCTGGCAAGAGTATCGTCCGACCAGCTCAACTCCAAATTCGCCGCCAAAATGTGCGCTCTCGCCATTTTCAAGAACCGCAAAATCCTTAAATCCTGAACCCTCCTAAACAATATCTTGAACAGCTGCCTGCTGTCAGTCACATCCAGCGTCGAAATATCCAGATATGCCAACGTGCCCAGGCACCCAAACGTCGGCATCCGGAGGAGAGGATCCTTCTCGAGCTCATACATCCTTTCAATGGTGGAGAACGAATTGTCGGTGAACGTGGGACAGATGGCATGGCGGAGGGCGTACGAGTTGCCAATGAATCCGTCGATGGTGAGGTGTGTTAACCCGGCGGGAGTGCAGGCGATGGTGTCGAGGAGGACCTGGGGGTATCTGACATCACGGATATCAAGGGATGTGATCGATGCCAGAGGTGTCCATTCGGTGGCGTCCTTGTTGTTGACCGTGTAATCTCGATCGGCAGCAGGGTTGTTACCAAACACCGTGCGGCTGTTGTGTGCAGTGATCGAAAGTGTCAACGAGTGGAGGCTTGTCGATGGTCCGGTTAGAAGGGATGTTGAGTAGTCGATCCTGTCATTCTTTCTCGCGGCGTCAAGGAACTTGAACGAGTGTAGATTTGGACATGATTGAGCCAGGACCTTGAGGCTCTTCTCCACGATGAGAGAGCTGGTGTTGATGGCCTTGAACTCGACCGCGCGCAGTTTCGGGCAGGAACGGTAGACTAAGTCCATCTGGGAGCCCGGAAGTTCACAGTGGGCGAGGCTAAGAGTTCGTAGATTCAGGAACTGTTCGCTCGTCGGGAGAGCAGCTGGAGCCTGGTGATCCGCATCATGGTTGGCATCCTGGGGCTTATTCGATTCCCACGACACAGACAACGAGTCTAAGTGCTTGCACTCTCGACTGGTACGCAGGATAAGATCCCAATCACATTGCCGGTTTTTGTGGATGGTATATCCGTTGCCCGGTAATCCACCGGTGATAGTCAGCTTCCTCAGTCTTGTCAACGTGGGGACACACCAGAGTACTTCCGGTCTCAGACCCTCGTGTGCGATTGACAGAGTGAGCTCAAAGACACAAGGCAACTTGGAGAGTAGCGAGTCCAGAAGATCGGTCCTGCACTCGCTCCTGATCCCGAACCGTCGCTCCTGATCCGTGTTCTTGACTCCTGCGCCAGCGTTCTCCCGCGCCTCCCGCAACCGCCTCTCCATGGCCTCCGTATCAACAACCACCAATTCCGGCGAAAACAACTTCAAATGCAAAGCCTCGACATTGCGACACCGGTCCACAACATACCCCACAACCCCTTCCCGATCTTCCGGGTCATAAATCGACAATGTCAACGACCTTGCCGCAAGTCCATTCCTAACCAGTACCTCGCGATCCTTCTCGTCCGGATCAGCATCGATGAACACACGCTCCCAGAGGTAAGGGGCAAAGAGGCGCCACCAGAGCTTGCAGACGAGGACGGCAGATTTGAGGTGGACTCCCTTCAAGTTTTGACGGATGAGGTAGGATATTTCTGACATGTCGAGGGCGCGACCCATCGCCGAGTGAGGAGGTGCCGGTGTTGGTGGTGGCGATGCACTGGTGGTGTCGCCCAAGGAAGGGTCAGCCATGACGTGAATGGGTGTGAGAAGGAAAGAATATGTTCGATGGTAAGTGTAAAAAAAGGAGTGAAAAAGGTGAATTACGCTTCGTTTTAAGCTCACTCTGGACCCTCTCTCTATTTTTCAACGAGGCGCAGCGAGGAGCTACCGCAGAAGAGCGATGGCAACTAAGGTTGCCCAAAAGGGCTCTCTTCTACACTCTTTCAATATCAATTTACATCTGCCTGCGCGACCAACATCGTCGAGCTTACTCAAGGCGCGCACCGAACCGAGAATCAAATTACCCGCACAAAAACGAAACTGTATTGCCTTCCCCGATCGATACACGACTTGATCCACATAAAAATCGAGTTGGTGGCGAGAGAGCGCGCAGTCAAAGCTGATGAGATGAGAGCAAGGGAGAAAAGGATATCAAGGCAAGAGTATGAGTGTAATCTGAACGCTGGTTTCTACAATGGTTGCAAATTATGCGCAGGGAAACACTTTCATACGACATGCAATGGTAATAGAGCATCCTCGTCCTTACCGTTGTCCCTTCTATGCTGCTCTCTTCCTCTTCTTATTCTCTCGCTCTATCAGTTGAAGGGTGTTGAACTTGTCTTTAGCGCCTTTTGGAGTTGACATATCTTTGCCCCTATTCCTTCCCCTCGAAACCATTATCATCTCTTTCTTGTGAACCGGATGAAAAAAAGAAGAAGACGTAGCCTGCCTCTGTTCCATTTCGACAAGCATACTAGTAATACATACCTTTGACCTGCCCTCAACAATGTATATGGAGACAGGCGTCGGAACGAGTGCGAAGTGTCCGCGGCTGGATAGAATTAAGGTACAATTTATACCCAATTACACACAATTGTCGACACAATTACTAGCATGGTAGCTATCAACAATGACAGAGAGGGCGAGGGAGATTCAGAAATGTAGACGGTGCCGCCGGCCTCTTTGTGGTGGCGGCAGAACCCTTTCCGGCGCCCGTTTTCCGCCCACTTTGTGTGATTTTGTACTCTTTGGCAAGAAAAACACATCCGCATCGAGATGGGACACATATTAAAAATGAGGGGATTTTTTTAAAACGAGTCCATAATACGTGACACAAATATGCGCCTCATTCCCTTCGTTAAAACCAATCTTCTTTATTGTCATTTGAATCGCGGATGAGAAGAAGGGAGTTAAGGTGAATGTGGGTTGGAATGGGTGTTGCATGGTTCGACGTCGAGATTGAGAATGGCTGGTGCAAACACGTTTGAAGGCAAAAATGGTGAGCATGAACAAATAAACGTAGTGCAGCAGTACCACTCCTCATTCATCACTGGCCTCGCTTACCCAGCCCTGTCATTGACAACCCACCCATGCGCACCACGAAGGCCTCTGCCAAATAGGAAAGACGAAAGGGTGGGGAGCCGAGCATAGCTTCGCAAAAGAAAAGAGTCTGCAGCTGCATGCAATCAATCCAGCCATGCTTCAGACAGGCGCATACATTTGTATGCATGATTTGTGCTCGTGTGGCAAGGCGAAAAAAAATTCTCCCTTTTTTTGCACTGTAGAAAGAACGCACCCCAAAAAAACAAAAAGAAAGGAAGGGAGCTGTTGATGATCTATTCAGCTACTTTCCCTTCCTACCACTTCAGTTCCAATACATTTTGTGTCCGTTTCTGTCCCCTTGAAATTCGCCCATATCCCGAGTTCTATATATGAAGGAAACACGATGTACCTATTCCATCCTCATTCTGCATTCTATTATTTCTTTTGTGAAGATTGAGAGTACGTTTATTCCGGGAGCCCCATGGACTGTTCGGTTGCACATGGAGTGAAAATCAATCATGCGGTAGACCAATGGTATATCAGCTGAGTAGAAGCGCTGAGAGACCCGTAAGTAAGTCAATAAAGCTCTTGGCTTGAGAAATATGCCGATCCTGGTAGCGAGCTCCTGGATAGCGAAGACACGTTCCACTGCAGATTCCATCGAAGTAGAGTTTGGGACTGGGGACAGGCTTGTCGAAAAAGTGAACTCGAGAGGCGTCTTTTATTGCCACTGTATGAGTTACTGGTTTAGTTAATGGTTGCTGTTGTTATTGCTGTTGATTGGGGTAGCTACTAGAGTTGTTAAGGTGGATGGAAGAGAAACTCAACAAGTTGAGCCCCTATGAGGCATACACAAAATTAACGCCCGTGCGAACAAAGCCATCAATCTTAATGGCCCTTCTGACCGTTAAGGGTTGTTCTTTACTTTCGAATTGGCCGATTTGACTTTTGAGCTTTCAATACTCTTTTCCCTTTTGCAATTACTCACCCACACAACCAGCATCGCGCACATGGCATCGGCAGATAAACAGACATTTGAGAAGGGAGCCATCGTCAGCGCAGACTCGGCCTCAGTAAGCAGCACACACACAGAGCTCATTGCTAGTTTTGGCTTTGGCAATGCACAGTTGCATTGAATTAGTCGCAAGGTATATTATTTTTAACGCCAATTATTGTTCGTCGCTCTTTTTGTCTCTATCTTCCATTGAATAGCTGATCGCCCTGGCAGCCGAGGTCGCCAAGCACGACGAAAAGTTCCAGCGCGTCAAGGGTGTGAAAGGAAGCATCAAAGTGCCCCGATCCGTCAAGGTAAGACAATTACCCCTTCCACAGACCACAATCTTCTCCACCCGTGTACCGAAAAAGAACCATTTTGCTAACCATACAGCTATCAATTGACCAATTGAACATAACAAATAGAAACCAACAGTATGGCAGAGACAGAATACGGGTCTCTCAGGACGCAGCAAACGCCACGACACTTCGACAGCCTTCCCGGACCAGCTCGATGAGGCACAATCGGCACGGAAGGCAGCATTGGAACGAAAGGCGAAGATGTACGAGATGCTGAAGCGTGATGGTGGGGAGGGTATTCCGGATAATTTGCGGGAGGAGCTGTTGGTCGAGTTTGACGATCCCCGGAGAGGTGGAGGGCGTGATCGGTATAGGAGTGGGAGTGAGGATGAGGATGAATATAGGGGAGAGAGATTTAGTTCGAGAGGACGGAGGCGGACTAGAAGCAGGAGTTGGAGCAGAAGCAGGAGCAGGAGTAGGAGTAGGAGTGATGATGGTTGGGATCAGGATGAGTCTATGCGAGTTGCCAGAGACCCAAGAGACTACAAGGTACGTTTCATCACTTGAATCGTCAAGGAATTGAACTCTAGAGAAAGGACAAACAAAACTCATCTATGCTGTTTTGATCTTTGTTCATATAAAATAGGACGATCCTTGGGTGGAACATGTGGACGAGTTTGGGCGATCGAGACTAGTACGACAATCCGAGATCCCACCACCTCAACCTTCCAGGAATTATCACGACTCTCCAGGGTGCGTTCTTATGTCCCGCTATCAAATGCCAGGAAATGTCAATTGTGGATCGCCGAGACAATGAACATGCTTTACTCACTATGATCCAACTACGTTGTTGCATCCAATCTAATAGGATATATAACCCGGCAAACCCATTCCCTGTATTTCAGAACCAGGATGCAATCGATAAAGAAGAGTGGATCAAGGACGCTACAGGAGAAATGACTCGAGGTGCTGCGCGAAGAAGACCAGGGTACTCACAGGCCAACAAAGTGCGACATTACGACAACACGGCTGAACGGCGGGCGCGCGGTGTGGGCTTTTATGCTTTTTCACAAGATGAGGAAGAGCGCGCGAGGCAAATGCGTGAACTGCTTGAGATGCGTAATCAGGTAAGGATGACATGGATGCGCTGCTGAGGTTTGATGGGGCTGTGGGCGTGTTTTGGTATACTGTGTTTATTAATTACATATCTTGCTTTCGTTCCATGGATGATAGACGGAGACGTCGAGGTCCAAGCACAGGACACTAAAGGACAAACGGCGGGAAGAGATCGAGGCACGCAAGGTCCTGATCCAACAGAAGCGGCTAAAGTCTCTCGCGAGCACCGTCGCCTCCTAGGACAGCGTCTCAGAAATAAATAAAAAAGCGTCAACAACAACGAACGCAACGACAATGGGAGGATCGGGATATGGATGTGTAAAAATACTTTCCGGGATTTATTTGATGTGACGAGATAAAAGTAGTGCTGCTGTGTCAGGTCGGCGGTTGTAGTCGCAGAGGAGGAGAACGCCGAAGAAGAGGAGAAGGAGAATAAGTCTTACGCTTGAAGGATATGAAGGGGGACTTAGCTGCTGTTGCCTTCCCTCGCTCAAGTGAGGTATGGACTTGGAAACGCGACGTGGCTTGTGGTACCGTTTTGGTGAGGAGCGGTGGTAAATTCTCAACCTTTCTTGTATGGGATAGCAGGAATTGTTGATTACAAGAGAAGAATGGTAACATCGGATATCCTGGTTCCTTGACATTGATTTCCTTCTTTGGCAGCCATTGTTCCCTCTCACCGTGAAAATTTTCCAAGTGATATTGCTGCTTGCAAACCCTAAACCTACAATGTAAACTGCCATCTACTGTTTCTATGCAGGCAAGCATATATGCGCTTGTTCGTTGTTAGGGTTAGATCGCCTACTCTTGCGTCTTGAGACGACAATCTCAGAGACATTGAACTCGGGAAGATATATCGCCGAAGTACTGGTACGATAGGTAACGGCTGGTGATGCTTGGACTTGTCTGTCATGATCGAGAGGGTGTTTGCAAAAAGGTATAAAAGAGGGGAGAGGGTCACTGTTCTATCAACCATCAACCAACAACCAAGCAGCAACAAGCCCTACCAACAAGCCTTACCAACAAGCCCTACCAATACAATCTCAAGACTCCCTGCAGACTCACAACACTATCTCTCAACTCTACCTCACGCAACCACGATGGCCCAGTTCAAGTTCAACAAGACTACCCAGTCTCCCTCAACCATTTGCCTGCTCCCCTCTACCACCATAAGCACAAGCCAGAAGCCCGCACCCGTCATACTTATTGGTCCACCCGTCGGCCAGACTGGCGGCAAGCTGATCCAAAAAGAGGCTGTTATCCGCGTGCTCTTGCGGACCGGTGGTGATGGCATCCCTCTCCCTTCCACTGTTATCTAGTATTCCTTCCTTCTTGAAGTATGGGAGTTGCGAGGGCTGTTTTTTGAGGAGCGAATAAACAACATGTGGAAAAGTAACGATACTCTTTTTGACTAACTCATGCCAACACATCGACATACACACACCTTCGAATGCCCAGTTTTCTTCTGTTATGAACAGCCTCCTTACGGCCAGCAATATGCACAAGCTTATATGGCAATAACGATACAATAAGAACACCTGTTGCTATAGGAAACACGACCTGGCCCACATTCTCACACAAAGGATTGATGATAGACAGATACTCGAAATGTCATCACCTCTCTCTCTCTCTCTCTCTGTCCCTGACGTTCATTGGTCTCATCGCCCATCGCTGTGACCTGTGTCCCTGAGTGATCAAAACATTTAGGGAAACAGAAACGGTGATTGCAGAAGGGAAAAATAAAACAAGGATATCAGCCAACCTCTTTCACTCCTCTTGCAATTCGGATGAGGGAACACTTGTACTAGCAATTGCAATGAAAGGCGGACGAGCAGGTAAATGGGGGTTGACAAGGGGAGAAGATAGAGAAAAGATTTGACATGTTTGTTGACAAGGAAGAGCTATTTAAATGGCGGAGATAAGAACAAAAGCGGTTGGACCCTCTTTGCAATTCCACACTTGGAAAAAAAACAGGGGGTCCTTCCCAGCCAAGCAAAATTGTGTACCTCACCCACTTCCCATAACCCCCTCAGAATAAATAGAGCATCCCCTTTCACTTGCTTTCACCTTTTTTTTTTCTTGTTTTTTTTTTTTCTTTTTCTTGGTCTGGCTTCTGGTTCTGGTTTTTGGTTGGATTCACAACCCCTTCCACCTTCCTTCACCAGAAACCGATACCGCCAGTCAAGTCATTCCTCGGACTCATTCCCCTTTCACCTCTTCTTTGATCCTCATTCAACATGTCAATGACACAGCCTTCTGATTCAGCCCCTGCTACCAGCAACCAGGTGCACACTTACAGCGCAGGCACGCTGGTGTATGAAGTCAACTTGTCTGTCCCACGCGAGAAGGCCGAAGATTACATTGACTGGCTCCGCGGCTTCACCAAGGTACTTTTGAGGGACAATGATACAGCAAGACTGCAGTGTACAAAGGAAGCAATTGAGAGTACTTTATTGTGCTTACTCGTCATCTTTCGTCAGCAGTGAGGGCACGACAACAATGAAAGAGTGAGAAACAAAGAAAGAAACAGGTTCGGCCTTTTATACTCACGCACTTTTCCTTCCCTTCCTCCCTCCCTCCCCCCGCACAACCCTTTTCAACTCGGACAAATAGGAACAAGTGAAGAGGATCCCTGGGTTCCTGTCGACCATGGTCTTCCGCCAGCCCAAACCCTGTAAGTTGTTTTGAACAAGGTCGTCTAAGATGAAGAAAAGAACATGGGTGTTTATCCCATCACCCTCATATCGAGCCCAAATTAGAGTTTCGATTCGTTCCTGGGTCCACTTCATCTCCTTCCGGTTGTGAACCGTACCCTTTTGCCCCGCACTTTTTCACAGCACTTGCGTTCATTCAATCTTCCTTAAGTCAATTTACATCCACGCCCCTATATCTAACACCTCTTATTTTCATAATTCTAATTCTAATAGACGGCCTGCATTGGTTGTCGGAGGAGGGAAACGCAAAGACATACATCACGGTCCACTACGTGATCGAATCGCAGGCACATCTGGAAGAGTACCTCAAACGCGACCAGCCCGCCGTCGCTGCTGCTGAACAGGACCGCTTCGAGTTCCTCGTCACCAGCCGGCGCACCCTCAGCGTCGTCTGCTAGATTGTTCTTTTTGTAGGCAGTCCATGTTGCTATATACCATTCATTCTCACGTTTTCATTCATTGCAGTCAGGGTATTAAAGCAGATATTCTAGGCATATTTATTTGTTCACGCTGTACACGGTGTATATGATAGTGTTATAGTTGTTGTTGTAGTAGTATGGTGTTGCTTCTGGTATGTTTTGTTGATGTTACTGCTTGTTGTTGTTCCAGCTACTTTTCGTAGTTGTTGTTGATGGTTGTATATGTTTGATATGACTCCACTATCCTGTCGCAATCGCTTCGACTTATTCCGTGACGTGATACATAACCTTCTCCTTGTTCAACACCTCAGACTCCAAATAAGCAGGCGTCGGTGCCTGGTTATAACTCGAAGCCACAGGTGCCCCATAAACCATCTTACAAGGGACAACTCCCGAATAATGCTTCTTGCACAGCTCCTCATCCTTGGTCTCCTTCAAATCATCATTCACTCCGCCAATCCTGTGCTTCGCACTCGCTTTCTCAATTCGGACCGCAATGACTTTAGTCGACTGGAGGTCGATCTTGTTGGGGAGTCGGGAATCGTTCCAGCGGTCGGCGTGGCGGAAGGGTTGATTGGTGATGACTTCGAGGGCGCGGGATTTTTCTTCGGGGTCGGTGACGAGGCGGCCGTGACCGAAAACGACGGCGGAGAAATAGTTGAAGGAGTTGTGGAAGGGCGACATTGCTACTATCAAGGCATCTACTTGCGAGACCTGTTGGATCGAAAGGGAGGGGGGGGGGGGAAGAGAAGTCAATGAGGGTTAGAGTTGTGGTGGAAATAAACTCACGTGTGGTGGTTGTGGGAGTAATTTCCAATTGCGCAGACGGTACACGCCGCAGTGCCCTCTCTCATTTTTCACAGATTTCCGAAGTTCCGGACATTTTGGAGCTTGGGCACAAAAGAAAAGCAAAGAATGGAGGTGGGGGGGTAAAGATGTGCTTACGGTGATGCAGACTTTGGGGAGGTTGTCCGAAGAAAGCGCCTTCATCATGCGTCCACTGACAAATCTACAAGGACATAAACACAAGGCAATTGAGAACCATTGATGTTAGTCTCCCTCTTCATGACTCGCTGTTTTCAAATCTCCGAGCATGCTCCTGAAACTCCTGACAATTCCTAAACACATACCCATGGATGTAAACAGTATCCTCGATACGCCCATAGCACATGGGCATAACAAAAGGCCAATCATCCTCCTCAGCAACCCCGGGGGGAAGAGTGAACCCGACGTGGGCAAGCATGTTGTTGTCAAGGATGGAGTTGATGGCCTCGGAGTCGTAGTGGGCTCGGTCCTTTAGGCGGTGGACTTGGTTGATGTCCTTGTGGGAGGTAGGTGTGTAGTCTGTCATCGTTGCTTCTTGTTTCCTTTGCTTGTTCCTTGGGAGTGGTTGGTGGAAGGTAGTGTTCCTGGAGTTGAGATGCTTGTTGTTGTTGGGAAGACTGGAGAAAAGAGAGGGGAAATTCGTGAGAAAGTTCGGCTTCTTTATACCTTGGAAGGTAAGAGAGGGAGGGGTAGGGGTCCAGCTGATCGATCGATTATTTTGTTTGTTTGTTTGTTTGTTTGTCTTCCTTCTTCTTCCTTCACAGCTTCTTCATCCTCACAAATACACACCTTTTTACTTGTGATAGGTACCATCACTACGGCAACCTTCAACATCGACCGCTAAAGCACGAAAATAAAGCGGGTGGGGAAAGTAGCTGCGAGGATGCAGAGGTTGATGACTCTTTTTCGACAAACGACAAAAGACAAACAGATAAAGGAACACTAAGCAATTGACCGAGACTGAAAGGTATCCACCACACTCACTTTTACACGATCAATCACACGCCTTGACTTCCCCTGACTCCCGGACTCCAAAGGAAGCAAAGGAAACACCTTAATATCCCATTAAAGTTCCCAGGTCATCCTAGAAAAAATAATAATGAGGCAGCACAATATCCGATATGCGGCTGCGCTGTTCGTTCATTGTTTTGAAGATCTTTGGGGTGTCGGTGGTGGGAGAAAGGTAACGCATAACAAGCATGATACGTCGGAGACTAGTGTGTCTTCTTTGTTCCCTTTGTTCCCGCTTATTTGTTTCGCGTCTTGCTATTTCGGTAATTTCGATGCACAATCCGTAATTTTTTAGCCGTGGCTACCTATGCAATGGCGCAATACAAGCAGATGGACAATGTGTGCTTGACTAAAGGACGAAAAATAGGTTTCTTTGTCTAGGGAAAATAACGGTAGGGAGATGATTACTATCAGTGGGCGCGCGTGGTCAAGATAAAACACCATAGGACAGACATAAGACAGGCAGACATAAGAACATGCGATTAGTTGATTGTTTGCAGATATCCATATACGTCCGCCTGCGGATCCATTCCTCCGGGGAGGAAAAAGACCGTAGGAGGATGGAGGGACGCGGGTGGCTAAATAAAGGGTGCCATAGGACAAACATAGGTCAGACAGATATCGTTGGTCAAAGATAGTACGAAGAGCATTCAACTCGTCGTTTGTATTGTTTGTTTGTTGGTGTCCATGTACGCCTGCTTGCGGATCAATTCCTCGGCTGCCGCTCGTCCTCACCCTCGTCGTTTTCTTTTTTATAGCTACTTACGCCCTGCCTGCACTCTGAGGGTGTGAGATTGAGGATGAAAACAAAAAAGAGGGAGAGGGACCAGAACGTTTTGAGATGGTCCAATTGCTTCAGGATTGGTTGAGGGCCTAGCCTGGATCAGCAGGGGTCCGATTTGTAAAACGGTATCAAAAAAGGACGAAAGAGGGTTCACCCTCCGAGGCAAAGAGAGGCCAGGAGGAAAGTGAAGGAGGGAAAAAAGGAAGAACCATGTGCAGATGTTGAGATAGACGCAACAAAAGGAGGAGCAAGGGAAGCAAGGAAGGAAGAAAACGACAACAGGCGCATGTTGCTATTCTCAGTACTGGTGCACTAGATTTGTGCTCACTCAAACAGAAGACAAGACTAGACAAAAGGAAAAAACACTCAGAGGCTTGGGCACGTTTTTCATTTCAGACTGACTGGATGTTGTTTTTTTGATATGTCGGTGTCACAGCTGTTTATTTTTAGCTGGAAAAAATATAGTGCAGGTGTACACAACACTCACAGACGTAGGCGAAGGCAGAGAGGCACAGATGATAAAAAAGTCAAAAAGTGGCATGGGCGTCGACCCTCAAAAGGAGCGACAGGCCAAAGGAGAGATGAAACAACATTCCAGGTTGTTGTCCCTGGTGGTCTGCTGGCGCGGCGTGCCTGTTGTTGTTGTTGTTGTTGTTGACATCGTCGTTGTTGTTATCGATAATGGGAGACAAAAGGGCGTATGAACAAAAGACAAAGGGCATCATATCCACATCTCCTCTTGTTTTCTTCTCTTCTTCTTTCTCTCCTTTTGGTCTGAATACCCTTGTCCTGCCCCTACTTGCACTCTCTTTTATTCCCTTCACTTCACTTCTCTCATTCACTCATTCCATCTTTCTTCTGATTCACAACCAAACCCCATCTCTTTTCCTCTCCTTCAACTCGAATAACCACAGCCAGACACACACAGGAATTGGGCAATCCAATTCATAATCGCACCACGCATATATTCCCTTCCTCCCTTGCATTAACGTAAAAAATAATCACAGCACGATGTCCGGTCTGCGAACACGCAGGTTGCTTGCACTGGGCGCTGTCGTCTTCTCAGGAGTCCTCCTCTTCCACCTCTTCTCCACACGAAACCCCTTCGAGATCGACCTCCGTCTCAACGATATCACTTCCTCCTCCGATCAACGCCTCACTCTACCAAATCATTATCAACAACAACAACAGCATCATGATGCTCAACGCCCCAGTATTCCAGAGCCCATGCCCGACCCAGAGAACGTGCTTAAACATATCCAGGATGGATCTCGGAAACCACAGGAACCCATCTTGCCAAAAGAGATCCCTAAACCAAAGACGACTCTGGATCCAGAGGTCAAGTACCTCGGGTACCTCATGTACGGTGGCCTCACCAACCAGGTAACGGCTTATTTTCAATTGCCACAGCAGCGTCCTTGGTCGCCTTTTTTTTTTCTCAGGGCACAAGAAGGATGATAAAAAACTTTTATTTTTAAAGTTTTTTGCTTTGCCGCTCATACTTTCAAACTAACCGACGCTTCCTACTTTTCTTCCTTTGTTGTTGTTATCTTTCTCCTGTTTGTGTGTTTGTGATGGGTTTAGTTCATTGCCTTCCAGAGTGCGGCGTTTGTGGCTCTCAAGCTGAACAGGACACTCATCCTCCCACCCTTCATCACCACCAACCACGACGAAGAGGTCGCTGCCCAACGCTGGTCTGATTTCTTCGACCTCGACCGATTCACACGCCTCAGTGGCCTCAAAGTCGTCGAGTGGCATGACATCCGACCGCTCTCTCCAGAACATGTCCACATTGGCAACAAACAGGTCCGGTCCCATGGACGGAACAACCCTTGGTGGTCGAAGTTGGCCGAGACCTTGACCATCCATGTCACCTATGGGTTTGGCGACTCTGAGAACATCCATACGACGGAGCGGAACTTTTTGCGCCAGTTTCTGTTGATCCCACGCTATGTGCGCCCACCACGAGCCCATCGAGCAGCAACAACAGAGGGCGAGGAGGAAGAGGAAGGGGAAGGGGAAGAGTACATTGAGGATGGGGTGGGTGTGGGAGACAGCGCCAGCGACTGGGCTCAGAGTGGAACAAAGGCGGCGTCGTCAAAGGATAACAACAAAAAGGATGACATCTTCCTCCTGGATGACGCTGTGGAACGTTTTGCTGAGTACAAAAGTCAAGTTGTGTTTCTGAGCCACACTTACAAACTCAAGGACCCCCAAAGCCCACGATCATGGAGAGATATCGGACAATTTATGCACTTTAACGATAAAGTAATGGACTATGCCCGCAAGATCATTCGTCACCGAGCGCCCGAGGTCATCTCGGAGACGGAGGGCAAGTACATTGCTATGCATCTGCGTCGAGGCGACATCTGGATGAAGTGTCGGACAAAGTCAGCGGAGCAGATGATGGATTGTATCCCACCTCTGGGACACTACGCCGAGATGGTCGACCTGGCCAGGAACGCAGAGGGCAAAAGATTGCCCGTCTTGGTCACCACGGATTCAAAGTCCGAGGAGGATTTCTCGACCATGGCCCGGTTGGGCTGGAAACGACTCAATCATGACCTGTACACGACCGAGAAGGTGCTGGGCATCTTTGGACCTGCCATGGTGGATGCAGCCATTCTTGCGGAGGCGGACTATATGGTTGGAACTCAAGTGAGCACGATGACACGGATCGCGGCCAGGCGACAGTTAACATGGCATGGACACGACCCACTCTATCCACGCACCACTACCTCCTGGACACCCGAGAACTAGTAAAACCCCGGTTTGGCAGGGGTTGGTTCGCCTTTTCACACAATGACATGACACTCCTCCTTCACATATAGCGACACGCTTCAACATATTACGACATATCATAGCATAGAACACATTCCTTCCCCCTCCCTAATCCTTGTAAAATAACACTCAACTCACTGGCCAAATAACGATGCAAAGAGGAGGCGCGAGTGGAACAAGGAGGTATGCATGAACCATGGACATACTGCAGAGGCAAGACTACAGTCCTCCTTCTTGAACGCCACCGGGGGCGAAGTCCCAATATCAATTAGTAAATTGTTCGCAAAGTGCAGTTGTGGTGAGTCAACAGCATGCAATTGACCGCCCCCAGGCTTAGCTATTTTTATTCCATATTTCACACACGCACACGAATGCAGAGAGTAGCAGTAGTAGTGCCTTCAATTGATCTCCCTCCCTTTTCTGGGTTGACTGACCGCAGCAAAGGCCTCCCCCTCCTTCCTTCTTTTGCTTTCTTTTCTTTATTCATGCGTCTTCTCGTCTATGCGTCAACAGACGGATGGGATTGTGTGTGTGAGCCCGAACCTTTAAAAAGGGACACCCGTTTCTGTTTCTTTCCACTTCTTTTTCAATATATCACACCTCTTCTCTTCTTATTCACACACCCACACGCACAAGTAACACAAGCAAATAAGCAAAGCAACAAACCAAAATGGGCTCCATCAACGACACCAAGCAGGATATCGATGTTGTTGGCACCACCGCCACCACCAACACCACCACCACCGACAACAATGCCCATGCCAATGAGGCTACATCAACAGCAACAGGAGAGGCAGGAACAGGGGCGGGAAGAGGTGGAGGAAAGGCTCAAGCCTTCCACCCTTTAGAAACCGACCCCTCCGTCACCGTTCTCTCCCTCACCGTCCCTCCCGCCCCCATCATCCCTGAGAAGGATGAATCCCTCGAAACCGCTACCCCCGCAGTCCAGCAAAAGGAAGCATTCTTCCACATCTGCCTGGACACTTCTGGGTCTATGGCCGGGTCGGGGATGCAGTGCGCAAAAGTAGCGATGAAGGAACTGTACTCTCATCTTGTACAGAATTGTCGAGTTCCTGCAGAGAGGATCTCGGTGTATTTGTATTCGATGAGTTGTTCTGTTCGTCAGATGGGGGTGGTCGAGGATGATTTGCGGTGGATGGATTCTATCAATGCTGGTGGAGGTACAGTTGAATTGGTTTTTTTGTTCGTTGTGGGTGGGAAAGATGGAATGGGGACTAAGAGGAAAGAAGGTTTAACCGTGAGGGCTGAGGGAAGGGAGTGTTCGGTTCGATTATCGTCTGCACCGCCCGCTCTCTCTCTCTCTCTCTTTTACCCCTGATGCTGACCAACTTTCTCTTTGTACCCTCTTTGTCGACTCTTGTTTTCTCACACGCTCTTTCCTTAATCAACAAACCAAAAATAGGCACAAGCTTCGGAAGTGTCTTCGAACAGCTCATCGCAACCATCAAAGGCCAGATCGAATCCGTCACCTCCAACACAACCGCCACTACTCCACTGGACGTCTCCTCAACCCTCTTCTTCTTCACCGACGGCGCAGACGGCGACCATGGACGCACCCACCGCCAAAAAGAGATCATCGAACCATTGCTCAAGAACACTGCTCGGTTAGAGACCACTGTTCATTCTTTCGGATTCACGAGCGGACACGATGCGAAGCTGTTGTCATGGTTGACGAGCACGGGAACGGATTTGGGCTGCTTTCAGTATATCAAGGAGTCGAAGGATATCCAAGGTGCTATGGAGCGGACGGCGGGGTTGTTGGATTCTTCGGCTATGAAGGTTCAGCGCAAGATTGATCTTTATTTGCCTGCTGGAGGAGAGAACCATGAGAGCGATTGGATGACGGTCAAGTTGGGATCGGATGATCTGACGGGCTCGACGGTTGCCAGGAACAGGAACTTTACTGGAGCGACGTTGCTTTGGAGGGAGCATGTTCCCGACCCCGAGGACGGAACTTCTGTCACCAACACTTCCTCGACGGTGCCGGTTGCAGGAATTGATGGAGTCCAGGAGATGAAGGTCGACTGGCTGGCAGAGGACGACGTTGCCAGGATCCTGGGGATGACGACATTCATCCAGCATGAGCTATTACGAATGGTCGAACAGATCAACGCCATCGGCTCCTCCCGCGAATCCGCAGACGAGAAGCGTTCCAAACTTGGCCAGATCGATGTCCAAACCGAGGCCTACGCGAAAGTCCTGGGTACCCTCGGCTTCGCATCAGCGCGAATCAAGGTCAAGACCACTCGGGAGCCCTGCATGATCGCCTGTTCCCAGACCCGGTCCATCCTCCAGTCTTTCCTCACCCTCAAAGCCGACGCTCACAAGCAAGGCGGGTCAATTTCCAACACCTCCCTGGCAACGTTCAACTCTTTGGCGTACGGACAGATCACAGAGGCAAAATTGAAGGCGAAATTGAATTCGAGGGCGGGGAAGAACACGGCGTTGTTTGCAGATTTGGATCAGATGGTGGAGGAGATTGTGAAGGGGTTGGATTTGGATCGGTTGGAGGCTGAGGAGGAGGAGACTGGGAGGTTGAGGGAGTTGTCGTGTGCGTTTTCGACGAACAGCTATGTTGATGCTTTGAGGGATGGGGATTGTCTTTGCATGACTCTTGATGGTACGTTTTCATTATTCTCTTTTGTGCAACATGAATGATATGTTATGAGTGAAGTATGGTCAGCTAACCTTTTGGTCGTCTTGTTCAATTGATATGATATAGTGTCGCGAGGAGCGGGAGCGATTGCGGACCCTAGTCAGTTGGTGATCAAATCCATCTTTCCAACATACCTGACGTCATCCATGTTCACCATGGCATTGGGTCACTCGCTGGCCCAGAACAATCCCGAGAATGTCCATGGTGGGTTTGACCGTGACAGCGATGCCAGAATTGCGCCTGGTCTTGCGCACGAGAGTATCACTGCGGTCATGCCCCTCTATATCAATGAGCACCATTGGAAGGTTGCCCGCTTGCGCATGAAGGTATGTTAATGTGCGTTCTTGTGTATTTATTTGTGGATACAATTATTGTGGTGAATATGCATAATGACAAGAGCCCTTTTTATGCATCCGTACACAAAATAGCCGATCCTGGGATATGTGGTGACGCTGGACGCGACGGGATACACATACAGCCAGTCCACCACAGTTCCCTTCCTCGTCCTCGTAAAGGCCCTGGAATCCCACCCCATGACCGAGCACAAACAACGTCAGATCCGACTCATCCTCGAAACCTGCGACCAAATCTACATCCACTCCAACTCTCTCCGTCAATCCACACGAACCATGGTCCAAGAGTTCTGTGCATCCCACACTCAGCGGACGGTTGATGTGGTCACGAACAACTATGTCTTTTTGGGACAGGTCATTTGTGCAGTGAGGGCTGGAGATATTTCGGTGGAGGAGATGAAGGGGTTGGGAGAGAGATTTGAGACGGCGATGGTGGAGGAGCAGGTGAGGAGGGACATGTCGTGGAGGATGAGTGAGGATTTGATGGGTGGGGTTTTGGAGTGGTTTGATGTTAATCGGCAGAGGGATATTGTGGGACCTGGAAAGAGGTACAGGGAGCAGCATGGTGCGTATGTTAGGGGATTGGAGAAAAACTCTGGGGCTGAGGAGGTTGAGGGGAGGTACCGGGAGCTGTTGAGGCAGGCGAGAGTTGTGCAGAAGGTTCCTGTCAAGGAAAAGGTCGAGCCTGCCGCTGTTGCTGGAGGAGTGTCTCCTACGACTGTCACGTCTTCATTGTCGATTACTGAGGAGGAGGGCCAGGCAGGAATGCAGAAGATGGAGGCGCCCGAGTTCAAGGTGCCAACGATTGATCCTGTGGCCTGGGAGTTGACCGAAGCCTCTCTGGATCGTTTGTCCTTGATCCAGAACGCGGTCTCGGGAGGCGTCGACAAGATTCGTCGTCTCCTGGCCGTCATCCAATCCCCCCTCGATGCAGATCTCCCTGAGGTCTTGACCAAGCGGTTGGGCGCTGCTCCGCATGGTGCGCTAGCGGACGAATTCTTTGCCCGCTACTCGCGCAAGATCGTCCTCGCGACCCTATTGCAAGCTTACGCGCACACCCGAAACTCTGACCGCCGATCCGTCGAGAACCTCATGACACCCTTCGAACGCCCCCTCCCCCTCGGGCCCGACGGCAAACCCCTCCCCGACGATGACAAGGCGACCGACGAAGCGATCCAGTTCTTGCACTCTCTGTACCAGGCAAAGGTGACGATGCTCGTCCAAGAGATCGTCGCCAAAGTCGAGGGGGATTACCTGGAGTCAAAGAAGAGTTTTGCGGCTTCGACGTTTGTGAGTACTCTAGACCTGGAAGTTGCGGCGGGGGTGTTGATTGAAGCGAGGACTAGAGGTGGTGCGGGAGGCAAGTTGATGACGGCTTGTGCGAGGATGAGGATGGTGGGAGGTGTGAGGGAGAAGATGTTGATGATGCTGAGAGGTGTTTATGAGGGCGTTACGTTGTTCTCCGACCACCATTCTGGTAAGTCTTGGTTCTCTTCGTTTTTTTGTTGGGTATTCGTGCTATGCATGCTAATGGATCTTTTTCGCTAACGTATCTTTATCACTCCATTCCAACCAAATAATTAGGCGAAGACGAGGCCGAAGTGGAAGAGGACAAGAACGTCTGGCACCCCTGCAAAAAAACACTCTACATGCTATTCACGAACCACCACGACGAGCTCACGTTATCCGAGTGGCGGAATGTCCACCCCAACCAGTACGAGGATTACATCTCGTGTCGGTATGTGTTAGATGGGTACCTAGATGAATTGACACCTGAGGAGCGGAGCGAGTGTAGGGACGTGTTTTATGGACTCTACCCCGATTCTGGACGTGCTGCTCGGGGATAAGGAGTGAGGAGCCTTTTTTTTTATTTTTTTTTGTATGTAGTTGTTTAGCGGATGAGAATAAAGTGTTCGTGAAAAAGTTAATTGATGTTGTTCGCGCGGTTTGGTGTGGTTTCGGTGGTCTATTGGGGAGCCATCATGGGTGCCAAAGGTATATCCTAGCACATCGGCTGTTGAACCAAAAACCGACCCTTAATGGAGTGATCAAATGGGCGGTCAAATCTTCGCCCAAAGCCAAGGGAAGGCAGGGACAGAAATAGCCGCCAGACAGCTGAAGCTCAAAAAACGTCACTCCACAACGAATGAGACCGGTGACATGTCGGTCATCTCGTCCCTGCAATCGTTTCTCCTTTTCTTTTTTCCCTTTTTCATTCAACAACCACACTTTTCCTACATTAATACCTCCCCCTCTCCCTTTATTCTTCCGTCCGTCACAAGCAATACAGCAGTAACGTATTCGACTCTAGTTCCTCGCATTCAAGCAATGAAAAGAACACTAGCATCTGCCATGGGCTACATGCCACACCGTCCGAGGGATACACGAGCTAACTTTCTCACGCGTCCTTCCTTCTCCTCCTCCTCCTTGCACTTTGGTTTATGAACAAAATAGTGTCCAGTCAGACAGGAATCAAAGGTACCAGGACCCACCCGCCTGCCAATACCTTCCACCTTGCTCCACCTTCTACACGCTGGCCCTTATTCCGTTACAATTGCCTCACACCTTCTCGCACTTCTCAACACTAACGTCTCCTTCCCTTGCCTCCTCTTACCACCTTAGTCTCGCAGAAGCTCTCGGACGCATGGAAGCAAGCAACAGCACCCGGCAGCAACGTGCGTGCAGTCAAGGTGTCGATCATTAATGAGTCTCTGGAGGATGATGGTCTCTTTGATATCCAGGGAGCCTTTGAGAAAGGTACGTCGAGGTCTTCATTTTCGGCTTTGCCGTCTTACCCCCTGGTTTTAGAGTGTTGGCTGCTGACAGTGTTTTTTGTCATCTGGACAAGAAAACACGCAATCATACAAGACAAAGCAAAGTGAGAAATGAAAAAAGGGCGAAAGACAAGTGATTCTCACTCGCTCAACTTTCTTTGCTCTGTTATGTGAACAAAAACAAAAAACTAGATTTCGCGATCGTGCACGAGAACTTGGCAGAGAAGCAGCCAGCATACTTTTTGGTCCGTTTGGGCGACAGCAAGACCTCGTCCGAGTGGATCTTTTTGTGCTATGTCCCCGATGTGGCCCCTATCCGTCAAAAGATGATCTATGCTGCTACACGCGCCAGCTTGACTAGGGACCTTGGCGATTCGCACTTCTCTGATTCCATCTATGGCACCAACAAGGTACTTTTATCTCGTTCATAATTTCGTGATGTTTTTGCTGGATCACTATCATTGATGCATTGGAGCATGCAGTGCGTTGCAGGATAAAAATATTGTTCGGGATATTAATTGCAATTGAAATAATATACAAATCAAAATAGGGAGAATTTACGTTGGACGGCTACAAGAAGCATAGGGCCAGTTTGGCAGCCCCCAAGCCCCTGTCGGAGCGTGAACGTCAATTGGCCGAGATTCGGGCGAATGAGAAGACGCTTGTCGAGAGCATGAAGGGTGGCACCTATAGAAAGGCGCATGCTCCAGGAATGAGCTTCCCTCTTACGGACAAGGCTGTTGCTGCCCTCAAGAAGCTTGTTGTCGCTGCGCCAGCTCCCGTCGCTCCTAAGAAGAAGGTCGCGGTTGCGTCGGCGGTGCCAAAGAAGTTCAGCAGCCCTGCTTCGACGCCCTTGCCAGCCTCGCCTGTTGCCTCGCAGGAGAGCAGTACTATTAAGGCTTTGGAGGAAATCACCGTTAAGGATGATGAGTGGGATGATGATGAGGCTAAGGAAGAGAAGAAGGAGGAGGAAGTCGTTGAGGCACAGGAGGCCGCTGCTGAGACTGAGGAGAAGAAGGAGGCTGACGTTGAGGTTGCTGTTGAGGAGGAGGAAGAGGAGGAGCCCGAGGTTGTTGCCAAGCAGGAGCGCACCATCAACTTTGTCAAACTCGTAAGCTTTCTTTTCTTTCTTGTTTATTTAATTTTTCTGGTTTGTCGACGAAATGCTACATGGATGCTAACTATCTTTTAATCGTGTATGACATAATATATAGGCGATCGACGCGGAGAATGAGAAGATTGATTTGGTGAGCGAGGCCAAGTTGGGGGCGAACGAGGTGCACAAGAACATTGACGAGGAGGCACCCCGCTTCACCTTCTTTGCCTATGAACACACCCACAACGGCACCGCCCACGACTCTCTTGGTAAGGACACTCTTTTATCGGAACTCATGAACCATCGCAAAACGAAAATCGTTATTGAAACGTCATGAACAAAAAAAAAAAAAAAGGCGCTCTTTGCTAACGTTATCTCTCGTTGTTGTTCGTTCGATGGGACGATAGTGTTTATGTACACATGCCCAAGCAAGTCCAAGATCCGTGAACGCATGCTGTACTCGTCGTGCAGGGCGGGAGTGTTGCAGGGCGCCAAGGAAGATGCGGGACTGAATGTTGACAAGAAGCTCGAGACGACAGATGTCTCTGATCTGACGGAGGCGTTTATCCTGGACGAGTTGCATCCCAAGACTCAGAGTGCGTTTGGTACTACTACGGGAGTTAATAGCCCAAGAGGGTTCAGCAAACCTGCTCGTCCTGGTGCTCGTCGCGTCATGTAAATTGGGTGTGGTGTGTTGGTCTATGTCGGTTGGAGAGGCGCGAAAGGGTGGAGAGGAGAGGTTTTCTTGGTTACCCTTTTATTGGGATTTGAGAAAAATAAATATCTCTTTTTGCTAGAGATGCGATCTGGGGCGGCACTGGTAAGGTACTGTGTCCAAAAATAACATGCTGGCTGAAGGAGTCACTATGAAGCGTATGGATTTTGGTTCAATTGAAGGTGTGTGTGTGTGTGAGCTAAAAGTGGATGCGGGCCTTGCTGCATGTATTGCGTCTTTTGCTCTTACTAGGTCTCAATTTGTTTGTTTGCCTCGTTTCTCTTTCCTTTTGGTTTTCTCTCTTTTTTTTTTTTTTTTCTTTCTCTATTGCCCAGTTCTACACGAAAAGAGAAAATGTAACCAATAGAAGAATAGTTGAAGCGAGGGATGGATAAAGTCGGATCTGATAATTCGGGGAATGAAATGTTCGAAGGTGTTCATGGGGTTGAACGGGACGAAGATCGAGTGCCATTGGATAATTTGAGCGAGAGGAAGGACAGAGAGGGAGGTGCAATGAGGACGGAGCGAGAGGAGGAGGAGGAGGAAAGGAAAAGTAACCCCGGTCGGAGAGTGGAGAGGGCGTGGGAGGTGACTTGTGGTTCGCGTCTTTTTTTCTGTGAGTGAGGCAGGGTAAGGAAGGAAGACAGGACGAGCAGGAGAGCAGAGTGAGTAAGTTACATTGATGGACACGACACCATGTGTTTGTCAAGGTGAATCCGATGAGGGGATACCCAAGACTAGCACAATTGACTAAACGGAATAAGAATGGGTCGTTTACCTTTGGTGGTTTTCTATAATAGCATGCGTTTGCTGTACTGTACCTGTACTTGTCGTCATTTTCTATCCCTCCTCCCCTTCTCATTCTTATTGGAGCAACGACAACATACCACGCCACACTCCTACCTTCCATGCGATGCAAGGGTGAGATCCCTTAACCCTTGTTCCCTTGTTCCCTCGTTCCAAGGAGAAATAAAAATTCAAAAAAAGATTCGCATTGCATGTGAAAGCGTGCAAAAATGGCACACAGACACTCACACAAGTAAAAACGTGATGCTTTGTGTGCCTGTGCCCTACGGAAGAGTGCTCGCTTAAGGAGTCCGGGGCAAGCTCCAAATCAGGCAAGCACACAACGACGAGTGAGCAACACAAACAAACAAACAAACACAACTATAAACAAACGGTGTGAGAGGAGGGAAAGAGACGCACTGCAGCAGTGTCATTGAGTGAACACAATAGAAAAAGTCGATGACACATCGAATTCGTAACCCTCATTTTGACTCTTTCATACTAGTGTCTTCATTACACTGTCGGTTTCTATGATGAGTTGAACAAAAAGGGTAAACAGCGCAAGGCAAGAGTAGTTCGAATGATGAAAGTAAGCGTGGTTGGGTGAGTTGACTTGTTTTCACCACACCCCTCTGGCTCTTTCGCCCTTCCTTTTCGTTAAAAAATAGACGAATAGCCAGCATTTTATTTTTCTAGCCAATGGGTGTTCACATCGCGCCCAGCTTCGATGAGAGATCGGTTCCCGGTGGTGGGGTGCAGATGAACACGCAACAGAGGGGGAGGGGGGGGACTGTTGAACTGAACTCAAAAAAATATGCGGGGTCAGTTCCAGGTTCAAGCTCTCAGGAAACGACAAATAGGCCATATTGGTTGTTCTTGTTTTCTAAGCAATTGATCGATGAGGAAGGAATGAACAAAGAGCGGGAGAAGGGAAGAATGAAGGCAATTAGGTGTGAAAGGCAAGGGGTTTGTTGTTTGTGAGTTACGAATGTGAGTAATAAACAAAGGAGGCAAGAGAACAAGTGGTTGAGAGTGAGGATGTGCTGGACTCAGGATGTGTGTTGTTTGTGTGTGTGTGGGTGTAGACGAATTGAAACCCGAGACCCACGGACACAGACAATGCGAGGAAAAGGGGCAGGGAAATGCAAGTCCGTCCAGCAGGACGACCGTCCGTTGCTTGCTCTCCTTAATGTTCGGCTAATTCTTTTGTGGATGAGGAGGGATACAAAGGGATACACACAGATCGAAGTCGTAATGGAGAAGAAGAGTAACAGTATACAAAGGAGAATTGAGTGGGTGGGTAAGTAAGGTTGGCAGACGAAGGAGAAGAAGCGGTCGGGCTCGGTATGGCTTGTCTGTGGCTGGTCGGTCGGCATGGCATTCACCCTTTTCAAACCAATTGCCTATTTGTCACCACCCACATAGAAGTACACAAAGCAAGATCGGAAAGGTACTTTTACTTTACTTTGACCTACTCACTCACTCTTACTCTTATTCTTCTTTTTTTCACGGCCCTCGGCTCTCGCGTGCGGGTGGACAATATAAATATCTTGTTCAGGCGCAACCTCCCTTCACGTTTTTTTTTTCTTTTCTTTCCTCTCTTCTTCACACTTCGTCATCCCTCTTTCCACTCCCCCCTCTCTTTCTCCCCCTCTCTGTACAGTTCTATCACCACCCCCTCCCCACTCTTCTCTCTTCCTCACTCCTCTCTCATCACTCGATCTAGTTCATTGGAACCTCCCTCGCCGGTCTTCTCCTCTCCCTACTTCAACAAAACACCAACTACATATACCAACTACACCAAAATGGCTGCCAGAGAAAGGAAGTCCCCATTGGTGAACCTGATTGCCGGAGGATCCGCCGGCTTCATGGAGGCATTGATCTGCCACCCTCTTGATACCATCAAGGTCCGCATGCAGCTCGCCAAGACCGTCGCCCGCAGCGCCACCGTAAGTTTACTTTTGTACTGGCCCCGAGCTACTTTTTTTTGCCTGTCACATTTTGAGGTTCTTTTTGCAAAAGAACAGACAGCGCAGTTTCGGAGGATGACAAAGTATCATGGACCCTTGCTTTCCAACTGGATGGTTTTCAGCGGCTACGAAGCCATGTCTGGAAGCTTTGTGTTTTCGGGATGAAGGGAGATGAGCAGGATGGAGATTGATGAGTCGACTCGAGGAGATGACAACCTTGGACCTACGACATTTTACCCCTGCAGGCGAACCGTGGACAGAAAATGTGCGAACCAGGAACAGAAAAATCTGGGAAAGAAAATGTCATTTTGCTTTCAGTTCAGGGCTCAGCTGCCAGCAGAACTTCTTTATTTCTTGCTTTCCGCTATTGCACCTTTCACAAATACTGGCTCAAGCACTAAAAATGAGAGAAAAGGAGAGCGTTTCACACAAAAAGTACAATGAGAAGGAAGGAGGAGAAGAGGAGCAAATCATCCTCTCTGGTTCATCATTTCCTTGTGGGAAAACGTTATTTGGAGAACAGAGGAAACAGTCGCATTGGCGCCCAAATGGCGACATTGTGGATGTTGGATCTGATATGGTTGCCATCCTCTTGGAGCTGACAAGGGTTGGTTGAAGAAGGCACGGACTGACAATGCGGACAAGGGCGGGTGGTGAAACTGACACTCTGGCTGATCACGAAGAATGTTCACTACATTCCTTCCTGCAGATCATGTCAACAATGATCCTGTACCATTCATAATTGATTTCTAACTACTTCTCGACACCTTTTTCTTATCCCATCTCCCTTCAAAAATAAATAGGGCCAGAACTTGTCATTCTTGGGAGTCGGTTTGAGGATCGTGCAGCGCGAGTCGCCCTTGGCTCTCTACAAGGGTCTCGGAGCTGTGACGGCCGGTATTGTACCCAAGATGGCGATCCGATTCACGACCTTCCAGTTCTATAAGGACGTCATGGTCGACAAGGACGGCAAGCCCTGGAAGCTCAACAATCTCTGGGGTAAGTTCTTATTTGATCTTGATAATCATAATTTATTTGGCGAATATTCGGTGTGGAGGAGAGACGGGGCCGAGAAGTGGAGGAGTCGAAACGGCCGAGTTGCAGGAGTGGGAAAATGAAAAAACGGCCAAGGTGCAGCAGAGAGTGGGAGTACAAAGAGAGGACCCGACATGGAAGAATGGGGAAAATGAGCAGATTGGATGGATAGTAAGATGGGAAAGGGTTGAAAGAAGTAGGAAAAACTCAGCATGGGACACTCTACATGCCAGCGCCATTACCTCTGGGGATGAACCAACTCAACTCAATTCCCCACATCCACACCCACATCCCACGCCCACGTTTCTCACTGCCGCCCACACTCACGCCTATTCACCCAACACACACCTCACACGATCGATGTTCCCTCAACGACATCAAGAAATCAAATGAAGCAAAGAAGCAACGTGATTTTATATGTGTCCCTCCCACTCTCCAACTTTCCCACGCTTTCTCATGGGCTCCTGAGATTAATAATTTTTTTTCTTTAATCCCCCCTTTCCCTCATAGCTGGTCTGCTTGCTGGTGTGACAGAGGCCGTCCTGGTCGTGACCCCCATGGACGTGGTCAAGATCCGTCTCCAAGCCCAGCGCCATTCGATGGCTGACCCCCTTGACATTCCCAAGTACCGCAACGCCGCCCACTGCGCCTTCACCGTTGTCCGCGAGGAGGGCTTCGGAGCCCTCTACCGTGGTGTCGGTCTCACCTCCCTCCGTCAAGCCACCAACCAGGCCGCCAACTTCCCCACATACCATTTCTTGAAGGGATACCTCCAGCGCCTCCAGGATATCACCGAGTTGCCCGGCTACCAGTCGGCGGCCATTGGACTTATCTCCGGAGCTATGGGTCCCCTTGTGAACAACCCCATTGATATTGTCAAGACCCGTGTTCAGAAGACGCCCAACCCTGAGGGTTTGAGCGGCTGGGCGAGGTTCAAGGATGTTAATGGATCGATTCTGAAGAATGAGGGATGGAGGGCGTTCTATAAGGGTGTTACACCTCGTGTGCTGCGTGTTGCTCCTGGACAGGCGGTTACGTTTGCAGTCTATGAGCGGGTCTCTTCGTGGTTGGATTCGAACTCTGACCGCTTCAAGCTTGCCACCGCTACCGCCAAGTAGAAGTAGTTTCTTTTTTCGTTTTTCTTTCTAGTATTATCTCATCGTTCAAACACACACACATAAAAGCATTCTCATTGTTACCAACTATTCTCGCCATTGAAAAAAGAACCCATCTTGCTTTTTTTCTTTTTCTTAAACTCCGCCCATCTCGCCCTTTTGTTCACACCAATTTCGAATATTTCGTCGAGTAAGCCCCTTTGCGTGCTCTCTTAACCCCACAAAATTTGTGTTCGTTCGTGTTTTATTCAAGACATTGAGCACTGTCCTCCTCTCCTCCATTCACTGTTTGTCATCCCCATAACCCTGGGGGGGAGATTAGCTAGCTACGTCCGCCCCTGAAAACGGGGGATAGGGTGGAGGGAGAAGTGGCTTATTCAAACTCGGGGAGGAGGGCGTCATTGATGCCTGGAACCTTATGATCAGCGGGGTTGGCCTGCAACTCGTAGACCGTGATAATCGGATCGCGCTTCAACTAAGTGTTTTTTTTCCATGGAGTAGATTAAATAATTACAACTTTGATTAATTTTCTGTCCTTGACGTACTGTATGGTTCGTCTCTTTCCACCGTAGGATATTAGTGAATCAATGGAGCCCCTAACTTCAGCACATAGGAGAGCCTCGGAGCCGGGACTCTCTCTGTCTGGTAGGCTATAGAGGTGTTCAATTGCATATCTAGTAGGCAATATACGCGTGAAGCAGGAGTAATTACCTCGGAGAACTCGCCTTTGAGTCCAATAAAGCTGATCTTGGTGGTCTCGCCTCCAAAGTTTTCGCTAAAGAACAGTGTCAAGCTACGGATGCTTGAAAACTTTGCCACCCTATGAGTGTTATTTGTTCCGCACAGAAAGCCCAGTTGTCAGTTATGGATATGAGCATGGGTGCGTCACCTCAAACAAAAGCCGTCAGTTGAAAAAATAGCCCTGTCGTGTAATATCGCTCCAAGTAAGGAAAGGAGGAAAGTACCTTGTAGAGTACTCTGCCACTTGTCCATGTGTATCTTCGACAAGATCCCATTCCTGAGTCGGGACGGTTGACTCTGCATTATCGAAATCCAGATCGTCCTTGTTCACGAAACTAGTCCATCGTAACAAAAAAAAAGAGCGTGACCCAATATGTGTCAGGGTGTTAGTTTTGACTTCATGATCCTGTCTTGAAAATGACGCAATAATTTGACTAGGGAGAGTTTTGGAGGATTGAGATAGTCGTGGCAGGGTGTCGGTGCTTGGCAAGAGACGTACGCTTTCATCTTGCGGGGTGCGGTCTCTCCAGAGTCATTTCTGAGTGTTATCGACTTCAGCTTGACCAGCCCTGTGAATCTAATGGACCGGTAACAAGAAGATGAGGTTGTCAAGATGGTTGTATGCATAGAGTCCAATTTAACAAGGACGGCCATGAACAAAGAACTGGTTTGTTTTCAATTATTGAAGCTCCTTCATATCATGGGTTGTTCACGTACGGGATCCTGAAAATGAGCTGTTCATCCGCGTCACTCTCCACAAACTACCAGCAGATCACATAGAAGAAGAAAAGAAGACTGTCAGGACACAAGAATTCTCACAAAGATATCCAACGATCAACCCCATCAATTCAACCATAACAGTAGAAAAGGACCAAAAAAAAGGTACCTTGGTATCGTCCATCTTCTCGTGCCAGGGTTTGAGAACACTCCGCCCAGAGCCGGGCACGGCCTCGTTGAGACAGGTGACATTGTCGTGGTCGATGCGTTGGTAGAGGGATTCATGGACCAGTCCGGAATCGGGCGATTCGTCATGGTCGTGGTCGTGGTCATCGTGACCGTGTCCGTGGGCGTGTGCTTCGTCGTGGCAGTGGTGGCTCATTGTGAATGTCTGTCGTTGAGGGTTGGTTGTGGGTGAAGGAAGCGATGGAGTCCAAGTTGGACTTTTGAACCCTTCCTGCTCGAGAAAAAGAACGCCTGAAGCGTGACTGTGAATCAGAGAATCACAAACTTCGCGCGACGTTGTCTACGGTTGAAGATGAAGAGCTACGTAAAGAACCGTACAGAGAGAAGCAGAATTGAGCACATAGTCGCCATAGCTAGGCAAAAGAGAGGCAGGGAAGGAAGGTAAACTACGAGTATGACAATGATATGTTATGAAGGCAAACGCCATCGGCTATTCTTGATGGTTTTTCCGGGACGTTTGGATTTGATTTCATTGGATCTTTGAACGTCGTTGTTCAAACTATATTTCTAAGAGGGCATTCGATAACAATTGACCCGGAGAACATGTTGTGATGCCTTGGTTGAGGCCCCCTTTCATTGACGTGCGCAGTTCTGCAATAGTGGTTTTGGGAAGAACTCTGAACAAGGAACGTGCCTGAAAGAAGTGTTATTTGTCGCCGGCGAAACTTGTATCCGGTGGACGTGCATCCAGTGTACTCCGCATTGTGGTTGTTCTTGGCAGAGGGTCAAGGACAGTGGTGATGATGGTGGGCAAAGAGCGCCTTGTGCGAGAACAAAGGAAGACATCGTTCCAGACTCCGTCTGTCAATGTCCTTTCGCACAATAATTGATCGAACCAACAACAACAAGTCCAATGATGCATTTTTTACTTTTTAAGAAACATTATACATTTATCCGGATTCCTGCCAGTAGCATAAATAACAAGCATTTTTCTACTTTTCTTTTTCTTCTTTCTTCGTCCTCCCAACTCCAATTCCCTCCTCATCCACAACAGACAACAAGAAACAAAGATGACATTCGTTGAAGCCTGCTGCAACACCCCACCCACCAACACCGAGTGGGTCAACAAGGGCGTCGACAAGGTCCTCCCAACAAAAGTCAACGGCGAGGATAGACTGACCTACCGCACCGGACCCAAGGACTCCAAGCGTGGCATCATCGGCGTCTATGATATCTTTGGATTCCACCCCACCACATACCAATTCTTCGACGTAATAGCACTTTCTTTTTTTAATGCTATGTAGTTCGTGTTCCTTTCTCTGTAGGAATTATTAACCAACCATGTCTTAATTGTCTTTGCAACAAATTAGAGATTGGCGTTGGCAAACGGAGGATTCCAAGTCTCAGTCCCCCATATGTTCAAAGAAGCCTCCCCCGCCGCACAACTTATGGGCAACCTCCCCGCACTCATGGAATGGGTCGGCAAACACGGCAGCTACAAAGAGTCACACCTCGACGCCCTCATCCGAGCAGCCATCGAGGATCTCCGTGCGGACGGATGTACCAGTTTCTCGATCATTGGGCAGTGTTGGGGAACTTGGATTGCAATCCAGGCTGCGTCGGAGGAGGATTCGGTGTTTTTGGCGGTGGGTGGACCTCATCCTAGCAGGACTACGATTGAGGCTGTTAAGGATGTGAAGTGTCCGTTGGTTCTTGTTGCCACGAAGGATGAAGCCGATATGGTATGTATTTCGGAAGGAAAAATAATGCAAAGTGGGAGACAAAATGCCTGATGTCAACTAACTAACCCTTATTTGTTTTTTATTGTAATTTTAAGATCCCAGTGGTGGAATCGGTGAAGCATAAGAAATTTGCGGTCGAGTCGTTCCACAAGCGGTTCGAGAACATGCACCATGGCTTCTGTGGTGGCCGTGGCGACTGGACCGACCCGGAGCAGTTCAAGGCTGGCCTTGAGACGATTGACATCTTTGCGGATTACTTTGCCAAGGTTGTTGAGGTCTCTGAGCAGCAGAACAAATAGAGGTCTTTCAGAAACAAAATATATGTCTCTTTGTCATGTGATTGTGCACTGCGGTATAGGATGTGGGGTCGTCGCGTAGGGATGACAGGTGGGTTTGGACTATGATGTAGACTTCGTGTTTTTTCATCTTTGAATGAATATCTGGCGCAACTGTCTGTACACACTCCTTCCATCTCCCTCTCCATGTAATGAGGTGTTTTGGTGATGTAGAGAAAGAAGGGTTCCGTGGAGGATAATACTGTTTCTCAGAGAGGCTGCCAAGCTACGAGTACTATGCAATATGAGGCGTTAAAAGGAGAGAAAAAAAGTTCGGCGCGGGGTGTCATGTTTGTCCAAAGCCGTGCATAATCTAGATCATCTATGGACACGATTGTCCAACCCTATTACCCGAACCACCTCTCGGTCCGTATTCAGCTCAAGCACAGGAGAGGGACAAGGAGGTGGACCCTGTTTACACGGAGCGCGATTGTATCCTTGTTGGGCAACGTAGTTGGAGTTGGATAAAATAGCATCATCTACCTGCATGCACTTTATGGACTTTGGTCCAATTGGAAAAGATCAAATAGTCATTTGTGCTTTATCTGCTTGATCCGGATGTTTGTTGTTTTTTTAATCGATCTTGCCCCTTGTCCCCTTGGCCCTGAAAAATGTGCTCATAGGCGCGAGTAAAAGAGTTTTTTTTTGCAATCTGTGATGGCATTGCTTTTGCTGTTGTATTTGTTTACGCTCGTCCTTGACTGGAGGAATGAGTTCACAGTGATAACAGGCTAGTTCCATTTTGTTTTTGTCGTGCATGAGGTAGGGAAACGGAAAGGAATGCCGATGCTGTCGATTGTTACCCATGGTAAGATCAAAGATTACACTGTGAGAATCAACATTCGGGCACCAGACTTTTGGCAGAATGAAAGAAACCATGCATTCTTGCTGAAACTCGCATCCTTTTTACTATTCCGTGGAGCGTTTCTACAGATGTACACACGGCATAGATAGGGTGGACCCTTCTTTTTTCGCATGCTACATTAGATAAACATCTTGAATTACACACCGAGCAGGACCCGGATTGGATAGTTTTGTTGTTGGGGTAAAAAGGGAAGGAGGGAGAGCGCGAACAATAAAGGGTCCATGCGACAATCCAAACGCATCTCAATCGTTCGCATCGAACACGGAACAGGGATCAAAGGAGCAAGAGTGGATGTGGGGATGATGGGAGACTGATAACGTCTTACCCCTGTGCGACATAATTTAAGGTGTGACAATCAGCGCTCTTGATCACAAATTATATCAATGGGAAATTGAGCTCGCATGCTGTTGAAATGGGACATAGGGATAGCCGGCGTGGACAAGGGTCCAATGTAAACACGGTTAACAGTAAACAAAACAAAAAGAAAGACAGATAGTTTGCCTTACCCCTGTCCTTCCCCTGAACCATATCTCTTTTTTTTTTTTTGGCGACGGAGATTACAACTGTGGCTACTTTCACCTTTGTCTCCATGGAACTGATTTACCTCCTGTCTGGATAGCCGCTGCGCCTAGTTATCTTCCCCGCATCAATAAAAAGGCAGCCCTCTCCCCCTATTTTTTCGCCTCGTTCTTCAGTTCTCTCTCACTTCCTCAACCACAAAAAGCACCCTTCCCTTCCTCTCTCAGATGAAATTCTCCATCCTCTCTGTTGCCGCGGCAGTTGTCGCGATTGCAACGGCTGCCCCTTTGACAAAGCGCGCCGACAGCACCAGCGCCGTCGTCGGATACTGGGTCCCCTGGGGTGATGTCCCAGTCTCTGCCCTCGACATGACCAAGTACACCCACATCAACTAGTAAGTCTCCATTTCCCTCTTCTTGTCCTAAGCACACCTTGGACCTTCTTTTTTTCCATGCGTCTTGTGAGTTGCAACGAGCACTAACATATTTATTTCTCCTTTCCTATTATATCTTCTCCTTAGCGGTTTCGGTGTGATGTGGAAGGGTGCCGCCTCTCCAACGACGATCACGATCGACCGCTACTACGACGGTGAGAACATCCAGCAGCTGGTTACCCGCGGTAACGCCGCTGGTGTACCTATCCTGATCTCGATCGGAGGCTGGACTGGTTCCCAGACCTTCTCAACCGTTGCTGCCTCTGCTGCCTACCGCACGACGTGGATCAACAACGCCTTGGTCTTTGTTCGCCAGAACACCAACGGTAACGATGCCGACAACCCTAACGGATGGGGTATGGATGGTATCGATATCGACTGGTATGTTCTCTTTTTTTCTTTTATTCGTCGTCTTTTTTTGCTTTTGTGGAAATCCCCACGTATTGTTTTATCCTAACCGTTCTTTTTTTATGTTGATGATGATAGGGAGTACCCTGGACGCGAGGGAGCCCCATGCAATGTGATCTCGCCCCAGGACTCTGCCAACTACTTGCAGTTGTTGAAGGAGTTGCGCGCTGCTTTGGACCTCGAGTTCCCCACCAAGCACAAGCTCATCACCGCAGCCGTCCGTGTCCAGCCCTTCGACGGACCCGGTGGCTCGCCTATGAGCAACGTCGCTGCCTACGTCCCCTACTTTGACTTCATCTGTAAAATAACCATTCGTCATTCGTCATTCGTGATGTGTGAAAAAAACATATGCAATGGTATGAGATTCATTCTGGCATTGACTAACCAAAGTTGTTTTTTGTAACACCAATAGCGGTTATGGCGTACGATATTATGGGATCGTGGAGCGCGGTAACTGGCCCCAACGCACCCTTTGGCACTCCTCCCGCACCCGGCGACCCCTTCGGGTTCGTCCAAGCGATCAACTCGTGGCGCAACGCCGGTTGGCCCGCAGAGAAGCTGGTCATGGGCACTGCCTTCTACGGCCGCTCCCTCACCGCAAATGTCAACATGGACACCCAGAACCCCATCACGCAATACGTCCCCTTCTCCCCCACCGTCCCCAAGGGTGGGCCCGGCGATTCCCAGGAGGAAAACTTCTATTGCAGCGAAGGAACCGGCTGGAGTGGACAATGGAAATGGAAGGAGCTCCGTGGTGGTCCCCTCGCTTCGGGTCCTAATTCCCCCGCTGCTGGGTGGACGCGTCATTGGGATAACCAGACCCAAACTCCTTGGTTGTTCCAGCCTTCGACCAAGACTTACATCTCGTATGATGATATTCAGTCGTTGACGGTTAAGGTGAACCAAGTCAAGAGTCTCGGATTGAAGGGAGTCATGCTCTGGGACGCGTCGTACGATTTCAATGGGGAGTTGATTAATGTTCTCAACCAGGTCCGTGGCCCCACTCCCACGTCGACTGTGACTGCTTCGCCTTCTTCGACCATCACGACGACCTCGGTTACGAGGACTACGACCGCTATTACGACTCCTCCTCCTTCGACAACGACACCTTCGACTACGACCTCTCTCCCTGGTGGACCTTGTGTTGGTGTTGCGTCTTGGAACAGCGCTACGGCCTATGCTACCGCTGGTACTAAGGTCACCTACGGAGGTTACTTGTACACCAACCAGTGGTGGACTCAGGGTGAGACTCCCTCTGCGGCTGCTTGGGGTGTCTGGACGCGGGGTGCTGCTTGCTAAAGCATCGTAGAAGTTTTGTACTACCTTTTTGCCTTCCTTCCCTCTTTCCCCCCCTTCCCTCTTCCCACTCTTCCTGTCAGCTCAGAGCTGTTGGTTATTCTTAAAAGTGCTGGTTCACACACACTCCTTTTCTTTTCATTCAAAGGGTCCGATCACCCTCGAACGAACGACATCCAAAACGTAATAAAAAATCCTATCAATCGCTGGGCGATTTCTCCTACAACAAAGAAATGAACTAAAACGGGTCAAGGCGCAAGAGGGATAGGGCGTGTTATTATTTTGGCGCATGCAGTGTAATGTAATCCATTCTACTTTAACTTTTTCCCGAGTGAAGGAAAAAGGGAGGGTATGTCTGTTGACGCCCAAAATAGCAAAGAGAAAGAGAGAGGGAGAAAAATAAAGTCAAGGTTGATCATTATTGTGTTATCAACATCCTGCACTGCACTGCCCAACGTCAGCGAAACGAAAGACAAACACAAGGAGAAGCTCAGCAAGAGAGGATCGAGAAGGTGTCCATGACGACCAGCTGGCGATTTATTACATCGGGTTTATGCTACGCCCAGATGGAGCGGGGTATCGGCAAATGATTCCGTGATGGTGTCGTGCAGTGCGCAGATGAGGAGATCTAGCAGAGCGAAACAGCCAGCCAGCCAGCCAGACCCCTTGTCGAATATTGCAGACGGCGAATTGTTTCACCCGGTATAACTCATCGGCCAATTGAAGACCCATGAGTGGGGATGAGTCGATAATGCGACACAGGGCACTGGGCAGTCTTCCCTATTCTTCAATTGGACGGACGGACGGGCAGACGTTTGGTCGGTTGAGGTGGGGTGGAGACCTCAAAGGACGAAAGAAAAAAATCATCCTGAGATGTTGTATTGTGGTTCTCTAACTCCTTGTGGCAAAGAAGAAAAAAAAATCCAAGAGGAGTGGATCGAGTTTCAACGACGGACGCCAGTGAGGGCTTTCCAGCAGAGTTTGGCAAGGACACAGCAGGGATGGTCGACTTCCCGGGGTCCATCCTGAGAGCCATAAACGACTGTGGAGGATGCGGCATAGTGGCGGTGTTTTTGGACCATGGGTCTGGCGCGGGCGTATGCGGCGGTCTGGTATGCGGATGTTGAAGGTGAAGCGTTCATTGTTGGTTGTTATTTGCTGTTGTAGGTTGTTGTAAAAGAGAAGGGGAGGCGGAAGAAGAAGGCGGGGTATCGATGCAATTAAGTTTAGGTGATGGAGCGTGGTAGGGGAAGAGTAGGGAGTGTGCGAAAAAGTAAAAAAGAAGAGTGGGACTTGGGCGAGCAGCGGTTGTTTTATATTCGAACTAGATAGAAGCGAAGTGGGCTTTGGTCAAGGCAACAGCTACTGTGGCGAAAGACAAAAAAGACAAAGATGAAAAGCCCGAGGAGGAAAAGGGAGCGTGTGTGAGTGGTAAGTGGAGAAGAGAGAGATATAATGTAAAATGAAAGCCTTTTTTCGACTTTTGTCTTTTTGTGACCGTTGACGTCACCCGAGCGGAGCGGGCGCGCTCTAACTTACATAAATAGTGGAGCGAGCCCTTTTCGCTCTCCTTCTTTTATGTCCTTCTCGATTTACTCACCCACCCAATCACCCAACACATACCCACAATCAACAACATACAATCAACCATGGAACGACTAAAAGGAGAAGGAGTACAGGACTGGCTCAGCCAACACCTCACCTCACCATGGCACGGACACCAGACTGTCGCTTCAGAACTCGGAAATGAAATCATTTCAAACATCCACGATCGTTGGACTCACCTCGGCCCTTCCGTCCAACTCGGCGTCCTCTTCTCGATCATCAGTCTCAAGAAGGCTCAGCAGCTGCAACTCAAAGGAACCTGTCAACGGGTACGTCCTATCGAAACAAGCTCGTACCGGGACTGTTGCCACACGTACAGTTCTCTTATAACGCGAGACACGTCAAACTCACGTAACTTTTTCTTTCGTTATATTCATAGCTTATTGACCACGCCTGTCAGGACCCGGATGAGTGGGTGAAGCTTGTAGGGAGGATGCTCAAGGATTATCCTTCAGAAGGAACTCTGCGATTCAACGTGGAAGAATTTGTTGACCAAGCACACATGGGATCACTTTTGGAAAACTTAACCCATCATAGTATGTTTGCTGTTTGTTTTTTTTTTTTTTTTTTTTTTTTTTTGCTGCGTGTGTCCAGTGCGTCGTTATGAAAATAATGCACGCACGCGACCCTTACAAACATGCATACTAACATTCCATTTTTTGTCATTGTATCTGCTTACTAGTCAACCGGGACGGAATCAAGTTTCACCCTATGGAGTTTGCTTTCTTAAACAAGTCCGTTTGCAAAGAGGGACAAGGAAAGGACCCAAAAACAAAGGCATATCCACCACTTGCAGGACCATCAATACAACAACATTTCAAACTCAAGGATTCACATGTTACCATTCACACCAGCCGCGCAGAGAGATTGAAAAAGATGGCCGAGCAGGCCTCGCCCGTCATTCCTTCGACTGCCAGCAACTTGTCATCAGGCAGTACAGGATTGTCATCGGGACCTGCAGGGCCAGGATCCACATCAGCCTCAGCTTTGGGACCAGGAGCTAGCTCGGTGGGTGCAACTACGACCTCAGGCGCATCAGGAATCGGAGGACCACCGCGTCCTGCAAAGGCAACTTCGTCCGGACTCTTTGTCCGCAAGCAGTCTGGAGGTTCATTTTTGCGAACCAATGCACCAAGACCCATGGCCCTTCCTCGGAGTAAGCCTTTATCTGCGCTGTCCCCTAGTGACAACAAGCATGCATGTTACTTTGTTAACCTGGTATTAATCTCTTTATTTCATTTTTGGAACATATAGATCCTTCTGCTACATCCCTTCCTCTCCGCTCGCCGAGAGTCGACCAGCCAACTACTCCACGTTTGATCCAAAAGGCGAGTCGTATTCAGATTCTGGACATTCAACAAGGAAACGAGATTATGCAGTCCATGAACGACGCCAAGGCCAAACTCGAACAAGGTATATATCGCTTTTTGAGTCAGCAGGCTGGACACATATCATTTATTCAGAACCTAATCAAATATTACTTATTTCCATTGATGTTGATAGCTGAACAACGAGAGAAGGAATTGAAGAGAGAACAGAGGGCGCAGGAAGTTGAAGCCAAGCGAGCGCAAGACGCAGAAAAGAAGGCGGCGGCGCTCAGGGAAAAGGAGGAAAAGAAGAAGGAGAAGGAAGATGCCAAGAAACTGAAAGAGCGTCAAAAGCAAGAGCGGGATGAGCAGTTGGCGCGTGAGAAGCAGGAGAAGGAACAACAACAGAACTTGGTTAGGGAGACACGGCCGGCACCGGATGACGATGAGGACGATGATGAGGAACCTGCAGCACCTACCACTCAACCTGCTAGGAAAAAGTCTCGAACCAACTCTTCGCGACGCGGATCCTTGGATGACGACGATTATGATGGGGTGCAACTGGGTCACGCAGCAGAACCTTTAAGCCCGATGACCCCATCACTTACATCCAGATATTCGTCACAGAGCCTACATGATGACGGCGGATCCATTGCTATGGAGTACATACCAGCTGCAGAATCAAATCGCAATGCGGACTCTTATTTTTCCCCAAACAGTCAACAGCAATCTTTGCAGCAACAACAACAACAGGTGCAGCAGCATCAGCAACCACAACCACCACATGCAGGAGCAGCCAGCGACCATCCTACGCTGTTCCAGGACACCAACCTTTTGACTGCTGACGATCGCGCATACATCACTGCCTTCATGGAGGGCCATCCAGGTAATAATCATTCACTTACCCATATGTTATAAGGATATGCTTGACTATTGATTCTCGTTTGGCCAGAGCTGAGAACTAATACGACATGGTTGTTCTTCCTCCGTCTATCAAAATAGTTATTCGTCCAAATGGAAATGACACGTCGTACCAAATTGTGATGAACCAGGAGCAGGTGCAGGATGCGACAGGAAAGACAATGTACGAGTTGATCCTGATCGAGATGAACTTTGAGACGGGCGAGTGGCGCAAGATCAAGCGCAAGCGTAATCGTCCTCATGTACCTACACCTGTCTTCCCAGCGTAAAAAAATAAAACGATTTGGTGCAAAGCATTGACTTCTTCCTACGATGCTGTTCGGATAATGAGAAAGAGCTTTGACGATTGTAGCCGTTGCAGTCAGAAAGAAATAAAAGAGGAATAGAACATAATATACTTCAGCTTGCACAAGGAACGCCAGAGCAATTTTTTCTGTACACAATTTTATTTCTCCGACAAACAACTTAAAGGCATTTGGAAGTAAAAGGACTACAAACTAAACTCTTCAATGCATCATCCACTAGTTGCAGTCCAGTCCGAACCTGGCTCTGTATAGCAACTGTCGCTGCTCTTCACAGGTTAAACAGAAGACAAAATAAAACTAGATACGAATAACGTGGATTTTTCCCATCCTCTCCATCATTAACAACCTCCTCCTTCCTAACAAAGTCTCCAACAACCGTTCGTCAGAAGCGCGTGGGTCCTTGGTCGCTCCAGGGCAGGTCCCATCCTCATGTGTGGCTAGCGAAGGGCGATGGACAGCCTTTCTTGCTTTTTTTTTTTTTTTTTTTTTTTTTTTCGTACACAATTTTATTTCTCTGGCAAACATGCCTTTCTTGCTTTTTTTTTTTTTTGCACTCAATGCTATATTTGGTGGCGTCCTTCGAGTACTTATAGCTCCTAAAATCTAAGTAGATATCAAAGAAATCCAGCTCGTCAATCAACTCTGATTGGCTGAGTTGGAGGCTGGAGACCGGAGAGCCCGGTGTCCAGCCCTTGGTGGGGGACAGTGCAAACGGTCTATTGGCCCAATGGAAAGGCGTCTGACTACGAATCAGGAGATTGCAGGTTCGAGCCCTGCATAGATCATCAACGCTTGCACTTCCTTCTTTTTGTTTTGGGGGTGCCGGATTGGCTGTGTGTTGGACATGGTTACCATTGAGGTTTTCTTGTTTTGTTGCTGTCGTGTGCTCGTTCTTTCTTTTTACAGTGTAAAATAAAGGGAGAAATTTTTTTGCCTTGCCACGCGAGCACAAACCATGCATACAGATGTATGCGCCTGTCTGAAGCATCGCTGGATTGATTGCATGCAGTTGCAGACTCTTTTCTTTTGCAAAGCTATGCTTGACTCCCCATCCTTTTATTTTTTTCTATTTGACGGAGGCTTTCGTGGTGCGCATCGGTGGGTTGTCAATGACAGGGCTGGGTAAGCGAGGCCAGTGATGAATGAGGAGTGGTACTGCTGCACTACGTTTATTTGTTCATGCTCACCATTTTGCCTTCAAACGTGTTTGCACCAGCCATTCTCAATCTCGACGTCGAAACATGCAGCACCCATTCCAACCCACATTCACCTTAACTCCCTTCTTCTCATCCGCGATTCAAAAGACAATAAAGAAGACTGGTTTTAACGAACGGAATGAAACGCATATTTGTGTCACGTATCATGGACTCGTTTTCTTACTTTCAATGGCACCATCCCCTCTTTCTTCCCTTCGCCTTCCATTCCCTCTGCTTCTCTCCCGTTATCACTCTCTCTCTCCATCGTCCTTTGTTCCTCGCTCCATTTCTTTCCTCACTATTTGGAGAAATGTCAAAAATATACGGTTTTGTGATATCTCGTCCAATCTCGATGACTTTGAGGTATATGATTTTCTTGAAGGTGCACATGTTTTGTCCTGCATATCAAAAAATGGATTGAGAATGGGCACCGAGTGGGGGTTCTACCGCGACTACAAGGACGCCAACGGCACTAGCATTAACCTTACACTTCCTTTCCTTTCAAGCAACAGAAGGAAAAAAAAGAGGGTGTACGTGGCATGTCGTTTCGTTGATTCTCAATTCTTGCCTTAAAATGCGCACTCGGGATAAAAAGGAATAGGGGGAGACAAACGAGAGAAGGGAAAAGGGGAGGAATGAAATGAGGGGGAAGAAACGTAAAGATTGGATATAGATCGACCAAACGAAGGAAAAGGAGTGCACAGATGTAGTATAGACAAGGCACTGCAGGATCGAGGATCGGGGAAAAGAAGCGGTCCTGTGAATTAAGGAAGGATGCGATAAAGAATAGGGAGAGGGAATAATAAGCGAAACGAATGGGGAGGGTATGGAGATGTGGGTGCCATAGAGTATCTCATTTTTTGTTTTGGTGTATAGTGATACGCGAGGTTGCTGAAGGATCAAGACGCGTGAAGGTCATCTTTTTTGTTGTTTTTAGTTTGAATGTCAAAGATGAAACGCGTCCACGTCAAAAATATAAAAACCATTGTAACTCGATATCTTCCGTAACGTCTGCGGACCAGTCCTGCTGCGCGGCCCAGATCTTCAGGTCTAAATGATTAAACCCCGTCAATCATCCAATCTGCCTGTAGAAGGTATCCAGATATCTGAGCACAGTGTGCTGCCCTGGGGTGAGTCGATTCCAGTCCTTATCGCGAATGTAAAATTACTTGTCCTCCTCTCCACCAAAGTCAACCGCAAGCTCAGGTTTCCGGATCTTGGTCGACGCACAGGGTTGAGAAACAGCGACCTTTAGGAGTATGTGAGCAAGGTAGGCGGTGACAAACTCCTGAAAGTGCCCCGCTCGGCGAAGAATCTTTCCAATAGTGTCGCCTTGTAAGACCTTCCACAATCAAATGAATATGAACCAACGGATCCATCTGGAGCTCGAGCCCAAATCCAATCCGATTGATCATCGAGCCCCTTGACCGGAACCAGATGTACTCCAGTATGTGCGTGTCCATGCGTACGGCTATATCAGTCATCACCGACAATGATATACCCCCGTCATTATCGTCCTATTGCTTCAGTCTCCGAATCTTAGGGGAATGACAGAAAATGGGTGTAGCGGCTTGGTCGATGTTGAACAGGTGGACCATCCTGGGTAACGCCAGGCTCACAAGCTCGGGACAGACGCTGAGCATGGGGACAACCGCCATAACCTCATAATCCCAAGCGCTGATAATCGTCCAGTCCGTCAGAGCATGGCAAATTTGTTGCTCGTATTCCACCAGAACTTCCGACGCCCAAGGTACAGCAGCGACCTCATTCGCGACCTCATTCGCGACATGTATTCCCGATGGCTTAGTGTAATCCTCCAGATCCTTTGGCTTCAGGTGGAAATCCTTGAGAGGCAAAGGACAACTGACAAAGAAGCCCAATACGGTCTGCTGGGCTTCAAGTTCCGGGATAATGAGTGTCAGCCGTAGAGATTCCAGCATTGAACATTCCGAAAGTGCGTCTCACAGGCGGGACAGTTCCACGTTGTTCGTGACCGGTAATAGGTCAATAATAATACTGCGGAGGTGAGGGCTCGAACTCATAGCATGGCACAGCTGGAAAATCTGTAGGTCTGACAAATTGGCCTTAAAACGGAGATGGGTCAAGCTCACCATAAGACGGGGGAAACTCGGTGACGTCACGGTCGGGCTCTCCTAGATGCTGGTGTCTCCGTTGGAGAGCTGTTGTTGGAGGTGGTGTCGGTGGCGGCAGCCAATGCAGTGTGATAATAGGCGACAAGGAAGAGTGGGCCATAGGTGATGCTGGAAACAACGTGATAGTTCCGTTCCAAGGATAGGTCAAACTCCAGGTATGAACAGCATCCGCTTGTTGCTGGTGTTGATTGTGTGGAAGAGACGAAGCAAGAGGGGCTTGTAGAGGTAATGACAAGTTTGCATGCGGGAATTCAGAGTCGACGCATGAATATGAGCATTTATTGTCTTAAGAAAGGAAGGGGGATATTTTTGTGATTGGTTGTTGTAGGAGACAGTCCGTGTGGTAGGGTAGTGAGATAAACGTGAAAGGTGCGAAGGAATGAAAGGATAGAAAGAAACAGGAACTGGAAAGAATGAGAGAAGAACAAACAACGACCCTGCCAAGCAGCAGTCCACAGAGATAAGGATTGTGTGTGAGAAACAAACATAGAGATGACATGAGCCATACAAACCAAGAGGCACAAATCCTGCAACCGTGCGTTGCACAAGAAGAAAAGCCGCTCGATTGTGAAGGTGCACACACAAGAGGGCAAGGATGGCACCAAGGAGGAGACTCTGCCCATGGTTCATGGTTACCATCAACACGTCCACTTCGCCCTGGAGGATGGCGACGCGCACAGATCAAGCTATGTTCCAGATAAACTCTCAGGTCCGATAGGTTATGACTGGCTGGGTGGCTTTTGACTTCTCCGAAATCAAATCATGACGCACGTCCTTTTTTCCTCCTTCCCTTCTTCCCAACACCTTATCTTTTTCCGACCCAAAATCTTGTCCGACAAACAACACACCCCACACACACACTTCGGAGAAATACAGCAATGTATCGTCAACAACAACCATCGACCAACAGCAGCAGCAACAGCAACGAAAACACCAACAACAACAACATTACAACCACCGCCGCCACCCGTGCGCTCAATCTTCCAGAAATCCGGTTCCTCATCTCCACCTATCTCCCAGCCAGACACTGTGTTTCCTGCCTCCTCGTCTCCAAATCCTTCTACACCACCTTCCTCCCCCGGATCTGGCGATCCCCCAACCTATACCCTTACCCACTCACCTCCAAGAATGCAAACTTTTCGGCGGCGTTGGTGGGGAAGCATGCACATCTTTTGCAGGAGATTGGGCCGTTATTTAGCGCGAAGCAGTTTTCGTTTTTGGCGGATGTGCGGCTGGAGGGGTTGAGGAGTGTTACGGTGCATCAGCTTAGGACTTTGCACGATAGTGAGGCGTTTGGTAAGGTTTTGCTGAGCCAGAGGCAGTTGGGAGTTGTGTTGAGGTTGGAAGAGTTCACGTCACACGGACATCCAATCGATGCTGAGTCACTTGTTTGGCTAGGGATCTTGCCTTGCTTGCTGACATCTTTTTCCAAGACCGAGATGTCTATGGCACGTCAATTGCCTTCTACAAACTCGCTGAGGTGCCTAACTCTGGAGAAGATGAACATGGACCACAGCACTTTCTCAGACGTACTCCGATACTCGCCTCACCTCACGGACCTCACTCTCGCAAAAGTTGTCTTCACCTCACCCTCATCGCCTTCCTCAGAGACACCCCTATTCACAAGCATGAGCATCCGCACTCTAATCGCAACAATCCACCAAACCCTCTACCTCGGCCACCAAGACTGCACACCCACACCACTCCTGGCGCACCTCCCAGCCCTCACAACCTGGAAGATCCCCCTCACTGACTTTCAGGACATGGACATAAAACCAACTCTCGCCCAGTCACTCCACCAAGCCATCAACACACATACCCCACTTCTCACAAGTCTTGAATTCCGCTGGGGAACCACGGCCTTGATCAACAGTCTACTCACTAGCGCATTTTCGGACGTCAGGATCAAGAGGATCGAGTCCACGCACCATCGGAGTAGGGATAAGTGTATTCTTGACGGGATGATGCCCGGGATCTTGAGGCATGCGCGCTCACTCGTGGCGGTATCCTTGTCAGCATTCAACCTCAAGTCCACCTTCCATAACCCAACACCACCACCATCGCCTCAGCTGGATCCTTCGGACACGATGTTTTCCAAGTTGATGCGATCATGCCCTCGCCTGAGGGTCCTATCGATCCCTGATTACACCGCGAGAATCGAGTCCTTCGAGCAGGCTGAAGAGTGGGCGTGTCAGGATCTAGAATCTCTCCATGTGAAGGTTCAAGGACTGGATGAGGTGGATGCCTGCTTGACCAAGATTAAGGCCCTCAGGAACAGTAATGCCTGGCGATCATCAGGACAAATGGAGGTAGAGGGGGTTGGGATTGGTGATCGTGTTATCAAGAGTCTAATCGGTCTTTGCTGCTTGAAGACTGTCTGGTTGGGGACCAAAGTGGTGTACTTGGCGACGATTCCATAGGAATACCACATTTCCCTCCACGTTACCCTATTCACTTTTGAAACTTTAACTTAATACATTTGAAAGATGTTTGTAAAGAGCAACTTTGGGCCATGCGGAGCAAATAATGTGCAATGATGTGCATGCAGAAACGTGTATAACCGTATTTATATTACTGTATTACTGTATCAGTAATAGAAGACGTGGAAAGAAGAAAACCGAATGCTCTCGCGCGTGTAAAAAATAATAATAAAGGGATATAAAATAAAAAAGAGGGACGTTTAGGCGTCATCCGTAAAGTCCTCTTCCGAATCCACGACATAGGGTTGGGAAGATTCCTCTCAAACTTGAATAGATCCGTATCAACAGTTGAAAAAACACCGCCTCTTTTAGCCTGGGTCAATGACCCACCATTCACTTGCCCTCCTTCTGTCCTGCCATGGCCGAAAACAACCCCGTCAGCTCTTCCGACTTTGACAGCCCCGCCAGGCAATCCAGCCAGCCCCGTTTCCGACTCGTCTTATCGCCGTCACCTAATCTCAGCAATCCGAGGAAGACGTTCTTGACGTAATGGGCGTATCCGATATCGTCATACTTGAACATATCGCTACCCATGGCCAGGTCCTCATTCACTGTCATACCGCGAAGTCGATGGGACCTAGAGATTTAAATGTGTGGGCCTCGTCAACGACCTAATCCCGTGCAAAAGAAAGCAGTTTGATTGTGAAAAAAAGGAAGAAGTCCATTTCTAATGTCCTTTCAAACCGCAAATCGCCAACCAGGATGCATTGACAACAACATAAAAAAAAAAAAGCCAAGAATTAACACAAAAGTTTGTTGCAAGACAAAAAAAGTGGGAATGCATTATTAACAAAAAAGATTTAAAAGTAATGGGTGTGCTAGTTGTTGCAATGTGCAAGTGTGTGGTGGGTGTGTGGGTGTGTGTGTGATATCTAAAAAAAAAATGTGTGATGAGTGGGTGTGTCGTTCTCTATGTAGCATCCACCATTTCCTGGTCCTCGCTTTCCTCATCATCCTCGTCATCGTCATCCTCATCCTCGTCGACCTTCCCGCCTTTCGCCTTGGTTCCATTAGGCTGAAACTTCTTGGTAGCCAAGGGGAGAGCGGCTGGGGGCAATGGCTCCATGATCGTATCGCCGTCCTTGCTTTGAATCGACGACGCTCCATTTACAGACTCAGCAAGCGCAGCAGTAGCCGGGGTTGAAGATGACAGTGCCGAAGCAGGAGTAGAGCTTGGTCCGCCCTTTGCTGACTTCTTGTTAGCAGTACTGCTGGCACCGCTACTGCCTTTGGATCCCGAGACAGACTTGTTGTTGGCAGGCTTCTTGGCCTTGAATGTCGTAGATATATCCTCATCGCTGTCCTCGCCATCACCTTGACTATCCTTGCCTCCCTTACTCTGACCTCCAGGCTGGGTACGAGCAGCCTCGACGGCCAAGGCACTCATCTCAGCAATCTCTGCAGCACGGGCAGCGGCATCGGTCTCCTTGCTAATCGACTTCTTTAGCTCCTCCTCGGGTATCGTCCAAGACTCCAGCAATCCAACCTTCCTGGTCTCCTCCGCCTTCGCCTCTCCTTCTGCATCCTTGTCGGTCACAGGCGGGGCCACAGACACGGACTTGTATGGGCTATCGTCGGGCAAGGTCACCATCCAAGCCTTCATCGCGTTCTTCATAAACTCATGCTCCGCTCGGACACGCGCCAGTTCCAAATCCCGATTCGCAACCTCCGCCTTAAGATTACAGATATAATCAAACGACTTCTTCAACAAAAAGACCTTGGATGGGGATTTCTCTTGGATATTGGGGATCATCTGTCGCAGGTCATCGAAGCAGTTCTTGAGCGAGTCTCGTCGCTTCTGCTCCGCGGCCTTGTGGGATGTCCTGCGGAGCTCGATACCAGAATGGAGATCGGTATTGTACGATAAGCCCAGTGCCCTATTAAGATCCAAAGGTGTTTGGTGGTGGAGGAAAAAAAAATAGAATTAATTACCAGGGGCCAATAAGCAAGCAATTTGTAATCGATATTACAAACAAAGAATAAAGTGGCCAATCGAGCAATAACTTACGTATGATCGCCATCCAGGATGTTCTGGTAGTTGGACTTGGACGCCAGCCTGGCCATGGCCTCACTGGGTGATACTATTAAGCGTAGATTGACAGAATATAACCGGTCCGGTCAGCACTGCGGGGTAGGAGTAGTCTACATCTTCAGCGTCAAGAAAAAAAATGCAAACCGACAAAAATAACATGAACATACCTCCAGGTAACCAAGGCTTCAAGCTGGGAGAGACGAGCAAGGGCTGCATACGGGGAGAGACCATCATCGAGGTACTGCCGCGGTGGGCCATGTGCGTAGGCTTGAGGGCGGGCGAAATCAGAGAGAATCCGTTAGCTGGTGGGGGCATGGGGGAGATCATGGAAGATCCAGGCGTAAGGGGTACTTGACGGGGCGTAGAGGGGGCCAAGATGCCAGATCCGATAGCATCTCCATTTGCCTGGCGTTTGGTCCCCCTCTTTTGTGCCGAGGAACTTGTTGGGGTCGAAGAAGTGGATGAGGATGCGGAAGTTGTCGAATTGGGCTCTGCCGCAGCTGTGGCAGCTGTGGCAGCAGTGGCAGGAGTAGAGGGGAGGTCTCCAGAGGCAGAAGTAGGTGTGGAAGAGTGGTTGGATCCTGTTTTAACCTTGGCGTGAACTCCAAATTTGGGAGACGAGGTTGGTGTCGATTCAGACCCAGATCCTGCTCCCAAGTTCATGAGCGATGCGGGGGTGACGGGTGCGAGAGCGGACTTCGGTGCAATCGATACGGATGATGCTGCTAGTCCGGCCGTAGGGTTGGCCACGGCAACAGAGCTGCCGGGACTCTTGTTGACCGTTCCGTTTTCTGCGATCGGTTTCAATGCTGGCGATGGTTGGGCGGCAGATATGGGTTGATGGATGGAAAGTTGATGCTGGTTCTGCGCGATAACATGCTGGGGCTGAACCAAGCTGAGTTGCCTCTGGGTATTCAAAGCCTGGTTCTGCGATGCTGAAGGCAGAATCATCGGTGACCGTGGTGGAGGCATCATGGACGAGGCTGGCAGAGCGAAAAGAGCCGGACTGAGGGGACCATTCGATAAATTGACAAAGCCCAAGGGAGATGACGGCACCATCGAAAGCTGGTGCATGTTGGTCACCAAACGAGGTGAAGGGGACGCCTGCGTTGTTTGACTGCTTGGGTGGGCTGTCGATATGAGGAGGGGTGACGGACTTGGCCGATTGGTAGGAAAGTGCATGGTGAGGGGTGATGCTGGTGCGATTGGTGAGGACCGTGGCCGACTTGCTTGCTGTTTCCGAAGGGTCGCTGGAGACATCGGGCTGGCGATGGGGCGCAATGCAGGAGAGTTCTTGGAGAGGGCCACTCTGACAGGGCCTGCCGATCGAGGCACAGCAGGGGTCAGCCCATTGGTGACACGCTCAACGGTCGTTTTCCGCTTCATAGGTGGGCGTTGTTGCTGAGCGTTGAGCGCTGGACTCCGCATATCGATCCGAGGTGTCTTGCTTCCAGACGCTTGAGAAATCTGGCTTTGTTGTTGTTGGAACTGAAGCTGTTGTTGGTTCTGTTGGGTTTGGAGCTGCTGTTGTTGCGACAAATCCACCTGCGGCTGAGATTGAAGTTGCTGAAGTTGTTGTTGGAGTTGCTGCTGGGCCGATTGAGCCTGGTGGAGCTGCATAGGCAGCGGGCTAAAACTCTGGCCGGAAAAAGAGAGATAATCGATAGCGGATGTCCGGTGAGGCTGCAGTGCTGGGGAGGTGAGCGGTGAAAATATCTCGTTGGCTGTCGACAGGGCGTGCGGGAGATTTGAGTACGGGTGGGACGGGGTCATCGCGGGCGAGATCAAGGGCGTAAAGAATACCTAGAGCATAGAACCAATGAGGGAAGTCTTAGAAAAGGTTTTCCTTTGTTGCGGGTCGAGTTGAGATTGGTCCATGGCCTATTCAATCGATTCTGTTCGTCGTTTTTTGCTCATATACATAAGCATCGGGCGGGGTAAAAAAAAACGCAATCCTGAACAGCTGGTCAGTTGGACAGTTGGATCCCATCCTGGTACTCGCTCCTTGGTATGTTCTTCTTCTGTTGGGAAAAGAAGCACAGGCATATGACAAAGTACTCAGAATCTTCTACTTTTTTACCTCGTCGTCGTCAAATTGGTCCGTAATCACCATGGCTGCTGCATCTGTTGTATCCGGTGCGGGTGCGATTCCAAGAGGCGACATGTATTGAGTGTAATCCGTGTTGTAAAAGTCGCTGGAGGCAGGGGTGAGTAGCTGCTCCTGCTGACTGGCTGGAATAGGGTGGACCAATTGTGCTTGTTGTTGCTGTTGTTGTTGGACATGGTGGTGATGTGGAGAATGGAAATTCTGCTGCTGCTGTTGTTGTTGTGTTGGTTGCTGCTGTTGCTGTTGCAACTGTTGTTGAAGCTGTTGCTGCTGCTGCTGCTGCTGCTGGTGAAGTTGCTGCTGCTGCTGTTGGTGCAAGAACAATTGTTGCTGCTGTTGTTGTTGCTGCTGCTGCTGTAACTGCTGCTGTAATGACTGGGCGATCTTGTCCGGGTTTGTCTGGAAAACGGGAGTGGTTGATGCGGAGGCGGGAACCATCATATCTGTCGAAAGTGCGGATGGATGAAAATCAAATCCTCCTGATGACACAGGGACGGTGTTGATCGACCCAGCCTGTATACCATTGCTGATAGTGGTGTTGTTGTTATTGCTGTTGTTGCCATTGTCCTGGAGCAGCATGTTGTGCAGCTCCCTGTGTTGGTCCTGCTGTTGGTGTTGCTGCAGCTGAAGTTGCTGCTGGTGCTGTTGGAGGTTTGCCTGGGTGGGATCGAATGAAAAGTCGTTCAACGAGAGTTCCAGGCCGGGCTGATCCAGGCTGAATGTGTCGTCAAAGTTGAAGGCCATTGTTACTTGTGCGCTGTCTATTGTTGCGTTCGTGGGTATGTTGGTAACTTCCAGTTCCAATGAACTGACCGAGTGTAGCGTCAGTTGCTCGTTCACTGTATCCTCAATTAGTCTTCCCAAAGATCGAATCGATTGAGCGACTTCCTGTGTGCTTGCTTCAAGGGACCGTTGTTTGATGAAAAGGAAGGGATATGCAACGAAACGTCAGGGCAGTTAGGTCAAAAGGGCGAGTGGGGTGACCTGGGGGACGACGGGAACCAGCAGGGTAAGTAGGTGCTTGGCTTGTCCGAAGTGACGCTGCTGAATGTTGTTGTTGTTGTTGTTGTTGTTGTTGTTGTTGTTGTTGTTGTTGGGTTTCGACTTGGAGATGGATGAGACGACAGCCTCTGAATGGTTGTTGTTGATGCTGGGTGCGAGTGAGCGAGTGACAGAGTGGAGTGTGGAGCCTAGCGGGCGTGATTGAATCGATGAGATTGAGGATGCCCTTGAGACAATTGTGGAATGGGAGAGCGTAGTCTCTGTTTGTCAAAGGGAGAGAGGAGGAGGAGGAGGAGGAGGAAGAAGTGGAGTGGGGGTTGTTGTTAGAAAGTCAAGAAGTAAAAGAAGAGGGAGAAAACGAGTTTTTTTTCTTCGACTGGACAGCCTAAAAAAAAATTAAGCATGCGAGGAGTGTGTGGGTTCGTGGTGGTCAAAGGTGGTGGGATGAAACCAGTCCACTCACTGTCTGCATGCAGCGAAAAAAACGGAACGAGGAGAAGGTCCACACAATTGCGCCTTTCCCTCGCTTCCCTCGCTTCTCTCGCTTCTCTCTTAACTCTTCCCTCCCATTCCTTGACTTGAATATATATCCCGACTGCTCGACTAACCGAGGATTTCTCTTTTTTTTTTGTCGCAGTTGTTGTTGCTATTCATCAGCTCCAGCTCCTGTTCTTAAAGGTGGAGACATACCTCTTTGTTGACGGGGATCGATTGATCCGTTCACTCACAAAAGAAAGCAAAGGGTGCAGACAGAAAAAAACAAAAAGAGACAGGGTGAAGGTCGAGAAGGGGTAAATGAATGACGAAAGAGGACGGCAGGGACCACGAGGGAATCTGGGAATCAAGGCTTCTCTTGGGTAAGAAAGAACAAATGAAAAGAGAAAAGGGCACTAGAAGGAAGGAATACAACGTCAATGGGACTCAGGAAGGAAAGGCAAGGTATGAGGGAGAGTGTATGTATGTATGTATGTATGCGGATGGCGAGCAGCGGGTTGAGAAGGAAAGGAAACAAGAAGAAGGAAAAAGAAATAGAATGCAAAAAAGAAAGAAAAAAAAAAAAGTCGGTCAAAATGACGAACAGGGCGGACAATGACACCTTGCCTTGGCTTTGCTCTGTCAGTCTGCCTATCTGTCCCTTGGGTCTGCCATTCTGCTCTCCTCGGCTCTTACTTCAACCCTGGGTCAAAATTACCCCCGTTGCTTTCGTTGTTCTTTTTCACGAGAGGTGAACGAGCGAGATATTATTTTTGTTTTCCTCCTCCGACCTCCTCTCGCCTCCACCCCCCCCCAATTAACGACTCTACGCCCTTCATTCAGATCAAACTCCCATCGCAGCAGCAACAACAAAGAGAAAAAAAATATTGTCTGATCACATTCAGCTCCCGCACTTTACTTTTTATTTTTCCTTCTCCCACCCGCTGGATTCATTTCTTTCCTCATTCATTCAGTTCATATGTATTTCGATCTGTGCTCCAATTGATCGCTGCTGTGGGCGAAAGAAAACAACGTATAGCACCTTGACCATTGACCGTAGGTAAGAACCATTACGACAATGTGTATGATGCACCAGTGATAGCTAATTAACAAATCTCTGGCCTGGACCTCTCATTCATTCAGTCCAATGAACCCCTGTCAATGTCTTGCCCTGTGTATATATACCCTGCCAACACTGCTGACCTCTTACATCTTCTTCCCAGACGTTTGTGTTCCCTTCCTTTCTAACTTTACCGTCCACAAGCCAAAGAATGGCCACCAAATCGTTCACGTTGAGGATCCATTGTCTGCCATTGGCCGAGCGTGTCCATGAGCCTGTCCCGATTTGGCCATAACAAAAAAAATCAAAGGTCTAACCGTAACTACCCTGCCTGCCTTCCCTCATGAACCTTTTTTCTTGATGCAAGAGATGAAGACGAGAAAATAAGGCATGATAGGATAGGCGGAGAAAAAGAGGGCACCTCTTTCTTTTTTTGTTCTTGTTCATCGATGAAGGGCGTGTCACCCATCTCCATTTTTCCCTCGCAGGGACGTAGTTTTTCGTATCTAGCTTTGATAGGCAAAGGCAACTTCCTTCCTTCCCTCGCCTTGTTCCTCTAATCGAATAATCAACACACCCTTTCTCTTTCAATTTTGCGCTCAAAAAATACAAAAAGTGGAACAGCATGGCACAACAACGTCATACACCCTGCATGGCGAGGGCTGGGAATGAGCGATTAAACAACCTGGTGGCGTGGGCTAGAAATAAGTGATCAAACTACTTTTTGGTGAAAGGACTTGGTGGCGTTCATTTTCGAGTGTGCTGTGTGGCTGGACGTTCATTGTGGCTGCGGCCTCCCCTTGTACCAAAATCGCAAATGTGAGGGACGTCCAAGTCATTATTTTTTCGACAAGGGAGGGGCCATGTCATTCAGCAAGCAATGAGCCCCCCTCCCATCTTGCGTGCCCTTTGTAAGCACACCCTCTTTGAACATCTGTTTATTTATGTCTCTATACTCAAAAGTGGATAGAAGATTGCTTTCCTTCTTTGACTGCCATTTATGTCAGTTTGTCGTTCTTGTTTTTACTGGTGGTGCTCACTTCTGTCCATGCGACACGGGAAAGAAATGGCCAGAGCCAACCATGAAGCTTTTATGTGTCAATTAGAGCTGGTGTCACCACATCTCGTCATGTTTTGTTGACGACCATCCCTTCACTCGTCCAATGACCACACAAGGGCGTGTATCTTTTTAATTATTCTGTTTCTCCAATGTTCATAAAAAAAAAGGTCATTGCGTTTTAATTATTGTGTGTGTGTGTGTGTGTCTGTGATATAGTTGTACAAAAGGTATGCAAGGGGTGTGTGATGATAAAAGAAAGGTGAAGGCGAGGGGATAAAAGACTCTTAGGTTGAGCGGATGCTCGAAACGCATTCTTTATCGGAGGTAGTGGTTGCGATAGAGACCAGAAGAGAGGACCAAGTTGGATCGAGGAGGGCCGGCCAGTCGCTTGTTCATGTACTCTTCCAAACTGATCTGGTCTAGATGGGCTTGTTCGGCTGTAGTCTGGTCCTTCTTGCGCTGCTGCTGTTGGTCCTCTTCTGACGCGACTTTCTTGTACGTGCGGTCTGGTCTGCAGCAGGACAACATGGCGGTATGTGTGTTTGTTTTGAGAGGGAAGGTGGTCCGAGAGTTGTTGAGATTGATAGCTAGACTTGAGTCTGGTTGATGGTTTGGGTGCTAAAGAGAAGTGATAACGATCCAAAAGTGAAGCGAATACTCGCCCTTTTATAAAGCAATTGACGCCTCCTTCATTGTCCTGAACGCGCTGAAGTATCGAGCCATATCGAGTAAGGATGTAAGGTTTCCAGCGCCATGCGGTTATCCTTTCCGAATGAGCGAAAGCTTGAGGGCGATAGTGTCTTTGCCGAGCTGGTCTTGTTCAGCGTCAGGCCAGGCATTCAAGTAGTGCCTGCTTCTTGCCCTGTCAAATGTGTGAAGGCGGTGCAGGAAAAGCAGTCTCGCTCAATAATTTAAAAGCCGATCTTGGCATTTTTTCATTTTGTGTCTCCATTCCGCCAAGTGTCGAGTCTCAAAGCGCGCTTGGCACTAAATTAGTCCCTGAGGGAAGGACGAGTTCAAGGGGCCTCGCTCAATTGCAAGCGAACGACGAAAGGTAAAATATCTTGGTGTTTTGCTTTCCATTTCTGGGTCACTGTCGATACACAATTGCCTCTCACCCTCTCTTCCTTTCTTCGGTCGCACTGATTCAACCCTCCATTCAACTTGGCAGAGAAGCACAAAAAATAACGTTCACTCGCACTATGCATTTGTTACCACCAAATCGAGGAAGGAGTGGAAAATGAGAGCAACCAGTGCCAAGCGCTTCCTTTTTTTTTGATCAACTTCTTGAGGGACCAAAGTCGCAGATCGACCACTGCTTTTCATTGTCGTTCTCAAACATGGTCGGATCCACTCATTCTTTCTACTTTCGGATTTCATGGGATCAGGTCTTTGACACATCAGCGGTCTTACCGCTCACCACCACCCGGTCAATAGCTTTCAATTGAGCTGAGAGATCGACGCGAATACAGCACTGAAGACACTGCATTCGATGCGAGCTGATGACCAGTTCTTTCCACTCCATCATTCAGATTTACAGGCGACGATTTCCCAATGAATTCTTCAGTTGGTGACGCTTGATCATATCTTTTACGCTCCTATGGTAAGTGAAAAAAGTCTAAAAAGTCCATGTTGACCAATGACCAAACAGCTTGCTTGACTTTTTTTTCACAAACACACACTCAACAATTTTCTCATATCAAACCTCATTGAGGATGTGTCTATCTCTAGGGCGTTTTCTACTTTTCTTGTTTCATTAGTACCTTGGACGGTGTTGATTTCTCGTACTATAGTAGAGTATATGGAATGATGGATCGACCTTCGCGGCGAATAGTATTCCACGGAAAATGCGCAGGATCATCAAAGGCACGGTCCATGTGGATATCGAAGGATGGACCGTATTGTGCGACAATGTTTATCCTCTTTTTTTCTACGAGCGACATTTGACCGAAGTTCAGACAACACCCACCACAAGGATAATCTGTGAACTCGCGCTCTCTACCTTTTGCTTTTCGTTGTCCTCTCACACTAACTCTCTTTTCGGCATTGATGCTGCTGTTGTTCGATCCTGCATTGATACTTGTCATATCTCGTCCAACTAGTTCAGGAGCAGTTTTTATTGCTAACGTGGGGTTTTTTTTGGTCTAAACCTTGCTGTTGTTCCTACTCGTCATTGTTTTTTGTGTCCATGAAAATTGGGGTGAGCTGCATAGGGTCGTCTTCCTTGACCGAAAGAACGCGATGTGACGCGTTCAAAGTAAAATTGATGGGAGAAGGATGCAAAATTGTCGAGCTCCCGACGTTTCTCTAATACATTTTCACACATCTTTGATACAATGCTAAGTGACAGCCCTGTAACAGCCCTTTACTTATTTCGACTCGGTGATGTTTTTTGTGGCCAAATCAATTGTTGGAGTAGTTCCTGCTACGATCGATAATGGGTATCCATGGACTTTACCTTAGTCACTGAGAGCAGTATTAAATGCGTCAGTCTGGTCAATTGGTTCAAGCTCGTTCTTGGGATGAAAAAAAAAAAGATAAGTCGTTTAGGGTATCAATTTTAGCCTCTCACCATTCCCTAGTTTACTATTTTTTTCCGAGCGACGAGGATGGGTCTTCCTTGCCCTTTCTCTCAATCGAATGACAAGCAATGAATCCCTTTTCTTTTGGAAATAAATAAACTAACAGGTGGCGTTCTTGCTTCGTCTCCTCTAACAACTGAAGAGGATTAATCGATTCTGTCCGGAGCGTCCGTATCTTTTTTTTTTTTTTTTTTTTTTTTTTTTTTTTTTTTGGAGCTGTTGGAGAAGGATACAACAGCATCCGTGATGTTCCCCTTTTACCCTGGCTCGTTTCTGTTTTACTCATTTTCTTTTCGTTCATGGGAATACATTTTGCGGATCGTCCGACATGACACCTTGATAGACTCTTCGCTCTGTTCAGTCCACAACATGAATAAAATAAGCGATAGAGAAACAATTACAAAGCACAAAATAACTGTTTTATTTGAGGGGGATTCCGAGGAGTGATGGTGGAGGTGAGGAAGAAAAGAAAGAAACGAATCCAGATCCTCACGCGGCCACAAAATTTTGTCCTGATCCCGACACGATGACCCAGTGACCATGTACGCGTACCGGTAATCAGTTGCCAACAAAAAATCACCCCTCCATCACCCCCTTCGTACTTGACTTGAGCTGGTCCAGACTCCTGCACTCTTACAAGCCACTACACTTCAAACAGAGGCTGACAGACTTCAAATACGCCATTGTCTGATCCGACTTGTTCGCGTTGACCTTCCTTCTTAAGACACCCGCAGTTCTCCAAGTGATAGCTGTCCCACAGTCTCTTGTGGCACAGACCCTGTTCGGGAAGGGTGAGTTGAGTCGGAACCGGTGGTCAACAAGGATCTTGTAGTTTCGGAGCTGGTACTTGGTGAAGGGGGTGATCTTGTGGCTGCTGGTGACCCAGTGGGTGGGTTCTGCTCTTCTGTGGCCGTCCAGGGTCTGTTGGAAGGAGTAAGAAGAAAGAAGACAAAGACGTTTTAAGGGTGTGTTGGTCAGGAAAGTTGCGATTGTATTAAAGGTGGTGTCGTGGGTAGATAATGATGTGAATTAGATGGGGTCCATAGCTGACGATGGCGTCGATGAGTGGTGTCCATGACTGTCAATGAACGATGATGAACGCAGCCACAGGGCTGAAGGTGGTGCTCTGAGGCAAGGACAACAAGTAGTGGTGGACATGGTATAGAAAAGAGGGCGAAGGAGAGAGGAGGTACTTTACCTTGACGACGCCGTTGACCAGGATCGCATCCGTAGGGAAGAGGATATCGACCTCATCCTTATACTCAGACAAGCCCTTGAATGAGTTGGCGGCATGAATGACGCAGACCGTGTACGCTTAAATCGATTGGATGTAAGGCCCAAAAAAAGGAGACCAAGTGTTAGTTGAACTTGAAAAGATGATAAACATGTCTAGGTGAGAAAAATAGAAGTGCAGCAATGTAAAAAAACAGGCTTGACAACTTACCGATGCCAATGACATTCTTGGGGACTAGGCGAGTTGAGCGCCTGGTCCTCCCGGTCGCGACACTCTCATCCTGGTCCTCGTAGATATCCGAGACGACGCCGTTGTTTTCCTCACACTCATCACTCTCATCCATGGCATATTTGTCACCCTCCATATCGACATCGGCGGAGCTATCCTGATGCTCAGTCGTCCTCTCAGCGGCAGCGGCTATCTCGTTGTGGTGCCCTTCCAAATGCCTTTTCAAACCCCTCGTGGTCTTATAGGGCTTCGAGCACCAGTGGCACGAGAAGGTCATGGTGGATGGGTTGTTGTTTTGATGGATAGGATTGTAAGAGAGAGAGAGAGAGAGAGAGAGAGAGAGAGAGAGAGAGAGAGAGAGAGAGAAAAGGTGAATGGATGTGAAAGATGTTGATGGATGGGTAGGGTGTTGATGATGGGAGGGTGGATGGATAGAGGAGAGGGCGGGAAGGAAAAAAAGTGAGAGAGAGAAGGAAGCAAAATGTAACGACGCGCCAGTTTATTTAAATGGTTGCCGCCAACACCAGCGAGTCTGATAACTGTCGCGATCAATTCATGGAAGAGACGCCTTTTTTCCAGTATTGGAACCATCCAGCAAGCCTTGGTTGGGTATTGAGCTTTGTAGAAAGTGTGGATTTCGTCGATTGACTCTTTGTTTGGGAATTGGCTCTTTGTAGGGCGAGGAATTCAGCCTTGTTTGCTTATAACAAAGGCGAATCATAGCGCAGCAATTCCACAAGCTACTACATTTCTCCTAATGGGTAAGTTAAAGACGCGTCGAAAATTCAAGCTCTGTGAGCCGAGGATCATACGCGTCGTCTCTCTGTTCCTGTTTTTGAAAGTCGCGCACCTCCTGATTAATATGAAACCCAGTCCGAGGGCTAAAGCGCTCGGAAGAAAAAAAAGAGGATCTTCGACGCCGAAAGGTGCACCAGCTCAGTTCACTCCTTCGCCCGTGTCTATGACTTGCCCTCTCGCTCCTTTTTTACCTCTCCCCATCGCCACCTCCAATCTTGTTGCTGATGCTGACAATGCTTATTTATTTTTGTTCAACTCGCCACCTTCCTCTCTCTCCCTTTCTTTACCCCCCTTTTCATTCCTTCTTTTAGCCTCCTAATTCTCCCCTCCTCTGCCTTTTTTATGCCCCCCTCTTCTCTCCATGACCTCAAACCCCTCCCTATGATTTCTCCTTTATTTTGTTTTACACCTACTCGTACGTTATTTTTGGTCTCTGTATGTCGGTGTGTGTGGCGGAAGAAAAGGAGTGCCTGTACCCATTCTCTCAGAGTGCAGTTTATCACACAAGGAGGGTTCAGATCGATCTCCCTTGAAGCGAGAGACGTACATGACAACCTAGACAAAACAGAATAGGGAGAAACGGAGGGGGGGGAGGAGGGTGTTCAACGGTTTCCTTTCATAATCAAGATGCCCATTCACCACGTACCCCATCGTTAATAATAGCATGAGATGGTGATTGGGCACATAATGCGTGTGTGGGATGATGAGAGAGAAGACCATGACGATGATGCGCTCTGATATAGCACGTACACACATTCAGACTGCGGCCAAGAGTCCAAACGAGACACAGACAAAGGAAGAGTTGAAGTAATCCCAGGTACAGAAAGAAGAGTCAGGGTGTTATACAGAACCGATTACAACTAAAGAAAGAAAGGATATGGACAACAGAGGAAAGAGACGGTGATGACACGCTGGGGTCAGCCCCTTGTTCTTTTATTTCTCTTTTGTAACAGAATTAGCATGGTACCCCTTCCTAATAAAAAAAACTCATAAATAAATGCATAACGACAGTCGTTGAGGGTGTTATTGTTCCTGCGCTGTTGTTTGGTTTTTTCTTGGTAAGGTTTTCTTCTTTTTCTTTCACTTTTCTCATTGTCTTTTTCTTCCTCGTTTCTCTCTTCCAACCATCGATCCAACGGATCCATTCTCTCTCTCTACTATACGGCATCAGCTACGACCCACTCACCGTTTCTTCCTTTCCTTGTATTTTCATTCTATCGTCACGGTCGCATTGTTTCGTTGTTGTCTCTGTCCACCTGCCAACCTCAGCTCCGCTCCTTCTCTCTTTAACGACACCTTCCTTCCTTCTTTCTCAATTTCTTCTCTCTTCTCGCTACACTTGCACTATATCCGCTCTTTCACTTTGTACCCTATTCACTTTCGAAACCGATCCTCACCATCCTCCGATTCAAACACCACGATTCATTCACAGACCAGAGCACGCAAACGCCAGGAGCAGTAGTAAACCTCAAACAGTTACCAACACCCTCCTGTCCTACCTTCCATCCTGTACTCCCAACCTTCCACCTTATCTTTTCATAATGTCCACATCTACAGAATACTCGCCAAGCTCATCCTCATCCTTCACCATCATCGCCTCACCAGCACCCTCCTACGTCTCGACCCACCTCCCCTCCAAACTGAAGTCCTTCTTCAAGATTGGTGGCGTAAAGCGGTACAACACCACCAACAGCGACTGTTCGCAACCTCCAGCCTACCCAACAGCGGCTGACAACAAGACTTCGGTAGGTGTTGTCCTTGTTGTTTCCTACTTTTTTGGTGTTTTTCCGACTGGACCTTTACGCAAAGGAGTAGGCTGAAACACTGGCAGAATACTTGACGACAGGTGGTGGTGCAGGGAGCATAAAGGCCAGGATGAGGAGATTAGACTCAACAAGCGACAACGACGATGGTGCCCGTGCCTTGTTTTATGTTTGTGCGCGAGATAACGATTGTTGACCCTCTTCCGCAACACGCGGGCGTACGTCTTTGAGTTTAAGAGATGCTGCAGATGTGTTATCAACTTATGGTTCACAGAGTACGTTTTTACGCTCAGACGTGCCTCCTTCCTTCTTCCCCACGGACCCCCTTTTGCTCAATTCAATTCCTTAACACGGAGGGAGGGAGTACCCTCCCGCTCCAAGGAGGAATCCAAGGAAGGGTCACCATCCTTTTCTTCACCCTGTATTCACTTCCGTACGACTCCATGCACCACACTGTTCGTGCTATCCTGTCCTTTGAGTCGTGGTCCCCTCGAGGCAGGCAAGGAAGGAAAGAGGGAAAGAAGGAACAAAACCGTTGAGGTCATTCGTTTCCTGTCTTGTACCAACTCCTTGTTATTTCTCTTCCTTCCGATATCACGATTCCATTCCCACACGCCCCTTCCACCGCCTGGCTGTCGTTCGGGCCAACGACAGCTCATTTTTACCCTTTCTACCTTCCCTTCCGTTCCCCTCATTGACTTCACTCACCTTCTCCATCCCATTCCGTCCTGACAGGAATCAGCTTCTTCTCCACCCAATCTGCTAATTTGGCTCATTCACCTCAAAACTGGTTCCCTTCTCACCAACCAAACGACAAAGCTGCTTATTTGAATTTGGTCGTTTACATTTGGACGGCCAATTCCTTCTTCCCTTTTCATGAACCTAATATCCATATTTTCATATCATCCCTTGCCACTGCCATCACCACGATAACGACCCTTGAAAGTCGCACCTTGAAAAACCCCCATGCTAACACTACCCGACTCATTGGCGCCTTCACAGTTCCTCAGAAGAGTAACCTCAACCCCAAACAACAAGGCCGCCATCCTCGCTGCAGAAGAGTCACATAAGCACAAGAACAACACCACCCAAGGGCACCTAGGCGTCGGTGGCTACGACCCATCTTCACCCGCCGCAAAATCTAACACCACCCTCAGTTCCACCATGACCTCGTCCACATCCTCCGCCGGCACTGTCACGACAAAATATAGTCCTAGTGTATCGAGGCTGAGTGGGTTGAGACTCAACATACCCAAGAGCCCTAATGGATCTCTAGGATCAGGACCAGGAGGAGCATCGGCATTGGATCTGAGGCGCGTTGGGACGTTCCGCAGGACGTATTCTTCGAATTCGATCAAAAAAAAGTCGGTGGAGGTGACGCCTAGTAGTTTTGTCAAGATCCGGCTCCTTGGGAAGGGCGATGTTGGCAAAGTGTACCTTGTTCGGCAGAAGGATACCGAGCGTCTTTATGCCATGAAAGGTACTTGCTTTGCGTTGTTTGATGGATCAATCGGACAATGAGTGAGAGCCTTTGTTATCGTCATGACATTTCATCAAGAGGACCTGGGCTAGTCCAGTTACCTTGGCGACTAGTCCAGTCCTGTTCTTTATTTTCAACCTTCCCTTACTATCGTAACAGTTCAAACTAATGCATAATCATTTCCCCCTCCTTCCTCTCCTTCTCCCCACACTTTTGCCTTCTGTACGGATCGCAATATCTTCTTTGTAGTGCTGTCAAAGAAGGAGATGATTCGACGCAACAAGATCAAGCGGGCATTTGCAGAGCAGGAAATCTTGGCCACATCCAACCATCCCTTCATCGTCACCCTCTACCACTCTTTCCAGTCTGAGGAGTATCTTTATCTTTGCATGGAGTACTGTATGGGCGGGGAATTCTTTCGAGGTATGGAACGACAATGCTATTCGTGATCATGCTTATCTGTTATGCTTTACTCGTTTGGACCTGGGCAATTGAAAGCTGACATTCTTGGTTCACTTTTTTGATGGTAGCTCTGCAAATGCGGCCAGGGAAGCACTTATTGGAGGAAGATGCCAAATTCTATGCGGCAGAGGTCATTGCAGCACTAGAGTACTTGCATCTCATGGGCTTTATCTACCGTGATCTGAAGCCCGAGAGTATGTCCCCTTTTTCCACAATGCCAGTTCGAACGACCGCTTTTGTCAGTTGGAAGAAGCAAATGGCCCCCTAACTGTATTTTTTCACCGTTGACCCTGATAGACATTTTGCTGCATCAGACGGGACACATCATGCTCACGGACTTTGATCTCTCGAAACAGTCGTCCCCAGCAGGCGAACCGACCATTGTCAAGAACGCTTTACCTTCCATGCCTCCTGCTATCGATACAAAGTCATGTATTGCCCATCTCCGGACAAACAGTTTTGTTGGGACCGAAGGTAATACCACGTCCGCATGTTTTTTTTTTTTTTTTTTTTTTTTTTTTTTTTTTTTTTTTTTTCGTGGATCTATCGGACAAGACTTTGATTGGAAACAAGGAAGCGTCCTCATGGTTCCACAGACGGTAATTAATTGCTCCTTTCTCAATTGTCATACGACGACGATGAATAGAATACATTGCACCAGAGGTGATCAAGGGCCACGGCCACACGTCCGCCGTCGACTGGTGGACATTAGGCATCCTGATCTACGAAATGCTCTTCTCCTCCACACCATTCAAAGGTCGCGACCGCAACGCAACCTTCTCTGCCATCATGGAAAAGGAAGTCACCTTCCCCACCCCTTCCCCCTCTTCCTCCCCTTCCACCTCCAACCTCAACCACTCCAACAACTACACCGGCACAGCCTCCCCACAAAACATCACTCCCGCCTGCAAAGCCGTCATCCGCGAATTACTCATCAAAGATGATCAAATCCGCCTGGGGTCGAGAGCAGGCGCAAGTGATGTGAAGCAACATGCGTTCTTCAAGAATACCAATTGGGCATTGTTGAGGCATTTACCGCCGCCAATTATCCCACAGCAGAGTTTTGGTGCGGATGCGGTGAATTTTAGGCAGATGACCGAGAGTGTTAGTTTGGACATTGAAGGTGAAGACATGGTGAATCAGAAGATGGAGTTTGAAGGAGGAGGGTATGGGGGTGGGGCAGGTGGTAAGAACCCTTTTGCAAAGTTCAGTTCAGGTAAGCATGGGTTATTGTGTATTCAAGGGTGATTGCGACGGTTGTTTCTTAACCTTTTTTGGTGCTTGAATAATTGCCAGAGTGATTTTGCTAACATGATAAACTTTTGGTTGTTTTGTTTTTCTCATTAGTCACACTCCTGCACGATGGCGACGATGACATCTGAAGGAAGACATTTCGCCCAACTCATAAACAAACATACATGGACGGGACAGTCAGTTCACCTAATCGCAGGTGGCACCCAAGTACCCGCATATCATTTTAATTTAATCGCTCATTTTCACACCTCCATCTGCTCTACTTTTGTACCCAAACCCGACCCATATCCATATCCTAATAATTTCATACTTTTGTACTTTTACTACCCATGCCTCTTATTCCATTACCATCTGCCATCCAATAAACATAATCCGGACATAATCCGGAGTCAAGCATGGCGTTTCTTCTTTACAGTGTTATTTATTCTGTTCATACAATAACAAAAAGTATTCACAAAGAGCAAGGCAAAAAAAGAGGTGGATGGAATACAGGGCGAAAAGTTGGTACAAAGCGCGCGGGTAAAAAAAAAAATGAGGTTTAGAGTAGAGAAAAAGAAATTATACATGGGCGGTCATCCGGTTGCGAGCAGCAGCAGCTTCGGCAGTCTTGGCATTATCCTCTTCAATGAACCGACGTTCCTCTTCCGACAGGTGGAAGGGGACGATCGAGGCGTGGTGAAGGTCCGAGGTCGGGTACAGCACAAGCGAGTCCTCCTCCTCCTCATTGTCTACCTCTTCTACTTTCTCCTCCTCAGAGGCAGAGGTGCTCGACAAATCAGATTCATGCTGTTGCTGGTCCTGCTCCTGTTTTAGTGGCTGTTCCGACTGAGACTGTTGAGGCTGTTGGGTCTGTTGGCGCGGAGACACTGGGGACGACAACACTGGAGATGTTAATACTGGAGACGTAGAGGTCCCATCCTTCAGAGCAGATCGCAACTGGCTGTAATCTGACCCCTGTCGATAATGCAAAGGCGACGGCTGTCGTGGCGTAGACCCTGCAGTCGAAGGCGCGCCTCTCCGTGGCAAGAGCGAAGATACCGTTCGGATAGCGCCCTGTTGGTGGACATGAACGCCTCCTCCACCAGGTCGAGGGTATCCTGCCGAAGAAGATCCGTTTGTCTTGGCTGCCTGAACTGCCTGTGCGGCCAGCACTGTCCTGTACTGTGCAACCTTTTGGCGATGATCCACCATCAGGGCATCAATGCTCTTGAGAAGTCCCAAAACCACTTCGGCGTGCTGTCGGCGGACTGGGTCGTCCATGCAAAGAGACCGTGCCTTGGCCGCCTTCAATTGCCGCTCAATATCTCCTTCAGCGATGATGGGTCGCGTGGTTGCTGGCTTTAGGGCAGGCTTGGCATTTCCGTCCAGACGAACCTGTGCGAGTTGGTGAGTCATAGCATCGATCGGGCTGAGAACCTCAGACGCAGCAAGGGTCGGAGTAATAGTACCCGCTGGAGCAGCCGTGGTCGCAGGTTTGGCGGCATTAGCAGCGGCAGCGGCAGTGCGAGCGCGTGCTTTTTGAAGGTAGCTGCTAAACCTCGATACACCCTGTTGATTTGGAGATGTTGCTGCACTGTCGCATGGCTCAGTAGCCTCCTTTCCATCTACATGCTCTGATGTTGGCGAATCCGGCTTCTGTTCCTCCTGCTCCCGCTCCTGTTCCTTCTGCAACTCCAGCTCCTTGGTCAGATCTTGAGCAACGCTTGCAACGCCAACGGAGAGAGAATCATCCTGAGTAACCTCGATCTCGGGCAACGGGTTCGTAGGTACCTCTGGCGCGGTCTCCAAAAGTGCCTCTGCCTCCTCTGGGTCCAGAGGCTTCGCCTTCTTGCCCTTCTTTTTGTTCTCCAACGGCGGAAGGTCCGCATGCATCCTAAGCAACATCATCTGGCCACCACCGACGGACACAGGTTGACCCTTATTTTCTTGCGTCTGTGTACCCATGTCAGTGTAAGTTCGCGCGGTGTGGGACCCCGGTTGGGGCTCGATTGGCTCCTCCTTTGGCTCGATCTTGACAAGGTCCGGACTCTGCTGCAGTGCAGGTAGTGACACATACTGAGGGTTGGTGAAGCGGTTGGATTGGAGTGTCTGCTTCGGAATGGCATTCCGCATGACGCCTGGTGTCACTATTGGCGGTGTAATGTTCCATGGTAGGTCTGCCGTGCCGTAGGGGATATTCATGGTCGAAGTCGAAGTGAAATCAAAGGTGGGATCGGCAGAGCTGTACATCGGGCTCATCTGTGTGGCTGTAAATGCGGTGCCAGTGGTATCATAGGTCGAGAGTCCGTTGAGACCGGACATGTAATCTCCGTCCATTGCGGTGGGAGCTTGCTTTTGATCGTACTCTGGGAACAGTGGGGTGTCGTAGGTCTGCGGCTCAAACGTCTCTCCACTGAGATCCTCAAAAAGTGTAGAGCAGTATTGGTTGAATTGACTGAAATGATTCCAGTCACTGACGTCAGGGAGCGAAGTCAACAGGCGATCCGATGTCAATGGGTTCTCTTCCAAGATGGCCGATAGTGCGTCAAGGCGCCCTTTCATGTCTAAAATAACGTTGATGATGTCAAATTCGATTGTTAGAGCTTGTTTGAGGATTGTCGATTATAGCATCAATATATCATTCAATTATACCTTCGTTGTATGAAGGGTCGAATCGTTTCTTCTTTGCATCGAGGGCGAAAGCACCGAGTGTGTCTGTCAGGACTTCGTCGACGCTGTCGCGGGGTCGCTTGCTAGTCGAGGGCGTGATTATGCTGTCATAGGAGTTGGATGAGGGGAAGGCGCCATAGAAGGGATCATCGATGCTAGGCTGCCCAAAGGGCGCATTCATCAAGTCTAGTTCTAAGTCAGTGGCGCTTGGGGAGCTGAACAGGTCGGAGCTGGTCGAGTACGATGGCGAAGCTAAGAAGGACAAAGAGGGTCACGGTTTGAGGTGAGTGATGAGCAATTTCTCGTATGCAACAAGAGACAGTGTTGCAACGTGGCAAAAAAGGAGTCGTTCGTTCAAAAAAACCCGCCCAGATAACAAACACAAGGCTGAGGGAGGAACATACAAAGCCCAGGGTTCCAAGATTCTAGAGTATCGGCGGGAGAGAGGGGCATCGAATAAGGAGAGACAGAAGAACCGGTGAGGGTCGAGACGACAGAGGGGGAGCGATCGAAGGGAGTGGGTGGGGTGAGTGGGAGTGCGGGGTCCTTGGTGGGCTGTAGATGGGCTGAAGAAGATGAGGCGGACGTTGAGGCAGCTTTTGTGTCGTTTTTTGTGTCGGTGTCAGAGTTATCATCGTCTGCAAGGGTATGGTGGGTGTGGTTGTCGTGGGTCTTTTCGTGCTTCTTCAAGTCCTGCGGCCGTTTGAATCCCTTCTTGCAGTGCTATTCTCAGTCAAAGGAGAGACGTGAGAGTTAGGTCAAGGGTAACTTTTGTGCAATTTGTTTAAGGGATAAAAGTTACGCAATCGAGTTGCTAGAAGAGAGCATACCCTGCACTGGTGGGGTTTAGAAGCGACATGGACACGCAAGTGAGAGGTGATATGGTCTCGTTTGGCAAAGGTCTGGACGGTGCACTTGTCCCAGTGGCAGGTCAAACAGAGGTTGTGGTGTGCTTTGCGCCCGACATGGTCGTCTCTGAGATGCTGATAGAGTGTCTCGGCGTCGTCAAAGTTTTTGTGGCATTGGTTCCACTGGCAAATGTACTCGTCCGAGAATATGAACTCTTGTGGTGATGGGGTGTCCATCTTTGCCGTCGTTAATGTTGGGTGGGGATGAATGACCGTTGCTTGCTTTTATTAGTGGCGGTGGTGGTGATGAGGTGGTGTTTGGTTGTAAGTGGTGGCGTTGATAAAGACAGAGAGAAAGAGTGAGGAGAGAGTGAGTGGCGTAGAGAAAGATAGATAAAAGGCGAGGACTGGCTGCGGAGGGAGCTGAGAAGTAACGGAGCGAAGGAAGAGTGAGTGGTGTGAGTGGTGTGAAGGAAGAGTGTGGGAAGAGTGCATTATCGAATGAAGGGTTAAATCGTTGGCGACCTTGTGACTGGTTCAAGCGAGTTCTTGGCATTCTCTCGTTGCCTTTTTGCTATTCTTGGGTGGCATATCGTCTGTCGTTGTTCAATGGTTACTCAAACAACAGCGGAGGGAGAAGAGAGAGGCGTGATGTGTAAGTAGACACATAGAGTGTCTTGTTGAGTGAGAATGGAGAAAGAGAAAGCCACGTTATCCCACTCGCCATCTGAGCATATGAACCCTGTTGTTTGTTCTGTTCACAGCCAAAAATAAAATACCAGGATATGTATTCTGTACCACATGTTGTATGTGGTGTGAGGGTGGCTGTTTGTGGGTTGGGTGGGGTTAATAAGTTAATAAGAGAAGGATAGAGAGAAAGAGAAGGAAGGAGTGATCGTTGGGGCAGAAACAACATCTAGGAGTCTCACACTTGACAAAGGGCAAAACGTGAGGGGGAAGAGGAGCATTGACAGCAGCAAGGTGCTTTCTCCCTACGAATCGTTTAGCTCTTGCCTTGACTATTGTCACATGCGATCTGAGCTTCCATCAGACACATCAAATCATTCACATACTCCAGAGACGCGTTTTCTCATCATTGTTCTTTGTGTGTCCTGTGTTTTGTCACACCTCCTCTTCTTCTTCCTCTTCGTCCTTTTCTTTGTGCCCCTTCTCCCTTCTTTTCTTCTTTCTCACACCCTTTTCCCTTTTCACTTCTTCTTTCTTTCTTTCTTTCTTTCTTTCTGATCAGCTCATTCCCTCCCCTTCCTCCCCTTCACTAAACATACAACACCACTAGCATTCACTTCATTCGTTCACCTTCGCCTTTACACATACTCATTGAACCTCATTGCAACCAGGACTTCGTACCTTCCCTTTACCTCTTCACACACAGCAAATACAACATAGCCGATACCAACTCATTCTACAACAAACAAAATGAGTCGCATGTCGCCACTGGTCGCTCCTATTATCGACGAGGACTTTGACCTGTGCATCTCCGAGACCAACCTTCCCTTCCCATACTCCGACCACTGCAGCACCGGACCACCCAGTCTCTACGAGTTTGACGTTGCAGAGGACTATGACGACGAAGACGAGGAAGAAGGTTATTTCGATGGAGCATTGGACGAAGAGGAGGAGGAGGAGGAGGAAGAAGGAGATGTGGATGAGGATGATACGTTGGTCGAGACCAAGGAGGTACTTCTCGACGGAGACAGCGACAGCGACCCTGTGTTGACCCCTGGATACAATGCCATTGGTCATGTTACGCCCAAACCCGACAAAGGTGCGCCTTCTCCATCTAGATCTCGAAATGCGAAGCAGAGACAGCTGAACGACCTCTCTGATCAGCTGCACTCTCGCCTCGAGAGCATCCACAACGACAACAACAACAATGATACCCTTCGAACGCCAACTGCCTCGACTCCAAAGACACGACCCTACTACAGTCGACACTCATACTCCTTCGACTCTAACGAAGGCTGGCACGAAGAAGAATACGAGGAGGATGATGCACGCAAAGATGAAGCACAGGACAGCCAGACCGGACTGACGGGCATCATCCAGACAGTGACCTCCTCTGCAACCTCTGTCGCCTATGCAGTCGGCAAGCATTGGTCCAAGGTAATGACTGAAGCAGTCATAAATACTGATTTTCCTGCACACACCATGCACATTGATCCTTCTCTCCTTCTGTGTGTCTCCGTCTCAAAGGAACGATCCCCATCGTTTCTTTCCCTTTTTTTTTCTTCTGCTTCTTCCGTTGAACATTTTACAGGCACATGACATTGTGCATACAATATTGCATTTTGTCCACAGACTCAAACACGAACACACAAATACACGACTCATGGTTTAATTGCTCTCACACCCCCCACATGTCATCCTCACCCTGTCTATCATTGTCATCACCTAATATATTTTCCTTGTGAACCTTACTTACTTTGAAGAAAATCTACGAGTCCTTGCTCGCCTCAAGGGACCCCAAAGCATACTACACTCACCTTCTCAGCGCAGCAACCAACTACGAGCAATGGGCAGAGGCAGCCGCCATTCTCGATCGACTCGAGGGTAAGGACAAGTGGAAGAACGACCCACGTTCACCCCATTACGACTATGAGATGTTGCAGGAACGCCTCTCACAACTGAGCGCGGCTAGGGAGTCTGGTGATCTCGGACTGATGATCTATCTACTTCGAACCTCCCTCTCGCGTAACCTCGGCAATGTCGGTCGGCCACAGGTAAACACTCGCCGAAACACGTTATTTCTTGCCAATATTACGTCGGGTGCAAATAAACGGTTAGGGGCAGCCAGCTAACGTATTGGTTTTTGTTTCTGCTTGCTCTAGTTGTATGCAAACACCAATATTGGTACCAAGCGACTGATCGAGCAGTACAATGCGGAGGTTATGCGACAGCTCAACATAATTTGTGACACTGAGAGCGATGACTTTTCTATGGCAGCCAAGCTGGAGTTTTTCACCCATACCCGCCAGGCGTTCGGTCGTACAGCCCTTCTTCTCAGTGGTGGCGCAACCATGGGTAAGTCACAAGTGAATTTTAGCTTACTGATTGTTTCATCAGTTGGTGATTCGAGTCTAAATGCTAATTGTTTTTTGGTGGCGTACTTATCCCTAGGTCTGATGCACATTGGAGTGATCAAATCGTTGTACTACAATCAACTGCTGCCACGAATTATCTCGGGATCATCGTGTGGATCGATCATTGCGGGCATACTTTGCACGCGCACAGATGAGGAGATTTCCGAAATGTTCCAATTTGACAAGTTCAACTTTGTAAGTCTTGGTCAAGGGTTTAATGGTGCTTACCTTCAAGTGGATGCTCTTGGATCTTTTTTAGTTTGTTAACCATTGACATCATATCTTCCTTTTAAATTAGACCGTCTTCCACACAGTGGAGGAGAAGGGAGATGTCCTGGCACGACTCATCCACTTTTTGAAGAATGGTACGCAAAAGACCACTTGATCTTGGACTCGCTGAACATCGTGGACACAGAACTAACAACCCTGACTTTTGAATTTTCCTTTTGGACCGATTAGGTGCTCTTTTTGACGCCCAAGTGCTGAAGGCTGCACTGAAGGACAACATCGGAAATGTCACCTTCCAGGAGGCATACAACCGCACGCGCAGGATTCTCAATATCACCGTCAGCACCTCTGCTACGTTTGAGATGCCTCGACTTTTGAACTATCTGACTGCCCCCAACGTCCTCATCTGGTCAGCAGTGTAGGTGACATCCCTAAGTTAAACCAATTTCAGGCATATGCATCCACTCTACTCTGCCACAAATAACTGATGCCCACCTCTCATTTAGAGCGACATCATCCGCCGCTCCGTTCATTTACAACTCGGCGCCACTTATGGCCAAGGACAAGAACGGAGACGAAGTTCAGTGGAACCCTTCCCGTAAGTTCCCTCCATTTTTTGCTGTTGCATGTTGACATGACGCTTGAGTGTCGACAGCTTCTTGACCAAGCCCCTTCCTGGTCTCTCTCCTCTCTTAGGCTACCACTGGATCGACGGATCTGTCGACAAGTAAGTTGGACCCTTGTAACTCTTTCCTTTGCCAAGATAACGCGCCACACGGAACTAATATTCCTCATTATTTACTCCGATATTTAGCGATCTCCCTATGAACAAGCTTTCGGAGCTCTTCAACGTGAACCATTTCATCGTCTGCCAGGTCAACCCTTACATCGTACCCTTCTTGCATAATTCCCTGGCACGTTCTCCAACAAATCGTGTCCTTGGCTGGATACTGTACCAAGCGAGATCTGAGGTCCAGCACCGCATGAACCAGGTACGTCACGCATTTGAAATACTCGGCAATGTGCACTTTTTGAACAATCACCAGTACAGTTACCACCATGAAGTATTGCAGTAAGGATTTACAATGGCAAAAACAATTCATTCGAGTATGGTAACCGTGCGGGCACTAAGAGAATATAGTACCAGCACCTTGGCCCTTTTAGAGTAGTTTTTTTTGACGTGGGATTCGACGCTGTTCAATCTGATTGTGTTTCTCAGTGCAATACTTAGTGGTGGTGACTGTACAGGATACTAACGACGCCCCATATCCGCTGCTCACATAATTTAGTTGTCAATATTGGGAGTCATGCCAGGATTGATCCAGAAGGTTCAGGCGATCATGGCACAGCGGTACTATGGCGATATCACTATTGTGCCGAACCTTGGAGTGGATGATTACATGAACATTGTGACCAACCCAACGGCCGAGTTCCTTGTCAACGCCACTCTCAAGGGTGAGCGTGCAACCTGGCCAAGTAAGTCACGCGGGCATCGTTTTTGCTCATTTGTGTTGAGGTCGCAACTAAGGATTGCAAGGAGACTGTAAAGCCTAACCAATACCCTTCTGCTTCTGCTTCTGCTTCTGCGAAATAGAAATCTCGATCATCAAGAACCATTGCAGCATTGAGCATTGTCTGGATGATATTCTTTACCGCTTGCGGTTACGTCGCTTAGAAGCTTACAGACCACCAAATACTACATCAAAGCGGACAGCACGAAACAGCGTGTTCCCCCAGGCACCACCACCTATGTCCATGACCTCTAGCAGCGATGCTGCTGCCATGAGAGGTTCGCCTTCGGTCTGCTATAGTGCCATTGGCCGGTCCAACTCTTCGCCAGCTACACCAAGCGCTACTGTCAACCTGGCGACTGTCAACCTGGATCGGCCGGCAATGACACCCATGGCTCCCATGCCTGTCAACTCTAGTATCGATGCATCCAGCGGGTTGATGCCTTCAACAATGTCGGATGATAGGCCAACTCTTGGTGTTGAGACTCATGAGAAGCAACCGACGGGGCCGCAGTCTCAAAGAAGATCGTCGATGGAAGTGCCTATCTCTACAGCGACTGTGCAGTCCAAGGCTGGAACTCGTTCAGGATCAGGTGCGCTGAACCATGCACCGCCACCTCCATTGAGACGTGCCAACTCTTCAAGCTCTCCTTCTCCCAACGTGGTTCGGACTTCGTCTACTGGAGCTGCTGCAGAAGCAGCAGGCGGTAAATCGACTCGTCACAGGAACAGTATCAGCAACGTGTCCGAGTACAAGTTCCAGGACAATGGCGAGGTGATCGTCATGACCAGTAGTTCTACTGCACAAAGAACAGCCTCTTCCTCCATTGCCGCAAATATGCCGTCTCCCAGGATTGTGTTTACGCCATCGATGACCGCCCACTCGCCCATGAATGAGGCCTCTCAGTTCTCGCAGCTTTCTGGGCTTGGCCTTGGTCAGTCTGCTGCATCTTCGTCTTCGTCCTCTGCGGTGGTGTCGCCCACGTTACTATCGACTGCTACGTTGTCGGCGGTCAGTAACCCTGTGCCTGCAATGGTGCAAACCCACAAGTCTCGTCCTAGTAGCAAGAAGTCTTCTTCTTCCACGTCGTCTTCATCGTCGTCGGCTTCTGCAACTACGACCACTACCACCACAGTTCGGCCAGGCACAAGCCGCATTCGTAGCAAGCAGGCCCGTACCTTCCAGATGACCAGTCTCCAACAGTAGTACATCTCATCGACATGGAAATAAAACCGCGGTTAGATTTTGGAGGCGATGCAAGTTTTATTTGTAGGGTATTATGGATGTGAATGATGCAGGGCTGCCTATGACGGGAGCGTGTTGTCTGAGGAGGGGTATGAAATAGTGCTTGAGGGGTGGGGCAGAGTAGTGTCTCTAGACGCGGGAGAGGACCATGGCATGCATGTTTCCAAGGTGTGCTGCCTTGGCAGCAGCGGTCTGGGTGGACTGAGCGGAGGAGGTACGAGTCGAGGTGGTAGTAGGGACCTTGCCGTCGAAGGAAGTGCGGGGTGTCTGGGAGGGAGTGTTCGCGGCCGAAGCGGTCTTGTTCTTCTTGGAAGAAGAGGCGTTGTTCATCTTGAAAAGAGGCATCTTTACAGTGTGTGTTGGATAGAGGGCGGAGAGGGAGAGTGGTGTTGCTTGATGGGCGTAGTTGATGAGTGTCTGTCTGTTGTGGTCGTGAGAGATTTGAGGAACTGACCAGTTGCTTTTTATACCATAGCCTTCTTTTTTTTTGTTTGTTGATGGGGCCTTCCTCGATCGCGATACGAGGGGTAAAGTGTATGGAAAACGTAAGTTTGTTTGCAGGAGAATAAAACGCCGAATACTTGCACTGAGCGAATTATCTCAAAGGCACCAATGGATGTTACTGCAATTTCACATCCAGCTCTAGGACTAAAGCTTGATCTGTGCGGCGCTTGTAAAAGTCAAATGAGAAACAACATCCAGGCGCTGAAGAGTAAAGGCGGTGCACTGAGGACAGGCAGGGGAGGTGGTGGGAGCGAGGTGAAGGAACCAGGCAAAGTGAAAGTTGAGCCATTCAAAAATAGCTGATCGGACCACCAACGACCTTGCACTGGGTCCCTGCATGTCCAATTGGATATCCTTTTCGTGCCTTTTGATATCTGACTCAGCGTTTGTTATTTCGCCTTCTTTTTGGACCCTATTCATCTCAAAAAAAGCGCACTATTACCGTCTTCCACCTTTTGGATCACTCCAGAAAAGCGACACCAAACACCGGTCGCGAATTTTTCTCCTTGTAGCTCCTTCACAATGTCCACATCCAACAAGCTACCTTTTCTACGATCAGACCCCCTTTTGGGAGCCATGATATACTAACCGCTGTTTACATTGCTTCAAAAAACTCCGGTGGTCAAAACGAAGGAAAATAGTTTCGTTGAGGCCTTTTTTTCCTTGGAAGGAATTTTATTCAGGCGGAGATGAACCACAAATTAAGATTTTTTTATCGTCTAAATGTTTTCTTATTTCTCCTTGTCTCTGTTGGGCCCCCCCAGGCGCACATTCCTCTGGGAGTCGAGTCGACTGGACCCGGCTGGCTTTGATTTTTTTTCTTTCATGAGTCTATCCTTTCACAGGAGTCATTCGAACATTTTCTCTCTGATAGTGTGGTGTGGTGTGGTGTGGGAAAGGGGTATGCGGGGAAGAGGAGAAGGGGAGCTAGAAAGAGTGTGTGGGTAAACGAGGCATTTTGGCGGCTGTGAAAGAAAGGAATTAGCTCTGGTGGTTTTGCCGATTGGTTGAACAAAGGGTTCTTCTCCCTAGCCAACGTCGCGTCTCCATTAACAGCCAACGGCATCATAGACTAGTCGATTGGTTAGAGAAGGTACAAACTGTAGGAAGGCAAGGTAGAGGAAAAAGAAGCAGGGAGGTGAGGGATCAGACGGAATGAGAAGCAACGGCCTCCTTTAGTTCTCCGACCAGTTCAGTTCCTGACTATGTCTATATGTCTCGATTTTCTACGAGCTTTCTAAAGAATTCCCCTCCCTCTACAAGGCTCATAACACCTGGAGTAGAACCCATCTCCTCCCCGCCTAGAAGAGGTAGAAAATAGCAGAGTTAAGGCTTCCAAGAAGTCTTTGGCTTTCATCAACGCTTTGTCCGTCTGTGCTTGAACGCAGTACCAACACAGACACGACTCCCTCCAGTTCTTTGCAGACTAGGTGTTGTTAATAATCGTTCCAGGGCTTCTGTGGAATGTCTATGCCGATGGAGTACGCTTTAGTACCCAATAATGAAACACTCTTTAGTCCATCCCAAGTACCCCAGAAACCCTTATAAAGGCCGCCCTACCCTTGCTCATTCCTCCCACATCCCTCATCAACACAATCCAAACCAAAACACAACCGTGCATCTCCCCAAGAAGTCATCCAAGAACCAGACCGCCTCGGCTGCCACTACCCCCTCCCAAACCCTATGTACCTCTCTGCACGAGCAGCGCCCCTCTACCTTGGCCGGTGACCGCAAGGTCGAATAGTCCCTCCACGATCTCATCGCCACAGCCATGCATGGCGGCCGTAATAGCTTCTTTGTCTAAGCTAGCTAACCTGCCATCCATCGGCTCAAAGAACTAGCTCGATAATCTCACCCACAAGTTGTCTACAATCAGTGTTCCATTGGAAGGAACAAACGCTTACCCTCAATACCCCACCTCATCTCATTTTTTACCACAGGCCTTTCTTTTTCTTGCATTTCCATGTCTCATAAAATCTAGTCCTTTCAGAACGACCTTGTACATTCCCCGATCGTATGTGCATAACATAATAAACAAATCAGCACATCCATCATAGTCATCTTGCATCATCGCTACTATTTCTCCCTCCTCCCTCCTCCCTCACACCCTCATGTCCATGTTTCAGAACCCTGGAGAGCAAGAGCCAAGAGAAAGAGGGAGAAGGTTGATCTGGTAGATCCGACCAAGTACCTTTAGATCCTTTCAGTTGATAGCCCAACCCACATTAACCCTCGTTTTTGATTACCCCGCAACAAATGAAAATTAAGCATTCCAAAAGAGTGGGAGTGATTATCTGGAAACTAATTTCCGAAACATCATATACAACAAATGACAACGGCAAGACAAGAGAGGGAAGGAGAGAGAGCGAGAAGGAAGGAAAGCAAACAATGACATGCCCAACGCCACGGTGTACGTTATCTATTGCGAGATGGTATGTGTGTCATTGAGATTGGGGTGCCTTCGTGCCTGTGTCTGTGTCTGTGTATTGGTTGAGGAGATTAATGGACGAGAGAGAAATGAGAGAGAAGAATGAGGGCTCTTGGATGATGGGAGTTTTGGAAGTTGGATGTTGGATGTGGGCTTCTTTTTCCCCGTCGATTTTTGGGGCAAGAGATAGGGCATTGGTAGCAAGGCTCGCTTCCTTCATTTCTTGATCCAAAGAGAGAGAGAGAGAGAGAGAGAGAGAGAGAGAGAGAGAGCTGGCATCTCTCATCACACTACCCTCTGCTATCTCCCAATCCCACGGATAACGAAGTGCATGTATGTGCGTTGTTTGCCGAGAGGCACGGTGTGTGAGCAAGCAAGCGCGGATGGCGATGCAAGGGGGAGGTGGATGAGGCAGTGAGAGAGATATGAAGGATTACGGCGTCCAATGAAGGCGGTTGATCATGGACACCGAGATGTGGACGATAACGAGAGCACTCATCGATGGATTGACAAATCGGAGAGCGAACGGTAGGTTGGAAGGAAGGAAGGAAGGAAGGGAGGAGGGGGACTGTCATTTCGTGATCGGAGCAAATTCTCTATGGCTAGTGCGACGCACGCACGCACACACAAAACACAAACATAAGAACGTTCTCGTTTATTTTTTTACTTTTTCAACATCTTTCTTCCCTTTCTCTCCACTCTCTTCAATCAAACAGCTAAACAGCCAACTACATTCATACAACAACGATACCGACACAATGAGATTAGTTATTCGCCAGGACTACGATGCCGTATCATACCACGTCGGTAAGTCGTCTCTCACTCTCCACCCGTATTCCCTCCCATGGTTCCTGCCTGCCAACTAACCCTAATCCTCATCCTCACTTTCACATTCACTTCCGAACAACAGCAAAGTACGTGAAGGAAAGGATCATGGAGTTTGCCCCAACGGCCAACAACCCCTTCGTACTGGGTCTCCCAACAGGATCATCCCCCGTGGGCGTCTACAGGAATCTGGTCAAGTTCCATCAGAACGGTGAACTCTCATTCAAACATATCGTTACCTTCAACATGGACGAGTATGTCGGTCTTCCAAGGTAACTTACTTGAAGATGTGCATTTGAGAGAGAGAGAGAGGACTGAGGCGTGGTTTTTGGTGCAGAGCGTTGTCAGGTTTCTCGTGTTTATAAGAGTAAGGCGTGATTACGAGGCAGAAGAAGGAGCAGACGGACGGTGGGAAAAAATTGGTTGGCAATGTATTTTTCGGTTCTTTTTGCACTCCCTCAAAAGTGAACAAATCGAACAGAAACGACGGGACATTTTTGCTCAATATGTACAACAGACAAAAAGTCCCTAGGGGGGTCCAAAACAAAACCTCTTTTCTTACATCATTTTCTTGCCGCCTCCTTTCTCCTTCAATAGAGACCACCCAGAATCATACCACTCTTTCATGTGGAAGCACCTCTTCAAGCACGTCGACATCCTGCCTGAGAACGTCCACATCCTCGACGGGAACGCAACGGACCTGGATCTGGAATGCCACCGGTTCGAGGAAAAGATCGATGCCGTCGGCGGGATCGAATTGTTCCTGGGCGGAATCGGACCCGATGGACATATTGCGTTTAATGAGCCTGGGTCGTCCTTGAATTCGAGGACTCGTGTCAAGACGTTGGCCTATGAGACCATTGTTGCGAATGCGAGGTTCTTTGATAATGATATCACGAAGGTGCCTAACTTGGCATTAACCGTCGGTGTTGGGTAAGTCTTTGACTTTTTTCTTTCAAGAACTTCATGATGGTTATATAGTGGGTGAGGCGACAGGACCAAGAACGAGGGAAAAACAGGAAGGAAGAAAGCTTATCTGGAAAGGAGAAATATGGGAGTTCGTTATCGATAGCACTTATTTGTTATTTTACGTCTCTTTACTTTCTCCGACAAACAGGCTGATGACAACAGCTGAGGCGTTGAAGCGGGGAGGTTTTGATACAGGAGAAAAGGCGACGAGAAGACGGATGACAAGCCCGCCTTTGGTCAGCACAACAACTACGACTGCAAGGACGAATGAATGAAAACCCTCTTTTGTTCTTATTGCACGCTTGACAGAGGAGAGAAGAACGAAGAGTAGACGAACATCAGCGGCAGCTCAACATCAACCACAACAAAAGTAACTATAAGTGAGCCCTCGTCCTTATTACATTCCATGGACAAAAGAATGTGTCATGGTGGTACAATCCCCATCTCGAGAATACGCTTTCACCAGACGACGCTTTTCACCTGCAGGATGAAAAAGAAGAAAATAGATCAGTCAAACCGTCGTATCGTATTGACGCCAAGCAACTCCACCCACTAACTCGCCCTATCCTTCACCTTCTCTCCAACCCTTTACCCAACAGCACGGTGATGGACGCCAGAGAAGTATGCGTGATCATTACAGGCGCACACAAGGCTCTGGCGTTGGCAAAATGTATCGAGGAAGGTGTCAACCACATGTGGACAGTCTCTGCGATCCAATTGCACCCGCGCGGAATGGTTGTCTGTGACGAGGACGCGACGCTGGAGCTCCATGTCAAGACGGTCAACTATTTCAAGTCGATCGAGAAGGTGCACGAGCAGCTGATTGGATCTGACAACGTAGGTTTGCAGGGAGGTGTCCGGTCGTGGCGCGGTGTCGAAGCTACTTATCATCAATAGACGTGTGAAGAGGAGGAGGGCGTGAGACAGAGAAAGGAGAGGGTGTAGAAGAGAGGGAGTTTCGATCGAAGCGTTTGGTTGGAGGCTCTGAAGACTGGTGACAGGAGGAAGAAGAGGAAATAATGATGAAAATGAAGATATACATACAGCTACAAATAAAAAACATACCATCTAGAACCCAATCCATAACACCAACCTTACCTTTGCCTCTTCTGCTGCACCATTAGATGGTTTTCCACGAGTAAGAGGACTGATTAATCACGTGCAAACATTTGTCAATAAAAGAGCGAATCGATCGTGGTGCTCTTGCTCCTTCTCTTTTCCCCCCTTCTTCAGAGTAAATATTGATTCAGCAATAATGCGTGCTGTCTATCTGTCCCCCATCGATCCAGAAACCATCCATCCGTCATGATATACCAACCATCCAACACCATCCACCTTACTCTCCAGTCATCCAACACTACCCAATTGATCAGGAAACAGCATATTGGGCCTGGAACAGTGACCATCGATATCATCGACATGAGAGATCTAGATCAACTTCAGGGCAGCACATACTTTTGGATCAGCAAACAAACGCCACCACTCCCCCCATCCTTTTCTCTACCCTTCCCCATCCCCTGTCGTCGCCCACTCTGTGCCACCTCCCACACTTTCTTCTATGCCCAACTTTGCTATGGTCAGAACTGCTCTCACAACATAATATTCGCCCTACTCTCCACTTCTCACTCGCTCCTCCTGTAAAGAAGGATAGCGTGGAAGTCTGAGTTTTGGTTCGCGAATATTAGTGATACGTTGCAGGTCTTTGAACCTTTGGGCCGACTGTGTCTTCTTTATGAATCCCTTCGTCACTTGTCGCAAGCCTTGTCCCTTCCAGTCTTTGTAAAAAGATGAAGAAGCAGACATACCTGCGATAATACGGATGTGACACTCATATGAGAAACTCTGGTATTCACTCCTCTTTCCCCTTTTGCCACCAATTTTGGTTTCTTTTTCTCTTTACAATCATCTCAGAAGCATCATCAAAAATGGTCCGCATCTCCGTCTTGAACGACTGCCTCAACAACATCAACAACGCCGAGAAGCGTGGCAAGCGCCAGGTCTTGATCCGCCCTTCGTCCAAGGTCATCGTCAAGTTCTTGTCCTTGATGCAGAAGCACGGTACGTTTTCCTTTCCCTTGTCTATTCTCGCCATCTACACTTCACACTCTCTCTGGCTTCTCTTTTTTTGACCACATACACCATACAACACATACCACACCGAAGTTATAACTGGATTGGTGTTGCGCGGTCTTTATTACCGTTGTTAGTCCGTTTACTCGGACGAAGACGTGAAACGGGATTTGCAAACATATCCAACACTTATCTTTTAATGCTTCGGAAGAACGAAATGACACTACTTACAAGCTTCTGGCACTCATAGTGGCCTCTAGCCTTTATATAGTGGAGACATCCCCTCCCCTTTCCCTTCCTCCCTCTTCCCTACCTTTTCCTTCATGCAATTGAAGCATATCTACAATGACACGAAATACTAATTGACCTTCTCAATTCATTATTTGTTATGATTGTAGGCTACATTGGCGAGTTTGAGGAGATCGATGACCACCGCTCTGGCAAGATCGTTGTCCAGTTGATCGGCCGTATCAACAAGACCGGAGTCATCTCCCCCCGTTTCAACATCAAGTTGAACGAGATCGAGAAGTGGATCGCCCGTCTCTTGCCCTCGCGCCAGTTCGGTTACATTATCCTCACCACCTCGGCCGGAATCATGGACCACGAGGAGGCTCGTCGTCGCCACACCGGAGGAAAGGTCTTGGGTTACTTCTACTAAAGCATCTCAAGCACCCCCCTCTTCGGGATTGGGATCTGAATGGCGCACTGGATCCTTCAGTTGTTGGCTCGATCTTGAACCCGAAGCTAATCCGACCCAGTTCATTTTTTTCTTTGTGAATAAAAGACACGGGGTTTCTGTAAAATCAACAATTACTATCTGTACAACACCACATACCTTGAATAAATTGATACTTCGATCTATCTGCTTTCGTTCTTATTGTGGTTTATCGTCGATCGTTGGAATCAAAAGTGAAGCGAAGTTCTTCACAAGTCCAAGGCCGGTTTGTCGTCGTCAGTGACTCTGTGCTGCCTACTGAGCTCGACTCGATTTGACATGGTTGGAGAGGGTGCTTTGTGGATCGTGGCGGCTGTTTTGGTGTTAGATCGGTATGCTTGGACTTTTGCCTTTCTGGGAGGAGGAAGGAGTCAATGCTCGAGGCGAAGAGGAAAAAGAGAAAGGGGTCAATGCTCAAGGAGGACAAGGAGGAGGAAGAAGGGAAGGTCGGTGGTTGGGGCGTGGGTTGGAAGCATCTGCTGTATGTCGCCGACAGTTGTTGCCGTAGATGCGGTGCCTTTTTTTTTTTTTTTTTTGCTGTCGGTCTGTTGTAATTGTTGTTGTTACTACTGTCGCTGTGGTTATTGACCTCGAAGGTTCCGATGTTGCTTTGTGGTTTGGGGGTTGACATGGTCGTTTCCTGGAGAGGGTTGTGTGTTTTGTGTGAAAGAGAAGTGTGAAAAAGTGGGGAGAGAGCGCCTGCTTCGGTTTATGAGATGACCCATTTCATATCCTCAATTTCTATTGCCTCCCATTGCGTGCTTTCTCGGCGTGGACGTTTTTTTACGGCTTTATTGGATAGATGTGGATTCTGGATTCACAATCAGAAGGCAAGGAGGGAAATGAATTGTTGTAGAGAAAGGAGAGAAATGAAGCAAAGGCATTGATACAATCAAAAAAAGAAGATACGAAGAAAAGATTCAAAGAAGGCAAAGCACAAAAAGCCAGAAGGAAAGATCCTTGAGCAAAGCTTATTCTTGCCCCCAGTCAACTTATCCAGAGCTAACGGGCGTCGAGTTATTCCTCCTTCAGGCCGCATTGCTTGATTACTGAGAAGCAAAAGAAATAAAAAGAGAAGGTTACTTTTGTGAGTGAGGAGAAGGGAGGGCGATCGAGCCCAACGGCGAGCGAAAATAAAAAAATAAAAACCAGCGGCAACTTACTTCGTCGAGTTTCATCGAGCCAGCGAGTAGTTTATCCAGGTGTCGGTAATCAGCATCCTCCTCTTCAACAATGCGACGGAATTCTTGCCGGACCACCTTATCATTCGCATACATCTGTCGATAGAACTCATCCATCACCATTCGGAGTATGTCCAGGCGTGCCTCCACGGTCTCTGGAACCGGATTGGGAGCCAATGCGGCGATTTCGTACTCGAGTAGCGTCCACCTCATCCACACTAGACCGGCGTCCATAAAGCTGATCATCTTGATCACGTTCTCAATCGGACGAAAGACCATGTCCTCGCCCGTTCCAAAGAACATGTGTAAAGATTTGAGGTCCGCCAGCTTGTTGGTGAGCATCTTAAGGTCTTCCATCAGGCTGATGGGCTCTACCTCCCGGTCGGGTATCGCATTTGGCGGGATCCGGGGGTCGAGTGAGAGCACTTCCAAGCGTGGTTCAGGTGCTGACGACGGCGCTGCCGTGTGCGACTGGTTCATTGGTCCTTCTGCTGTTGCCGACGGTGCAAGTTGAATGTTTTGAATCCGAATAGCAAGTAGCTCAACGGGGTGGTTGTTGCTGCTGTTAATCTTGAAAGCCTTGGGGGTGTTGGTGGATGGGGTTGACATGGTTGTTGTTGTGAGGATGGTGAGTGAGAGAGAGAGAGAGATGTGGAAAAGGGGCGCATTCATGTCCATTTCCACCGCCACCAATTCGCGTGGCAAAATGGACTGCCTTTCTCAGAAAATTCTCAAAGAGGTATATAATTTCACTAACGTCCAAATATCCCTTCAACCGTTTTAGAATCGAAATCGAAGGGATAAAAACCTTGTTTATTTCATGCGTTTGATGATATGATGGGTTCATTTGACTATCCAGTCGAGTAGGCTTGGCTTCTTCCTACTATGGACGCTGTATCCTTTTCTCTCCAAATTGTTGACGGCATTCTCCGCTTTAGAACCACTTTGTTTCATTCCTACTCCATTTTCTAACCGTCGGGCCCTGGCATTGTTGAGAGTAGGGATCTCCTTGTTCGGCGGCCTTCCGAAGCCAGGTCGACGCCTCGGCATAGTCCCGGGACACACCATAGCCATAGGAATACATTAGGGAGATGTTGAAATGAGCTCTAGCATGTCCTTGTTCGGCGGCTTTCCGAAACCAGGTCATCGCCTCAGCATAGTCCTCGGACACACCAAGTCCTTCAAGGTACAGATTGCCGATCTCGTTCTGAGCTGCGACATCTCCTTGTTCGGCGGCCTTCCGATACCAGGTCATCGCCTCGGCATAGTCCTGGGACACACCAAGTCCTTGACGATACAGATTGCCGATGTTGCCCTGAGCTACGGCGTCTCCTTGTTTGGCGGCCTTCCGATACCAGACCATAGCCTGGTAGTACTCTCGAGCGACAAAGTACAGAACTCCAATGTTGCATTGTGCAGTAGAATCTCCTTGATCGGCTGCTTTGCGGCGCCGGTCTACTGCCGTCAAACATTCTTGCGGTCCATCAAATTTAAACCTGGAGTAAAAGTCGTTAGGTAGCCGTAGTTTTCTTTCGATTGGTTCGCCGATTCTTCCTTGACTGTTCGCCCTCAGGTACCAGGTTATAGCTGTTTGGACGTCTGTTGGAGCAATTCGGTCGTTCATGTCCATGTACATGTCTCCAAGTGTTTCCTGAGCGACATGATCCCCTGACTCGGCTTTCGCCATCATGTTTGCAAGTTCTAAGGTGAACGAGATACGTGCGGGGATATCTTCTTGAGGAGAGACACTGGAGTTATTTCGAATTCGTTGTTGATGTTGGGTCTCTTGCGCGTCAGTCGCCTCAATTGAGAGACGTCCCTCCCATCGAGTATCCTGCACCCTCTCACTCTGTAAGCTAAGAGAAGATACACATGAAAAAAAGTTTGACATTATGCAAACCGTAGGGTTAAATATGAGAACCTGTCATATCAGTAAAAAAATCTTTGAAAATCGAGGGGGGGAAGGCACAAAATGAAACAAGATGAGGTATACCTTCCAGCTTCGGATTCTGTGGGGACAATAAGAGGAATGAAGGCGCGAGATGTTGTCGAGGGCACTTCAGACCATATCGTCGGGGCGTAGTTGCTGCCAAAAAAAGATACATTCTCGGTAGCGGTCTTGTTCCTATGAAGGCAGGAAGAAACCAAAAAAAAAAAAGAGTATCATGCGAATCAGTTAACACTGTCACAGCCTGGCGATGTTTCATTAAAGCATTAAAGAAGACTATTTCCTTCTTACTAACCATTCCTCAATGTTCCTGAGGGTCAAGTCTCGAGAGGGTGGAGCTGTCTCTGTTGTCACCGATGCCGAGGAGCCAGGATAGTGTGGTGTTATGTCTCCTGCCAGGACGGCCTTAAGGACCTTCCCATGCTGATACTTGATACACCTTGGTTCGACACTGAAACCATAAATTAATCAATCAGCGTCACTCAGGAACCATCAGTGATGGAATCTCGCTTAAGAATGGGGGGAAAAGGACTATCGAGCATGCTGGCAAGTTGTAAAATGTAGTTCACCAGTCATGGAGACAAGATTCAGTAAATCACTTACAAACTATATGACGCATCTCTTGCTCGTGAGATCGCGACTGTGCCATTCATGACTCTGGTTGTCCCAGGGAAGTGTTCGAGAATGTCGTGCCAAAAGATGACGTGTTGACCTGAATCGTTATGATAGTATGCTTCGACTTGGAGGATCTCGCCATTGCCTTGTTGAAGTGACTGATGTCGCGTCTCGTCGGACATAAAAAGATGTAATGGGGGTGAAGAGTGAGGCGTCCTGAAGCGTAACTGTCTTTGAATAGTGCCATTTGTAACGTCACACATACACGACTTTTTAAAAGTGACTGGCATTTCCGGATTAGACATTTTTCTATTCAGTCGAACGAGGCCGCGTCCTTTGCTAGTCGATCTTATCTGAAGCACGCTGAAAGAAAGAGAGAGAGAGGGAGAAAGGGAGAAAGAGGTGCGGAAGGTGTTTGTGAATTGAATAAAAGAAAACGCACCATAGTGAAAGGAAAAAGACATCAAGATCCCTTTGTTGTTGTGGGTACTATACAGCATTTCTTCCCAAATGTTTATCTTCTTCACTCCTCTTTCGCCCACTCTCCTTTCAACACCCACCCCTATCCTTTGGACCCCACCCGCTGAACAAGTAGACCCAAGTTATTAAGAAGTGCCCTTCTCTTCAAGCAGTAGAAAGAGGAAAGAGAAAACTGATGATGATAGTTGGTCATCGTTGGGAAAAGATGATTTATTTGGTTTGTTGAATTTTTTTTTGTGCGTGCTCAACAGACGGATGGGGGTGGAGAGCCGAAAAAGATAGAAACGACATAGCGCTTTATTCTTTTACTATTATTGTTGTTTTCTTCTGCGGTGTTAACTAGAAGAACAGAGATCGATCGGAAGAGGAAAAAAAACCAAGTATAGCAAAGAGAGGGGACAGTAAAAATGATAATAGCTCAAAGTGCACAAGTTACCTTTTCAGGCGCAAGCTCGCTTGTTCCTGTGATATGGCTAACTTGAATCAAGGAGAGAAATAGTAAACGAAATGAAAACGGCATAGCGCGCAAGGTGAAGGGAAAGGAGGATGGAGCAAGGTGAAATAAAAATACACCTATGGAAAGAAGACAAGAAGAGAGATAAAGATGTGAAAAATGGCACCAAGGAGTTGTAGTAAATGTGCAGCTTGTTTTTGGGCGACAAGTGTTCCAAGCCACAACAGCCATTTGCTAAGAACAACGAAAACAAGAGAGAATCCAGGCGAGTGGTTAGAGGAATGCTTTCCTGATGCAACTGCAAGCAGTGGTACAAAAACAGCAAAGGTCCCAACAAACAATAACTCACACTGTCCAATCACACGTGAGTCATATGGGCGAGGTATCGCGCGGCAATCCCCTCAACGTCTGTCCGAATACCATCCCCAAGTGAAACCATGCGGGTCATCTCCTGCTCCATTGCAAGGAAGTACTCAAACATATCTCTTTGGAGTTCCTTTTGATCCTTTTTGAGCTGCTCCATGAGGGCAAATTGAATCGCCCCATTCGGCTGTTGTGTCAGGTCAGCTGCGACCCTGGTCCGGAGCTCGGTCAGTGTATGCTTCATTAACTTGATGCTATTCTCCAGACGGTGAGCTATCGTCGTCAAGGATTCGACAGGTGGAAGGTCCCACTTCTTTTGTGTACTTCTGAGGCCTTCCGTAAGAATAGCCGCGGTCGTTTCAAACTTGTTCATCTCCCTCAGCATCTCACCGAGAGCTGATGTACGGCGGTTGAGGCACTTTTTAATGGCTTGAGTCAAGCGCGGAGACGCCCGCACCCGTTTTCGTGGAGCTGACGGCGACGACGGCGCCGTGTACTGTGGGGGCGGGTAGGTACGTCCTTCTGCTGCCGTCGGGGCGAGATGAAGGTTCTTGAGCTGGCGGGTGAATGCCTCGAGGGCGCGGTGGGCCCTGAAGCTGGTGATAAAACTGTCGTCCGGGGCTGCCATGATTTTGTCCTTGAGAGGTAGACGGGTGTTAAGAGGTTGTGAAGAAGTTGGCGGGATGGGTGAAAAAAAAGGTGGTGGTGATTTTGAAATTAGGAATCGATATATATTCTCTTTCCGTCGCCACTAATCTTCAAGCCAAGTGGTTTTCTTTCGTGAAGGAGACAGTTGTTTATTTAGATGGTTGTGGATAGCGAGTTGGTGAATGGGGGGACAGAGGTGAGATGGGAGGGATGGTGACAAAAATAGGCAAGAGTGTAATGAAAAAAATATAGAGGTGTGGAAAAATCACCAAGGAGAGCCTCACCCAACGGTCGAGAGAAATCCACAGCAATGGCTGAAGTTGTATACGACGCGTATTCGGCGAATTGTCTTTTGTGGTAACAATGGAGACCTTGCTAAGCTGACTGGCACGAGAAAAAGAAAAAGAGAGCAAGAGAAGGTTTGTAACATGAGTCGCGAGAAATCTGACAATCTGCTAAGCTGCGGACGACGGCACGCCAAAAAAATATACAGTGTCCGATCCCATCAGAGAGGCGATTTGCTGAGCAACCTCAAAGGCGTTGACGTTAGTCAGTTCGTAGTACACCGCAGGCAGGTACTCGTTCAGAAGCAGTTGGAGAATTCCATGATCATTCAAAAGCTTCTGCAACAAGGTGTTTCGGACAGTGGCGCATGCTGGGCCTGATGCTGCCATGGTGTGAGGGCTTTGAAGCTGGGCAAACGTCTTTTTCATCAAAGCTAGGGTGTTCTCCAATCACCGGACCATTGTTTCTAGGACCCCGGCTGGCGGATGACTAGGCGTTTCTCGCATAGTTCTGATGCAATCTTTGAGAGGAGCCAAGGTCGCTTCGACTTTGTTAATGAATAACTGGATCTTTTCTTTGGGTGTTGTTCGCCTGGGTTGTGGTTGTGGTTTTTGGATAGAATGAGGGCAATCTGAGCCCTGTACACCTAGGCGTGGGGCTGGTGACGACGGCGGCGCTGTTGGATGCTGGTTGTTGGATCCCCTTGTGGTTGCTGGGGTCAGTGGAGTTTCACGGAGCTGAGTTGAATATGTCTCGGCGGCGCGGCTGCAGTTGGCCTTCAGTGTCTTGTTGCTGCTGCGTTTTTGGGTTGACATGGCTGTTCTGGTGCGATGCTGAAGTTGTTGGGGTTCCAAAGGTCACGAAGTTATGAGGCAGAAGGTTGTGAAGAAGTTGGCGAGAGGGGTGTGTGGGGAAAGAGGTGATCCTGGTCCCTTAACAAAGGATCATGCTTTTAATCTTCGTTCCCACCGCAAATGTCTTGCGTTTGTTGTCATGGGCATTTCTTCATTTGAGTGCTGTGATATTTAGAGATCAGAAAAAGGCATGGTGGTTGTAGTGGAAAGGAAGGAATGGAAGAGAATGAAAGGTAGAAGAAACACAGGCAAACCAAAGAACGAGTAAAGAACGTGGTTTGCAAAAGTGTCATGAATGAAGACCACACGCAATGGCCGAGAGATCCGAAGAATTAATGATTGTTCTTGTGTGGAATATGTGCCGAGTGATTCTGAGGCCTCAGCGGCGAGATCACTACGCAAAATAACAAGAAGAGAGGTACAAGGAGAGAGAGAAGATGAGCCGGGTGAGTTGCGAGACGAGGGCGATCCAGTTCAATTGTAAGCTACTGCACAAAAAGAATAAGATCCGCAAAGTCGACAACTTACCTTGCCGATTCGCTTCCTGCTGTCGAATTGCCAAGCTAGGCGTTGGGGGTCACACTCCTCGATGATCTTAAGGACGTTCGTATTGGAATGGGAAACATGTCGGAAGACCACAGGAGCGTACTCGACTATTTGCCGTTCGATGTCGTCGACATACTGCCAGAACTTCCTCTGGTAAGGCTTCTGAATTTTCCTACGCGATTCTTCTGTCGAACTTGCTGTTGTATTCGCTGCTATCACACGCTTCAACGCGCTGCTTCAACGCAATGAGTCTGTCCGCATGTTGCTGAAGCAGTATCTCCTGGGTCTCGGCTGGCAGATAGAGCGACTTGTGGTGGAAGGGACTGGAGAAATCGAGGAGAATAAGATGGGCCGCAGTGACCCTGTTCGCCTTGGGACGCCTCTCTTCGGTAAAACTGGATTCGCCAACTGCCTCTCGGTAGGCCTGCGCTCGAGAGACATGAGCAGAGAATGAAACTCCTCTGAGCGTGAAACTGACGGCGACGGCACCATGAGTGACCGTTCCAAGGCCATTGATCCTTCTGCTGTTGGGGCTAGACGAACTCCTGGAGCTTGGTCGCAAGCGCCTCCAAGGCATCACTGAAGTTGGCACCAAAGGGAGCTGATGGCGGCCGAATGAACATTTGTTTTGATCATTACTCCGTGGGTATGCGTCCGATCTGCGTTTGCACCTCATTTTTCAAGCTCTCCAGGCATGATTACCCTATATTAGCCACTCGCCGCATCGATATTAAATTTAGTTGGCAAACCGCTGCCATTTTTTTTATTTTTTCTTCTTCCTTCAGGCTGGGGGAGGGGTGTCGCCGTAAGCGGCCCATTCAACACAGGTACGCGCATAGGGGATCAACCGACCGGAAATCAACCCATCAGCTTGATATTTTGCGCTTTTGTGAGAATGCTAGCTTGCAAAAACAATGCCTCACCATCAAGGCCTAGACATGCGACCACGCGTGCGGAATAAGTGGCCATGCCTCGCCGTTGTTAATCCTCCCCGGTGGCATACGCCTTTGTAACTGATTTATTGCTGAGCATCTCGAGGTAGTGTCATTTGAATGCATTGATTATTCCTGTGTCCAAAGGCTAACGGTTATCGAATTTGATGGCAGGCGCTCAATTCAAAGGTGTTTCCATGTTTCTCCTGTAAATGGATCCTTGTCGCTAAACTTCTGTGTGCTCCACATGAGTTGATATGCAAAAGACTACTGCTGGAGAGGCTGTCGTCGAGCAAATGATGCCATCGCTTGAAAAGATCAAGGGTCATGTATCGTTTTCCATGTTTCGTCGAGGTAATAAAGGTCTCGGGTAATATCTGGATACCTCGAGCAAGATGCCCGCCAAGAATATCAAGCAGATATATGACTATGAGTTTCTTTTTCATATTATCCTCTGTCAATACAAAATCACGGCGTATTTATGTCCTTACCAATGACTCACGGCTTCAAAGCCTCTACTACTGATGCTCGGTCAAGCAAGGATTCAGACGCGTTGACACAGACGAGAATTGACATGCGAGATCTTTCCGCTCTTGTGAGCGACATAAAGAGCGACCATTATTTTGACCTTCGCTCGCTCGCTCGGTTTGCGTGGGATTTAGTAAGAAAGAGCTATACCACACCCCTTAATTCACTTCTCGCTCACAGAGATTTCCTTATTACGATAGATTGCATCTTCGGTGACGTAATATATGCACCCATTTTCCTCAAAGTCCTTTCTTCTCGCTTCTCCACTCTCTCTTCATTCATCACTACTATTCAAGGCACTCGTTCATTCACACGCAGACGCAAAACCCTTCACTCTCTCACAGTCTCAGAATACTACTTCAGGCAAGTAATCGTTGTGTTCAACATCCACTTCCTGTCACCAGTTCGAGTTTTATTTTCGTCCGCTAGTTACATTGTCGCCCCAATAGGCACATGCATTGGGGTATGGTTTCGTTTTTATTTTTTTTGTTCTTTCTTTCTTTTTTTTTCTTTTTCGGTGGGGCTTAGTGGGGGTGTTGTGGAGACTACAATCTCCTATCTCCATACTCTTCTGTCGGCCCATTAGGCGGGAAGGGATGACCACCGGGTGCATTGTCGGCCCATTAGGCGGATGCATCAAGGTATAGTATCATTTTTCGGTGGGTCTTAGTGGGGGTGTTGTGGAGACTACAATCTCCTATCTCCATACTCTTCTGTCGGCCCATTAGGCGGGAAGGGATGACCACCGGGTGCATTGTCGGCCCATTAGGCGGATGCATCAAGGTATAGTATCATTTTTCGGTGGGTCTTAGTGGGGGTGTTGTGGAGACTACAATCTCCTATCCCCATACTCTTCTGTCGGCCCATTAGGCGGGAAGGGATGACCACCGGGTGCATTGTCGGCCCATTAGGCGGATGCATCAAGGTATAGTATCATTTTTCGGTGGGTCTTAGTGGGGGTGTTGTGGAGACTACAATCTCCTATCCCCATACTCTTCTGTCGGCCCATTAGGCGGGAAGGGATGACCACCGGGTGCATTGTCGGCCCATTAGGCGGATGCATCAAGGTATAGCATCTTTTTTTTTTTTTTTTTTTTTTTTTTTTTTTTTTCGATGGGGCTTAGTGGGGTGTCGTGAACGCTACAATTTCCTATTCTTATACTCTTCTGTTGGCCCATTAAATGCCTTGTTCTTTGGCTTTTTTTTGCGTCGCGATGTAGGAGTTATTGAGTTCTATACTTAAGTTACCTTGACTGATGTGCTCATTCTCTTCTCGTCCCTAGTTCTATTGGATCTGATATTACAAAGGAAGTGATTGCATCGTGTATTACTAAATACTGACTGATCAAAATGACGATGCTCATTAAATCAATAGCGTCATGAGTCGTCCCGAATATCTTGGGAACCTCAAACACCTCCCACCAACCGTGGATACAAAAAGTTACTTTCTCGAGACAGCGGTTGCGGAATGGGATCTGGCGGGGTTTCTCCTCTCGGGTCAGAACAAGGATATATTTCTGAGAGGACTTCAAGGACTGGTTGATATCAAAGCTATCAGCAGAGATGTGCGGTCGTTCGCTAAAGCGCTAAGAGTGTTTTACTCTGTGGAACAAAACGTCATTATCGCCATGAACCGTGCCCAGGAGTTACTAAACCGACGTGCACTGAAAGGCTTCGAGCATCGTGTTGTCCAGAATGAACTCCAGACTAGCCTCATCAATGTTTTGGTAATAAGAGCTTTAAAGAGTTTTATGATTGACGAACCGGGTATACTTTGTTGGCATATCACATGCTTGTCCTCACTATTTGAATTGCTTTCTCTGTATTTCATTGGTGCTACTAGAACAACCTGCCTGATCCGCTTGCAGAGAATGGTGTCGCGTCGAGCTCATCTACACGGACCTCGTCGTCAGGGCTGACCAGAAAGCGATCCGCTGCTCGAACGCCACAGCCCTCAAACAAGAAGAGGAATGACGTCGAAGGAGGTTTGGACAGCGATGAGACTGCTGTGGAGGGACTGAAAGCTACCAAGGGTATGGGGGACAAGGCAGTCGCGGGCAACAATCACGATGACGAAGATGAAGAGGATGGCGGGGGCGAAGAGACCGTCGAAGGCTTGATTCATGAGTCTCAAGAATTAGAGAAGTCCGAACTAGCAGCACAAAAAGGAGAAGTACTGGAGAAAGGTAATGAGACCTCCATCAATCGATTCCCACATTCACTGTTAAGGTTTGATCTGCAGAGCAAAGGGACTTATTTGTTTATCATCACCGTCTAATAGTTTCATCTGGACACAGCTTAACACTGGAGGACTGTAAGTGTGTCCTTATTTTTAATTTTATAATAAAACTTCTTGTTTCAAACTCATGCTAACATGTAAACGACTTTTGACCAAATAGTGTCCCCTTGCCGCAGGTCAGCCTCGATAGGTGGCGACGACGATTACCCTCAAGGCATCACGCCACCTATCTATTCTCCTCGGGACTTGCTTGGATCGGATCTCCCGTCCAGTGATCCTGCAGATATGAGCTTTGTGGATCAAGGGGATATCAATTTGTCAACGTCCAGATGGCTTACCTGGAACTTTTTAGAGGGTCCTGGAAGGGTGGACTCGGACGTGGAAAGCCATTGGGTGTATAATGGGATTGAGGTCGGTTATGACCTAATGGCATGCAGGAACCGGATTGTCGGAAACAACGGCGGCCTTACTGAGCCATATGAGAAGTTGTAAGTGCTCTTTCGCCTTAGATTTGAAGATGATGAGAATGCCGTCAATCGAAATGCAAAATGCAAATGATATCAGCTCTGTCTAACTCATCTTCACACGCTCTTTACATGACTCTTTGCACAGGGCCGTCAATTTTGTCTTCCTCGTCGGAGCAGAATATCAAACTGGCGGTTTGCAAGGAGAGATCGAGGACCAGACCTGGGATTCCCTTTGTGATGCTGTTAGGGACCCTGTGCTGCCACTCTCGGATGAGGCTGCCATCGAGGCTCTTCGATGGGCGCATCGACTGGCACATAACAAATCTGAAGGGTTCGCGCAGCTGTTGGATGACTCCCCGCCGCAGAACCTTACTCTCAAGTCTATCTTGACAAAGATGTCAGACACTACACAACTCTGGAACACCCAAAGGCGCAATGAAGATACATACTTGAAATGTCAGCTGGGACCCTTCCTCGACACGTACTTTGGCAAGCTGCGACATACAAAGAGTGACTGGTAATTCTCTCATACTGTTTGATGTCAGACTGTTGGGTTTCTTTTACATCAAAACTAACCATGTTTATTTTCTAGGACTCCGACACAAGACGACACCAAAGGTTCCGAGTCAAATCTGCTAATCCCTGACTATTCAACCACGACACAGGTTGGAAAGCAGCAAGTCTCCATCGTGTTGTTGGAGGGCAAAATCGCCAAGAACTCAGGGCTTTCTCAGATTTGGGATGATCTAACCAAACTGGGACAGGAAATGAAGGCGGCGTTGGACTCAATTCTGAAGTTGCAGCCTGAAGATGACGTTTGCGTCATTGGTATACTCGTCCGTGGTATGTTTGCATTGTTCCTATTGAATGTTTTTGAATACGACCTTTTCATCTCTTCCCTCTTCTGTCTTCTTATACCTATTCTTTCTTTTTCTTTAGAACCGCTGGCGGAGTTTTATACAATGCGAATCCATGCCGAGGCTACGTATGTCATGCATAGGTTTGCGGCCACATACATTGCCTCTGAGGCGATCAACGTGTTCCCACTTGTCCACCTGATGGAGGTCTTCGAGCATGCCAAGGTGAAGGTTGAACAGACTGTCGATCAGATCCGTCGGGTGAAGGTCCATGCAAGCCCAAACCCCAAAGTGCCGCTGTCGTGGCTCCGACCCTCATTCAAGAAGCCAAAGCTTTATCGGATTGTCGATGGACAGTGATGCTGCAGTGGCATTGTGATGAATCCAAAATTAAAAGTCATACCAGTGAACAAAGCAACGACAACGTGCCCTGGAATTCTAATGAAGCAAGGACTGAAAGTGCCGACATCGAAGGATCTAAAAGCAACGTCGCTATGATACCACAAGCCAGTTATCCCTACATACTAATGCACAAGTGAGCAACGCATGGTTCAACGCTGTCCCGATAGCAAAGAGGACAGAAGATTAGAATATTCTTGTCTTACCATACCTCGAATTTTACCTCAGTTCCCTTGAAATCTTCAGATCGATTTGTTCGTCACTGTTAAGGGATCTCTTGATCGTTCCGATGAAAACATGCGCAAAATAAAAGTGATAGCAACAAGGCAAAGCAAAAAGCAAAGCATGGATTGACAAAGGGTTTATCCCATCTTTCAGATCTCTGGAAATATTCTGGCCGAATTTTCAACGCCTTCGTTTCATCTCTTCATCTCTCGTTTCCCATCTCACCTCATTACACTTCTTGCCCTCACGCTCAACCAAACTGTATTATCTTCTCTCACCACCAGGCTATTCAGTTCTATGGAAGGAGCTAAGCTAGGTGAACTCATCTGCTCACGTTCGCAGGAAATGGTGATACATTTCCTGATTCACTCTCACATTTTTTTCATGCTGTTTGTCCTTAGCAATCCTTCTTAGCACTCGAAAACCTTGTTGACTCAGAGCCTACCGTGCTGTCTACAGGGCTAGCTGGGGAGGTCAGCCAGTCGCCGCCATGACATTCATCCATAGCCAGTCACATCTTTGCGAGAAGGCCATCAAGAAAGAGACTTCGCCACCGTCACATCATTCAATTCTACAGAACACACGAGCAGGGCGGTCGTATCTACCTCATCATGGACCTTGCCGAGAAGGATAGTCTCGCCAGTGCCATCAACACGAAAAACGGTGGTGGGTAAGACCTGTTGCTCGACTGGCTGACCAAGATGCGACTCGCACACGAGATAGCGCGGGCTCGAGTACATCCACTACAAAGATGTCATCCACCGCGACCTCAAAAGTGTCAATGTCCTCTTGACGCGGCACATGGAAGTCAAACTGGCCGACTTTGGGCTTGCACAGGTCTGGCAGCCCATGAGCACTAGTGCATCTATGTCCAATTCATCAGCCGGGGTTATGGGAACTCTGTTCGGACATGCCCAAGTACTCTTCCAAGCCAGACAAGTATGCGCTGGGCATGGTCATATAGGAGGTGGCGGCCAGCTGCACGAGACCCTTCCAGGACCAGCCAATCAACTACGTGGTGCCAACTTTTGCCAAGGATGGCAGGCGCCGAGGTCTTGCCTGGCGATACACCGGTCCAGTATCGCGAATTTGTCGAGCATTGCTAGCACCAGAACCCTGCGTATCGACCCAACGCAAGCAAGGTAGCACTCAAGGTGCACGATAAGCCTACGGGGAAGGAAGAGCCGTCGACGAGGACTGTAGCGCTATTTTGTTCAGCTTTAGAACGAACGATGCTCGGTCAAGGACGAGGTTGCGACGATGTAGAGAGCGCACTCCATAATTTGGCGATTGCCGAGAACCAGCAGTTTGGCCACGTTGGGCGACCTTCACAGACAGACGATCTCGTTGCATCCATTTTCTGTATGCAAGCACAACAGGGGAATTTGGACGCACAGCTCTTTCTTGGATGTATAGACAGTCGCGGTCGGAGTGGCGTCGACAATTGTGTGGAGGACTCGCTGTGTTGGTACCAGAAGGCGGCTGAGCGCTGGAATGCCACGGCGCAGCTCACTCTTGCGCGAATGTACGAGCAAGGTCAAGGTGTTGGACCCGGCGATGTCGAGGCTGTGAGATGGTATCGCAAAGCGGCTGATTGTGGCAGTGTTGAGGCACAATTCAGTCTTGGCCAGTTGTTTGACTATGGTCGCGGTGTCAAAGAGGACATCATCGATACTGCCCAGTGGTATCGTCGGGCCGCTGGTCAAGGGTATGTCGACGCACTGCTTGGTCTAGACGTCGAAAAGAGCGATGTCGAGGCAGCCAATTGGTATCGTAAAGCAACACTCCAAGGCAATGCAACAGGACAGCTAAATTTCAGATACATGTATCATGCTGGTCAAGGATTGGAGAGGGACGATGTCAAAGCAGTCGCATGGTATCGGAAGGCGGCAGAACAAGGCGACACGGGTGCTCTAGTGAATCTCGGCGTGATGTACTACCATGGCTACGGGGTTGATCAGAGCCACATTCAGGCTGTAGCGCTGTATCGTCGGACGGCAGAACAAGGTATCAATTCGATTAGAGGCGCTACAAGAGCCATGAGAGGAGGAGCAAGAGTGTCGTTTTATTGGCGAAGAGGGTATTGACATTAGGGCTTTGTTCCTCCAACACCTTTGCATCAATGCGCTCCGCCAGATAGCTGAGATCATCTGATCCAAAGTCGTTCTTTGCCGCGTTGAAGTAGAAGCCCCATTTGAAGGCAGAGCATCTCAATCCTCAATCATAGATCGAGTCTTGCCGGGTCCACTAGTGGCGCAGAATCGAGAGTATGGAGAAACATGTTAGACAATGCAATATATGCACTACAAAGTTTGCCACATTAAGCCATGCATAAACTAACCTGACGCGAAAACGGGTAGATCTTGCGCTTGCATCTTCTCCAGGACGCCCAACAGGACATTCGACCTAAACCTCTCAGGAACAGGAGCGTCAACACTCGATGGAGGGTCAGGTAGGTCCAAAAGGAGAAGATTCGACTTGGAGTCTTGTGACTCGACCACGCCTCGACGCAAGACTTTTGGTAGGCGGCGCACACCAGAGGTAGTGATTAGGTGTCCTTGCACGTAGCTATCGAGAAACTCTGCGTGCCTTGATCCTGCTACGAAGAGCTTGTCCGTGAACTTTTTGATGTCAGCATGGAGATTGCCAAGTTGCATGAGAAAGGTCAAAGGCCATTAAATGAGAAAAGAGTGTAAAATCGAGATTCTTTCAATGAGGTGCATGCAAAAGGTAGTGAAGCAGTGCTTACCAGAAAGCGGTGTGCCAGGACGAGAACCATCCGAGAGATAGCTGGGGAGTGGAGTAGAGGCTCGAGCAGGAAAAAGAAAAAAAAGCGATCAGTATAAACATATAAACAACACGAGAAGTGGTTATAACAACGCTGTCAAGAAGGTGGAGGCTGTTGAAGCCAGGTGAAGGCGGTGAATTCAACCCAAAAGAAGCACTATCGGGACAACAAGGCCAACAACCAATGCTCATCTCTGGTCGTAATAAACGGGAAACAAGAAGAGCAGAGGCTATGGAAAGAACAAGGCGCACTTTTCGTCATGCCACTAACTACTTCGCAACGCCTTTCGTGCTCCTCCAATGGCCCGAGGGCCCCACATAACCGCAGCGGCAGGAAGATCCTGAAACTGCAGCACTCCTTCACAAAGCACCCCAAGGGAACGACCATGTGACGTTGAGGGCCATGTCTATGTCTCAGCATGAAGAAAGGGAAGCACACGCGAAAGAAAGAGGCTCGACTATTTCACCCAAAAGAAGCGACCAAAACCAGACGCAACTATCAGGCACCAGGGCCCATCACCGATGAATCTCCCTAAAATCGGCAGAAGTCTCATGGCTATGGAAGAAAACAAAAGCTGTACGGGCAGGTGACATGCTGCCAGAGCGATGTGGGTTCTCTCCCGCGGGCTGTGGCACGGCTATCTCACCGACCATTAAGGGAAGTGTGAATTGCCTCTCTCGTGGCATCATCCAGGGTGGCCGATTGCACTGGAGACCGGTCATTCGCATAAGTGTGCATTTCTTCGCTCCGAGGTGTGTTGGTCATGATTTACTTACCAAGGGGGAATCAGAAGAGATTGATGAGTGTAAGGAGACATTGTACGGATTGTAGGAGCATAATGCAGGACAATGGGCGCCAAAATGACCTCACTAAAGTAAGGTCATCGTACCGCACACCGCCGACCGCTGGTGATGATGCTCGCGCGAGTATTGGTCGGTAAAGTTGGACAGGTGTGTAGCTCTTGCGTCGAATGAAAGGGCACCAGTTGAATAGTCCCATGATGAAGGATAGTGCATGTGATGGAGGTAATGGTTGTGACGTGAAAGGACTTGGGAAAGGAGAAAGAAGCAGTAAAAAGTTCATGAGTTGCCTCTCTGTCTCCCTTTTCCACTACTCTTTTTCTTCATCGCTACTATTCAAACCACTCGCTCATTTCCACGCAGACACAAAATCCTTCACTCTCTCACAGTCTCAGAATACTACCTCAGTACCTCAGGCAAGTAATCGTTATGTTCAACATCCACTTTCTGTCACCAGTGTTTTATTTTCGTCTGCCAGTTACATTGTCGCCCCTACATGCACATGCATTGTATAGTTTCGTTTTTTTTTTGTTCTTTTTTTTGGTGGGCTTAGTGGGGGTGTCCTGGAGACTACAATCTCCTATTCCCATACTCTTCTGTCGGCCCATTAAATGACAGCCTTGATCATTGGCTTTTTTTTTTCGCGTTGCGGAGTATAAGTTTTATTCTCAAACCACCTTTACTGATGTGCCCATTCCCTTCCCCAGTTCTATTGGATCTGATATTACATTTGATATATTTGCATCGCGTATTACTAAACACTGACTGATCAAAAATGGCTGTGTTCATTAGTTCAATATGTCCCAAATATCGTGGAAACTCCAAATACATCCCATCAACCGTGGACACAAAAGGTTACTTTCTCGAGACAGCGGTTGCGGGATGGGATCTGGCGGGGCTTCTCCTCTCCGCTCAGAAGAAGGATATCAATACTGCAATGGTAATGTGAAGAATCCAAAATTAAAAGACTTACAAGTGAACAAAGCATCGACAACGTGCCCTGGATCTAATGAAGCAATGATTGAAAGAGCTGACATAGATGGATCAAAATGCAATGTCGCCACGAACGATTGGCTGCCACAAGCCAGTTGTCCTTGGAGATAGGCATGGAGGTGGTGGGATAAAAGGGGGTATGTGCGATAGCATATGTTACAATGAAAGTGGAGGGGCAAAAGAGATGGAGCGGATGAAGAAAAAGGGGTTTGTTTACAATATGGAAGGGATGAAGAATATCGAACGAAAATGAAAAAGTTGATACAAAACGCGGGAAAAACTACTTCCACTCAATCACCCACAGCCACGTTGTAATGTGATAGATGTCGCCGAGATTCTTATTAACTTAACCTTTTGTCATCTGTTCTATATTCAACCCTTCTGTTTACCTTCGAACCCTCCTATTTATGTCAAACAGTCCAACAATGAGCTCAATTAACAGGGTTCCGAACGAGGTCTGGGAGGGAATTCTCAGTCGCCTCTACCCATCTCAACTCTCACGGATGTCGATGGTCAACAAGAACTTGAACGTAATCGTCTCTTCGTTGGAGGTCTGGCCTCGGATGTTTCATGCAGCTTATGGACTCGAGGCGCAATTGCGACCACTTATGTGCATCCCTAAGGCCAAGAGCAGCTACATGATATTCATGTGTGCGTCTAGTCTTCACGTCTGCGAAAAGTGCTTTGGTCTGACCGGATACAACGCCCACAAACTCTACTGGCTCCCCCTTCCTATCCCTGTCCTGCTCCCGAGACGGTCCACAGACATGATCAAGTATGTGGGTGACAGGTTTGAGCCAAACTGGACCATTCAAATGTGCCTTCTGTGTCGACAGGGCCACATCTCGGACTTGGGGGAACCTGTCCCACGAAATGTCACAAATTGTTCGATGGCTTGGGTCGACCTCTGTGACAAATATCCTTGCGCAAATGAGGCCCGGGGGCTGTTTAGTCTCCGTCGTGGCAATTCCTTTATCAACGAATTGGGAGCCTTTAATTATATGCGACGATACTTTGGCGGGGATATCGGCATCAAGGCTTTTAAGACCTCCACAGAGGCATACGACGCGGAGACAGAGACCAGGATTCTCTGGTATCAACGTCAAGAGTAGAAACAGTTACCCCGCCTCCATAGCGCGATTTCTTTTAGACTTCCAGGCAGCCAATTTTTTCTCGAACTAAAGCAATGTAAAATTTCGATTTATGAAGACAAAGAGTTATTGCGTGTGGAGAGCTTTGAAGCAGTTCCAGTTGGGTAATAGACAAAGATGAACTTTACACGTTCCACAGAACCAGGTAGTCTACTTCTTTTTTTCGACAGCGGAATCCGAGATTGCCTTGTGTTTGCACCATTGGCATGTCTTGGGGGTTGGTGAGGTGTCCGGTATATGGGTGAAAGCTCTATCAATTTCGGCCGACTGCTGATGATTTTGGTGAGACACTTCGCACGCTTCTGTCCACCCTGGCCCTCCACGTCGTCAGAGTTCTGCGGGTGTCGACGACCGATCTGATCGTTTTCCACCATGATTGCCAGTTATCGAAGCTCCCTAAGTAAAGCACTACGGAGCAGTCAATGGTTTGCCTTCTGTCACTCGTTACGATGGATACATCGTACGATGTAGGCGTTGATGATAGATGTATCCAAGAGCCAGAGGGAGAGAGGGAGCCAATTTCTGAGAGAACGCATTTGTGTCGAGTAGTACTGATATAGTTGATCCGCTGCCCATGTTCTTGTTGTAGTCTTCAATGGTCTTCGAGATAATGACAATCTTTCGCGGCTGATCCCCAAATACTGGGTTGATCTTACGATCATCAGTGCTTGTCAGCCGCGGCCGGCTTCGCTCCGTTTCCACAAAGACTCAGGGGTGTGAAAACTGTGGATTGTAGTCAACACAGTCACGGGGACCATAGTCCATCCACAAAAGGTTGGGGATATCATCGACGACGACAGCGTGCTTGTCATTCCAATCCATGCTCGACAACTTCATCTCTCGCAAGTCAGGAAAAAACATTGCTCCCGCATTCCCCGATGGACTTGTCGCGCATGTGTTTGAATAAAGGAGCAGAGGAAAATAATTACACAGTAAGACGTTGAAAGTGTGTGATTGCATCGGGAGTTTCTTAATAAGGTAAAGGACTTTGTAGGATGTTGTGTTGAGCACCTTTCCTTCCAAAGTCGTGATTTGTACCTGATCAACAAGCTCCTTGTCCTTGTCCACCCTGGATTCGGGTAGGAATGCAAACGTGTACCCGGCGGCACCACAGAGAGCCAATACCTTGTCGCCAACCGGCATTGGCTTGTTCTTGATGTGATATGTGTGCTTACTGATACCAACGAAACGAATAATCATCTCGTCAACGGCGACATTGGTCTGTGGAACGTAGTACCTCTTGGAGATATCCTGGATATGGGACATCAAAGGCTCCATTTTGTCGTCGTAGCTGTTGATCTCTGCATTAGGATGGCAGATATGAAGATACTTCTTGATTTACTATACACGCGTCAGAGAGAGGCGCATATCTGGATGGAGAGGTAAACTGAACTGCTTTCCAATAATCGGCAGGGCGTGCGCTGGGATACAGTCCACGTTAAATAAGAAATGACAGAAATCGAATAAACTCCGGTGAAATGAGAGGTGTCCATTCACGTCCGGCATCTCCTGCTCCTTTACTAGCTGCGTAGGCGTTTGTATGGTCGACAAGTACATTGAGCATATCATCTGAGAAAAAGAGTTGAAAAACGATAGCGCTGTCGGTTGTAGTTGAACGGTCTGCGGAAAAGTTCGAAGACGAGCTCTATGATAGCTGGTAGATCCAAGTGCAGCGGGGCTAGGATCGAACTTAGGAATAGATTTGATCATGCTGGCACTTGCTGCACTAACACAATCAATGAACCGCAGGTCAGTATAGTAGAAGGGCCAGGCACGCACGTAGGGGAAGCATCATACGTAGGTGAAAATACCTTGGTTGCCCGACACTACTGTCGGCTCCTGCTGCTCTTGTGAGATGACCAGCTCCTCCCCATCCATCGCGGCCTCCTCGTCCACCTCGACGACCTCCTCTTCCTCCTCTTTCGCCTCTTTCACCTCGACCTCAAACTAATATACCTTGACCTTTATGTCCACCACCACCCTTAGAAATTATGCCTCGGGCTCCACTCCTGGTGGTGCCCTTCCGTCGATTCCTTTAAGTGTCAACCTTGTGACCATACCCCCCCCCCCCTTCCCCGGAATCCAAAAACTTTGATTTCTCATAAGATGCCAAACAAGTCAAAATAACCTTATCTGATCTCTAGTCGGCATAATTTATGGCTAAGACTACGACGGTATCTGATCGTCTTCGATCCAAGTTTTGGCCATTGTGCAAGTCGATCAGTTTTTAGTCAGTCGCCATCAACCAAGTACCCTTGGGGGCCCTTTTGGATGGTGTTCAAGATGCTGTAGAGCAGATACGGCGGCGAGATCATGGTCTTGGGGTTCTTGCAGTTTAGGGGTCCACATGACTATGTTATGAGAGTGCAAGGTTGTGAAGTTGTGAGAATCCAAGAGAATTGAGGAGGATAATGTGAGGGATGTAAATGGAGATGCAGGTACCACTTCCCCCCACCCTTTTTATCCTCATATCTACCGCCACTAGCCTTCGAGTATTATGGACTGTTGGTCATTCTTAGTTTTATTGGATCATGGACTCGCATGTAGAAGTGCATCAGGAAAAGAAAAAAATATGGCAATATGTATGTAGCATGGCGGAAAAGGGGAGTGATAGGCATTGAATAGCGGCAAGAAGGAAGGGTAGCAAGGTAGTAAGTAATAATCGAGTCATTTACTTTCACCACAACAGTCCGGAGCTGGACCGCGACCTGCTTCATCGACGACAGATATCTCTCCAGTCTCTGACATATCGACTTCAAGCACTCCTCCGCCGAATGGTTCTGGCTTGCTTGCCCAGATCGGATTGCATTGATGGTGCTTACTGTCTCTTTCGACCTTGACCATGTAGACAACGCGCCTTTCGGTAGCCGCCACTCGATGAGATCGAATCTGCGAGTCCTTCTTGGTAGGTTGGATCACCGCAGAGCCCAAAGCAGACGACGGTGGCTACACAATTGATATAGCCTGCACTCCTACAGGTACTGACCGAGAGAGTTGAAAGTCGACATGGTCAGTTCCTACGCGTTTGTGAATGAGGTTGTGTTGAATATGGATGTCGGGAAGAGATGCTGATTCGAATGTATAGCCGTTTTTGAGTGCTCAATTTTTCAGCACAGTGCACCATGTTCACTTTTTTTTCGCTGTGAGAATTGTACGTTTTTGCTTTTATTCGGCATTAGAGAGCAAAGGCAGCAGTGGCTCCTGTATGGTCGTGCTCTTGTCTATGGGTGTTCCAATAAATGCCCTCCAGTCCTATATGCACTCGAGTCCATGCTTCTTTTCCGTGCGACGCCAAAATGTGTTGTTCCCATGCAATCAAAGTAAGGGCGTGTACTGTTAGGACAGGCATCGTTTCTTGTCCTCAAAAAAACAAGGGCTTTGATCTCTATACTGGACCGCGCAACTAATGGGGAGGTTTTTTTTTCCGAATCCTTACCCGATTGCCGTTCTGTTAGTCGAGGTGAATTACATCCTGCCGTCCAAACTCCTTGGCCATCGCCCGCATTCTCCTAACATCCTCCAACACGTCCCTAAATTCCTCCTTGACCCTCCGATTATCCTGCACCAGATCCCCCAAATGATCCTCCACCAGTCCTGCATCGATCCGGAGCGACTCGGTGTGGACTTCAAGGATCTCATTCTTGTTTCGGATCTGGTAGATTTGGTCCGTAAGCCAATCCATTTGTTCCCCGATGGCGTCAATGCTTTCTGTCTGCTGGTCGAGTGCATTGCTAAATCCGGAGACGGTCTTGGTGAGTTGGTGCATGGTCGCCAGGATCTGGTCGAGTGTTGTGGAGGAAAGGGTGTTGGTGGGTGTGTGGGAGGTGTGTCTTGAATCCGATGCTTCTGCTGCTGCTACATCTGTTGCTCTTGGAGGTAGAGAAACAGCGGGGGTAGTCGATCGTCCGTGTGACGAGGCGGGTTGATATACCGGAAGGCGCGGCACTGCACGTCGTCGGTGTTGTTGTTGTTTCTGTTGCAGTTGCTGTCGGCGTCCAAGAGGCTGCGTCTTTCGCTTCCTGTGGGTGAGGATATCATCTTCTGTCGGTCTGTTGAACTTTGTCCGATCCCGATATTCACAAACGAGCTGGTGCTGTCGAGGATCCGTCCTGAGGATAGAGGAATGATTGCATTTGGGATGTGGGCAGGGGTAGTGCATAGCCCGGGCGGGGTCGCGCTGGACTTTGATGGGTGGACGACCGGGGACGGGGTTTGGGATAAATCTTGGTCGTGGATCGTGGTATCGTGACATATGAACAGGGATCTGTTCGCTCTTGGGGAGTGAGCAATTGAAGAAATCGGGGCACTTTGTCTTTCTTGGTACCATTGTCGTGTTGTTGTGGTCTGGCTGGACGAGAGGGAGGGGAGGGGAAGGGAAGGAGGATAGGTGTTTGTAATGATGTGAAGAAAGAAGGTGGTGCGTTGGTTGATGTGCAAATAATTGTGAAGAATGGACCATTCGAAAGAAAAGTACGTCACGCGGACCCCTGAGCGTCCGCCACCAACATAATTGTAATTATTTGTTCTTTGTTCTTTGTCTGTGTCTTTACAAACACAACCTAGCGCTTTGTTCAAAAAGTCCTTCTTCATCAAGCCTTTGCCTTCGCTGGGTCGTACAAAACGACAACCCTATGTGACATTGTCAAGAACACGGTATGCATGCTATGGTAATTATATATGCTCAAATTGAACTCACAACTTTGTCTGGGTGTGAGCATGCAAACAATATCTCTTGGTTGGGGCCATGGTGGGGATAGACGGTTGGTTAGCTTGGGTCACGGATATGAACCAAAAAGGGATCTGGATCATGATATGATCGAATGTGGTTGGGGTTTGTTTTATGCGTCGGGAGGGAGCAGCTGAAAAAGTCGGTGCAGACTAGTAGTCGACCTGGGGCTCCTCGTTTCGTCGACATGGTGTCCATGGCATTTGGTGTGAGGGATGTGTAATGTTGAGTGAGTGTGAGGTTGTGAGGATGGTGGTTGAAAAGAGAAAGTAGGCGTTGGTGGTGTTGGGAATCAAATCTTGCAGAGCAATGAAAACAACCACGATAAATAATGACTTTGGGAAATTGACATCCACGTCACAGGGGCTCTTGTTCCTTTGCCACCAGAAGCTAAAATAAATGATCGTGCCTGGATACCCGACGAGAGTTAAAAACAAGGCCTTTTGTGAAGCAGTCGATAAGAACACGCGAGCAAGGTGTGTGGGAATGTCCATCTCTTTTATCCAAGAAAAACAACAAGACTACGAGAAGGCATAAGCGGTACAAAAGGGAAAATGGGGACGAAGAGTGGTAGTAAAAAGACGTTCGCTCAAGAATAAAAAATATCCTGGTGTCCACGATCTTGGAACGATAAGCTAAATTGTTCCACATCCTCCCGTGCTCTCCTTAGATGTCCTTTCATGTTTTGATTATCCTGCAGCATATCGCCCAAATGATCCTGTACCAAGTCCATGTCGTTGCGGAGGGACTCTGTATGCGCATCCAGGCTTGCGTTCTGCGCCCGAATTTCGTCGACTCGATCTGCCAGCCATTCCAATTGTTCGTTCATTTTTCCAATGGTCTGAGTCTGTATGTTGAGTCGCTTGTTGAATCGATTCACTGTGTCGGCGAGTTGCTGCATGCCTGTAAGGAGCTGGGTTAGGGCTGCGTTGGGGGTGGTGTCGTTGGATGCAAGTGGTGGTGGTGGAGGAGAAGGGGTAGGAGAAGGAGTAGGAGAAGTGACTGGGGGAGGAGTGTGGTCGAAGATTGATCCTGAAGATGCCGACGACGTGGAAGCAGACCGCACTGAGGAAGCAGCCCGGACAGAGGAGGATGACGGACGACCGACCCGTCCGCGAGAGACGTTGGTTTGGTTAAGGATTCGTCGCTTTGCCCTCACAGACTGGGATGTTACAGCAGTAGTAGCGACAGCGGTAGAAGAAGACGAGCCAAGGGACGGCGCTGACGAGGAAGGGCGAGATGACTTGGACTTTGCAGCACGCTGGAGATCCCGCTTGATGTACTTGCAATGCCTCTGATGCTGATACGGACCGCTCCTCAAAATCGACGAATGGTCGCACTCGGGGTGAGGACAGGGAAAGAACATTTTGCGGCGAGGGTCTCGATGAATCATGATAGGTTTACCGCCGTCAAGAAGGTTGGCGATTTCTATGGGCCGAGGGTCGTGATAGATCGTCATGTGCTTGGTATCCTGCTGGCTCTTGGGCAGCGTGCAGTGGAAGAAGTCCATGCATACGCTTACTCCGTTCTTCATTGTGCGATATCCTGTTGCGAGGTGGGATGCGTTTGTTGTTGTCGAAAATTGTGTGGTTGACGAGGTATGGGAGCGTTGAAGAGGTTGAGCGGAAGTGAGCAGAAACAGACGTTGGAGGAGGAAAAGGGGGTGTTTGTGTGGAATTGACGCGAGGAGATAAAAGGCACAGGTAAATATTGAGTGCAAAAGACAGTCACGTCACTGGTTAAGGTCTGTGTCCCAGCCAACCCAAACATAATATGTTCCAAAATAAGTAGATGTTCAGTATCTAGAACTAGGGTAGGGAGAATACATGCCCCTCTGGGGATCCCGAGGATCCTAATGAATGGACCACCTGTGGAGAGTGGGTTAGGGATCTTAACGGGTGTTGGGTCATGGTATATGCGGACGTGCCAGGAGTTTCGTTGGCTTTTTGGAACCGAGCATTTGTAGTATTTGGTGCACATAGGTTGCTTTTCATAGTGTGTTTGCCATTGCTGTCCGGTATCCTTTGCTACTGCCTTCATCTTCCTCATGTCTACATCTCATGATCCAGCACTTTATTGTCATTTATCGATACCCTTCATTCGCAGACCCTAGCTGTCCAAGATCCGACCGCACCCCTCTCATATACCTCCTCACATCCCGATTATCCTGGACTAAATCCTCCATCCGTCTCTCGACCATAACCATCTCCCTCCGAAACGAATTCGTACGCACCTCTAGTTTCGTGTTGTAGCTCCGGATATCATCCAATTGGTCGGCTAGCCATACCATTTGTCCGCCCATTTTTTCAAGTCTCCCTGCTCGCTTGTCAAGGTGTTTGCTCAATCCGGCTACAGAGTCGGTGAGGTGGTTCATCATCGCCAGTAGTTGAGCGGTGGTTGCATCGGCAGAGGAGGAAGTGATGTGGCCAGAGGAGGAAGTGGTGGAGGCAGCAGTGGTAGTAGCGGTGGTACGTCTGTGAGGAAGATGGTCCGGGTCTGCTCCTGCGGGCAGGGAAGGAGGAGCAGTTGGGAGAGATGAGGATGGGTGCTGATCAACGTTATTACGGCGGAGGATAATTGGGCTGTGCCTTTGGCTTTGTCGTGGGCTCTGTCGTGGGTTCCGTCGCTGCAATGCTTCTACTAGCCGTCGCCCCCTTGTTTCCACAGGTGGTTGCTGGGTCGTCTGTACTGATCGTTGATGCACTGTCTCTACTTGTTGTCGCTCCCTTGTCTCCACTGGTTGTTGCTGCGTAGTCTCTACTGGTTGTTGCTGCGTAGTCTCTACTGGTTGTTGCTGCGTAGTCTCTACTGGTTGTTGCTGCGTAGTCTCTACTGGTTGTTGCTGCGTAGTCTCTACTGGTTGTTGCTTCGTAGTCTCTACTGGTTGTTGCTGCGTAGTCTCTACTGGTTGTTGCTTCGTAGTCCCTACTGGTTGTTGCTGCGTAGTCTCTACTGGTTGTCTCTGCGTGGTCTCCTCCATCTGTTGCTGAGTAAGCTCTACTGTCCGTTGGTGCGTGCTCTCTCCTGGTCGTCGCAAGACCGCAGAGGAGATGGAAACGACAGGACCGGCTTTTGAACTAGCATGTAACAGCCTACAATTCCTGTAATGCCTTCCCGCACTATCCCTTGTTATCGATGTATGTGCGCAGTCCGGGTGGAGACAAGAAAAGAGCATCTCCCGGTTGGGGTCGCGAGGGATCTTGACGGGCGGTTGATTGGCGGAGGCGTTTTTAGTGTCGTTGTCTTCGATGAGGAGGGGTTCGGGGTCGTGGTATTCCCGCTTGTGGGTCTCGATTTGGCGGATGTTCTTGCCAACGAAGGTGCAGGTGTAGAAATTGGAGCAAGCGGATTTTTTGCCGCGCTTTTTTGGTAAGGGATCATCCATGAGGGATATTTGTTTTTTAGGAAGAGTGGAGGAGAGAAGTGGGCGTGATAGGGTTTGATGGGGTTGTGGTGTTGAACGTGTGTGAGAGCGAAGAGGAGGGAGGGGTTGGAGCGGAAAAAAAACAAAAAGCGAAATTAAAGGGCCATAAATAAATACTGATCAAATCGAAAAACACGTCACGCTCATTCTTGATTCCGCCACCAAAATTGCATCTCTCACTCACTTTTGCGATGTTTGAACAATGATAAGGAATGAAAGTGCCCTATTCGTATGGTCCTCCCAGCTGAAGGGAGATGAAATGAAAAATAAGAAATGCCTATCGTATGGTCTGCTGGATGGCGAAGGGAGCACAACGGCTGTGTTCTGCACACTGGTCAAGAGAACGTTTTCGAGATGTAGAATACAAAAGAAGACCTACAGCTACTACAACTGCACGCAACTGACTAACATGACGCGTTCGAAGGCGAATGCCTTTCATTCATTACACGTCGATAAAAACGTTTTTGAGACAAGCTTGCTTTTACCAATGATCAATGATCAACGATATGATAGTAAACCTTTGTCACTCACCAGGAGGGACACTCTCCCCCACTTTCTTTTCCTTTTCCTTTCTTTCCTCTTTCTTTTTGTTCTTTCTTCTTCCTCTTTCTTTCTTTCCTTCCTCCTTCCCCTCCCTCCTTCCCCCTTCCTTCCTTCCTTCCTTTCCTTCGCCAAGACCACTACTACCAACGACAACAAACAACATACCCCGCCCTCTTTCGCCTAGCATCGCTCCTCCTTCCAAAAGCTACGGTTCTATGTATGAAGGAACACAATGTACCCACCCCACCCTCATTCCCTCCTACGACTTTTTTTTGTAAAGACCGAACGTACGTTTAATCCGGCAGCTTCATGCAAATAAAAGACATGTCCTTTTGCAGCTGTTACTACTTTTCCCTAGTTGTTCATGAAAAAAGGAAGAAAAGATCATGATAACACGATGAAAAAAACCATAAAAAGGCCACCGAAAAAGTCGATGAAAGTAGTATCATCGGTCCCCAGTGCCTTTCCTCCCCCCCCCCCCCCCCCCCCCCCCCCCCCCCCCCACATTGCCGTCAATCATTCATTCCTATCCTGAACGTTCCTGGGATGCACAATTCTGAACCCTCCTGTTGATTTTGTTGTCGTTGTTGTTGTTGCTGGCTATGTGGTGATAGGGCTGTTCCTGGTTGAGTGGTGCCAGGATTGTTGTTGATTGCGAGTTGTTGTTTGAGTCGCTGGGTTGTTGGTGGCGAGAGAAAAGAAGAATGAAAGGAAGAGGGATGTCAACAAAAAAAAAAAAAAAAAGGCTACATCGCGAGTCGAGACGAGTAACAATAACGCTACCAAAGCACGGTAGTGCTTGGCTCTGTTTTTGCTTGCCATCTCTCACACACCTCTCGCCTTCCTTTTCCTACTCCCAACGTCCTTTCTTCCTTGCAATACACACTTCTGCCACCCGCCGCCCTCAGACCACAGCACCATGGTCCTCTCACCAGAGATCCTATCTCAGGTCGCCTCTGTCCGTCGTGAGTGGAGAGAAAGCCACAAGTCTGAACATGTGCGGTCATGAATATTACGAGAGTGCGAAAAAGTATTATTGAGACAAGAACGAAAGAAATATATCAAATAGGCGATGGTAGAGAATAAGGTGGTAAACTAGAATGGGTGAACAAGACGACGAAAACTCGAGTATGCGCCGAAAAGGGTGGAAAACAGCCATTGTAGTATGTCGAAAGGGTGGATGTTCCATGCGTTCCAACGATTTACTCGTTAGAGCCCTCGACCTTCTGGTTGATGTCAAAGAGACGGACCTGGTGCATAGCGGGGAGTTTTGCGATCAGGTTGATGACAGTTGCGACCAAGTTGACAAAGAAGGCGAAAGGGGCGTAGTGGGTGTAGTGGGTGCTGAGCAAGAACCTATGTTGGCAAATGTAAAAACAGGCAAGTGGATATGCTGCGTTAGCCTCTGTGTCGGTCATGTTCACTAACAAGTCCCGCTCTGCATCCTTTGTTATACAACAATTGATTGATGCAGTTCGTATTGACAATATGTTGTAGCGAGTACGGTCGAAGGCGAAATAGACAATGACGTATGAGCTGGAAAGAATGAAATTGTTCCGAAGAGCTCTTCGATTCATTCTGTCTTCTTTGTATAGCCCTTTCCAATTCCAGATCAAGGTCCTGGGGGACTAGATCAAGATCCTGAAGACGAACATTCCAGATCCAGAAAGTGCGATATAAGGACGTCTCTGCAGGTTCAAAGGTAGAAGAGAGTGGGCGACTTACAAGACGATGGGGACGGTGGTCAAGTACTTTCTTGTTGCTGTGAACTGGACGCCTCCATCGATCTGCTCCCAGAGGGTAATTCCGTCATAGGCTCCCTGTGTAAACTCGAATGGCACACCCGTTACTGCATGGAACATAATATAACTTCCCTACAGTAGTGAAAGGAAAAAAACAGTAACGAATGGTTAGCATTTTATGAACAGATCAGAAGAATGGTATATGCCGGAGTATCCTCTGTTCCTAATCCGAGTACCCAGGGATCCATGCTGTTCTTTTTTTTTCTTTTTTCTTTTTCTCTTTTTCTCTTTTCTCTTTTCTCTTTTCACTTTTCTTTTCGAAGCTGTTCTTTTTCTCCCGATATCCCGGGAACCTTGGCAGCCGTCATCCGGTTAAATGCATCTTCCGCAGCCAACTTTCACATAATCGAAATTGTTTCATTTTTAGACAAAATGTGGAAGAAAAAAATCTCCTGAGCTGGAAGAGTCGACGATGTGTCGGGTCGAGAAGCATCCAACGAAGCAAGGAAGGAGACAGGACAGAAACGAAATAGGGAAGGGGAGGAAGGAAAAGGGATGCCATGCAACCAAGAACCAACATTGCTGCCATCCCCCAAACTGCACACCAAGATGCAACATGCGCACAGCAGGAGACACAGAAAAGAGAAAAGGAGTAAGGAGAAGAAAAAAAAAGCAATTGATGAGATCCGTTATTCTCCCAAACGTCCTGGAAAGCAAACAACGACAAAAGGGCATGGAGAAGAGTGTGCTGATAAAAAGGAAGAAAACACGAGGGTCGGTGTTGAACGGGATCGCTCGTTTTGGCAAGAGTCGTGTGTATGAAAGAATGTGAGCGTGGTATCCTGGACCCGTATGATGCTATGGAGTTCTCGACGTTGGTCGTTATGTTACTCCTGCTGCTCCTGCTTTCTGCTGTGTCAGTTGGTCGGCGGGTCGGTTGTTTGGTTGACGCCGTCTGTGTTCTTATCTTGAGTTGACCCTGCCAAACGGGAGGACGGGATATACACCACCTGACCTCATAAAAGCCAAGCTGGGAACAACCCCAGCTCATGCTCACAAAAAAGAGTACACCCAAAAACAACCTCCAGAGGGACAAAAGGGCGATATTAAATAAACATTGATACACTGAAGAGCTCCAAGGGAAAGACGTACGATGTTGTAGATGAGGGTGGTCAAGGTCCAGCTGAGTTCGGAGGTGATGCCGGGAATGATGCCAACGATGAACTTGAGGAAGAAGATCAGGATGAGGTTGGTCATCCAAGCTCCTAACAGACATCAATGAAAAAGCAAAAGTAAAAGGCGATCAGCAACTGTGCGTTTCACTTTGCCTTTCCAGCAATATTGCGTTTGCCGCAAAGATGATGTTGGTGGTTGTGGTTGTCGCATTGTTGTCGCACAGAGCGAAAAGAGAAAGAGAGGTCCAACAGCCGACTGTGCTGCGCTTGTCTATCTCCTATGCGGGGGGGAACTCTTTCCAAGTGTCAAAATGTTGGGTCAAGGGAGTTGTCTTGTTGTTGTTGCTGCGAGGACAAAACCGTAACAGTAACCAGCCTGGCAGCAACAAGTGTGTTGTTGTTGTTGTTGTTGTGAAGGTGATGGTTGAGTCCTTGGTGTGCGAAGGCGTATGTCCTTGCCAAGAGAGAATGAGAAAGTACCTTTGTCGCTGACCCAGGATGAGTTGAGGTTTGTCTGGGAGTGCTGATCGAGGGACTGAACGTAGTCAGTCTTGTAGACGGATGCAAGCTTGGTCATCGTTGTTGTCTTTATTAGAGGTGGTGGTTGTCGGTAGGTTGGTTGGTTGTTGCCGTTGATGTTGATGATGAGAGTAAAAAAGAAAAGATAAAAGAAGAAGAAGAAGAAGAAGAAGAAGAGAAAAGAAGTGAAGGGAAGTGAAGAAAGGAAAAAGAAGGAGCGCGGCCTCTTTTCTGTTATTGAACAAAGCGACGAACTGCACACGGGACCAGAAATTAACGTCAGAGAAGAGCAATGACGGACAAAGGCAAGAAGATCCCTTCCTTGATTCAGTACATTGCGGATGGCATATCCGGGGCAATTGAACCCTGCCTAGATTTGTCTTGCTGGACGGATGGCTATTGCCTTCAAGTGCAAAGAAGCATCGACACCAGTAGCCGTGGCATTGAGCAAGTCCCAGGGAGTAAGAAGGAACTCTTGTTCTTATTCCCCGCACTGGTATGTCCTCAACGGCCGATTGATTTCGGGTGGGAGCAGAGGAAAGCGAATCCACCGAACATAATAAACGCTCCGGCCTCCTCTTCCCTCTTTTTCTTTTCGCTTCTACTTTCTTTTTTCTTCTTCACCCACCTGTCCCTACCTCATACCCCTACCCTACCTTGCCTTTCTCCACGCACTTGCACCCTTTCCCCATCCACAACATCACTAGCAACAACCCTCATTTAACAAATGGCTGCAATCTCGGAAAAGTACCAACACCAGGCTCCACTGCCATTCTCCCCTGCAGAGCTCGGAGACTTTCATCGCTTCCATGCCCATTCATGGGACACCGACGACCAGTTCCAGGCCGGTCTCCGCACCATCACCCAGACTCAGGCTACGGACCCTTCCTTCTCCGAGCTGCTCAAAATGAAGCAATACTACTTTTCAACAAGGTAAGGAGGCTCCGCCTTGTACGCGGTCAGGCTCATTCGTTGCGCAGTATATGTTCTTTCTCCGGAACTTTTTGTTGCGATCGCATAGACTTATCTAAAGTGCCTTTACTTGCTTAGGATGAGTGTACGGATCAATCTGGATGACTATCTCTCCTGGAGGAAGCACCTTGAGCAACCCTCGGATGACCCCAATGTGCCCATCTTCAAGCGGTTCGACGAATACAACTTTGACGCCGACCGCAAGTTCCAACAGGGTCTGCCCAGTATCATCGGACAGCTTGTCAAGGATGGCAAGAGCACACTGGATAAAGCTGCGCTGCAGAAGGAGATGACCAAAGCCAAGGCCTTTTACTACGCTCGGTACGTTTTCGTCTGAAGATATAGCTCCAGGGTCGTCTTTCGATTGATCTACTAGCAATGACTTACTCATTATCATCCTTGATTCCTCGTACATCCATTTTAGGTTTATCGAATTGTTCGATTTCCCAGCATATTTGGGATGGAAGGAAATGGAGAAATCCCAGGCTGGACCCGCATGCCCATATGCTCACCTCTGGCAGAACAAGGGCAAGGGAGCAGGAAACGAGCTGGAAGAGGACGCACAACAATTCTTGACCGCCACCCAACCACTCTCGACCGGTGCTCTTCAGGTCCACATCCACTCGCCTGCGACAAAGAACAGCTTCACAGGAGTGCGCTTGGCCAAGATGAGCCAGGCGATTGCAGAGGCCAAAACGGAAGAATCGATCACATCTGTCTATTGGACTGTCAACTCTGGCAAGTCCACGCATAACGAGCGAGATCCCGAGTCTGAGATTGTGACAAAGGACGAAAAGTGGTTCGCTGGTGGAGTTACCGTTGGCGCGCCCTCAGAGAACGCCAAGTCGAAGCAGGATCCAGCTCAGGTCAAGGAGCGTCTTCGACAGTACTATTCCCTTGTGGATGAGATAAACACTATCACCAATGAACATGATAAGCCAGTTGTCAGGATTGTGGACGGCATTGTGTCCCTCTCCGCAGCATACCTCGCCTTTGGAGCTGCCAGTCAGCGAGTTATCACCGAGAACGCAACCCTCTCGTTCACTCCTACTTCAACCACAGAGGCCATCAACATTGTCAACAACCCCTTTGCAGGGCTCTGCCTCTTGGCACAGATTCAGGCCTCCTCTAAGAACGACACCAGTGCGCGCCCTTTGCCCAATGGCGTCGCTCACTACCTCGCCTTCTGCCCCGACTACATCCTTCGAGGACCTGATCTGCGGAAATTGGGATTGGCCGACTTTTTTATCTCGTCCTCCAAGAAGAAGGACATAGACGAAGCTATCGTCTCTGTCGCAGGATGCCCACCTCCACATACCACCCAGGCTATCCGCATGGCGCTGAACGCTGAGGTTGTCTACCCTGGACCTGCCAAGATTGACGTTTGGCGATCCGAGATCGAAGAGTGCTTTGGTGTAAGTTTCTTTGTCTTCTTTTTGACTGGTAGGTAGATAATTTCCTCCGCAGCTGTTCCTAATTCGGGTTGATGTTTTTTGTACAATAGGATGCTGCATCTTTGAAGGACATTGTCAGTAATCTGGAAAAGTACAGCAACAACTGGTCAAAGTCCATTCGTGCCTACATTGCATCACTGGAGCCCGTCTACGCCGAGGTACTTCTTACCACATGTTGGTTACAATGGTTGGAATGTTATGAAGGATGTACTTGGTCATTATATCTAATACCCACCCTTTATTTTTAATGTTGTAGTTGCTGTTCAAGGCCATTGAGAAAACGGCAGAGTTGACATCATTCAAGGAGGTCGCGCAACTGGAGTACAGATTGGCTCAGCGTTACTCAGAGTTTGAGGCTTCAACCGAGGAAGAAAAGACCACTAAGGCTCTCGCTGACCTTGGAGATTTTTTCGTCCCACTTGAGGCGGAAGAAGCAGAGCTGTTTAACTTTGACTTTGCCACTTATCTCAAGGAGCACCAGGAGGACAAGGAACTTGCAAATGGCGCATCTACTTCTACGTCTATCGGGAAGAATGGCGCGAATGCTACTCAGGCGTGTCCATACCTTATTGGCAAGGTCACAGCCAACGGCGACAGTGTTGTGCCCTCTGATCATCCCCAGATCCCAGGCGTTGATTTCTCGGACACCGAGGCAGCCAAGGCGTGCCCTTATCTGGCTTCCAAGGAGAATGACACTCAGGAAAAGGCGGAAGTTGCAGCACCACCACCAGCAGATCACCCTTCAATCCCTGGAGTCGATTTCTCGGACCCCGAGGCCATCAAGGCATGCCCTTTCCTGTCTGCCAAGAACAAGCGCGAGGAGGCTGCGGTAACGGCGGCAAAAGAGAAGGAAGCGAGCTCTGCTATGCCTTCGGATCACCCTGTCATTCCTGGAGTCGATTTCTCGAACCCTGATGCCATCAAGGCGTGTCCCTTCCTTTCCTCTCAGCAGCAACAGCTGGCATAGAAGTCATGTTTGAGAACACAGAAACGTATTAAAACATTTTTTTATTTTTCTCCAGCCCTGAATGAAAATTGCTGGTGTAATTAATTCAGTACTTTTGTGAAAAGGTTGCCAAAGAAAGATAGAGATCGAAGAAAGAAACAGGAAGAAAGGAATGTGTGCCGCACACCACCGGTACAAGGTGGTCGTCAGAATGACCTACTGACACCCAACAACCACAGGCCCCTCCTGCTTTAGCACCAGCAGTTGTTCCATCCACAGTAATCACCTCACCACCTACCACGTCCTCGTCCACCACCCCACCAGTCGTCGTCGCAGCAGCAATCATCATCACAGCAATCATCGTGACCATCATACCCCCGCTTCTTCCACCAGTTCGTGGCCGTCGGGACAGGGTATGGGTATGCAGAAGCCACAGGGACAGGAACCGAGTACGGCTCGGCGTAAGGAATGGGGATCGTGGGCGCTACGTTGACCTGGGGAGCGATTTCGGTGTTGGCTTGGATGTTGGATTGGGTGGTGATTAGACTGTTGGGTGAGTAGATTGAGGCTTGCGAGCCGTAGGGGACGGGGCCGGAGGAGACGCCGGAATAGGCGAACGGGCCACCGAGGGGGTTCGGAGCCGCGAATGTGTTGGAGAGGAAGAGGGAGGTGGCGAGGAGGGCCAGGGTGCACGTAGTGGTGATGAACATTGCGGTGTGTTAGCTAGTGGTGTGAGAAGATGCTGTTGGTGAGGCTGGAAGGGATATTGGATGAAAGGCGGCGCCCTTTATACTTTCCGTTGCCTCCCCGTCAGTCCTCACAATCCTGCATCCTTGAGGCATTGGAATGCCCACTGTTGTTATAACGTCCCTTTATCAGCTGTGTATCACCTCATTGATACCTTTCTGCAACATACTATCAGCCTTCATCCTGCATCCGAAGGCCAGACAAACACAAGTACTGATAAACGGTGATGAGTTGAAGAAATGAATTTGGGAGTTCCTTTAATCATCGTCGGGATCGACCTTGCCGTGAGTCTTCTTTTTCTTCTTGGCCATCTTGACTGCTCGCTCATCCATGTATGTTGAGAAGAAATCTGTCGGCCGCTTCTTGTTCCCTCCTCCTGATGATGGTGCTGGTTTTGTAGGTGCTGCTGTTGTTGAGGTCGTGCTCTCTGATGATCCTGAAGCAGCAGCAGCGGCGGCAGCCTTGAGAACTGCAGGGTGCACCGCTGCCTGGTACTTGGCCTCCTTGTTCTTCTTCTTCAACCCACCCATAGACGCCGCCACCGTCGACACTCCTCCCCCTCCTCCAGCCTTAGGTACAACCCCTCCCACTCCCGCTCCCGCTCCCAGTCCTGATGACCCAGATCCGAATCCAGTAATATTCCGTGTCCGACTGTCCTCCTCATCCTCAGCTTGCTCCAGCAATTCCTTCCTCTTGGCGGCCATCATCAGCTTGTGTTCCATATACTTGTCCGGCAATGCATTCTTCTCTGCCTGCTCGGCCCTTACCAACTCTGCACCCACCACACCACCAGTGAGTTGGCGTTTCAGTTTTGATTCGAATGCGTTTAATGGGACGTGACGCATTTGGTCCTTATGCGAGAGGTACTTTGCTCCCAAGCCCAACCTACAACAAGAGGATCAATTGATCAGTATATTGGAATGAGTGCCTTGGTTATCTTATGCCATGTCTCCTGCGCAATGATCCAGCTGACGAGTGCTTAAATAAAAATTACCCTGGTTGCCGTGGCTTGATAGCAGCTGAACCCACAAACCCAGAGCTATTCGTGGATATATCCTCATCATCGTCCGAGAAGCCTTCTGGGTTAAGCCAAGAGGCGACTTTTGAACGTGCAAGGGAGACGGAGACGTCGAGTTGGGTCTTTAGCGCATCCAGGGCTTCGAACTGCTCCTTGCGCTGCTTCTTTGTTAGGTGCCCTCCTACTGGTCCTTTTGTTGTTGTTGTCCCTGCTCCTGATGCTGATGCTGATGCTGGGGTCTCGGCCATTGTGGATGTAGCTGTTGGTTGTGATGCGTTTCGTGTGTTCCTCCTCGCGTGTGTTTTTGTTCGTTTCTTTTTTTTTTCCCTTCATTATTTTGTGTTTTTGACAGGACTGTTTATTTAGGAGTGTTAATTGTGCAGGTTGGTAAATCGCGCTCCTGTTTCGATTAGAAGAGGGTGATTAAATTTGTCCCTGAAATCAAACGGGTCGAAGGAGGAAAAAGAGAGCAGGGAGACGACGGACTCCTTGCGACGGCCAACTCTGGATCATTGTTCGCTTCACTTCTGAGGGTGCCAAAGTGTTCTATTATTTTGCTGTACGCATACTTGTTCAACAGCCCAAAAAAACCCGCCTCGTCCTTGTTTCCAGAATATCAAGATAACCTGGCTATCAAAAACGCCTTACAACCTCCCCTCTTCCTCCCTGTTTGATGTGCGTGTCCGCCCAGTGTACCATACTCCTTGAAAAGGCGGAAGAGCATGGCTGTACTTCGAGTTCCAACGCCTTCCCATAAGTTTCCATTGAAGATGGTACAACAAACAAGCATTCAAATGTTTGTTACGACGTGAAACAAAGAAACTTGTCGAATCTCTGGAAGCAGAGAACAAACGCCCGCGCTTGTCTGTTCTATGTTCAGCCCTACTTTGTTTTTATGCGATCATGGGATGAATATACAAGACGTTCATACCATTGACGGTGTCTCTTCATTGACTATTCCTGTTCATACTTGGTCGAGTACGGCGTCTTCTTGACAGAGCTTGACAACAGATGGTGTACACCTCTCAGCTATGCTTAGTCTACGACCAAAATGCCGTGCTCCTCATTGCCTCTCTCCCCCTTCTCCTCTCTTCCCATCCACTCATATCACTCAACGGCTCACGAATCCCTCTGCAATATCCCTTTGGTTGCGTTACACAGGACTATTGTGACTCCATGCCTGAAAATCTAATTTCCTTTCCTCCATCCTCCCCTCCGCTCTGTCCTGTCTCTACCAAAAAAAAAAACGGATCAAACCTCGGTAAAGCAGACGATCATCATAAAACTTTATTTTGAGAGCACTCTTGGGCTATATATTTTTTTTCTCTTCCCCTTTCCTGCTAGCTTTCATTTGCATTGCTTTCGCCCTTTTTACTCGTCTGTCATTCTGCCCGTTTTTCACGAGCGAATTATTTGCTCAATCTTGCTTTTGTTCTATTCTACTGAACATCTCTCTACTCTGTTGATTTGCCCTCCTTTCCTCCGACAAGGAAGGTGAAAAAAAAAAGGTTTTATTTTGGCGATGTTACCGACAAAAGCGAAAAATAGCTCGCTGGAGATGGATTTTGTGGAGGTGTGGTGCTGCTCTTCTTTTTTATTTTGAGAGTGTGTATGTGAGAGGAGACGAAGGACAGGTGGGGGGAGGGGGGCCGCGTGCCAATAATATCTAATTACGATATAGATACACCGGAACCTTCCATTTCTGCTGGGTTGACAACACCAATTGGGTGAACTAATCGGCGCGACCAGGAAAGTTGTTGTTTGTTCGAAAGAGTTAAGAATTAGCAGAGAAGGAAGAGGATGGAGAACCAGCACGACAAAGAAAAGATACCTTACGACAAGAATAACAAAGGGTAAGGGATCGGGGGGTCGCAAATACCGCAATGCTCACTCTTGGCTTCGCTCCTTTGGTTACTCCATAAGTTGAAGTTGACGCTAGCGATCGAACAGATGCGTGTGAGCCCTTCAATTCTCAGCAAAGATGGCTGAAAAGAGAGAGAGAGAGAGAGAGAGAGAAAGGACAGGGTAACAAGTAGGAGCAAGTGGGAACGACCTTTTTTTTAATGACCGTACTGTACATGTAGAACCTGTTGGTTTCAGGGCGGAGGATATCTTTGTTTTTGTGCTCTTAGTTCGGCATTCATTTCTCATTGCGAGGTACGTACCTGGCACGATGAAGATGATGACGGTTGGTAGACTATGATAGAGGATGGAGGATGGATGGAGGAATGGGGTAAGCGAGTCCTCCTCCTCATCCTCCTCATCCTCCTCTTTCTACCATCGGAATTCGGCAAGCAGAAAGAAAATCGAACATCTATGAGGGATGCTCGATGGTACATTCATATTTACGTGCAGTAAAAACACACACCACCACCACCACCAAATGGATTATGCGCATAGGAAGAGAAGGAGAAAAAAAAATGAGGCGAAAAGAAAAAAGAGCCCGTGAATGGTGCCTTTCCACTCACACGAACTGAACTGAACTTCAACATTCGCGTTTGTACATAGACGATGCAATTTGTAGACTTTTGCTCCCTTCCCTTCCATTTTCCATTTTGGAATGTCGAGAAGGGTTCCCTGAATATGTTTAACAGCCAAAAATAAAGCATCCTACATCCCCTTTCTATGGTCTGGTTAGTTTTTTGTATTCAATTCAATTCAATACATCCACATCGTTTCTTGGAGTGTAGCCCCACGCACTTGCTTTCATCAGATCCGCTCGATGGGAAGGGGGCTCAAGTCTAGACATTATATCAAAATTGGGAAAGTGTTGGAAAGCAGCCAAGGCACCAGAGCAAGGCAAGCCGTGTAAGTCGGACGAGCGAGTAAAATCGATAATCAGAGAAAAGCAGAAAGTATAAAAACCAGGCACCCCCTGGTCCCTGGTTTGTTTCTTTGATTCACCTTTCACTATCGTTTCCCCCCCACTTACTTGCTTACTTTTGCAACCACCCTTCCCCTCCACCACCACCTTACCTTCACCCCTAACCTACCTACCTCAACAACCATGAAGTCTACCACTGTTCTCCTCTCCGTCTTGGCCGCTTCTGCCTCCGTCGTCCTCGCCCAGTCCCCCGGCGTCGACGAGGAGCGCCTCTACTACACCGAGCCCACCACCGCCACGACTTGGACTGCCGGCGCCAACGCCACCGTCGCCTGGTCCAACGTCTGCAACTCCAAGAACACCGGCGACCTTGCCATCGTCCTCTACATCGGTACCGGTGGCGCCAACGGCACCGAGCAGATCCGTGTCCCCGGCATTGCCAACATCGGAACCTTGAACTGCTCGAAGGCCCAGACTGCCATCGTCAACTTGCCCGCAAACTTGACCACCTCCGACAAGTACGCCATCCACGTCGACACCGAGCCCTACCAGTCGTACTCTTCCCCCTTCTCCATCAAGGGTATTGACCCCCCCGTCACTACCACTGTTGCCCCCGTTGCTCCTACCACCCCCAGTGCTGCCGTCCCCTCCGCTAGTGTTGGTTCGACCACCACCGCTGCTGGTGGTGCTGCTGCCACTAGTGACAAGAGCACTAGCGCTGCTGGATCCTTGAAGGCCTTCGGTGCCTCGGCTGCCGTCCTTGCCGCCACCATCGGTGCCTTCTTCTTCTAAATTGTTTCCTCCCCCTCCCCCCTCCCTCGTAATTCTTTAGACCAGCTTTCAGCATTTCCTTATACCTGTATTAAACCTTCTCCCCCTTCCTCGACAAGACAAAAGTAATTCCTTTGTTTCCTAGTTTCCTGTTTGTTTGTTGGAGTAAGGTGTGAAAGAATGGTGTGTGTATCTTTTGGTTATCATGAAGAAAAAAGCGTTTGCTTGTACCTCAATAACAAGCAATCCCCTTGTGCTACCGAGTGTACAATTGGCACACGACCAAGAACAACATGTTCGGTTCTTTAATTCGAGAGTGAAAGAGAGACAAGGCGAGCGATTAGACAGACAGGTTGCTTTTGCCCATACTCGTTTTCGATAGGGGTGGATACCTGGTGTGGTTTCAAACACCCTTTCAGGCTGTATAGCACCAGCACTATTCATCTTACAACAACAGAGGTGAAGAAAAGAGAACAAGGACGATTGAGAGGGGGAGGAAGAATGGTGAATCAACATTGAGAAAATGTCAGACACATCTCACAGACAACAAAAGCGCTTACACCTTTGTGTTGGAATGTCGAAGTACCTTTCTTGCTTCATCTTTCAGCCATCTTCGTCTTCAGAAACGGGGAGTAATGTTGGCGGCTTATCCATTCAAGCCCTTTATATATATCCCACTTTCGATTGTTGATTATTATTTCTCGTTCTGCATCCCGTGTCGACTTTGCCAACCTGCTCGGGTGTTGTTGATTGCAGCAACTTAGCGCTTTTCTGTGTTTGGCAACAAATTGTGGAGACAAACTAGCCGCGCCATTGGTGAGTTGAAATTGGTGCAACGCAGCAAAGAATCATAATTCTCAAGTAGAGGCCGTCTTTATCTTCTTTGGAGATACTAAGTGGAGAGGAGGATATGTGAAGATTAGAAATAGTCAACCTTAGAAGGCTGGTTGATGAGGGGGGGATAAGGTCCCGTTTCTGAAGCTGGTTTGTGAGGGAAGGGGGAAGAGGAAGAAGGAGTGGGAGGACTAAGAGAAACAAGGAGTGAGAAGAGTGAGGATAAATGAAAGCAAAGAGCGAAGAGGCGATGGGAACTCTCTGGACTCGTGTCCTCGTTGGGTTCATCGGTTTCATGGATGGCGTCAAGTGGCAGGTGTCGCGTGTAAGTCTAGCGCGCATGTTTTGCTTTATAAAGGCGATCAAACCGATCAAATGCCATTAGGCTGTGTTGGTTTGACTCAATAGCAACCTTCTTTGTCTCACAACGCTGGATCTGTGCGCTCCATCAATCGAATCGAACTACCAGGAGCTCCCTGGCCGCCACTCTCGTTCACCTTTGACCATTCACTCCCAACCAACTCCTGGTAATGACCTTACACTTGCAAACTGACAGAGAAAGAGGTGCTCTTAATGTATTGAAAAACAGAGGGAAGCAATATTGCAACGGATTTATTTCAGAACATGAAAACGAATGTCTGAAGTTCCAGGGGATGGAACCAAGACTTGAGCGCACCACACACTGAACCAACTCCAGCAAACACACTCGACCACCCGCAGTAGCGCAGAAGCGCTTTAACGGTAACGGCGGAGGCTAATAAAGAAGAAAAAAAAAGGAAACAACGCGTTAATGTCATGAAAAATTAAAACCTTCAAGAATGCAATCCCAATATCCTAACAATGTCCTGAGCATCCAGGGTGTCTCTTAAATCCCAGCAATAGCACTTACGAGAGAGTGTTGCGTCTCTTCCAGTTGGCACGACGACCAGATCCGATGGTCTTGTTGAAGCCGTGACCCTTGCCGTGACCGCGGTTCTTCTTGGTGGCAGAGGTAAGACCACGGGCCTCACGGCGCTTGTGGACGGGGTTGACGATCCAGTTGATGCGGGCATCGCGGCGGATAGCCTTGTGCGAGGGGTCGACGAGGATGACCTCGAAGTACTTGTAGGTCGAGTCCTGGTTAACCCAGTACGAGTTGAGGACGCGCAAGTTTCCGCACTTGCGACCGACACGCTCCTCAGCGGTGGCCTGGAGGGAACGCTGGTACTTGAGCTGGTTGACTCCGTGTCCACCGGGCTTACCGAAGGTAGCACCCTTGGCAACGGGCTTTTTGCGACCACCACGACGGACGCGGATACGGTAGATGACGTATCCCTGCTTGGCCTTGTATCCCAAACGACGGGCCTTATCGGGGCGCGAAGGGCGGGAAGCGCGGTGGATAACGTTCAACTGACGGTACTCCCAGCAGCGGACACGCAACAAGAAGCGCATGACATCAGACTGCTTCTTCTTGGCCAATTCCTCGAGATACTTGTAGGCTCCCATATTGTCTACGAGTAGGGGGTAGAAGATTGGAGAAGGGGACGTTAGTTCTCTGGGTGGAATGGTCTGTGCGAGAGATGTCCTGTAAGGGGGCAACAAGTAGGGGGGCAGCCAGTAGGGGTTGTTGAAAAATGGGAAGACTGATAGTCGATATGAAAAGGGTTGGCGCTTGTCTATGCAGTTGTGTCCGAAGCTGATATAGTTGATGTTGACGCTTGACCGGTGTAAAGCTACCGCTAGTCGGTACAGCTGAAGAGTCGACTTCCCGGTTTTGCTCTGGGCGTAGTGCTGGTGGTCATTGCTCTGTTGGCACCCTGAACAGCAAAGCGGGCGATTCACTGTTGATCCCGATCAACTGAGTAGCCGGCTAGAGCCCTTGGACACAGCTATCCTAAGCAATTGAAGCTAGATACGGTGCCCCAGGACAAGCCCAACTGGTCAACTTGATAACCAGCCACCAGAATAACCAGAAAATGAGTAGATCCCGGTGTCTGGCAGTCAGTCTGTGAAAGGACACCATCAGATCTCTCTGGCAGCATCACTTTTGAAAGTTGATGATGGGTTCCAGGTATCATGATCACGAGTTTTTTTTCTTGCTGTTGCTGCATAGTCCCGTAGTGATGTCGATGATCCTTTTGATGGCTGTTTGCCTATGGTTGCTGTGTGTGTGTGTGTCGATAATGTATCGATGGATGGATGGATGTGATATAAGTTGACATCCATCGACTCGTCAGATGTGTTCTGTCGTCTTACAAAATTGAAATAAAAGATCGAACAAACAGTACCCAGCGGACATTACCTTTTGATCTGTCTCTCAGGCGTGTCAGTCTCTGCCTAAGCCACGCTCATATTTTTCAATTGAACTGAATGAAAATTATTGAATGATATCAAGTCGAACCTTAGTTTGTGTTTAGCCCTATTCCAAAAATAGCCAGTGTCACTGCCTCGTTCCTTTCTGTGTCCTGCCCCTGCTTCTTCTTCCATAGTCTTTTTGCCTTTATTTCTTCCTTTCCCCTTTTTTTTCCCTTCCCATCTCTTTTCTTCGTTACTCCTCGCTCTTCCCACATCTTCTTCACACCCCCTCCTCCAACACATCATGTCAGTCGCAGCAAAAAAGCTGTACTGGATTACAGCCGCCGTTTTCCTAATGGTCGTCTTCCTCTCCTACCACAGGAACTCCGGTTCCTCATCATACCCGCCAGACAGGACAGCCCCCAACGATGCCGGTCAGTCTCTGAACTACGACGATAACGACAACGACTACACAAGCGGGGACGGCAACAACCTCTACACCGGAGACAACAAACCACCAGGAGGATATACTCCAGCTGGCGGAAACAAGCCTAGTACTCCTCCTCCCACCCCTGCCGAAACTACACCCACCCAACCCAACACTTCTGGAAAGTACGATACCCTGGTGGTCATTCCTTCGAGCTGGACTCAAATTCAGAACCGCCAATGGGTCCGTGAAACTGTCTTTGGCATCCGGGACAACCTCGAGCCCTGCAAGAAGAACGACGGCAACATCATCTACAAGTTTTATATCTATGGACGGTCTACCTGGGGCAAGTCTGCGATTCATTCTCCAGAGTACAACCAGGCGTTGGTCCGGGATCTCTATGGCGAGTTCATGGAGTATAACGATCACCATTTCACCAACGCCACCGTCGCCGACAAGCATGCCATCTGGGGCAACGCACTCGACTGGGCTGTAAGTACACTGGGCGCTGATCCGTCGACTGGGTGATGACACACATAATTCGGACTTATCCATCTCTGTGGTTTTTTTTCCTGCTTGGGCGATGCATGGACTCAGCCAACTGACCCTTCGCCTACCTTACATTTCTATTTCTAGGTAACCACATACATCCCAACAAACAAGATTCATGTTGACAAGATTCTTATCTTTGATTCAACCGCCATCGTCAACCTGCCCAATATGGAGGAGGCCGTCAAGGCTTCTGCCAACCCCAACGGATATCTTCACATCTGGGGCTCCGATTCTACCACCTTTGCCGCCATGATCTCCTACAACGCCGTCGAGCAGATCCTCAATCACCGCGAGGAGCTTAAGGCTGGTCACGCCACCGAGGATATCATCTCCGCGGCTTCGACCTTTTATGCCGAGAACCCTGCGACCTTCAAAATTGTCCGCGCGACTGGTCAATTGTGGGCCAGCAATGTTGATTTGGTCTCTGCCGACACTGCTGTTGTTGGTCAAGTCTACCAGCTCGAGGATTGGCGCAGCATCACCGACAAGTTGACCATCAAGGCTACCCCCGCCTGCGCTGTTGACCAGAACAGGAAGAAGAACGTTGCCCTTTTGACCTCATCCTACATCTACGTCGACATGTGCATGGCCGAGGCCTCCCTGCCCTCTGCCGACAACAAGCGCGACTATGCCGACAAGCACGGATACGACTTTGTGGCCCGCGCCGCCGAGTTTGCACAGGAGGAACATCGTGGCCGTCGTTTGGTCTGGGGCAAGATTGGCGCCATCCAGAAGGTTCTCCCCCATTACGAATGGCTGTTCTGGATGGACATGGATGCTGTCATTGCTGATCTCGACAAGGACTTGCGTGAGATTATTCAGGTCGCGGAGAAGGCCAAGGTTGGAGGTGATGAGGTCAGTCTTATTGTTGCCAGACCTAAGCGCGACAAGATCCTGAACGCTGGTGTCATGTTGATCAAGAACACCGAGTGGAGCCGCGCCTTCCTTGCTGAGGTCCAGACCCGCGCCCCTTGGTACCACAAGTCGAGTTATGAGCAGGCTGCTATCTGGGAGGTCATGAGCGAGCCCAAGTGGTCGCCGGGTGTTTATCTTTATGATGAAGATGATCACACCATGAACACCTTCCCCAAGATGTATGAAGAGGGCGACTTTGTTATTCATTTCGCTCCTGCTGGATGCCCCTCGGTTCCTGTTCTTGCTGCTTTGGCCAAAATCAAGGCTGGCGAGAGTGCGCTCGGTATCGGTGCCGAGTAAGCACCTTTTCTTCCCTTTTTTCATTCATCATCACTTTTTTTTGTACTGTACGCAATAGACATTCCTTTTTATGATTAAAAAATACCAAAAACATCGTAATCCCTCAGCGTTTTCTGCTGTATTTGAATAAGGTGAATATGGGATCTAGTCGATCTAATCGACGTTCTGCTTCGTCCTAATGGCAATATCAACATTATTCTTGATAGGGATCGAATCCATAGCCCCCTCCTTGCCAACAGCCAAGGAAGCCGCATGGCTGGCCTCCAACAATGCAGCCTGGAGCTGCTCGGGGTTGAAACGTTTGTTCAACTCTTGGTTGCGCACCAGGTTTGCGACAAAGTAGCCCTATGGACGGTGGTTGAATGTAGAGACACAATGACGTTAGTTATGGGGTCTGAGAAGTGTGCTTAAAATAGGATTGACAGTGAGTTTGGATATAATATTTAGTTCTGCACTTACCGAAAACGTGTCTCCCGCCTATGTACGCACCCCGAACAAAGGAAAAATGTAGAAAAGGGTATCAGTTCCAACGTCTTGTTCTTTCACGAAACGGAACTCTTCGCACGACATCAGTTGATCACGATCCTAGACTTACACCAGTAGTATTAACAACGTTGCCCTTGACGATCCCCATCCGGAACTCCTTCATCTTCTCATCCTCCTCATTAATCCTAAACCGTGCCACCAGCCCATCCCCCCCAAGCGTAATAATAATCCCGCTGATCTTCTCATACGCCTTTTCCAACACCGGGAAGCTTTCAGAAGCCGTGATATGCGACGAGGATGTAACAGAGTCGGCGTCGGATTTGGGAGAGGTCAAGTAGGAGTAGAGGCCTTGGGCTTCGATCTCGTTGATGAGGAGGTAATCGACCAAGTGGAGGGGGTACTGTTTTGGGAGGTCGGGTGTCATAGGTGAAGGGTTGAAACAGATGGTCATCCCACGCTCCTTGGCGGCGCGCATGATCTCACCACCGCTACTGATTTCGTTCTGAATTACGATCCAGTCGCCTTTGCCAAAGTTGGACAGGACTTGGCGGGCTTCTTCGATGACGACGGTGTGGTTTGTTCCCGGGAAGAGAACGATGGAGTTATCGTGGGATTCTTCGCTCAATTGGATGATTGCCCTTCCTGTCGCCTATGTATCCGTGACCATTGCAATTGGGAAATAATTGTCAGATCCGTAGTTCCCGCAGGCGGTTGACGTTGCACAATTGAGGTTGGTTGGTATGAAAAAAATGCAGGTATGCATCGTCATGGTATGTACCTCTTTCTCGGCGACCTGGATGTAGGTGGTATCGACGCCAGCGTCCTCCATGATCTTGCGGACCCATTCTCCGTCCTTACCGATCTTTCCTGCGTGAAACACGTTTGCGCCCGCTCTTCCCAGAGCCACAGACTGATTTGCGCCTAGTAAGTATACGGAGGGACGAAGGAGGTGAGCTCATTTGGAAATCAATTGGTTTACTAGTGCGTCCGCATGAGCGCAAATGCCAGATAGGTGCGACTTACCCTTTCCTCCGGCGCTAACGGTGTAAGAAGTGGACGAGATGGTCTATCAATTGAACAAACAATTGTATGCACAGCATCAAGCATCAGAATATTGTCGTTCACAAATTAGAAAGAATAGACGCTGCGGCCCTGTGCGTTCCTACCTCTCCAGATCGGACGATGTGAGGGACGACATAGAAATCATCTATCGTTGTTTGTCGTTCACAAGAAGGTTGGGCGTCAGCGTTTTAGGTTCTAACAACGAGAGCAAGCGAGCGATAGTTGTGTCCGTTGTGGTTGTGGCTCATGCATTGCGGTGAAGCGTATGTGTGCGTACCGATGTTGATGGATCCGTAGACGAGTACTTTTGCCTTGGTCGCTTCCATGTCGGTTTTCTTGTGTGTCCTGGTCTGTGTGTGCTGAATGAGTAAAAAAAAGAGAGAGAGAGAGAGTGAAGGAAGGTTGATCATTGCCCCACGATTCCTTTCTCTCTTACAGACGCGTGAGAAGAAAGTGGGGTCATGGTGACTGCTACCCCACACGCGCGAAAAATTAAAGACGCCCACTAGCTACTGCCTGTGGCGATAATACCGCGTATTAGGCTCACAACTTACGATGATGATACCTGAGTCTGGGCGCCGTTGTTTGATGTCAACATACAATGTCGAGTATAGACCAAGTTCGCTTTAAAGCAACGACCTTAGAGGCCGCCAATGAATCATTGGGTTATATATTTTTAAAAATTGAAAATGAACTTGTTCGAGAACCCCTACAGGGCATATAGTACTGGACTGCAGCTGAAAAGAAAGTCAAATGAAATACGACCCAAGATGACAACATCAACAACAGCAACAATAACAACACATTTGATGAGGAGGTAATCCTTGGGGATCTGTCCGAGAAAATGTGGACACTGACAGTGGATTTTATCAACAAACCAGTATAACATCGACAAGCATGTCCAGTTTAAGAAAACTCCCGGTGGTGGCGGGGACGACGAGGATGCAGGAGTCGACCCCGACATCGATGAGGAAGAGGACGAACAACCTTTCGACAACAGATACGTTCAACGCAACCATCAAACCTCTCTCGCCTTTTCTCCTCTGCCCAAATCTAAAATAACGAGCATATGACTTATTGGCGCGGCATCTATTTCCGATGGCTCCCATCATCACGTCGTCACAACAACCCTTTGTATCACTCTCAGAGCGAGAGCTTGGAGCGTTTTGCTGGACGCGAGGACCTTTAATGGACAGGATGATACATTTGACTACTCTGAATAACACTGCTTTCACTTCTATCAATGATCTCGATGAGTGGATATCAGGAAAAGAACCCGGCTTTCTTTTCAAAAACTTTATCGTCGAAGTTACCCCTCAAGGGCTTAGAGTCGTCAACGGAGGAAAGCATGACGCCGAGCCGCCGTCAAACTGTTGTCTTTGGATCAGATCCGGACTCACTTGAACGTTGTCAGGTATGAATGGCTCGACCCCGTTACCTATGTCGAGAAGGGATACGCCTTGAGAGGATCCATCATGACTGATGGCTTCCGCTTTCAGTTTCTTGCATTCAAGCTCCGAGAGCTTCGACGTGTTCGTTACCGAAGGCTGGACGACAGTCACTGGGCGACAACCGCTTGCCACCAAGATTGACGTCAACCGTTGGAGGGGTCGACTACTACCTCCAAGAGATCAGGAATGTCATCACCAGCAAGGAGGATATGGCAAGACTGTGGCCTGGAGTTCGACCGGAGGAGATTAAGATATTGACTTTGGGTGGAAGGCAAGCATGTGTTGTTGGTGCGTTTGGATATATTCCCGAGGAGTCGTGAGCGAATGGAAAAGGCAAGGAGGTTGACCGGACACATCCAACCATGGACGAGATCACCGCCACTTCTGACGAACCAACAGCATCCTCGATATCCTCAATCCCTCTTCTGTCCCCATCTCAGCGTACCCCCAGATCAACAATCAACAAACGCGCCAATGGTGTCGTCAAGGACGGTGTTTCACAATATGGCAATCAAACAAAAGGTAGTGTATCAACCAAGCATTCCGGTTCCGTCGGTGGCTCGAGGATGAAAAGCACGCTATACAGGAGGGAGAACAGGAAATAATCGCGAAAATTGAGGGCCGTCTGCCCACTCTCAAAGGCCAAGGCGCAAATGTCGTCGACTATGTTGCAAAACTGGAGAAGGTCGAACGTCGTTTGTTGGAGTTCTATAGTGGCCGTGATCAGTAGTACAAGCGCCACAAGTGGGACATGGAGCGAGCCCGTCACTACGAATACCAGCTGATCGCTGATCGTCTTCTAGGGATCGCCGGCGGAAGCATCGGACGTCCTCGAGATTCTTCGAACCCTGCATTGATTGGAGCGGGCCTGGCCAAGTTCTCGACTAGGAGTGAAGTGTCGTCCCTGTACGTTAATCTTCTCCTATTTCATCAAACTGGTAAGCATTGTGTAATGGCCATTGTCGGACACCCTTAACACAGTAACACATATACCAACATCTCAAACATCACTTTATTTTTTATAGTTCCGGTTGTTGGTTGAACGAATATTATACCAGCAAGAGGTATCCTCAGCTCATTGTCGCTCAGGTCACTCTCTGCCGCTTCTACTCGGGCCCGAGTGCCATGTGTACCATCATCGCGACGTTATGGCAGCCGAGAATATGGCGAACATTGTGAGAAGTTATCTGGAATGATAAGAGCGGCCTGAGAATCTACACCCCGTAGCCGTTGACAGCTCTCTCCCATGGACGGCAAAGGCCGGCGCTGGACCCACTACAAGTTCCACCACCGCCTCCTCCAGCAGCAACAAGGCATGGGACAAGACTTGGCGCATTAAACATTGCATATTAAGCTCGCTGTTGACGACGGTTTATTTTAGACTGGTGGAGCATAGAGAGGGCATGCGAACTGAAAAAAGAGGTGATTCAACGCTGTCTCCGCTTCAGCACCTCCTCTGTTGGCGATGATGGTGGCACGAGGGTTCGGATATCCTGTAGAGGGTTCGGCGAGATCTGTATCCTGATTCGACCTGTCCAGGACCTCTTTTGCGAAGGTGTGAGCATCATGTTGTTCTGGAACTTTTTCTCCGAGGCTGAGTGGGTTGTATCGCTTGACATTTTGACACCATTCGCCATCTTGGCCTTCTCTAACACGACATCATGACGCTCCTTTGCTCTCAACACCTTTTAACCTTGCTTCTCCAAATACGCCGAAGAGAGCAAGAGTAAACAGGCGTGGTTAGACGTGGTGTCAACCAAAAACAAAAACAAAAACAAATGGAAGCAAATGAAGGGCGCTTACCATAAAGTTCCACATGATGGCATGGGAGATGTCCTCCAAAAACGCCTCCAAGCCTCCAGCGCTTCGAGGTAGATGGACCATGGTCGAGGTCGTCTCCCCTGCAATCGCGATGTCGCCCATCGGCTTGACTTGGTAAAAGATCCCAACGAACCCTAGTTAGAGTGTCAGAAATAAACAAAACACCCAATAACACGATCTCAGAACAGACGACTATTAACCCCCTGTAGGACAATTCATATACCTGCGACATCAGCCATCATGACTAAGGCATCCTCTACCCGGAGAGCAACATGCGCCTCTTGGATGCATCGGGCCAACCTGACGTTCTTGCGATTTTGGAGAGCAAGATCTCGCTCCGTGCAGCCCGGCCTTTTAAACTCGATGTTCGAGATCTCCTAACCCTCGTACATGAAGAGGCAATCTACTTTTCGTCCGCTCTAGCTCACTTCATTGTACTCGGCTGCCTGTCGTTGCCGCATGACCTTCGACGCCTCCAACTCCTTCTCTCCACTAATAATCAATGAACTGGTTGCTGGTTAGAGCGCTATTCAGATTGTATATGTAGCGGTCCACTTACACCTCATCATATTGTAGCAACGTACGTGCGGAGGGTCACCTTGTCCACCATGACAGAGAAAATCGACGTCCACAACTGCAAACAGTCATTCTCTTATAAACTGGCAGCTAGAAAAATAATATTCGCATCGTTACTAAACGGTGTACATAAATCGCATCGGCAATGATGTTGTTCAATAAAATCATAATAATTACAGTAGGACTAGGATTTGTAGAGTCTTGTCTTCCAATTCAGCGCGTACTGGCAACTCCTCCAGATCCGCGTGCTCCTTGTGTATGGCTCCTCGGTCGATGATCAGGTTCTTCCTGAGACCTGCCACGCCTTTCTCTGCAAGGATTGAGCTATACTTTCGAGTGATGATGGTGCACTCGTACTCCTCGAATCCTTCAACGACACTCAACGCCTTCGCAGTCTCGACCAAACCCTCCTCATCCTTCTCCTCGAAGTGTTGGCAGGCTCTCTTTGACATGGTGTTCAGGACACACGACATGGCCACCCTATCGAAGTGCATGAATGCTCATCATTACATCAAAAACCCATGGGGGGGGGGGGGGGGGGGTACTGAGCGTCTTTGACAATAATGATATCTTTTTCTTGAGGACCCCGACGTTGGTATTCCTTCAACGACTCAGCGGCATGGTTAAAGAGCAGAGTATGCACAGGCAGCATATCTGGCAGCTGTTCCGGAAATGAGACATCTTTCTTGCCATTCGCTTACTGCTCACGTGTGTAGGATTAGCGCATTGGATACAAGGTGATGGATATTGATCACGATATATCAGCTACCGCTCATATTATCAAATTCTCTCCATGCTAGGACAGCTTCATTCTTATCATATCCATCAGCGAGATGGTTAGAGTGTGCCAAGGCTCTTCCGTGGCGCAAAGATGCTTTCTGCGCTTGTTGATGGTTGAAGTCGGTGTTGACGACATTGATACCTCCATAGCAAAGTCATGTAAAGAGCGGCCGATAATTGCATGATGCGTAAGTAGCCACGACTTTGAGAGCAAAGCAAGAAGTAAACGTTACTTACTAGCGCCACTGTCATCGGCTTTGCCCTGACCAGTGTTTCTTGTCTCCTGCACATTGGGTTGTTTTGCTGATGGTGCCTCCGGGCTGGGGCGGACGGCGCTGAGGTTGATTGTCCTTAGTTTTACCTCCCGTCCTACAATGATATCACGCTGCAACTCATCCAGGCAGTTCTCCTTGATGAGGACCGTGTTTTGGGATGTTCGAGTTTGAGCCTGACTTAGATTCACATGTGTTGAACCGCTGACTGATGCCAAGAACTCCAGTTGCTTAAGGCAGAAGGTTCGTATCGACCGGTGAACGAGTTTGTGAAATTCAATGGACCTGAGGCTGCTGGAGTAATTTTCAAAGTCTGATGGATATTAGCCCAGAAATGCTTCTACTGACCAACCGGAAACGATGTTGGCGGGGAAGAAGGGATGAACATCCAGGTTCGGGTGGCACTCGAAGCTATCAGGTCCGAAGTACAGAGGCTTGATACTCATAGTGTCAGGAATCTGTGTGTGAGCAGGAAAGAAAGAACAAAAAACGGGAGACGTAGACTACGAAATCGCTTTCATCGACAGTCATCCATGATACCCGTGCAAACAGAAAAGGCAAAAACAGAGGCAATTGAGGGAATGGAGCTGAGGCGCACACGATTCCCGCCATTCGGGCAGCAGAATCTGGCGACTTAATACTATACCTTGATGCACCCGCCATTCGGGCAGTGCACCTGGTCGACATCTCCTCCGCCATTCGGGCAGCAAGGAGCACCGAGATAGGACTTTAACGTCAATTAAGCGTCAACAAACGTCCAGCATACCTCTGCTAAGCCTGCATAGAATGGAGATTCTCAGACCATTCTTCTCACCGCTGGTGACAATGCAACCCGCGCAGGGATATCGTAGACGTTCCAATTAAGTTTGAGCTCCAGGCAACAATAGCAGCGGTGTAGTATTTTCGGTGACGTAATCCGCGCGCAAATCCCCTTTATGACTCTACTAGAAACCTTAATACTGTAGACACATGGATACAATGCTATATCATATCCCTTGTCCTTCTTATCCTTGTTCTCCTTGTCGTTCTATCTTCGTTCTGTTCACTTACACGTTCAACTTTTTGCATCAGCGTTCTCAACACCATCCATCGCCTCAAGACCTTTCATCCATTACCTCAAGCCTTTCATCCATTTCTTCACATTACCTTGCCTCGCTATCAGCGTAATCTCGGTCAAGTTCAAACCCGTCCATCGTCGTCGTCATTCCTCCTTCCATCTTCCTGCGGCCAGTGTCCTACCCTCATCTCGGTCTAACTATTCCTTGCAAGACCATATCATGAGTGACGCCATGTTTTCGCAGCCGAGACTCAGGCGAAAATGTCTCCTTACCATTGGCGGTCTTGTCCTGGTGAACATCATCGTCTGGATTCTAGCCGCGTTTGCTGCGAAGGCATATCCATCTCTTCTGGGTGCCATGGTTATAGCCTACACTCTTGGACTCCGACATGCCGTTGACGCGGATCACTTAGCTGCCATTGATAACGTCACCCGGAAGCTGATGTATCAAGGCTCGCTTAAGGCCCGAGAAAATGGACAGGATTCTTGGACGCCGCCCGTCTGTGTTGGACTGTTCTTCTCTCTTGGTCATTCTACAATTGTCATCATTGCCTCGGTCGCGTTGGCATGCACGGCGACGGCGATCAAGGACAAATTTGAGGCCTTTGGTGACACGGGGGGGATCATTGGCACATCAGTCTCAGCAGCCTTCTTGTTCCTGATCGGTTTCATCAACTTGTATGTGCTATTCCAAGTGGGGCAGGAACTACGAACAATTCATCGAACAGGCGAGTATCGGTACCGCGATCCCCTCGAGGAAATGATCAGGGCATCTCCCGATACCAGCTCTGCCGACGACAGCCACGGCGACGGTATCGTCAACGAGACCGACAACAAACACGCCAGCGAGACCGACAACAAACACGCCAGCGAGACGATTAAGCCCGAAGCTTCCCGATTCCAACCTGGTGGACTGTTTGCCCGTATATTCCGACCCTTGTTCAACTTGATCGATCGCAGCTGGAAAATGTACCCACTTGGGGTACTGTTTGGGCTAGGATTTGATACTGCGACAGAGGTGGGCTTATTAGGGATCGCGGCTACGAACGCGCAGGCTGGTTTCCCAACGTCTGTCATCCTCATCTTTCCTGCTCTGTTCACGGCCGGCATGAGCTTGATCGACACTTTGGATGGTATCATTATGGCGAAGGCTTACGGCTGGGCGTTTGTGAACCCAGTCAAAAAGCTTTGGTATAATTTCGTCGTGACACTCATGGGAGTCGTCGTGGCGTTTGTGGTCGGCATCGCGGAGCTGTTAGGATTGTTGGCGGAGAAACTCGACCTCGAGGGGCCTTTCTGGGATTTCTTTACCATGCTGAGCGATAACTTTGGCCTGATCGGATATGTGATTTTGGCCGCATTCATCTTCACTTGGGCTTTTGCAGTTCTATTCTACAAGTATGGGCCAATGAAGGATCTTGAAAGGAGGGTTGCAGAGTCAGGCACAGTATAAGAGCCTCATTAAGCTATTACATCAGCTTAATCTCGTCTTTTTTTTAATACAGTATATGTATTCCTGTGAAAGAATCGTAGAACTCGCCACCACTCCTAATGACACCACACATACTTGTGCTCCCTTGTACAATAAACGGCTATCGTTCTTGCACCTTTCATCTGTCCATCTTGTTCCCTCTCGACTCTTGTTCTTCCCTCGCATTCTTCTCCGTTGCCATTATAATCTTGCAGGATACACGACTTTATATGATAATTGTAAAGTAGGGAAGGAGTTAAAAAGAAACAAGGGGGAGGAGGAGGAGTACGAGAGGAGGGAAGATAGGTAGATCAAACTAAATGAACAACATCAAATGACAACATCAAAGGACTACATCAAACAACCACACCAAGGGATGCTGGACATTTACTTTGGATACTGCCGGATCTTGTATATCCAGAACTGATCACCCTCGTTTCGTTTCCATACCTCATAATTGCTCCGCAAGGTGTGTTATGTGTACTTGCGGATAAACCGTTTTGAAATAAGAACCGACAATATCCAATCTGCATAGTCTCTGTGGGAGTATTTGAACGTTTCCGCGAACTCAGACATTGTCGAGTTTCCGCAGCGCTCAATTCGCTTCTTCAGTCATTCAACCATTTCATTCGACACTTGAACGTGATGGATTTTTTGTAAATTTGGAGGAAGACCCTACTCGCAGTAATTTCATGGAACAGGTGAGATTTTAAGGCGTTTTAGTCATAATGATAAAATCTAGTCCTGGAACAACATGGCGGCTAATTCCGGGTTTGCTCGGTGACCATTGGTGACAGCCTCGACCATTCGCATCATTGCCTCGTTTGACCACACGAAATTGTGTTGAGGAGATGAGGACGATGGACCCACCGCTTCATCTTCCAAGGGCTGAGAAGGTTTGGACGACGCATCTCTTGTGACGTTCCTGAGTCCGCAACGGGCTGCCTGAGTCGGGTCCATAGACACACGGATAGACTGGAATTGCGCCAGTATAATGCGAAAGTGGTATGCACGGTAAAATTCAAAAGTAACTTCTCGGGCTGCATTCCTGTCCACATAGCTGTCGCTCCCTTCCTCTCCAACCTTTTCTTCCAACCCTGCAACGGTAACATGTGGGACACCCTCACAAGTTAAAAGAGACCTCGCATGCTCTCGCAAAACTCTGGTCTCCTGAACGAACCCGCTCACTTTGAGTTCTTGTCTGACTGGTTCGGGTGCAATCTTGAGAACGTGCTGAAAGACTCCCAAATTCTTCTCTAGGTATCGAAGGCGAAAGTTGAAAAGGAGCTCAGGCTCATTCTCCTCTGTCCATGCCGCCTTCTCTATGATTTCGTCGTAGTCATCGAAACCTTTCTTGTTGCCGCCGAGCTTGATCTGTGCGGACGAGTCGTCATTATCCGCTTTGGACACGAACTTAATTGGGAACGTACAATTTTTGTCCATGTCCAAAACGCGGACGAGAGGGTTGAGGATGGGTTCCAAAAAATCAAACGAAGCCTTGGTCTTGAAACGATCGTGGACGAAACCTCGGATGTTGTCCAGGTGAGCAAGAGTCGATGTCAGGATTGGGACGCAGTCAACCGAGACGAAATTTTCGGAGAACTCACGGATGGCAAGTCGTCGTTGTTGCCGCTTCTGTTCTCGTTGATCCTGGTCCCCAGATGCAAGGTACTCTTCGTAAACCCAATTGGACTTGAGATTACCTGGTGGTATCACCGTAACTAAAAAGCGAGTATTAAGGGAGGGAGTGTTTAGTTGGATGATAACGTTAGACCAAAACCTTGATGCGGGCACAGTAGTCTCCTGATCAGATTGTCGCCACATTACTGAAAAACGACAGCGATGCTAGTATTCTTTACCATCATAATAATATCCGACTGGATCTGGATTTCGACCTTGACGCTGACCCGAAGGAGCAGCATGGACCATGAAAGCCGTGGTCGCGAAGAGGACCAAGGAGGATAGAAGCAGGACTGGTTTCTTGGAGAAGTGCATCGTTAGTTCGCAGTGAGTAGATTGGGGATGATGTTGGATTCAATGCAATGAGATGAATGGATGAGGAGAAAGAATGAACAGATGCATTGTCCAATGAAGCGTTGGACGCTACTTTCGCTCCTTTGATCCGCAGTCGTTTCATGGGCAAGTTGCAACGCCTTCCCCTTCTCCGCCTACATGGATCCAAGGGAAGAGATGGTTGCACAAAGTAAATTTCAAGGGAACTGACAGAAAATTCGAGGGTACCTCAAGTCGCCGAAGCCTATGCAGACTTAGTAACCAACTGGTTTGTCACAGCCAAGCGTTCATTGCGACGTTGCTTTTTGATCCTCGATGTCGGCTCTTTCAATCCATGCTTCTGCACGGCTGTCTACTAAGGCGAACTAATTGGAATGTCACTTAAGGGGTCTATTCGTACTTGAATGTGGTCTGTGCTCACCTACAGCAGATTAAGTTCACTGGCAGTGAGGCCTTTAATGACCTGACGTTGTTCAAGTGAATGAGCACTGTGAACACCCCAACTTCTGCCAGCACCATAACGCCACGGATCTTCACGAAGTGACAGTGTATTGTCCCTTCGTCGTAAATGATCTGTATCAGTGGGACCATCGGGGCTCCTTCGTCCAATGCACTCTTTCCGAACCCGATAAGCCTCAGCCTCCATAGGTCCCATCCGTTGTTAGGCCTATCGCCTCTGTGGCTGCGACCAGTCACTTCGCCGAACTGGGCCTCCCTATCCTCAATCAAGACCTTGAAGTCCGGGCGGTCTGCCTTAAGTCCCTGCCTTTTCTGCGTGCTCGACTCTGTGTTTGGGATAACAAATGAACAATGTAACAGAACAATGGCTAGTAAAATCATACAAACTAAAAAGTAAATAGCCTAACAAAAACACAATAACTTACAAGTGTGTGTGAATATCATCGTCCACATGACGCATAAGTTCTTTAAGATGGGAGCAATGTTGTTGACCACCAGTGTTTCCTCGGACTGCATTTCCATTTCCTTGCGAGGCAGATTCATGATCCTAAAAGAGCCCGGCAGAAAAGGAACGATACAAGCAAATGGAAGAGAAAGAAAGAGTTAGCAAGTATGTCTCCAGAATTGTCAAAACAAAAACAAAAAAAACATTTACTGGAACGTACAGGTGCTCGAACAACATCCGCAATCGATAAATAAAATAGATACATAAATGGCAAAACATGCAATACGTTAGTTGACACGCCTGCAATTGTCAATGTACTCGATTGCAAGACTTCCTGTGTCACATTTTGTATGCGATACAGACGCGATGCTGGCGATAAGTTCGTTCAGCAGTATCGACACTGCCATCGCTACTGGAAGGATCTTGTCCATGCATAGCCTACATAAAGTTGAAAGAGCATATTTAATATCAAGGCTAGTTGTCAAAGAAACAATAAAATATCGCAACCCTCCTTAAGCGATGCTCTATCCGTACCTTCTCCTTTTTTTGAGGCAGACGTATCTGAGGTGGTATTTGGTGTTCCTCTACATTTGATTTCCTCTGTGCTTCCTCGCCTAGCTCTTCAAAACCTGAGCTCTCCTTGTTACCTTCTTCCTGGCGGTTAGGTCGATCCTTGTCTTCCTGCTGGTTAAGGCGATCCCAGTCTTTCTGTTGGTTTTGGTTAAGGCGATCTTTCTGCCGGGCAGCCTCCATTCCTAGTTAGATTTGGTTCCAAATACATATTAATCAAGAGTCGCCGGCCATATCAATGAATACTCATAATGATTCTTACAGAAGTGGTGTTGCGAATCCATAACGAGGTGGTTCTCTGCTGCTTGTAATCGCTTCTTCCCATCTGATTTTAAGTGGGCATTCCTTTTCCCAACCTCTTCTCGTGTGGTGACATTGGTCCAGACAGCCAGTCGATCCTGTTCCTTCGGGGTCCACTCTTTCGTCAGCCGAGAGCCTGTCTCTTGCAATTCCTGGAGGGGGCTGTTATTGAGCGCAGGAATCACCACATGCAGCCATTCGTTGGTAATCTCTCGGCGTTGATTGCTTGACGGCTGTACGGGTGTCAGGAACGCGACATGATCGAAGTCTTGCGGCTTATTCACGCCAAGTACTGAGCATGTGGGTGATGTTGAACGTAGGTACGCCAAACTGGGGATTTCTTGTGATTTGTTCATTGTAAAATGTGATAATTGAGATCTCAGATAGACAACCATGAGTGACATGTTCTACAAGTTCATATTGGCAGGGTATCCTCATCAAGCCAGGAAACCCTAGTTATCGCAGCCTGGCAGGTAGACACCCTACCGAAACGGCCAGAACGACATGGCCACTTCTCATTCTCACTGCGTAACGAACTGAGAAGCAGCTGGAAAAGCGCGTTGAAATCCAGCACCGTTTCCCCGGCGTCCCTGACGGCTTCTACCAGTCATGCGCAATGACCCTCCCCAAAAAAAAAATGACCTTGAATGGCTAACTTTTGGATTTACTATGTCGATTGAGTGAAGGAAAGGCGTGAGTGGGATTGCAGACGATATCATCCACATTCTGAGACGTGCGATGGTTGCGAATATTAACAACTGGAAGACATACCTGGCCTGGCGTGTATGAGCGAAGGAAGACTGTTGCCGCCGAAAGATGACAACTGGACGGACTGTAGACAGATAGGGTGGAAAAAGATAAAGTATTTGTGAATAACGAAGGGATGTTTGTGTGATGGTATAAGAGTACAAACAGGTCACCGAAGGCGGGCCACTCATGACGCGGGTTACTGCCTGGAGTGAAGCAAGGCTGAAGGAAATTACCTTTCGAGTGTGAGCAAGCTGGTGACTTCGAATGGCGAAATGGTCGACAGGGAGGCAAACGAGTGTGATATCAGAAAGATGAGTGAGTGTCAGCAGAGGAGCGAGTGAGAGGGTGAGTGGAGAGCGAACAAAGTAGAGCAAGAAAGGTAGGGAGAGTGATCGTAATATCTATCACCGTGGGAGATTTGTTCAAAAGATCAATATCTCTCTCTTTCAGGCGCTTGGGTGAAAGGCAGTTCAACATATACCCAGGCGGCTGGGTTGGGCGGGGTTGATTTCCGGTCGGTTTTGAATGGGCCGCTTACCGAGACAGTGCCACCGATGGACTTCTTCCCCCCTCTCATCGATGTTAGCTTTTGTTCTTACTAAATAACTGATAAAGATGTTCAATAACGAGAGTATGCTTCCATGCGGTTGATTTATTTATTTCCTCAAAAGAGCTACGATATGGGTGTGGCACGACGTGAGGGAGAAGGCGGGGCATCAGCCCCCTCAATGCGCATGTTAGGATGCACAACACGAACCTCTGCATTCTCTGGACTTAACTCATCCTCCCCAGCACCGCTCGCCAGAAGCAAGCAAGGCAAACAGCATCCCGAACAACAGAGCAAGATCGACAGCACCATGAACACTGGGATCAGCACCTCCGACGCCGAGTACGCATGTCCGTCCAGCTTGGCCGCCAACAGCCCCACGAGCGAGTACACAAGCGCCCCCAACACCGTAAATGTGCAAGCACTAGCCGTCATCAATGCGTGGCCTTGCTGACGCATCTCGGCATTCTGCATCCTCGAGAAGGTCCGGTATCCATTGATGTGCTGGATGATGTACTTGACGGCGACTAAGTAGAGAGGGATGAAGACAATTTGCCAAGAGCAGGTGATCTTGTCGTCAATGCGCAGCATGATCAGGACTGCCAGGACCAACCGAGTTACCTTCCACCATAACGCCTCAAACACCATCCCCAGCTTTGTTGATAACGGTGTTTCTAACGCAGATGCTGCCTTCAGCGCAATTGCTACTTGAACGAGCGCCTGTAAGAAGAAGAAGCCCTCCAAGACAAAGTAAGGCGCAAAGACTGTCGATGCTGAAATACTCGTCGGGTCATTGGCCTTTTTGACGATCAGCACTTGAAAGGCCGTGAAGAGGATCAGGTTGATGAGTCCAACAAACCCGCTCAAGAACCTCTCCCGCTTCTGTGTCGCTTTCTTTTGTCGTCGCCGTTCCTCACGGTCACCTCCAGCATTCGACGACGATCCCTCTCCATTTCCAGCATCGCGCTCGTCCTCATGGTCATCATGGTGGTAGTCATCTTCATCGTTATCGTCTGCCGAAGGTTGTATGAGCCGAGTAAGAGTCGCGAAGAAGAGGAATGCATCCATGATCCAGAGAGGGATAAAGACAATGGCATAGTTCCAGCTCACTTTACCATCGACGCGAAGCGACAGCAAGGCGAAAAAGATGATGATGAGCGTGAGCACGAAAGAGAGCGCTATGAAGAGTGTGCAGAGCAGACTCTCTATCTCGACCAGTCGCGCTCCAATCTCTGTCCCTGCCATCTGCACTCCCATCATCCCGTATCTGTCGTACACTTGGCGCTTCTTTGGGTCGCCTATTGTTTGTAGAAGGGAGCAAGCAAGAACAAGGTTAGGCAATTGCTCATTTTCCACACATGGCGTCTTCCACACGAGTGCACAGGCCAGCTCGGCGCTTTGTGGACATGTTCATCTTGCTTCACAGCTTGCCAAGACCATGCTGTCAAAAAACTTACTCAGGACCTCATAGGCAGCTGCAATATCTCGGAACTGCCAGGAGACGGAAGAGCATGGAAGGAGGGAAATGTAGGGATGAGGGAGGAGGCGGTACAAGGAAGATCGTCCATCAATATACATTCTTGGTAACCGTTTCTTGTGCCATACTTCGCGTCCTCATGGTCCATGCCACAAAACGTCGACTCGTGCTATTTCATATTTTCTTTCGTCGTGGTTGCCCCTCTCCCAAGTAATTTTTTTTTCGTTTGTTGTCGTTGCTCCTCTCCATGTTCATGATTGCTTTCTTTTGTCGTCGTTACCCCTTTCCATGTTCATGTTTTCTTTCTTTTGTTATCACTGTGCGTGTCTATGAGTAGTTTCTTTTAAGTCTTTGTCCTGTTTGCATGAGAAACAAAAGTAATTGAAGGTTGAAACAAACAAGGCTCTTCTGTTTCTCTCCTGTGTTTACCACTCAAACAACCATATTGGATTCATCAGTTTGATCATGTCCACGTACCCTCGTTTCATGGTCTGGGACCTCTGCTATGTTCACCTTGTCCGGATGGTACCGCAGCGCCAATCGTCTATTCACCACGATATGAAAGTCTGCGGGTTAGTTCAATGTTCATGAAGCAATGATGCCCTTCTTTCCTTTACACCCTTGGTTCCCAATAAACATACCGGTATGCCTTCTTGATCTCGTCTTGTGTGCTTGATTTAGGGATGCCAAGCGTCTCGTACAAGTGAACCGTATTGCGATCCATGGTCCTTGCTTGATATCAGTTCACAAGAGTAGCGGAAAAAGAGTTGGGGATATGCCTGCGTGTGGAAAGTGGCCAAAGAATGCGCGCGGCGTGCACACAAGAAAAAAGTCTGGGGAGGGACGGGATATCAGTTGAAATGGGATCTTTTAATAGGAGGGGCTGGGCTGGTAGGCTGGCTGATATTATGCCGAGGCTGTGAATATCAGGCGATGCTCGAGGGTACGACGAGGTGAAAAAGGAGGCAGGCGTCTTGGCGTGAGGGTTATGTACAAAGGTGATGGGTTGAGAGTGCTGAGGAAGAAGGGAGTGTGAATGAACTTTGTAAAGAGTGAGTAAAAAGTGAATGGCAGTAGCGGTTGTGGGGGGTTGGAGCGGAGGTTTGTGTCTGTGAAGGAAGGTTTGAATGAAAAGTAAAAGAGCAAAGACAAGGGAGGGCATTTCACGCACACTGAAGATGTCACCACAAACTTAAGGGTTCCATGTCCAATGGAAGCAAACCTTGCATACGACACAACCGCTGATCTTTTTTTTCATTTTTTTTCTTTTTTCATCACATCAAGCTCGCTCATTGGAACAACAACATCAACAACCATGGCTGCAAGGAACCCAGGAAAGGAATACTCTGAGTTCCAGGAACAGGACCTCGTCACTTCCCACAACGGTCAACAGGTCAACGCATTCGACATCTATTGCCCCGTTGACCAATGCCGTTGCAAGCTACTCCTTGCCAAAGCAGCCACTCTTGTCCAGCGTGAAAAGAGCAAGGTACTTTTTAAACACACCCCTTCAAAACCCTTTGGGGCACTAGAAAGGAGAATTGTCTCTGCGCAAAGGAAAGGAGTTGCGAAAAGGACATTACCCCTAACCCCTCTTAAACCCCTTTGCAAATTCTTAGCTGACGTTGCCACAGTTACCCCTCGCAGGCGCAACCGTCTCCACCATTGACGACCCCGAAGACACTGCCGATACTACCGCTACAGCACCACCAACAACGGAAGAAGAACTCACTAGCCCAACAACGCCAACAGCACCAGGGGAACTCCAAGCCTTCTGGAGAGTCGCCGATATGATGGCATTCGAGAACATTGGATTCAGCAAAATGCTCCCCAACGGCACCCAATTCCTCTCTTGTGCTGACTGTGACACGGGACCATTGGGCTACCACGAGTCCAAGGTGCCCCGGAACGAGAAGGAGTACCTTGTTGCCATCAACCGCGTCCGTTACCATGATCGATCTTAAGCAATATGACACTTTTGCCGATAGTGACAGGTTTATTATTGTTACTATTACTCCAACTACCACCATTACTACTATTACTACTACTACCCACATTTTCAAATGTCATTTTATATCAACTACAACAAACGCATAGAATAAAAGTAAGTGCCAGAACGGCCAAATTGAACCACACCGGGAGGACGATATACTGGAACGCGAGTACACCTAGGTCAGGCTAGTCATGGGCACGAGAGCGTAGGATACTCAGGATAGATTGATTGCACATGGTCAAACTCTGAAACGAATAGGCGTTGTAAAGTGAAAGGAGGCAATGGGTGTTCGCCATCTCATCTTCCAGCAAAAGAGTCGAAAGGTCCAATAGTGTAACATTAACAATACAATAAGCGCCATCTCAGGAGCTTATTCGCCACCAGCGAGTCAAGATGGATAGGCAGGCTGAATGAGACAGGGGTCCACGTTTTGTGGCAGAGTTTGGACTTGTGAGAGAGATGGGATGGGATGCGACAAGTCAGCTGTGACCACACACACATAAGAAAAACAAAGTCAGAAATGAATGCTGATAAATGGTGTCTGTTCGCAAAACTTTACAGAACAGGACAGACAGAGTACCCCAGACTTCCCCGTCCGACCCACACCACTCACGCTGCTTAACACACAGCTCATACTCTCTCACACTCTCTCATATGAAAAGGGAAAAAGTCGGTCGGCGATTTTTCACAATCCTCCTCTTCACCTGCAAGAAAACTGTTTTGTTTTTACTTTATGACCATTCCGTCGTTGAAACGAAAAAGAAAAACAAGCAAGATGCTGACAAAGACGGAATTCATCGTGTTCGTTATCATGATCCACGATCTATTTTATTTTTCTGCCTTTTTGTCCAAACCTCATTTATTATCATCCACCATGTCCTCCCTCGACAAGGTCACCCGCACACACACCATCGGGCGTGACATCCTTAGATCATGTTGTCTCAAGAGCAACCACATAGTAAAAGGTGAACAAATAGGAGGGTCACTTGGTCAAACCTTTTTGTCCAAATGGTCAGACCTGCTGATGTGCTTTGACTGCCAACAAACTATAATTGACATGATGCTCCTTTGCTTTGTACCATTTGATAAACAACCCCTTTTTTTGTCGCTGCTTTCTCGATAAACGATGGGAGGGAAAACGTTGTCTTGATTGCATTTAGTGTCGATTGGGCCTCAGGAATCCGATGAAAGAGAGGCTGAATATCAGCGCCCTATCGTTATTTGTTTTTTTTTGTTTATCTTGTTGTATGAATGGACCTTTTCCAACCATCGGCCTCTTACCTATTATTATTGGTGCATGGCCAATATTTGTGTTTGTATACATACAACAAGGCACAGGCATGCATGGGGTTGTTGATTGTCGGTCAGGTCTAGTCAGGGTCAGGGCCGGTGTTGTTCTTATTGTTGTTGACGAGCATCAAATGCGAAAGATGAGAGTATAGCAGTAAGGGGATGATCACCCGCCAAAATAAACGGACCTCGGGTCCTTGCCGTTCCTTACTATCCATCCACTCGTCCCATCCCATCCAGGGATACATTCAAACAGCAAAACAAAAGAGTTTGGAATGGGGGCAGAGGAGTAACTAACACTTTGACCATGCCCCTACCACCAGCATACACCTGTCAACTCTGTACCTGAATCACACGTTCTTCCCCCCTTCGTCACTCCTCACCCCCCTTCCTTGCTTCGTTCGTCGTTCATCGTTCATTGTTCAAGTGGCCCGGCCTTGTTCATCCCTTTTTCTCGGTCGACTTTTCTGTTTCCTTTAAAGACCCTGACCCACCTCGCACACTTTTTCCTCTTCCTTTTTTTTCTCCCTCTTCGTTCTCCTTATCCCTTATCCCTTTTCCGTTTTCTTTATTCTTCGTTTCTCTTTTTTTCCCTTACGCTTTTGCATCCTTCCCTTCACTCCCTCATTCCATCATCCATCCTCCCCTTACGTCTTTGTCATCCGCCACCCTTCCTTCCTTCTTTCTTTCTTTCCTTCGTAGCTATTTTGCCGGCCCCTTCCTTCTTACGATTCTGCCTAATAACCCGTTTTTCTTTTCCCCTTTTAAAGACCCAACACTTTCAAAGCTTCTCTACACCAGCCACCCCTACTACACCCGTCCTTCCATCCTTACCCCTCAACCACCGTTCTGTAACTCAACTCGACCGCACTTTTAGTCCGCCTACCTGCTTACCTCTCCTTTCTCATAACGACCCCAATCCCCAGTTTGGCCATCCATTTATACCCAACCTTCTGAAAGATACTCCTTCCTTTTCTTTATACCCTTTGATTCCAAACTTCAAGCCAACTACAATTCCCCACTCAACAACAACACAACAACAACTTTACGACCAACAACAACAACAACAACAACAACAACAACAACAACATGTCCGCTACCGTTAAAGCCTGGCACCGTGACGATTGCCGTCGCCTCTCGATCGATATTGAACAGATCCAATACCAAGACCTCAAGAAGAAGGTACCCCTCTACGTCCTACACACCCCTACCACCCACTAACTCAATAACAGGAACTGAACCTAACCACTCTTTCCAATCCTTAACCAAACACCAAAACCTCAACAGCTCCAAAACACATTCCAGCTCGATAACGAGTTTACGGTCAAATACGCAGACATGGACGGTGACCTCTGCACCATCGCGGGTACCGAAGAGTTTGAAGACATGATCAACTCGGATTTCGTCAAGGAAAGGAAGGCTACCTTGAGACTTCAGGTCATTCCTAATTCTCGACGACCCAGTATCCTGCATCGACGCGAGTCTTCTGACCTATCAGGTACCTCGACCCTTGGTGCGTTTTTTTGTCCTTTTTTTTTGCTTGTTTTGTTTTACCATGTTTTGAAGGTGGATGTGGCGGGATATGGGTGGAAATTTCTCACGTTGGTGTTCGTTGGTCCTTGTGCTCCACGCCCCGCCCTTTCGTGCGCTTTTTTTTCTTTTATTGACGTCAAATTCGCCCTTTCTTATGCTTGTGTTGAACACATGCGCACACATGTGTTCATTTCATGCACCCTCCTTTGCGCACAAGGCCCAAATGCCTTTCCTCTATGCTCACTCTTTTCTTCCCCCCTGGCTTCGCTTTTTTTCAAATCAAAGCGCTAACCCCAAAATGAGCACACCCCCTAACCATCCAAATTTTTCATTCCTCCTTGTTTTCTTCCCTACCAGTAGGAGATTCGAAGGGAAGCAGCAGAGGACCATTCGACAGCGAATATGCAGACTCGGACATGCTCGAGATCCTCCGTGATATCAGTCTTTTCATCTGTGCCAGGGGGATGGATCGTCACGGCTCTGAAAATGGTTCGTTCACTTCTCCCTCTTTCCTTTCGGCTAACCACCACTTTTCACCGCTTGAACGAATGTCATAACTCATCTTATTTGTAACCTGTTTGTCTTGTTTTGATGTTGTGTCTAGCAGAGAGTGCATTGGCTGATCTGCCACCCGGTGCGTCGTCTTGGGTTTCTGCTGGCAAGAACCTCATCAGTAAGTTTTGCCACCAAAACAATTCCTTCTATTTGTGTTTGATCCCCCTCGCGACCCCATTGGCTCCTTCGTGTCCTCCACACTCACCCACTAACAAACGCGTTCCCCTCCACATCTTTGTTGTCTGTAATAACAAATAGCACCGACATCGGCACAGAACTTCCAACGCCTGAACTATGCCCGCGCTGCCCGGGCAAAGTTCCCAGCCTCCAATGGTACCGACCGTAAGTTTTTTTTGCCCTTCCCTCGCACTCTCCATCCTCCCACTTCCTTTTCACATATGCTGCACTCAAACATCACCCAAACATCTCTTCCCTTCTTGGATATGGAACAAAAAATTAGTGCTGAACGGCCTGGATACACATGTGTACAACTGGACGGTCGAAACAACAGCCCAATGGCTCATTACAAACGGATACGAAGACAGCGTCCAATCCTTCAAAGGTAACACCTCCTCCCATCCTCTCACTTTCTCTACCCCCCACCCCCCTTTCATTTCTTCCTACCTCCAACACAGAGCCCGTTTGCTACACCCATCCTAACCCCCTTCTTTTCCTTACCCACCTATAATAGAGAACGACATTACAGGAGACGTGCTACTGGACCTGACACACGACACACTAAAGGACATGGGTATGTCATCCACAGGCAGAAGAATCCGTCTCCTAAAGATGATCGCCGAGCTCCGCATGCACGTCGCAGACCTCACCCTCCAAGAGGCCACCGACGAAGTCCAGGCCCTAGAAGGCCTCTCCCTCAACTAGAATCCAACAACAACGAGGCGAGATCAAAAACAGACCATGATGAGGATGGAAGATCAAGGAAGGGAGGAGACGTGTTAAATATACCTTGAAAAATATGTACTGCTTTCTTTACGAACATAAATGGAATGACATAAAAAAAAAAGGGAGCATAGCACTTTTCAGAGAGGTGCATGCGAAACCCCAGAATAATGAACGACAAAAAAGAAACAAGAATAAAATGAACGCCATACACCACCATTAATTCTCAAAAAAAAAAAAAAAAAAGGACTCTATATTATTCTGCGACTAAACATAAGCATAAATGAGAATCATACAGAAGGAGTAGCCCTACGCCGGGCAAGACAGTAATCTCCCCAGACTTTTGTTTGCCCCCTCGTCAGTGCAACAGTGATTTTGTCCGGGATCCAGAACGCACGGATCAATGGGTGTCGCCCAGCTCCGACAGTAGTATCCAGGAACTTTGTGCAATACAGCCGTTCCCAGTTCTCCTTGTCCTGCAGGTACCGTGGTTCAATGAGATCTGCAGTCGTAGAGTCTTCCTTGTCCGTGTACCGGCCACTGTAATCCAGATCCACCAAATACTGACATTGCTCCAACGGTGTCTACAAGTGCATGGAGAGTAAATACAAATAGCATTAGAACTTGACAATGATCGAAAAAAGTGCGTCAGAAACATCATAAGTGTCTTTGGTTTGAGCTGAAACTTACATAGTGCTCCTGAACTTCCTTGTTCTCGTTGTTCATCAAAAGAGGGATGTGCGAAGTGCCAGGACGTCTGTCTGCACTCCAGCGCCAGTCAATCCTGAACGGCCGATGCGTCTTTCCAGCATTAGCAGAAGGATGTGCCTCCAAAGGTGGCAGCTCTCCAGATGCATTGGCAGACTCCAAGAACTCGCCAGGCAAAAGTCCGTCAAAATGACTCTTGATCAGTCCTAACTTGGCGCCCTCGGGCAAAAAGTAGTGCGAGGGAAACCGGTACCATTCCTTGCCAACACAAACACGAACGACCTCTGGCTTCTTGGATGCCTCAACATTGACACTTCCGTCCTCTGAAGTAGCTAAAGTAGCTGCTGCTGCTGCAACAACAGTGGGGTCAACAGCGCCTCCGATAACAATAGGTCCTGGAACCTTGACTAGATCGAACGCCTTCCTGTACACGTCAATAGGTGCCGAGTAATGTTCATGAAGCGCCAAGATCCTGGAAATTGAAAGTGCTGCTGCTGCAATCAACACAACCCAAACCAATCCTGCCGAGTACTTGTGAATCGCCGCCGTCTACACACAAAATATAATATTATAAGTTACAATGTATTTCACCCATAACAAAAATAAGCAACACAAGAAAACTATAGAAGAGGAAGCATACCTTGGAGCGGGTGACGAAGCGGTCGAGGCCACGCTGGACCAGCTTCTGGACCATGAAAAGGGTCATGCATGCGTTGAAACAGATCAGAGGGTAGACAACAAACAGGAAGCGCTCCTCCTTGTGTGGCTGCGCGGTGAAGATGGCGAACCAGAGGTAAAATGGCGACAGCTTCAACGAGAACAACAGCAGTAGGTCCTTGATCTCTCCTGGACTGTTGGGTGAGTTGGGAAGCGCATCCGGAATGGCATAATATGTCACCAACTATGTCAAACAAGCAAGAAGATTTAGGCAACTTCAATTAGCACAGTAATTCAACAAGCAAAAAAGACATCAAGAGGTGCGTGTGTGTGATGCTTACGAGGGCGGGTAGGGACACCAAGGCAGCGATAAAGAGGACGTTAAAGTTCAAGATCCCGTTAAGAATGTAAAACCACCATGGTTCCGTGCCAAAGATGTCAGGCCCAACATCACCGCCAAAGACGTTGTACAACACGATGTTGAGAGGGACAACGACCAGCTTTTTGTAGTAATAACGGTCGATGACAATGATGGGGATCTAGTTTGATGCATCCCACACGCAATAACGAGGTTAGGGCATCATTCCTCAGCCGAAAAGTACAAGATTGCAGCTGTGTGTCGAGTTCTTGCCAAGCCCACACAGAGAAAGGTCCACGGGCAAAACATGAAATCTCCCGTTCTTTCACATGCACGGTAAATAGAACTCATCAAGAAATCCCGTACGTACCAGGACACATCCCAGGACTGCAATGGCAGATGTTACCAGACGAAGAAACCGGATCCTGCGCCAATCTCTGAACCTGACAGTCTTCTTCTTGCTCTGGTTGCGACTGTGGATCAAGAGTTCCTCCAGAGCAAAGGGCAAGCCCACGGCTGCCGAGAATGGCCAGCCCAACAATCCGCCTAGGCCGACCCAGAAAATAGCCCAGAATGTCCGCTTTGCTGAATGTTGGCGTGGCGGTTGAAGCATCTGGCTGAAGAACAGCATTGTCGTGTACATTGCAAACGTTGACGGCAAGAATGCTACAAGGGGTTGGTTACAAAGCAGAGTAAAAACATAATTAGGTACAAATCATCAAGGTATTTGAACACGTCTCCTCTGTCTCCTCGACTCCTCGACTCCTTGTGTCCATGATCTCATGCCTGCTGTGTCAATTACCGTTAGAAGCGATCCAAGTTCCTGCGCTGGTGATAAGTGCCAAGAGGAGATACCGTCCTATCCTTGGGTCCACCTCGTCTACGACAGCTCGGTATAATGTAGCCTCACAATGAGCAGAGACAGCGCCCAGAATGATGCGAATAATAAAGAACACTTGAAGCTATGAGAGGATTGAGATGAACGTTCATATAAACATGTCAGTTCAATTGGTCCAATTGGTCCAATTATTAACGAAGACAACAAGGACAACAACAACAACGAATGTGAATGCATAAGCCAATAAAAGAGACTCACGCGATTGGCACTCAGGGCAAGACGGGTGATCTCCGCGGTAAGGGCGTGAAGGAGAATGTACGCCCAACTCCTGATAGCATACAGGGGAGAGTACTCCCACGTCTCAAGTCCTGACCCGTACTGGAGATAATGCATTGGCTCCCAAAAGTTGAACACTTCGTCACAGTCCGAAATATTCGAGTACGTCGCTGCCAGCGCCCTCACGAGAAAGATAGTCTTGAAGGCCACCGAGTACGACGGACAATATGGCTGCACCGCGTTCCTATACCAAGTTAGTCGTGAAAGAGAGACATTGATTAGCAAACTGGACAAAAGTTGTTGATGAACAAGCACACGCGCACCAAAACAACAAAAACACACAAAAGTGTCGAAGTACCTCCAGCGCGAGAATTCGTCCAGTTGTTCAGTTCGATCAGAACTCGAATCGCTCCCACTGTTGTCGGCACTGTCCTCAAACTCGCCCATCTTTGAGTCTGTCCGAGTCCGGTGTCCATTTGTCAGATCGTGACCATTGCTGTTGCTGGTTGTGGTGTTGCGTTGTTTGAGTGTTTGCTTTAGGGAAGTAGCAGTTGTGGTTGCAGTTGTGGTTGCAGTGTTGCTGCTACTGTTTGAGTTGGTGAAGCGGACGGATGAGGTTGTCACGGCATTCGCCTGTTCTGATCCCCCTGCTTCTCGACTTGAGGGTGCTGGTGATGTTGGTGTAGGTGGTGCCTGTGTTGTTGGAGCCTGTGTCTTTTTCGGCATTCTTGGCATGAGTATGACAGTTAAAGAAAGAAGAGGATGTCGTGTGTTTGTTGCTACGAGTAAGGAGGGTAAAGAAGTGCGGAAATGGGGCCAACTAAGGGGGTGCAGACGTGGAAGGTAGCAGTTGTATGTTGAAGTAGGGGTTGGTTGGTTGGTCGTCAAAAGAAGGGAGTGAATAAAGAAAAGAAGAAAGGAAAGGGAGTGTCGTTCAGTCCGGTAAAAAAGGTCGTGTTCCTTGTGTCTCTGTTACTTTGCGTGGAGTGGAAAATAACGACGAGGGAAATTGGCGTGTGGAGGGAGAGGAAGGTGGTCTTGATGCGGAGAGGGGGTGGAGACAAAGAACAAGAAAAGTCAACAATAATGCTGTTTTCGATCTCCCACACTTTGTCTATCATACACCACAAGCAAAACAATCAACAAATGAGCATCCACCAACACACACACACACACACAACACTTGGATATCGTAACCTGCATCGCTGTGAACCTTGGACCAATGTGTATCAGCCAGCCAGGCTATATGCTATTATTCTTCACTTTTGTGAGCAAAGCCAGAATGAACTCTGAGAGCTTTTATTACTATCTTCTCCCGATTGAACCTTGTCCACCCCTCGCATTCTTTCTCACTCCCATGTGAACTCGGAGTATTTTCCTCGACAAGACGCACTACAACAACGATGGTCAAGGCTGTTCTTGGTGGCGATACTTGCAAGGGTATAACCCGGTATTCCGGAAAGTATTGTGTACTTGTCGCCTGCAGTTTTATTACGAGTCGCCCCGTTTTTGTTGCCCTTTGCTCCTATCACAGCATCCCAGCAACGGCTATCTCAATTGCTATATGAATTGCTCAATAAGAGCCGTCCCGAGATACATAGAAGTGAAGGAGGCGAATGGAGGGTCGGAGAAGACTGGCCGAGGTCAAGCTCCACGATCACGCAGAAGAGAAGGATGCCGAAGAGCTGGGGAAACGAGTGTGTTCAAAAAGGGAGAGAAGGAACGAAGGAAAGACAAACAACACAGACCTGCACTCCAACACTCCAACAAAGAAACACGACAAAGGGACTAAGCAAGAAAAACAATGAAAGAGAAAAGACGAGATTGAGAACCCTTGGATGCCATGCGCGCAGATTGAAGCACCGATTACGACAGCAACCGCACCTGCTACCACCAAAAGCACCCGCTCTCCGCGCAAGAAGCACAAGATGGAATACATCACAGAGGAGTCGTGGTGCTCCTGCTGATCATCCTCCAGCAAATTTTAAGTGCCTTGGAGAAGCGTAAGGTCATAAGGAACAGCAGTTTCCAGCATCGAAATGTACGGGGACTTACATTTGTTGCATGTGTAATCTCATATGTCTGTGATCAACGGTGAACAGAGCGTTGCGTTTCCTATAGAGATGCTCTCTGTTCACAAGCTGTTGTTTGACCACGTAGTTAATACAAGGAAGAACTGCTTAGCCCTGCCCATCGACGCGCAAGATGTACTTCTGCCGAAGGATGCGCAGTAAGGCAACGTTTTTATTGTGAGATTGCTGAGTAGAATCTTGTATCTGCTCTAACCTATGCTTGTTTTCCTATCACACACACTTGGTGGGTGGTCAATGTCCTGCGTCCTGAACACGATATCGAGTCGTGTGAACGCATTATTTGCGGAGTGAGATGAGGAGGAGCTTTCCGTTGCCGCCAAAGATTACTGCCTGGCGGAGGATTTGAAGAACATGCATGCAACACGATCCTTGTCGAATATCTGCCTGTCTTGCGCGAGAAGGTGGTCGAGTACCAATGGAGGCCACCTCGTCGAGATCCTGATCATGAAGGTCTCAACCGAAAGACGCGACGGCGGCGGCGGTGGCGGTAGGCACAACACATAACAATGACAAGGACAGACACATAGAATAGGTAGGTTAGAAGCAGAGTTAAATGTCACAAAAAACGCGCACAATACCAAGTCTGGAACTCCATTCTTTCTCCATGCTTTTGACCCAATTTCTGAAGAAAGTGGACTTTTGGATAGCTAGACACGCACACCAGCCTTAACCAGACCCACAACCTTAGGGTTTTAACCACTGGCCCAACTACCCTATAACCCACAAAAAGTGACCATTCTTGTCCCAGAATATAATCGACTGATGCCTAGAACACCTTGGTTCAATGGATGTCCGCTAGTCGGATAGGCGAGAGAACAAAAAGAGATACACCACTGACGGTAAATGCTGCATGCAAGACGTGGGAGAAAAAGACAAAAAAAGTGACCAAGAATTCGACTCGTTTTAAATAAAGCGTCAACCTAGCCAGGATGGGGTTCCGGAGGACACAAGTAAAAGAAACATAAAAAATGTGAGTGTAATTAAGAAAACGGAATGTTGACGATTCTCCAAAGAAACCTCTGGTCAATCTCTGCTAAGCATGACCAGAGATAGGAGTACAGTGTTGACTATGGCGATGAAAGTCGATACCACAAGTGAAGCCCTAACATTAGCGGACTTCCCAAGGGTTGCATAAACTTATGCCGTCGACGGAACATGGCCAACTCCATAAACATTATAGACCCGTCTTTATGAGAGGCATGTTTATGGAGCCGTCAGCACTTCCCTCGTCAACACATGAGTAGGAGAACCTCGGGTCAATCTCTGCTAAGCATGACCAAAAGTAGGAATACAGTGATGACTATGGCGATGTAGGTCGATACCACAAGTGAAGCCCTAACATTAGCGGACTTCCCAAGGGTTGCATGTAACTTATGCTGTCGGCGGAACATGGCCAGCTCCATAAACACTATCGGCCCGTCTTCATGAGAGGCATGTTTATGGAGCCGTCAAAACCTTCCTTCTCATGTCCGCATTGAATTGCATTGCAAGTAGATGTCAACTTACTGCGAAAGATGTGATGAAATGGGCGCGATGAAGATGAAGGGGAGTGTGGTGAAAAGTGCGAGTGATGAGAAGGGCGCGCAATGAGGACAAAGGCGTGGAAGTGGTGGCAAAAGTGGGAGGGCGTGGGAGAGGAGAAATGGGCGCATTACATCACCAAAGACACAACTGAGCCACTAATCAGCAATCCTCACCTTGTCGTTTGATTGCTACACCTAATATACTTCGTGCCTTGGGTTCACTCTTGGCTTTGAGTCCGTCACGCTTGAGATCCTTTGCCGGCTTCTCCGCCCCGGCTGCGACCTGCATCGATCATGTTGCTCCCACCATCCTCAATCCATGGATAACGACCTTCGTCATCAACTGGTTGCAAGTACAACAGTCTTCTCTGCGTCAATAGATGGGTCTTTATGGTACTGCACATGTTGTGGGTTGCCATCAAGTCGCGGTGCATAAACGTTTAACATGTCTGACAATACTCTCCCCATGTCGGACATTTCTTGCTTGTGTAGTACTAATTAACCCTGGCAACAATATAGCCTAGAGATCGGGCCTACAAGTGAACTGGAGACGACAAAAGAATGACAATAAATATATCCTGGAAGGGTCAAGGTCAAGAGGGGACACGACATGGCATAGATGGAAGGGTAAAACACAGCCAAATGGGAAACGGGACAGGGATATGGGAGCAATGCTTGTTTTATTATTAGTGTATGGTTTGGATGTAGACGGTTGGTATGCTGTATGGTGTGCTGTCTATTGTCTTCCTGTCCTCTGTCCTGTGTGTTCCTTTGTGAATCAAGAAGGACATTACTCGACGATGCCAAAATAGATGATCACAAGGTTCTCCGAGCCAGTGTTCCTAGATCATCAGCACACAAACAGACACAATGAAGACGAATGCATTAGCTTCTGTCTTTCTCTCGCTCAAGCACTTGTCCTTCTCACTCTTACTTTCTTCATCCTCATCAGCTACATCATTGCAGTTTGTACCTGATCTCATGCTTCTCGCCGGGGTAGACAGTGACGGTGACACCGGCCTTGATCTCGAATGTCTTGTCATCAACTTCCATCTCTCCAGTGCCGGCCTGAAAGTGGAATGCTACATATGGTAAAGAAGGACAACAAAAATAACCGTTAGAATAGTAATTTGAGGGATTAATGCACGCTCGGTGCTCCCTTTGCTTCCTCTGTAAGCAATCGACTTACTCTCGGTCATGTCCTTGTGGGAGTGCTTGGTAGCCTGCTCGCCTGGCTTGAGAGTGGCAACGGCCAATTGGGTGACATGGGGCACTTCTCCGTTCTTGAGCAACACCTTCTTCTCGACGGTCGAGTCATGTGAGATGTATGCCACAGGCAGCGAGTCCAAAGTTGTGGCCTTCATATTGTGTCTTGAGTTTGTTTTGTTGTTGAGAGGGGAGGGAAGAGTGCGTTTATGAGACAGGAGTGGAGACAAGAAGCGAAAGGTTCTTTCACTTCGCAGTTCGGGAAATCGCAAGTCATTTTATTTTCGGACATTGATTGATGTGCGATACCCTTTGAGCAGAAATGAAATATCCATCCCTATTTAGTGAAGCTTGTCCGGACACTATGAGAAAAGGCACCATACCCATTGGGAATGAGCTCACACATACGGCGTCAAGTAGCATGTCAAGACGCCATTATATGAAAGGTATACCACAGCGATGATGTCGATTGACCTATGGCGTATTCAAACTGCGCAAGAAGAATGGTGAACAAAAGGATGAGTAGAAAAGGCATCGCCCAATATGAACTATCAAGGGCCACAATTGTGACCTCTTATCCAAAAGAAAGAAGAAAAAAAAAGGTCCAAGAGAGCATTTGCCACACTCTGTCATACCTTCTCACTCCGCCCATCGAAGTCCCTAGAAGAACACAGAACGAACACTCCCCTCTATACCCATCGCAGCAACACAGTCGATAACTCAAACACAAATACACACACAGACCTACAAACCTGGCGCCCCCAGTGCCATACCCTGTCCGCCCTATTTACTTCGACCGACAGATCGTGAGTCATTGTTGGACAGGTGCTCCTATTTCTGGGCTCGCTACGAAAAAAGGAGGTTTTGAAAATGCAAAATGTACGCCTCCGATTCTCTGGCCGTGTACAGCAAAGACAGGGCTTCGATTGAATTACAGCACAAGGTAAACAATGCCTCGTTGTCCTCTATGCTTGATCGATGACAAGGATATGTTAACGGCAGGTAAGTGCTCAGCCAAGCCGGAGACGGAGATGACTCCCGCGACAGGTTCGATTGGACGGTGTAGTTGAACATATAGGAGAAGAGAAAGAATGAGGAGTTGTTTTTTGGGCCAGGGTGAACTGGTACCAACGACATTTTTTTTCATAATGTTTAGTGCGATCACTGCGGCGCATCCCGACTCGCGCTTAAAAAGAACCGACAATGGGGGCCGTTTACCCACCCACATCACATCCAAAAAAATCATTGTTGTCACACCTTCTCTTAAAGAATAGAATAGACTCCCTTCCTTTTCTTTTCTTCTCTTTCCACGCTCCCACCTGCACACACAACAAACAGTCATTCAACAACAACAGCAACAACAACAACAACAACAACAACAACCTCAAACCGCCATGCTGAAGAAGGACGAGCTCAAGAACGGAAACAGATCCGCAGAGGCCTCATTACAACCCTCAACAACAGCCTCAACAACAACATCACCAACAGTTGACTCATTAGGTGACAAACTCAATGCCATCAACCTCACCACTATCGCTTCCTCGTCACTACCTTTGAAAGGAGCAACTGCAACTGCTCCCACTGCCTCTGTTATTGCACCCATCGATGACTTTGACATGAACGATATGGACGATCCCTTGGCGGGCTTTGAGGCCCAGCGAAGTGGTATTAAGGATATCTCTCTCAAGGTAACACATCCCTTTTGTTACTGTTTTACGAGGCATCGACAGAGGGGGGGGGGGGAAGGGAGTGGTGCGACGACAAGCGTGGATGCTCTATTGTTTGGCAACCTCTTTTCTTGTTCTTGACAAGTGGCCAGGACTGACAACTGTAGCTACGCGGCTGTCGTTGCTGTATCCGCGAACCAAGCAAGGATGACGAAGGTGACAACGTGGGAGTGCGTGACCGGCTGTTGAATGGAGCAAAATGACAGGAGGGCTCACTAACTTGGAGTGCCGAGACTAGCGAAGGGTGATTGATTGTTATCATGCAATCTGGGTCTCTCATCTGACAGAAAACCTTACTTGATTTGCCCTGGGAAGGTTATCAAAAGAGGAGTACCCAATCGACACAGGGTGGAAACTGTAGACATACGACATATATAAGTTATAATTTGCTCCGCACAATCACAACACTGACACCATCCGGCTATTTATCTGTCGTGCTGTTGGTGATGGATAGGAGCAATTCCTGAGCCCTACCGATGACAATATCGAGTCCCTCCAGACCCTCTTGGCTGCCCGGATACGTGAGGGGTCTGGCGAGGCCCTTTTTGAGATCGGTGTTGAAGGTAGATATCTCCTTCCAGAACAATGATGCAGTGCTTGTGCAATCAATTGTCTTGAACCCCAAGTGTCATGGCCATGTCATGGTTGCTGATCATTCTCCGACTCGGCATAACTGAAAATAGAGGATGGCACACCCATGAAGTTGTCAGACGCAGAGTACGAAACCGCCCTCGCCACGGTCAAGACCGCTGCTGCTGCTGTTGGAGCTGAGGTGGCTATCATGTACGAGAGAAACGCCGGTCTACCGACTGGAGCCTCTGTTGTTCCCGGGTCCAAGGATAAGGAAGACAAGGATGCCGCTATTGCAGCTGAGCCTTCAATAGCACCAATCGCGGATGTTATTGATCAGCCCACCTATAAGTCCTCTTATGTCATGATCCGGAAGACGCCCAAGTCTGTTGAAGAGCTACTGGAGCTCCGAGTGGCCGTTGTCGGAAATGTCGTAAGTGATAGTTCCGCTACGATTGGAGTCATCTAGGAGGCTGGCAGATCCTTGCATTTTCTGTTATATCCATGACTAATCTCGTTATTCTTTTCTGCCGTTTTGTTGCTTTGTTTACGCAAGGATGCTGGAAAGGTATGAATTATTTCCCTCTTTGCTGTTGAGAATTGTACGGCATGGCCAATGGCGGAGCAATAAGGAAGCGATTTAACCGAAATCCTTTATTTTTCTCACGATTTATAGTCCACCTTGTTGGGAGTACTAACAAAAGGTGTTCTCGATGACGGACGTGGAAAGGCTCGTGTTAACCTCTTCCGGTAAGATGACCTTTTCGTTTCTGGACATGTTCTTTATCAAGGAAGGACAAACCTTTCTCCAGGAGATCATACTGACTCATACATTACGCCCCATGATCTGCATAGACACAAGCATGAGATCGATTCGGGACGCACGTCGTCGGTCGGCATGGAGATCTTGGGTTTCGACGCCAAATCAGTTCCCGTCCCCACCATGTCTCACGGGAGGAACGCTCCTTGGGATGAGATCTGCGGAAAGGCTGCTAAAGTAATTATTTATGTTGCACAATGTGCACAATGTGCTCAAGTAGATGGGTTTGTTTTATCGTATCTAACCTAGAAAACACAATATGGTACATTAGGTCCTCTCATTCATCGATCTTGCCGGACACGAGCGTTATCTCAAGGTAAAACCAGGACCTCATGTTGCTACCAGGTATCTATGATGTATCCCTGAGAGACCTCGATAACTGACCATCAAATATCCTGACCATGAATACATGTAGACTACCGTGTTCGGAATGACGGGATGTGCACCCGACTTTGTTATGCTTATGATCGGCTCTAACGCAGGAATTGTCGGCATGACCAAGGAGCATCTTGGCCTGTCATTAGCACTCGGTGTCCCAGTGCTCGTTGTCATCACCAAAATCGACATGTGCCCGCCCAACGTATTAGAGAACACCGTCAAGCAGCTCACCAAAATCTTGAAGTCTGCCGGATGCCGCAAAATTCCCATGTTTGTCAAGGTATGGCCTTCCTGCCGATACTCTCTTTTGCCTGGGCAATCATGGAATCTACTTTCAGCGATCTCTAACCATGCCTTCTACAATTGATTAATTAGTCGCCTGAGGATGTCGTTGTAACGGCGGGCAACTTTGTCAGTGACCGTATTTGCCCCATCTTCCAGGTCAGTAACGTCACCGGTGAAGGTCTTGACTTGCTCAAGAACTTTTTGAACATCCTCCCTATCAGTCAAAAGTACAACCGCGACGACCCAGGTAACCATTGTGCCTTTTTTATTGCAAGTGGCATCGCTACTTGAACATACCTGAACGCTGGATAAGAGCACTGACATTATTTATTTTTCCTTTTCTGAATGGTGACAGTTGAGTACCAGATTACGGATACGTTCTCGGTTCCCTTTGTCGGCACCGTTGTGAGTGGAGTTGTCATGAACGGAATTGTGCACGCCGGTGACCAGTTGTACCTCGGCCCCGATGGGAACGGCGCCTTCCAGATGGTGACCGTCAAGTCGATCCAGCGTAAGCGATTGAACGTACCATTAGCGTGTGCAGGACAGAGCGCTTCGTTTGGATTGAAAAAGATCCGGCGATCGACGATCCGCAAAGGAATGGTTATGCTGGACAAGGAGACGATACCCCCTCCTCGAGGCTGCCGAGAGTTTGAGGCCGAGATCTTAGTTCTGTACCACTCGACCACTATTGGACACAAGTACCAGGCCATGCTGCATTGCGGTGCCGTGCGACAGACTGCCCGTGTTTTGGCGATGGATAAACCGGACCAGATCTTGCGTACCGGCGACCGTGCCACTGTTCGATTCCAGTTCCTGCAACCCGCCTACCTCAAAGTCGGTGCTCGTCTCGTAAGTCTTCCTTCTCGGTTAATATTGCTAGCGAGCCGCCGTTATATGTTGTTATGAGACCATACACTAACAAATGTATACCTCTTTCTTTCATTTTTTCCAGATCTTCCGAGAGGGTCGAACTAAGGGTATTGGAAAGGTGTCCAAGATTGTCGCATAAAGCGATGGAGATGAAGCTCAAGAAGGAGGAGAAGATGAAGAAGAGAAGAGAAGAAAAGTCAGGCCCGATCGTGTATTTTTTGTCTGTTTGTATTAGCGGCAGCTGCTTTCTTTCATTCTGTTGTGTTTTGTACAAGTAATACCTACTACCATCCAGTTTTGAGATTAAAAACCCCATCTTTTTGATTTTCTTATCTGTTGTGCAGTGTATGCCTGCTGTCATTATTGAATTCCAATGGGGCGTGAGAGTATTCTGCATGTGCGAAAGGAGAAAGTGCGAAATCGGCAGACGACAACCCGCCGTTAGTTGAAGAAGGATCCATAAACCTTAATCGTTTTGATTATCCGGGGTCCTCCTCCTTCCTTCAGTTGCGGAATCATATTTTGGTGCTGAGTTCCAAGTCCGAAGGGGAAGCAGGGTTGGACGTTGGCAACGGAGTATGGAGCAGGAAGGAGCATATGCAAAATTCAAGAAGTCCGCTCAAGGGGGTGGGGGGACGCACTGACGGGCGGACTCTGAGAGAGAGACAGAGATGGAGAGCTCTATCTCTTTCGCTACATGTCTTCCTCCCTCATGAACGCCGATGTTCTGTTCCCTTAGTTCCCTTAGTTCCCGTTATCGAGAATGACAAGGAGAGAGGAGCGGATGATCCTTTGTCCAATTGTCCAAGAAAAGAGGAATGGGGAAGGGCCGTTATGTCGACCGCTCATCATTGGCCAACGAGTGAGTTGTAGTCAGGTGAACCCATTCTAAAGGTATAAAAGAACAAAGAATGGACCCCTACTTTTTTACTTTTTCTATCTTCACCCATCTTTCCCTTCCCGTTTTGCCGTCACTTGCACACCCTCCCCACTCTTCTCTTCTTTACTTTCCTTTAGTACACTCCCCACTCTTCCTCTTTGCTCATTCATTACTTTGAAGTTACAGCATGTCGAACAACTCGAACATCATCGCCAAGGGCCGCCTCCAGCACATCACCAACACTATCGGACTGTCCACTGCTGTCGTCCATGCTCCTCGTAAATACTTCGTACCCTGCATAACGAACCGAAACATTAACACCATTTGTCAAAATAACATACTAACGCCTCCACATTCTCCCTCGCCAATTGACACATCCTCCAAATAGACCGAGTGAAGCCAGCAAACACGGCGGCGAACCACTCAGAACTCAACCCCGTCCACTTCCTCGCCCGCTCTGCAACCGTCTACCCTCAAAAGACCGCCGTCATCCATGGGCCCCGTCGCTACACCTACGCCCAACTCAACCGCCGCGCCGTCGCTCTTAGTTATGCCCTCAAACACCAGCTCTCCATCCGTCGTGGCGATATCGTGGCCATTATCGCCCCCAATATCCCGGCCATGCTCGAGGCCCATTTCGCGATCCCTGCGGCCAATGCCATTATTTGTGCGATTAATACGCGATTGGCGCCAAAGGAGGTTGAGTATATTCTGAACCATTCGGGCGCCAAGGTGGTGCTGGTGGATAAGGAGTTTGAGGGGTTGGTGAAGGAGTGCAATTTGCCGAAGGTTGTTATTGCTGACACGGGCGTTGCGGCTTCGGATGAGTACGAGAGGTTCTTGGAGACTGGGTACCAGAAGGCGGATACCCTTGGGTGGGGTGGGCTTGACCAGACTGATGATGAGAATGAGGGTATCTCCCTCTGCTACACCAGGTCAGTTTGCCACTTTGGACTTTTGGAAGGCTATATTCATGAAATGTGCCTCGTCACTTCTACTCTTGGGCTGTTTGTTCATCGCCTCTCCCTCTGTCTTTATCTCAATTGCTAACCATTTGCTGCCCGCTTCCTTCCTTTCATAATCGAATTCTTAGTGGCACGACGGGAAAGCCAAAGGGAGTGTTGTACACATATAGAGGGATGTACCTAGCCGCGCTCGGAAATGTGATCGAGGCCCACTTGCGTCTTGACTCGGTCCACCTCTTTCTCGTCCCCCTCTTCCATGCCAACTCGTGGATTTTCCCATACGCCGTTACTGCCGTTGCAGGTATGCCTCCTCCAATTGCTCTCTTTTTTGAGGTTTCGCCTTGTTTGTTTTTTAACAAGTGTTTCGCCTTGTTTGTTGTCGGTAATGGCGGAGAAGAGGGGTAATGACCCATTGAGGGATTGGAGTGTTTCTTTCCAGAAAGACGAAAGCAAGATGCACCAAAGGGTGGAAGGAAAACTAAAACAAGCATGGGAAAAAACACAAACAAACCGATCTCTCCACAAACTGACCCCCCAAAATCCGAGCTGCCCCCAAACCAAAAGCCAGCCAACCAGCCAAACCCCCGTGCCGCGATTGTGAACCTTCTTTTTTTTTCATCGCCCTTTTTCCTTCCCACACTTCCTTTCTTTTCTCCAAGTCTCATCTTCTTGACCAATGGCTAAACCATAATTCTCTTTCTCTTTCATTTGTCAATCATGACCTAATTAGCAACGCATGTAATGCTCCGCAAGATAGACTACGATCAGATCTGGAAGATCCTCCTCTCCGAGGGAGTCACCCACTTGAACGGCGCCCCAACCATCATGATCCAAATCGTCCACCACCCCCAAGCCATCAAGCTCCAAACCCCCATTACCTGCACCGTCGCCGGCTCTGCCCCCACCGCAGCCCTCATCGCCCGCATGAAGGAACTCAACATGGATATCTGCCATGTCTATGGACTTACAGAGACCTATGGGCCGATTACGAAATCGTACCCCCAGCCCGGGTTTGAGGACTTGTCGGTGGATCAGACGGCCAAGAACTTGGCGAGACAGGGACATGTGTATTTGGTGTCGGATGATGTTAGGGTTGTTGATTCCAGGATGCAGGATGTTGCGTGGGATGGCAAGCAAGTTGGTGAAATTGTCTTCCGTGGTAACCTCGTCATGAAGGTAAGCTTGCATTCTTTTTATTTTGATATATTGCCAATGGACTCGAGTTACTTGGATGAGTATTAATGGTCCTGTTTACTAACGGATGGTACATTTTATTATGGATGTAAATAGGGATACCATAATGACCCAGAGGCCACGGCTAAGGCATTCGAAGGCGGCTGGTTCCACAGCGGAGACCTCGCAGGTACGTGAACCACACAAACCCACGCCATATCTGAACTACCTGTCCTCCGACAACCACAACAACAACAACAACAACAACAACAATAACGATACTCATCTCCACTCAACACCATTCTAACATAACCATCCATCTCTTCTCTTCACCTGCCATACAACACATAGTCCGCCACGCAGACGGATACATTGCAATCCAGGACCGCCAAAAAGATATCATTATCTCTGGCGGCGAAAACATCTCTACCCTTGAAGTAGAATCTTGCATCTCCCACCACCCCGCCGTCCTTGAGGTCGCCGTCATCGCCATCCCCCACCCACGATGGGGAGAAACCCCCAAGGCCTTTGTTATTCTTAAACCGGGTCTTGCGGCGGACAAGATCGTGACAGGGGAGCAGTTGATTGGGTTCTGTAAGGAGAATATGGCTGGGTTTAAATGCCCTTCTAGTATTGTGGTTGTCAAGGAGTTGCCAAAGACGAGCACGGGCAAATTGCAGAAGTATGTTTTGAGGGAGCAGGAGTGGAAGGGTCAGACCAAGCGCGTCAATTAGAATCGTTCTAGCCCGATCCATTCATAATTAATTCGTAAGACAATAAAACAAGAGCGAGCTGTATTTTCACACGCGAAGAAATAGGGGGGAGATTGTTATTTTACACGGGGCGGATTGGGGTGATAGAGAAGGGGGATAGAATGATAAGAAGCTAGACTAAAAAATGGGCAAGTTTTTCTGCCAAGATAGAAGTATAGAGAAAGAAGTAAGACCGAAATGCACACCAAAGGCTACTTGCTTCCAGAGATCAGAGGCCAGTCGCAGACAGCCAAGGGGTGGATGAACCTTAGATGATGGCGGCACGGATAGAAGCAGACTCTTCAGCAAGGAGCTCAGGGTCTTCATCCCCATTAGGACGGAAGACTGCAACCTCACCGTCCAGGGCAGGGGGAGGACCTGCTCCACCCCTGGCGGCAACGCGGTCGCTCACAGCCTCGTACCACTCCTCGACCGTCCTGCCCTGCAAGAACGCAACCACGACCATCGTCATGTTGTCGCAGCCAATGTACGTCGCCTCGCTGTCTGCCGCCAAGCAGTGGTCCATAGTCATCTCACAGATTACGTCCAATGGGATCCGGTCTGCGATTCCCTTACGCACAAATGTCACCACCTCCTGCGAGGTCATACAATCCCAAATGCCTATTACAAAAGTAGCAGGTATCAGAGAAAACAGAAGTGTTAGTAATTGTGCAAGTTAGGTGAGACGATACTAGGGGGCAGAAAAAAATGACCGATTGCCGTTAGGAGGTGTCGATTATTACCGTCACAAGCGAGAACAAGGAACTCGTCGTCCTTTCCCAGCTCATGCTCTACAATCACAGGATTTGCTAATCAACATAATAGACACCCAGAATATTTAGATTAGGAACCATATACATTCTTCACATAACAATAAGATAAAATGGGCCCAAACAAACTTCAAGGATGAACCCTCTTACCGGTGACAATCTGATCATCAGGTCCCAACGTTTCGTTCGTCTTGAATTCAAAGTCTCCCAACGCCCGAGAAAGTGCCAGGCTGCCATTGACACGTCCTGACTCGACAAATCCTCCTGCGGCAACAATTCTCCGTGATTCCTCTACAAATTAATCAAGGCACGAAATAAATGCATGTTAGTCTATGTCTGCTAACATTCCAGCACCTTCGCTCGTGGAGAACATATGTACGTAGGGAGGCATACCTCTGTTGACGGGCTTGTGATCGTTCGAAAGTGCAGTAGCCAGACCGTCAGTTCCAAGGACTGCACGCGAATCTCCAGCATTTGCCTACAGAAACGACAGCAAGCGAATGATGTCAGTATAACAGTCGCAAATAACCCGACACAGCAGTCCATGTCCATGTTGCATCGAAGAAGATTCCATTGAAGAAAGAAGAGAGACGTACGACAAACAGGACGTTCTTGTCGGTGACGAGTGTGGTGATAGCAGTGCATCCCGAAGTGTCGTTACCGTATTCAGGATCTAGGATGGATTCAAAATCAAAATGATCGTTAGATCTTTGATCACTCTGGTCACTGTGATCAAGATAACATCCCATTATCACCTCCTGAGACAATAATCAATTGATATCATCTCTAACATACCATAGCGGAGTGCTCTATCCATCTCGAGGAATCCATTCTTGATCGCGGCTCTGTACTCGCCCGCAGCAAAGGCCTTATCCGCCACAATCCTCTCATGCAATCCCTCGCCACTGTACCTGGCCACATTAGGACCTAAGTATCAGTAGCAACAACTCGGTTCACGTTAGCATTGTTTTCATGGGGATACAGAAAACACCAATTATCAGACAACCAAGCAAGAAGAGCAAAGCATACCACCGTGACCATCAAAGACGGCAAAGAAGGAGCAGCCCTTTTCATCCTCCATGTCCAGAAGAGTGGTGTGCGCATCCTCCATGGCTATTCCACAAAAAAGAATTCACGAAAGGTAACATGTCAGTGACACCTGCGTAGAATGCATGTACCTTTCCAATGGTATGTGAATCAGAAATGCATCTTCCAAAATTAAAACAAATAATCAAACAGGGACAGGGTCATTTCTTTTATGTTCCGAACAAAGGGAAAGTAGAAACACTTACTGACACGCCATCCTTGCATGGCAGATGCTCCGTAGGCATGACGCTTGTCGTGGCCTGCAGACGAGTGCTTCTCCGTGATTGGTGTCGAAAGAATTTGACCCATTTTGCAAAAATGGTGTTTGTTTGTTTGTTTATGTCTTTGTTGTGTTGTTAGTCGGTCGTGTGCTCAAACGGGATTGCGGTAACAATCGGTAAATAGAACTAAATAGGGGGAAAAGGGGAAGGAGAAAACGAGAAGAGGTGAGGACTCTGTTGGTGGAGCAAGGTCTAAAGAAAGGGTTCCCCGACCAACCCTTTCACACGCGTTAGTGTAGTGATGTGAAACCAAAAAAAGAAGTAAAAAGGACGCTTGGCAGATAGAAGGTTCATTGAGAAGGCATGTTGGTGGGGGAAAAGTACGACGTTGCACATGAAAACAGAGGGGGGGGGGGGGGGGGGGAATTACTGAGCATAGCATCTCAAAGTGAATAACGGGCGGGAAAGGGAGTGATTCACAGATCCCATTGTTGTCTCTCTCTGCTCCCACATCAACCTCTGAATCCCCGAATCGATTCATTCACATTCACACGACCATAGGAGTCGGGTTGTGCCTTCGTTCCTTTTAGGTCGTCAAGGGCCGTTCGCGAGCTGAGCTGAGCTGAGCTTTTTTTTCTTATTAACGCCACCACCGACCAACGGTTCCGCCTCCTTTTTTGGATCGTTGAAGGAAGTCAATGTCGCCTGAGTTGAGAGTGTGGGCGATTGCTGTCCCTGTGTGTACGTAAAGTAGAGATAGGCGCTTTTCTTATTCTTACATCAGGCTTGAGAAGGTGGAAGAGGAATGGAAGAAAGTGTTGAGTTGTAAAAAGGAGCGATGGGAGAAGAGAAGGGAAGGAAGGGAGAAGAGAGTCCAATAACCAGCACGCAATTCTCAGTTGGCGGGAACAAGGTTCGACCTGTTAATCCCTGCCACCACTGGTAGAAATGAAGGGGCAGGGCAGGGCATGTCAGCACCCTTAATCAAGTTTATTCTCTGACGCACGTGAGCTTTAATCTAACTGCTTGACAATAGACAAGCACAGCAGCTGCACACCAATTGAAGAAAAGAACGAAAAGGGGCATAGAAAGGAAAGCTGCAAGGGGTCATCATCGTGCCGATGGTAGTGAAAACAGAACAACGCTTGGCCTGTTGTCAACTCTGGTGGCAAATGGCCAATCGAGTCGAGGCCTACAACTGGTAGGTTGGCAGAAGGACAAAGCCTTGGTGATGGATTCTATGGCGAGTGTCGTTCATTTCTTGTTAAATAGCACTCCGTATCATCTCGCCTCCCTCTTCGTTCCTTTTTGTTCCACTACCTCTCTTTCTCTTTCAACACCCTCCACAATTCTTCTCTCCCGACAACGTCTCTTCTCCTCATTGGCACTACCTCACGCTCTTTATTTTCTTCTAATCCGCACACAGCCCCTATCCCTCTTCCAAAAAAATTGAATCATGCCACGCACAAATGGGGAACCACCAGCATGCGAAGACTTCTTCAATTGCTCCCTGCCCAAGAACCAACAGAACACTTTGCATATGCAAATCTACCACGGACCCGATCCCGTCGTCATCTCCAACCCCGACCCATCCCTCCCACACATCAGGGTCGACCGTGATCCCAACCGAGAAATGTACTATCCTTGCCCCCACCCCGAATGTGACTATAAGTCCATCCTTAGAACCAATCCTTTACAGCACCAGAAACACTGTAAGTTTGTTCTGCGCGATCTCAAGGCCGCTAGGGCTCCCATCGACATTACGTCGCCCCAACCAACTCTGACTAGACGGCAATCCTGGCGCGATCCACACGCCGCTAATATTGTTGCCCCACGTCAGCAGACCCAGCCGACAAGGCAACCAAGCCAGCGTCAATTCCGTCCCACTTTTCACTACGCCGACCAACCATCGTCATCTTCCTCCTCGGCTCGATTGGCTGCGGCCCCTTTCCCGTCTACAGGATCCACACCCAACAGCAACAACACCACCGCTTCTATAGTCACTCAGCTTCTGACAACTATGGATGACATCGGCAACACAGTGGATCGACTCAACAAGCAACTCGACAAAAACACAAAGATCGTGAGCAAAATGAATGAGCAAACGAAGTGGGTGATGGATCAGGTCGATGAGATCCGAGCCCAGAACGCCAGCCTGGAGGCTCACACCGAGTCTATGCGGATCGATATGGGGATGACGGAAGACCATTTGGGCGCTTTGTGGATGGATACTTACAAGATCAAGGTGGCGCTGAAAGGCTTGCGAGAGGGCGGTTGAAATGCATATGTTGCAGTCGAGGACCACAGAGTATTTGAACAGGCGCAAGTGGCAGACGCGAATAATGGTTATAGTTAGCAGCAGAAAACAAGATGTAGACCACGAATACATATATTTTCTTTCCATCACAAAAAAAGGATCTCTACGCGTGTTATTGGCGCGTGAGAAAATGCGCCACCGAAACGTTTTTGTCTTTCGTGCCGCGAAGAAAAAAATGACCTCGTCTCTCCTTTCACGAAGATAAAAAAGGGCAGCAACAAGGATAGCTCTATTCTTTCAAGTCCATCTTCGATTACAAAAATAAGGCTGTGGCATCATTCCTACCACTAAAAATGCTAGAGAGACGATGTTATGGACCTGCATAAGAGAGTCCAGCAGTGAATGATAGCGGAACAAACGGCAAGAGCAAGCAATATTTGACTTGAGGTGAGTGTCGCCGACTTTCATTGTTCCATACCAACACTTAAAGTGTTAACTCTTCCTTTATGTCCAACTTTTCTTTCCTCTTTGCTCGTTCTTCTTCGTTTGTACCCTCCAATCCCGAAGCTTCACCATAATCTATCGTAACCCAACATGCCGGCGTGCACACATTACTTCAACTGCTCCTTCCCCAAAGAACAACAAACATCCGGCAACCTCAGAACATATCACGATCCCCAGGCCGTCGAGATCGTACCGGCCAACGGACGGCTCTTCAAGATCTGAATCCATCAGGATTCCGCGCAAGGAATGTACTTTCCTTGCCCATACTCAAAGTGTGATCATATATTTATCCTCAGGACCAAGCGTCCGCAGAGCAGGGGAAAAAGGGTAGAACTGTGAAGAGTCGCTACACGATTGTTCATTTGCAGTTGAACCATGGGAAGGTGATCACCCCATAATGGTTTTTCACTCAACACCGATTTTTCCAACTGCAGCTTGAGTAAACAAACGTTTCGTTCAGCTACCCCATTTGCTCTTAGATGGCAGGGTGTGGTCAGTCTGTGCCTGATCTTCAGTGTAGTCATGAGATGATGATTGGTCTGATTGACAAACTTGGATCCGTTGTCACCTTGGATGATTTTCGGAAACCCGACCAAGCAAAACAGTTTGAGCAATTGACTGGCAACTGCCGTGGCAGATTTGTCAGACATGGGCGCAAGGAACACAAATCGAAAGCAAACATCAACAGCAGTATCGATAGAACAGGTTCCATTCTCGCTAAGAGGGAGATGTGTAAGGTCTATTGCTATGTGCTCGCCCGGAAGAGAAGCATGAATGACTTTCAGAGGATGGTATCCTTTTTGAGCAATGTTGAGCCGCTGGCATTACGGACATTTTAACACCCAGTCAGTGCATACGGCGTTCAGTTTTGAGTAGCTGTATCCTCGTCTATGGATCGCTTCTACCATAGCAATGGCGCTCAGGGGTTCAAAGTCATGCACTTCTTTTAGCAAGAAGAACTGGTCCATGTTACTGAGAATAGCATATTCTCTGTCCACATTTTGCATGGTGTGAATGTAAGGAGCAATGGTGTCAATGTCCAGATCCTCAACGTGCCGTGCCAGTTGGTCAAAGTTGACGTATGGAGTTTCAATGGCGGTGTCACTGCTCTCAGGTGTACTTGATCTGAAACTAGAAAGAGTAAAAACAGCTGCAAGTATGGTTTTTTTCCTCGCTTTGTCTGGTGAGTCGTTAGATCCAGTCAAGAGCCAGATGCTGATGTTTGTTGGCTTCCACAGTTCTTCGGGGAAAGCACGTGACAGCACGTCATGAGTGATGTTCAGCATTCCTGGGCATTGAAAATCAAACTTCATCAAAGTCTCACGCCAGTTAGCAATGGTCGTTGGTAGCTCAGATTGAGTATGAATGTATGTTAACGGTCGGTGATCCGTAAAGAATGAAGTGTCTTCCAATCAAGTAGCACTCGAATTGCTTTAGCGCATAGACAATGCTGAGTAGCTTCTTCTTGTTGGCAGAGTAGCTCAGTCATGTTTTTTCAACGAACGCGTCATGAAAGAAATATAATTTACTTTTGGCTCATCAGAGGGTCCGTTTGGTACTTGGTACAGGACAGCTCCTATACCCAGGTTTCATGCATCAGTTGCCACATAAAAGGGCGCAAAGAAGTCAGGGAAAGTAAGGACAGGCGCTTTTTGAACCATAGACTTGAGGTTCTGGAAACATCTACTTTGCATTCGATTTAATGTAAAGTGTCCTTTTTGGTTCTGCAGTTGTCCAGTGGTGCCGACAGTGTACTACATAGTTTTATCTCTTTTAAATGGTAGTAAGACCTAAGGTTAGGAGTATTAGTCTACGGGGCATATTTCCACGACAAAATAAACATCTTACAACAAAAAAAACACGAGTACTTTAACCTTGATATGATAAATATTCACGTTATTTGACCATATCATCCCAAAGGTTTGTGGATTTGGGTTAGCTCATCTATGTCAACAATACGCACTGGAATAGTATCTTTTTGGATAATCAGTCGGTTGATATATTTTGAGTGCTTTCTTAAGGACAACATAGGGGCTTGAATGTACAAAACGCGCAGTACAAGGATGCTACTACTATCCTAAAATACTAAGGCATCTCTTTTTAAGCTGTTCCTTTTGACTCGCACTACAATACTGGCTATAGCCTACATCGTAACATCCAGTCCTACAGGTCGAAGTGGTAGAACCAGTCCAAGTCTCTTGAAAGTTGAAGGTTCCTCAATCTTGGTTATCGAAAAGTGCTGATCACTTATTTCAAGTCTTGTCATGTTAAACCTGCCTCGACCGTTCTTGATGGTGGAGTGATTAGCCGATACAAAGTTTTTCGATTCCTTCATGAGGATGTTGTGGAAATTATCAATGACGACGACATGGACTATTTGGCCAATGAAGGGCTCGAACACTCGAGTATAGATATAGTGCTCGGCAAGTGCGACACTATGCAGAATCAGGGCTGCCAAAAACTTACCCCCACATTGCGATATCAGTGTCAAATATGATTAGCTTGTTGCCTTGGTAAACGGTGCAAAGTATAGTTCAGCTGTTGCAAACGGAATACAATAAAGTTGGGCTGTTGCAATCTTGGCACGGTAAAGTTGGGCTGTTGGGTAAATGGCATTCAATTGAAATGGGCTGTTGTGTAAATGGCGATCACAAGTGACAACTATTTTTCATAGAGGAGCAAATGCAAAAGTCACAATGAAAGGCAATGAGGAAAAGCGTCAAGATAAATTCATTCCTTTTGTTTCATGGATCCTCAAATTTAAAGCCAAGGTGGATAGGTCTAAGTGACCCGTGGCAGCCAAGCATCCATAGCAACGCTACTTCGATATGACAAATTCAAAAGCAATGAGTGCGAAGTTCATGACAGAGTGTGTCGAGCTGACAGTTTGGTCGCAATTCTGCTCCAGCGTTGGCAATAGCGTATGTGCGGCGGCAAAGATGAGTGGCAATAGCAAACTGACAGCAAGATGGTCGGTTTAGCAACATCAGCATAAACAAATTTCAAGGGAACTGAGGAATAATTCGAGGGTATGGCAAGAAAAGATAATTCTTTTGTCTTCGAAAAATAGAGACCTCCTCGGACATGCTTTGTTTGCATGTGCAATGCTAACTGGCCAAGGTTTCGCGCTGCAATTTGCTTTGTCATTCTGCTTTACCTTTTGTGTCGCTTTGTCATGTACAGGCATGCTCCAATTTTTATGGGGTGAAGAAATAGAGTACGTTTGAATAGGATCTTGCAGGCAATTCAAAGAACTATTTTTTCGAAAATTGTAGCGCCATCATCCCCTCGGAGTTTTCAGATACAGCAAAAAGAACGCCATTTCTTCAGTACTCTCATTCCACCACCATCGCATTCGACCACAACCACCATTATGCCATATCTAAGCGTTATTATATCTAGCTCAAGGGCCGCATCACTGGGGTCTATGGAGCCGTCGCAACACCCCTTCAGCATTGCCAAAGCGTTCAATGTTCACAAAAATGCGGTCCTAAATGTCATTAAAATGGGAGCGAGGCGACACTATTGTCTAAAAATCAACTGGAGGACCACCCATCTTCGGAGAGCATGGTGTCGAGCAACTTCTCCACACGGTGCAAGACAATATCAGCGAAACTTTCCGGGGAATAAACAAGATATCACCCAAGTCTGTCTTCAAAAGCACTGCACACAAGATTATCCACAAGAAGGGGATATTTTGCACCGAGGAAATTTCGAAGCTCGATTGGCCTTTGCCAAGACAAATTTTTTTGGATGTTGGGTTGACTGGGAAAGGGTCATTTGGACTGGCGAATGCTGCTTTGAGATAGGATTCAGGACGGGAGATCGAACGCACGGCTGGCGACGGTGGTTGTAGTGTTGTTGTTGTTGCTATTGGTCGATGGTTGTGGCTGAAGATACATTGTTGTATTTCTCCGAAGTGTGTATGTGGGGTGTGTTGTTAGTTTACCTCCGCCAGTGAAAAAAGCCGTAGAAACAAAAATGATCTACCGCTTGTTGCGACAGGCGACCACTGCAGTCCCAATAAATTGAACCTCACCCTTCGAACTCAGCACTCTCTTTCCTCCAAATACTCGCTTTCTTTTCTCCACACCTCTTTGTCGAACTTTTTACTATCACATATCACAACCCTACAGGAATCACACTTCAATCATGCCTAAACCAGCATGCGACTCCTCCTCCTCCCTCTGCACTTTGCCCAAGGAGAAATGGCAATGCAATAGTGCCGCTCTGGCAGCGGTATTCAAAGCGCAGCCCATCATCATCATCAACCGACACTCAATCCCTCCCTCGCCTTTCTCACCTCCACTTTCCGGCAAACCAGAAGGACCAGACTCAAGCGACATGCCCCCCCCCCCTCCTCCGGAACTCATCGCCACCACTCTCAACCAAATCATGACGACCGTGGGTCACATCGCCGACACCGTGGTTCAAATCGGGGAGAAATTCGGTGAACAGACATATACATTGGCCGGATCAACAGACAACTCGGAGCACAGATCGAGCGTATTGTTTGGATCGAAGAGCAGAGGGATTGGTGGATGGCTCAGCTGGATAAAATTAAGCGCCAGAACGCGTGCTTGGAGGCTCACGCAGAGTCCATCCAGAGAGATATGGGTGGGGCGGTTGAATGCTTGATCCTTCTGTTGCAAGACAAGCGCAAGTTCAAGGAGGAGTCGGAAGGTGCGTGTGAGGGTCTTGGGCAAGCAGGTGATACGGAGCAGAAACCCATCTACCTAGATTGAGTAGCAAGGAAAAAAGCCGTTGGCTCATAGTGATAAATGAAAAAGTGTGGTTTTTTTTTAATCTCGCTTATGATTTCGTCTATGCCTTTAGTTTGTCGCTTTCTCTTCTCATCTCGTTTCCTTGATATTCTCACATAAAATAACGAGCGAAATCTGGGCGTACATTTTCCTCTCTTGAGCGCCAGAGACAGAGCCATACCGAAGAGCCGGTGACGATAGGTCAGATACGGATACGGATGGATGATGGCCGTAGTAAAAAAAATCCACAGTAAACAACGTATTGCCGACAGGCTATTATTCCGTTGTACGAAAAAAAAGATGTCTCTGCCCTGAATCAAGCCACGTAGATACAAACAAGAAATGAGTGCGAAAAACGCGTATGAAAGAGCGTCACGATTACGTTTTGCCCCTGCTGAAGAAATAAAGTTTTAGGTTTGATCATTACTGATCACGAAAAGGAATGATGAACACGAAGAAGGGCCGGTGTTGGCTTTGTTAGCTATGGAGACAAAGGAACAAGCCTTGCGGTTAATGTGGTTGTTCTTTCTCACTGTTCATGTCACCTCAGTTTCTTTGAACAGTGAGCACCCGGATAGAAATAAAAAAGGAGCAAGCGTAGCACACCTTTATTTTTGTTCTTGCCTAGCTGGAATGTAAGCGTGTGCACGGATCACCGCTATGCCTAAAATTGAGCATCACTCCTTTTTCTTGGAAATTAGTTATGAGATCTGAACGGCAATTGCTTGTTACGTTGACCCTTTTTACAAACCTGCGCCAAGTGACAATGAAAGAAAAAGAAGCACTGGTTTGAAGTGAGGAGTGGCCATACCAATCCCTATAAATTGCCATTGAAATCCAACATCATCATCTTTTTCAACTCTCTCTCTTTCCTCCTTTTCTTCTACACTCCCATTTTCTGCCTTTCCACATCTTCAACCATCGACCTGCCCTTTCCAACATTTCAGCAATGCCCCAACCACTGTGCGCCGACTACTTCAACTGCTCTCTGCCCAAGGAAAAGCGGACAGCCCAACATAAGAAACTATACCACGATCCCCAGCCCACCGAAATCAAAGCCACCGACGGAAGCCATGCGAAGATCTTGGTCCACCGAGATCCGAAGCGTGCGATGTATTTTCCGTGCCCGCACAAGGAATGCGATCACGCATCGATCCTCCGAACCACTCCAGCAAAGCACCACAGGCGCTGCCATCTCTTCAAGCGTGACCAGCTGACCCAGCGCAAGCAGAAGGCTACCGCTACCGTCGGCGCCGCTACCCCTGCTCTTACTCGGTGCTCCTCGTCTTTATCCTCAGTATCGACACTTTCATCTGCTCCTTCGTGCTTGTCTCAAGGATCGGATTCGGATGACGTGACTTCTCTCAGCTCGTCTCAAGAACTAAACACCAACGACGTCGTCACCCCTCCTAGCGGCGCGACTAGACAATCAGAGTCAAACGATTCTAGATCCCCTCCTCCTTCCCCGGAACCCTTCACCTGCGCCTCCGCTGCCGATGTCCATCAGCTCTTACTGAGCGTGGCTTTCCTTGCTCAAACTATCGATCAACTTGACGGACGAGTTGGCGCACAAGAAGAGCTGACGAAACGGATGACCGCCTCGCGATCCAATGCAGCACGAATCACGAAACTGGAAGAATGTATGGAACGGATCAGCGACCAAGGCGATTGGCTGATGGCCGATGTTCACAACCAGAAAAAGTGCGCTGAGTCCTTCAAAAGGACTGTCGGAAGTGACATGGCTACCGTAGAGAATCATATGGAGACGGTGAAGGAGCACTTGTTTGATCTGGTACCGGAGAGCCACGAACTCAAGAAGCAGGTGAAAGAGTTGCAAGAGAGTGTGGCACGGCTGCGTGCTACGCTACGAGATATCGTTGACTTTGATGAAACTGCAAGCCGCAAGAGATCGTTTAATTGTAGGAACTGAGAGACGCGTCTATTTTTTTTGTTTGCGTTGCCTCACCCGTGCTTTTTTCCTCGGTTTTAACTCTCAACTCTATCATTTGATTCCCATGCACAGGACGACATGTGTGGGCGGTGGTCTCCTTTCATTTTACCGAGCACCAGAGATAGAGTCTTACTGAAGAACCGATGATGGCTGAGTAGGCTATGGATAGATAGTTTGCAGTTGAATAAAAAGGAGGTAAAACTTGTAATCAGTTTTGAAATCAAGCCTACTGAAACGCATACGACTGCAAGTGTAAAGGTTTACGCCACCAAACTTAAGAACAGTCGAACATCAGTCTTCTTTTACCTTTCCCCCCTCAGAAAAAAAGATGAGATCTGAGATGGCAACAAGACCGCTCCTTCAACTCGTAAGGAAATATATACCTTATCTCTTTCCCTCAACAACTCTACCTCCATTCTTCTCAACCTGGGTCACCTTAGCGGGACCACGGTAGCTGCACAACCCTAAAAAACGTACAGTACTAGCATTACTGTCCCATCCACGTTGCTCTTCCATAGTCAAGCAGCCAAGGAAAAACTTGATCCTAAAACCTTTCGACCCAGCAAGTGATCGGGCTTATTTTAGTATTACTCATGGCAGAGGTAGGAGTATGCATCCCCTGTACATTTATTTTATTTCGCTGCATGACAACAGGGTCCGTACCGTCTTATTTTTTACGCAAAGGGTCGTCCTGCAGCAAATGTGTCGTTCGAGTCCTCCAAGTCTCAACACCAGCAAATTGATTGTGGCAGTGAATATTGGTCGATTGAATCGGATTGAGGCCGACGACAAGTCCACGTGCCTCGTGTTCACAACACGTATGTGTCGTAAAAGGTATTACTCATGTCTACGGAAGAGATTTTACTCCGACGGAGAAGAGACCTTGGAGGAGACATGCAAACAAAACGTAAACAACTCTCATCGAACAGAATCATTTTCTTAGAGCTCACATTTTTGTTCTAATGTCAAGTATCAAGTCAAAATGCACATATTCACCCTCTCCGCGGACAAATGATTATGTCCTATTGTCAACTCATATTCTTCCCATCTTGACGCGTTTGGGCTTTTTATTGTTGTTTTATGTGGCCCAGTAGTGTCGGTTGGAGTCAACCCCTATGATGAAGGCAAACATGTTATTGGGGACCCCTCAAAAAAAAGAAAACAAGCAACGGTGCCTGATCATTGCAATGACTACAGCTCGATATTGATGACAAGGGAGTGGGATACGCATATAGCTTGCTGCAAGTAACACTGAAAGTGAGCAAGCCCGCATGAGAATGCACTCTCCATTTCCTTCTCGCCCGTTCCCCTCTGTCAATTAGACCCAAGGTAGAGAGCTTGGCAAAACTGTAATTTCTCATTTCTTGACCGATGCCTGAAGAATGGCTGCCGTGCAGCCTTCGATTGCCACAGCCCAAGGCAAAGCTCTCTTGACAAAAAGGCAACGGTGTGAACTCAAAAACAAAAGGACACCAATGGCACTCGACGCTTTGGACAGACATCCTTCCCAACAATACACGAGAATTGAACTCCCGCAAAGAAATAATAGCTCTGTCTTGGTGGTCAGTGGTTTTAATTGGCCCTACCACATCAAGGATACTTTATGCCCTGCCACACACATCTTCGTTCACCTGTCTTTGAGCAAATTACCTTGCATCGTCCAACGGTAATGTTTGGAGACAACAAGGATATTATTCATCATCGCATGAAAGTGAACACCTGACGGGAGATACACCAATTCTCTTTTTTTTTATATCGAGATCTCCCAATTGAAGGAGCATAGTCTCGACGGTGACAAAGGGGCAAAGGCATCCTCACCACTCTGTCACCGTTAGGACTGATCCCATTTGTGCCTCACAACCCAAGAAAGAGAATAATAGCATGTAAAAAAAATCGAAGGAGTACTTAGGTCCTTGTGAAAGAAAGTCCCGAAAAGTAAAAAGAAGCAATGATGTAAAATGGCGTTCGTCACCAATACAAACATCAGGACCAGAAAATCAATATTACACAAAAAACGTCTTCCTGTTCGTAGCCAATGAGCGCTCTTGTCAGACATGTCCCGCTTGCCAAAGAAGAAAAGAACAATTTACAGCAGACCTTGGAACTTGCTCATTTGGTAATAAAGTTTTTTTTTGTTTAAAGTTCTCTGGGAGAATGTCCACAGGCCAATCTGTCGATATTTTTTCCTTCTTGATCCTGAGACGGTCGTTCCGTCGCGAACTGTGTTCTCTCCCTTATCTTCTCATTACGTTTTTCGCAGGCTGATGTTTACTTTACCACTACCATCACCCCCTTTTCCCTTGATTTTCCGTTCCTGAAATACTGTAAAAAGTTCGTTGGTGAAGATTGAAAATGCTACAACCGCATGCAATTTTTAGCATACCCTTGACGAGAATGACGGAAGGTTATTAGCTTGCCTTTTGCACGACATTATCCTTCCGTCGTTCTTTTCTAGCTCAGCGTGGATGCTTCTTTTCACAATCCAAAACACTCATTGCCCCAATATACTTTTTTTGCATCGGGATGGATTTTTCTCACATGAACAGAGGAGCTGCCTCATTGCCGATTGAATTGAACAAATATCTTTCTTTGCTGCTATTCGACTTGCATAACCAAATATGCACGGATAGTGGGACAATTTGGCACCGATGGTTGACATCCATTTCTCGATCTGAGAGCCACTACAGCCCAATAACAAATATGGCAGGTGGACACCTTGATGGCTGTCGGAATCTAGCGTAGACTGAATGTTGTTCACTTTCATCAACAAACCACTACAAGTACACGCACTTCCATTCACGTCCATCTGCCCTGTCTGATTACTTTGTTTTCTTTACTATGGTCGGATGCTTGGCGAGTGGGGAGGTTGTATATTCTGCCACATATGAAGCTCCTCAATTGAATGCCACTTTTTTTCAACGGACGGCATGCAAATGTAGAACTCTGATTGTAGTTGATCCGTCTCCTCACACCATGCCTAATTCAAAGAGCGTTGTTTTTCTTACACAGTTTATCCATCCGCACTCTGATCAACATCCACTTTCCACCAGAACCATGATGTTGCCAACAGGCCTCGTCTGTTTTCACCGAGAAACGGGTATAAAAGGAACGAGAATCCTCACCAAAACACAATCCTCATCCAGCAATCCACTCTCAAAGTAAGTCTCTCCTCCACTCTTCCCCCCTGCTTCGCTTCACCCCTTACCATCTGTCATCACCCGTTGCCCATTATCGCAAGAAGAGAAATAATCTGACAAACGATCAATCTCTCCTTCTCACCTACACCTCTTTAGCCTTCAAACCCACCAAACCTCCAGTCCAAAATGCGTTTCTCCATTGCCATCCCCGCCATCGCCGCCCTCGCCAGCTCCGTCTCGGCCGCCTGCAACAGCGTCTCGTTCGACTACAAGCCCGAGTACAACCTCATCGGATCCCACACCAAGTGCTCCATCACCTATACCATGTGGGGCCCCAGCTACCACGAGGTCAAGACCGTCCAGGGCACCGACCTCTTCAAGAAGGCCACCTACACGTCCCCCGACGGCCAGTGGAAGGTTACCGATGATGCTCCCTGCACCATCAACCGCGGCAAGTTGACCGTCCAGTGGGGCCAGAACAAGAACGTCTTTGATAAGACTAAGCCCCAGAGCATCGACAACGGCATGTTGGTTTTCTTTGGATGCTTGTAAAGAGCTGTTTGTCTTTCCCAACAACCAACAAACATAAAAAATATAAAATATATAGATGACAGAAAGTAGATTTTTTTTTTCATCATTTGCTCTGTCTCCTCCCCCACCCCCCACCCCCATCCATTACCCCGAAGCAGCAACTATGCTCCTTCAATAATATAAGATTTATACCTTTTACTTTCGCTCGTGAAACCTTCTTGAGTTCACCTCTGCTCAGCCTTCGATTCTTATATTTTTCAATGCCTGCATCGGTAGCATCCTTGGATATGTGTGCAATGGTTTCCTGGGGGTGACAACTCTTATCATTGAGAGAATGAGAGTATGTGTTTGGATAAAGAAAGCGGGACTATGGAGGAGGAAGCGAGAAGGGAGGAGATGAGAAGGGAGGAGATGACAATGGAGGAGAGAGAAGAGGAGATGAGAAGAGACAGAAAAATGGAAGCGAGAGAGAAGAATTGATGGAAAAGAAGGAAGATGAAAATCACAACAGAGACTACAAAGTCTAGCTGGCGGAGCAGGCAAGAAACTGAAGGAGGATCGTGTGTGCAAAAGAGATTGCCTAGACACGCTGACCATACCCGCGCACTGTGCTACAGTGCCTCATTTTTTTTAAAAAAAAATCTATGCTTGCTGAAAAATGACGCTATAGTTGTTGTTTTCTATGAACTCTGGCCTTCTTCCCTTCCTCCTCCCATTGAGTTCATGACACGAGAACTGATATGAAATTTCCTTTCTCCACATTCTTCTAAATTGAACCATAGACTTGGAGGAGATTCTTTAGCGTGAGGTTGGTCAGTTGTCTGGAGGAGAGTTGCAAGTCCGATATGTAAGTCGAACCATCTAATTGTGATGTGCTCCGTGTTTTTTGTCGGGGATATTCATGCATGTCTTAGCCGCAGTATCAAAAAAAGCACCCTGACGCTAACCCTGACTTCACCAAGTTGTAACCAGATCGCCACCGCACATGGAAACAAGAACATTCGACTGTGGATCGATGACAGTGGAGAGATTTGGCAAGCCCTGAAGCATGACTCTGGAGAATTGATTACTTTGCGTTTTCATCCTGCGGCTGGTGGATCGCGACCTGCGGCAACAAGTTCGCTTGTGATCGGAGTTTCGTGGCAGCGGATGGAGTTCAGGAGTGTAAATGTGAGTTGAAAATGACCGCAACGTCATGAGCATTACTTGGAGACCCAGCACCTTGGAGTTTGCTACCGGTTGCCAGTATGGTTTCCTTCGAGTGTGGAGAGTGCAGACCGGATCAAGTAACGTGTCGGTGCAGTTGGTTTGGAGCACAGGTTGACTTTATCTTTGCCACAGGAAGAGCGATAGCCGGCGCAGGTGGCCTCAGCTACTCCAACCACCGATTACATTTGCAGCGCGGTGCTACAGGCGGATCTCCACGGGACATGAGGACACATGAAAGAATGAAAGAGAAGGAGCAGAAAGATATTTGTTTGCGAATAAAAGAAACAGTAGCGAATCATGATTTTCAGTTGGAACCAAGAATCTAACAAGGGGCACGCTCGAGCCAACAAGTTGGTAAGTGATCAGTGCCTGAGACGAAACAAGGATTGGTGGCGCAAATCGTGTTGACAACTGATCAGCAATGCTCCTTGCTCGTCTAACTCACTCTCTTACTTGTTTTTTCACCTCTATGCAGATTGCACTTCAGAACATAAACGCCTTCAGAGGAAGTACATCAAAGAAGCATTCTCGGTTTTGTTGTCTGTTGCGTTTTTATTAGTGTCATAAAAAAATGTTATAGATCTCGGTAATCCAGATAGAAAAAAAAGAAAAAAAAGAAAAAAAAGAAAAAAAACCATGCCTGTTGTTGTTGTTTCCTGTCGCGGAAAGATAAGGGTATGTGCCATCCCGCAGAGAATGATAATGCATTTTTTAATATGTATCAACAGCATCGAACTGAAGAATAGTGCTGTACACCTTGTCGCCAACAACCGCCTCGGCCTTGATCTCGTTCAGACCAAAGTTCATGTTGACCTTGACCTTGACCTGTTATTATGAAGTAGAAGTACAAAAGTGGAACAATTAATTAGCTGGTCCAATTTTCGTCGACAGAAAAAAAAATGTGAGACACGACATATCCCATGTAAGAAGTATTTCCAAGAGGGGTATATACCATGGAACCAAGACGGGAAGTGGACAAGTGGGGACAAGGGATGGGGATGTCGGCCAATTTGGAGACTCCTGCATCGGTGGTATATCTTGGCGGCTCGTTGTCGGTGTCGGCGGCGTACAGGGCAATGTTGTAGTCCTCGGGCGCCTCCGAGTACTTTGTGAACGAGAACTCGCGCGAGATGCACTCGTCCACATTGAGCTTTTGGCCCTTCTTGACATAGGGCGAGAAGCGGTCGATACACCAGACTCCGTTGACCTCGAACTTGCGCTTGGCCAAGGGATCTTTGCCCTTTTCGAAAGGCTGGTCGGACGAAATACCGTAGCAGCGACGGGCAATACGCGACGTAACCACACGGGGGTTCAATCCGACACAGACAGCGCCACGGACAACAGCCAACTCGGGACGAGGAGGGATCGAAATGAGGCCGACCTGGTTGCTGAACTGAGCTTTGACTCGGCTGTAGAGGTAGTTGGACGAACCGAATCCTCCGACCAAGAAGATGGCAGCGCAGTCCTTGGCCTGGGTCAATTGTTCCTGAATCAACGAAAGCACATCCTTGACGACGGGCTCAAAGACGTTTTCCTTCAATTCCGCAGCGGTCAAGACCAGGTAACCATCATCGATACCGACTGCCTCGGGATCCTCCAAGTCGTCAAAGCAGCGGTTGGCGGGGAGCTGCAAGAATTGATCCTCGAGTCCGTCGAACTGGGGCTTGATCACGTCGGCAAAGGTGTCGACAAGGTTGGGGATGATGTTGGCGGGGAAGTTGGCGGCGTGGTGTCCAAACTTTTCCTCGAGGAGTCTGCGCATGTGGCGGTCGAGGAAGACGGAGCCGCAGGAAGCACCGTGTCCCTTGGTGACCTCGGACAGACGACGTCCGGCGCTGGTGACGGCGATTTCAAAAACGATGAGATCGACGGTTCCACCACCGGCATCGCAGATCATGAATCGGTCACCGTTGCCGAGATCAAACTGGTCGCACTTGCGCTCGCAGTAGAGGGCAGCGGCTTCGGGCTCGGAAATGAGCATGAGTCTGTCAGGATGATCGGTGTCCTTGATCAGGTTGGCCTTAACGGCTGCCTGTCGCATGACGTTCTTGGCTCTGTCGGACCACATGGCAGGAACGGTCAGACAGTAGCGAAAGTGGTCGCGCTGAAAGTTTTTAGCGAACCCACGCATGATCTCGCCGACGACGTATTCATGGAAGGCGTCGAGGTAGTGGGAGATGGCCTCGAGGACGGTGATGTCGACGTCGAGAGGGGCGGATTGCTGGTTCTCGTCGAGGTGGAGTTTATATTGGTAGAGGAGGGTGTGGTGTCTGGCGGTGGGCTTTAGTGTCTCCATCTTTGCACGCCAGCCCCATGCCACCAGCTTGTTCTCGGGGTCATCCTTCTTGTACAGGTTGAGCGTTGGTGTCTTTGGGTACTGGATATTCTGCTTCGGCCTATTTGTTGGAGCGATGGTTCATTAGCTATTTGTCGTAGATAATGAAGAGTAGAAAAAGAGCCTTCCCTGTGGCAACCAATTGGCGCTTTATGTTCCATTGTTGAGTAGTGTGAGAAAAAGGAGTGTGCTGTGTAGTGTATGTCTGTTGTCTGTGTGGAGAGGGAGTGGAGGAGGCTTGTTGTTGTTTGTGTAGCGTAGGAGGAGGAAGAAGGAAGGGAGCACATGGATGGATGATATACATACCAGCTGGTGATGTCGATGACCTCCTTGTCGTCCTGGGCGTAGGCGTATGCGCATCCCCTATTAATATGGAGGGAATAACAAGAAAGAAAAAAGAAGAGCAGGGGGAGGGGGAGGGGAGGAAAGAGGAAAGAGAATAGAAGAAAGGAGGACACAGCGTGAGTGAGCAGCACGTACCGCAACAACTGGTCGTATGACCTGTTTGCTGCTAATCAATGTTCATGCAACCAAGTGTGAAGCGTAGAAGGGATGAATAAGTTACGAGAAGGTGGTTCCAAAGTCGATGGCGACGACGATGGGATAATCCTTGGGGTTGAAGGTGGATTGCATCTGAGAAAAGGAAGGGGGTGATCCGTTGGATCAAATGGGAAGAATGGAGTGGTGGAAAGGGTGAGTGAGTGTGGGAGTGTGAAGGAGTGTGAAGCGTGGCTTTGAGTGCCTACAGAGTTGAGTAAGGGGAAGGGAAGAAGGGATGGAAGGGAAGAGAGGCGATGGATGAAGATGAGATGAAAGGTGTGATGAAGGAGAAAGGAAAGGGAAGGGAAGTTGGGTAGTGTGGGTCGGAGAAGAAGAAGAAGAAGAAGAACAGAGAGAGAAGGCGGAAAATATTAATCTCTTTTGTATGTTCTAGATGGGGAAGCAAATTGCTTGGCCATGACCCATCGAACATTGACAAATAGGTAGGGGTGCATGGATATATACACATATTACACAGGTCACACTCGGACATGGCCACGGAACAGGGAACAACGATAGGCCATGGCACAGAGCATGGTGTGTGTTTGTTAGTTTAGAAGACTGAACATTGCCACGGTCTTAGTCCTTCTATGCCGTGTGCATAATCGCAACAGGATCTTTTATCACTCGCCATGTTGGTCAACAAGGGCTTCCTTCTCCCCATGTTCAACCACAGTCCAGGGAGAGGGCTGTTTTTGTCCTGTCAGCAGGCCAATTCTTTGTATCCTCACTCTCATCTCGTATGAAAGTGGCTGAAGGGAGAAGGTCAAAGCCGTTCTGTGCGCCCATCGATGTATGAATATTTGCTGCGTGGAATAATCGAACACGCTCGAACCATCCACGCCTATGAGGATGACAAACACTACTTCATACTTTTCGTTACCAAGGATACATGTACTTAATAGCACGCAACCGCACTGGCATTCCCAAGCACAGCCAATGACGACGAGTTGACAGTTGACACGGATCGACCTTGCTTTGCGAACACTTTTTCATCCATGTGCATGTCCATGGACCCCGCTTTCTTCCCTCTTTGTTCGCCTCTCACCTCCTCCCATGTTCCTTTTGTCGTCATTCGAATTCGAATGGCTAAAAATAACATTGTCGTTTCGGTGAACAAAATAGTCCATGTAACCGTCTTTTATGTGTAGTTGAGTGGTCCCAAGGGTAATAGCCTCAATCAGCACAGACAATCCATATACCCACACGCGTAAGAGTGGAAAGAAGGGTGTGTACCAATCCCCATCAATTTGCCCATTGGGTTCTTGTCTGTAGGTGTGACAAAGGAAAAAAAAGTAAGATAAAACGAGGCGCACCATTTGTGAGCATGAATGTATCTGTCTGCTTACCATCTTCCTACTTGTTGCATACCCTGCCTGCGTGTGTGTGTGTGCGTGCTTTTCCTTCCACAGCCCAAGCTTCAAAAGCAAAAAAAAAAAAAAAAAAAAAAAAAAGTCCACAACCAACAACAACAATTGCTGTTTCCTTTTCCCTTTCCACCCCTTATTCCTGCCACCTTCCTCCTCTGTTCTTCCTTGACCAATCCAAATATCCAAATTCAATCCCTGCCTTGGCTTATTTCACTCTTCTTCTCTTCTTCCTCCTTCTTTTCTACTCCTCTCCTCTCCTTCTCTCTTTCCCTCTTCCGCCTTCTTCACCTTCAACCCCACCTTCACCTTCAATTGCTCTCACACACCCTCTCAACAACCCTTACAGATACCCCTCAGCCCACTCTCTATCCATCACAGCCAAAACAACAAGAATGAACCAGCCAAAGGGAGTAGCAGGACAAAAGTCGACCTACGTCTCGACCCCACCCTCTCCCGACACCCACACCCTCTCAAACCTCGACAACTCAAACTTCTACTCCTCCCCTTACATTGAACCCAAACGAAAACACTCGACCATGCTCCCCTCCCCGCCAGTCATCCCCGTCCTCAAGGATCAGGCCACAAGAGACTTTTTCCACCTCCCCTCAGACGACGACATGCCATATGCTTCAGGGATCAATCATTCAAGGACAGCACCTTCTCATCACCCGTCACCTACTACCTCTTCTGCGGCTGGTTCTAATCAGCCAAAGGTTAATATCCTGATGTCTTCTCCGCCCGGTCCTCGCGCTTCTCTTCTTGCCCAGTTCCGAACTCTTGATACCGAGGGTGAGTAATACTCTTTTTCAGGAAAAAAACAAAAAAATAAGTATTGGTTTCTGGCTTAGGTGTGGGTAATAGCAGTTGAAGCGTTGTACGTGTTTCGACATACGGTTGAAACATATGTGTGAAGAACAGTAAGCAGCGCTGTAGGATCCTGCGCCTTTGTCCTTCTTTGTCGTTTTCGTTCCTTTAAAAGAAGAACAAGCATATGTGCCTTTGGTTGGAGAAAACAAGCATGTTGGTTCCCGCCAGCCAGTGCGTGTGTGAGCAAGAAGGATAACTATAAACTCGTCTGTCGACTCATTTGCCTTTGGCTGACCTTTTATCCTCCGTTCCCGCGCCTTCGTGATAAAAAAAACAGATAGGTACAGAGTGAATCCCGCGGATGTCCCTCCTAGACCCACCTCGGCCAACGCAAACCTATCAGATAACGCACTCCGAGGACTCAAACGACTCTCAAACGAAGCCCTCGCAACAAACCGTGGAGGCTCACCTGTCTCTGCACCCATCGCCAACAGTACTAATGGAGGAGGAGGACACTCGGACAATAACAGCAACAACAGCAACGAAGAGGATCAGTTGCGGCTACTCTTCCAAAAGATCGACTCCCTCAACGAAAAGAACAACAAACTCGAATACAAACTTGCAGAGTCGGCCGAGCAGAGGCGGTATGCCGAACATGAACAGCGTCAGACGCGCCAGGCCTATGAACAACTCACCAAGGAGAAGCACGACCTCCAGGTCAAACTGGATGCACGGGAACGGGATTACCAAACAATGTCCAAGAATTATCTGGAGCACGTCCGCCTCATCCGCGCCACTGATGACGACCACTCGACCATCATCGACCGGCTCACACAGCTCAAGACGTTTATCGAACAAATGGTCCGCAAGGCCCAGGGCTCACGCTCCTGCAATCTCAACCGGACCGCCGCAATCGATTACCTAAAGTCTTATGGACTCCTCGAGACCTTCCCCATTGCCGAAAAGAACCTCGAGCCCTTCCACATCAACCTCTTTATGGAGTCCGTCGTCATGAATGTCCTCGTCTCACGGTTCTTTGACCAGCCCCTCTGCTGCGTCTTTGAATACAACAAGGGATTCGCACAGATTTATGACTGGATGAACAGCCGGAATCATTCCCAGGCTGTGCGATGGCGCCAACAACTCTGTCTCATGCTCACCCAGGATCCCGAGATAAAGAGCCGACAGGAGAAGGAGGTGGCAATGACCGCCGATGCGTTGACGGAGCTGATCACAAAGGTCTACAATGGCTCGAGCGAGGGCCTCAAGATCCGCGACATCTGCAATAGAGCGTTCGACCTCTCAGTGGCGATGACGGGAATAGATTCGGTCATCAAGCCTTCTGTCCCGCCCCTCAACATGCCCTTCGACGAGGAGTACATGAAGTCGTCGCTCAAGAGTAACCCCCAGGGCAAGATCGCCCTTGTCATCTTTCCTGCATTCAAGGACCAGGAGGAGAACTTTAACATCGGCCCCAAAGTCTGGTGCTACTAGGGTTTGAGGATCATCAGCATCAGGACGGTTGGAGGCCTCTCAGGAATTGTTATTATTTTCCTCTTGCAGCAACCAGCAGCCAGCAACCTCTCCTATACCCAACAATTCTCCTTCTCTTTATCATCCTGATTCGGCATTGAGGATCAACCCTTTTCCTGATGAGTCCTGTCACCTCCCTTTCCATGGGCGTGGCGGGCTGACGATTGTTTTTCGTCCTTTATTTCATCCAAAAAAAATATGCCGGACAGATGAATAAAAACCAAGCATCCTTATTTTCACACGTCTGGCGTTCGTGAATCAACGTTTTGGAGTTGAAAGTACTGGCTTACTGGAGTGGCTGGTTGTCCCTCTCCTAACCCTCGATCATCTCCGCAGGTACCAGGCATGTTTTCAGGACTGAAAATAGCAAGGCTGGTTGGCTGGTTGGCTAATACTGTTTTGATGGTACCAATTGCGAGAGCAAGAAAGTAAAAAGGTCCGCCCGCTTCTTACCTCAGACAAGATTATGGATCTGGCATAATTGTGCAAAAGAAGGTGTGAGGAGTACTTGAAGGCGTTTACGTGTTAGATGGAAAAAAAACAAAATTTCGACCCATGCTCTCGCTGTGAGTCGATGAAATTGTTGTAGTTGTTGTAGTTGTTGACAAGCAGCACAGTTAAGAGTGTATGTAAGATCAGGCTGGTAAAACGTACTGCATGAACGGGAGGCAGGGGAAAAAAGAAGGGGGGCGTGAAGGCGGTGGTGCTCAGCCCAGAATAAGCATAAACAACCTACAAGAGCAACAACCCCCATGAAACAAGGCACAGCACAAGTCCACGTAAGATCCAGGCACGCCCATTTAGAAATAGCAGGGACAAGCCTAGACTCTAGCTTGACTGGAATCTTACCTTCCTCGCCCTCTACACACGTTGTTTATCTTGCTGCAGGTGTGTTGTTATTGGTGTCACAGCAGCTTTCCTTTTTTTTTTTTTGTGAGTTCGACTTCGACTCCTCGGAGCAATTTTCTGATTCTTTGGACCAGAACGACATAAACATTGGAGAAACGATGGGAGGCGGGAGAGATGCTCATGCATGTATGGGTGGGAGGTGAGATGTAAAAGAAAAGCAATGGATGCATCACTTGAATACCGACTCACTTCCTCACTCTTCACCTTCCCCCACAAAACGCACATGCTTATATGTCTCTGCTTCCATTAAACAAGAAACAACAAACAGCAAATGATCTATACATGTATGAGAGCATGGAAGCGAGGCAAAACAATAACAATAACAATAACAAACAAAGACAACAACGGGAAGGAGTAAGAAACCGAGGAGGTGGAAGAAGTATAGACAGAGTACGGTGTGGGTAGTGTGATATGAAAGCGACGAGAGATAAGCATCGGTACGATGGATCTGGACTAGACTCGACGTCTTTTTTCTTGCTTTTACCCTGGTTCCTTTGTAAATAAGATGTCGTGTTTGTTGTATGAACTCTGCGTAGTGTGTGCCTTCATTATTAAGCACCTGGATGCCACGCTGCCTTTTCAATGCGTTCATACTGACCCGAGGAGATTTGTATTTCATTGTCAGACCAGGTTCAACTCATATACTTTTCTCGTGGTTGTGTACGCTATATACACGTAAATGGCGAAAGGGCATATCCCATCGTAGTCTGGGAGATAGCGGCAATAAAAAATAGGGGTGAAGATAAATTTGAGTAGCAAGGGATGACAGTGCGAAAGGAAAGAGAAAAGGGATGAGTGTGGTTGAGTGTTTGTGTTCTTTCGACTCTTAACGACAGGGCATTGTTCAGCGGAATGTTCTCCTTCGCAGGGGCAATCGGACCGAGAGTCTCACTTTTTACTCTAACATGACAAAGAGCTCAGTATGTGTGAAGGTGAGGGTAGTCGTGAGGTTGAACAGGTCCCAAATGTCACCTCACTGACCCCAAATTCTTCTATCCCCTCATCTCGTTTTTTCTGAGCATGAGTGAGTGGAAGAGGACGAGAGCGGATGTTTACTTCGCAAAGATCGCAAAACTGAAAAGAAAAAAATGAGCGCACAAAGACGAAACCGTAAAAAAATGTAAGAAGTGTGCTCAGGTTCTGGGCACGAAAACGAAAGTGGTGAACGAGAAGGAAAAAAGAGAAATCCAATGCCAGTGGCATGGACGACGGTTGAAACGACGAAATGAAGGATAATGGGTCGCTTTAACAACACGAACGAACTCGAATTTGTTTTATCATCTGAACGGTCGCGGCCCGGTCGTCTTTTCTTCTCTTTGTTGTTCGTAACGGACGCTGACTATGCCATTTGACTACGTGGAAGACAAGGACAAAGGGGCAGACAGGTGTGTACGTCTTTACAGGACTTATCACAAAAATGCCGCACCATTTCATTCCCTCATCAGCGCGCCCGTGTATGCGTAGGAGTCGACAGGGGTGCGTCCGATAACTCCTCTGTAGAAAAACTAATTGTTTAGTTTGCAATTGACCACAGCGAAGCTGACTACGACCATCCGTTTCGCCTCAATCCCTTCTTTGCCTGCGCCTCTGATTGACTCTTTTTTCTTTTTTCGTGCCTCGCCCTCGGCAGCGACGGCGGCGGCTGTGGTGAATATTTTTCTTGTCTGGAGTTATTCCCATTCGCTCGATTAATTAAACCGCGGCACCCCTCGTTTTTTCTTTCAACTCCCCCTATACTTTCACCCTCGTTTTACCACCCCCTTCCTCAGTTCGGATCGGAGAGATGGACGAGAACAAGAGAAAAGGTGAACGAGCCCAAAGCCAAGAAAAGAGAAGGCTATACCTACTGTGATCTTTTTGAGCTCGAGTCAATTGTGTGTGCTCTCTCGACTTCCAGAAATGAGTGTCGTTAAGGCTCTCTCTCTCTCTCTCTCTCTCTCTTTTCCATTCTTTTTTTTGCCGCGAAAATAAGAACGAGAGAGGGAATCGTAAGCAAAAGAGCGAGAACATAATGATGATGGCTGTTGTTGTTTGAAGAGAGAAAGAGTGTATAAGTCAGGATCATAGCACGCATTGAGATTAGTGGCAAACCATGAAGCTGCTCATATTTTCATCATTTTAGCGACAGCGGAGAATTGAAAAAATATAATAAATGGTGCCAAAGGAAAGGCGATCAACGACCAGATGGGCGGGATGGTGGGGTTGAACGGTATCGCACTAATAGGATTTGGAAGAGAAGAAGGAGAAGAAGGTGGAAGGAAGAGTAGTAGACAAGAAGGAGATGGGTAGTGTATGTCTGTTTGTGGGTGTACAATTAGTTATATGGCCATCCATTGATGTCTTTTTACTGTCATCGTTACCTCTTTTTCTTTTTGTTGTTGTTGTTGTTGTTGTTGTTGTTGTTGTTGTTGTTGTTGTCGACAGTCGACATGTCGATGCCAGTTTTGCTGTGGGCAGGCACTAGCTGTGGGTACACCGACACCAACAACTTTTCTCCCACTTGTTTATTTGTATGACACCATTTTGTTGTTTGGAGCAATGTTGTTTGGACATGTTTACACTGAGCTGATGCCTCTTTGCAGTAACCCTATGCCTCGCTCTTTTTTCTTTCTTTTCTGCGGCCTACTCGTTTCTCTTTCCCTCTTTCCCTCTTTCTCTCTTTTCTCCTTTGTTCATTGCCACCACTTTTAACTTTATCTCTTTCTTCATCTTTTCACCTCTTCTCTACTTCCTTCACTCTTCTCCGCTTCTTTCCTCTTTCTTCTCTTTCTTGATACCCCTGCTCTTGCCTTACTGCCCCATCCTTGCATTCAATTCCCACCCATCCTCTTGCTCGGCCCTCTTCTTCTCAACTTCCTCTCACGATCATCTTATTTCGCTCTTTCATTGCTGCACCGACCCCCCTTCTCACTCTCTCTCACGCACATACACGCAGCCTCCACCCCTTTAGACCATCGCTACCACCTTGGACCGTCTATAACAGACAGCGATCTATATTCTCCTCCTCCTTGCAGCATCATCAACACTCTAAACCAACAAACCAGTTTCCTTTCTCAACCATCTAGGATAGGGGCATCATCAAACAATAGAACAAAACAGAGGCGAGACCTTTGTGCACATTCTCCCTCCTTCTTCCCCTCTCTCCCTATCCTCCGTACCTGCGCCGTCGAGGCTCTCTTCCTTCACTGCCTCTCCTTCCTTCCCTCCACTTACTGCTCCACCCCGGGTCCTTCTCTCTCCCCTCCACTTTGTTGGTGACAATTGATTGAGATCGACCTCTTGCAGCAACACCAGCAACAGTAACACCAACCACAACAACCACCGCAACCATGTCGAATATATTGACGCCGATTGTGGCCAGGTACAGCCTCTTCTTTACGCTGGCCATGTGTTCGTCCTCGAGCATCTCCCGGTCGAAACAGCCTACCCATCTGGTCCAGACACTCCTCATCGAGGCCCAACAGCGGTATCAGGATAAATCCACTGAAAAGGTAAACAATTCTTTTATTCGACAAGAAAGAGCTGATTTTACAAGAGCAGAATCGAACAACGTGAATGAAGCGTTGGTCCTTTTTACTTGCGATGGCTATGTGTGTCCGTAGCAGAGAGATGATGTCTAACCGTTGTTCTTATTCTACTATTCAATTTTATATCATTACCCCTTCGACCCTTGGACCCACCTACTTATTCTCCCTCACACAACCTCAACCCTTTTTCATCAACCGTACTCCCTCCCTTCCCCTCCTTCCATCTCCTTGCTACCATAATCCTTTCTTATTTGCGCATGGATCGTCTGTTTGTCCCTGAATTACTCTAACCCTTGGACTTTTTCGACTCTTTCCTGTCAACTTTCTTGGACTTTTGTACTCATCCATCTACAACCACAACAACCTTTTATTCACACCATGGACAACAAACAAAACAAACTAACCAAACAACAAACGACTATGACAAAATGGTCAATTGGGGAATTACAACTATTATTATTATCTAATATGAACTGAACTACTTGGATACTGCTGCAACAATAATAACAAAATGGCTTGTACACAGTTGAGAGCACTTATCCGGCATCTTTCAACCACATCGACATCATCCTCGTCCTTATCTCAATCTGCAGTCTCCTCCTCCCAGCTCACTTCATCTTCTGGCGCTGGCTCCACAGAAATCTCATCTCCGTCCTCGTCCTCCTATATTCAACCAGCAGCAACAGCAGCAGCCCGCATTGAACCTCCTTCATCTTATTTGGAGGAGAAGGACATGCTGTCACTTCCACCCCTTCTAGAACAGCAATGGCAGGAAGGCTCTTTTCTTGCTGCAGCACACAACAACAACAACAACAACAACAACAACAACAACAACAACAACAACAACAACCAATCATCTGAGCATCTCATCAATGACAGCAAAGGCAAAGGTGCGATGACAACTTTTGAGTTCGCTTTGGATCAGACGGAACAGGAAGGCAACCATCATCCTAACCACAACTGCAACCACAGCAGCAACCATAACGAGAGAAGCAGAAGCAGCAGCCCGCCTTGTTCGACTCCTTTGATTGGAGATGACGATGATGCAGCAGTGATGGCCACAGCGGCGTCTGCAGTTGCTGCAACTGTGAGCTCAGACCGCCCAAATCAACACAGACAACAACATACCTCGACTCTTCCTTCCCCTTTCTCTTCCCGCTCCCTCTCCGTTTCTTCTTCCTCCGCGGCCCAACATGGCCAACGCGCAAGACAACAACAACAATCAGGATCTAACAATAACCATAACAGCAATAAGGTGAACAAGTCATCCATCGCCGCCTTGTTGTCCGTCACCCTGACGATGATCCTACTCAGTCTCCTTCAGAGCAAGAAGCGACACATCCGAAGGAAAAGCAGGAGCCCCAGAGGAACAACCTCTAAGCGCCATTCTAGAAGAGGAAGCAGACAGCTACTCTTGACACAGCAACACCGAGAAGGATATAAAAGCACAGGCACCGACCATCTCACGCCTCGCTCCCACTCCCCCTCTTCTTCCTCGTACACCAACAACAATAACAACAGCAACAACAACAGCAGCAGCAGCAACAACGTCAACTTCTTCCTTACCGACCATAACAATAATAACAGTAATATAAACATGGAAGGTACCTCCTCCGTTACCCCTGTGGGTAAGAGATCCTCCCTGCTGCTTACTCAATACCGCCCTACCTCATTCTTTGGGGGAGGGTATGGCGGTGAGCCCACCTCTGCTACATATCACAACAACCACCGCTCCTTCCCACTCTCGACACATGGCCACCACATCCTCTCCGATCCACACAACAACGGTAGCCTGCCCAACCTCCTTCCCTCTTCTCCTTCTTCCGACCCATCCTACCCTCCCATCATTTCACACTTTGACCCGACCACTCGGCTATTGCACCAGGGCAACATGTACAGCGGACGAGAGATCGGCTACAGTCTCAGCGACACCAACCTCCCCGACAAACGGTCGAAGCGAGATCTTGTTACCGACTGGTTGGATCAGCAGACTATTGTCGTCCCCTCTGACATGGTCGAGGCACCAGAGCACCTCTCCCTCGTCCAGGATGGTCCTGACAGTAACATTGCGAACGATAACGAGCCCTTGCAGCAGTTCCATCATCACCATAATGCACACCATCACCAGCAGCAACAACAACAACAACAACAACAGATACAGCACCAGAGACAATCGTTCCCAGCACAATTGGACCCCAACCAACTCTATCATCAGCAGTCCATAAATAACACTGGTGCTCAGCGGGAGCCTCGCCAACAACAACAGGGCCAACAAGAACAAGAACAAGGACAAGAGCATTACCCCCGCGTCATCCAACGCACAAATGAGCTGTATCCGGGCTCACGCTCATCACTTTATCGGTCCCCCTCTGCGTCGCGGCACAGCATGGTGGCTCTAGACCAGCAGGAGCAGCAGCAACAAAGCTCATCACCCTCATTTTGGCGGGAGTCTCAATCGCATCTCCAATCTCAGCAACAGCAGCAGTTTTCTCCCCACCAATATCGTCCTCAATACCAACACTACCCCCAACAGCAACAGCAACACCCCCATCCAGCTCACTATGGTCACTACCAACAGCAATACGCCCAGACTGCTGCTTCTCCTACTTATCGCCCTCCGTACGAGCCCGTTGGATATGAGGATCAGGACCAGCAGGACGCCAATCATCGTCGGTCGTTGTCGTTGAACAACTCAGGTGGTCGTCGAGTTGGTGGTAGATCTAGGCCACAGTCGCAAGTCTATCGCAAGGCGGCACCGGCGAGGTTTGAGAACTTGTCAATGGCAGAGCAGGCTCGTCAGGATCATCAAATGAGGAGACAGCACTACCAGCAACACTACCATCAGCACCGTCAACAGCAGCACCAGCAACAACCTCAGCACCAACATCAGCATCAGCAGTACTATCATGCCCCGGGATCTCGGCCACAGAGCATGTACTCAAACGGCTATGGCGCCGCTGCTTCTCCTCGTGCCTCGACTTCACATAGAGAGATGAACCAATTTGTGCCACCTCGTCACCACCAGGCACACCCTCGTCCTCATCTTCCTTCGATTGTGGTGCACCAGCATCAGCAACATCGTCATCCCTCGGATCTTCGCCACTCGATCGTGTCGTCTCCCAAGACCAGCAACGTGAGTCGGTCTGCCCATGATCTGGCCTGGGAGCGACACTGCTACTACCAACAACAGCAGATACAGGAGGATGCCTTAGCGGAGCGCAAGCTGATCGAGCAGCAGCAACACGCGCAGCAGCAGAAGAGGCCGCAGCGACCATTGTCGTCGGTCGAGGGTGGACTTCAGGTGCCTCTGCTTCTGGGTTCATCGTCCCCGGTGGTCAGAACAAGTTCAATGAGTCGCGTCTCTTCCATCTCAACAACTGCAGTTACTGGCGGTAATGCTGCCTCTACAATCGGAAGGAGAACTGCTGTCGGGAAGGTGGCTCTTGGTTCGTCTGGTCTGTCGCGGTCTGTCTCGACTTCTGCGATTACGGATGCAAAAGCGAGAGCTGCCAAGAAGGACAAGTCGAGCCATCCCAACCTCAAGAAGAGCGGCAAGGAGTTTTCTACGACAGAGAGCGAGACAAAGTCGTCAGCCATGGATTGCAAATTCCTCCGCCTCTTCAGGAGTGACTCGAAGCTATCGGCGAAAAAGACGGTGTCAGCAAATACGGAGAGTCCATCCACATCAACGCAGGCTCAGATCGCTTCTTCCAAGGAACAGTCTACGGTTCCTGTTATTGTCACCATCCAGCCTCTCGATTCTATTACACCAGCTTTATCACCAGCAACGGCGACAACAGGACTGAATCGCAGGAGGACCCTGAAGGATCTTGCGCCTTCGATCCGATCCTTGGCCCGTCGATGCTCAAGTCGTTTCAGTAGCAACAACTCTTCCAGTCGTCCCAACTCCTTTGCTGGAACCAGCAGTGACCCCATGATTCAGTTCGCGGAGGGGAAGGCTCTAGGAGGCGGCAACAACAGTCTCTTGATGACCACCAGCTACTTGCCCCTCAAGTTGTCGTTGACCTCCCTCCCACGCTCGTTGGTGCCTGGACCTGATGGCATTGTCGATCTTCAGCAGGCTGCTTCGCCATCATCGTCTTCTTCTTTGTCGGTGAAGTACTTCCCTCCAGCGTCTGCCAGCACCCCTTCCCTCTCCTTGTCGGACATGCTACCATCTCCTCCTCAAAAGGAACAGCAGGAGCAGCGTGTTCCTATCCATCGCAAGGTGACGCTCTTCCGATCAAAGACCTTGTCCCTGGCCAAATCTTCTCTCCGACTCACTTCACCCCCTCCTACTTCCCACGCCGACGACACAATTGATACGACACCTTCCAACGGCATGACTGCTGCTGATGACCACGATGATGACTATAATAACAACAACAGGAACAGTTCTACACGGTCTAACTCTCTCCCATCTCGCCGTCGACGCCAACGCGACTCGTTGAGACTTGCCAACGGCCATGGACTCGACTTTGACACCTTCCTCCCACCTACTACTACAGCCTCCAATGTCACTACGTCTACTTCCGCGGAAGATGAAGCCAGCGCTGTCGAGAAGTCCACCAACGATTTGGAGTCTGCCCTGCCTGGCGCCGGTCTTGGCCGGTCCACTGCTCCCCCTGTCCTTCCCGCCATCGTCACCACGGGAGGTCGCCTTGTGGACATGGAACAGCAACAGAAAGCGCGACGCCAGATTATTTCGTTGTTGGCCATGGGACGCAAGGGCCGCATCTCTGCGAAGACTGGTCACAGCATGAAGAGTGGTAGCAGCACAGCCTCGTCGCCTACGACTCCAACAACTGCCAGTACCCTCGCTACGTCTTTGAGTCAGTTGTCGCCCCTTGCTCTTGAAGCCCAGGAAGATCTTTTTGTTAGCCCTGCTGCTGCTGAGGGGAAGAAGGGAGGCGAGGAGGACCCGTGTGAGAAGATCGCGTTTATGCTTGTCCCCAAGTCGCGGTATGAGTTCCAACCCCTTGTCGTTGCCTAAAACACCTACTACCCTCTCCTTTTTTTTTTTTACCCTTTCTAGAAAATGATAATTATTTAACTTAGTTTTTTTGTATTGTACCTAGTTTGCCCTTTCGATAGTTTTTCTATTTTGCTTTTTCTCTGTTATTCTTTCGCAGTCCTTTTTTTAATATCTCTTTGTATGATAGCTTCTTTTTTTTTGATATCCAATTACTTAATAACAAATAATACATGTTTTCGCATTTTAAAGTAAAAAGAAACGTAACGATGGCCTTTGTATTGGGATGCTCGGTGCATCTTATAAGTCAGAAATGAAAAAAAAATTCGCTTGAACAAAGAAAAGCAAGCAAATTGTTCCTGACGCACGAAGACGGAGAACACCTCAACCACCAGTAGACCACTTGACCAGTGAAACGAACAAGGATTGGTGGCGCGTCTCAATGGATCTTGCTGAAGACTTATGAAACTTGTTAAAGACTGTTTAGATGTTATGCTAAGCTCCTCTTTCTTCGCCTCTTTGAGAGTGTCTTTATTTCCTAAAGAGCATGCTCATCAGCAAGCAATAGCAAGGGTCGAAGCGTCCTGGGACATATATACCCCCTCTCTCTCTTGGTGTGATATGGTGTGTTGGGCTGGCTCTGGTTGGGCGTGGAGTCTTCAAAACGCGTCGGGAGAGGCTTCCTTGCAGTTTCTTTGAAGCTAAGGATTTACCTCCTTCGTTGCATCGGCTGCTATGATCAATGGAACTTCCCTGAGCACCGTCAACAAACAGCTCCTCGTGCAACGTGGAGCCTCTGATGAAAATCTTTTTTTGTCGTTGCTACCTTTTTTGCAAAGCAAACAGACACCCCCAAGATTTTTATTGAAGGTACATGATGTGGGGAACACCCTGCTTTGTTTTCGTCCTTGCTGATGTCGTCCAATTATCCCCTGCCATGTTTCCTGAACAGAACAATACCGCAATGTTACGTGCTTCCAAATTTTTTTCCTGACTAGCCCCCCTCTTGGTTCCTTGATCTTGCCGCAAAACAACACGAAGTTTCCCATTATGCACCATACCGAAAAGGAGAGTTGCTTCCATAAGTACAAAAAGGATGCTGTTGGTGTGTGATTTTTTTATTCCGAAAAAATCATCGTTTAAGCACGAGCCTGGGCGACGGAGGCAGCAATACGGTCCAAATCACGCTGGCCGTCAACGGTGATCTTGCGTCCACTAACATATTTGAAGGTAAAAAAATAGGGAATAGGCGTTAGGAAAAAGACACGTATCTCCACAGTATCTAGCAATGGTTCGCACACAACATAAGCGAATAAAGAGAAAAAATATAAGGGTAAGGACACGTACCCGTTCTCGTCAGCCTCCAAGACGTTGATCTTCTCCAAGGCCTGGAGGACCTTGCGAGCAATGGAGCCGGAAGACTTGACGTGGTGGGAGGGGCGGGAACCGCGGTTGCAGGTGCCACCGTGAAGCTTCTTGAGGGCTCCAACACCAACGCCGCGGCGGAGGTAGATGTGACGGGCAACGCTGGCTATTAGGGTTGGAAACAAGTTGAGAAGGTAGCGAGTTAGCTACTGTCGCCTCCTTTGTTTGTTTGTTTGTCCTGAAGAGTGTTCCTGCACAATTATGAGAATTAGTGGCGTCTTCTGGGATCCTGTGCTTTTCGTGAATTGGCGTACGTTGCATCGTGCTGCTGCAGTGTTGTGCTAAGAACGATAGGTCGTCCATCTGGTGATGTTCCGCATTCAATGGCGTCGCTATGGCAGGCAGTTGGTTTGGCTTCGTCTTGAGGTTGACAGCGTGAAAAGTTCGGTTCCTGTGCATAATCCTGCATAGTTTCCCCTTATGTCATAACAAAAATCTCCAGGATGGTGTTGGCGATGGCTGAAACTCCATAGTCGATGGTTTTGAGCTCTGCTGAGGCAGAGGGTACCGAAAAAATGTCGATGGTGACGATTGACCATGTATGAATTGGCAAAAAAAAACCAAGATCGCAGGTTTGACATGCAGATTTGAAATGATGTCGGTATGGTCGATGATGGCGCCATCATGGTTCCTAGACCCTCCTTGATGGTTTCTGATGGGTTTATAGGTTTCCGATCGCCCGTTGTGACCTCATCGTCCTATACATCCTGTCAGCTTTCTGGTATTTTGTGGGAGTATCCTGTAAAAATATTATTACCGGCGCGAACGTAGAACCAGTCGGGGTCATAGGGAGCCAACTCCTTGCTGGTGCCGGTCTTGACAAGATCGACCCACTTGGGGATCTCGAGCTTGCCGGAACTATTTAGTTCATGAAGGTAACGGTTCCCGAGGATTTGATTAGAATTTGATGTTGAATTCGTCTTGTAATCGTCGCTTTTTTTGAGTTTTCCCTTCACTCCTGTCTCAAGATCCGAGATCGATGCAAAAAAGATCAAAGGGTGTCGATCCTCGATCCTGATGCAGGGTTCCTCATGGATAAGAAAAAACTCACCGCTTGAGGTAAGCGGCGTAGGCACGGTTGAAGTCGTGAGCGTTGATGTCCTGCACGGTGACCGAGTAGAGGGCAGCCATTTTAACAAAGGTGTGAAAGGGTTGAACAAAAAACACACAACACCGCCATATATCTCTTTCAGCTCGCAGGCTGGTCGTGGCGTGGCGCAACACACTGTGTTAGTAGAAAAGTTGTTCTTAAGGGTGACATTGAAACGTAAACAAGTGCAGCACGTGCGATCAATTTGAGTGATCATATAAAATGAAACATAGTTGGTCGATTGATTATATTCATTTTACAATGGTTGAACAGTTGCCACCAAATTGTTTCGAACAGTGGGTGATAGCTGTCTTTGTCTTGGCGGTCAGGAACCACTAATTTTTGATATGATAAAATAACTGATCGTGCGATCCTCATGAAGCATCGTAGCTGTTGCTCAACACGAGAGACAAGCACTCGTGCCTCGAATTCACGACCATCATGTCCACTTTGCTTGTTGGTTACTTTCTTCTTACTCTTTGAGCCGCGGCTCATATTTACCCGGCCAGAAAATGTGACAAAAAAAAAAGCTCGTTCCATTCGTCTTCCACAAGGTTTGTATGCACCTAAATTTTTATTCCTTCTCTCATCTTCCTTTGTTAACCATCTGTGCGTGTTGTCACAAGCCAAACAATGAATCGTACAGCAGCGAACTAATAGAACCTTCATATGGCAAACACACGGACATCAAAGCACGAAGAAAGGAACCAAAAGAGCTGTTGGGCGACTGAAGAGGAGGCGGATTGGATTTCTGCAGGATCACTTGGTACATTTTATTCTCCACGCCGCAACGTGGAGGCAATTATTTGGGGAAAAGCCCTCCACCCTTGCTCTCCACAGGGGCGATAAGCAGGTGCAGCTGAAAGTGGAGGCGGGGCTCCAAAAGATGCTGGTCCAAACCCAGACAACCGATCTCTCCCCTTCGGAGACCCTCCATTACCGACTCGGTGCCATCGTTCTGTGGATGGCGCAACCCCGAAGGGGAAGAGGAGCCGATCTCGCCTCAGCTTGTCCGTCATTACTCACTTTGCCTCGTGGGGGGATGCAGGGAACAGTACCGGCAAGTACCCGCGTTTTTTCGATCTCTAATAACAATTCCTCCATGTCACCAATCTTATGTTTGGGGTTTCCTTCGTTTTGTCTGCGCCATGCCAAGGTTTGCTAGGCTTGTTTCTGACCAGCGCCCGTTTTTCTTTAAGCTTACTTCCATCATGCCTCTTTCTTGTTACTTCCCAGGCACATGAATGCTAATTTTTACCGGGATCGGCTCAACACGTTTAAAAAATGATACTAGCAAAAAAAACAACGGGAGATGGGCGAGAAGTAAAGAACAGGGACAGGAATGGGAGTGAGAGACGGCTAGGGGAGAAGCAGGAGGATCTTGGTAAAACATACTATACAGTCAACAAAAGAGAGAGATCGTCCCCTATTTCGTTTCTTTCCTTCATGAACAAAGGGGAAGGGGAGGGAAAGTTGCAGCTAATAGACAGAAAGAGATGAACAAGCAGAAGTACTGAGTGCGCGCACCCCTTCTTTTTGATAAACCACTTTAAATCATCCGATGTGTGCCCTGTGTTCACCCCCCAAGTAAAATCCACAACCCCTTTCCCTGGCCCTTTACCTTCCGACATAAAGATTAGCCGAGCAAAAAAAACCGTATTGTGCCTTGACACAAACGCACACACTGACCTTATGCTTTCCTTTTTGTCTTCTTGATGCTTTGATGTCGTTCACGTTTTGTCATATAACGAAACGATGCGAAGCACGGCGATGGTCATCCTTGTCATATTTTCACTATCTCTTTATTCTTCTAACTACCCCTGTATTCCTCGGAGGGTTGGCCTCGCATGATGGATACATGACTGATATGACTTTTTGGCCACGACGAAACTGCGGCTGTTTGTGTGTGGTTTTTCCACCATTGCTCCCAAAGAGAATATTGCATGGTACTAAAAAAATGGCGTACATTTGAAGAAAAAGTTGATCGGATTGCATTGGCGCGGTTGGGATATGATGTGACACACAACACCACAACAAAGAGGAAAGAAACGAAAAGTATTCGTCCATTGGGACTGAATATTTTTTTTTGGGTTGCTGTTTTGTTTGTTTTTGTGCGAGCTGGACATCTGGACAACAAATTTTTTTATTCTGCCTTCGTTTGTTTTCTATTTCGTCCAGAGAAGTCGCGCGGCACAACGTATTCCCATTAAATCACTTCCCAATCGTGAAAAAAATGAGATCCCCTACCATTATGAGCACGCAGGTCAGCACAAACAAAACACAAAACACACGAACATATTTTGCCCAAAGAACTCGCACTAACAATCCAGCGTCATTGGCGAAGGAGAACAGAAGCTGCGCTGTCAGTGAGTCGTCCTTGCTTACTTGCTTGTTGAAGAGGGGACACGGCCTATTGTTCTACCCATCGCCATTTGTTGACTCAAATCGGATACCAAAAGGCAAACAAGCCTGCAAATCAGTCATCCAGGTACGGGCACTGTCACTTAACCTTCTCTGCCCTTCCGTCTTCTTTTCTTCGCCAGAGTCTTCTTTCTTTCTTTCTTCTTCACCTTTCTTTCTGCTTCTACCTTGAACGCCCTGATGGCCCTGAGATATACTCCCTTCAGTAGCAATTCAGCCATCCCTTCCTCTCGATCACTCCGAGGTACTCTTTCGAGGAAGTATAGCCCAGCGGCGAGGGATGTATGTAAGAGTGAGTGAAATGAATAACCTTTTTTAGTCTTTTTTAAGGCCAAATAAGGTTGAAAGCAAGCTGAAGGCGAAATCAAAAGGGACAAAGGGACAAGGGACAAAAAAAAGTCTATTGATTGAAAGCAAGCTTCCTGGAGGGGTCGCCTGGACTTTTTTTTCTTCCTTCTCTGAGTTCATTATTCGACAGAACGGACGGGTACATTAGCGATTGCTTATGCTCCTTGGACCTAGTGGTCTTCTTCTTCTCCATCTCCCCTATTCTATTCAATTGACCCACCACCCACCCCCTTTCTCCCTCAACTCTCTTACTCCTTCTGACAAATGTTGACGGATATTCGTCTACCCGGCTGCATATGCCCTCCTTCCTTCTCTCCCTATTGAATAAAGTGTAAAAAAGTGTTTGTTCTTCAATTCAAACAACCTCCCCGCTGAGCCCTCGCCATAAACCATTTCACAAGATATTTCCGAGATGTCGCAGTTCCTCCTACCCGCCCACTTTGTTTTTTTTACAACGTTGCCTCAAAAACATATAAGGCTACAGTTTTGAATCTTCTTTGTTCTTTCTCTTTTGCTCTTCACCGACTCTGTCCTTCACCCACGCTTCATCCTCCTCCTCTCCTCTCCCCTTCTCTCACCCTTCTTTCCTTCAAGTGGTTATCTGTCTCATTAGTTGTTGAACTACAGAGTATCTCTACCCTTCCTTTACCTCCTCCCTTCTCCCTCCTTACTCCCTCACCGATAATCATATCATACAACACAATGACTGATAAACAAGAGTACGTTGAAGAGACCCTCGCTGGCTCGATCAGCGATATCTCGGGGACTGTTGCCGAGAACCTCCACCAGAGTCTCGACCACGAGACCAAGGAGCAGGCTGCCCTCGATATCGAGATGGCCAAGGCCAGGAAGTCCACCCAGGAGCCTCCTTCGAGACGCTGGATCGTTCTTGCTACTGCCACCCTTGGTGCCCTCTTTGTCTCCCTCCAGGGCTCTGCCCTCATCGTCGCCCTTCCTGATTTGATGAAGAACCTCGACGTAAGTTTTGCCGACGGATTTGCGTGCTTTCATTTCTAATTCAAAACACTAACAGTTCATCCGTCTATTTCATCCACACAGATCGATTTCGCCACCATTATTTGGGTTCTATTGACATACACCTTGGCCATTACTGCCGCAGTCCCCCTTTTGGGTTATGTTGGAGATGCTGGCTTCCGTGGTATTCGGTAGGTACCACAAGTTAACAACCATTTCGGCTGACTCTTCCGCGGAAGAATTGGCAAATTGTATTATGAGCACGTTGTCGTCCTTACCATTCCATCCATCCATGCACGCCTCCAAACCACAATCGATATAACGTTTTTAACCTTTTGTATTCTTTTATGCTTTGCTCATCGTCTCTTTACACGTGCAGCTGCCGCATGTTCAACATTGGCTTCTTGATCTTCACCTTGGGTTCCCTCCTCTGCGGCCTTTCTCAGGCAAAATACAACGGTTACGATATGTTGGCCTACCGTGTCATCCAGGGTCTCGGTGGTGCCCTCCTCTTCTCCAACTGTTTCGCCGTTGTGGCCGACAAGTTCTACGCCTACAACCAGGTCGGTCTTGCTAGTGGCATCATCAACATTGCTTTTGCTGCTGGAACCATTCTCGGACCCGTCATTGGAGGCGCTACGGTCAAGGCCAGCTGGAAGTGGGTCTTCTTCTTCAACTTGCCCTTTGGTGCCCTTGGAACCGTTGTCGGATTTATGTTCTGCCACGACACCATCTATCCCAACGTCCAGTACGCGTCCTTCAGGAAGATTGTCAAGACCTTTGATTACACCGGCTTCATTTCCTTGACCACAAGCATCGGTCTTCTCTTTGTCGTCGTCGTCTCGGCTCTCTTCCCTAACGGCAAGGTCTCTGAAAACAGCTCTTTGATCGGCATGGGTGTTGCCTTTGGTGTCCTCTTCATTGTGTTTATCGTCCAGGAGATGTTTGTCCGTGGTGGCAAGCGCTTCAACGCTCTCAAGGCTCCCTTCATGGACTTCCGTCTGTTTTCCAACCAGGTCTTCAACAACACTGTCGTCCTCGGTGGTCTTGCTGGAGGTGTTGCCCGTACCAACTTGACCTTCTCCTTCATCTTCTTCTTCCAGGGTCCCTATGGCAAGGACCCCCTCATGGCCGGTATCCTCTTGATTCCTTTCGGTCTTGGCATCATGTTGGCTGGTATGCCTTCGGGCAAGTTGGCAGATACTCTCGGCTTCCGTTACCTCTGCTTTGGCGGTCTTGCCTTGTCCTCGCTTGCCACCTTGATCATGCCCATTGTTATCAAGCCCGACACCAACACGTGGATCATCTCTCTCCTCTTGCTCATTAACGGTCTCGGTTGGGGTCTCTACTCCTCCCCAGCCGCCTCGATCTCGATCCTTTGCATCTTGCCCCAGCAGCGTTCATCTTCGTCCTCGCTCCGTATCATGTTCACCATGGTCTCTCAGATGATTGCCATTGTCATCTGCTTCAAGGTCATTATCTCGGGTATGCCCCCAGAGGCTGTCCAGGAGCTGTTCATCAACGGTGGTGGTATTGACCCCATGTACTTGGACTCGTTCATGCACGGCTGGAAGATTGTGTGCTGGATCACGTTTGCGATCACGCTTATCTGCACGATTGCTGCATTGTGGCTCCCTGTCCGCCCCGTCTTTGCCCATGAGGTAGAGGAGTCTGCCGTCTCGAGCGCTGTTGATGTCACCACTGCTGCCATCGAGTCCAAGTAATACGGATGAGATTGCAACACCAAACGTATATACTTTAGCATTTAGACCAAAAAAAAAAACCAGCAGTTGTCCTTTTCAAGCAACTGTACCATACCATAATACTCAGCCCCATCTCCACTCCCCTCCAGCATTTCATTATAACAAATAAAAACATTTATGTAACCTGCAATGCAAGCGGTAGTTTACGGATAACTATGAACGCGTCCAGTTTCTTTCGTGAAGTCGCGTCGATGTGTTTCGCGTCAAAAACATCAGCCATCACTCATCAGTGGCTTTGATTTTGATATATATCAGCTTGTGTCATGTGAATGGTGGCCTTGGCCTCTGCCCCTTCAATGAATTCAGCTCCTTCCTTCCACATCGTGTCTATCTCCCCTCCTTCACGAGCACACATATACCTTCATACACAACGCAAGCTTGCAACGAACACACAACACTCACATTTCCGCCAAAAAAAACACACAATCAACAAACAAACATCACCAACATGAGCACCAGACCTTGTATGTTCTTCCTAGCAGGCACATGCAGGAACGGAACCGATTGCCGCTTCTACCACGAAGGCTTCTCTGGAATCCCACGCAACGTTCTCACCGGAGACTCAGGCATGTCGGTCTCAACAACTGCACAGCTTAATGGCACAACAACAACGACATCAGCGCCAGCAGCAGTCGGTGGGCGAAGCAATTCCAGAACTTCCCCAACATCACCATTGTCCGCCTCTTCTTCAAGCGCGTCTGCAGCACAAACACCAACATCTTCGTCTTCCTCAGCATCATCATCAAACACGCGCCCGGCCTATGCTGCATCGCGACCTTGCAACTGGTACATGGCTGGGTACTGTCTCCGGGGAGACAACTGCTGGTTCTCGCACGATCGAGCTGTCATCGAAGGAAGATCTCGAGGCAACGGCGGCAGAGAGGATGGAATGACGACTAGCCCAGGAGAAGTGAACGGAGAACTCACCTCTTCAACTGCCGATGCGACGGCTGCAAGTGCGCGCAACAACAGTAATAGCGGCGAGGACGACAACGAGGACCACAAATGCGCCATCTGCCTTGAAGTCCCCTCGACCTTCGGACTCTTGGGTAATACATTACAACCTGCACTGTCAAGCCTTTTGCCCCTGTTCTCACATTATAATTCCGTAATAGACACTAACAAACGAGTACTCTTTATCCAATCACTCCTCTTGTTATTTTTATTAGTGTCTTGCAATCACGCCTTCTGTTTAACATGCATCCGGACCTGGAGATCAAAGAACATCGAGCAGGACATCCGGTCGTCAGTGCAGGACCGAACATCAGTAACAAAGGCATGCCCCAACTGCAGAACCCAATCTCTCTTTATCGTCCCCTCGTCTTACTTTCCCTCAACCCCCGAACAAAAGGAAGCCATCATTCAGAACTACAAGGTTGTCTCGGCAAGACGGACGTGCAAGTACTTCAAGGACTCTGGCGAACGTCATTGGTGTCCCTTTGGAGACGACTGCTTCTTTGCTCATCTTGACGCTCGAGGCGAGCCCTGCAAAGTCAACCTTCTATCGAACCCACGACTCAACCGACGACGCGATCGGTATGGCATTGGCGGTAGCAGGAGCCTGTTCCACCGTAGAGGATTTGAGGGCTTCGGTGGATACAGCGATAATTATGGCAACGAACGATATCGTTCGGCTGCGAGACAGCGTGTGCATCGGGAAATGATAGAGGATCTGGCTTTTATCCAAATGTCGACCTCTAATGTGACTCACAACCATCTGGAACAGATTCAAGGACTGCTGGCGCGGCTCGCTCGACTCGGTGTGGACGACTTGAACTTTAATCCTCACGACCACACCCATGTTCGCGCAATCACGGAGGCTTTCGAGGAGTATGTACCTAGCGACTTGCTCGAAGTTGACCCGGAGAGTTACTATGACGAAGACGATGACGACAATGATTACGTGGACGAAGACGACTTTGAGGACGAGGATGTGGATGAAGACGATGACGACGAAGATGTCGATTCAGAGACGACGCTTGAACGGGACGAGCGCGAGGCCTACGAGGAGTTTGGCGACGATTTGTACTTTCAAACATATTTCCTGTCGCCGTCGACGACAGCTCCTCGATCTAACACGGCTGTTGCGAGCGACCCCATGTCTGATTATGACATTGATGCCTACCACGACAGCGTCTGGGCCGAGTACGATGACTATTAATAAGACCCTGTGGTTCTTTTGGCTGACGTTGAGGCCGACCTTTGCTTCTTTGCAACTTTTTTGCTTCCTTGCGCTCTTGTACACACCTCTTTCCTCTTCATCTCCAATAAAGCAACTTGTCACCAATTGAACTACGTATACATGTAATCAATGCCTCGCGTGTTGCTCTCTTGTTAACATTGAAATTGGATCCGTCATTCTTCACAGCCTACGAAGTGTCAATGACATTATATGTATAAGATATTTACTGTCTCCTGCCCACTGTGCTAGCAAGCAGGAGAAAAAAAAAGGAACCAAAGAAACGCTCAAGAGACATTTTTACTTCTTGGCCAAGAGCTCCTGTTCGGTGTTGACGATTGTCCTGAAGCTCTCGATAGTACCGGTAATATCGTCCGCCTTGAAGATCGAAGTTCCTGCAACAATAACATTAGCACCAGCCTTGGCAGCCGCATCAATGTTCTCGGCGGCAATTCCACCATCGACCTCGATATCCAGATCGGGGTACTTGGCACGGAGCTCCTTGACCTTGGGCATGCACTCTGCCATAAACCTCTGTCCTCCGAAACCAGGCTCGACAGTCATGACAAGACACATATCCATCTTGTGGCCCAGGTCCATCACCGTAGAGATAGGGGTCTTGGGCTTGACGGCAACGCCAGCCTTCATGCCAGCGGCATGGATCTGGTCGATGAGGGCCGAGGCGTCCTGGGTGGCCTCGATGTGGAAGCAGTAGAGGGATGCGCCGGCCTTGGCAAAGTCATCGACCCATTTCTCGGGGTGGGAGACCATCATGTGGCAGTCAAGGAAGGCGTCCAGGTGCTTTGTCAGGCAGGAGATGACGGGGGCTCCGATCGTGATGTTGGGGACAAAGTGGCTATTTTGGTTCGGTTGGTAGGAATAGGAAGATAGGATTTTGTTGAGATGTTGGGCGTCTTGTTGGTTGTGAAATGGGGCTGATAGCGCTCTCATCTCATAGATACGCCGCTCCTCTCTTGTCGTGGAACAGGTGTGAAAAAAACAAGTTTTTTTCTCGTGTTGGTAATGTCCGAGTGGATCCATGTCTCCCATGTTCATGCCATTCACTTCCTGTTACCAACGACTCCCGATGTATGTCCCTATGCTTCTTACCCGTCCATCACATCTATTCATGTTCAAGGAAGTAAATCACGAATTAGAACTATAACTTCACACTGGCTTTGAACGTAAACGCGACAAGACGAAGAGAGATCAATGAACCAAGAAAGTCCTTGAAAGCATACCCATGTGAAGCCAGTCGGCGCCGTGGGAGACCATGCGTTTGCACTCTGCAGCGAGGATGCCAAAGTCTCCGGAGAGCAACGAGGGCGAGATCTTGGCGATGGGCATCTTGTATTGTTGGGGGTATGTAAGGAAAGTGGGTGAAGAGGAAGGAGAATAAAAAAAAGATGGGTGGCAGGGCGTGGAGGTTGTCAAATATCAACTGCTACTTTTGATTTCGACGTCACAGGCAACGGGGCATTGAGTCAGTTGGATATGCGACCATGCAGCCAACTAGAAATGTTTATTGATGCAAAGGCTCTTGATCGCAAGTTGTCCGCGTCCACTACGAGAGAAACTGAAAAGAAAAGAATTCGAAAGAAAGAAAAACAAAAAAGCAAAAGAAGATTGAGGAAGGAAAGAAGGTGCCGGAAGAGTAAGCAAAACGCAAGAGCTGCAGCCGTGTGTAGTAGAAGTTGTTGTCGTACCCAGCAAATGAGAGTGGGCAGACACATCGGTACTATGGCTGGAAGAGACCCACTGAGAGGGACTCACGAATGTGCTAGACCAGTAGCAGTCAGCTCCAGCTTGGCCTTCCTAGGCTGCTTGGTTAACCACACGAATGGCTTATTCGGCTTGTCACCCTTCAGAAAGAATCCAGCGACGCGCAAGTTGGGCCAGTTCCCATTCATCCATCTGGCCTCTGGAAAGCCTACCGTGACCTTGCACTCAGGAGTCGTCAAGCAGACAGAACCTCGCAGCTCCTCCAAGAAGGTCAGTCCACCTAGCAGCGAGAGGTAGCCGGGCCTTCCTGTGTCAGTGTTCTCCAGATTCAGGAGCGCAGGGAATGAGTCGCGGCCGAGATTCCATTTTCTTGAGCTCAGTCTCGGAGGAGGGCCCGTCGCCACACACACTCGTAGGTCAAGCACCCTCAACTCCTTTAGAGCTCCAATTTGTTGATAGAGTCGTTCCAAAAGTCCGAGGTGCTTCGCCTCAGTGTCCGTGAGATGAACAGGGGGCGATCTTTTGTAGAACGGTATTCCAACCGGCGGAGCCACATGAGAGGGATAACCTGGCAACACCGGAATCGCAACACCAAGCAGAAGGCGACGGATCTTGGTACACGCCCATGGCCTGATAGCGACGGCGTCGATGAGATCAATACAAGATTCAATATAGTCTTCGGTGGGGAGAACGTCGAACTCTTCGAGACTACCGCATTCGGTAAGAATCAGGGCAATGTGGCGACTCGGTTGGTTGTCGAAGCAGTTGCTAAGACGGATGACGCGGAGAGATTCCGCGTGCTTCTGGAGACCCATCCTTGCAACCGGCAGAAAGGACTCGTTGAGCGACAGCGCATCAAGAACCAACTCCTCGATCTGGTTGTCGTTCTGCATGATCGACATGAGCCTGAAGGGGACATTGCTGTCTACGGGGCTTGAGGTCGCGTCATACATAAGTCTCTTCAGGCTCGGGCAACCGGTCATGATGACGCTTGCCAGATCAAAGCCTCCCATCCCGGAGCGAAAACCTGAGAGCTGCAAAGAATCGACATTGGGACAGCCCTCGAGGATTTGCCAGAGGTCGGTGGTGGTGGTGGACTCATCGTTGGGGTCTCGATGTATGTCGAGCCGCGTGAGGTCATCGAAGCGACCTGGGAGGATCTTTTTCGCGACTGTCATCATCACTCCTGCATCATCATGGTCGTCGTCCCAGGAGCGCTGATAATGATCAAAGTCGTCCTCGTGACCAGGGGACCTGAAATAGACTCGATACACTTCGAACTCACGGATGGAGGGTGGGCACACCGCCAAAAGATTCGACCATTCTCGCAGCCATCTCTTCGAGACCTTTGAGCTCCAGATGAGGATCGAGACATACAACGAGCGCAGTTCCGACAACTTCCCAATAGTTCGCTGCCATTCCAGAAAGTCTATACCGGAAATGATGGGGAGTCCCTCGACGTCAAGCTCCTGGAGCGACGGGCTTGCGTCAATGATTCGGAAAAGCCTACGAAGTCTGCCTCGGGGGTCGTTTGGGGTGGGCGGGAGTGGGAAGGGATCTGGATTGCCGTCAAGGGTGCGGCCCCGGAGACAGACTTCCAGTCGGGTGAGACTGGTCATTTGCACAGACAAGGCTTGCAGGAGCGGCGAGTAGCCTCGAGAAAGAGTACGAGCAGGAGGGTAGAAGACAAAGAGGGCGTTGAAAAGGTAAGGAAGCTCCTTGCGACCGAAAGTAAGGGAGTGGACCGAGGAAATGTTTTTCATCAACGCACCCTTGGCTTTGGGTGTCAGGAGCAGGTTGGTGCGTCCGGGGTGGAAAGTGAGGTCCAGGTGATGGTAGAGGACTGGTTCGCAGATAGCCTTGACGTAGCGACAGGTTAGCATGAGTCGAGCAAGTTCTTGGGGTCCAAGAAAGTCGACCAGAGCAGTTAAGAGCTCTGGGATCCGGATGAAGCGGCTCAGAGCAGCCGACATTGTGGGTTGACGTCTGCCAAGGATGAGTGCTAAAGACAGAAGAGAGAAGAAGGGGTGAATGTAAACAAGGGGTGGAGAGTGTCTTTTTTTATGTGAGTGATGAAATTGGTGGCAACAAATGATTTCTAGGCGAGGTCATGTGCCTTGAAAATTGATAGTTGAGGGCGCCTTGTTGCACTCGTAGCGCAAGCCAACATGGTTTCATGAAAGAGTGAAAGAGAGGTGTTTTCACACGCTGGAGACACGCCTACAGATATTATTATCATGTATGAGCGATACGGCAAAAGCACATGGATCCTTCTATCTCGGAAGCAACGAAGGCGCCGTTTCGGTTAGTATATCTCTTTCTGACCGTGTCTTTCTCTCTGCATAGATACTAAAGCAAAGGTATGCGCGCGATTTTACACTTTAGGAAATGCAAACCAGCAGGGTGGCAGGGTGAGAGGATGTGTACCACCAAGAGGTATCTATGCAGCTCACACTCTGTCTCTGTCCATCTCTTTCCTCGTTTTGGCATGCTATCACCTTTGCTGTTGTTACCCTCTTTTTTTCATTGTTTGTTTTTTACCAGAGCATGCATCCATGAGGCATGGTTGCTGAGCTGCGCTGGGCTTGTGGCACCCTCGATTGGTCTGATTGTGTATCTAAAAAAGGATGCCCTTCCTTTTACCCATTCCCCTGCTTGGCTTGGATGTATGACGCCTTGCACTTGCGCACTTGCTTGATCTGGTAAAAAAATATCCAAACCTGCTCACCGAGGATCCGTTTCGATGCCAGGCTACTTCTGTATCCATGTATCCTTACGATGCTCAATGCGGGATGCAACACCAACAACCTCCTCACTCCTGGCCTCTTCCTCTCATCCCAGTTCCACCCCGTGGGATTTTCTGTTGCTTGCCCCACCATCTTTTCCCCATCTATCCACCCCTTTGCTATCCTCCTCCCTGTGTTATCCTCATTGACGTTTACCATAAATGATGCATAACATACCAGTCAGCTGAACTCAATCGTGCCATAGAATCGTGTTGTCAGCAGTGGCATCCTGGCATTGACGTCGTTGTTTTGTTGCTTTTCCTCTAAACAATATTCTTCTCACCCTTCGCGCTATCCTCCTTCATTGACGTATATCACCGTAATGCCCGTCTCTCCGTTGTAAAACATCCAAGTGGATTTCATCTCCCTGCTTCTTAATTTGTTTCCTCCCCTTTCTTTGCAGTTTAGACGCACGTATTGTTTTATCCGTTGTGCCTACCTACTTGGCCATCTTTGGCGCCGTCTTTTTGAGCTCTTTTCTGCAAGTCCAAGAAGGTTGCCTCCATCTTGTTTTTTTGTTTGTATTTGTCAATTGCGAGCGCATCTGTCGTACATTCCATCTTACAAACCATAGACCCAGGTCAAAAGAACAAGACCACGTTTGCAATCCGACATGATGGATCATCAATTGCCCTTTTTTTCTTCCCCTTTCTTTTTACACACCCTATTGTTGTTGTCGTTGTGTTTTTAGTGCCATCTACAGAGTGAATATCCCCGGTCCCTTGTGCTCAGAAGAAAGGAAATGTGTCAATCCCAATTGTTTTACTGGTCCTGAACCTTTTTAGAATACACACACATCCATGCAAGGTCGAAATTAATGAGGAAAGTGCTCTTAACCCTTTTGCGTTGTTATTATTTTGATTGCCAATGCACTCAAGGAGTGGGTGGGTCTTGTCTCTCTGTGTCTCTGTGTCATTCAACCACCAACCACCAACCAACCACCAACCAACCAACCAAATAACCCCTGTGTACCCTCCCGCCATTCAAGCGTAGTCTATTTCACCATTCTATTTTGCATTCCTGCGGGAAAAAAAAATAAAAATGGGGTAGGGCGGGCCCTAGTTCTTTTGCCTTTACTTTCGGTGTTACAGTACCCATGCTCGCTGTGCACACGCCCTTTTTGAACAAGCACAATAATCAAAAGAAGAGGGAAACAAAGCAGGCGGGAAAAGCGAGGGAGGTTGCGATCGCAAACATACACCGACACACAAACACAAATAACAACCATCGACGCTAGCAACGATGAAATATATTCAACAAGCAGAAAACACACACACAACAGCAAAAAGCGCCGATTCATGCAGTCCATATGTAGACCATGCAAGGCAATGCGTCCCCGCCCGGGCTTGTACACTCGACTGCCAACGGTTTTATTCCATGCTGGGGGGGCAGGGAGAGTGGGTGAGTGGAGGGTGAGACGAGGGCTGTTGGTACCTCTTTATTTTGTTAGTCGAGGAAGGGAGGAGGGAAGAAGGCTCGTGTGGTGCAGGCACGATTTTTACTCTTACACCCACTTCCAATGATCTTTGCCATTGCTCACTATTTTCTTTCTTGCAATGGGCTAGTTACGTTTAAAAATAATCCTCCTTGCACCCATGTATGTTATGTAGCCCTTTCGAGTATTAATATTCCTTTGTATGCATCCCTCCTTGACACCTTCTTTCACTCCTTCTTTCTCTTCTTTCCTCTCCGTTCTCATACTCTCACTCTTTCTCTCTCTCTCTCTCTCTCTCTCTCTCTCTCTCTCTCTCTCTCTCTCTCTCTCTCTCTCTCTCCTACTCCTTCTCCTTCTCCCTCTCCTCCTCTTTCTTTACTTCTCCCTCTCAATTACTCCTCTTTGCTCACATTTACACTCCTTTACCCTTCTTCCCTTCCTGTTTCCCTGATGGACGCTTCTGTTCACCTACTCCTGCTTAGAACCGCCACTCTTACTGCCGAATAGTCCATATCCCCATCTTTCCTCACAAAGCTGACCAACAACCACCCTCGTTTTTTTCATATTCGCTCTTCTTCTCTCTCTTTCCTCCTCGTCCTCCCTTCTATCCCATATTTCCATCATCATTGTGTTCAACGTTCCCTTTTGGCTCTTGAACTTTTTTTTTTAATCCAGCAGCAGACAGTCTGTTCTTCACGTACCTTTACGATCACTCTTCCCCCTTCCTCCTCTCTCTCGACTGTCTCTGCGTTGCCTTCTCTTTGTGTTTCTGTACATTATCTTGTGTCAGTCTCCTCTTACCTACCCTACAACTCCATTGACACACCTTGTACATAGTATATACCACCTCCATCAATGATGGCTACTTCTTCTATCAAAGTCCCCATGCGGACACGCTCTTCCAGCGCAGTGTCGCCAACCTCTCCGACCTTGGTCAGCGTAAAGTCGTTTTCCCAGAGAGTAGTAGCAGTGGGAGGCGCATCCAAGACACTGCCATCAATAGCGACAACCTTATCAGCAGCCAACAGCACCTATAATCAACCACCAATTCAGGCACAAGTACCTCAATCTCATTCCCAGGGACAAGGACAGCAGGGGCAGAGTAGTACAGCAGTTTCCAACAAACCAAAACCTCGTCGTCCCTCCTTACCTATCCTCCCCGCCTCACAGACACAACCCTCCTCCCAAAAGTCCTCCTCCCTTCTCGCCTCCCAACTCCAACCGACAAAGGACATTCAGTCATTACGCACCCCAAGAAGTCTCCCCAGACTAAATGGAGTCGCTGCTGCTGCTGCTGCAGACAGGAATGACTCCAACTTGCCTCCATCCCACATTGGTCGACCTACTCCCGCACTGCCCTCACCACGGTGCTACACTTCTGCGTCGTCCTCACCACGGCTGGGCTCGTCGTCGGCAAGTCGTTTTGGGGATGGTCGCCCGGCGTCTGCCTTGTCTCACACCAATAACAACTCCAGTACCAGCAGTAATACGCCGTCGCTCATTGCGAAACCAGTGTTACGAACTCAAAAATCGACAACCATCAAACCGCCATCCATCGTGACTAAGCCCAACTCGCCAGGCAGTAGCAACAACGGAACCTACACGTCAATGAGCAATGCGAGCAATACCAGCAATAGCACCGGAGTCAGCAGCAGTGGCAGTAGCAGTGGCAGCGCCTCGGCAAGGAGCTTTTCGTTACCACCTATTGCTCCTTCACCCAACACTGCATCTGTTCAGACTCCTTTCTCAATCACCTCCCTTCCAGGATCGTCACAGGTCATCGGGAGCAACAGTATACCCACTCTCACCTCTCTGACTGCAGCGACAGCAGCGGTTGCGGCAGCAGCAGCAACATTATCTGGATCGTCATCAACATCAACAACAGGTCGATCCAAAAACCGACTGAACGCGGGAATTGACTCTGCATGTTACATGGCACGATCATCCAGTGGAGAATCACTTGCATCGTCCTCTGCATCATCCTCTCCAGTCTTGACTCCTGTAACAACCTCCACCCCAACTATGACATCCATTGCAGTAGCTACGGGCATAGGAACGGCAACCCTCTTGCCTTCTTCTGCAGCCACCAACCCATCCCGGAAATCCATCTCTAGACGACCCTCTACTGCCGATCTGACCCCTGCCTCCTCGCCATCTGATTCATTTGTATCACCATCAAAATCGGCTACTACAAAACGTGCAGGAACTAGAGCAACCTCGCCGCTCTCCAACACGGATATTACAAACAAGGAATTGATTACAGAATCCACCTCACAACAACAACCAGCAGCATCAGTAACAACAACAATGACGACAGTCATCAGGTGCACCTGTCCCCCACCACTCGAATTCCCCGAGAACGTCAAGCAGGAAATGAGGCGAGAAGAGGAGGAGCACCGCCAACGTGAATGTGGACTCTATCAGAAGGTATTACTATTTCGATAGGTTGCATACATAATTTCGTGCCGAAAAATGTGTGTGACCACAGGTTAATGACAAGGGCAAGAAGGCAGCGGAAAATCATGCTAATAGGAGAATGAATGTTTTGTTTGTACATGATGTCACTCAATAGATAATCGAGCTGCAGATTGAGAATGCCAACTTGCAAGGGGAGAAGGAAACACTCCACAGGGTGCTTTCCCGGCGGGACAAGATGCTCCTCGAGGTTCAAATGCAACTGCAAGCGTAAGCACAAGCCAGATTAATTTACTCGGCGAATTTCAATATGTATCCTACACACACAAACACCCTT